TTATTAGGCCTTCGATTACCACTAATTTCTGTGCCAAAAGACCTCATTTTGGTAAAGTTATTGATTGTCCAAGTAAGTGGTGGGTGTAGAGATATTAGCTGAGACTGGGGTCTGTGCGCAGACTCTTGGCTTAGTACTTTACCTATTCTAGTTTTACCATGATGGCCCAGGGCTGACAGCTCACTTCATCATTCACTCAACCACAGCACCACTCCATCAATTCTCCGTTTGCTGATATCATCTTGTTTACTCTCGACTCCTCGCTTCCACTTCCACTTCCACTTTCAACTTCATCTTTTTTCTTTGCAGTATATAATCTCATGTCTCCAACAAACACCTGTATCCGAACAATCCAGCTTACCGTTTTCCACTATCGCACTCAGCTCGACTTCCTCCATGTCGGAATCCACTCTCAAACTGCGGCGTAAACGGCGGGTGAAAAGCCATCTCCAGGCCAAAATGGAGGCTCTCACGGAAAGCTTGGATGCTTATCTCCTCCATTCCGGACACGTCGGCGATGACATCGACTTCTCAATTGACGAGTGGGTTGCCATGAAACGTTTCCTCGACCCACATGAGAGTACCGATTACCTCTATGATACCCTCGATTGGCCCAGCGAACAGTACACACGCGCCGAATTCCATTCCATCACTCGAAAAATGGATCTTGACGAGTATTTCGAGTTGGCAACGTGTCTCAGCGAAGATGAGATGAACGCATTCGCCGACTACAGTCCGCTCGATCATGGCGTGCGCAACGATGAACCCGATGATTCGGCCCTTGATTGGATCACCTACAGCACCCGATATTCTAACGCAGACACGTCCGACGAAAAAATGGCAAAAGCCTTGATTAGCAGACTGTACGAGTTCCACCAACCAAAGGATATGGGCATAAGGCAATTTGAACGAATCGTGCGTAAGCTACCGCGAGACGATGTTAAGGAACTCATGGCAGCCATGACAGAAGATCCATCGGCTTCTCCGTACATTTGTCGGCAAGAGGTGGAGAAGGTAATTCGTGAAGAGCTCAAAGGACAGCAAGGCAATGCTTGGACACAGATGCAGCGGGAGTTTGATCGCGCCTTCAACATCCTGGGCAAGGTTAAAGACTGCACAGCTACTATGGTCAAAATGCGTTTGATTCCATCCTCTCCTTCTGCTGACCCACCCCATGCGAACGCCCCCAGTGTACCTCCGGTCAACAAGAACCATGTCATCTCCAAATCCGAACCTCAAATCCACACTGATGATGACTCGGGAATTGGTACTGAGGAGAGCTCAGAAGGCGAGAGTTCGGATGCAACCAGCTCAGAGTCAAACAGTTCAGACTCGGGTTCAGACACCAGCTCAGAGCAAAGTTCGTCAAAGTCGATTGATTCAGTCCCTGATAGCCCTACTCGTGCTGCCCCATCCCGAAAGCGTGTCCTCAAACAGCCTTTACCACCACCCGAACCACTTCCGAAAGAAGGGAAGAAGCGAATGCGCGGGTCTATATCAGATACACCCCCCGGGGTCGATGGAGGTCCACAGTCGGAGATGAAGGAGGCAAAGAAAGTTAAAGCCACCGACACAGCCAACGCATTAGTCGCAACTACGACAACTATTCTTACGAAACGCAACAAGAAGTCTCAGAACGTATATCTGACTAGCAAGTACTTCAGCCAGCCCTCGGTTGACGCGGATACACTTTCGCCGCAGCGACCAAAGAGTAGAAAGAAAGCTGGAAGCAAGCGAAAAAGCTCTGTTAGACTCCAATCCCCCCCAAATGGGCCCAGCAGCGACAATGCAATCTCGAATACTACGGATAACACCGAGAACCCCAACATGTTCTCAAGACTCTCCCCCGCACCCAATGTTAAGGCGGCTACACCTACCCGTCATCGCCCTGAGATATCAATCGCTACCGCTGGCCCCAAGAAAACCTTCAGTGCTCTGTCCATCTCACGGGGAAACCCACGAGCATCTGCGGAGAACGAACCAGACGACAGCATGATCAAACCGGTCAAGCGTGAGATGATTGAGGCTAACCCTCTTCCTTCCACACCTAAATTTCCGACTCAACCAACGAAATCAGCCCATCCGCAGACAGAAAAACGCGTGTCGGAGCAACCGAAAGCAAGAAAGGCCCGTCATTCGGATACTAGTACGCTTGCAAAGGACTACCGCGATCCCTCGCTGTTTTCCTTGCCGCCCCAGAGCCCATCCAAGTCACACCAAACCTCGTTCTCCTTCATTGATCCGAGTCGGCCGAAGCCGCCCATCTTCGACCCTTGGTCGAGTTTTCAGCGGCCGATGAAGCATTGAACTTGAACAGTATCACTGCTGAGGCTACTGGGACAATAGAAACCACGGGGATGGAGGATGATGGTTCAACATCATGTACGCTCACCATCGTGTCTCTACCTCCGCAAGAGCGGGAGGACCAAAACTACACTGCTACAAAGCGGAAAGTAGTCAAAGTATCTGAAAAGGTCTCCCCATACTTTTCTCCATCGACCCCTCCAGTCGCTCCAAAAAATGGCAAAGAAACTGCTAGCGTGCCATCAACCCTTCCTTTCCCTCCCCTATCTTCTAACGGGCTTGGTCTCATTCAAGAGACCCTCGCACATCATCCATTCCAACTTCTCGTGGCGGTTACCCTCCTTAATAAAACCCGTGGCTCTGTCGCTATACCGGTTTTCCACGCATTGATGAACCAATTCCCTGATCCGGAGCAACTGTCACACGCGAGTGTCGAAGAGGTGGAATCCATGATCGGAACTCTAGGCCTGCAACGAGTGCGAGCAAAAGGATTGGTGTCAATGGCGAAGCTCTGGCTAGAGAATCCACCAACGAAGGGTGTACGATACGGAAAGCGAGGATATCCTGTTGCAGCAAAGTCGTTCGACAGCCTCAGTAAAGGCCCTAGGCGTACACCACTGGTACGAGACGGAGAAGTCATAGACGATGAAGTAGTGGGCGGCCGGATCAACTGCGCCTGGGAAATCGCCCATCTCCCATGCGTCGGTGCCTATGCCCTGGACAGCTGGCGGATCTTTTGCCGAGACGAACTACGCGGCGTCGCAACCGGCTACAACGGCGAAGGACAAGTCGATGACGGCGATGTCACGGTGCCGTTTGAGCCCGAGTGGATGCGCGTCCAGCCCACAGACAAGGAACTCCGGGCGTTCGTGCGCTGGATGTGGCTCAAGGAAGGGTGGATCTGGAATCCAGAAACGGGAGAGCGGGAGGTGGCGGGGCAGGAATTGTTGGAGAGGGCGGAGCGGGGGGAGTTCGTGCTGCAGGCAGGGATTGCGAAGGATGTGGTGGATTCGTGGAGGATCGGCCATGGGGATGTTTAAGGCGTTATGTGCGTATGGACGGTATCGATACCCCTTCCTTTCCGTTATCGGAGGGTTCTCTTTTTTTTTCTTATGGACGGTTAACAGCAGAGTAACAGGGTACGTACCAGTGTCTCAAGGTCTGCCCTACGAAGGTGGGAGTTGTTCGCTCATCCGCGGGGATGAGGTAGCATATGGCATCGTATGATAGATCCCAATGAATGGAATTACGCAGTTTGTTGCGATTGTGAAACATTTTTATGAAGCTACAGTTCATCACCGCGAGTGGTCACAAACCCAAGTGGGATAGATGGCACCAGAGACCCGAGATTGTATTCATTTGAGAGGGATCTTCCCCCTCTCATTGCTCCCTAACGCGAAGGGCCAGGTCGGCGCCCCCTTCCTCCCTCCCCCTTGTCCATCCGATCCCCCTCCAACTCCGCCGTCCCCGCCACCACACCCCCAGAGACTCGCGCCAACCCTAGCGCCACCCCAGCCACCCCCGCCAGGCCCTCCTCCCTCGCGGCCGCAACTCGAACCAGCTTCATCCACCATCGCAGCAAAGCGGAAAACAGGCAGCGCCCACTGGTACTTAGCGCCCTCGGCGGCGACCACGTTGGTATACGTCTGGCGCAGGTCGGCCATCTCCCCCTCCACCACGACTCGGCTCGCCCTGACCGCGTCTCCTTTCTATTTGAGGAGGGTACACTTATGTCTTAGAAGGCATCACTAAGCCCTACTTACAGAAATTGTTACTGTTCATTTCGAATTATTAAATTGATGATTGTTTTAGTAGATGCAATGGAGGGATGGATGGATTTGATAATTTGCGTGGATGAAATGGATAGGTGGTCGGTTGGATTAAGTGAAAAGCAAACGGAATGACTTTCACTTCAATCTCAACTCTCCAATCTTAACCCTTAGCTCTTCCTACAGTTTGGCCATCATCTGAAACCATCAAGGAGATTCGACGGTCAACCCTCCTTAGTATCGTTCTGCTGCTTCATTTGGAGGCAGAAATTGATATCTATAGTCTTGATCCTGATCGAAGCACAATTACCCCAAGGGCGTCGACAGACCAGAACTTTTAATCATTACCTGCCTTCGCTTTCTCCTTTTTAGTATGCTGGAGGTGTGCGTCGAAGGCGATGGGCAACCGATTTCTTTCACTCCGGATGTCTGATCATCACTTCAATCCTAACATCAATCGTAACCCCTCAGCTCTTCCTAATGTTTGGCCATCATCGAACTGAAATCATCAAGGAGATTCGGCCATCAACCTCCTCAGTATCGTTCTGCTGTTCCTCTACACACTGCTCCTTCTGCCTGCCGACTTTCCACAATGAACACCACTGTTCTTGCCAATTATGATTCGGGAATACACATAAACATGATACACATAAACATATCTACCGGTCCCATGTTCAATCCCTCTCTCTCCAAGTCTCTTGATATCAGCATGCATCCCACAATGCACTTCATTGGAATATCCTCTACTATTTGTATCACTGAACATTCATGCTCTCAAATCGTAGCTGTCCCCCTGTCAAAGCCAATGCCATGGATCCCGATTCATTCGTCTTTCGTCTGCGCATGTACGCCATCCACACCCTCCAGCTTTACTTTTCGGTAATGATGGGAGTGGCGACAACCGAGACCACCATGTTAATTACCAATTGCGCGCTATTCGCTCTTGCTTGCGGTGGAATTGCGACGTCCTGTACCATGATGTTCCATTTCTGGGATTACATGTTCCCAATGTCCGACTATGGGCGGCGGCATGTGATGATGGGGAGAGCTATGGGAGTGATCTTCACGACTTCCATCGTCTTCCAGGAGACCTTGCTGTCTCTCCAGAACGCAGAATTCATCACCCCCCTCTTCCCGTAAGTGGTCGCATACTGGAGACAGGTGTCCCCAGGGCTGACACCGCCATGAAGGGACCTCAGGGCAGGGTCGATATACCAGGCGGCTCGCGATTCCGGTGCTGCCATCGCCTCGATGCTTTCGGCAGGTTCGACGGTTGAAACCAGCGCTATGGCCGCGATATACGATTCAAGTATTAACGAATTCGACGCCGGCACCACTCAGACATAGCGTCCGGTCTAAGGAAGTCTTCCTCCAGATGAGAGATGATGCCACAGCTGGGCCTGGGGCGCTATTCAAGGGATCAATATTTTATGGCTGAAAGGTCGAGAGGTCGCAGAGGTTTCGTGGGATGGACGCTAGAATTCTACATGCCTTGTCCATACCCGTCACCAATACGAGTGCATAAAATTCGAGATGTGATCATCCCAGCCTCCTTCGTACTCTACAATGTATAGAGTCCATAGTCTGTACATAGCTCATGGTTTTGAGTTCATGTTCTATGAGTTATCACCGAGAGTGGTCACATAGTCAAGTGGGATAGATGTCGCCAGGGACCTGAGATTATATTCCTGTGTGATGTGAGAAGGATCTCTCCCCCCTCACTTACAGAAATTGTTATTGCTCATTTTTAATTTGTTAAATTGGTGGATTTGATGATTTGCGTGGATGAAATAGTTTGATGGTTTTTTGTGTGAAGTTGAAAAATGAAAAAAGGACACGAACATCAGTCGGAAAGAGAGGTATTGTCGACAAAGGGAATTTGTTTTTCATACCTACCTTAGTTCTATGTCGTTGCTGTCATGTACCTGGCTCTACTAGTCAACCCCCTTTCTGTCCCAGGCACAGAAAACACTGAACAATAGCGTTGGGTTGAAAGCTAACCTTTTCTTACCCGGATGAGGGACGCTGGAGCAGGGCCGGGGACACAATTCAAAGACGTAATATTCACTATATCCGTTACCTAGATGAAGGGACACTGGAACAGGGCTGGGGAAACGATTCAGAGGCTCAATATTTCGTAGTTTCCAAATCGACAGATCGAGGAGGATCTATAGGAAGAATACTATAATTCTATAAGCATAATGTCTCCCCATACCCGCTACCTAGATGAAGGATACTGGAGCGGGGCCGGGGACACGATCCAAGGGACTGTAGTGATGATTGCATCACCAACGTGTCCGCAAGCCGTGACAGCACCTTGTGAATCCCTTCTACCATTCTCTCACTTGACCCTGGTGGTTCTATTCGCATGCATGAGATTAAACGCATCTAATCCACGTACGGGATCAGTCGCTCTGCAGTGAAGTCACTGGTGTCTCCACCATTTGGAATCTCGATCATAAGTTCCCGATCCAGTCCCACTTGCTCGCCATACGGGGAGATACATCTCGTGCTTCCCCGCCATGCATTGATTTAATCGGATTCGTAATGCCTCAATGCTCCATCGGGAACCGATTTCAATGTGTCGGGAGTCTGCAAGGGTGTTTCAGGGGAACCCCTGGACTATCTCACGATGATTGTGGAAGCACGTCGTCCCAAGAAAGTTCGTAGCCGAATACGGTTCGCCGGAGCAGCTCATCCTACAAAATTTGTCAGTTGAGCTAATCACACAGCAATCACATATCACTACACGCTGGTGGGAAAGGAGACTTTGCAACTCAGCTGTACTCACACCTCGATCCTCCTCGAACATAACCTTCTCTTCCACCCACTCCCCTACTTTAGTAACCTTCAACCCACCCTGCTTTGCGAGCTCGAAGAACGCCAAATCTTTCTGCAGCAGCCACGGTCGATACGGACTGAAAAATACTAGCGCCCTGGCGCCCTCGCCGCGCCGAAGCGTCGATTGGACCGTTTTGAGCAGCGCGTGATGCTCCGAATGGTTGAAGAGGAGGTCTGCCAACAGAACCATATCGAACGCGCGGTCATTCACGTCCCCCGTTGCTTGAGGAATATGTGCAAGTAGCGAGCTTGGATCAGCACCCCAGAGGAAACCCTCCGCATGCAATGTCCCAGGGAGACCCGACTCCGACAGTGTTTTCACGTTTAACGCGAGGTTCTCCACAAGGTCGGCGTCCGGGTAGTCGGTGACAATGACGGCCTTCGCCCCGAGCTTTGCACAGACGAGACTCGGCAGACCCGCACCAGCACCAAGCTCCAACACTGCTTTGCCTGGCAGAAATGTAGCTAGGTGTTCTTCTAGATATCTCGATACTCGACGGGCGCCCTGCCAAAGGTGATGTCCCTAAGGCACGTCAATACCATGTACGTCCAGCTAGAAATCAACCTTACCCAGAGAGCATTAAATCCGACCATGCGCAGCTCCAGTTTTGTTCCATTCATCATTTGATACGAAGCCTTTGTCGGTTGTTTCTCTTCGGGGAAAAACCCTTCCGGCTCCTGGAACATATGGGAGGCACCTAGCTCATCTCCGTCGTCTTCGTGGTTCGACATTGTCCGGTTTCGACTTCATGGATGCCGACAGCGACTTGGATACCTCTCGATTGACAGAACAAAGACTTGATGTTCAAAAAAACGTGCTAGTCCCATTGCGGCTAGCCCTGTTTCGCCACCACTCGACCACGACTTCAGACTTCATATTGGGATCTATCCTCTTGTACAGCATAAATTCTCCTACGGTACGGCTAAAGGCACACAATTTATTAGGAGTTCAGCGACATCATATCTTCCAGTCGGATGCAGTGGACGAGGAGTACGGAAATGGACCCCATGGTTACTTTTCAAACCAATCGACTTGCAAACTAGAGGATAAGCTTTCCAATGAAAAATCATCATCCATCGCATGACAGCAGTCACTTTCATACCTCCTAGGATACGGGTTAGGCGAACGGATGCATGATGCATCTATGCTTGAGCCATGGAGAACATGATGCAGCCAACCCAAAGTCGTCTAGGTAGGCGGGATGGTGGGCCGGCTTGCCGACCTGATATCGCGGTCATCTCATGTCTTCCTCGTCAAAAAGGAATACGGAAGGGTTCGATTGAACTCACTGAAAGAGCAGTATGGTACTCCGTAATAGTCGTGGAAATGTAGTCGCATTGGATGGATCGATGCACTCCCGGTGGTTGGATTCATTGCCGCCATCATAACCATCCGTGGAAACTGGAATGTAAACGACTAAACGTGGACAAAATATATTAATGCGGCAATTTCATGACCAGTCCCGCACCCGGGGTCCCCGGAAGGTAATAGAAGCTTCGTTCCTTCACCCCACGCATATGATCGCTTGGGATGGAATAGGGCATCAGCTTCGCCAATTAAGCTGACAGGTCGCGATCGACAACCTCCGTCTCAGAATGGCGAGAACCGTCCCTGCATGCATATCACATTATAACCGGGAGTCTGGTCAATGGATTTGTTGCGCGTGGTTTAACATGTAGATAGTAGCAACAGTCAAGTCGAGCACCCGTCCATCATACTACTGTACCCAAACCGAAGCATGTATCCCGAACCTGCGCAATTTGCCTAGGCGGAAGCATGTCCGTGGAGTCCAAGTGTACCCTCGTCGGACTCGATCAAATGCTGTATATCTGACTCTCGACCTCCTTCCCCGCGACCTAGCGTAGCTGGGAATGCGGACTAGGCGCACTGGGAGCAAGCCGGCCGCGTAGAACGAAGCTAAAAGTACATTTAGCATCCTTTGCGAGTGGAGAGTAAACGACATGAATAATATGACAGTGATCCTGGAAAAGAAACTTGCTCACAGGCAGGGGTTGTCGCGATGTGGGAAATAGTTGCTGGACGAATCACGGATGAGACAGTTGGATTGGAAATGATCAGTGAGGGATTGATGATTCGTTGATGAAAATGTCTGGCAAAAATGTTTCAGTTCAAGCAGGAATGGAAATCTCGATTGGGTTAGTGGTCATGTGACATTTACGCCTGAGGACGCAAGGCAAACAGCGACGTTCTTTCATTCCCCCCACCAAGCACCCTTCATTTGATGTTTCACTGGAATCGGATTTCTCTGGATTTCAGATACAACAGAGACAGATAGTACTGTGCCTGTCACCACGATTGATCCTCCATTATTGCCCATTCCCATCGCTGCCGGTCATGCCGCATGCCCACCAAAGGTTCCATTACCAGAGAATGTAAGCCATTTTCTGCTCCTTTCTACCCCGATGATCCCCTTCACGTCACCCTCTTCCCTTCAACTCCAAGTTTATATCTCGCCACCGACTGTATCTGGAGCCCACAGTTGATTGAACCTTGAATTCTGGACTTTTATTTGATTTTATATCCAGTTTACTACTGGTGAATGTTGCCAAGTGCATGGCTGGAAGGTTTTATGCGCTCATACTTTCTCACTTTGCTGTTCCGTTTTCGCTGTCTCACATGCTCTCTCACTCTCCTCTACCCATCACCGAATCCAAACCACCTTGTTGTCCAACATTATTTTACATCCGAGTATTCGGGTCGGAAGAAAAGTAATTAACCGTTCTGTTCCTTTTACTTCCGTTCCTGTGTTCCCGCGCGGCTAACTGCAGCCGTGTGCAACGCTGATTCCCATACGTTGACTCGTTGGACTCCTTAATACCACTGTTATTTTGCGCAAGTTTATTGTCATGTCTTTTGGTTTCACTACAAGCACTGAGCAATGAAGTTCCCCCCCAGCCAATACATACATGGATATTTGCTCACGACATGGCAGTTCTTTCGTACAGCCTGCGGCTGCATTGGACGTCGAAGTCCACCTGGCCAAGACACCTGGTCACCCTGGTACAACCATCGCCGTATAATGCCGGAAGTTATCATTGATGGTGGCATCCGCAAGAAAGTGGCCTGTGGCCCTTGCATCCGCGGGCACCGTTCTTCGAAATGTAACCATAGAGATCGATTAATGGTCGAAGTTCGGAAGCCCGGAAGGCCTCTAACCTCCTCATGCCCGCATACTGAACCCGGTTGTGATTGTGTGCAATATAAATACACCTATACCATCCCGAAAAGTATGTGCCAAGCATGAGATTTGCCATTTTGTACCATTACTAACTAGATGTATCAGACAGCGACTGTCATTGTAATGGAGTTCCAATTGCAATTCCCAACACCGTTGGGAATTCGACAGAGGCATCGGGCCGTGCCCAAAAACGATTGAGGAAATCTAGCATCACAGGTTCAACGCTTGAACGAGGACTCGTGGCCGACCCGCAACTATTGCAACAGATATCGGTCGATCGCATTTTAAGCTCTTCAGATTCATCGAGGACTGTTTCCACTACATCTAGTACTGACAGCATACCCCGCCCAACACCCACGACGGACCAGAATGCTGGGACTTCTCAATCCAAACCGGAGCCAATCCGCTTCGGCTTTATGGGCATTGGGGCGCCAATGGGCCAGTTCCACAATAGGCAAGATCCGATTGGGTGGGATGCACCTTATCCAGATTACTACAATCATGAACAATCGGCTCCTAATCGGCAACATCGAGTACCACCGCGAAGAGCCAACAACCTGAACCTCCCATGGGCTGATGAGCATTCTATGCAGAATATGGAGCCAGCATCAAGAGCAGAGGACCATCGTCATCTGTTGTCAGTCCATGGAATTCCACCCCCCGACCACACAATTCACGAGCATTCTCAACAACCTTTGCTCCAGAACAATTTCATGCCAATGATGCCTGCTGGCGCACAAGATCGGTTCATGCCTCAGTACGACAATTCCATAGATATGGGAATGGTGAATCCACCCCCCGAACCTTTCAGCAATGGGTATCCCCGGATGTCCAACGCTACTGGGGTTCCATTGCCAGTTGATGGTGTTTCATCGCCGGTGCAGTATCCAGTGACACAGGCAGCGGCGCCGTTCGTCAATGATGGGCATAACTGTAGTTGTGGAAACGGATGCGAGTGTATTGGATGCCCTTCTCACCCTATGAACTCGACCACCATGGAATACGTTCGTTATCATACTGGGTTTATGCGGGACCAGGGGGGAGCGTCGAATTTTCCACATCAGCAGGCTCCTCCATTCGACTTCACCAACTATGAACGGTTCGTTGCAGATCCTCATTCTACAACAGGACCTCTGTCCCCCACAACTGAGGGGCATGCGATCATGGGCCCGCCGTCGGCTCCAACTTCGCATTCCTACTCCCAATGGCAGACCCCCTTCACGCCAACCCTTGAACTGGAAAACTTCCATCTTCAGTCTCCATTTGTCGATCAGACTCCCATTAGTCCTCATGCAACCGAGTCCACCATTGCTAGGAACTTGTCTCCGGAGCTTGCCGTTCTTCCCAGATCGACTCATCCAAAACCCCAAATTCACCACGCATCTTTCACACAACCAGATCCATCCTTTACTCAATCCTTCCAATCGGCACACAATAGCATTGGTCCACCAGTCCAACAAGACGATGCAACCCGCTCTTCGACAGCGACTATACCCCGTCCGACATCCAACCCCGCCGATGAAGAACCCGACTTCATCTCGACCAGCACTCTATCCCCATCCGACTTTATAGTCGCAGAGTACCCTATGCCATGCTGTGGTGATGCGCCCGGCATGTGCCAGTGTGGAGATCGCTGCGGCTGCCCTGGGTGTCTGACGCATAATGAGAAAGCTAGAAACCGAGCCGAAGGGACGCTTGATGTCGAGAGCTTGGAAAGAGCCGTGGCGTCCGGAAGCTGTTGCGGAGGAAGAGAACCTGAACCAGCGCTGGATACGAATGGGGGCGTCCGCGGTCTGAAAGTTGAAGGAGTTGGTACTCCCTTTAGTACGCAGCACGAGAATGGTGTGAAATTCGAGAAGGCGGACGAGGTTCGTCGTGGGTGTTGCTGTTGAGCGATTGCCGATCCGGAAATGCAACAAGGTTGCGTGATCTTTCTTTTCTCGGCCTTTCTCATGCCATTTTTTTCTAAGGGGCGCATCTAACGGCATGGTTTACGATATTATGACAGGGGTGGCATTTAGAAGGATATCAAAGATGGTAGGACACGGATATTGTAGCTTCGATTGCTTGTCTGCACGCGATATGGAGTTCGATTGATGGTATTATTTATACCCAATTGGTATTTTCGTCGCTCATCGCAAAGTGCGTCATACGGTGGGCTTGTCGATGCTTACGAAAATACTTCGTATGAATCCAGAATATGAACCATAGCTCATTCGCCCCTTTACGTAGTATAAGCTTGCTCTAAACCAGCGTATGAATCACGGCTGTTCGTTGATTGGTTCATGCTTGCTGTCTTCGTCAGCTGGGCACATCGTTGGTACCTACCAAGGGGAGACCATCGCTGTAACCATTAGCCTATTGTTAGTTTGGTCCATCTATAAAGCACTGGAGATACCTGTCTGTGTATAGGGAAGTGAACATTCCAAGCACCGGGATCGTACATGATTCGACAGGATCTGAATACCCGTTCACAGGATCGACGCCGATCCTGCCACGACAGACGAGCCATGGGATCATAACGGAATTCCAAGTGCATAGAAGGAATCTGTAAGGGATAATATTTCTTAGTGAAAATATCAAGGATGATATTGTTGAATCGGGATCTCTCCCCCCAAATTGAATAATTCCAAATCCCAGTGCCGGTTAAGATCGGATGGATTGGCCTTTGGCAATAAATGGTCGGACTGGCACGTCTCCTCAGTGGATTCAGTGGCCATCAGTGTTCTTGTCACTAGAGACCGATCTACTTTCTTTCAAGGCTCTATAATTCTGACGCTTCATCCGCCCACAAATAACCTCAAAGTTTACCCAGTCTATCCCTATGCAAAAATGCTTGCCGAGCGACTTAGTCCCACACAAAGCCCACGCAACGGAACTTCCTTTGTATCAAGTCTCTCTATTCCTCCTTACGGATCATCCCAACACCTTTGGCCTACGAATCATCAGTGCCAATCACACCGACATCATGTGCGGAATTATTAGATTTCCGAACTACTGTCAAGATGGTTCTGAGACCCAGCTAGCAGCGAGTACTCTCTTGGCGAGCTCCAGAAGTACCTCCCGATCGGAAAAGTCATCTACTCCTTCGTGACCGATGAGACCTAAGTCCGACTCAGTCAGTTATGCTGGAGCCAGGATCAGGAACTGTTCAACTTTCTTGACTTCGACACTAGGTTGAAGGGATATGTGCCGGGTGGCGAGGAATTCGCCAAAGCTTTTGGTTGGGTGCTTTCAGTTAATGCGATGGTGTTCAAGGCAATAACTAAATGATTTCTCTGAATATGCTTACACTATCCGCGGAGAGCTTGCTGTATTATCCATAGTCTGCACGTTGGTCTTTGTGAGGAATTTCAGAAATTGATGGCCCTGGCGCATACCTCCGGGGCGGTCAAAACTTCAAACGCTACCGTATTTATTAGAATTTGCCAAAAGATAAAAAAGATGGATTGCCAGTTCGTACTTCATTAATTAGGTCCGATGAGCCAATACAATGCTCCGTTTACGTAGGTTGGGAGGTAGTGTCTAAGACGAAATGCGTCCCAATTAATGCGCAGCAATGCCGATACTCGCCGATAGCCATATATTTTCTGAGTTAAATCTCCTCACCCAATTAATGTGCAGTGCTGCTGCTACTAGCCGACAACTACATGATTTCTGTCTTAAATCTCCTCTCCATCAGCATGCAGCTCGTCGTAGATCTCAGCGACGAGCTCGCTGTCCTCAGTAAGATCACGCCTGGCTGGTCTCTGAGCACTTTGGGCCATTTGTATCGGGACACAACCTCCGAATGGACCAGCCCTAGCTGGATTTTCACATCGTACCATGCAGACGTTCTCTTGGCCTGCAACTGTACCAGTACAGGTCTGGTCAGCCGGAATCGCGGCGGTGAGAGGCTGTTAACATCTATCAGCTAATCGTCATGCATCGGCAATAATTTACCTACAAAATCCGTAGTCTCGCCCTGACGATTCCTGCCCCTCTCGCCTGGGACGTTTTCAGTGACCTCGATCGGAGTCCACTGGGTCCCAGTTCCATCGGCAGAGATCATACAATTATACGGCCCCGCACCATCACCATTGACTTGGTGGACGGTCATCTGGACGGAGCCACCTAGAGACAGTAAGTATCTGGTAATATTGGCGTAGTCGGTATTAAATTTACCTGGGGTGATCTGTGGTAGGGTATCGCCATTCTGTTCCATTACAGTCTGGACACCAGTTTCGATCTCATTGTTCCCAGCCCCAAGGGTCTCTCCACACGTGTCAGCCGCGTCGCCCCTAAAACGAGTGGAATCCTGCTGGAACGGCCTGCGGCGAGTGCCATCCCGCGGTGTGGTGGGATCAACTAGAAATGTGAGTGATGCACAAGGTAGACACTTGGAATACGTACTGCCAATGGCGGACCCAGCGCCTCCGGCATCACCAGTCGCCTCAGTGATAGCACCGTGACTAGCAACGAGTCTGACGGCCAGCAGGACGAGAACAATGGACTTGTACATCATGAATCCTGAACCTGCAGGAAAAGTCAAATATAAGATGAAAGTAGAAATAAAAGTTGTTGTACAAGAATAGAAAAGAACGAAAATGCTAGAGTTGACTGGTTACCAGTGATATTGGACATAATTCAACTTTATACTTGCGCCGAGGACTGGTGATAGACTGCGCACGCATAAGCTTGTTCCAGCCATGTTACAACAACAAAACATTTCGGCCCTCGCAAGGGCAAAACGCTTCACGAACTAGTACATCCGAGGTTCGTCAAAAGCGCAACTAACATTTCACCATGATTGTCTGAACTTCGAGTGTGCGGGAAGATAAAACACTGTTCTTGTGTTTCTTATTGGGGTCGAAATGCGAGCATCAAGTGTGGAGAAAAATCGAAGCTCAGGGGTTCCGACAGGGGTAAACACCTGACATTCTGACAATGCAAAATCCATCCCGGGCCATCTCAAACGACCATCACGCTTGAAGTCGAAACCATCAAACTAACCTACTTGCTTTATCTTGATGTTTTACTTCGGCCGGGCCGGTCGGAACAAATCTCAGATCTGCATACATTATCTACCGCGGTGAAACCTTCAGCCGGAGTGTATCAGGAATTTGTCCAAACGCTTTTCCCAAACCCTTCTGATACTTGCCTACAAATCGTGGATTCCAATTCACCTGCCATTCACTTAAGCATACCATTAGGCTTATATTCGTGACTAGAATTAAAACTGTAAATGTTAGTCTTGGCTGATAGCACTGACAGATCAGCTTTGTAGCCCTCAGGGCCTCGAAAGCTTTTGCCCATTCCATATTTTAAAATTCAATTCTTCTAGCTCAGCAGGGTCGGGAGCGTACGTCAAGGTAACTGCGCCATCAACTTCATCCTCCCCAAATGGTCGGCACTATTATCATGTCCACCCGTTTATGCCAACCCTACCCACCCCCGTCAGCCATCCCCAGCGTTGCTAATAGCTTCCTGGCCACGTTCTCGCCAGCTAGATAGGCACCTGCAACGGTACCGACGGCAATAATTGGTGCCGTGTGTTCCCCGGCAAGCCACACACCTCGTCTCGCCATGACCTCCGCCCCGCCATCCTCCTCACCGTCGTGAGGATCGTCTTCTGTACGGAGCTCACCTCGTAGAAGAAGCAGCTTTTCCTCTCCCTTGAATAGCTCGACGGGGAAGTTCGTGTAACTGCCGTAACCACTGAGCGGGTCTGCGGTCCAGAGCGTGGCAAGCGTGGCGAGCGGTTGGCAGGACGGGCTGGAGGGGTCGTAGTTGGGGAGTTTGGAGATGTACGGGCGAAGGAACTCGAACAGTCTGGAGTCGACCTGGTCAGATGATGCGTCACGCTCCGTGGTCGGATAGTTGGAGCGGAGCAGATGTGCGATATAGCGCGAACACGGTCCGTGGATGTAGAAGAGAAGAGTTGGGTGTGAGCAATGATTTGGAAGGTTGGCAAGGTTAATTGCTTCTTGTGACCATTTCCCGGGGTTCGTATCGCGAGCATAGGATGGGGAGGTCCATGATAGGATTGTAGGGAGTTCAGGTGCAGTATCAGTCATTGGCCGTGTTAGTAGTTCTGTTCTAGTCACTGATGAAGTAGATGCTGAAGACGTCGGTGTATCGGAAGATGAGCCTTCGCCCTCGCCCGTTGAGGTCCTACAGCACGGTGGTCCGTTCCAAAATGCTTCCGGGAACGTGATATAAATCTAAAATTTCTCGTAAGTATCGGGATAGTTATGGATTTTCAATATATCTACCTTGTCTAGGCATCCATACCCCAAGGAATCGATGGCCTGCTCCAACTTCTTCGGGAGAGCAGGTGAGAAACAACGCTTGTTATGTTTCAGCCATCCGAGGGGGCACGTTACGATAACATCGTCAAACTCTTCCTCTTCTTGGTCCGCAGTCAAGACGATGACTTGGTCGCTCTCGTCGTTTCTTGGTGTGTAAATTCGAACAACATCTTTTCCAAATAGAATGATGCCGTTATCGTTCGCAGGTTTTGCGATCTCTTGAAGAACGTCCTCATATGTTCCAGCCACAAAAAGATTATCCCCGTCGAGGTTTTCTTCCATCCAGAAGTATCTTAGGCTTTGGCAACTGATGGGCTCCCCAATAATATTGCCCCAGCTTGTTGCGAGTCCAGTGACAATGGCAGTCTTTGCTTTAACAGCCGCTTCGTCATAGCCTTCATGACGGAACTGTTCTAGACTCCTGAGCGTTATCCAGTCCATCAAGCTCATATCGAGTGGAATCAAAATGCCTTGACTTGAATTTTGTCTTGAATATTTGGACGCAGCGTCCAGGGTCTCTGACAAGAAGTTCCAATAGTACTCAACGTCTTCTTTAGACATCCTTTTTCCGTCCGGTTGCCAAATGGCTTGCTCTTCGCCGACATCATAAACCGCCGTACTCGTTTTGCTGATGAGCTGCATGATCGGATTGTCTTTTATCCCGTGGATCCAGTTCGGGCCAAGGTCGACTGTATGCCCCCTAAGAGATGCTTGCGCCAGTCGGCCTCCAATGCGATTCCGGGCTTCATAAATGGTGACATCGACTCCAGAAGCCAATAGCACATCAGCACAACGTAATCCAGAAACTCCGGCGCCTACGATCAACACCCTTGGTTTCCGGGCTGGATCCCTTGCGTGGCCTGTTAGGCGTTGCCGTTCATTGATGGATTGCGCTGAACCGGCATAATTCCGACTGGATAAAAGGTCCTGGTGCAATTTGTCCATTTTTCTTGATGTCCGCAAAAATTCGATCGAGGGTTGGCAATATATATAATAGGACTCGAGATGAGTAGGACTAAGGATATGACTTCGAGCAAGAAACTCAAAAGAACAGTCATCCCGTCACAGAAATGACTCTACGATTGAAGGCTGCGTATTCCATCCTGCGGGGTGGATTTAACATCGCTGACTAGAAATGGAAAATAGAATGTCTTGATTCGGGTGCTCAACGATAGGAAAGAAGTTCCCAGCGAAATGAATGTGAAAATAGCATCTATGGTGGTACGGTCTATTGATTGGTACAGGATGGTATTTTCAAGGAGATCCGGACTGGAAACGGAAATTGGAATGAGGCAACTTGAACAATCCATTACTGATGGGATTGTGGATTGCAGTTGGTTGGTGAAGACCACCGGCCGGAAGAACTGAAGCCACCTGATAGTGGGTTTCCGTGTGTAACTACCTGAAGTCCTGAACCCTTAAATTCGCCCCGAAACGTCGATCTAGACCGCTCTGTTGGCCTGGCGTGTAAACAAACCCTTGTGAGTCTGCATATCACCAAGGAAAGAAACAATTGATATGATATTGCCTACACCGTAGTAAAATCCAGCCATGTCCAGAGATAGATACAGCCTGCAGTTTTGAGTCCACGCAATCGTTCCTATTGCATCATTACCTTAACAATCAGTCTGAGTGCAAGTGGATATCGGGCCATGAGGATTTACCAAGGTTCTAAAATGACTGGGATACATTAAGTATTAAGGTACGTTTCTTCATAATGCGTTTCTCAGTTACACCAATCCGCTCACCAGCCACCAGTGAGTCCAACTTTCACCTTTGAGCATACGATTCAACAAAGGATGTGCGCATTCAAACACCCAAGACACCAAGGGGGGACAGTGAGCGGATCAAGATTATCCCTGACGCTGTCCTGGGCATTGACGGGCCTTGTCTCCTCCTGAGAGTGTCTTGCACTCATCCCTCGACATATCAGTGAATGGTTCCTCGCAGGAGAGCAGATGCAATTGAACAACGTCGCCTAGTATCACCTACAAAACCGCTTGTCTGGCATCTAGGACTTCTTTGATTCTTGGTTTAGCATTGATGCCGTTGCGCCATATGCATCGCCGGTGAGATACCAGGCTAGTCGGTGGCACGCTCGAATTGTCCAGGTGGGGAGGTAATAGAGCAGCATGAGGACGGCGAGGATGAATCCGAGAAACAGGGTGTAGAAAGCAACCCTCTCCAATGGTTCCATGACATAGAGGCCGAATGTCACCTCGAATCGGTAGTGCAGTAGGTACACCTTGTCGCTTGTCCGTTCCAATAGCGTTAGAAGCCTGGACTGTGACTTGGCCGGCGGCGGTGGAAACGAAGGTGGACTGGTAAACGACAGCGGCCGGCTCGGTTTCAAGAACTTGGCTGAGCAGGTCAGCTGAGCGAAGCTGTCGGCATTACCGAACGATTCTATAACGACCGATGGCTTTTCGGTAGGATCTGAAGGCGAATCAACCTTGATGGTACCGAGGTTCGAGGAGCCTTTCCACGGAGAGGGCTTCTCTGAAACTTCGGGGGTGGGCGCAGCGAGAGTCAACCGTTCCTGCACCTGCTTCATGAATGAGCTCGAACGAGGGAGCTGCCCGAACTGAAACCAGACGAGATGTTCCACGTTTCAATATGTCAGAGGTGAACGTTCCGCTCTATTCGCATCAAGGGAGGTGTATACGCCAAATGTAGAGCTGTAGGGTGCGCAGGGATGTTGCTGAGAATATCTGGAGCTTAGGTTGGTATGGCTGAGGTAGTATAATAGCGACGATCAAATGAGGAAATGGAACAAGTAATATGATTGAAATGCGAGCTGAATGAGATTGAGGGTGCGCGTGTAAAAGAACGTAGCTGATGTCCATGTAAATGTATTTTAGAGAGGATGAGAAGAGGAACACCGCGGAAATGAGAGTATTATCGAACAACGTAACCGGAAGCCGTTTCCATCGAGGTTTGATAGTTCCTGCGTCATAGCTGATGGCTAGGGGAGCCGTGACTTTGTCTCCACAAACACGAAGAAGGGAAGGCAGCGGCCAGAGAGAACCATCTGATGTCCTGACCTTGGGTTCTTGACCCATGAATGGTTGGAATGATGCAATGCACAACATATGTGCGATTTGCCTATCCTTGTGATGGCCACGATATGCACAACATCGTGTCAGTGCTAACTGATGCAAAATAAATTTCTTGAATCTGATGACATCCAAGCGGATCCCAGTTAGTAATTAGTTAGCGCGGTGTCCAGACAGTCTTTCAATCGCTGCTCCTTTTGAATAGTCCTGGGACGCTTCGTTGTATGCTTGGTTGCCGCAATCCGCTTGATTGGATTATGGACATCGCCAATTGGTTGGACCTAACTAATCTTCTTCGAGAAACTGATCATAGCCACGAAGGTCGGGATTTGTAAGCTTTGGGTGCAGGAGAAGAGGCTCCAACGGATTAGTTGAGGATTAGTAGTTGTCCTGTGACTGTTTTCGCTTACCACTTGAGGCTCCAGGTGTGTGTTTTGGTTCTCAGTTCTGACGAAGCTGTCTCGTGCATGGAACTCCCACAGCACGGCCACCATGAGACACAGACAAAACGGGATTCTGCTGCGGCATGCATTGACGAGCGATGCGACGTGTATGGGGGATGTACTTGTTTCTCGCGCCTCCCTTCACTGGTCTTACTGGGATTCTAGCGTGCTGGACTACCGATGGCCAGACCAGAATAGAGATGATTCCAATAGGACTAAGAGCGAAATGGACCTGGCTTTCCCATTGCGGTTGTGCTCAGGGTTTGAAGAGAGGAGTGAAGGACGAGAGTCACCCCCGTCTCGAGCCTACGGAAGTAGGGCTATGAGTAGGACTATCATGGAAGATCTGGTGTAATTATGTGGTGCTGTGGTGGTGCAGGTCTGGTGCTGGTGCAGGTGGTGGTGTGGTGGAGCAAATAAGGAGTCAAGGCCACAAGGCTGAAAATTACCAATACAGGAATAGCTCGCTGTATCCGAGATGCCCACTGTCCCACAACTCTATTAGCGAATTTATCTCCACGCACCTTCGACCTTTCCAATTCTTCAACCTTCACATCAACCAAAGGTCATCAAAGGAAGCTCATCAGCTCCATCGAACCGTCACCATGCCTGTGGTAAGTGATTGACATTATTACCTCCATATCATTGCCCATCATGGGATGATCACACCGACCTCGTTGGCCTTCGTGCCTCGAATTGGGTGTGACCGTGGGAGAGTCCCTGCACGATGCTTCGAAATTTGGATTTTGAAGCGATTGAAGTGCTGACTCCTGGATTTGAAATAGACCAAGACGGTTAAGAACAGCGCGTACTACTCGTGAGTCTCCAAGGTTTCCTTCATCGACGTTTGCGGAACTGATTATCATCAGGCGGTACCAAGTCAAGTACAAGCGCCGCCGACAGGGCAAGACCGATTACTACGCCCGCAAGCGACTCGTCACCCAGGCGAAGAACAAGTACAATGCTCCTAAGTACCGACTGGTCGTCCGCTTCACCAACCGCGACATCATCTGCCAAATCGTCTCCAGCGAACTCGATGGCGACAAGGTGTTCATGGCCGCGTACTCCCACGAGCTGAAGCGCTACGGAATCGAGCACGGCCTCACTAACTGGGCTGCCGCCTACTCGACCGGATTGTTGCTCGCTCGCCGTACGCTCAAGAAGCTCGGTCTGGATGAGGACTTCGCCGGTGTCGAAGAGGCTGATGGCGAGTACACTCTCACCGAGGCCGCCGAAGGCGAAGATGGCGAGTCCCGCCGTCCGTTCAAGTGCTTCCTCGACGTCGGTCTTGCACGAACCTCCACTGGTGCCCGTATCTTCGGCGCCATGAAGGGTGCGTCCGACGGTGGACTCTACATTCCCCACTCCGAGAACCGCTTCCCAGGCTTCGACATCGAGGCCAAGGAGCTCGATGCCGAGACCCTCCGCAAGTACATCTTCGGTGGCCACATCGCGGAGTACATGGAGACGCTCGCCGACGACGACGAGGAGCGCTACAAGTCGCAGTTCCAGAAGTACATCGACGATGACGTCGAGGCGGATGGATTGGAGGATATGTACACGGATGCGCACAAGGAGATCCGTGAGGATCCGAACCGGAAGGACGACGAGGAGGGAGAGAAGAAGTCTAAGGACTTCTGGAAGGCCGAGAGCAAGAAGTACAAGGACAAGAGGCTGACCCACGCGCAACGCAAGGAGCGCGTCAAGGCCAAGATCGAGTCGATCAGGAACGCTTAGGCGGTCAACTCTTGGTTCTCTGGTGGATGCATGATGGGAGTTGCAATGACGTTCAGCTAGTCATGGCGTGGAAAAGGCCGGCATCGATATCCTTTCAAAAGAGCTGTGGCTCATGTGGTACATCAGACTACTGCGCAATTCAGACACTTTGTCCAACCACATTTCATCGGCGTAACATGCGTGGCATCGGGGGTTTAATGACAGGCTTATAACGAATTCACCGTACCAACATAACGGACGAACTGTGACTTGATTCATCCACGATCGTCCACTGAATGTAGGAGTAAGCTACGAAAGTCAAAATCATTATATGAATTGATTCCTGTTGCCCCAAACGATGCTTATGCTTAGTCTACGAAGTTATCCGATTACTGGGGCCTAGGTACATGGTATGATTTAACCTCCCGGAAAACCAGTCAACGCCAAGGTGAGACTACGAATGGAAGCGAGCTAACTTAATAACGGCATTGTTCACAGTCCGTGCGTGAGCTGGAGGCTTTGTCAGATTCTAGACTGCATGTCCGACGCACTACTAATGTGTGGATGCTATAGGATATGGGCATCGCTAATAATTCTTAGATAGAAATAAACCTAAGGATCATGTGTCGAGTCAATCGGACGGCCTTTCAGAGATTCTCCGAGGACTTCGGGGCAGCTATAACGAGGCTCGGCTCCTATCTCGTAATAAGGCCGCGGATCTTTGATGGCAGGACGAGTTCGGCGGTGGTACGACATGGCGGAGGCGGGCTGGGGGCGATAGTCGGTCACTTGAGCGGCACAAAGTCGTTAATATAAATTCTCATTGATTTGAGGCTTAATAATACTTACCTGTGTCAGCACCGAACCTATCCAAATTCACGATAGAACTCTAGGATTGTGGGATTTACGGCTGCGATGGGTCAGACAACCCGTCCAACCAATCTTGAGCCAGACCACCAACTCCACTAGCCACTTCATCACGCTAAGAACTACAAGCCTCCCAACGCTACCGCATCACGATATACTGCATACACCCTCACAGGCCTCACTCCACCCTCCCTCCCTCACCCACCTCTTTAACCTCTCTCCGCTGCCAGAAACAGTCTCCCAGAAACAATCTCCGATATTCAATCCATTCCATCTTGTTCGATTCATTCATGTAGTCCTCACCACCCCTCCCCTTTTCTCGTCGCATATCATATGCTTGTCCTGATGATGCGATGGAAAGCATCCATGGCTTGGACATAAGCTGGCTCCACCGCACTGCTTCCAACAAAGGTACGTCGGTCATTTGGGATTTCCACCATCTTACGAGAGATACCTGCATTATTACTCGTTGATCTCCATTGGAATATCGGTAAAGTTCAGACGCTGACCCAGCAAAGATCACCCCAGACCGTCCTCCCCTCCCGCCTCGCCTGATCGGCTTTCAAGGTCCCAAAGTGCCAATGGCCGTTACTCCGCCAGTCATATATCGCAATCACCGTCGCATATCGTTAAGTCGACCGAGAAACCGAGCGCGACAGTGATGACAAGCCAGAAACCTCATTCCGGATCGGATGAGAATATCTCCATCGCACCTTCCTCGGCGCAAACCCCGCCACAACAGCCACACGTTCAGCCACCATCCAAGAATCCCCTTCGGCGTCCAGCTCTCCTCTCGCGTGCTTCGCCCGATAAACAACGTGAAGCCACCGTTTCCGGCGTCGATATGTCGGGCCCGCCTTCGAAAACCACTCCGCGACGAAATAGCTTCTTCAGCAACATCTCCGCAAAGTTCACCTCCCCGAGCTCACAATCCCATATCTCCTCTCCCACACCGACCGGCAGCGGCACCGTTCTAAGTAATGCGAACGTCACCGCGACAGACGGAGCGAATAGCCATCAGAATGCGAGCGGTGAAAAGAGCCATGGTGGCGCCGCTGCCGAGTCATTACATCCGTACGTGCCACAGGCGCCCAGAACCGGGACTGGATCCTTCTTCTCAAGCGCACTTCGACGCCTATCAAGTAGTCAAGGGAACGTATCGAACAAACCCTCACCCTGCTCGGGAAGTGTATGTCCACGAAGAGTACTGAATGTCGATCCGAACCGACCGCGATGCCAGGTTCCCGAGCTGGAAACCAAGAAGCTACGGCGAGTCGCATTTTGCGTCGATGTGGAAATTGCTGGCTCACCGAGATATAAAGACGAATCGAACGGCGCGTCTACGCCAAGTGCGAAGAAAAGGAAGGATCGGATGCTGAAGGATCGTGGGGAAGGAGAGGCGTTGAAACATCCATCAGCTGTAGAAGAGCAGAAGGAGACGGAGGGTACGGTCAAAGCAACAGGAGAGAAAGTTGGAACAGAGGCCGAGCCAAATCCAGAAGGGTCCGTTCCAGGCAAGGAAGGCGATGCGAGTGGGCTGCCGGAGAAGACCGATAAGAAAAAAGAAAAGAAGAAGAAGTCGGAAGAGGAGCGGAAGGATCGAAAGGAGAAGCGAAGGAAGAAGGCGGAGGAGTGTGGTGCCGTTCCGGTTGAGATCCGCCGTGGGGGCTCAGAGGACACCTTATCCAGCGCATCGCCCCCAAAAGAGACGGTCATCGAAGCCATCGCACCAAAACATCGCGATAGACCGACAACAGATCCTCTACGGATATATCGACGATGCTGCCAGCTGCGAGAGACTCCTATCTTGAAGCGAATCACCGAGCAGCTCGCCTACGCAGCGAAGTGTTCCGTTGATCAACCAGGGATGATCTCGGTATTGGATCTGACGGGCTCCCGACTTCAACTGGCAGACGTGGTGACACTCGGTGACTGGCTGGCCGTCGTTCCCGTCCGTCGATTGCTTCTCGAAGACGCTGACCTGACGGACGAAGGCGTGCGGGTCATCCTGGCAGGATTGCTGGCTGCCAAGTCTCCGGAATTGTCATGGCAGCAACCTCACCACAACCAACATTTTGAGGAGCGGTCCGGACATGTCGAGAAGCTAACGTTGAAGAATAACCCCCGTGTATCGAAAGCGGGCTGGAAACATATCGCACTATTTCTCTACATGTGCAAGAGCTTAAAGGCGCTAGATGTTTCTTTGATCCGGTTTCCGACAAGCCCACACACCCATAACGACAGCCACGCCCGTTCAACATCAAGCAGTGAAAGTTGGCCATCTTCGAAGCCGCCAATAGCTCCAAGTGACATTTTCGCCAAGGCAATCGCAGAACGACTTGGTGGAGACACATTTGAAGAGCTCATCATGGCGGAGTGCGGGCTCGATACGCAAACGATTCGGAAAATCACCAATGCCGTTACCGTCTCGGGCCTGAAGCGACTTGGACTTGCTGGCAACAACGTGAACGACGAGGCCTTGAAACATATCTTTGAGTATATGAAATCCGGCGTCTGCCAGGGTTTGGATCTGGGAGGAAACGATTTCCGAGATCGATGCGGTGTTCTCGCCGCTGCAATGAAAGGCATGGACGAGTCCCCTTTCTGGGCACTTTCGCTTGCCGATTGCAACCTGAACCCTGACTCGCTCAACGCCTTGCTCCCCGCGCTGGTGACGCTACCGTACTTCAAGTTCCTCGACCTGAGCCATAACCAGGATTTATTCGGGACCGATCCCAGCGCGCTTGCACCCCTCCGCAAGTACCTCCCTCAATTCAAGTTCCTCAAACGGATACATCTCGCCGATGTCTCGCTATCCTCTGCACAAGCTATTCGATTGGCAGAGGTTCTCCCCGAGGCTCCTCATCTGGCACATTTGAACATCCTGGAGAACCCAGGTCTCTCCGCCTTGGCGAACGCAACAACCGAAGACGATCAGGAGGAAGCTTGCGCTCTCTACGCCAGCCTTATGGCCGCGGTTCGCGTGTCGGAGAGCATCATTTGTATCGACATCGACGTTCCAAGCCCGGAGAATTCCGCCATCGTTCAGGCCCTGGGGAAACAAGTCATCGCGTATTGTCTTCGAAATATGGATCGCTGGACGGCTAGCGAGGGCACCACCGACCCCGATTGGACGGACGGAGAGCCATGCGTGGCGGGTCCGCACCGCGAAATCGACATCCCGGACGTGCTCCTCCACCTGGTCGGGCACTCGGACGGCAGCATGCAGAATATGGACGACGAACCCCCAGCGCCCGGCGGGGATTACGTGCTGGGAGGTACGGGTGTCGTCAAGGCGTTGAGTTATGTGCTATCTGAGCAAGCGAGCGAAGGGAGACCGAGTCTACCGCATAGCGGCGCGGCGACTCCCCGGGCGTCGTCGTTCGCGATTGTCGATGACGAGAAACAGAAGTCCAAGGCGAAGAACATGAGTAAAAACCTTTTGACGACTGCGAGAAGTATCCAGGCGCGATTGCGGCCGGCTTTGTTGAAGGAGGCTACCACGGGGGATGAAATGGCTTACAGTGAGTGTTGCTTATTTCTTGTATCTCCGAAGTGTGGCTGGCTAATTTGCATAGAACGTCTTCTGTTCCTCGACAATACTTTACAACGTATGATCCGCCGTTTTGAGGACGAGTATCCCGAATGTCGCCTGAAAGAGCCAGTTGAGGTGCCTCCCCGCACCTCATCCTTGGTCCCGCCGAACCCTGCACCATCCGATCTCGTTAAAACACCTGCCGCTCCAGAGCCCACTCCAGTTACCGAGAGCGGTCCCGTCGACGACGCCAACTCGGACGACGAAGACCCCCCGGGCCGCCCCACGCTCCGCTCGCGCCACAACAGCGACGTATCACTCGCGTCCCGCGCGCTTAGCATCGAAGAAGGCCAAATGCACCGCCTCGGGCAACACATCCGCCGCGATATCCTCGGCGACGCCGTCCCCCCACCCACCTCCCCCACCGCTAGCACCGCCAGCGGCGCTACCACTACGACCAGCACCTCCGCCTCCACAGCCGACGCCCCCGCCCCCGGCGTCGACGCGGCCGCCCACTCCGCGCATCAGCGCGCGACCGTCGACGCCGCGGAGGTGGCGGCCAGCGACGGCGCGCACGCACACAAGCACGAAGACGCGTTCCTCGTCGCGCTGCGGGCGAAGCTGCAGGCGATGCCGTCGTCGAAGCTGCGGGACTGTGTGCTGGAGCGGGGTTGGGAGGGGACGTTGGCGGCGATAGGGGAGAATGTGGAGGAGCTAAGGCGGCTGAGGGAGTTGGCGCGGACGACGGAAGAAGGGGGAGAGGAGTGGGGGCGATTCGTGCAAGTGCAGAAGGCGACGAAGTTTAATCGCGAGTTGCCAGGGGAGAAGTGAGCTGCGCTTCCTATGCGCTTTTGACGATTTATCTTTTTTATTTCTAGCGGAGCGAAGGTTCATGTCGGATGAGTTATGTTTCCTAATGATGCGGTCAGGGGGAATCCCCCCACTGCTTTTTCACCGGTTTTTCTGAACGCCCCCTGACTTTAGCGAGGCGTGCCCATCTGTCGTTTCCAAAGGCCTCAGGAAGGCCGTATTGTATCGATGATCGATGGATCTAGATGCCTGTATATATTATCATCACACGCTACATACGCCAAATTAGCTATCGAATCTCTTCCCCGGGGGCTCCTGGGCAGATTTCGTTGAACATGATTCACTTTCCACTAGCAATGCAGTGGTCGGAAGCAGCGATTCCCGTCGCCGGTATGCGATTTAGGCCCGCGGAAGCGAACGGCTAGCACGAAGTTTCCCAAACTGCGCAAATACATGTGAAATTTTGCCATTTCCCCATAGATCCGGGGTCGCATAATTACAAAGGTGTCCACCCTCCGGGGGAGCCCGTCCTATCCATACGCCGATCCATTTCCTAGCGCCGTCCAATGTAGATAGATACACGAAGCGCCGGCCCCCATGCGATGAAAGGCATATCCGAAAATCCAGCCCGTGAATCTATTCGTTGTAATGGTAAACCTGACAGATGGGGTTAGTTCTGGATGGAGCAGATTTTGCCGATTAAATGATGACTCACAAGGTAATTTGGCAACCCAAAGCTTGTCCAGCCCAATCGTGACGCCATCTTCGCGAATCCTTCCGTCTCGATCAGGTGGTAGAATGCGAAAGCAGGGAACATGGCCCCGTCGCGATGCACGTCCGCCTTGACGAGCAGCGCCGTGCCGCCCACGCCATCCAGCTGCACTTCCTTCGTCGGGTCCCCGTTCTCCTCGAACATGTACGCCATCAGGCTTCGATACGTGGCCATTTCCGGATATCCCTCCAGCAAGATATCATCGTCGCCCATCTTCTCGGCGAGGGATTGCGCGATGGTGCTGTCCACCCAGGAGTTGTAGTCATACGGCCGCACATCCATGGCTTTCTTGTCGTTGTTGTAGTACCGCTGGTAGCAATTGGGGACGATGACGGGTTTGTTGTGCGACGCGAGATCTTGGATGAGAGTCGGTGGCGATTCGACGACGTCCGAGTCGAGCCAGAGGACCCAGCTCGTCGTCGGCCCGATGGTGGTGAAGAGGAGGGAATTCCGCGCTTTCGACATGGCCGCTCTTCGTGCCTTTTGGTTTTGCATCTTATGTCGCTCCGCCTCGCTTTGCGACTGCAGCGGGATTTCCGTGTCTTGCCGTAAGATGGTGATGCTCGCGAATCGCTTCTTCTGCGGACCGGACTGGGTCTTCTTGATCCGCTCTTGGAGCTGGCTGGTGGCCGTGTTCCCTTCCCAGTTCTTTGGGATGATAAATCCCAGCGATATCAACTCGTGAGGGTAAGACAGCTGCAACAAATTATCCCAATACCCCTGGTAGAACCGTGCGAGCGGGGTCAAGATCAGAATGGTCTCCCGGTTTCCGATGGGGTCGGAGGTGGTGGTGACATTGTTCATGCGGTAGCGGACGACCGGTGGTGGTCTCTCCGATTCATCGCCCCCGGACTTCTTGAACGGTAATGAGGCAGGGGATAATATATTTGCGGCGATGTCGGGTCCTTTGGTCCGCTTTTTAGAGGGAGATGGGTCGGATGGGGTGGAAAAGATGAAGAACAGGAACCCGATGGTGAGGATGGTCGCGAGACCGAGGGTGATCGGATTCGTTCTCCGGAGAGATCTTGAAGTCGCCATGGCGGTATGGGGCTGTTGAGACTTTAGGGAATTCGGTGAGCCTAGAATCGATCCGTCAGTTGTCGGTCACATATATCATACGCGGGAAAGGAAATGAACCAGCCCCTAGAATACCCCGTACTAAGCATGCAGGATGACTACTTCCACTCCGCGCAAGTCATTGAATCCAAAATAGGGAGTCTCATGGAAGAACAGGGGTCACTTACGAAGGTTCGCGGTCACATGGGAGTATAGGGAGCGAGAAGGTCGGACAGGGCTTCGCACTCAAGATTGAGCGCTCAAGCAAAGCCGCACAGGGCTGGAGAGTTGAGGTCAAGAAGAAATAATCGAATTGGGCGAGGAGTGATGATGAGTGATGGGATACATATGTGAGCCTGGGGATGTGAATGAAGTCTGTCCGGTTCAGCCCTATTTAATGTGGCTGAGGACGCCCCTGTCCATTTGATGTGGCGCATGCGAATCGGGCATCTGATCTGGTCCTCATCATGGAGACTTTGAGAAGGACAATTAGAATGTCTTGAGCGATATAATCTGACGAAACCTATCGCTATCGAGTTCATTAGAATCCTCTCAGCACCATGTGCTGATGCGTCTCTACTTAATGTGCCGATGAACCTCAGTCGCTCTTTGAAAGGGCCGTATTGTTGTCCAAAGGCCATTGCACATTATGCTTCCCCTTCCGCTTCCTCATACCGTTCTACCTTATACTTCAGGACAACCACTGTGTCTCGTTTCCAAGTCGCACAATTCTCGAGAAGATGGGCACATTCTTCACATAAGCAGTCGTTTTTGGCTGCCACCGTAACAACGTCTTCCCCAGATGCCACCGTATGTCATACACTCTTCAAGTACGCCATCAATTCGTCCATTTCTCTGACAACAATCCAGCCTATTGATGACCTTGTTGCCCGTTTGGATGCGAATATATGGGTAAAAAACGGCGCCGAACCACGCTGTTGGATCTTCTTGGTTTCAAGAGGGTTGGCACACCAATTGGGCGATGATGAAGGGTTTATACGTCGCTCCATATCGCATTTGACTGGCGGACAATCGGTGGAACGACAATTCGCAGCAGCCCTCGCGGTAGTAGATCGAATTTCTCGACCAATCGCTCGTCCCAATGACGGCGAACATACGATCGGAGGTTCAACCACTCGAATCAAGCACCCTCACACTCGGAACGATGGTGATGAAGGGATCTGCATTTTGCAGCTTGAGGAATCGTGTGTTGGTATAACCACCGCAACAGCTAACAGCTCAACCTCTTCACGGCCCATATATATCGAGTTCAATCCAACACCGATTGCAGCGTCGAACATCCCTCCGCGGCATGTTGACTCTACCGTACATGCTGTCGAGTTCCCGTCGGCCAATACACTATTCCAGCTCGGAAGAGAACGAACTATATTTATGTACGAATCAAGAGAAGATTGCGATGGCATTCGCTCGCTTGGGCGTACACTAGTGGAGAAGATATCTATTCGGTTGCAGTGGCCAAGGAACGCGGCTGTCTCAGGGGCACGACCAGCAACTCTGAACGTTCCTATCTATCCTTTAACACAACCGGCCAAGGTTGTGGACTGCATGGGAAACATCGTCCGCCGCGTATCCGATATTCAAGCCTCTGCTTCAGACCCCCCTACAGAAAGGCCGGCATCTTCGGAACTTGAACAGTCTGTATCGGAGCTGTTCCAAGCGCAGGGAATACAGCCTCAAGCTATTCCAGTTTGGGCACTGGTGTTGCCTCCAGATGCAGTTGGGGAAAGGGAAGGCCCGGTTGCACTCCAAGATTACTGGGAATCGAATCCTCCAAAATCGGATCCCACAGTACCGCAACGAATTGCTCAAGGGGCTACCTTTCGAAGAGTTCTCAGTGGAGGCGGTGGATACGGTAAGAAGCAAGGCTTGATAGCCTTGGACTACCGATTCGATGACTCCCTTCGAGAGTTCGATCGCTTCGATATTTCCGGGGAACTGGGCTCCCATCCGAATCTAGCTGGTTTCGCCGAGCACGTCAAAAAGGGATCTCATATCCAATTTTTCACGAATTTTATCCCGGAAACCGCAGCAAGCATGCAAAAGCGGGATCCCAAGGTCGATGTCAGATCTGTTGAGTTCGGAACAATTCCGAATCTTGATAACGAGTTACCCCTAAATACCGACTCGAGCAACGAGGCAGAGATAGCGTCCTTCTCAAACCACGTGGGGATCTTATCAGGCCAGGGCCTCGGTATTTCATTCTGCCATGGAGCCCTTACAGAAGAAAAGCATAACATCTCTGTTGACATACCGTATTCCCGGCTGGAAGTCTGTCATGATACGGTGAGCCCGCAAACCGACTTCGACTCAAGTGTCCTTGGACGCTCGGTCAAACAGTCTGTTGAAAAACTACCAACGGCCTTTAGGCGGGTGCACATTAAAGCTGTTGAAACTTCTCCCATGACCTCACAAGAGTCTCTACAGCTTCCTTCGGCTCTCAATCTGTCGGTGAGATCAAATCCGAGCCGACCGATCCCAGGCCCGTCACAGCTCATCTCCCGTGCCATTCCAACGAAACTTGAGGGAAATTTTCATCGAGACGTTCAGAAGAAACATGATCCAGCGCCTGAGGAAGTATTCGGCGTCGTACGGAAAGCCTTCTCGCTCCGACCGCGTTCTACCGGTAGGTTGGCACTGGAGAACCAACCCCGGGATTATTCCTTCCCGTCAGGGAGTTCTGCTAATGATGGACCATTGCCGCTGAGAATCGAAAAGCAAACAGACATGGTCAATCATGTGCTTGGTATTATCGGATCGAGCTCGCGAAGCAGATAGCCAACACCATGCCAAGGCTTGTGGCGGTGAAATGAGAAACAGACCCGCTACTCGCATCTTTTTCGAATGCCTCATCGCTGTGCACCAGCTGTGATACATCCGAATGGAAAGTATTATCAATAGAAAGAAGGCAAAATCAATATACACAAATCACAGCTCAAGTCAGTTTCAGTTTGCTCAAGAGCTTCAATTGGTCGAGATCGGTGGCGTTCCCAGAACTGGTTAAGCGCATCACCACAATTGTCCAAACAGCCACACGCTTTGCCTATTCAAGCCATTTCAAGCGAATTCGAGGACTGCCACCTGAAGGCTGAGATGTAGAATGGGATTCTCCAATACACAATGTTGGCATGGCCAGCCTGGCCGGAACTATTTCATAGATCTAGACCAGGTCGAAATATCGGGGCATTGCAGATCGCCTTTCGATTCGCTTACACATCGATCATCTGAATGCTTGGAGCCCTCACTTCAGAGTTCAGCCCTATCACCCTGATATAAAGTATGGGGATTTCGCTACCCAGCGTATGTGAGGCCATGGCCGATTGTGAGCTCTACAGCTACACATCAGTTTCGTCTGCAGGAAGCAAATTGTTGGTCCTGAAGCATACCCCCAGGGCGTCGAGAGCTCTCAATCATTACCCCCTCCCCCTCCTATTACCCTTCTAAACACATAAAGTTCCCCTATTATATTCCCTTTAACGTAGGAAGCCGATACGGTCCTCCGTTTTGGTAGACTGGAGGTGCACGTCGAAGGCGAAAGGCAATCGATTTCTTCCATCCGGATTCTTCGAGAGAGGATCAATATGTCTACATCAAAGCCCACATGGGTACATTCCATTGACTGCTCTGGTAGGAGACCCACGCCAGAATTAGTACCAACCTAACCATCCAGTAGCAGGTCCTTTGACTTCTCAAAAGCCACGCCAGTATAGACCTGCCATCCTACGACTCCCAAGCCTCATCGTTGTTGGCTTCTTCGCCGCGGCTTCGGTCGGCCTTCTCGAGTATGCCGTTCGCGAACTTCCAACTGCTCGAAAGGGCTATAGCATGGAACTGAACCTGGATGTCGTTATACGTCGCCAGGCCAATGAAACTGATCCACCTACATCGACCATTGACTACACAACCGATCCTGGAGCATATGTTCCTCTCTCAACCACCAGGCAGACTGCTCCAGGTGCATATGTTCCTCTCTCAACCACCACGCAGACTGCTCCAGGTGCATACGTTCCCCTCTTAAGCAGTGTCACCTTCCCCGCCATGCCTTCAGGTGCATACGTGCCGACCGTCAGCACCACAGGATCGACCCTTTCAACCTTTCAAACTACGGTCTGGTCAACGACTACAGATACTCTTGGAAGGACGAGTTCAGTCCTGGCCTCGAAAATAATTACGACAGCCATTCCGTTGACTACTACGCTAGTTGCAGAGAATCCGCATGGCCAGGCTACATGGCCAGCGTGGCGGATATTCGTTGGGAACTACCTCCCCGTGTTCATTGCTACCATTTTTGAAATCGTTTGGACGGCTATATTTGCAAAAGTCAAGCTGATCACACCCTTTATCGCTTTGGCAGCCGGACGAGGGGCAGTCCTGAAGGATACCCTGATACCGTACTTCGTATCAACCAACTTAATGCCTCTCTCGATCCTTTCTTTGTTCAAGGGAAACTGGATCATGCTATCGACCTCAATTGCCTACACGGTGGTGTCACTCCTTCCAGCTCTCGCATCAGAGAGTATATTTTTGAATACTCATTATGACTGTCCCATCCCTAACCTCGAACACGGAGGTGTGAATCCATGCTGGCCTCCACGCTTATCTGCTGAGCCCGTGATCATCAGGATCATCCAATCTCTTCTTACCTTTATTGCTGTGATGACGCTGTTAATCGCATTGTTGGTGAAAAGAGCCAAGACGGGTCTATACAACGACTCTTCAACTATAGCCTCCATTGCTAGTCTGGCACATCACCCTTCCCTACTCACTGATTTCCGCGGTTTGGATCCTGAGGCAACGGATCGGGAGTTGGATAAGCAACTTGGTCGTCGAAGATATGCACTTCGTGACTACCAGACGCAAGAGGGAACGTGGAGATACGGGATCGTGCCGATAGATGAAAGCGGTCGACCCACCCTGATTCCTCAGTCAGCATACGGGCAACCACTGTACGGTCAACATGGTCAACAATCATATTACTACCAGAATACTCCCCAGTATACCCCAGTGCCAATATATCCGTCGATGGATACCCCGGCCTTCACGCCGGTAAAGCGGAAATCGAGAGTATTTCAAAACTTCATGGACGCCGCCTTCATACTGTTTCTACTCGGATGCTTGGGTTTGATTGTGGCATATTTCAAGGAGGGGTCGGACTCGGACTTCAATCGCTTTTTCAATAGTAATCGCTTTGGCCCTCGGTTCGTGATGACGGTCGTGGGCACCCTGATTGCAGGCCATTGGAAAAGACTGCACAGACGTGTCCAGTCGGTATCAGCATTTCGAGAACTCTGCAGTACTCCCCCGCCCGCTGCGAAACAGTCCATTCTGATACGATCACACGCTATACATGTCACATCTATATTTCCCCAACTCTTCTCACATCACTTCTTCCCGGCTTTCATCTCATTCGTCAGTCTGCTTGCTGATATGCTCGTTATCCTCCTCTCTAGTATTCCCTTCGCGCCTGGCCAGGTGTTCCAGGAATTACTTGCATGCACCTATTCAAGCATTGGTATCCTGTCAGTGATGGTCTTAGCTGTTTTAGGGATGTTTTTGTGGTACAGGCAAGTGCCATATTTGCCGCGGAATCCCAGCAATGTCGCCGGCATCATGAGCTACTTGACGAATGATAGCCTGAGTAATGAGATGGAAGGTTTAGAAGTGCGAAGTACACAGGATAGGGATCAATTGGTCGCTAGCTGGAGTAAGAGTTATTACTATGGGAAATCAAGATGTAGTGATGGTATCGAGAGGTGGACCGTGACTGGGGTCAACTGATATTCTGGTGTACAAATACTACTGGTAATGACTGGTCATTGATTCTTTCGCTACGTTCATCGAAAAGCTGATTGCATTTATCGAAAGATATTGAACGGAAGACATCAATCCCCCAAACGCCCTCGCATTGAACGCATGCCGACTGCCATGGCGGCTCCCTACTCAAGAGAGTGGTGGAGACATAGCCATCCTCGTTTCGTCAAACATTGCCCCCAATTCAGCTGTCTCCAGCTGCCTTTAGCGCCGCGATATCAAACTTCTTCATCTGAAGCATAGCCGCCGTCGTTTTCTTCGCCTTCTCCGGATCCGATGACACCATCAATTCCACCAATGCTGCCGGAACAACCTGCCAAGAGACCCCAAATCGGTCTGAAAGCCATCCACACCTCTGCTTAGACTCATCGCCGCCTTCCCCAAGTTTATCCCAGTAGTAGTCAATCTCCGCCTGATCTTTGCATTGGATGGTGAAGGAGACCGCCTCGTTGAACTTGAAATGAGGCCCGCCATTGAGTCCCACGAACGGCTGGCCGTTGAGCTCGAAAGCCACTGTCAACACACTGCCAGTATCCTGATCAGTGACGGCCTTGTGCGAATCGTTGAATTTTTGGACGGAGGTAATCTTGGAATTCGGAAATATAGAAACGTAGTAGTCGGCGGCCTCTTTGGCTTGACCATCATACCACAGGCATGGAGTAATCGGTTTCAACAACATTGTGGTGAGAAAGCAGACAAGTTCCCTGATAGGCGATGTTCGACTGTTCGTAAGTCCGAGTGAGTTTCTTGAGGCAGAATTATTAAATGACAATTCTCGCTTAAGATGTGATAGATATATACATACTTCACTTACAACAATTTGTGATCAGTAATCTTCTGTTTGTTAACAACGATGTGGCGCCAAATACGAGATCCTGACAGAGTTTGTGGAACACTGTACTCCGTATAGAGGTATAGTACTCTAACAGTCGATTCCTACAATGATTCGACATCATAGAGGCCAATGCACCACTATGACTCCTCAAGGCCCAAGCACACATCAGACCCAATCGAAGCTCTCCTTCCCCTCTCTGATTGAGTAAATCCATGTTAAAAAGAAATAATAATGCATCATTTTACCCCATTTGAGCCATTTCCCGTCAATCCCACCCATGTTACACCTCTCACGAAACATGATCTAATCTGACCGAGCACGTCGTACCAAACAGTGGTCCCATGGGCTCTCACGTTCGCCCACTTCAATGGAGTGAGGTCTGCAAATATCAGGGAGACTCTTGAGCCGCGTCTATCGCAATCATCGGTCCAGATCTGTACTAACCTGTGAATTCCCTGGAAATGTAAGATCGAGTCGTAGTTTTCTAGCTCCTTAATCTCAGGGTTTGATTGGGCCAAGTCGACGCTTGGACATATCACCATCAATGTCGAAGGGGTAATACGAGCAAGTCCTTAACAGACAGTTTCGATTACCACGGCCAATTGTATAATTTTTCCAGAATCACTTTCTCTTCAGCATTAGCAGCAGAGGTCATCAGATGTGTGGACCTGACCATGCAGATATCAAGGCATCAGGGCATCAGGACGCCAAAGCACCGACGGAACTACAGAAGACTGGCACTGAGGTACTGAGGCACTGACTGGTGTGTACTGACTAGGCTAGACCACGAACCAACAAGTTACAAGACAACAACATACTATTTACGGAGTACATACGTGCTATGTAGTAACAAAGAGTCCCCCGTTTCATTCTTTCCTTTCCACTCCGACATTTGGAGTGCAGCTATGAGCTATCTAATCACCATACGGTACGGAGTAAATACCGTAGCTCTGCAACCGATCACCAATTTGGCAGATTTCGTATTTCACACATCAAGCAGGGGACCCATCGAGTATCGACCTTCGCATGCACCAACCATGGAGACTACGGACGTGAATCTCAACCCCCAACCCCACCTAAAGCCCTATGAGTAATACCGTGAAAGAAATGATAAACCAACTGGATTTTCGATGACGCGAGAGAGTATACAACAGAGCAGCGGAATCCGATGGCCCTTATTTGGTGAACTATCGGATATCAAGGTCTGGGACGACCCTACCGATGTCAGATCGACTGTCAAACCATTCCAAACCTCGCTGGCAGCCTACATCCAATATCAAAGTCCTCGATTCACTAACCTCCGATTTCGTCAGTCAATATGGCGGTAGATGTGTTGGGTTTGTACGAATTCGACTTTTGGTACCAGTGCAATCATGATTCGGACGCCTCCCGAGGCCGAGCAAATCCATTGCCAATGTAGGAAGTGCCATCGGTATTACGAGCCGGAGCCGCTGGTTGTTGAAGCGAGCGATAAAGGACGTGGTGTTACAGTTGGCGAATATATCCTGAAAGTCCATCCATATATCCAAAGTTTAAAAGACGATATCCTCACTGCGGAAGGTTATAACAAGGGTGTGGACGGGGGTGAGGGAAAATTTCCGGAAAATACGGTGTTATATCTCGACCCGGGATCATTACTCCCCCCCTTCATGATCTTTGAGGATGAAGGTCCTGAATCGACCCAAAAAAGTTGGGAGGAGGCTGCTCGGGTCACTGCTAAGTGGATGGCAAAGTTAGAGGAGCTCGAAGCACAAGAGCCTAATCAAGGAACACAGGTGGAATGATTATCCTTTGAGAGGATTCATAGATAGATGTAAGGCTGGGCAAAGCATCCCAGATAATCGGGTCTCTTCCAGTCAGGATTTAGCAGTGATGTGCGGAGGGCTTCGGACGGGATTCAATTCGGACGGAACGACTGGGCAAATTATAGACGATGTACCGTACCATCTCCACCGTAGTGATATTTCCGAGCGCTGATATGAAACCCGCTCAATTGGACTGCCTGTGATGCCCCCCATGCCCTCCCAGGATGACTGAACGCAATTCAGATGCCCCTCGTCTCAGCCTCAAAAAAAACATTGAATGAAAACAAGCTAGTGCTCAGTACAATATTCGTACATCGATCTGATTTCCCGGTCTCAGCCCATACGCCCGCATATGGTGGAGAACAGTGGTCGTGCTGTAGAAGACTCGTCCATTTGGGGCGACCGGTATAATCTCAGGGTCGTGGGTGATCGTCCAACTTGCAGAAGTCATCAGAAATTAGGATCTTAAATCCTTTCATATCACGGATTCATGGCGTGGCGCATTTATGCTGAGAGCCTCAATCGGGATTTTTCTCAGGTGACACATCTTTCGTTCCTCCCCCAGAAGAGCCAGATAGCCGTCGAGGAGATCTTGAGGTAGTCCGAGGGCTTTCTGGAGGGGTTTTCGGAGGGCTTTCCGGAGGGCTTTCCGGAGGGCTTTCCGGACGGGTTTGCGGAGGGCTGGGAGACCTCCCATTCGGCACCCCACTACCAACCCACGTGTTCCCCGGGAGTTCGGCGATGGGGCTGGGAGGGACATAACCTCCAAATGTACCCCGTTGATGTTGCCGACTGAGCCGGCCCTCGGAGTTCGTCGGCGAACCCACCTCGGAGCTTGTGTCCGACGCCGTCTTGCGGTGATGCGGAGCGAAGTAGCCTTCCAGGTCGCTCTCCGGCGTGGCGGACAGCTCGGAGGCGCGTCGACGGTCCCTGAAGGGCCGCGCGGGTTCGGGGACGGGCGATCCGGGAAGTTCAGTGGATGCGACGCTCTGCGCGGTGAGGCGTCGATCGGTGGGGGGCTTCTCTTCAGGTTCGATGGACGAGCCGTCCAGTTCGGCCCGGCCTGTCTTCCTTCGCCGTCGCCAGATCAGGAACCATGTGAGCGCACATAGGGCGATCACCAACGCCGCGACGCCAACGCCGATGCCCGCCTGAGCTCCGGTGCTGAGCCCTCCCGGATTTTTCTCCGCACCAGGCGAATCAATGGTAACGATGTTGGGTGACGGAGCTGGGCCAAAATTTCGTGACTGGGCGACGGAAAAGTTGCCCCGTTCGTAGTCGACAATGATATATGCTTCCTGCATAAATGCCCTACCCAAGATGTATTTATCAGTTGCAACGCCTCTTCGAATAGGAAAGAAGCGCGTTTGGTTCCCGTTTGGAACCGTTGGCCAGGAGGCTTCGAGGTCGAGGGCAGCAAATGGTAACGAAATGCGAGTAATGCTGGTCGACTTGTAGTCATCTGCAAGATTGAACTGGATGGTGGTGTTGAGTTCACGATGTTTTGATCGATTCGCCTCATCAGTGAGATAGAGACCAGTGGTGTTATCGTATGTGAGGCCGAGAACTTCTTCAAAGCGGTCGCAGATGCTCTTCGGAAGGAACATATAAGGCAATGTTGAATCCAGAAGGACGGTGTGTCGTTCAATCTCGAAATTGTCTCGAGAAAGATCAAGCGAATCACTCCCTGATTCATAGGTTGCTTTAATAGACTGCACAGAGAGTCGCATCTCCTTCGTGGTTTTGTCCAGGTCATATGAATATGGTGAGGGATTGAATCTGGAGCTGTCGTATCCTCCAATAACCAAACTACCAAGGGATCTCGGGGATGCGTAGATTGCACCTGCGGTATAGCCATATGAGAGACTCGGCTTGAAAGTATCTGTACTGTTTTGGATCGTGGAGAGCATCGACCCAGCAGATACCCTTCCGAAGGAATTTTCAGCATAATATAATCCCAAGGAGCCCAGGAGAGTCTTGTTTGTAACGAAGGCAGCGATGACTTGGGAATCCAGCGTCACGCCATTGTCGGAGTCGCCGGATAGGGTGATTGAGTCGTTTGCAAACCTCGCGGCCATGTCAAAAGATGGTCCATATCGATCTTTCGTATCATCGTTGCCGACTTTCAGAGGATAGACACCTTGGTCCAACTCCGCTGACGGGTCGAGTTGATATCCCGGGCTTCTCGTACCCAGGTTGGCACCGATCCCTCTTAACTCCGTACAGTTGCTTGGTACATCGCCATTGTTGCAAGAGCCGTCTCTTGGAATCCATGTGCTTGGAGAGGCGGTCGAGACTAATACTCGAAACGGCTGGTAGTCTGATCCCACTGATATGGCGAACGTCGACCACTTCCCATCGCTACCTTCGAATTCTCCTGTTGGTTGTAACGAAACGGTCCGTGGAATGACATCTGAACGACGTTTGAACCGCATATCGACAGAACAATGACGAGGCTTGGGAAAGATTGCCGTAGCTCAAACTCAGCAATGCTTCTATAATAGAGCGGATGATCTGCGGCCGAGATCACACGAAAGCTCAGTTACGGTAGAACACAGGGAAAGACCACAGAAACATCAAAGCTAGACATATGGCGTTCGGAGTCCGTCAAGCACAGCACGACATAAGTAGCAGGGAGAGGTGGGACAGGAAGGTGCTGCATTGTAATTGCCGGGCGAGACCCTTCGCCCAATATCGAAGAAAAGCCGCACTTGGACGATGTGAGGGACTCGAAGGGGCCGAAGGATTGGTAGGGCTGGTGGATGGCATGCAAGGTGTCATCGAAAATCCTCCTAGTGGTCATTGTGCAGTAGTACAAGTAAGCCCCGAGTGAGGTGGTATCTTCAGCCATGATAGGATGGAAACCCCATGTCAATCGGGCGGCGGGGACACGCCAGCCACGTACAGACCAAAGGATCGCGATAGGTGAAGGATCCATACTCCATACTCTGTAGTACATGTATGCATGTGCAGTGTGGGTGCCTGGGTGGTTCCGGTGTGCCAGCACAACCTAGAATTCAGGGTTCAGTTTACGAGACGGCAGACTTCAGAGACAGTACGGTTTAGAAATCATATCATTTCAGAGACGGGATGTGGAGGTTGAGAGGCCATTGGAAGGGTAGGAGTTGGGACGTTGTGATATGCCAGTTGATCCGCGGCGTGGATGTTTTCTCTCCACTAGCTCTACTGCACGTGCCGCTCCAGCCTCGTCGCTCCCCTCACCCCACCCCTCCATCACCACCTCACCTCCGCCATCACTAACTCAAGACTCATACTTAACTAGTTATGCTGACGTGGTGACATGGTTCACCGGTCTGCTTCTGTGGAAGGTAATTCATCCATCTCAGGCTATCCGACTATGTCCTGCCCTGTTAGGTCATGCTATTTTCCCCGTCTTTCGGCGAGTACAGAAGCGGGAAATACTCCAGGGCGTGGCATAGGATCCCGGCCTTGCGAGCTGAAAAGAGCTCACACCTCTTCCTCCCTTGCGTCCTACTATTACCTATGCTGCATGCGAGTGAATGCATGCAGACAACAGCTTTGCATATCGATCCAGTAATGCAACGGAATCATATGCGCCATGGCAACGTCGCTCCATATCTTCCTAACCGAATATTCGTACTAATAGATAACTTCCGTGGCGCCATCGCTCTGGAACGAAGGTGATAAACTCATGATAATGGATCATCCATGAGGCAACTCTCCATTCCTGCAGGCCTTCTTCAAGCCTTCTTCAAGCCTTCTTCAACGCTTCGTCCAGTTTGAAATCCCGTTCTACCCGGGAGCCTCGTTCATAAGTCCTGCTCTTTTTCCATTTAATATTCCTCGTTCGCTAAGTCAATCGCTTGGTCAAACGCTTCTTGTCTTGTAACGATGTCCATACCCGTACATGCATAGTGTCTTAATGTTTAAATCAAAATGAAGAGACCTTGGAATTATTTTATACCGGTATGGGTTGCGGTGGCACATTTCGCTGCCAATTCCGCCGGGGAAGGTTTGTCTTGACGCACCGAATGCCTTGCTTCATGCTGAACCCTATAGGATTCAATTCGAGTTCGTCCGAGCCTACTTCAGCAGAGCTCTTGAATGGCGAAAACCACCCGCCTTTTCCCCCGCCCTTTCACCCGCCCTTTCCCCCGCCTAAAGACTGCAAACACTGTCCTATCAAATCCACTGAGACCTGTACTGTTACGGAGAAACTTCCCGGAAAGACTGTGACTACAACCTGTACTGTCACGGAGACACGTCCTGGAACGACCACTACATTGACCGACCGGACAACGACAACACTGACTCTACCGGGTTCGAACGACACCGTCACCAGAAGTACGACGATTACTCTGCCGGGTTCGAACATTGCTATCACTCAGACTGTCACTGAAACCAAGAGCACCACCGAGACCAAGAACATCACCCAGACCACCACCGAGACCGGGAAGACCACCATCACACTACCTGGAGAGAAAACCACTACTACTATCACGACAACCTCCACTGTTCCCGGCTCCAATTCTACAAGCACCACCACGTCTTTCATTCCGACAACTAGTACGAGAAGCCTGTCATTCACCACCACTGAAATCTCCACTGTTCCTGGCCGTAATTTCACAACGACGATCACGTCTTTTATTTCGACGACTAGCACGACTAGCTTGTCCGTTACCGTTACTGAAACATCAACTACCACTGCTGCCGGGTCCACTACTACTGCTGCCGGGTCTACGGCGACCGTCACGACCAGTTTATCCGTTACCGTCACAGATACGTCAACTACCACTGCTGCCGGGTCCACGGCGACAGTGACCTCAACATCGTTGGTGCCAGGAGCTAGCTTGACAACCACAATCACAAATACCAATACGGAGACAATCACCTTGACCGATAGTGCATCGGCCACTCGCACAATCACCTTGACCGATAGTGCATCAGCGACGCGCACAATCACCTTGACCGATAGTGCATCAGCGACGCGCACAATCACCTTGACCGATAGTGCATCAGCGACGCGCACAATCACCTTGACCGATAGTGCATCAGCGACGCGCACAATCACCTTGACCGATAGTGCATCGGCCACGCGCACGATCACCTTGACGAGTAGTGCACCGGCCACGACGACAAGCACGATCACCGTTACGACAACGCTAAGTGAGTCATCTAGTGCGGGTGTGTCTTCAACTCCTGTTGCACCTTCGTCCTCCCCTTTGCCTTCGGGCTCCAGCTCCAACAGCTCAGGAGGTATGATCCCCCGGGGACATGGAACCCTAGTTCAGTTGTCATTCCCTATCTTTTGTCACCGCATCGCTGGCTTACCCTTGTTTTTTTCTTTCTCATCTTCCCTTTTTGTACCCATCTCAAAATCCCGTTGGAGACCTCTTCGGTGAATGTCTTTGGTGGCCTTGCTTCAACCCACAATTCCGGCTCACAAACTCGATTTTTCAAGTAATCCTAAGTGCGCACTCTGACGGTTTTAATACAGGCACCCCTACATCGACTCCTACCTTGGCTCCTACACTTACTCCTTCATCGTCGAGTGGGACATGTGCGAGCGATTGCCAAGTGGGCGTGACCGCCACCGTTCTCGTAAGTATGAGAAGACTCTAGCAGTGTATGTTCTAGGCTAACTTGGAAAGACATACCCCACCGCGGTTGTTCAAACCACGGCCACGGTCCCAACGGCAGCGATTGATGTAATTGTGACCGAGCTTGCCGATGGTTCTCGAGCCACGAGCACTTCGGTTCGCCAGATAGGAACACCCACTCCAGAGCCAGCGCTCACATGGGAGACACTTGGCTTCACATTGTGAGCAACTCTCTTCTCCTCAAATCTGACGGCAGCTGACTGTTTAGGACCTACCCGACAACCTATCTCTATTTCACAGAATTCTACCATACGTTCCTCGCCACCCAGGCCGGAGCAACCGATTGCGCCACAACGGTTGAGGCTCTTACACTGCCAGAAGCCGTTGAAACGTCATCTCTCCTATTCCCCACGGAAGCGATTCCTACCGATGGAGCTCCAGCCCCCCCGGCGCTGGTCGACTACCTGAACTCTCTTCCCACCATCATTGAGCAGCTCGGCGGCAATCCGATCAGCTCTGGGTGTGATCCAGCCAATGGCTCTCCGATCACGGAAACAACCGGCCCATCGGTAAGATACACGAGGACAGTCGAAGAGGGAGCCACCGTGACGGGGATCACAACCACCATTCCGGCTGCTGAAGCTGCTCTCTCGGCGGCGAGCAGCGTTCAAGGAACCACCTTCACTCCGGCTCCGGCTCCCGCGCCGACCCAGACGCCTATTCATTCAGAGTCATCTCTGCGCCGCTCTGTCAATCCTTTTACGAGAACATCGACGGCTCGCCCTGCCTCGTTTACTGGGGCTGCGGTTGGTCCTATGACGGCAGCGCTGTTGGGCGCGGAGAGGCTTGTCGTCGGAATCGTTGCGTTGGGCGTTTTCTAATCATGACTTTAATGGATGGAGTCTTTTTCCAGGCTTCTCTTCGGGAAGCATTCTCCAGACTTCACTTTCGGCGCAATTTCATAATCAAAACTGGTGCCTTGATGCCTTAGGCAACTGCGCAGGCGTGTGGGAACCCCGTGAACAGAGTCCGGTCAGTTTTGATATATTTGTGTTTCAGGTTGATTCCAGAGACCTGTGCTTCCCCATCACGACGCGTTGGATATTTCGTACGGACTATCCGTACCGACGGAGGTATTATTAGCGTCCGCGTGAGTGGTACTATCGAAAATATTGTTACCAACTTGCGCCCTGTGCACTGTCCACGCGAAATTAGTAAATTACATCCATCACAACTCCCAAAGTTCGGGGTTGGATTGGTTCTAGACTCTAGAGGCAGTCCGGCCGTGCAAGCGATGAATCCTTCGATAGTCATACTTTGCAAATGAGTCGATGCTATTCATAACGCGTGAGGCGACCCTTCTTTCTTTCGTTCCCTTCGGTTCACTTTGCTTCATTCTACTTGACCCCCAAAGTTGTCCCTGCGTTGGAGTCTACCTGCGCCGACGTGTATCCGTACCTACGTTGAACTATATCCCCGGCCTTGCAGATTCATATTGTCGTTCTCTCCTCAAGTTTTAGTTTGGTTATACTACTTTCAAACAATGATGTTGTCGAGAAGCGTTATTATTTCCGTCCTCGCGGCTGTGGCTGTCGCAGCAGCTGTTGATGAATTTGCAACGCTGGTCGACCTCTTTCCGCCAGACATCTCGATAGGCGCCTCAATCGTCGGCTCAGACGATTCCGCAACAACCTACGGTAATCAGCCTATCTAGCCAAGCCTGTTCTCTAGCTAACCGTAGCCAGTGGTTGCCTGCGCAACTTTCCCCGCCCCCAATAATGTTCAGGCGGACAAATCTGCCTGCAGTGAATTCGGCACCGTCACGATGACACAGGGTCCCGAGACCTTTCACTATGCGACGGCGACGGTCATTACGGAACTCAATCCCCCTGCAACAGTTACTGCCGACCTCGACTGCTCCTTCGCTGGAACCGTTTCCGCTGTCTGTACGCAGGTGGTGGACGGTATTCCACCATTGCCCACGGAACTGTCGGAGTTGCAGGCCCAGTTGGCCGTGTTCCCCATGACGACGACTCTTACTGGCGACGAGATGCCTCCGCTCGTGCCGGTGACGATCACGGCTGGGGGGTCGGGTCAAGGCCAGGCGTCGGAGCATTCAATGTCGAGCGGGATGGACCATGCTACCATGTCGAGCGGGATGGATCATGCGACAATGTCAGGGGGGGGCGGCAGACCGGGCACCACGAATAATGGAACCTCTGGACCGGCGCAAACCGGTGGTCCTCCTTCACCAACCGGTGCTGGGACGACGCAATCTGGCTCCGCGAATAAGGCATGGGGTTCGGGTGCGGGAGTCGGAGTGGCAGGTGTTTTGGCGGCAATCTTTGCATTGTAATGCAGAGGGACATATTTCAATCAACCTGGATAATATTAGCGAGCTAGCACTTACATGCGTTTCCGTAAATTTCGAACGATTGAGCCCTCTAACGTGACGAACATATTCGATGGGAAGTTAGAATGCCATATACCCTTCGCATAGGATAATGAATGAGGTAGAAATACTAAGGTTTTTGACTAATTACAACCACTTCACAATTCCAACCTCAATGGCTCCGATCACGCGACTCTACAGCACGATCCTCCTCGCCATCGTCCTCAGCTCTCTGCCCAGGGGCCACCTATACTACTAAGTGCGAGGATTGCCGAATTGCAATCGCCCGGACCTTATGCGCATCCAGAGCTATAATTCCGCGATGCGCAAGTCAACATAAATATCACCCATCTATGATAGAGCAGCCAGCCCAAAGAGCACAATTGGGTTGCTAAAGTCCGAAGAAAACCAGGTTGGCGGCCCAGATAGAGCTGGATTAGTACATCAAAATATGCATCCAAGACCTAAATGCCCGAGAGGTAGAAATATTATGCGCATTCGACATCTAGACATCAAACACCCCCCCTTGGGCGACCCGGATCTCAACCAAATCCACCCTCCATCCCTCCCACCGCTTCAACCCTCTCTTAATCTCCTTAATCCGCTCTAGGCGTTTCTTCGCCTCCTCTTCCTGCGCCTGCCTAAACGCGTCCTCATCGAACTCAAAATCGCCATCGTCGCTCAGCAGTCCGAGACTCTGTTTCCGCGGTTGCTGCGACGCGCCGGCACTGGATAGTCGTCGCACCGACTGCCCGGTAAAGGCGGAAATGCCGGAGTTGATGACATCGGTGAAGGTGCTGCCGGCGCGGCTTCCGCCTCTCCCACGAGGCATCAAGGAACTTCGGCGCCCGGGTGGCATGCCGTCGGGGGACAGGTCGACATCGTCGAACACCGCGTGTTCCATGCCGGGTTGCAGCTCTTTCCGCCGGTCTCGCCACACCCCGCGACGCAGATCGAAGTTCTCCGCTTCCAGTTCGCGGATCTGCGTTTCCAGTTTGCGTCGCTCTTCATCCTCAAGTTCAGCTACGTCGTCCCCATCGTCGTGGCCTTCAAGCGCACCGGCCTTTTTGAGTCGAACGACTTGATCGGTCAACCGCGCCACTTGGGTTCGGAGGTCGCGTGCTTCCCGTTCGGTGGCTGCGGTCTCCCGCATGCGAGATTGGGTCCGCGCGTCGGCTTCTCGATGCAACGTTGTCAACGTTTCCACTTTCTTCTCGAGCGTCTCGGCCCGTTTGCCTGCTTCTTCCGCCCGACGAGTCGAGGCATCTTTCTCCGTTTCAAGTTGGGCAATGCGAGTTTCAAGCGAACTCTTGGAAGTTCCTTCCTTCAGGGCCCGATCCGAGGCACGAGCGAGGTTTTGTTTAAGGTCAGCCAGTTCCAGGGAGGTGCTCGAAGCGTTGGATTCTGCTTTCTGGACCGAAGACTCGAGCGCAGTGATCTGCATGGCTTGGGACGTGATCGTATTTTGAGAGGAGGTCAGCTGGTTGTTGAGAGAAGAAATCTCCAGCTCGAGCGACTCAATTGTGGATGATTTGGAATCCAACTGTGCTTGTAAATCGGAGCTATCGGCATTGGACGGGCTGTTGCTACTGACGCGACGCTTTGCGGCAGACTGCAACTGGGTGTTCTGACGTTGCAACGAGGCGACCTCAGCTTTCTACGCGGATCGTTAGCATCGCAATTGATGTACCGCAGAGCAAACCTGCATACCAGCTCTTCAATTTGTTTGGAAAACTGCTCCGCCTGATCTGCCTTGGACTTAATTTCCGCCCCATCTGCATGAGCCTCCCTCAACTCTTCGAGTTCATCCTGCACCTTCTTCACCTTGTCGCTGTTCTCTCGCGCCTCCGCCACCAATTTCTTGTTCTCTTGCTCGAGCTGCTCAATTCGCTGGACTTGCTTCCGATATATATCTTGGACATCATCTGCCGGACTTGTGACTTGGGTTGGAGACTTCAATGCCGTGGGAGATGTCGGCCCGTGCCCTCCCCGAAAGGCCTCGGATCGCATTTTGGACTGTATCGACTGAGAAGGCTGTCTACCATGAGAAGCTTTGGGTTTCTTTTCGGGAGAATCCGTGGTCGTCTCTTCGGCAACTTGTTCCTCATCTTTGATGGAATCCGCCGCAGGTGTTTCAGTGTCAGCCGATTCATTCGCAGTTGCGTCTTCAGCGGTTTTGGATGGTTCTGGTTTGCCGTCTTTCTTTGCTTCCGCTTTTTTGACCTTGCCTTCATTTTGTTTCTTGAGTTGGCCATACTGGACGAGAACGGATTAGTGAACGTACGTCAATGTGGATTCAGGGGGCTTACCCGCTTTTTGGCGGCGGCCAACCGCTCGGCTTTCGCCTTATCTTCAGCTTCCGGCATTTGGAAGGATATAAGGCCTCGTGCTCAAAAGAAAGAAGGTGACGTGGGGTAGATTGGCTGGTGAAGGGCGCAAAGGAGGTGGGTTCAAGGGATAGATTCCAGGAAACAATAACTTAAGGAGGCGGATGATCAGAGATATTTGGCCAATTAAGGAACAATGGCGTTACCTCAGGGTCTCTCCAATTGCAACTGATAAAGGATCGAACGGGTAGATATCAACGTGAGTTTAATAGCTTCGTGATGTATTCCGTACGTGGCTCATACTATGCAGCTCTTCTGTCACGATGTTGTCTCCATCATCGTGTCCACTACTCCACCAAACTCGAAATCACGTGCACACGCGTAGTCGTGAAGGTGTGGCGTATGTGGCGTTCCAGATTCCAAGCGAATTTCAGTCACGTGCAGACGTGCAGTGGCATCTGATGATCCACAACTCCACGCCGTCACGACTCCACGCCACGACTTCACAAGACACCTGACGCGCATCCCCAGTCGTCTCATCTCAATCACACGCGCCGTTCTCTTTCTTTTAAGTTTGGGAGATTTCCTCCTTTCTATTTTCAAGTTATCTTCAAATCTATTTGTATCGGATTCCTCTCCTTGGTTACTCCTCCCCAATTTCCGTCTAAACATGGCTTCCGAGTCATCAGAGGACAAGGAAATCGTCTTGACTGCCGGACCCAATGTGGCCTTCCTGAATCATTCTCAAGATACTCTGTTGAAGCAATTGCCTCCTGACGTGGATAATAAGCCTTTGGTACGCCAGAAAAGGCGAAGGACGAGGTCAGTATCTCAAGTTTCGCGTCATTCGTACGCGTTTTGCACGCGTCTCTGGATGTCGTTACCTGAACTCCTTCCATCAATCCCGACATGTTCCACAGCAGCTCTAGTCTTCTCTTATGGGTAGCGTTTGTTTTCCTTCCATACCACCTTACTACTCTGATTGTTCTGCGGCTTGGATATGGAAGGATGGACTTGGATATGGAGGCACCGAGCTGGTGCGGGGCAATGGACGGACGAGCCAGACTTCCATGTTTTGTTCTTGAATGCCACCAGATATCTCCAGAGAACAGCTCTAACCCACATTATAGTCCTAGCGACCAAAAGGTCCTCGAAGATGAGTACCAACGGAACCCAAAGCCTGATCGAGCCACCCGTACCGCGTTGGCGCAAAAGGTAGCATTAGGCCAGAAGGAACTTCAGGTACACGACGAACTTCCATGAACCGGTTACATCAGCACCCCTGACATTCGACCATTCAGATTTGGTTTCAAAACCGTCGTCAGAGTGATCGTCGCCGCTCTCGGCCAATACCGGACGACGAAAAGTCGTCCAACATTTCCCTCCACAGCGAGTCGGATCGCTCGTCAGATCTCCCACCCTCATGTTCTTCGGAAAGCGAAGATATGGAGCAAGTATCACCGACCAATCTCCAGTCCAACACGGAAGTGGGAATCGCGTCCGAACGCGTAACAGACGGTGGAGAAGAGAGAAGAGAATTCTATGAGCAAGATACGGAGCAAAGTCTAGGCACTACGAACGTGGAACCAGGTCTGAAAGAAGAATCCCAAGACTCATTGGCACATCCATCATTGCTTTCCTCGGTGTCTTTTGACAGTTTGGCGACCATTCCGAGTTCCCAAGAACAGCCGTCTCAGGAAACTCAAAAACACAAGCCTGGATATATTGCAAACCGTCGGGGTGCTTCCTTTCTTCAACAGGAACGGGCGTATGACGTGTCCCAGCAATCTTCTACATTGGAGCCGGAAGCCTCATCCAACGAGGCCAACGGCGATGAGGAATCTCAAAAGCAGCGCTCTAGAGTCCTCCAGCGCTCTACAAGTCTACGCCTTTCGACGACCGCCGACGGACAGGCTCGAATCATCGACGAAAACAACCCTTCCCCTTCCCCATCCCCACCCCGAGTTACCCCACCCAATCTTCCCTCGTCAACCAGCTTCACCGATCCTCCAATCCGTCCTCCCCAACTTCGCCGCAGCCTGAGCGCCGCCAGCCCCTCCATCCCATCTCCCTTCCCCACGGATTCTACCACCCGAAAGCTCACCCGTACCGAGTCCGGACACGGCCGGTCCCGCGATTCCCGTGCCTGGACATTCTGGTGCGACGCCGAAGAACGCTCCTCGTTGCAAACCCAGGCACAGGCCGAGAGCAGCGGCTCGGCGGCGTCGGCGATCGGTCTGATCCGCGAACGGCGGAGGACGGCGGAAGTGCGTGAGAAACAGGCCGCGCAGAAAGCCGCGTCGCGGAAGCGTGGGTTGGCGGAATCGGGGTCGCAGGGGCAGAACAAGCGGTCGAAGACCTCGTCGGATGCTCGTCCGGGGTTACAGCGTTCCCAGTCTTCGGTTTCCAGGCTGCAGTCCTCGGGAACTCGGGTCCTTGGCCCCAAAGCTGGGGCCACAAACATTACTCCATCGGCATCGCGCGCCAACGCGGGCAAAGACGGCAAGAAACTGGCGAAGCCAGGTGAGATTCAGATATACGCTCTCGACGACTCCGACGGAGACAAGGAGAACTGGGTTCCTGGGACCCGCATCGCCGCGCCGCGACATCCGAACTCCCAGCCGCACGCCCCAAGCTTCGGCGCGCATCCGCTGGGGGAGAATCTGCGTGAAGTGAGTGAGGCGGTCGGGTTCGGAACGCCGGCAGCGAAGAAAGCGAGGAACGGCAGCTTCAGTGCGGGCTCGAGCGCGAGCGAAGAGGTCGATCGACCGCTTAGTGTTGGGAGTGGGGATGATCTGGATTGTGTGGAGGGGTTGTTGAAGTTGCGAGGTGGGACTTGGGTATAGGCAGCATGTCGGCTTGGACCAGATTGGTCCCTTACTTTTCTTGCTTTTCGCCTGGTGGTACGAGTTGCGTCTAGATCCTTTCGATCGATTTTGCCGGTGTTTTGTTACGATGAGGTCATGAGGTTTGTGTCGGGACAGCATATGAAGGGATGATGCGCAGCATTGGTGTCAAGTACCATTATTTGGGGCTACTTATGGTTTCTGGCGTTTCATAGTCCATGTCTGTGTAACTTCTCACTTTGGGACTCTGATAGACGATCACTGCATGTCCATTACAAAGAAATTGCAATGAGAGCTTTCCCTGTTGACGTAGATGTATCCTAGAAAATACTCAATCCACCCCCTGCAGGGGGCCTCCAGGACCGCTCGGAAGAATTAAACCAAGTACTCCGTAGCATCTCATTACATAGTACTCATGAAGTGGCGATGTGAAGAAGCCCATAAAGGCCTGGAAGGGTTTAGGATGGTTGCTTGAGTGATGCTAAATTTGGACTAGCGTTCCTAATTAGGCTTAGCTGCAACACAGTTCACTTACTGTTGACTTCGTCCACCTTCCGGACTGTCGGGCTGCTCCTGACATCTTCACCAATTCTTCCAACGCACTGTGCGAGACGTGAGAGTGCTCCACGATCCGTTTGCCAAATCATCCTATTGTCCTTCATTCATATACTCTCGTTATTCTCTCCACCGCCTCTCCACCCCTTCGCAACCCCTTTCGTTCATCGCGCTACAATCCCTCTCGACTCCGGAACCATAGTCACACCCCAACCCGAGCGCTTCAGCGCCTCAAGTCATCCAAAATGGGTTTCGGCGACTTCACGACACTATGCGAGAAGACGGGACTCCCGCTGTGCACGTTGATCGGACCGCCGTCGAAGATCTCCACCTCGGCCGGGATCCAAGCCACCTGCTACTCGCGATCCATCGAACTGGCCAACACAGTGATATTCCAGGGCGCCAATGACTTCATGCATATCCTGGCGTTGATCATGACCTCGATCATGATCATTCATGTGCGGTCGAAGTTTACCGCAGTCGGTATGTGTGTTGTGCCATGATCTTGGCCGCCTGCTACGAGTCTCCGTTTGCGAGGCTATACGAAGTGGAATCAAATGCTGACTGTACCCAGGACGAAAGGAAATCACCACATTCTTTTACTTCTACATGCTCCTCACGGTCGCCTCCCTCGTCCTTGACTCCGGTGTCGTCCCTCCTGGGTCCGAAGCGTACGCATACTTCTCCGCGGTTCAGAATGGACTGACTTCCGCGCTTTGCACATGCCTCCTCATCAACGGCTTCGTCGGATTCCAACTCTACGAAGACGGCACCACGCTATCCGTATGGACCCTCCGAGCGGTCTCCATGATCTTCTTCGCCTTGTCTTTCTTCATTTCGCTCGCCACGTTCAAGGAATGGTCGGGCATGGGTCCCGAGAAAACCATCGGGCTGTTTATCGTGCTCTACCTGGTTAACGGCATCTTCCTCGTGATCTACGCATTGATGCAGGTGCTCCTGGTCGTCAACACCCTGCAAGATCGCTGGCCTCTCGGCGATATCGCCTTTGGAATCTTCTTTTTCGTCATCGGGCAGGTCATCCTATATGTCTTCAGCGACAAAATCTGCGACAACGTTCAACATTACCTTGACGGACTGTTCTTCGCGACAATCTGCAATCTATTGGCAGTCATGATGGTCTACAAAGTAAGGTCCCTCTCCTTTCCGGTTGCGCTAAAGCTGACGTCGTCCGCAGTACTGGGATTCTATCACGAAGGAGGATCTAGAATTTTCCGTCGGAACAAAAATGAACAACTGGGAGGTGAAAGAGCTCCTCCCCGAAGACGAGCGACGAACCACCATCTATCAAGATGGCAACAACTCGGAATACTCCACCAGCCTATACCAACAGCCCGTCCAGCGTCGGAGCTCCGGCTATGGAGGAGGAGGGTTTGCTTATTAATTTATGTCTAGGTTGTGGGCAGTGCGGATTTCCTTGGTCTAATAATACATGGCATGATCGCATTGCGGTGGCGTTCAGGTATTGCTTAGCATGATTTTCTTTGGTTGTTGGTACTTGGACCTGCGTAGCACTGGAAAGGTTAATGGAGTTCGGACCGGGACGATACAAGAATGCCGGGCGAATTGCGCATTGAAAGGTTTTCATGAACATTCTCGACTATTATGAAGTCATATTTCATTCCCATCAGATCCCTGCATCGATATCGAAGTTCTTCGTGTCGTATATCCTCAACTACGTCCAATCATCCATATAATATTTACTCCCGCTCCTTCCGTCCCCTTGAATGCCTCGAGTCAGTTTCACGAGTCAAAAATACCAGGCTTTCTGCTACCACTAATAATGAATGGCTTTGCTCTGAACTATGAATGCTCCGTTTATCCAAAAACCATTCCCATTCAGGAGTGGATAAAGGCTTTGTTTCCAAGGGCAATGGAACATCCAGCATATATATGAAGTATTCGTGGTCCTCAGATGATGAACCGGACCTCACTAAATCCCATTGATTACAGTTTACGAATTGTTGCACCCAGATCTGACCGACAAAATGGGCGGCTTCATCCCCGAAGTGGAGACGGACTGGTCCCAAGATCTCAGTGGTGACAATCGTTCCAGCAACACGGACACTTCAGCGGTGGATCTCATCGCCATGGTTCGGCATCCTGAGAGGATTGCGAATAATTGTACCCGCGTCGGCCCAATTGTCGAATGGGTCGGCGAGGAGCTGGCCGTCCACGATATGATAAATTCCATTGTCACTGCCCAGAACTCCGACGAAATCCCAAATCTGTTCATCGACCTAGAAGGCTCCGATGGGGAAGGCGAAAGTATCGCCCCCATGCAAATCCTCATCTGCACGATTAACACAGTGTATCTCGTCGATACCCTTCACCTGAAAATTGCTGCCTTCGATACCCCCGGGGGCACGGGTGAGACCCTCCGGTCCCTCCTCGCGAACGCAGAGTTCAAGAAGGCGTTCTGGGACCATTGGTTCCCGTTCGCGATCCACGACGTCGCTATGCGCGGTGTGGATGTTATCCAGGTGATGGCCCTGGAGACGGGGATTGGGTTGAAGGGCGGGGTGGTTGGGTTTGCTCATGCGCGCAAGGACTTGAACATATGTGGTGGGTGCAAAGAACGCTTCTCGAAGATCAAAGCTAATGGCGCGGCTAAGTTTAAAGTATAGGTATCTCCCAAAGATGAGCCCTCTTCTAAGGACGAGCCCGCTTCTGAGGACGAGCCCGCTTCCAAGGGCGAGCCCGCTTCCAAAGATGAGGCTCCCCCCAGCGAATCGTGAGCTACTGAAATCTAGTCTGAGAGACCACTCTCCCAAACTTTGCGAGACTACGCATGGGTAGACGTCGCGCTCCTCCCGGCACTACACCGGAAGTTCCAAAGAGAATCGACAATCATAGCATGCACAACGAACGAACGCTTGACGAGCTGAAGGTCGCAATGGAAGAGGCGACGCAAGACTGTCTCGATCTTGTGCACTAACAGGATGTAGACTGGAACCACACAAAATTCATGACTGCATGGCCTCAGCAATTTCCTCTTTTGCTCTTATACCGACGATTGTCTGCGAAGAGAGCACAGCGAGGCGAACGAGTGGGATTATGATCCGGTTTACTACTCTGTGGAGACCACCGTTGCTGTGGAGGCCAATCACGCCACCGACGACTATCCCGACGAAGACAATCCCAACGAAAACAACCCCGGGGAAAACAATACTGATGAAGACAATCCCGACGAAGACAATCCCGCCGACGAGGACAGCCCGAGCGACAAGACCAGTCCCGCTGAAGAGGACAAAACCGCCGAGCAAGGTGAGGGCACCGAAGAACCTACTCCCACCGAGGAGGCTAACTCCATCCCAGGAGCTAGTCTCCCCAAGAACTCCGGTTCCCGCAAGCGAGCCGCTGCCTTTATATGAGAAAACTCGCCATTCGTGGAAAGTCCACCAGGCCTATGCCCGGGGATGGAGACTCTTAAGCTAGTATCTCGAGCACACGGCGGGCCTGGAATCGTCTGAAACGAAGAATGTTAGGCCGTAGTGGGAAGATCACCGAGGCGAAGCCTTAGAAACTAGAAAGCTGGGGTTGCTTGCGATTTTGGCGTTCGGGCGTACAATAGAATTAGGAAGAATGTGATTGCTTTCTTATAAGCCACTAGGGAGTAATTTGAAGTGAAGAATATCGGTGATGATCGATTGACTTCCGATAGAGTCTTGTTCACAGTTGCGGTTTCAATATGATACATACCTATCCGAGGCGCAAGAAATTGATGATGCTTCACCTTTGACATCCTACGCTCTAGAGGCATTATGCAGAACCGGTGATGGATGAGCTTTGGGAAATGGAGCATAATGTAAATTCTATTATCTCAACCATGCCAGCTCAACAGCAAAATTCGTCTCCCTATTAAGTAGTATAAAGTCATACACATTTCCATCATCGGTCCTACACGGAAAAAGTACATGTGTTAATTCCAATCCGCTCCTCCATAACCCCGAGTTCCCGTTCGTAACGTCGTGAATCCCGTTATACGCCCAATAAAACTCCGACTAAACCTGCGACAACACGTCCACCAGCCGTTTTAACCTCGGGTCCGTGCCATTCGATCCCTCCTCCTGCGACATCAGCACTTCGACCGCCTGCCTTAGTTTCTGGCAGTTGGTATCCAGCTCTGCGTACTGAATCTCCAAGTTGGAATACTTGTTCATCAGCGACGCGTACTCGTGCTCGAGATCGCGGGCGTATTTCTCCTTGCGCTCGCGAAAGGCGCGTTGGGCGAGGCGGTTCTGGGCGCGGCGCTTGGCGCTAGTTGAGTAGACCCGGTCGGACTTCGAGGAGGATGATGTGTTGGTCTCGCCGACGACGCTGTCAGGACCGGAGACCGTGCCGGGTGAGGAAGCGGATTCGGTTGGGTAGGAGTATTGAGCGTACTGAGCACCGTGGTGTTGAAGGTTGGAGATGGTCTATGGACGGTTAGTACGGGTTCTGGAAGCGGACATTCTCAAATGACGTACAGGAGAGGATGATGATGTTGAACTTGGGCTGATTATAGAAGGGTCCGTGGTATAGTAAGCATTATTATAATCGGACCATTGCGAATATGAGTATGAAGGGTCCATTCCTTGAACAGTTCAGGGATAGAGTAATGATATCTTGAATGTTAAACGTATTTCAATATGAGATGTTAATCTTAGACTGAATTTCGACTGATTTGGCAGTGGTTGTACTGGCGATATGTTGATATGTCTGCGGGAAGGATCCAAATCGTCAGACTCATCTATCTTTATATTCGGCATGAGGATGTCACTGGAGACCGGAGGGTCGGCATCCATGATCAAAAACGGCCATGGGGAAACGTCAGATCTGTGCCGCAGTCGGCTGAAATGCCTGCCGATGATGGTATGCATGCATATTCTCGATGCAAAGCGTGGTAAGCAACCAGGGGCGTAATATGGCGCTCATGGCTTTGTCGGCCAGAACAAATCATCTTTCAGAGGCTCATCATTCTCATGGGGAGTAGAAGTGTCAGCAAGGTGGTCTAGAGACTGGAGATGTTTGAAAGGTACGTAGAGCATTCGTATTGCGTCCGATAAGTCCGTTTTGATTCGGCAGGGAGTTGAATATTAATCAGGGGGGCGACCCGACTTCCGAATAATTGAAATCCAAATAATTCCCACCCATGCAATTGACCAAAGTCCGACCAATTAGTGTCACCGCCCTACCAACTAAGAGATCGGGATGAGTCACTCCGTATCGTTGTGTCAACATGGACACCGCAGTAGATCGCAGTGCCAACCTTCTTGCCGACCAACAAGAAGTCGCTAGTCGGCCGAGCTAAAGGCTTCTTTGCTACCGGTAGGGCTGGCTCCTTGTTGCCGACTTGGGGATGTACATCCCTCAACCTATCCGCTATCGTGTGGTCGTGGACACTGCAGTTCTGCTTCATGCTCGAACTGCCGAACGCATCCGGTATTCGCCAAACCCATCGTGTGACCTGCTCCCGTCCTTCTAGCGCCCTTCTAGCACCCTTCTAGCGTCGTTGTCATGTAGATGGGTCCTACGTCCGAACTCCAAAGCCCTACATCTGTACTTCCATATCCAATATGCATTAACACTCCAGGTTCGCTCAGCTTCCACAATACGCCATGTTTGGCTCTCGTCCTTCCTAATTGAGACAACCAGAAGAATTTTATGTCGTCATCGCAGAAAGGCTCAAGCTAGTGCGAGTCTCGGATATAGCCATGCAGAAGGGGCATGACAATTTCGATGCCGCACCCCATTATTTATCGTTGAGTATTAGCATCGAAGGCAACTATGCATGGTCGCTCGGACGGTAACCCAAGTCGGTTTGGACTCAGCCCTACGGCGGATAACTCGGAAACATCAAGGTGGTAAGGGACATGGGGTTATTCTTGGATACCAATATAATGACTCGAATAGAACAAATAATGCGGCAGCAGAAATAGACATAGAATTTTGCCGTGGTTCCAACTTTAAATTTGGACATCATCTGTGACATTTGACGGAGAGAAGAGAGGTAAAGCCGGTGCATGCAGATGTAAAGTCCCGGATTGAAAGTTGAAATTGACACCAACAATCAACTTTGAAGTAACTAACTAGTTAACTAACTAACGTAATCCACCAGCGAGTCGCCCAAACCACCGAGTCGCCCACCTCATCTCCATAACAGCGATCATCACGGTTTTTTCGCAATGTCTCAACAACAGCGCCCTCAATTACCTTCAAATGAAGCTAGAATGAACCTAGCCATCCAGACTATCGAACAAGACCAAGTTCAATCAATTCGAGAAGCTGCAAAAGCTTACAACGTCCCGTGGAGTACCTTACGTGACCGCCGCAACGGAATGACTGCACGAAGCGATTGTGTCCCGAATTCGAAAAAGCTCTCAAATATGGAAGAAAGGGTGATTATCGACTACTGCCTCGATGTCGACGCGCGCGGATTTCAGCTCAATTACGATATGTTGCGAGATATAGCCAACAAGCTACTCAGCGATCGCGGTCAGGCTCACGTTGGTATCAATTGGCCTTCAAGATTCGTACAACGCGTTCCAGAGCTCAAAACACGTGTTAATCGAAAGTACGACTATAAAAGAGCCCTGAACGAAGATCCAGAGATTATTGGCGCGTGGTTTCGCCTCGTACGCAACGTGAAGGCAAAATACGGTATCCTGGATGAAGATACATACAACTTTGATGAAGTTGGCTTTCAAATGGGCGTAATCGGGACGCGCATGGTCATCACGGGTACCGAACGACGTCAGGCTCCAAAAACCTTGCAGCCAGGCAATACAGAATGGGTGACATCGATCATTGCTGCCAGCGCGCAAGGTTGGGTTGTCCCACCCTTCATCATCTTCAAAGGCGCTCGACATTACAATACCTGGTACGAGGCGATTGCGGATAGGTCTGATTGGGTTCTATCAGTTAGCGAGAAGGGCTGGACGTCCCTTGAGCATGGATTTGAGTGGTTAAAGCATTTTAATCGCTTCACAGAAGACCGTACGACTGGCGCCTATCGGCTTCTGATTATGGATGGCCATAACAGCCATGACACTATCCAATTCCAGGATTTCTGCAAGGACCAGAAGATCATTACTCTCTGCATGCCTTCGCATTCATCTCATTTGCTACAACCCCTCGACGTTGGCTGTTTTGGGCCATTAAAGCGCGCGTATAGCAAGGAGATTGAGGACTTTATCCGGTGCCGCATCAACCACATCACGAAAGAGGACTTTTTACCTGCTTTCAAGACCGCCTTCGAAAAAGCAATTGCTACGGAGAATATCCAGGGCGCCTTCAGAGGCGCAGGATTAATGCCTTTCGATCCAGAAGCTGTTATTTCAAAGCTTGATGTCCGATTACGGACCCCGACGCCATTACCAGAGACCACTCAATGGGAGTCGCAAACACCACGCAACGTCGCTGAAATAGGGTCCCAAACAGAGTACATACGACAGCGCCTTCAAAGAGATCAAAATACCTCCCCAACACCGCTTTTAGAAAGCTTTTCAAGCCTTGAAAAGGGTGTTCAAATGGTCGCGCACGGAGCTTCAATCATGGAGGTCGAGATAGGAAAGCTTCGGAAGGCAAACGAGACGCTATCAAAGCGCAAACAACGCAAAAAAAAGGTGCTTAAGGGCGCTGACACGCGCTCAATTACTGATGGGCTTCAATTAGTTGAACAACGTCGGGATCAAGATATAATCAGTCAAAATGGTGCTTCTAGTGACGCTCCTGGAAGGCGCCAGCGACGTTGCGGACGCTGTCGCGAGCCAGGACATCGAGTTGAGACCTGTTCAATGCCTCAATTAGCTATAACAGAAAACGTAGATCCTAGCCTACTTCCTAATTAATAAATTGCTTCAGTAGTTGTTGAGATATTCAGGTTACGGTAGTGGGCCACGGTTGAGGTGGGCGACTCGGTGGTTTGGGCGACTCGCTGGTGGATTACGTTAGCACGCGGTGGAACAAAAAAGCAAGACACATATGTCCCGAAATTTTCCCGCATACAACCAAAATGTCTTTAATCTAGGAAATTCCATCATTGACGTAGCCAATATGGTTTATACACGGTCTAAAGACCGTCAAATCGAGCGATTAAAGGAAAATGCCTCTCATCGTCATTATACGACTCCCGAAAAGGCCTGCCTTCGGGGAGAGGTGGAGCACGAAACCGCTCGTCGTAGGCAGTACGGATTCGAGACCCCCCGCTCTAATACAGCGATTTTCAAGCGAAATAGAATCCCTCCTTCGTCTGCATACCGTATCTTGAAGTCTGACAAGGGCGACCGACGAATATCAGTACAGGAGACACGCGGGCGGAAATCCCGCATCCGGCCTACCCATCTCGCAGCCCTTGATATCCTGGTTGAATCGATGGATTGCGAAGAAAGGACTATAACATGGGACGGACTCGCGTACGAAGCAGATATTGACTGTTCACCACGTACAATTAGAAAGGCTATGGAGACTATGGATTACCATAAGTGTATCGCATGCAGAAAAGCGTGGGTTTCAATTCAATTGGCTGCTAAACGCGCTGAATACGCGAAAAAGATGTTATTCAAGTATCCTACACCAGAACACTGGAAACATGTCAGATTCAGCGATGAGGTCCATATTGGACTTGGGCCCCAAGGCAAGAACCTTATTATACGGAAACGAGGGCAGCGGTACTGTTTGAATTGCATCCAACGAGTGTCAAATCCGGATGAGGCGGACAAACGAAAAATCCACGCCTGGGCAGCCGTTGGATACGATTTCAAAGGCCCTCTTGTCTTCTACAACATACCGACGAACAATACCGCCAAGATGTCGCAGGAGGTCTACTTAAACGAGATCCTCAAACCAATCGTTAGGCCGTGGATTGCAAATCATGGGTATTTTGTATTGGAGGAGGACCAAGACTCTGGACACGCACCACCAAGATCAACCAAAACGAAGCCTTCCGCGGTATCCCAATGGAAAAAGGACGTAGGACTCGAGTCCTACTTCAATTGCGCTGGATCTCCAGACCTCGCGATCATCGAGGATTGTTTTCAACCTCTCAAGCAATATATACGCAAGTTTAGGCATTGGGAGCCCGACGAAACACGCCAATTAGCACAGGAGGCCTGGTATGAAAATCTTGATCAGGAATGGATTAACAGACGAATCCTTACTATGCCTGATCGGTTGAGAAAAGTCATTGAATCTGAGGGCCAACTAATTGCCTTTGGAGGAGGTATGGCGGACCCAAGACCGGGCTAACCGCCAGATTTTTGTAGATATAGACTGATTATCTGAGTGTGAATGGCCTCCAAAAGGCCTGATTAAATTTCACTTGTTTTGCGTGGTGTATTGTATGCGGAACTGTATCTTCATACAATTTATATGGGGTAGTTGCGCCAAGACTAGAGTAACATGTGTCTTGCTTTTTTGTTCCACCGCGTGTCTGGTTCAGCTGAGGCATTCCCCCAGTCTGCCTGGGGAGCCTACATGTCAGCTGAGTCTCAGATGAGAGTTCATTGAGATGGTCTGTGCGCTAAGCTGAGAGCACGTGCCACGTGATCTGAAATCCAGACAACATAATTACATAATTATATCTTTCTCAGATAAGCTCTCGCACCCCATTGCCCCTCACAAAAAACATTCCAAAGATCAACAATAAGGATGTTAACTGAGGCTGAGAGGTCTTAGAGAAGATCGGTGAATATTCTGGCAATGGTAATGCAACAGACGTACCGGATAACATTTATACCTCTCGCCCTTGCCTTTGCAGAATTTCAGTTGAAGCTATATTGGTCATCTCGACTTACCAATGAGGTTGAAGTGAGGATGCTACTCAACAAAGCCGGCTAAGAATAGGCTTTCTATGTTTTAAAATCATCGTGGTGGTTAGCAAAGTGGATCTCTGATACATTCATGTGTAGTCTTGCCGCAGCGACACGTGCGGCGACTATTGCCTGTTTTTCCACCTCCATGTCAATGCCACGGCGGTTAAATGCCACTCATCACAACCATTCTTGCACCGCATCGAAGTTCCTATATGAGACACGAGCTGCTCACACCGAAGAAGAACAATTCAACTCAAATGCCTTAAGCGACACGCTAGGGTCGAACTGCAACGCCGCACAAGTCTCAACCCGACCTCAATTACCGCCGTCTATACCACTTTGCCTTCATCCTGAAACGCGATGGCAACTCTTATGCGCGAGTTCGAACTTACAGGAGCTAGATACCAGCCTTGTACTGTCCTACGCGATCATCACATCCCTTACGTGATTTGGTTCGAAGACGCCCTCCGACGCTATGGTGTCCCGACAGGAATCTTTCATCACTATCTTCTAGTCAATGACCTGGACGAAGCCGCTGAGGTTTTGATACAGCGGCTCGGATGGACCTTGAGCTCGGCACCAGCAAGGATTGGAAGTGCGACTGTCGACACGCCGCAGCGCCGACTGCTGCCTCCAACCAATGAAGATGAGGTACAAGATCCTCAATCAGTTCGTCTAGTTGGCGCCATATCGGAACCAGGAGAGACCGTCCTGCTTCATGCCAAAGACTGGCATTTTGATTTCTCAACGGGCCGTGTCATGGCGCAAGGCCTCTCACTTCCTCGGCTCCCAGCGCTTCTTGATTCTCTTATCGGAGCTCTACTAGATGATCCATTGGAGGACCCGCTATATTGGCTCCATATCACCTGTCACGTCGAGTACCTCTACCGCTATAATGCAGATGTCAAGATCAAGTCGTTTGCCCAGCAATTAAAGAAGGAGCATCAACAGTACCATTTTGATATGCTATCAGGAATGGACAGAGGAAATCTGCGTTGGTATCGTCATGAACGCAAAATTCGAGATGCTTTGCGGGATGGCTTGTGGACACTGTGTGATTGTTCTCTTGATACGGACGCGGATCCTACGACGCAACCCGAGGGCGCCTAAGACGCCGTGCCAATGTCATCTTGACCCAGCTGCGACATCTAGGCTTAATGATGATATTTGGCATCATGTCGACGAGTCTCATTAATGCATCCAAGACCTATACTCGCTTATACCAAGCGACGCTATTGAAATCCAAAGTTGTCAGTTGCGTTTTCCAGCCAAAGGCCTAAGGGGGAGAAAGTTTCTTGGAGTGACTTGCGTCGATATACTGCTGCTAGCCGGCATTGACAGATATCCCAGCCCCTGCGATCACGACGATCTTCTTCTTTTCCACATAGTCGATTATAATGGGCCGGAAGAGCAAGTCTTCTCCCTCCTACTATGAATATTCTGGCCCAGTCACGTAAAGGAAGGATGAAAGGGACCGATAGGGGCAAGCAGACGGCTTTTCTAAGCATTCGATATCTACAGTACGACAAATGGGACCCCTCTAGAATCTGCTGAAGCAAGTGATTGTATTGAGCGCATCGCCTCGCCTCGCCTCGTTCCTCGATCAAGGCATCGCATTTCGCAGTATCACGTGTTGCTAGTCCCGTTTAGTCGTATGCTACCAATCTTTCATCGTCGTAGTCCGTATTTTCTGGTTCTGACCCAGATTCTATAGGATTCAATGACCTTAGCCACCGTGGTATTGGTCACTATATAGTATACAGGACTACGGATGGTATATTTAACTATGGTTCGCGCAGGCCTCGCGAGGCGGATTAGTATGTAATTGAGTCGAGGCGAGGCGAGGCGCTTAGTCATCCCTCGCGACGCCTCGCGAGTTGTACATAAGATTACATAAGCCTGGGTATATATACCCGTCAAGGTAAACTATGTACTTCTGACCGAATACAAGCATCTCACTGCCTCTGAACAGGTATCCTATTGTTTCCGTGATTGATTGACACGCCAAAACGATCAACAATTTGTATCACCTAATTACGGAAACTACCAATTCACTTATGACTTACCACTTACATTCCATTTATCAACACTAGGCTTCTACTCATGGCTATAATGACCTTGTCTATTTGTACCGCAATGCGAACCATCCCGGGAACCATCGCCGGATGTGGCAGTGAGGCCGAGAAATCTGCAGATTTGTCGTCAGCACGTGCCTTATGGAGAACAGTCAAAAAGGCCACACACTATCCATACCAAGGCTCCTTGGCTGGTCCTCCCACCCCAGCCCCGCAAAGCAATGTTTATTACTCGGTTGCGAATCCCGGAGGTCGAGCCATGAACGAGATGACTCGGCCACTCTGGTCGGTCCTAGGCTCCTAGGCTCCATCCTCGACAAATGAAAATTGCAAGGTGAAACAAGACCGTTCAATCGTCGGATCGTCAGATCGTCACTTGGTAATTGGTAGTTGCTGTATGTTCAATGTTGGCATGTTGATCGTCGACTCCTTCCCCCGGCTATCCATCTGGCCGAGATTTCCATTTCCGCATACCGGTACCGAGAGACGGGACTCATAATTCAACACCCGACTACCATCGCCCATAAAGCTCACAACCAGGTATTGGGACTTTGGGAGTCTTTAATTTACTAGCTTCTGGTCATCAGCGCTTGGAAATCCTAGTCGACGACATCGGACATATAGCGAATAATATGGTGGGCCTTATAAACTGCCTGTCTGTCTGTACTCTATTCAAACCGAACATTTCACAATGGCGGCAGTTCACATCCTTCCCGATCATGAATTCATGTGATGGCAGTATGGCAGGAATCAGTATGCTGTGTAGGGTCTGGCACCAATTCCCCGCATCATGCAAGCTACAGCCTACAGCGTATCCGTGCCCCATGACCGCCCCACAACCTCCGGTTGTTGGTGCTCCCACACCAAAAGTCAAACCCACACCAAAAGTCAAACCCACGCCAAAAGTCAAACCCACGCCAAAAGTCCAATTTTACCATCATCTTCAAATCTATACCACCAAACATGTCTAAACGCGTCAAATATTCAGAGCAGACTATACAGAAAGCACTCAAGAAGGCTACAGAGCTAAAAAAAAAAAAGCAGGAAAATCGGTTAACGTTTCAGCGTTAGCGCGTGAGTTCCAAATCAGCCGGCCTGTCCTTCGAGGCCGCCTTGAAGGAAAAACATCCTATACCAAACGTTCTCCGTTCGTACAAGCGACTAAACTCGATCAGCTACAAGAAAAGGCTCTCCTAGCTTGGATCCATCAGCTTGATGAGTGGGGAGCGCCTCCTACGGCTACAGAAATCGAAGCGTGCGCCAACTCTATACTCCGAAGAAACGCCCTCGATACAACGCAGCCACCTCACGTTAGTAAGAACTGGAAATATAAATTTATCAAGCGCCACACCCTTCCGCTTATCGACCAAAAACCAGTCAAAGACGACCGCCTACGCGCTGAGGATCTTGGACATATACAGTATTGGTTTCAACTCCTTCAGGAGCAGATTCAAGAGCATGGAATCGAGGCACGGAATATATATAATTTCGACGAAAGTGGCTTCCGCCTTGGTGAAGGGAAGCGGCAAAAAGTGGTTAGTTTCCGACCGGGGCCAAAACGAGGCAATCCTAGTACGGAGTTAGGCGAATCGGTTACGGATATCGAGTGTGTCGCTGCTGATGGTTTCGTTCTTCCGCCATACTTTATCTTAAAGGGCGAGAACCATCTTGAACGATGGTACGAAGGCCAGATTCCAGACGATTACTGTATCAACATCTCTAAGTCTAGGTGGTCAAACGACCTTATTGCCTTCGATTGGATCCAGCATTTCCATCGGTATACAAGACACCTGGCTAAGAAGGGGAAACGACTGCTCTTGATGGATAACCACGCTTCGCATCTTACCCATGAGTTCATTCAATTCTGCGAAAAAGTTGATATTATTCTTTTCCCATTTCCTCCGCATACGACCCATTTCCTTCAGCCGCTCGATGGGAAGCCGTTTCTTGCGTTAAAACACTACTTCCGGCAGACAAATACGCATATCTCACGGTGGGGATTCGACGCAGCGGACAAGGCCTCATTCCTTACGGAAATGCCCCAGATCCGCCAAAACGCCTTCAAATCGCGTACGATTCGACACGCTTTTAAAGAGAGGGGCCTTTGGCCATGCGATCCTGAGCAGATTTTGCCAACCCTTCGGCAACAGGTTGACCAAGAGGCAGAGGAGCTTCAGATATTCAATGGCTCGCCTCCACCGTCAAGTATTACGGCAACACCGAGCGCATCTCCACCAAATACTATTCGTACGGTACGCCGGAAACAACAGAAGATCATAAATACGCCTGAGGCCCTACTTTCTAGCCGGAAATACCAACATCGCGTTCGCCAAGCTACAAACTCATTGATCAAGGCGGTCGAAGAGATCGAGGCGTATAAGGGGTCCGTTTCAGCCACACAACGCCAGCAAACCAAAAAGAGTCGCCGCCAGGTTAAAACAGGACTTAGCCAGACCGGTGCTTCGTACGTTAGTGAGGCGAAACGCCATATCGAGGCGCGTGGTCAGAAGGAGCGGGAGGCGGTAATTAGGAAGGCACAGCGGGACTGGCGGCAGGAAAAACAACAGGAAAATCAGCAGGAACCATCTCCTGCACTCGGTCAACCTACTAGTACGGAGGATCTCGGTTTTTTTATCGATTTACATCCTGAGTTCTGATATATAGATGATGGTAGTGAAATTGGACTTTTGGCGTGGGTTTGACTTTTGGTGTGGGAGCACCAACAACCGGAGGTTGTGCCGTTGTGGGGCGGTCATGGGGCACGGATACGGAAATGCCATTCCCCATTCCCCACAATCCACAGTGTGCAATTCCACAACAATTACGATTTAAGTACGTCGTACGCCAACTCCGCGTTTCCTCCACAAGTCTGGCGTCTGCCCCACCCCTGGTCTAGCTGCAAGCCCTCCGCCTTGTCCACCTCTCCTCGGCGCCATGCATTTGCTCTGTATGGTTGCCCTTGAGCGACCGTCAAGCCTCACCAAGGGTCATGACTACCGTCGAGCGCTCCCGAACTTTGGACAGACCGAACCCAAGGAGCCGAGGGCAGGGGTGCATCGAATTAATTTGAGAAGGAGACTTTTCAAATAGAGCTCGGGATCCTCAAACTTCCCAGGTTTGGTAATTTCCTTTTTTCGCGCACCGCAATTGGGAAGCGCTTGTTTTTCTCATCTTCATCCATCGCTATCATCGTGTCACAGCAAATATGGCTGACAAGGAACACGTCGCGGAGGAAAAGGTGTCCGTCCAAGATGGTCCCGTCGAGAAAACTTGGGGGACCGCCCATGATGCCGCTGAGAGAGGCCATGCAGCAACAGACATGTATGCATGATTTTCCCTTTCAGTCGTTGTGTCGTTAACCCCCGTGATAGCTACGGGAATGCGCTCGTCCAATTTGACCCCAAAGCAGAGGCAAAGTTGCGAAGGAAGATCGACTTGATGATTGTACCTACCGTGGCATTATTGTATCTCTTCTGCTTTATTGATCGGGCCAATGTTGGTGAGTACTATTGATACATAAATACTTGTCCTAGTTTAACCCACTTCATAGGTAATGCAAGATTGGCAGGTCTCGAAAGGGATCTCAAGCTCAAAGGCTATGACTATAACACCGTGCTCTCGGTGTTTTACATCTCATATATTATATTTGAGATCCCCTCCAACATGGCCTGCAAGTACTTCGGACCTGGCAAATATATCCCGGCGATCACGCTCGCCTTTGGCATCGTCTCCGTGGGCACTGCATTCTGCCACAATCTTGCGGCCGTCTGCGGCGTCCGCTTCCTCCTTGGTATCTTCGAAGCAGGGATGCTCCCAGGTATCGCATACTATATGTCCAGATGGTACCGGAGGACCGAATTGGCATTCCGTCTCTCCCTCTACATCGTCATGGCTCCGCTAGCGGGCGCCTTTGGTGGACTTCTGGCGTCCGCTATCCTCACTCTGGACCATTTCGGTTCGTTGAAAGAATGGAGGATGATCTTCGCCATCGAAGGGATCATCACATGTGGCCTGGCCTTGATCGGGTTCATCACCTTAACTGATCGACCGGAGACGGCCCGTTGGCTGTCGCAGGAGGAGAAGGACCTTGCCATTGCTCGTGTCAAGTCCGAGCGAGTCGGCACCACGGAGGTTCTCGAGAAGCTGGACACCAAGAAACTCATCAAAGGCATTTTCAGTCCCGTGACGATCGGGACCTCGTTTATCTTCCTTCTCAACAACATCACCGTGCAAGGTCTCGCATTCTTCGCGCCCACGATCGTGCGCACCATCTACCCCGACGCCAGCGTGGTCACGCAGCAGCTGCGTACCGTCCCTCCGTACGTGGTCGGAGCGTTCTTCACCCTCGCGCTCCCCTTCATCAGCACGAAGACTGATAACCGCACCTATCCGATGGCTGCGGGATCCCCGTTGGTGATGATCGGATACATCATGTTCCTTGCCAGCAACGTAGCGCAAGTGCGGTACGGCGCGACGTTCATCATCGCGAGCGGTGCCTTCGCCTTGGGCGCTCTGTGCAATGCACAGGTCGCGGCCAACGTCGTTTCCGACACGGCACGCTCGGCCGCTATCGGCACGAACGTCATGTTCGGGAACATCGGAGGGTTGATCTCGACGTGGTCGTTCTTGCCGTCCGATGCACCGAACTACAAGATCGGGAACGGACTGAATTTGGCGACGTCGTCGACCATTTTGCTCTGCACGGTCGGGCTGATGGTCTGGATGCTGGCGGATAATAAGATCAGGGCGAAGCTGGAGGTGGACAAGGAACTGGAAGGCCTCACTCAGCGTCAAATCCAGGACTTGGATTGGAAGCATCCTGGTTTCAGATGGAGGATCTAGTGGTGGTCAACCCGTCACGGAAGGCTTATTTACCTGGTTTCCTGTGTATTGTGATAGTGCTGTATCAGCTACTCGAATGTTTGCATATTCATTTATAATATCATTTCGAGTTTCAAAGTTTCGTCCGACTGTTGAGCGCGAGCGGATCCATTCTATTCGATTTTCAAGTCAGTGGATCCACTTTACGACCGGCGTCATCAAATCTGCTCTAGTGTCTCCATCGCGGCCATCCCCCACACTTCCCCGCAAAGTCGCTATGTTTCGGTACGTATTATTATGGCGGAGCCAGCGATCCGAGGTGGTGGAAATGGATGTTTAGTATATTGAGCGACGTCCCAATGGCCATGGCTCTTATTATTTTACCTAAATGTAAAGAACGGCAAGAAAATCGTCTTTTCGTCCGATAGGATTGCATAGCTTCCCACTTTGTTCTCCGCCCAAAGGCGTGTATCAAGGACATCCTTCATCGATTACTTCCTCCAAGGACACCCTTCATCGATTATTTCCTCCCATAGGCCTGATCGACTGATTATCAGTCAACTCAGACACAATGGTGTTACTCCCTGCCCTGGCAACTGCCGCAGGTGCCACCGTCGCCGCTCGTTGGCTGGACAAGAGGTATGCCATCTCCACGGACCTGGAGCAAATACGTGGCATGCGTCAGATGCGAGACTTCTACATGAAGCTAGCTAGCGAACATGGAGATGATGATTGGTCGTTCTACCACGTGCTCCATTCTACTTATGGTACAAACGATCTGAAAGAGGCGTTCGTCTTTGAAGACCGAAGCTGGACGTATGGGGAACTGCGTGGGGAAATCGGCCGGTTGGCGGAGACGTTCAGGAGTATAGGGATCGGGAACCGGACGGTGGTGGGAATGTATGTCAACAATAGCGTCGAGTTCATCGTCTCGTGGTTCGCGTTGTACAAACTCGGGGTACGCCATCCAAGATCGTGGTCGTTTCGGCAGCTCACATCTCTAGGCTATACCTGCTCCGGTCAATACCGCCGTCACTCGGGACCCGTTCCGCCACTGCCTCACGATTAGCGCTGCCGAATATTTCATTACCACATATGAGCTGTGGGATGCTGCGGCTCGATCATTGGGCCTTGCCGATGAAGCCGACGTCGGTCGACTTCCCGGACTGAAGTCGGTCATCATATACGATTACGACAGCTATCCCAAGTCGACCACGGTGCCTCTCATCAACGCAGATGCTGTCTTAGCTCAGAGCACTTTGCCGCCCTTTGTCCCTTCAATGGCAGACTTTCCAAAACAAGACAGGCCCAAGATCGGGCAGGGGGATGCGTCCTGCTACCTATTCACCTCGGGGACAACTGGCATGCCCAAGGCAGCAGTTTGTAAGACAGTCAAGAATCTTCGCGGTTCCATCGCAGAACAGAGACTGACATAATTATAGGGCCGGCGGCCTATAGCCTTATGACGTTGGCTAACAAGCGTTGGCCGTATATGCATGACGAGCCTCGCAGGTTCTATATCTGTATGCCTATGTTTCACGGGAGCGCGGCGTAAGTATTTCCGGTCTCAATGTATTGCAAGTCTTGACGGATTCTTTAGGTTTGCATGTCTTCCCGGGACTTTTGCCAATTCTGGCACCGTTATCCTTGCGAGACGCTTCTCAGTGAGTAGGTTCTGGCACGACTGCCGCCACTACAACGCCAATTCGGTTTTGTATATCGGTGAAATGATCCGATATCTTGTGCAAGCCCCGCCAGACCCCCATTTCCCCGACCCTAAGACTATGCACAATGTCAAAATTTGTTATGGCCTCGGACTCTCGCCTCATGCCTGGAAGACTTTACGCGAGAAATTCGGGATCCCTTGGATCATTGAATACTATAGTGCTTCGGAAGCACCCACATCGATATTGAATTCGAACAAGTCGAATGACGAGGGCGTAGGCTACGTAGCCAGATGGGGCCCGCTGATGCGCAGTAAATGGTTTGGGCAAGACGGGTTGTATATCCTGAAGACCGATCCTGAGATGACCGAGCCCATACGAAACAAGGCAGGCTTCTGCGTCCAAGCCGATCTCGGCGAAAAAGGCGAAGCCATTGCTCGAATTGAGTCGCCTTTGAGACGGAGCCATGATTATGTCGGAGAAAGCGGTGAAGAAGCCACAAGGAAGAAAATGCTTCATGATGTCTTCAAAAAGGGAGACCTCTTCGTCCGGCTCGGGGACTCGCTTTCAATCGTATTAACCCTAGTTCTTTCTTCGCAATGGACCATGTGGCTGACTGAGTACAGAACAAGCGTGGTTGGGTCAAGTTCCATGACCGGTTAGGTGACACCTTCCGCGCGAAAGGCCACAATATCTCCACGACGGAGGTGGAGATTGCATTCACCAAGCATCCCAGGGTTCTGGGTGCGAACGTCTACGCCATTCCCATGAACGAGTTCGGGTATGAAGGGCAACTAGGCTGTGCGGCGATCAGCCTCAAATCCTCAGGTGCAGACCCAACTGGTACCGACGAGGCAACTCTGCTCGCCGAACTGGAGCAGTGGCTGGTTGAAAAGGGAGGGCTGCCGACGTACGGAGTACCTCGTTTCGTCCGAGTGATCGTCGACGAGGGCGAAGCCACCACCCACGATGAAGGACGGCGCAAAGGGGATATCCCCGGGGCAGAGAGAGTTTCGATTATTATGAAAAAGCTGAAGACCGGACTTAGACGAGAAGGTAAGTAGAACAGCGGTTCAATTGTGTGCTTTACTAATGTGTCTCATTTCAGGTTTCAATATGCCACCAAGATGCAACGATCGGATGTATTTCATCGATCGGGAGGGGAATGGGTTCAAACCATTGACCGAGGAGATGAAGCAGTTACTCCTGAGCGGCAAGGCGAAGCTGTAGTGATCTTTGATCCACTTGGCCTCGTGGGCCGGGCTAGGCTGCTATGTTATTAGTCCATAGTGAAAAAAGTAGACTAACCATCGCTCACAACGTGGCGGCCTCTGTATTGCTTGACGGTGGAATTGGTTGATCTTGTTCATGTTGTTCATCATCATGAGTGAAATCTGAAAGGTCATATATGTTCACGTGATGATATGGGGAGGTGCCTCCGGGGGGAAAGAAATTGAGTTACCTTTCTTGGCATTCCCCTAAGCACAGTTCCCACGATCTTAACCAGAACGCGGTGGAGAATTCACCAAAACAGGCCTCTAATAGTTGCTTAATTAGGAAAAGAGTATACTTTTTGGTATTATGTTGTTTTTGAGCGAATTGGGCCTGCCTGTGATGGTGGTGATGGTTGGGGGAATGCCAAGAGACGTAACTCAATTTCGTCCCCCCCGGAGGCAGTACTGGTACTGGTACAGGTATGGTAAGACAACAAGGCAACAAGGCAAGAACTTTGGATCCTCCGATTGACAAGCCGTGTATTTGCACTTATGGCACTTATGGACCGCCGGACATGATGACCATCTTCAATTTGATTTACCAAATGCTCGTGATAAAACGAAGCATGACTCAAGCGCAATTCTAAAAAATCCACGAACACAGGACCATTGCCTCACACCACAAGCCATGTCTACGCCAGACTCAATATCAGACCCCCCAAAGCAGGTTCCTGTGACTGCAGGAACCCCAAGCTCCCAAGCTCCAAAGCCATCAACACCAGCAGAGTCGTCGAAACTGAGCAATGCGGAACTGAAGAAGCAACAGAAGGCCGAGAAGGCCGCGAGAAGACTACAGAAAAAGGGGGATCAAGGACCAAGCAACGGACAACCAACCACCCCGGCCCAGAAAGCGCAAACCAAACCAGAAAAGCACGCGAAACCGACGCAACCGCGCAATCAACCAGCCCCTCCCACACTCAAGCCTCCAGGGAAAGCCACGGCGACCAGACGAGGCTCGTCGTCCGTGCCGAATGTCATCGATAGCGAGGTGAAGAATGTGGCGCTCTTCAAGCACCTCTACAGCGTCCCCCGGCGGCAGCGGATCGAAGGCGCGTCGAAAGACGTGCATCCGGCTGTGGTGGCGCTAGGACTGCAGATGAGCAACTACCGAATATGCGGGAGCAATGCCCGCTGCATCGCGATGCTGTTGGCGTTCAAGGAAGTACGTATGTCCAACACGGTGGCGAGGCGGAGACTAACGGGGATCTCAGGTCATTGAATCGTACACGACTCCCGGTGGCACGTCCCTGGCGCGCCATCTCACCTCCCACCACCTCTCCCCGCAGATCGACTATCTCAAATCCTGCCGCCCCCTCAGCATTAGCATGGGCAATGCGATCCGCTACCTCAAAGAACTGATCATCAAGATCGACCCCGCCGTCCCGGAGCACGACGCCAAAGCCACCCTCCTCGACGCCATCGACGCCTTCATATCCGAGCGCATCACCGTCGCCGGCACCATTATCGCGCAGACCGCGTCCACGAAAATCGTCTCCGGCGACGTGGTGGTCACCTACGCCAAATCCAGCATCGTCATGCAAACCCTTCTCACGGCCCATCGGGCGGGTACCGCATTCCGCGTTGTCGTCGTAGACAGCAGCCCCCTTTTCGAAGGCAAGCGCCTCGCTTCCGTCCTCGCGTCACACGGGCTGTCCGTCTCCTACTCGCTGATCGCCGGCGCATCGCACGCGGTCACGGGGGCGACGAAGGTATTTTTAGGGGCGCACGCGATAATGAGTAACGGACGGCTATATTCGCGGGTGGGGACGGCGGTGGTGGCGATGCTGGCATACGAGCGGGACATCCCGGTCATCGTGTGCTGCGAGAGCGTGAAGTTCACGGAGCGAGTGGCGTTGGATAGCATCGTGGGGAATGAACTGGCGCCGGCGGAGGAGCTGTTGGCGGCGGGGTTGTCGGTGGAAGGGAAGGAGGGGTCGAAGGGGGTGGAGGACATGTTGAAGAAATGGAGGGAGACGCCGGGGCTGCAGGCGTTGAATGTGTTGTATGATGTGACGCCAGCGGATTATATCAAGATGGTGGTCACCGAGTTCGGCAGCTTGCCGCCCAGTTCGGTACCAGCTGTTCTTCGCAATCTGAGCGGGAATGGTTGAAAGATTATAACGTTAAATTTAATTTAGAGAGTTTGAGCGAGTGATCTACACCATCAAGTTCCAGTGCGATACGGTCGACATTGTGAATGAATGATATGTAAATTAATTAACATCCACTGCTAGTAAACGTCTATGGTCCATCTTGATATGGTCCAATCCTTGCGATTCCTTGATCGGTAGTAGCCAACCTCTAAAGCGAATGGACAACGGAATGGCGCAACTTGACCAGAACAATACCCTCCATGCGTGATATCTCCAACGCTGCACACCTGCCAGCCCTAGGCTATCAAAACATGTTTATCGCCAGGCAACGCGAAGACGAACTGGCTATGCAAGACCCAGCAGATAGGATCCGAACGGCCGAAAAAAATATACGGCATCTATTGCATCGGCTCAGATTTCGGTGCTTCACCCTCCTCCACCTTGGCAGCAGTGGTCTCTGGTTGCGGCGTGACGGACTCGCTTTCCTTCACATCCTTCACATCCTTCACCTCCTTCACCTCCTCGGTTTGTGCATCCTCCCCTCCACGGAGGTAGAACTCGCTCTCACCGATCTTCTTCCCACGAGTCTCCCACCGCTCTCGCTGCTCCTTTCTCCTCGTCTCACACAGCGCGGTCAGGGCCGGCCAATATGCCGCGTGGTCATATTCGAACGCTACATCCCCCTTGAGATCGGTCGGCAATTGCTCTTTCGGGATGTAGGCAGGTATGTCGGGGCCGAAGATCATCTTGGTCTTGGTCACCGGGTCGATGAAGGGGGAGACGAGCTTGAAAAAGGTGGTGATGTACCAGGGCACTGAATGATCAGTTACGGATTCTTCAGTGGTCACAAGGAAGACTTACGGTCGTTGACCAGCGCTTTCCCAAGACGTTCCGGATAATGTCCCTGAAGGATCCGCAGCACCTCTCGTCCTTGGCCGACGCTGGAACCGCCGCCAGGGGGGGTACCCTTGAAGTTCACCAAGAGCGCCAACGTCTCTTGTCCGGGCGGCATCAGGTCGACCACACGCTCGAGCATGTAGACGAGCGCGTGCAATTGCCGGTCACTCCGCGCGGTGTTCTGGCGGCCGGGATTCAGGTGCAAGCACGGACGACCTTCGTTGTCGAAGCCAAAGATCATTTCCTTTCCGGTCTCCATTTCGGGGGAGATGTAGTCGGCGGTGAACGGCAGGCCGTACTCGCGGCGCCAGGTGAGGGTCGCCAGCAGCCGCTTCGGGGTTTCGGTGACGTTCCATTTGGTTGCGCGCAGGTATCGGAGCAGACATTCCTTGGTGAGGAACATCCGGTCTTCATCGGTAATGGGCTCTTTGGGAGCATTGCGACCTGATGATTTGGGCACTTCCGTCCATTCGGAGACCACCTTGAGGATCTGTTCATATTTTGTTGTTTGCTCGGGGGTGAGTTCGTGGTGCGGTGCGGGTTTGCTCGACGGCGTGGGAACGGGAAAAAGGACCTTGACTAAAGACGGTAGCTCTTCTTTGGCTGCCTCCTCTTCTTGCTTGGTAGCTGCCGGTTCTTCAGCCGCCGTGGATTTATCTCCTGTGGAAGTTGTCGTGTGGTCGGCGGGTGGACCGGCCTCCTGTGGCTTCTCTACAATGGCCAAATCTGCCACTCCACTACTGAGTTGCTCCGGTTCTGTCACAGCTGCGGTCGCCATATTGAGTTGAAAGGTAAGGTATTAAGTCCAAGAGAAAATGAACCCGTTGAGGTTGCTCCAGTTGCCTTTCTGTGAGGGGGCTGATTGGCTTTTGTAGCCTTTATAGCGTATGCAGGTAGTTGACCGCTATATAGGGGAGAAATTAGCTGAGTGCGAGTGGCTGCAATTGGAACGGTCGTGAAGAATGGGTGTCAGAGACTGCTTCATTCCAGATTCCAAGGTGTGTGGTTAAGCGATTGCGTCAATTGAGGTAGATATTGACATCTATAAGTATTTATTTCTACAATGCAGAAATATTGAAACTCGAAAGATCGCCAGTCGCCACGAAGATCCAAGATGTCGCTGCTGGTCGGGTACTCTAGTTGGATCAATCAATCAAGGGACCATGCAGGGTTGGGGAAGAAGGTGCGACCGGGGTCTGGGTGGGGTTTTCTGCAGGGGTTCGCGCCTTCCCTGTCGTCGCGTCTTGCGAGGTGCGACTTCCTATTCTTCACGCTCCCGCCGCACCGCGTTGTCTGAGAGAATCCCGTAGCGACGTCTAAACACCGAAACGATCGAAACGACCAACAGAGCAGGTCCTCCACACCAGTTCCTCTAGTTTGGATATCCGAATATCTACAATCATGGACGACCATAAGCAAGCTCTCAATGAGCTGTTTGCTTCCCCCGATACCGAGTTGTCCCCCGAGTTATACGGTGAATTGCAGTCGATCGTGCGCCTCTACTCCATCTCCCCGCAGGAGCTCTTTTACAAATGGGAGTCCTACTGCATCAAGATGGGCTCGGAAGAGACGAAGTTGAGCCTGAAATCCGCTCGGGATTTGAAGAAAGACATCCAGGATGCGTTGGAGAGGGAGAGTCGCGGCAAGGCGCATCCGAAAATGAATGAGAGACGGACAATCGGGGCAACGCCCAAAGCAGGGAGGCCGGCGGATGATGTTTTTGGAATGTGAGATATCCGTTCAAGTGCACCGGTTCTTAGAAGCTCAATTTGTCCTTAGGATCGACGGTTTGAATTTCAACACTCCTCGTCCCGGACCGGTATCCGCCGCGAAGAGAAAGTCCAACTTCGATACCCCCACTCCCAAATCGACCAAGAGTACTCGAAACTCTTCCCCCGGCGCTGGGGGACACGTGCAATTCCATGATCGTCCCAACGCCGGCGTGGTCGTCGAGACCTTAAACCAGACGATCGACGTCCCCAGCGTCCCAGAGCAACCACCGGCAACCGCCCGAATAAAGCTGAAGGCCAACACGGAGATGAGCAAGTTCGGGTACAAAACCATGGCGATGAAACTGACGGAGGCGTCGGAGATCCTGGACGATCGAATCGATGAGTTCATGAGCATCGTGCAGATGCATCATCAGCTGGACGACAGCGCGTTTGGAAGCCCCGTAACGCAGAGCACCAGTGAGGTTGTTGCGGTGGGCCGGATTGCGTCCGATGCGGGGGAAGGGCGGCTGGTGCCTGCGTCGCTAGTTCTGGAAACCTCCCGTCGGACCGGCGCAGGGCTCCGAGTGCCGTTACGAGTAGATTCATTGCCTGGATATCATTTCTTCCCTGGAAAGATTGTGGCTCTCAAGGGGACTAATGCGTCTGGAGACTTCTTCCAAGTGTCCGAGGTCCTGGATACTCCCCTTCTCCCCCCTCCCGCATCGCTCCCCGAAGAACTAGATGTTCATAACCAGCGACTCGCGGGTTCTGAGGGCAGGGACGGCGGACATAGTACACGGCCCCTGACCATCCTGGTCGCCTCGGGACCATATACGACGCAAGATCGGCTTGATTTCTCCGCATTTGACGCGCTCATGGATGTCGCTCGCGAAACCATGGCCGACTCGATCATCTTGGCGGGACCGTTCATCGACACCGATCACCCCTTGATACGGAGTGGCGATTTCGATCTTCCCTCTGAGATCCCAGTGTCGCCGGACCAAGCCACTCTTACCGACCTATTCCGACATTATATCTCGCGGCCGCTATGGGAGTTGACCAAAGCCAATCCATCGGTTAGCATTCTCCTCTGCCCGTCAGTGCGCGACGCCATCTCCAAACACGTGGCGTGGCCGCAAGACCGCCTCCCAAAGAAAGAATTCGGCCTGCCGAAGCAAGCATCGGTTGTCACGAACCCGGTCACGCTGAGTATGAACGAGGCGGTCATCGGGATCAGTACGCAGGATGTGCTTGACGCGCTTCGCATGTCGGAGTGCGTGGGAGGGAAAGCGAAGCAGGAGAATATATTCGCGAGGCTGTCTAGGCAGATCATTGAACAACGGCATTTCTTCCCGATCGTGCCGCCACCAGGTGCCTACGACTCGGGCTCTGGAGGAGTGTCTGGCGATGGGATGGAGGACGTGCAGTTCCAAGATGTCAGCGCAATGCTTGATGTGCCATACCTAAAGTTGGGCGAGTGGTTGAATGTCCGGCCCGATATTCTAGTCACACCATCGGTTCTGACTCCGTTTTCAAAGGTACGCATGGGCAAAGTCAAATCAATCTACGAGGTCCCTAGCTAACTGGTTCGTAGGTCATTGAATCCGTGCTCGTGGTCAACCCGGGAAATTTGTCCAAGCAAAAGGGGCCGGGGACGTATGCGCGGATGACCGTGGTACCTGCAGCGGTCACGGACAGGGATCGCGAAGAGGGTGAGGTTATGGGTCACAGGCTATATGAGCGAGCTCGCGTGGATATCGTTCGGATCTGATGGTGCTGAAACACTGTATTTAGCACCCTCGATGCTGGCGATTCGACTCGTTTCCTAGAAGATTGGTCCAATCCCGCAGTTCCGTTTCTGACGAAGGCACACGTGATGAATGAAACGGCGTTAATAGCGAAGACGATTTTGCAATCTCTGAATTCCACCCGAAGGGCGTCCGAAGTTTTTCGACCTTGATAATCATAACCGTCCCAGTGACTCCGAATGCTACTGATAAAGCGATGCCGGCGGCGTGCTATGTCCCTCCCATTTTCGTCGCGCTCTCAACTTCCCCTCCCTCACGCTCCATCGTCGACAGGTGGTTCATCGGTGCTGCGATCGTCAGATGGGAAATGTTGGAGCAGGCCGTGGTGGAAATTCGTACCTTGGTGAAGCCGATGTCAGCGGCTTTCTCGCGGAAGCACTGACGGCAGAGCTCGAGGCCGTATTTTCGGATCAGACCGGCCTTGTGGGTGCAGACACGGCTACATCCACCATCAAGTCAGCGCAGTTCTTCCCAGCCAGGTATGTGTGTCGTCGCCCATCCGTAGACGTCTCGAGGCAAAACTCACCATTCGCGGGAGCCCTTGCCGTAGGTGCGCGGGCGGGAGAACCAGACGGATTCGTGAGACATCTTGATAATTGATGACGGAGGTGGTGAGGAAGACGTTTGTCGTTTGGAATCGGGTCGTGGATGCTGGGTGGTGGATGTCGGGGTGTGATGTTGAAAATGCGATTTGGCGAGGTGAAGTGCCAAGCCTTCAAGCGAGAGGGATTGGTCACGTGGAGGCGCGAAGTGGACCCACTTTTCGCCAACCCAACGAAGGGTCCGTAAACACCGCAGCCAAGTCACCAAATAGAACAACATGAACTAAAGTAACGATACAAAGCACGTAGTTCATACCATTAGAGCCTGGTCAACTGGATATCACACTTCACACAGTGTCTATCAAATCGTCTGTTTAGGACTCAATCCGTTCCCGATTCATAAACATGGTGAGCAAGCTTGTACAACACCTATCTGTAGATCCAACCCACTAACCCCTCACCAGAGCAAAGACGCCTCCTACAACTTCCTCCACCTCCACGCCTCCCACCACGCCGACCTCCTCGAAGAATTCAACCGCACCCTCCTCCAGCCCGACGACATCTTCGTCCCCTCCCATCTCCAACCACTGAACCCGGAGGACGAAGACGACGTCGTACCGGACCAGCACGCGGCGTTCGGGATCACGCGCGCCACCCAGACAGTGAAGGAGCCGGTGTGGCGCGACCTAGGGCTGGAGGAGCTGCTGAAGAGGAAGCCAGAGGGGACGGAGGATCTGGGGAAGAAGCTGAAGGCGGTCACGATTCGGTGAACGCGGCGTCGGGAGTTGATGACGTCCATTCGGAGTGTTCCACGATATCCATCTCTATTGCTTTAGGTCAAGGCGTGGCGTCTGGTTTTTGATTCGACGGATACGAATCATTCAACGTATTCCTCCGGCTCCGACTCGGGTCCCGTTTGCCGATCGTCGCCTCCAGCGCCTGCGTCAACCCTTTCCCATCGTACCCCAGTCCCTTCCCATTACTCATCTTCCGTCCGTACAACCGGATGGTCTCAATCCCCAGGCGGGAGAGTTCGTCTTTGTCGACCTTAGGTGCCCCGTCTCCGTCTAAATGGATCAGATGCGTCACATATAACCTGTACTCGTGGGGGTCCGGCGGTTGATGTTGGCCGCGACTCGTTGCTGCGGCGCGGGCGATTGCGGCGATGAAATCCACGGCTGTATACGGGTTGTTCGACGGTCCGGTCTCCCGATCGATCGTACCATTGAGAATGAGCACCTTGTTGCGGATGGCCGGGGACGCGAGCCGCTCTCCCACACCGCGAAGGATCAACGATGGGATGATGGAGGTATACAGCGAGCCGATGCTGAAGATCACGGCCGACGCGTCGTCCAGCGCCGCAACCACCTTGGGGTTCGCGAGGAGGCCGATCTCCTGGCCGTAGGGGTTGATGTACCAGATCCGGTCGATGCGCGACGGCAGATCTTCTTCGTGGTGTTTGGAGAAGGAGATGTACTGTTTGCGCAAGGTGGGGAGCGTCCCCGGGAGATTGGCATCTTCGATCGAATCATGGGCATTCGTCTCCGCGTCGATGTTCGCGTGGGGGTTTAATGAGGTTGGCTCACTCGGGTGGGAGATTGCATTTTGCCCGACGATGGACGTTCCATCGGTCAAACCCGCAGCGATATGATGTGCGAAGTTAGTGTTGATAGCCGGCAATACGGACACATGGTGTGGGACCCGGCAGATATTGCTCAGGAGGTATATAGCGCTTTCAAAGCTCCCTGTGAAGAGTCGCGCACTATGATACGTGAACGTTAGTAGACGCCCACATGCCCAACCCGGAGGTCCTACCCAGTCAAAAACAAGTTCCCAATGCTCGCCGCCGAGAAGTTAAAGGTCGACGACGGCCGGATTCGCTTCACGATCTCCTGGTTGACGTGGTTCAAGATAGAACGGATGAGCTCCTTCTTTTCGGACGGAATATGACTCCACAGGGGGCTTCGCGCTTCCACGATCTCGAGCCACTCGTGCCGTGCCTTGTCCGGGTCGGGTGCCAGCCGATGGTTAAAGAAGTTGTGGAGGGCGGTCCGCTCGGAGTTCACGTCGTCGTCTTCGGGGATGAGGCGGACCAAGCGGCCTGTTCAACATCAGCTCTCCCGTGCTCTTACTTCCAGATACTTCATATACTTCTCACGTCACCGATCCCTATTAGCGATATAGTCAGAAACATGCTTTCGATTCGGTAAAGGGGACGTACCCGGTCCTCCCACGACTCTGATCAGTTCGGACGAACTTCCCCCGTTATCACTGATGGGGATGACATAACTCAGGTTACATTTTCGGCTCTCAACAAGCGTCGAGAACACGTCGACGAGATTGTTGGCGGCGCTGCCACCGGAGAAAACCACGATCCCCTTCCGATTGCGCGAGCCGTTCTGGAGCAGGAGAGCTGGGAGGGGTTGGAGGTGGTCATCCATCGCTTTACACAGATCAAGAAGATGGCGTTTTTGACTTCATCAGCACGATCCAAGATTATTTAAGTGGTGCCAGATCTGAACACGTTTCTTGAGTTGGAATTGATGTAAAGTTGCTTTCATATCCGTACTATTTGTTGGCTCGGGATCTAGACAGCACGAGGCAATTCCGCATTTAGTGTACACAGCGCAAGCTACGTCTGCAAAGATAGCTGTAGTATTCGAGGACCTGCCTTTTATGTGACCCATCCTAAGCATCTAAGCGTAGGGCGAATATTCAAAACTTGATCCGGATATTGGCTCATGTTACGCTACTTCTTGTCACAATACAATTTCTCCAATGGTTGGTTGTAAAACGTTGATGATTCATTTCCCCTTACGCCAACTCATGATGGATACAACACTGAGCTCGAGCTCTTCATCGCGTGATGGCTGCTCAGCGCTTGATTTACAGAATGCCGCAGATCTTTGATGCAGCAGAGCTTAGATTTCGACCGACCACTCCGACGACTCGTCAGATGCCCAGTCATTCGCCCCCTGCCGCGGCCTTCTCGCGCGCCTCCAGCGCGGCGACCCGCTTCCTCTTCTCTATTAACCGCTCCTTCATGTCGGTCACGTATCTGAACTGTCGCTTCTCGAAGCCGTCCAGCCAGAACCCGAACCCGCCTCCGACTGCGGCGTAGATCGGGTAGGCGATGATGTGGCTGCGGTCGAACAGGGGACGCATTTGGATGCCGAGTTGCCATAACCGCACGGCGATGCCTAGTTCGTCCGGTCAGTTAAACGCGCTCGATCGGGGGATTGATGATATGAAGATCAGAGCAGGAATGGGGAGCGTACCAAAGCCGCCCCAGAATAGGATCTTGTGCACCATATTGGCGGAGTCGGATGTCGTTTTGATGGATGGAGGGTAGGACGTGGCGGTTGAGAGAAGGAAGTCGAAATGAGATGGTTCCGTTCTTCCTCCCCTATCTGCTTGGGCCTTGGAAATCAAGCGCTTCGGAAGCAATGGCGCGTGAAGGGAGCGGATCCTTGATTTTGGCAATGCACTGCAAGGTTCGTGACTTGCTCTGGTGATGATTTGTTCGGGATACTGGCGGTTGGCTGTTGGCTGAGGGAGTCCGTGCGTCGATGGTCGCTGCAGCACAGCAGCAGTGCAGCTAACCTTGGATCATCCCAAGCTCTCTCTCCAAAATTCAATCACGTCCCCATCAAAGTTAATATCACCAAGTTGTTTCCTCAAGAACGCATTTGAACCTTGATTTCAGATTAAAAGTCGAGCTTTCTTTCTCCAAGTCCTAGTTCATTTCTGGTCTTGATCTAGTCGACACACATGATAGCTTCGTTCCACGTCATTGAATTCCCTAGATATATAATCTCTTTATGGTTCTCATGAATTTAGAATCTCGGATTGGGAAAACCCAAGGTGTCTAAGAAAGATTGCGCACATGTGCAGATGCAGACTGATCTATAGGGCGTCTTAAACGCAAACCCCCTGTTTGAACCAAGGCTACCTAGTGTGGAATCGGCCTCGAGTCATATCCCTTTGATATCATGTTGTAATCGCAGTCATACCATCATTGGCAGGTTCAAGGAGCTTCCATTCACATGTTATACCTTGTTGTTTGAAGTCGTTCAGAATGTGGTCCGCAATTGATTCGAAGTTCCCGGTTGCAAGTGCAAGGACTATCTGAGTTAGAGACAGCTTGTGAAGTTCATTTGGAGATGGGACTAACTTGTTGGACCCGCTCCAGACAGGCAGATACCCAGAAGGCCAGGGTGGCTCTTAGGGGTCATTGACAGAAGGATCTCAGTCAAGCCAGGTATGAGCCCTTTGCGGTAGGGTTGATGGACTACACCCGTCAGTACAACATGGCCGGACGGAGCATAATATATACCTTTATCCTGCATTGCCTCAAAGATCATGTCTGGATCCGGCGGAGTCTCTCCCAGGGCCGTGGCGAGAAGGGCTATTCTCTGCATGTTAAACACCACATCTGCTCGTGGATAATGCGTCGGAAGAACCTCTCGAGCTTTGTGGGTGGCCACCTCGAAGTCGGGGATTATGACGATGCACTTGATCTCCTTGGCCCAGCGGAATCGTATATAATGCCCGATGTTGAGGGGTGGCTCTGGCGGTTTCAATCCCGTATCCACCCCCCCCGCCGGTTCAGGAAGGACTTCGCTCAGCGGGATCTCTTTCCTGGACGCTTGCTCGGGATCCAGCTCATTGAGATAGGTTCCGATGAATCCGCCATAAAGTGCTGCAGCAACATTGTCCGGATGCCGCTCAATCATCAGGCAATAGTCTAGCATGCGAGCTTTGGATAGACCCAGCTTGCCGACTTCATTGCCAAGAGACACGCCAGCTACCACGGCGGCACCTGAGGACCCAAGACCACGGCCCAGGGGGATATTGTTAATGATATTGACATGAGTGCCCTTGGGGAACTGGCGCTGGTTATGGCATTTCAAAACATAAAGCGCCGTTCTTGTGATCAGGTTGACTTCAGGATCAAGGCTCACTTCCTCAGCCCCCAGTCCTTCGCATGAAACAGTGCAGTTGAGTGGATTTTGATCCGTCGAGTCGAATGTGACCGTCAACTCGAGGAATAGAGACAATGCTAGACCAATCTATGTAAATTTAGCTATACAATAAAATCATGTGGAGTGCATTGGATTATGCATCGTTGGACTGACTCACCACATCAAATCCAGGTCCGATATTCGCAGACGAGCTTGGCACTTTAATGGTGATCATCCTGCCACGGATATGAATGATTATCCACAAGAATAAGTACCACAGTAGCACCTGTACGGATGAGACGGATTCACACAGATTGTGATAAAATGTGTCTCTTGGAATCCAATGGGAAATTCATATCCTCTCCATATTACGGCGGGTTGCGGTAACACCAAAAAATGAGCGTCGGTACATTGTCGGTAGAACTTACTTTATCTATTCTTTGGCCAATCACATTCGATTCCTGACAACCTCACTTCCAACCCCAACGCGTCCAAGGGACTGACAGATTACACCCATTTGAGCCATCGACTTCGCACCAGCAGTTGGTCTGGAATTATGGCGACCGCAATGGAGAGTCCCGTGAAAAGGAAATATACCGGCGGCTCCAGCGATGGTCTCCCTCCAGATCGGAAACGGTTGCGCCTCTCCGACCTTCCCATTTCTCCAGCGAAGAGAGAGGTTTTGGACGGCCTGGTCAACACGTTCAAAAAGCAGGGAGAATTCGACGTCATCCGCAAGCATGTCTACAAGCAATTCGAAACTTCGGTATGGTACATAGTCACAGCTGAAGGAAGTCTGCTCACGTCCACTAGCCGGCCAAACATCAGTTAACCACCGCCCTCATCCTGCTCGCCGAAGGGGAAATCGACCGCCACCCGGACCTCTTATCGAAAGATCGACGCATCTCCAGTGCCCTGATCGAAGGCGCCGCAGAACGCAATGACATCTACAAGGAAGCCCTGTCCACCATCGACGGCTACATCGGCCAGTTCCTCACCGATGCCGAATCGAAACTCCGCGCCGTCCGCGCTACAGAGATCGGCTCGACCGCTGCAGACGATGAGCGCGAGCGAGGCAGCAAAACTGATGACCAATACGCCCAGGAAAGTGACGAGCGCCGAGCCGCGCTGTTGCAGAAGCTGGAGGCGCAGCGCGAGAAAGAACGGGAGCGCGAACGCGAGGAGAAGAAGATCGCCGCGGAGAAGAAGCGCCGGCAGCAAGAAGCGGAGGAGAAGCGCGAGCGCGAGCGGCAGGAGATGGAGGAGAAGCGGCGGCTGGAGCGGGAGGCGGAGAGGGAGAGGGAGCGGGAGGAGTTTGAGCGGGGGCGCGAGGAGCGGAGGCGGCTGAGGGAGGAGCGCGCGCGGGAATACGAGCGGCAGAGGGAACGCGATCGGTCGCTCTCGAGGAATCGGTCGCGGGATAGGCGTCGCTCCCGGGACAGAGACCGAGATCGATCCCGAGACCGAGATCGGCATCGCGCGGGCAGTGCATACGCCGACAGACGGGACTATACGGACCGAGACAGTCGAAAGGGAAGTGTGCAGATTACGGTCACCAGAACAGAAGACAAGCCATCGGCGCCGCCCGTGAGCGAGAAGGATTTGGAAGAAGCTGCGTTAGCGCAACTCCTGAAAGAGGGACAACAACTAGCGAAATCTAGGCAACGGCCTGAACTCGAGCGATCGGAGGATCTCGCTCCCCCACTACGACGGTCGATGGCACCCAAGTCCATCATTCCTCGCGATCCCCTGGCCACTCGGCTCGCGAAATTGGAACGGCTTCCCGTCAAGGAAAAGAGCCGGGAATCGTCGGAAACACCGCTGAAAACGCCGGTCGATGCAAAGGCTACAGAAGACAAGGTCGTCAAGGTCGAGATATCCAAAACCGAGTTGTCGGTGCCAAAGCCAGTGCCGGAAGACCGACACCCATCTCGCGACCGCTCTCCGAACCTTACAAAGACCCGAACCCGCTCCCGCTCCCGCTCAAGAGCATCCACCCGCCCTTCCTACTCCCATCGCTCTCGACGCGATGACGCCCGCGATGACTCCCGGCGCCCTCGAGACGACGCACCGGACTACAAATCACGCTCCTACCGCAACCACGACGACTCCGATGACGACCGACACCGACGCAGCCATCGAAAACGCGCTCGGTCGGAGTCCCGCTCTCCCAGCCCTCCCCGTCGGTACAAGAACGAGCGACAGGCACACAGCCGCCGCAGCCGCTCGCCCGGAGAAGAATCCCTTCGGTCGTATCGCGGAAGGGACCGAGACCGAGATCGAGATCGAGACCGCGACCGAGATCGTGACTACCTTCGCGACCGACGAGACCGAGAACGCTCCCGATCTCGAGATCGGTATCGAGACAGGAATTCAGAACGATCCCGCTCTCGCGACCGGCGCCGCGACCGCGACGAGCGGCCCCGCGAGCGGTCGTATTCCCGGACGTCGCGGCGGAACCGATCGCGGAGCAAGAGCGCGGTGGAGATTGATCGGTACGTGCCGAATTCGAGCGCGCGGGCGAAGGAGAAGGATGAGGAGCGGGATGGGGATCGGAGGGGGTATCGGGAGCGGGATAGGGATAGGGACAGGGATCGAGATAGGGATAGGGACAGGGATCGAGATAGGGATAGGGACAGGGATAGGGATCGGGACAGAGATCGGGATAGAGACCGTGATCGGGATCGAGATCGAGGGTTCGTCGAGATTGATCGATATATACCCGGGGGCTCAACGCGGAGTGACCGAGATCGGGAACCTGGGAGAGAGCGGAGAAGGGATCGGACGGGGAGTCCAAGGGATAAGTGAATGGGCATGGTACCCGAAATCATTGGCATACAATCACGGGTTCTACTATCAAGTGGTACATTCAAATATGGTTTCTAGCATCAGGCATGAGAGTTGGAGCGTCAACCGGGTTGCAGTGAATGACTGCTGGTAATTACTACCGCTAGGATATGGAATAGTCTGGTTACCTTGCCATGGCACTTGAAATTTTATTAGTGAAGGCAATCCGTGGATCAATAACTGCAGTATGCGAGACATGATCAATGAACCATGATATTATCATCGACCGTAGTACCGTTCCCGTATCAATGAACCAGGAGTTCCAGGACAGGCAGCAGTGGCACGCAATCAATGGAATCGGCGAATCGCAGGGTAAAACGGGTCACATGACCAGCAAGTCTGATTTGTCAGGGGTTCTTCGGCGTTCGGTGTGATTCGCCCAGGCCAAGAATCAAAGCATGCAGGCGACAAGGCAGCCATTCAGGCCACCACCAGCGTCTTTCTCGTGAAGCTCCACGTCTTTTGCCATCACAGAGTGAGTAACCACAGCATCGACCACCTCTGCTCTCTCTCTTGTTGTCACTTGTCACTTCATTCATTGATTCCCCCATCCCCAACACACTTTTCCTCCTTCATCTTCTTTTCCCTCTCTGCATCTCTCCATAGCTTCCTCTTTGCTTCTGCAAATCCCCGGAATTCCCTTCGTACAGTTCCATTCCACATCCCCAGCTTCCAACCCAAACATCGTCATCAGCTTCATTCCCCCAGCCGCTCGCTCGGAGCTTCGCCTGAAGCTTCATCATCATGTCTGCCGATCCCGAGCACACCCAGCCCGGTAAGGGTAAGGTCAAACTCGACAAGTAAGTCACCGCGTCGATAACACCGTGTCCGGAATCCATCGCTAACAACATTCAGTGATCCCTCCGGTGGCGAGAAGAAGGAGGTGAGGCTGCATCCATCAGGATCCTCTCATACGTCTCAACTAACTCGGTTATAGGTCAACGAGACTGCCACGGCCATCCTCAAGAAGAAGAAGAAGCCAAACTCACTGATGTATGTCTCCCAAATATTGTGAAGGGCAGCAGTCCAGCCGTACAGTCCAACTAACCTTCCTAGTGTGACCGACGCCACCAACGATGACAACTCTATCATCTCACTTTCACCGAATACCATGGACACCTTGCAACTGTTCCGAGGTGATACGGTCTTGGTCAAGGGAAAGAAGCGCAAGGACACCGTCCTGATCGTTCTTCCCGACGAGGATCTGGATGATGGCAACGTCCGGATAAACCGTGTCACTCGCCACAATCTCCGCGTCAAGCACGGCGATGTCATTACCGTGCATGCGTGCCCGGATATCAAATATGTGAGTATTCCATTATCTACAAAGATGAATGTTGCTGATCCGACCAGGCCAAACGCGTTGCCGTTCTCCCCATCGCAGATACCATCGAGGGCCTGACCGGCAATCTCTTCGATGTCTTCCTCGCCCCATATTTCCGCGAAGCGTACCGACCCGTGCGACAAGGTGACACGTTCGTGGCTCGCGGTGGCATGCGACAGGTGGAGTTCAAGGTCGTCGAGGTGGACCCGCCGGAGTTCGGCATCGTGGCCCAAGACACCGAAATCTTCTGCGAAGGCGACCCGATCGAGCGGGAAGATGAAGAGGGCAACTTGAACGAGGTGGGATACGATGATATTGGTGGATGCCGAAAGCAGATGGCTCAGGTCCGTGAGTTGGTGGAACTGCCGCTCCGACATCCTCAGCTCTTCAAGTCGATCGGTATCAAACCCCCTCGTGGAATTCTCCTGTTCGGACCTCCTGGTACCGGGAAGACGCTCATGGCTCGAGCGGTTGCCAACGAGACCGGAGCCTTCTTCTTCCTCATCAATGGCCCGGAGATCATGTCCAAGATGGCCGGTGAGTCGGAGTCGAACCTGCGGAAAGCATTCGAGGAGGCCGAGAAGCAGGCCCCTGCCATCATCTTCATCGACGAGATCGATTCCATCGCACCCAAGCGTGACAAGACGAACGGTGAAGTGGAGCGACGTGTCGTCTCGCAGCTCTTGACGTTGATGGACGGCATGAAGGCTCGATCCAACGTCGTCGTCATGGCGGCTACCAACCGACCCAACTCGATCGACCCGGCTCTGCGACGATTCGGCCGCTTCGATCGTGAAGTCGACATCGGCATTCCCGACCCCACCGGCCGTCTCGAGATCCTCCAGATTCACACCAAGAACATGAAGCTGGGCGAGGATGTCGATCTGCCTGCCATCGCGTCGGAGACGCACGGATACGTCGGATCGGATCTGGCGTCGCTGTGCTCCGAAGCGGCTATGCAGCAGATCCGTGAGAAGATGGACCTGATCGACCTTGACGAAGACACGATCGACGCTGAAGTCTTGGACTCCCTCGGCGTCACCATGGACAACTTCCGCTTCGCTCTCGGCGCCTCCAACCCGTCGGCGCTTCGCGAAGTGGCCGTCGTGGAGACGCCCAACGTCCGCTGGGACGATATCGGTGGTCTGGAAGAAGTCAAGCGCGAGCTCATCGAGAGCGTCCAGTACCCCGTCGACCACCCCGAAAAGTTCCTCAAGTTCGGCCTTTCGCCCTCTCGTGGTGTGCTCTTCTACGGACCTCCGGGTACCGGTAAGACGCTGCTTGCCAAGGCCGTCGCCAATGAATGCGCGGCGAACTTCATTTCCGTCAAGGGCCCCGAGCTGCTGTCCATGTGGTTCGGTGAGTCGGAAAGCAACATCCGGGACATCTTCGACAAGGCTCGCGCCGCTGCTCCTTGCGTGGTCTTCCTCGACGAGTTGGATTCGATCGCGAAGTCTCGTGGTGGATCGGTCGGTGATGCGGGCGGTGCTTCCGACCGTGTTGTCAACCAGCTTTTGACTGGTAAGTTACACACATTTCATGGCTGCTGGTTTCGTACTAACTTCTCTAGAAATGGATGGCATGACCTCCAAGAAGAATGTGTTCGTCATCGGCGCCACCAATCGTCCAGAACAGCTCGACAACGCGCTGTGCCGTCCCGGCCGTCTCGACACCCTCGTCTACGTCCCCCTCCCCGACAAAGAATCCCGTATCAGCATCCTCCAAGCCCAGCTCCGCAAGACCCCCGTCTCCCCCGACGTCGACCTCGACGTCATCGGCGAGCACACGCACGGCTTCTCCGGCGCCGATCTCGGCTTCATCACCCAGCGCGCCGCCAAGCTCGCCATCAAGGAGTCCATCTCCAAGGAGATTGAGCGCGTCCGCAATCTCCCTGAGGACACGGGCATGGACATCGACGATGAGGCGGAGGTCGAGGACCCCGTCCCCATGCTCACCAAGGCGCACTTCGAGGAGGCGATGCGCTCCGCCCGTCGTTCGGTCACGGACGTCGAGATCCGCCGGTACGAGGCTTTCGCGCAGAGCATGAAGAACACCGGTGGAGGAAGCTTCTTCAGGTTCCCGGAGGGGGCAGCCGCGGCAGAAGGCGCAAATGGCGGGTTCGGGCAGGGCGGAGACGACGAGGACCTCTACAATTAGATTTTCAGGTTACGGCAATAGGGTCCAGGAGGAGCTGGGCGTCCCGTCTAAGTAGCTTGCAGACTTCGCTAGAGGTCGTGCTCATGATTCGGCTACCCCCGACGCACACCGCATTTGTCTTTTCAACACGATTGATTTTCCCTGGTTGCTTTGTTTCCCTTCCCACTTCCCGCATTCCCCTGGGTTTCGTTCCTATGGACGCGGAGCTCGATAATGGAGGAACGATGGGGGGTTTTCGCTGAAAAATAGACATGATTAAGATAGTGCAATGCGACGTTGTGCCGTCTCCGTCGAAGGAGAGGCTTTTCTATATTGGGTTTGGTGATGGGACCTGTAGGCTGATGCCTCGGAGGCGTTGAACATTAGTACATTATTTCCAAAGCCAGGCATCGTATCATTAGCTGAACTCGATTTACACTACTTTACTCCGTATTCCTGTAATGTAGATATATCCCATCCATGTTTCCGTAATCTGCATGTGCTGTGGTAATGCCCGTCCTGGGTGTCATGACACCAGCCACCATCGCCACCATCGCCACCCACCGATTTTCGCCGAGCTCCCTTGTCAATTCGCCATCACCTCAACTCCGATCCATCGTCTCACCTCGCCAACTTTCAATCCTCTTTTCACCACCACCATTCCCATACCAAACCCCCATCCTCCCTCTCAACCGCGAAGGAACTCCATCCCTCGCCAATTGACCTCTTTTCCCTACCCCATCCCGACCCAAACACACCACATTCACAATGCTCACCGCACGCACATCCGCCGCGCTTCGTGCGCACCTCGGACGACGCATGACCGCCGGCTCCGCACGAACGACGACCGCCCGCATGCAATGGGGACAGGCAACGGGGCGGGCATATTCGTCGGGGCGGCCGGAGGCGAAGAGTAATGATCTGATTTGGTGAGTTTGAGCTATTTCCCTGGGCTGCTCTGTGGCGTTGGCATGTCGCCAAATGGTCATTGGGAGGCATTGGGTCTCAATGGATGGAACAAATGTTGATGTGGGGGATTATAGGGCGTTGGTGGCGACGGCGGTGACGGCTCCGGCGGCGTATATCTTGTGGGACGGCGGACAGAAGAAGTTGGCTGAGGTGAAGGCGCACGCGGCGCATGCACATGAGGAGCATGCGGAGGAGCATGTGGAGGGGGCGGAAACGACGGAGCAGGAGGCGAAGGAGGAGGAGAAGTCGGAGGCGGTTGAGGAGCCGAAGGAGGAGAAGAAGGAGGAGGAGGAGGTGAAGGAGGAGAAGGTGAAGGAGAAGAAGGAGGAAGAGAAGGAGGAGGAGAAGCCGGCTGAGGAGAAGCCGGTTGAGGAAGAGAAGAAGGTAAGTGTTTTAGACCGGCTCATCATCTAGAGGCACGCTAACATGTTGTAGGAGGAGAAGCCGGAGGAGAAATCAGAGGACAAGCCAGAGACCAAGTCGGAGGCCACGCCCGTCGAGGAGGCCGCTCCGTCGAAGGTACCGTTCCTCCTCGCGATCACTACATTCGTTCCAATCACATTACTAACGTCTGCCGCAGAAGGACGAGCCTACACTCGAGGCCGCGACGCCCGTGGAAAAGTCATAGAACGTGCATCACACCCCGCGTGCCGTGCCTTAGCGATGGATATCCGGAGCCAATGAAATTCATAAAAAGGGCCTGCCTATAGACATGCGTCGAAGTCGAGCGATGCCGCCGAAAATCCTGCAATTTTGTGTAAATATGTCGTTGCTTTTCGCTGCATGTTTTTCATACGTCCGTCTTTGGCAGTTGGTTGGTTGGGTTATGGGAGAGGAGAGGGGAGGAGGTGGAATAAATCTACTGCATTGATGGTGCGAGACTTGATACTCGATCTGAATTGGTCGAACCGGTGCCACTGGTAGTCGCATAACCCATGGTCAACAGTGCTGTATACGAGAAGTCCATCCAAGCCCTACCTTGCGAAGAGAGGAGCCAATTTAGTACCCCTCTCCCCCAGCATTCTCATTTGAGGTGGGACTCCAAACACTTATGGTACCTACTTTGTATTGTCAGCAGCAGTGCATGACTTGTATTATGAATGGGTTCGCTTAGGTAAACGACTTGCCCTACACGATTTATGGAAACACCAACCTGTTTAATGAAGCAGAAGCATAGACGATAGCGCTGTGGAGAGTGCAATCTATGCTCGTGACAAGGTGATGGAAAGCTTTCCTGGATATCACAATGGCTTTGGGATGCGATGTGACACTAACCGACCGATAAACCACCAACTGATGATCAATAGTACTAGCATCCTTCCGCATGTTGGATTATAGGTCCGTAGGCCCCAAGTCCGCCCATAATAATTTTAACCCAGGTCCCATAAAACCTAAAGGCGGTAGACTCCCGGATCGCCATAGGGCGTCCTCCATTGACGCCTCCCCAAGCCGTGGCGGCTACAGACGCGATGGGCCAATAATCTTCCCCCGCGACCCCAACGGCGACCCGTCACAATGTGATTTGACTCCGAGGGGTGTTCATCCTCGCCTTTCGAACGTGGACGAAACGGATGTACCGCGAGAATGAAATGAAGGCCTTGGGGGTAAGCTGTGGTCTGGTCGTGCTGACGTCCGCCGCTGGAGGATGACGGATCTCCTAATTATAACACTGATTACTGTCTCACCCAGCAGATACTCCGCGTCCCGATGTGTGTTTACAGTTCTCGAATCTAGATCAGGAACATCGCGGTCCTTCTTTAGGCGTCTGGGTGAGATAAGACTCAGCGGTTGTACAAGGCGCCCCTCCATCTCTGACGTCGGTTCCCGAACGAGTACACATATCATCATGGTCTACCATCACGATCCCCCACCAGCGCGTCCCGTCGCCCCGAACCACCATCCACCTGTCCGCTTCTCATGGCAAACCGACTCCTCTCGACCGTTAACCACACTAGCGACCAGGCAACATCACGTCCAACCCTCATCAACGAACAACATGACGCCACCGAGCGCTCGATACTCGTACATGAACACGCCGATCGAAATGCAGCAGGGACGGCCGTTCCCGCCCGCGCAACAGCGGCCGGCGGAGTCGACGATACCGCAGTCGCCGCGGTCGCCTGATGCGCCGGGGGGAGGGTATGCGTCAACACGATCGCAGACGTGGGAAGATGCGGCCGACGTTAAGAAGCAGTTGGTATCCACGCCCGTGGAAGGACACGCAGCGTACTACGCTCCAGGGCAGGACCAGTACCAGCATCCATCCGAGTCCGGCTATCGCCCACCCGAACAAGACACGCAGAAACCCTACCCACCTCCTGACGACGAGATGCAGAAGCCGACCAATCCTCCAACCATCCCCATCCCCATCCCCCATCCCCTCTTCTCCCCCGACTCCCTCCCACATCCCACCAACACCCCCCTCCACCAGCCCGGCCAAATCCCCCATCCTAACCTCGACCCTTCCGCCTCGGGAGGCAAGCAACGGTGGCGCCACGGGCTCTGCGAGTGCGGCGGTGCGGACGTGGGGACGTGTGTGACGGGGCTGTTGTGCCCGTGCGTGCTGTACGGGAAGACGACGTATCGGCTGGAGCGGCGGGGGCGGCGGGAGGATCCGACGGAGATGTTGGGGTGGAGGTGGCTGAATGGGCGGTGTGGGATGATGGGGGTGGCGTGTGGGTTGTGGTGTGAGTTCTTCCTTTTCCTTATTCCCTTAGGCGGTGGTACCCTCGATTTTTCGCTTAAGGCGTCGTCGGATCTGCCACTGACAAATGGCGACCACAGGTCTCTTCCCATTGTTCAATCGCACCCGCATCCGCCACCTCTACAACCTCGAAGGCTCCTTCGGTGGCGATCTGGTCGACGCGTGCTGTTGCTGCTGCTGCGTGACGGTGCAGTCGGAGCGCGAGATTCGCGATCGGGAGGAGAAGGCGAGGCGGTGGGAGGGGCCGGGGCAGGGATACGTGCCGCCGGATCCTATGGTGTATGCGCCGCCGCCGCGGTGATGGGGTTGGGGTTGACTGGTAGTTCTGTTTTGGGAAGGGTAGGTTGCCATGGTGCTCGGGATGGGGAGGCGTTGAAAACACGCGACTCTTGTTTGTGTGCCTCTCTCTGTTACGAATGATGATTCGGATATCCACTTCTGAGCGTTCGGGTGTGTATATACCGAGCAACTTCGATAGGGTCGGGATGGGGGCCATTATCGTGTCGGTGCTGGTAAGCAAGATCGTGTCTCTCGTAACCGACTCGGGGGGGTTGACTGTCAAATAAATATGCCTGTGAGGGGAAGTCAATAGGTCTCAGCGCCGACAGTAAACAATGCGAGATTCCGTCATGATGATGCATATCAATTTCCTTTATCGACAAATGCTGTGGGGTATCGAATTACATGCCGACCTACTCCGATTCCCAACCTAATCCACATAGGAAAATCCACAACCGAAGAATAACCCAAGGATGAGGTCGAAGACCCGCCGAGTCTACCATGTTACTCCAACAAAAGGAGAGGATCGAAGTGTGAAAGGTTCGAGTTCTCTCCTGGTGGTACGTCATACAGAGGCCGAAGTCGGTGAGTGTGATCGTAAATTACAAGCGATAGAAAAGAAGGCCGTGTCCATACTCCAGGACATTGCCGTTTGATATATGGTTGGTATTCGTGATTTCGTCATGGTTCCCGGGCTAAGCATTGCTTAATCAAGCATTCCATGGCTATAGAAATAAAGTCAGTGATAGCCGGGTCGAAGAGAACAATGTGGTCCTTACCGAGCCATGACCGACCCCAAAACATCCATATCCAACCGTCGATCGTCGGGCAGTTCATCCACCACGGGAACCATGCCGGCGACCTTCTCTCCCCCTCGGTAGGCGATTAGCGCCGGAACGCCAGCGATGTCGATCTCCGCTTCTTCGTAGTGGAACTTGACGAAGCGGGTGGTGTCGTATGCACGAGCAAGCTCGTGGACAACGGACTCGATCTCGTGGGAGACTCGGCTCTGTGGCACAACGTTAGAAACATCCAGGAGTGTGCGGGGCGAGAAGCATACCTTGTCATCGTAGATGAATACCACGACCGTTGTGTCTGGAGCAACCTTCTCGATCGCATCCAGATACCCCTCCCCATCCACCGTCACCAGGGATCCGAACACCCTCCTATTCTTCCTCGGGCTTGCCGTCCTTGCCCTCTTCTGCTGCAGTTTCAACTGCTCGGGCGTCTGCATCTCCCGCAATCGGTTCTCCCTCCACCTCGACAGGAAGCCATCGTCACCATCCTCGTCCAGAGCGCGGTCATCGTCCGACGAGCTCGGGCTGCGGTTCTTCTCGTTGGAGGGGGAGAGCATGGTGCGGGGGTTCAGGCGCAGGGTGCTGAAGCGGCTGGTCTTCTTGGCTTTTTCGAAGGCTAGGGCGTCGGCGATAACGCCTTTGGGGCCGGTGTTGCCCTCATAGCGGCCTTTAGGGAGGAAGTAGCGGGACCGCATGTCGGTGGTCGAGGAAGAGGCGTGGTAGAGGTCGTCGTCGTCGTCGGCGTCTTCGTCGGAGGCGGCACGGTTTCGGTGGGAGGACCGAATACCACGAGAGCGCTTCTCGGTCTCGGATGAGGAGTGTTGAGGACTGCCTTCGATATCGGAAAGGCCGGCGTCTTCGTAATGATGTGATGGACGATCCTTCTCGCTGAAGAGCTTGTTGTATTCTTCCTGTGCTTCTGACATGTTGTAGGGAGAAAAAGTCGTCGGGTTCGGGGACCAGGTGAGATCTTATGCGTTTGAGCTTAGGGCACTTCACGCGGGCAGCAGGGGAGGGACAGCGGGACGGTGACCGGGATTTCAGGATTTCAGGATTGGCAGGTTTTCTTACTAGGTTCAGAACGTGTGGTGGTGAGAGCGTGATAGCGGTAGCCGATACGACTTGGGACTTAGGAGTTAGGACGTAGGAGTCAGACTGGAACTCCGAACTCAGGAGTGGTGGACCATGGGCCTCGTGCGCAACAAGGAACATGTGGTGCTGTGGCCGAGTGAAAAAGCGCCGATCTTCCGTCATCAATGCACGATTCTAATTTCTATGGGTTGACGTTGTTTCGAGCCTTGAGGCCACTTCACTGAGGCTTAGAAGGCCCCAGGCTGAAGATTGCGTAGGAAGAAGACCAATAGCCGGTCTGTGTGTGTGTTAGCACTTCTAGACTCCTGAATTAACTGGTCAGGGAAAACTGGAAAAGGGGGGATACACATGATGGTGGTTCAGCTGCACAATTGGGACAGGCCCCAGGGTCAATGCAAGCAGGGCATGAAATCAATGTAGTCACTTTGTATTGGGATTGGTAGGCAGTTCATTCGCTTGCAGATTCTTGCAGCTCAGCCATCTGCAGTCCTCATTCCTCAGTCGTATTGGTGATTAGAGACAGGAGAAACCGAGAAAAGGTAATCCTCATGTTTCGGATTGGACGTTGGAGGAGAAGCTGGCAGCACATCCATCGCCACGTGTAGCCCCTGCATGGCATCTTGCCCTACCGTGATTAATTCTTATTTTTTCTCCTTGGCTTCGTCTGCCACTAACCCCTTTTCTAGTTCGCGCATGGTGGAATCACTAGAATGTGCAGTGCTGATGCGCTGGAAATCTCTCGGTGACCGGTGCGTGTCTCTCTTCACTCTGTGGCCGTCACGGTGTCGGGAGTCCCGTCTAGACTCTTATAGGTCTACCACATATGCAAGGATGGTCCCATCGTTGTTTGACGGTCTTCTTTGAAACGTCCAACGAGTCAGCCTACCAGAGACTCAGAGTTGAGTTTCGCATGAGTCGCATCAAACTGACACCTTCAATTTTCATCGGAGGTGGTCCACCAGGAGGGACAATGCCCGTTTTCCCACCACCGGGACACTCCGATATCCGGCCCCGATTGAAGGTGGACGAGCAGTGAGAGCGTTTCAGAAAACATCCAGCGAACCAAATATAGGATCCTGAATTTCTGAAGGGTTTCAGAGTGAACGACAGACACTCACGCCATATGACGGAGCGTAACGGAGCGTAACGGAGCGTAACGGAGCTGGACGTCCTCTGCGAAGATGAACCCCAGGCCCCAGCCCACGGACTCAATGCCTAACGGTCAACGTCCTTCTAGCGTGTTGCTAGAACATCGTAGCGTACCCGGAAATCCATGGAGTGGCATGGACAATATATTCGAGCCGCTGAGACCACGTAGAAGATTAATCTCGATTAGACCAATCAATTAGTTTGTGAGATGACTAGACATGGGAATGGAGATCCCAGTAACATCGGATCCAGATATACGGATCCAGCACACAGAAGGCATCTTCAGGACTAGGCTACTACATATCATGATACCGGTTCTCCAAATCTTCACCTCGTCACCGTAATCATCCGCAGATCAGCACTCATCTTCAGGCGACCACTTTGAGACCGCAATCATGCCCTTCTCAACTCCCCAACCCCTTCCCAATCTCAGATGGAACCATCCGACCAGCGATGATATCATCATGCGTGTCCACCAAACCGACGTACCTACATGGTCCTGCATCGGCCACCTGCGGTGTCACCGACAATGCGAGGCAGGCGATGCACGAAGGCGGACCTGATCGTACTATGTATAGTACGAAGCCGTGCAAGTCGAACGTACTGTACTGAGGATAGGACGGCCACGACCTATCTGATTTTAGAACCTGCGTGATGAGGGTCGTAGCGAAGGCGGTCGTAAATTCGCACTCCGGATCGATGGTCAGTTCACGCTTCTCGAGCGTCGCGGCAGAAGAATGGCCGGGTGCAAAGGATTGATGGCGGATCCCAAGCACTGTGCCCATCACCAACACGACATCAGTCAATCACGATAGTAACACCCCTCAACCCCTCCGGTCGATCATCAAAAGGGCAGTCCATCAGTCCATGACGCCATCCCATCTCAACTCTCGACTCAGGCTCAAGCGACGTCGCCGTGCAATTTGATCCAAATACCCTCGAGCCTCCCTACCCGGCGGAGATCCCCACCCTTGAGCGGCACAGAGTAAGACATGGATGAAGGGCCGATCTTTGACACTTGGGAGTCACAAGAATAGACTATCGCGCGGCGTGTAAATGGGATGGAGCTCTCTGGTTTTTTGTTGCGTTGGTTGCTGTCCTCGGTTGTCTGTACAAGAAGTTCCCTGGGGTGTTGGTGATAGCTGTTCCTTATATCCAGCCTACATCTACCCTCACCAGCGTTCAGTCCGCTCGCTTCGATTGGGATGCAATCGACGAGACTTCCCACCTTCGAACTAGGCAATCGAAGGCTGGATCTCCGGTCTCTCCGAACCAACCCACGCCATAGGATCGTGAAAGCAGGGTAACTGTTAACGGACTCATATTCTCACAAGCACGAGCGAATCTTGAATAAAGCGTACAAAGAACACCTCAGCGGCATCGAGACCCCGTTCTTCCCCATTTCCCTTCCCGTTCGATCCTTGCGTAAACGTTGTCGGTTCCTTGCGCATCCTATCGCCCCCGTTTGAACGATGTCGGCGTTCCTGTAACCTCGCACGACTTCACCGTGCCAAACAGCACAGGCCGGACCGCTTCCACTCCCCTCCACTGCGTTCGATACCCTACGAAACTACCGCACTCTCTTAGATGCGAGGGAAGGGAGACGCGAAGAGAAAATAACCGAAAGGGGAAGGAAAATGCCGATGCGCACGAAACCGCCACGGAATAGGAGATCGGGGAAAACTTGGGAAAGGGGATCTGGGGAGATGAGCGTGAGAAAGCGACGGGGTCGGAGATATCCAAGACGCCGACGAATCGTCTGAACATCTTTCCCACTGCGGGTCTGACACTTGCCCATCGACGGTGTTCTTTCAATGAGACGGGTGAGAAGGGGGAATGGAAGGCTGTGCGAAGGGCCGGGAAAAAGGTCACAACACAACTTCATTGTTCTCATTACGTTCCACGCCCGCGGTTTCACGAACCTCCAACCTCCAACCCCTACCCAACCCTACTCACGCGTCCTGACGTTGAAGAGAAAAAAAGGGGTCGGAGAGAAACAAACAAACAAACCAAGACCGTGCTTGATGGAACACGGTGATTTCCCCGAACCGGGGGATCATCACCCGACGGCGGTCTCTCCTTCGGCTTGATTTGTAGTTTCGAACAATAATTGCTTGCAAAGGAGGTGGAACAAGACTTGGAATGATTGCGCCCCAATTCGTGCCGTTCGAACACCGGTCGAGAGAAAGAAAAAAACACAACAGATCAAATCGGAAAGCCTTCCACTCCACGCCAAAGTTTGAGGGTGTCAATACTTTTTCCCGGGGAGGACGGAACGGAAAAACTCGCACCGGGAATGCTGAAATCGCGATATCGAAGAAAGGGAGGCGAAACATGGGGGCTTCTCAGAGGAGGGACGGGGAGGAAATGGAACGGTGATTCGCGTCGTGGGGTATTAGATGTTCCAGGGCGGGTTGGATGTCGTATGTATGAGGTTCAGGAAAACGACCATGCAAGGCTTAGGCCCAGATTCGGAGCTGTTGGAGAGAAAACGGATTAGCAGCCAGATCGCTTAGAATTTACGACAAGATCTGAAGTCAACATACCATTGAATCCCAAGACCCGGTGCACAGACTGATCGCATCATTGCTCACACCCAAGCAGCTCACGCGGTTGTCGTGTCCTTGTAGAGTACCCACGCGTTCACCTCGAAGCACATCCCAAACCTATAGGCCAATGAGTTATTTGTTTCGACCATCGTTCTCGTTGGAAAGCATACCTTGCACTCAAAATCGTCATAACCAGCGAAGAGAAGACGCCCTGAAACTGAGAAAGCAACCGATGTGATCCCGCAAACAGGCTCACCGATCTGGAAAGTCGTCAGTTGGTGGATACTTGCAACGAGAATCGCAACGGGACGGCCTGCAAGCCGATCCCTTGCGCCAATATGTACGCACCGTGTAGCTCTGCAATTCCCGGTCGGCGCGAATGTCAAACAGACGGCAAGATGCATCGTCGGAACCGGTACCGAACGCGTTACCGTTCGGGAAATACTGAATCGCGTTGATATCCGAATCGTGCGCCGCGAACGTCTGCACGCATTTCTGCGCGCGGATGTCCCACAGCTTCGCGAACGCGTCGCACGCGCCCGACACGAACTGGTTGTTGTCGAGCGGATTGATGCTCAGGCTCATCACGTCGCCCAGGTGGTCGGCGAACTCGTGGATCTTCGCGCCCGTCTCGACGTCCCAAAGGACACAGGTCATGTCGCCGGAGGAGGTCAGGATGCGGCGGTCATTGATGAACCGACAGCAGCTGAGGTAGCCGGAGTGGCCCGAGAGCTCGCGAGCGACGCGCGTGGGCCCTTCTCGCGCCGACAGGTTGTAGATGGAGCAGATGTTGTCGAGGCCACCGCAGGCGACGTAGTTGCCGGACGGTGAGTAGGCGCAGGTCATGACCCAGGAGGAGCGGAGGGGGATGGCATGGACTTTGTTGGTCGTGTAGGCGTCCCAGATGATGAGTTTTCCATCCTGCGATGCCGAGACGAGATGTCTTCGGTCCGTGGACCAATGCATCGCGTAGATTTTGGCGAGATGGCCTTTGAGGGTTCGCTTGGTTTTCATCGCAAGCCTGGGAAGTTGGTCGACTCGTGACCGGGCCACATCGCGCACTAAAGACCACATCAATTAGCGAATCCATCGTGTCAATTAACGGATATGAACGAAGATAAGTCGATTGCAGCAACGGTCGACCGACGACACGTCGGATGCATTGGAAGGTCGACGGAGCTGGAGGAAGCAGCTTACGTGTTGTGTCGGCAAGTTCATCCTTCTTTCGCTTTATCCGGTCCTTCAAAGCTTCTGCATCGCGGCGAGCGGCTTGAATGCGCTGTTGGAGGGTATCAGCGTTCATGTCGGACATGCCAGGTGGTCGACGAGGTCGAATCGCTGATCGTAGAGCGAGAGAGAGGAGAGAGCGACGACCAAAGGAGGAGAAGTCAGAGGACAATCAGCAATCACAGCCCAGGGATAGTGGAGATGCGAGGTGGTCAAGCGTCCACTGTTCGGGTACGGCACAACTAAAATACGAGGTATGAGTTGGGGTGGGGGGGAGCCGAATCACAACGGGGAATGGCAATGACGAGAACAAGGCAGATGATGACAAAATGAAGATTCGGTGATGGCAGAACGGAAGTGGGACGATTGAGGAGTGAGAGGAAGACCGAGAGCTGGAGATCCAAGGTGGTCGGACTAGTGGTAGTAGGCCAAGGCCCGAAGCTGGAGCAGTTGGTCGGCAGACTAGTGGTTGTACCGTGTATTAGGCACTAGGTATACCGTATAGGTAGGCTGAAGAATAAGAAGCAACCAAGTCCGTGAGGATGGAGGAAGTATTATGAAGCAATGAATTCCAAGGACGAGGTTGCGCCGGACGTGGAAGAGGAACGTGCGGAGTAGTGCGATACGGTGGCCGGTGCAGCGATGGTATGTGCGCCGGATGAGAGGGAAATAGGATAGACAAATAGGATGGAGAATTAGAAAGTTGAAGGATAAGGTTGAAGGATGAACGTCGTGTAGTGGTGCAGTTAGAGTCTGAGGAGCGAGGAGTGGGTTGCCGCAGCGAGATTATTGATGGATTCGGTTGAGATCTGGTGCCGATGGGGAACGGCGGAGAACTGGCTGTCGAGTGGAGAGGGAGGGAAGGATGGGAGAGAGAGACGGGGGAGTCAGTTTGGTCACTGGAGTGTCTGTGTGCCCAGTACCAGCCCAGGACCCAGGACTCAGCAAAGGAGTGTGTGCTGGTGCAGTCCTGACTTATAGAGTGTGGGTGATGGAATAATAGTATGTAGAATAACAATACTGGAATTCCACTCTGACTGTCACTGGGCCGAACTTTGAATTGAAGAAGCTCCTGCTTGTTCTCCTCTCTTCTATATCGAGATGTATAAGCCTATCAGGCGTCATCTTCTGCTTCTGTTTCTTCTGCTTCTTCTAGATTCTACAGACTACAGCCGCACAGGGATTATTAACATTGCAGGTTCTACCTAACTGCGGACTAACTCCTAAGCCCTTCCATAGACTCGTAATGTTCATAGAACAGAGCCAGGGAGAGCAGCCTTAGAGAGAGTTAGAGGCGACAAGGTCGAAGCACTGGTCGGCGGTGCGCTGTGCGGATGTTCAACCCTAATTATTATCGACGGATTGGTCTTTTATGGCCCAGTTAAACCTGTTTCCAAGCCTGGACCTAGTTCAACTGGATGATGGATTTGCTGCTAGGACGAATCACGAACCCCTCGAAATATGAACAAGCTATTGAAGCCTCAATATTAATGGGTACAACGGCTTCTGTTCATCCTGACCATTAAACACTTGGTACAGTTATGGATTGAATATAAACTAATGATACCTCTAGATCTAATGTGCGGTTCGTATTGTTACCGGTTTATGTATCATATCTGCTCCCTCTCCTGCTCCTTCCAATTCCCTTGCGCGCTTCCTAGTTTGGCTTGGAAAGTCGGAATGAATGAAATGGGAGTACGATGTCGCTACTTACTCCACCAATTAGCGGTCCGTGCTTCATCCCGCGCTTGCCTTCTTTGCTTCACTTCCCCGGCTTCCCTGCCTGCTCATTTCTCCAAATCTCTGCTCAGTGCTCGCATTGTCCTCTCCCCATGCCAACAGCCAATATTCAATAATGGTATGTATGGAATATTCTTAAGCATTATCCTTTGCTCCTTCCTGATCTGGTATTATGATGATATCCCAACCCCTTCTGCGTTGGCTTGCTGTAACTCAGGTACGTGTCTATGCAGTATTATGCAGCTCGCCCTGACAGTGCCGTATTATCCCTGAATCGTGAATTCCCTTTTGGATTTGCCCGACTTTGCTTCGATGTTAGTAAAACGGGGTTTCATTCTTATTTCTCCGGGTTTCCCCCCTCCGGCTTTTCCATCTGACGCCCCGGCACACCGGATCCCCTCCCTGCATTTCTTCACTCCTTCTGGACTTCTAGTCTTATGGCTGAATTCAACGGAACAGCCCGAGTTGAATGCCGCTCATCTGGCCGCAGTTTGTACCGTCAACGGTGACACCACTAAGCACCGACACCATCACAACCGCGATCTGCAGGCTGCAGCGGTACAGCGCCTCCCATTCTGCAGGAATAAAACGATTCTTTTTCCATTCCCACCGATATACCCAAATCAGGTAATATTCCGTACGTCCCTTGATACCTATGACCGCGGAGCCCAGATTCCCAACCCCGAGCCCACAGCAACATCCATCCCCTGCCCGTCACAATGCAAGGAAATAGAGGGCGTGAATGGTCTGCAATCACATCGGTGATTGGACAGTTCCACCGACTTTAATTTGACCCGCACTGTGTTCGGTCGAATGGTCGTGCCCGCATCAATCATCAGTCATGTTCGCGGGTTTGCCGCAGGTCCGCTGCTCGAGCCGAGAATTAAAGGTCCGTACCACCATGTAATATGGCAATTGGGGCATTGACATACCACAGTCCTACTAATAATGATGGGTTCCCCCGCTGTGTATTAAACGCGGAACACTATTCCATGAAGCCGTTTCATCAATGACCCTCTCGATGAGGCATGATAAGTCCCGATTTGGTGTATCGAGCTTCGTATCGGGCCTTGCAGCCTCCATCCCATTGCCAGGACGATTTCTCATTATTAGGGGAATCAAAAAACACCGGTATTTCGGCACTGGTGACGACTCTGAGCGCAGCGCCCGATTCCGTGTGGTCAACGTGTTTCGAGCTATTCGTAATCAATATCTCCGTTGATAGGGTTCTGCATTGTCAAAAGACCCGAGGCTTTGTGTCTGCCTGCCTGGCCTCCGACGCGCTGGTAAACGATGCGAGTCATTCCCAGCGCATCTGGTAGATGAACTTTTGGGGACCAATCCCGGTTCCGTGAAATCATATCGATCCCGATGTGGTGGATTGGTCATGGACGACGGAGGTCGTGGGCGTGCATGCCGAGTTTGTAAACCATGTCAAGGCCATGATGGACGTCCTGGGCCCGATCGGGACTGCTTTGAGGTGATATGGCTGCACGTCGATGATCTGCACAACTGCTACTGGTGGCATTCGGTATCAGGTGCCCGCATTGGTAATCCCGTGTGTCTCTATAGTTCTACAGAGCAGTCAGCAGGTGCCAGGTATATGCAATATATGATCCACAAGCCGATATCCGACATGAGTGAACATCCGAATGCCTTGCATGTGCCTGAACATCATGGGTCACGTGCAAACGCGTCTTGGAGAGATTATTATGGGTCCTGCATCACGTCTTTCTCGCGCCCGCTGCGCTGCGTTGCCATCAGAGGTGTGAATAAAGTTGGAATACTATGTATAACAGTATTGCAGATACTGTATGGATAATGGCTTTGCCACTGGCTCTGAAGTCACTCTATGTCTACAGCATTTCTCCAGTCCCAGCCCTGCCGATCAAGGTCTGAATTGCCTCATCCAATTCCACATACCAGTAACCATTTTGTAGAGCACAGGACGCTCTATCTCTTGAATGCATCTCCGGGTTTGACTACGCCCCCAAACTCTGTCCGGCTATCACCTATCATTGGATGCTTATACTGAAATAACAGCTCCTCTCCTGTCACGATGGGACGCAAACTACGAAGCCAAAAGCGCCAGACCCGCCTCACCTTTGATCCTGTGCCTGCAGATCACGAGGTGCTGGCTGCCGCTCATCCCGCTACTCGGAAACGAGCGGCGTTTGTTGGATATGAAGGCTCACCTGTGAAGAGGCGAAGGGTGGATGCATGGGAAGCAGGAGACGATCATAAAGAATCAAGCGATAGCCCGAACTTGCATGGTGAGTGATACCTGTACCTGTTCAAGCTCAATATATGCCTATCCTCGCGTCCGTCTCTAACACAGGCTGGAGAAGTCTGTTGAGGAAATCCATTTGAGTTTCACATGTTTATATATCCCATCAGTAAATCCAAGTCTGTGGCTCACTTTTGACTTTTCAGAAAACGACATCTCCAAGAATTCCAGAGATAGTCCTAAACAGCCACCCCAAAACTCATCACCTTTGCCTAAGGATGACTCTGACGGGATGGTTGCACCTCCAAGAACAATTGCTCTACGAAACCATCGCCGAAAATCTCAAAAGCAACTGCATTTCGCCGAAGACGGTCCGCTAGAGAAACCGAGAGAGCCAGCAACCATACCATGGAGCAGCTCACCAGCGACTCGTCAGGCCCGGGAATCACGTGCGGGTTTCTTTGGTTCAGATGCACCAGTGATTAAGAGCTCTTGGAAGGCTCGTCGTCGTTTGCTGGATAGTGATGACGAGGACGATACTGAGGGTGAGGGTTGCAGAAAACGGATTCCGGATGAGTCCGATCACTCGGATGGGTCCGAAGAATCAAGGCCCTCGAATCAAAAGAGCAAAGGGAAACAGAAAATGAAGCAGAGTTCGAAGCATGGTTCAGATGCAGCAGGGGATGGGGATTCCGATACGGGCCATGATGAAGCTGATGACGATGTCCCCTCGTTAAAGAGGAGCCGGAGTGCCGTAGCTGTGAATCCCGAAGAGGTTTCAAGCGACGAGGATGATATTCCAGTGCGCTCCTCAGCATTGAAACGCCGTCAAGTCTTCCGTCGTCCTTCTTCCCCTGTCCAGGTTAACTCTGACTCCGACGAGGAAGAAGTGGAAGAGGAGGATGACTCGGACGTGCCCCGAAGTGCAAGAAGGCGAGGCACCAGGCTATCAAAACAGCCACGACCTAGTCTGCGAGAGCTATGGGAGGAAGCGGATTTGGCCGAGGATCTCGAATTTCTTGAGTCTTCGCCTCCTCCAGCGCCTCACAGTCGTGGTGCGCGGTCATCACAGGCAACGCCGAAGAAAAGCAAGAAGTTATCTGCCCTCGAAGAGCTTCGTCGGCGCCGACAGAGGCAAATTGAGCCAAGTGCAAACTTGCCAGTACCTCTCGTCGACGAAGACGAAGATGAAGGCTTGGAAGAGGAAGAGGACGCGGAAATTGTCGACTACAATGGAGAAGACGATGTTGATGAAGAGGATTTCATCGTCGAAGACGATCCCGACGATCCGCTTGGCGCGCCTGAGATGCCCTTGCAATTCACCAGAATGGGCACCGCAAAGGCCAAAGACTTATTCCAGCATGCGGTTGCTTGGATGGTGCATAAGAAATTGAACGCCCGATTCCGCATGGACGATGAAATCTATCAGCTCACCTTCCGTAAACTCAGCGACGAAGTCAAGGGTCTGGCTGGCAGTAAGTTTATGAGCTCGATCTGGAGACCCGATTTCACTCGAGCATTGCGCTCTCGGCCAGGAATTATCATGGAAAACGTGGGCATCGAGGCTATGGCGCATTGTGAAGCCTGCAATCGAAAATCCCACCCAGCGACTTGGACCGTCCGTTTCGAGGGCAAGCCTTATGACCCGGAGACTCTCGACGAGCTCTACCTCAAAGACAGTAGCTCAAGTTCTGAAGATGACGAGGAAGGATCGAATGAACAACGGAAAATGAAGGCTCGAGGGCCTGATTACGATGCACAAGGCAACGAACTCCCTCCCGAGCGGAAGTTATTCTACGTGGGCGTCCACTGCAAAGCCAATGCGACCACGGCGCATACACTGACGCACTGGAAAATCCACCTCTACGAATGGGTGGTGGACTACTTGGCTCAGAAGGGTCATTTAGCCGCCGAGAAGATCGTCGACCGTGATTCCTGGAGCGACCGAAAGAAGGAGAAGTTCGCGAACCGGGTTGCGAAAGGGATGGTGGACGATGGCGAGGTGAAGAGGCTGTATCGCGATTTCCATCATAATGTGGACGATGCGCGGGATGCAAAGGTAAATCTTCAAGATCATGTTTACCCCGAGTCGTCGCACCGGTGCTAACAGTTGCTAGCAACAATACGGCCGCTGGGGACACTGATGGCAGCTCAGCATCGTGGGCGTCCACATTGAGCGATGATATGCAGCATGCATGGATGGGCGAGACGTGGGTCTTACGGATTCTATATCGCACTATTTGGGCATTGATGAAGCTCATGATCGTCACGAGAATACGATGATATCCCCTGCCTAAACATCTACCCCATCCCCACACGCCGATCTGAGTAATTCGAATCTCATGTCGCTGTTCAGCTCAACAGAGTGAGCATCATCCATCCAGCACTGAAATCCTTAAATGACGTCACACACTCGTACCCCAGTTCTGCAATCTCCATGCTGTAATTGTGAGCGACAGATCGTAAGATGAAAGCGAGCTTAGGTATTTCCGTTTAAGGCATCTTGTCCTCGTATCCTGAAGCATTGGTGCTTCTGCTTCGCATCTTCCTAGTAATACCATTAGAGAAACTCCGACATTGTACCCTATCCAAGCAGAAGTAATACTTAACCGGGACAACTTAAATATTTACTTTTTTTTTACTACACCGATTTGTACCAATTACCAAAACAGGAAACCGTATTAGCTAGTTATCCAAAGTTACAATGGGAAACGACGCTGACCAGCCGCCACTTCAATACATTCCGATCCCTTCCATGAGTCAGGAGTGGGGTGTGATGCTCGGTTTCATAGGTAAATTCCCGACCCTGCACCAAGCGTCGTCTCGATCCGACTTAATCTAATTTCGGTGTGCCAGGTCTGCTAATCACTAGCCTGGTTGTATATATCGTCTTCTGGCGCCTTGGAGAAAGGCAAAGGAAGCGAAAGGAAGCGAAGCGTGTCGCCGATCTACGGGCGAGGGGCATCTTGAGAGACGAGAAGTAGGGTGTCGCTGTCACATATTGAGGCTGCCGTGAGGAAGTCCGAAGCCGCTACGCTATGAATTGAGCAAAAATAAATGAATGGAGAGGGTCGGGAAATAGATGCCGCGGCTCGTTTCGCCCAATGTATCTCGCGAAAATGGCAACTTGCCATACTATGTCCATGCAACTGAGTCGATATTTCTGAAAACAGCCGAAGGATTCAATGCTGATGGGTATCTAACTGATTACTGCCTCCAAGATCGCCGAAGAACGAAACGTAAAGTTAAATCCCACTATGCATATGGAGCCCAGCCGGCAAATAAGACGGCAAGGTTCTGTGCATCCGTCGCTTGCTGGATTAGCTCATTTACAGTCGCCGCAACGCTCAAGTCTTTGGTGAGCTTCTTTTCGACGGCAGATAAAGCTCTACTTGCCTCTCCGGCCTCGTCCGGTTTGTTGGACGATGACTCAGTCACCCCTCCCAGCGGGCCGACTTGGTCCTCGACTTCTTCCTCATCCTGCACTCGTTTGGCTTTCAAAGGCGATATCGTCCAGCTGTACAGGGGATCATAGCGAAGCACGTTGAGAAGTGTCATGATACTTCCTTTCTCCTCCCGAAGCGCATCAAGCGTAAACTCGCAACAACGCCTGAACACGCCCTCGGTCTTTGTATAGCCCATCGCATCTACGATGTCCCGAGTCAGTCGGAATGGAACCACTTCAGGAATGGGCAGGACACGTCCCGCCTCGAATGCCACTCCAAGGTCGATATGGACGACCTCGCCCGTCTTTGAGTCGAGAAGAATGTTCTGAAGATGACGGTCGCCTAGGCCTAAAACATGCCCAAGTATGGATATGGCAGCGGTAGTCCGGGTGTAGGCGAGTCGCTTTTCGAACCACTCATCCGGGTCGGAATAATTTTCAAAGAAGAAATGTCGGAGAACCGGATGGTATCGATCCGCTACGTCTTGATAAGCTTTCAGCCTGGATTTTGGATCGCTGCCCGTAGCCTCGTGGACCCGCTTCCGGCATTCGGAAGCCTTTATGTCTTTGGGGTAATACCGTTCATGCGCTGGCGCAAGGAAATCGTTTAGGGAGATGGTATCTTTGACGAACTCAATAACCCCGGAGCGGGGAGTGAGAGGGAGGACTTTGTAGGTCCGAATCTTGAGATTTCGCCGACGCGTATTGAAATGGTCACCGAGGAGCCTGCTAACGTGTTCAAAAACTTGCTCCATGATCGCATCTTGTCTGAGGTCATCAGAGCCTCCTTTGACCTAGCAATTTATTAACCGAGACCTCAGCAATAATCTGTTCGGAACTTACCAGCTCTTTGAAAGTATTCCCATCCGATGTCACTGCGGTGATGATCTTTGGCGTACTAAGCCCCCCGGCTATTTTCATCGTGGTCTTGTAGCGCTCGACAACGGGAACGCTGGAATAGTCACAATCGCTGCGAACTAGGACGTTGAAGCTGGGTGGAGGAACACCAAGGGCAGGGACTGTCTTTATAAGCCTCTTTGTCGCGGAAAATCGGTCCAGAGACAGTTCTCGGCCAGGTTGCAGCTTTTCTCCACGCTCCCCGTAGATGGGATGGGACGCCTCGTGATATGCGGCATCGGAGAGATCGATGTTTGACCACGTCCGACTTGACCGTTTGTTGCCTTTCAGGAGAGCTGCGATGCGTTTCGCTGCGTTTATCTTAGACAGTAGAATTTCGTCAGCCCCTCCAGGTTGTCCGCTCTTCCCTATCTTCTCCAACTTCGTCCCAGAATGGATGTGATGCATCGCATGGAAGGGATGATCCACGCAGATCCGAACGACCAAATCCGACAGAAGCGTCTGAAATTTGGATTGGTCCGTTTGCAGTCTCGAGGCTATTTGGTTCATGAGGAACACAAATTTCCTCGAGGGGACTTTGTCTAAGTGTTTCCCAACGGCAGTATTCGCGAGGTCCATCTCACAAAACTCGAGCCAGAGTGCAAAGAAACGGAGGACACTTAAGTCGAAGTCGTCGCATGCTGTCAGCCCAAGGAGGTAGTTCTCAAGACTCCGTACAAGAAGATTTTCTCTGCTGTCTTTGATTCTTTTGAGTTCACGAGTCTCAATGTCAGTCCATCTTCGGACAGCTACCATTTTGCTGGTGTATTCGTTTTTTGCTTTCTCAACCTTTGGGGTCTTCATGAGATCGCGATATGCCTGAATTTCTGCTTTCTGACGGTCGATGATCCTTTGGATTCGATCCATTTGTTCGGCATGATCTCCACTCTGCAACTGGCGGTCACAGAAAGTGGCGAATTGATTGTAGACTTGACCTGCGGCCGATCCCTGTGAATGTGGCCTCAAACCGTGAATCGCTGGTTGCAGGTACTCTCTGATAATGTCGTCCGGCTTCTCCAACCGTGCTTCATCCAGTTCGAATGCCTGGTCAATGATTAGCAGAAGAAGTTCGCTCGACCGGGATCCTTACCAATCGTGCAAGCAGAATTGGTCGATTCGATGCCGCACCTTGTGACTTCCGAGCAGTTGTGCCGTTGTTTAGGTTTTGGAGCATCTGGATCGAGCTTTGGTGCTCTCCCTGGTCCCACAGAACCAAGGCCGTCTCGTACTCGATATCCGCTTGGTAATTGAGCTGCAACGCGTTGTATCGTCTTGCAATCTGATTGAGATACGCCACAGTGGAGAGAGATTCCTGTACAGCATGATGGCTCCTGGAGACCTTCGCGGAAGCAAGCAATGAATCGAGTTCGAGTTTCTGGAGAGCCTGCCCCGACATGTGGAAATGGTCATGCAATCGTTCGTTCTCTCGAAGGGTGCTGAAGATAGTTTCACGCCGTGACATTATGGCCTGCACATCTTGAAACCTAATAAGACGCCTGTTAACGGATTCAACATATGAGTGGTGCATCTCCTGACTTACTTAAAATCCTTCAGGAGCTCATTTCGGGACTCCATGGTCTGTTGCACTTCCGAGAATTGTTCTATTCCCTTACAGGAGGCCAGATCGTCGATCTCAGTCAAAGTTGCCAGTGCTCTTAATTGTCCATTTGCCAAGATGTCCCAGTCAAGAGAATCCAAGGCGTTCAGCGTCGTCAGGAACGCCGTGTCAATTTGCTGTTTGACGAAGCTTCCATTGGGAGCGTTGCGAAGGCCTTGAAGAACCCTATACAGTGTCGACGACTCATTTGTCGTAGACTCAGGTGCCCGCACGTTCCACTCCTCGAGCCGTCTAGCAGTGTTGAGGACGCTGTCCGTGAGATTCAGCTTCTGGTTTTGGAAGACGCCGGCCGTCGGTAGTACGTGGGCGAACGTCAAAAGATTCATCTGAGTTAGAGCTTTGATCGCGCCTTCGCCATCGGACTGGTCGATATGGGACCTATCCCTAACATGAGCGTCCAGGCGGGCACCACGAAACATGAGATGTTTAAGCCCATCCTCTTCGTAATCTAGCCGCTCAATCACGGTAGAGAATCCCGGCTCCTGCTGGACACCATAGAATGAATCAGGTTCGTCTACGCCCCTGTATATTTCGAGAAGCAATTCCGACGATATTGCAGGTGGAACACCCATGGAAGACCGTCGCCCGCGGGGTTGCGGCTTCACAGTAAGCTCCGCGAGCATGAGTGCTGTGGTGAACATTCCGCACTGGGATGCTGCTTTCGATGCATCGAGGTAGTTGACATCAAGCCAGCGCACCCTGTCCATATGCGTCAATTCGCGTGGATAGCGTTGGCGCTGGAGAAAGAGAAGAATATGGAGAAGGTTCTTCAAAATTGGCTTGCTGGGAGGGTCCATGCCGAATTGGATTGCAAATGCCTCGGACAGAAGCTGCTTGGCTATGTTTCTGGATTCTAGCTGCTGGTGTAAAACGAGGTAAGCAAGGGATGGCAACAGTTCTTCGGACAGACCTTCGATACGACGGAGTGCGGTCGGCATCACAGAAAGCACGCTGGTTTTGGCCGTGGACTGAACCAGCGACAAGGCGAGTCCACACGACCAAGTCGACACATCATGGGCACGGTCTGCGAACAATGAGGGACTTTGCATACGGGGATGCAATGACGCGTTCGGAGGTAGCATAACGCTCTCATGTGCGCTATCCATCAATGCTTTGACAATCTCCTCGTCGAAATCCTCTTGCCAATACTCTTGTTCGGTAGCGGACAGCCAAAGACAGTTCAAAATCGATCGTAGGGTCCATTCAGCCACTCCTGCCTCGTTAAGATTGTCACTATACAGAACAGAGCCCAGTTTCTGGACAATCGCCGTCGTTGCGGGAAGTTTAAGCGTTTCCCGCTTGTGAAAGTTTGTTTGAAGCAGGCGACTAGTACCGAGCCTGAGAAAATAGGCTCGACCGAGGACTCTCGCGCACCATTGGAGGTAATTGACGGAAACCCCTTCCAATTTCGACGATTTCCACAGTTGGACGGCGTAATTGGCTGCTAACTCTTCCGATCCTAGAGCATCATCGCTTTGACGGGGCGGTGGGTCAAAGTTGCGCGTGAAGAGTCGAAGGGTCAGATTTCGTGCCGCCTCGGAGAGCATATATAGGCCGCTTCGCTCGTCTTCGAACACAGCCAGCAGGAGCCGACTTTCGGCCGAGCCCCTTTTTGCGTTGCCAACGCCACTTGCATCACAAGCCGAGCGAACAAGGGATTGAAAGTGCCCTTGGTCCGAATTCTGGTTGCCGCCGTGGTTGAGTGCGGAAAGATATGTTGTGTACCAATCGATGAATTTCTTCGTTTTCGTCTGGGTGATATTGTGTTGGCTCTCCTGGGTCGTTTGATCTTGCTTAGATACGGCGAACTGCCGCAATTCTATGAGCGTTGTCAAGGCGATTCCAGCCGTGAATCTTAAGTTGGTACGAAGCGAAGGTGCTCCGTGGACGTACAAATATTGCACAATCCCGATTGCGTCGTCCGCACAATGCCCATTCACAAGAAATGGCCGAAGAGCATGTAAGGTCATTTCCAAAGGATATCCATGTAAGGCAGAATCTCCGGCAAAGCAGATCGCTAGTCTGATGCGTCGCAACATTGAAGCGAAATATAACGGCCCCAAGCTTTTGTGTAACTTGTTCAACATCATTCGGAGGACAACCACGAATGTTTGTGGGGACCAACTCCTTTTCGCGTCTCGTGAGCCACGGCGGCACATTCGATCGGTTTCTTCCATTAAGAACTGAGTTGGAAAGTCCGGTTGCATCGCCATCCCCAGGACGCTCTCTGCGTGACTGAACTCCATCATCTCGCTCAGGGCGCCGTATACCCTTTCGTTATTCTTCTGCTTCGCAAGGATCGTCCGTATATCACTTTCGTCCCGGACAAGGCATAGAACATGCCCAAGGACTTGTGGAAAGGATTCCCGCACCATTCCCAGGTACTCCGACTTGCCAAGGACCAGCATCAACTGATTCTCCATGCTTTTCGGCCCTTTAAGTCCTCGTGCCGTGTCGTGGGCGATCGTATAGGCCGCGGAACGCGCAAAGTTCTTGATCAACATCTCCTTTTCTGAGCGTTTACAGCAGGCTTGGAGAAGTTCTAAAGAAGGACGGTGAGCTCGTAGGTAAGCCTGTGCGACGGCCTCATCTTCAACGTCGTGCAACAAGTCACATAAGCCGTTGTATCCGAAGGATGAATGAGGTATCTCGCTTAGCTCATGCGAAGCCGACATCCATGCGAATAGAATTTGCGGTGCGAAAAGTCGAAACAGCTCTTTCGGGCTCTCCAGCATCAAATTGCGAGACATGTCTGCAAGGCACTGCGTTGCATGTCCGTCGGAGCCGTCGACCATCGCTGCTGTTTCGAAAATATGATAAACACAGCGACGGAGAAGCGTGTGCCATGATGAGCCGAGTTGGCATAGCACAAGCAGCCGCATAGCAATGCCTTCCATGTGATCCTTGTCGGATGGCAGGTTTGCTTGTATGTCGTCGAATATGGCTTCGTGGTTTGCCAACGTGAACAAGTTGAACATGCTTGCGATTTGATTGGCAATCTGGAATTTGATTGGAACCTCAGCCTCATCCAGGAGACTGAAAACTGACGTCCGAACGGACGGCAATCCTTGCTTCTGGCCCATGTCGGGTTGAAACTGCATGAGGCGGAATAGTAGGCGTGCAATGATTGAATGAGCATTCGCGGACACGATCTTAGCCTTTAAGGCCTTTGAAACGATCCATTCATGGATACTCTCACCCAAGTCGTAGAGATCCGGGTTTTGAGTGTCCGCCCAATACTCAACAAATCCGTCGAATACTTCAAGGGCAAAACATATGGCGGCTTCACTCCTCTCCATGTCATAGTCCTGAAGTAATGATCCTGCGGCCTGGAGAAGGATCTCCGCATCTTTCACGCTGACGGCGATAGAACTGCGGAAAAGAGATCTTGTGAACAAGCGGCAACTGCAGATTTCGTCCGGAGGTATGTCTGCGAGATAGGAAATGAAGCTAGTGGGAACCCGGTTGTCTTCTGTAGGTTCATCCGCGGCGCACGAGAATAGCTTTGCAAAGCAGGACACGTACGAACGTACGCTCGATATGCCGAAAAGCTGGGCCGTTTCGCCGCGAGCCGGAACCAGCAATGACTTGACAGGCTTGGCGGTACTTCTCTGAGAGTCAAATTCGGTGTCCCAATCCATAAAATCCTGGGCATCTTCTTCAACCCATACGGAGGGAAGTTTTTCTCTTCGAACATCGAATGCATTGGCAAGCCTGGTGCAGAGATGTGATATACCCGGAGGTCGTATCGTATCAACTACGGGGCTTGTAAGAGTTTCTGCGTCTGGTAGGCATTCTCCGATTGTTTGCACGACCATATCCACATACTCTAGTGGACAGAACCGGGTTTGAACCTGTGCTGCTATGATATCGAAGAGAGAGGATAATTTTGCAGAAACAGATCTGTACTGTTTGTCAAGGCGGGGGTTAGGATGCGAAACTAAGGTGCTTCCGAAGATACCGAACATTAATATTAGCCTGAGTCCGGTGGGGGCTTTATTTGTATGCGTAGAATCCTTGCTCCACACATCGTGAAGTCTATCGGCTTCATGGGACAGAAGATCAAGCAAATGTGCATCGATTTTGAAGGAACGTTGAGAAGCGATGGGTTCTGCGCCGCCCGATTGGGCTGATTTTGCTGGTGGGACTGTGTCAAGTGATTTTGGAGAACGAGGGAGAAGGAGAAGATATGAAAACACAGCCTCGGCCTGTTCCGTCTCGGTAAGGACTTGTCCCACGCTGTCCAGAACAGCAAGCGGTGCGGGTACGATGGGAGACCAGGTGAGGTTAGAGCAGGCGTAGAGCGCCTGGGCGATGTCTTGAGCTATGAAGCGTATTGGAGACAATGGCGAGGCGAGCCCGTCGTCGGAGGTGGCTGGCTTGGTTAGATCGATCTATTGGACGAAATGGAGGACTTACTAGCTCGCCACTTGTTGAAGATCCAGCTTATAATACTGACTGCCGTCTGCTCGACAGTATTGGGGTTCTCGGAGGATTTGAGGCGTAGAATGCTCTGCCACAAGGACAAAGTTGCATCCGAGAGCACAGACGGCCCCGAGAGTTCTGTCGCATTGAGACATGCTTCGATCGACCCAGAGATATCGACATAAGAAACAATCTGGGTTCTCAACATGAGATCTAGAAGATGTGCGGCAGCCCTTCCAGTCAATGGCGATGGAAGTGCTCGGAAACTGACTTGCCACACTTTTAACCAGGTCTCTTTCATTCCATAACCCTTGGATTGGGGGTGCATAATGGCAGCCGCAAGGACAACCATAGCCCATGCCGACACAGTTGAATTCTGATCAGAAATTACTCCAGTCAAAGACTCGACTAAAACAGCGAGACGGATTTCAGAGAGGGCGTCGTGGTGGATCATAAATGCCAACACTTGAAGCGCAAGAACCCTCTCCTCCTTGGGCGAGGATTTGCTTGCGACTCTAAGAAACTCTTCAAAGTATGGTGCACGACGCACCCTTTTCCGTGGTCCATCGAATTCGTTGTTGTTGTCGTCTCTACGGTTCGAAGGAACGCTTGTGTCAATTGCCGTCATAAAGTATGCAATCATGTACGGGAATGCCCAGGCCATGCCAACAGCATTCTCGCGAGATCCCTTTTGTTTGGTATTCAGTGTGCGCAGAGAGAACGTGGCGGTACTCAACGCATCCAGATTCTTGTGGGTTGTTTGTCGATGGTGCAGCGTAACATTGTGGAGACGCAAGTGGTTGTCGGGTTTTTTGTAGTGGTAGTCGGAGATCATGGAAGCCAGGAGGGACTCTAGGTCAGGCAGATCCATCTGGTTGCGTAGCATAGACTTCAAGTGGAAACGACCGATTGTTAGAGATATTAATATTTGCTCCTTCAGCATGGGAGTTTTGTTGCTCCAATGCTGCTTGAACGCCCCGAGAAGCTCGCTCAAAAGATTTTTCGTAAGATCATGTCTCTCCGGTGCCACTCGTAACAGAAGGCTGTTAATGCACGTTACAATATCGAGAGTCCCACGAGAAAAGGATCTCAAGAGTTCCACGAGACAGAATGCTAACTTTTCTGCCCTCTCCAATGTGGGAGCATTGGCGGGCATCAAAAGAAGTTTCATGCAGTATACGAGCTCAAGAAGCTTATCGTGATCAGACTTCTGGGAAGTCCGATTGCTTATCTCTTGAGTTGGAGTACGGCCTCGAGTTGGAGTATGACCTCGAACCTCGAGTGATGCGGGAGAAACCAAAAAGGAGTTGGAGCCATTGCTTCGTAGACTGAAAGATGCCCCTGAGATGATGCTTCGGAGTCGCTGGCAACTGTCCAAGCAGAAGTCCATGATTTTTAGCCACTGGTTGGCTCGGAGGTGCTCGACATGAGGCTGATATTCGAATATCGTCCTGACACACTTCAGATAATCAAGTCCAAGGGGTTCGCAAAACCCGTCGTCTCCCACTCGGAGCGTCTGGATGATGTGATCGAGAATTGACATCAGCAACTTGGTATTAAGACAATGAACGCCCCCTTCAATGATTTCCCGCAAAGCAACGCCAATTGGTCCTAGGCGTAAAGCAGCAGAATTGGATGTTGCCTTGCTGACTTTCAGCCAAAGTGAACGATCGGAAGATACGAGCTCGAACAAGGCATTGAATGCATCGTTCCATTCTTCCTTTTTGATCTCCTCAATTTGTTGTGCCTTCCGGATTCTGGAAAACCATTGACGAAGTTCTGCAACGCCTTCCTTTTGGTTTTTGAGGACGGAAGACTGCATGGACTTTACAGCGTCCGAAAGACTTGCGCCGTTCTCCTTCATTGTGCATTATGCCGAAGCTTGGGAGCTTTCTAAGCTTTTAGGTGGAAACACGAATTAATGCAGTGCTACTGTGAAGAAGGGGAGGGAGTCCCCAATTGTTCGTTTTGATGTCTGTTGTCGATGTAGTAGTAGGAGTATGGAATAGTAGTAGAAGGAAATATCTGGGAGGCTGTTGATCGCGTTGAGACGAGCAACGCGACTGGGGGAACCGGAAGAGCTGATTGGTGACGCCACTGGATGACAAAGGGGAAGTGGAGAAAAAATATGTGTAAATGCCTGACAGCCTGAGGTTTAAATATGTGGAGTGTCCCACTGACCAATCGGCGCGTCTTCTCACCACCGCGTTTCTACATCCCAGTTTCTAGTGTTTCTACACAGACGGAGACACTCAGATACATGCACATACTCTTTTGTTCTCATAGCACCACCAGTTCCCTACCCGTCTAACATCGCCGACGGTGCAGGAGGTGTTGCAACGCCCCCGATGGATGACGTTGACGACCTAGCGGCTCTCGAAGAGCTCCATCGCGACCTCCTAGGCCTCCAAGCAAGAAGCCTTGGTGTGCTACAACGACTGGATCCGCTACTCGATGAATTGCGCAGCTGGATTCCTACTTTTAGAGAACTTCTCAATAAGCCCCAGAGAAATGAGAGCAGCCGGAGAACGCTTATGACAGGTAAGCATGCATCATTCGTCCCAGGAGAGCGCGGATTCTTATAAAACGTACAGGGACCATCACAGTCGATGAAGTGGAGTACTCAATCACAGACGAATTCAAGGTCCAAGTTATCGAAGTTTCCGATGAACTAGATCTCGATGAACTCCGAGCCTCGAAGCTCTATCTTCAAGCTCAAGATGATGCCGTGGAGCTGGACCGAAGCCCAACAACAACCGCCGTGATAAGATTCCACAAACGCCGCCAACTCCTCCTCGAATGCCTACGATTACTCCTAGTCCGACCATGGAGTGCCTCGGAAGAGGATGAGGGCAACGACGAATATTTTGCTTCTTTAGGGGAGGGGACGTTGGAGAGCCTGGAGAGGGAATGGTCGACTATCCTCGATTTGTTACTCGGAAGAGACGAAGGTGACAACAGTGTGGACAGAGGCTCCCAATTCTGGAACCGATGCCAGAATTACATGGAAAACGTTGAAAAATGGATAGCGACACTTTTGACACGTTTCAAACGCTACGAGCTGGTAGACTTGGTCCTTCCAGCAGAACTCCAGGAAGTTTTTACCTTCCAACTGAGCTCTCTCTCGAATCAGCATGCATCACTTTCTGCCATCTGCGTGCATCTCACAAATCGCGCTTTTACGACCTTTGTGGACTTCCGGAACCTCCTTAACCGGTTATCGAAATTGGATAAACACGACGCAATTCTCTTGCACTATTTTCCAATTTACATGGCTTTTGTTGCCCAATTCGGCAAACGAAATACGGCGCTCTCTCCCGAAGAGGATCGACAATTGACCCAGCTTCTGCATCCGGCCAAGGACACAGATCCGTGGATATTACGGAATTTCCATGCCGCATGCTTGGTCTGCTGGCTGAGCGAATATGGAGCCTCCGATGCTGCGCGGGAACGTGTCAATGCGAATGACCGAGCCAAACAGATCGAATTGCTGTTCACCGAGGCATTAAGGAATGGTGCATTTCATTTCCTGCTGTCCCTTGCGAAAGATGTACACCGCGACGAATGGTACGATCCCGCCAAAGTTGGACTAGTATCCTTTCTTCTCCAGGAAACCCCCTCCCTTCCACAGGGCACGTCTGCAATGTCGGAGCACATTGAACAGCTCATTGTGAAATCGTTGCAGGCCTTCATTGGGTCTTTGATCACCAACATGCCGGATGCTTTGAGAAAGCTCAAAGAAGAGGAGGATGAAAATCGGCGACTTCTGCAATCGAGATTCCAACGGGGGACCAAAGAATACGATTTGCACCTAGAAAGATTTATGGTCATCATTGCGTATGCCTACGAAGGAAAGCCACAGAACGCATTGGACTTTTGGACGGAAACCGATGGGAACCTACGTGGCTTCCTGTCTTGGGCTGCAAAGCGACAGACGACGCCTCGTGCGGCAGCATTTTGCGAAATGCTATGCTCACTCTCCGAGGACGAGGCGTGTGCAAATTACGCCCACGGATTCCTTCGCGACGAGAGTGATTCCACCACGGGAAAGCTCCGACGGGCGACGTCGCTCAGTTGGACACAGATCTTCAACGAGCTTCAATTCTACTCGAACACCATGAAGGACCGACCCGCGATTGCTCCAAACCCCTCCTCGGCCCATTCGTTTAACGACCAAATCATAGAACCCGAGTCGCAACTCATGCTAGAGTGCTATTTACGGCTTGTGTATCATTTATGTCGCACGAGCCCCGATGCGCGGGAATGGGTCATTTCACATCCCGTGATCAACCTTCCTGGGATCCTCTTTCAGCTATGCAGCAGTGGCATTGAGAACCGGCTGAGGGCATGCGCCTTCAACGCGATAACAGCGTTGCTAACCAACAAGAGCGTGGAGCTTGGGAGAGCCTTGTGGAATGCCCTGGATCATTGGATTTTCGGATCTCTTTCGTCGAGTCCCAAATCCGGAGCAAGTCTCGAGGTAGCGGCCCAAACGGAAATGCTGACGTTCAATGCGATTGCATCTGGTTTCGAGGAAGCGAATGCCTTTGTTGGCCTTGTCAACGCACTTGTCGCACCATTCCCCTCGGAATTCAATATATTCGATTCATTGCCATTCCCAGAGCAACTTGGCGCGGCATATCGGATGCCGGGTATCGAATCATACATCGATTTTACGATTGGACGGCTGTTTGCCGAAACGTCCGTGGATATGTCAGATCGGCTGCAGCAACAGGTCCTTCGATTGAATTGCCTGACCCTTATTGCGACTTGCCTGTCAACATTCAACGACAATCTTGTGGCTATTGCAATGCTGTCTAATATCAAAGTGGACTCGGCGATCCAGACCACCTCCCTATCTGCGTATGTCAGGCTTCACCCGTTTGCCCGCGTGATGGACTGGATGTTCAATGACAAGGTCCTCTCGGCGTTGTTTGACACCGCCAACCAAAAGATCGACGAGGTCAACAGCGTCACTTCTACATCCCCGCAAATCGCGGCGCTTCTCAAGAGCATCGAGGTCATGGACCTGATCATGAAACTACAGTCGACATATGTGGACTATGTCCGCCCCATTATCAAAACTCAAACCACCGAGCGAAGGGCACCGGTCGCAAATTCCGCGCTAGCGTCTTTCGAAGATGCTGTGTTGAATAACTTGAGGCTGGTGGTTGATCTTGGCCTCTACTGCGGTACAGGACATGAAGAGCTGACCATGGTGTGTTTGCGGCTGCTAGAGAAATTGTCTTCCTCAAGAAAACTCGCGTTATCGACCACCTCCTCCTACGGGTCACGCGCTGAGAAAAGCAAAATCATCATCATTATGGAAGGCGAGAACGACTCCGAGCGCATATCCCGTGGCCTCATCCCGGCGATGCAGCTCGACGTGCGAGAGCTCGAGGCCGGTCCTGAGACTGCAGGATATCTCATCAAGGTTCAGATACTGGATTTCCTATACCGGGGCTTAAGCACCTTATCCGACCGAGCCGGACTTTCGCATCTTTTGCTCGGGTTCTCGAGCGGACCGTCGGCTGGCTCGATCACCATATCGGACGACGGCTTGTTTACTAACGGAATGTCCTTGTTTCATTCCCTCGTTCGTCTTGCCGTTGAGCATCCTATCTGCGACGGAGACCTGATGATAGGATGGCAACTCAGGATCAGGCAAGCATGCATCGACATCCTGAGAACACTGTGGAAATCCCCTCTCTCATCGCAGCTCGTCATGCTGGAGCTTCGCAATCACGATTTTGCGTTTCACACCGCCCTCCGGAACGTTCTCGTTCACTCACGCACGCTTTGGGATGGAAGGACATTGGACGATGATGACTTCCTTCTCTCTAGCTCTGCTTACTGCCTGCGATACTTTCTGCAGCTGAGGGCAGCTATGTACGACTACATTGCCCGAGAATTACGAGCGGCAACCTTGGCCAAGCAAACCACGCTTGTTGCGCGATTGAAGGGGATGATTCTTGGAACCACCACGGTCCCTGGTGGGGATCCCCTTCCGAACCCCACCATATTCGACCTCTTCGACTTCGCCGAATTCGAATTCCCGGAATCAATCCCCTTTCCAGAGACGAGGCTTTTACAAGGCTTAGATCTTGCAATTTGCGAGACGGAGGGAGCGGATGGCACGCCTCATCTAGATTTGACTCGCGTCGAAGAGCTGCTCCTTCTGAAGCGGAACGAATTGGAGAGGGACGTCAAGATCTCCACCGCCGAGGAATCTGCGGTGGTCAAGCAGGAATGCCTCCAGGTTTTAGCATATGTGCATGCGCGGAACCAGTTGGAAGCGATCAACGCGGCTCGTATTAAGACGTTGAGGTCCTGGATACAGCTTCTGACCGTCGTATTTGAGACGTGCTCTCTGGAGGCCAACATCAAGGATCCGATCTTGATGCATGCTCTTCAAGTCATTCTACCGAAACTCGAGCGCGCCATACAACAGAACGCCGAAGAAGCTTCTTATCTTACAGCTGCAGCGGGCACGATATTGCAGCATTCCAACCACGCCGCCTTCGCAAGGGCCAACCGGAACGGAGACGTAGCGAACGACATGCTGTTCCAGCTCTTCCGAATCTTACTGAACGGCATCGCAACCCCGAGTTCGGCGCCCGAATTTAGACATGCGGCCGAGCAGGTCACCCATACCTACCTTCGAAACGTCACCGCAACCTCGACCAAGGCATCCCCACTGTCCAAGCAGATCTTACGGATCCTGAAGCTCTGCGGCGATCGCTTGTTCCAGGTCCTTTGCGACGACGCCCAGTCGGGCGGAAACATCGGACGTCTACCGCCCATCCTCTTATTGGAAACCATGGTCTCCCTGACCGCCCGCGAAGAATCGAAGCTTGTTATCGAACAGATGTCAAAGTTGAATTTCACGGGTCTACTAGTCGATAGCATCAAGTACATTCCCGCCGAAGTCGCCGCGTCTCCACCCGCCGACATCCCCCAACTCGTCACCTGCTACCACGCCATCCTCGCGCTCCTCCTCCGCATCTGCCAGACGCGCACGGGCGCCATCCAGATCCTCAACGCTGGCCTATTCCAGGCCGTCCGCGAGTCCCAGCTCTTCTCCGCCGACCCCGATATCGGGCTCGAAATCGACAATCCCCAGGCGCTGCAGCGTTTCTACGAGGTCATGCTGGCAGTGCTCCGGGTGATCAATGCCGTGGTGTTGACGCGCGGCCCGCAGAACGAGCGGGTGCTGCAGCAGGCGCGCGCGTTCGTGCGGGAGAACCGGTCGTCGATCGTGGGCGTGTTCAAGCGGCAGGCGGGCATTGGGAGCGCGGCCGGCAACGCGCAGGACGAGCTGAACGAGTTGGTAGATCACTTCGCACTGCTGATCGCGGCGACGGAATTTATTGAGGTATGTGAACGTGTCTTGCCATGCCCTTTGCCGGTGCTAACGAAACCGCAGCACGAGGATAAGACGGCGTTCACCAAGGCGCAGTCGACGCTCTTTTCATGAACGACGAGCGGGTGTTTTATAGAGCGGAATGGTTCAGTGGGTCATTTGGATCATCCGGGTGCGGCGTAAATAGGGCGACGTGTGGTCAACCACGAGCGGATATGTATATGCGGTGCAACGGGAGGGGTGAAAAAGTTATCGTAGATTAAGCAACGGTCGACGGGCCGGCTGATTCGTTTATTTCCGAAAGTCCATCGAGCCCTCTGCTCGTTCGCTGTGAGTCCGTATTCGGGACGAGGGTTCCCCACGGCGCCGTCCCTCCGACGTCCGCAATCTCGTCCAGCTTGTTCCCCAGCTTCACGACGCTGTACCGGATTAACCGCGGGTCGTTGCTCAGCGTCCGCTTCATGGAGTGCTGCGCCTTCGCCGAGGAGTCGAAGCGCATGATGAAGTAGTGGCCACGGTTGAAGAGGCCTTGATCCTTCTTCCGCAGCGGTTTGGGGAGGAGGAAGGTGCCCCAGTTCGTGTAGCCGCGGACGACACCGCCGGAACCGAGAATGATGCTCCCGGAGCGCTTCGCTATCCTGCGTGTGGTCAGTTCGAGTTCGACGGTCGTCGCGGATGTGCGGGAAGAGGTGGATGGGCGTACTCCTTGACTTCATTGAGCCTTGATGGTCTCACCTAGTCGGGATATGTTAGCGAAGGGGTCATATTGTGACAATGTTTGAAGACATCTTACCACTCCAATCAATTCATAAAGCATGATGGTCAAACAAATGAATCATTCCTCCGTGTGGTGAACTCGGATCGTGGTTTGCGGCTGGTGGTCGCGAACAATGAGAACTTTCGATGAGCGCTGCATGGACTACATTAGGTGCCTTTATGCCTTGGCGCCTTGGTGCCTCTTCCTGTTCTGCTTCACTTTGCGGTTGCCCCTGCAAAAGCCCAAAACCGACGACCATCGCGCGAGAGAACAGAGGAAACGACGACCCACAACGGTGGAACGTCATTGCACGTGGATTTGGATTCTCCGAGCTCCCCTCCGTTGTCCAGCTCATTGTTTGGTGATATTCAATCGGTGATATTCCATACCTGAACGCACCAATATCCCGCTTTTCGTCTCAGTAGCTATAACCACCTCATCATGGCTGCCCGAGTCTCAATTGCTCGAGCTTCGCGCTCAATGGGGTCTTTGATGGCTGCTCCTGTCCGCCGACCGTTTTTGTCAGCCCAACAACCGCGGATAACTCACAGATTCCCCGACGTGCGGTCGTTCAGCGTGTCGGCTCTGCGTACGTATCTGGGGCCCATGGAACCGCCTGATCACCACCCAGGACGCTAATTGTTGTTTAGAGCGCGCGAAAATATACTCGGAAGATCATGAGTGGATTGAGGTCTCGGAAGATGGCAAGATTGGTACGGCGCCGGACGGAGTGTCGGAGTCCTTCACGACGAGGGCACGCATGGCTAACCACTTCCCCGAGCAGGTACCTTCGGTATTAGCACCTACGCCGCCGAACGGCTCGGTGATATCGTCTACGTGGAGCTGCCGGAGTTATCCATCGACATCCAAGCCGGCGAAGCCATTGGCGCTGTCGAGTCGGTGAAGAGTGTCTCCGATCTCTTGTCCCCGGTGTCGGGGAAAGTCGTGCAGACCAACGCCGCCGTAGAAGGCAAGCCGGCCACGATAAATCAGAGTCCGGAAGGGGAGGGGTGGATTGCGAAGATCGAGCTCGCCGATAAGGGGGAGCTGGAGACGCTGATGGATGAGGATGCGTATGTCAAATTTATCAAGGAAGAATCATGAGCCGTCGATATTTTACTAGATCCGGTGGAAAGTGAATATATTTCAGAATTGGCATCTGTCTTGAGAGCCATTATCGAACCATTGCGCTGAGAGCTTGTCCGTCGCCTGTATCCGGCCTTCGTCCACTTCTGGTTGTGTTGGTTTTGAATATAGACTATTGCCCAACCCAATTGAAGAGAAGTTGAGGATATCATATTTCACAGATACAATGTTTTCCTGGATTCCGAGCTCTCTCTCGCCAGCTCGACTACCCTCATCACCGTACTAGCCTCTTCACCGGACACCAACGACTTGGATATCCCCCTCAAAGTGTCCGCAACGTTTTGATAGAACCCCTTGTACGTCTCCGGTACAGCGGTGGGCAATGTTTGGACTTCGGGTCGTCCATCCACCCATCGAGTGAGCGTCCCATAGTGTTCTTCCGGATCCACTCCAAACCCTTCCTGTGACGGCGCCCAGCCCGCACGCAACTGGTCTTCCTGGACGTCCAAGTACGATTTTCGGAACGACGCGTTCGTGCCCCGGACCCAGAAACGTAGCTGCGCTGCCTCCGCGCTGACGACGCCGGCCTTGAGCGTGACAAGAGGAAGCTCGGGGTCCCTGTACGTGAGCAGAACCGTGAATGAATCGTGCGGAGCCTCCGGTACGTTTCGTTGATTGGTAAGGAAAGCAGTGACGCTCTCTGGCGCGCCGAAGAGACAGACGGCCTGGTCGATCAGATGGGTTCCCAGGTCGAAGATGGCCCCCGTCGCGGGCTGGGACACGTCGACCTTCCAGCTCGTAGCTGGAGGGTCCGGCCGATGCCGGTCGAAGTGGGATTCAAACTCGGCGATGCGGCCGAGGACGTTACCCTTGATCAACTCCGACACGGTAAGGAAATCAGAATCGTACCGCTGGGGGAAATGTCAGTGGTTGGATCCGTCAAGCATGGCGCATCAGGGTGACTAACGCGATTCTGATACACCATTATATGCAAGCCTCTTTCGTTCGCAAGTTCGAATAGCAATTGAGCCTCCGTTGCAGTCGGCACGAACGGCTTTTCGACAACGACGTGCTTCGACCTCCTCAAAGCGCTTTCGCACATTCCAAAATGCGACTCGGGCGGAGTGGTCACCACAACGACATCGACTGCCTCATCTTGCAGCATTTCGCTGTAGTCCGTCCACGTCTTAATTCCGGCATGCTCCGCTCCTGCATCGTTGCCAGGCTGGGGAGACCGCTGCACAATCCCATAGAGCTTCAACGATGGTATTTGCGGGATGAATGGGATGTGGAAAACTTTGGCGGAGAGACCATATCCGACTACAACAACGTTGAAAGTGCTTGGAGCCATTTCGTTGGAATGGATGCACAATTATATTTGTTAGAACAAGAATATTCCAACTTGGAGTTGACGGTAAGGTTGTATTGGGATGGGATTTTAGTGGTGCAATTGTACGGTCCACTCATTCAAGCTCCGACTACAACAGAATGCGGTGGATAATATATTTACCGTATAACTATAACATCCCTACCTTGTTCAGCTAAGGTAAGTTAGTAAGGAAGATATAGAATGTGAGTCTTGTTCTCAAATTAATAGATTTTACCGGTCTCGCATCACTAGTAGGGGGAATACTCTCGAAGTCTCGAAGTGTTTAGGAGTCATGAATCATGAAATTCGGTCAAGCCCCTATACCATTAAGAAATAGTCAAGCGCACACAGGTATATACCTGTAGGTATCATAGCTAACTATCCAAACATCCTCTAGAACACTTTCGTGTTGTCGTCTTGCTTAAGTTTCATGGGCTCGCCAGTGACCACTTCCTCGTCATACGCATCGCTGCTATTGTCATACACGACGCTGAGATCGTTAATCTCATCCCCGACTTCCATCCACGTCTCCGCGCACGCGGGGACGGGGAAAAACCTGCAGCAAAGCCAATAAACGCCCGCCGAAACGATAAACCCGGTAAAAAAGTTCAGCCGGTAGATATACGTGGCGCCCATGGGGACCTCGGTGCCCACGGCACCAGCAAACCCAACCACGTTGATACAGATGCCGGCGATATATGCGGCATAGGCGCGCCAGTTGATCCCCGCGGTGAAGTAGTAGGGGCCGGTCTTCCGCGCGTCGTAGAGCTCCTTGATCTCCAGGTACCCCTTGCGGACCACGTAGTAATCGCAGCACATGACGCCTGCGATGGAGCTGAGGAACACCGAATAGGCCGAGAGGTAGGTCGTGAACTGGTTGCTCGAGGTGAGCAGCGTCCAGGGGTTCATCGCCAAGCCCACCGCTGCGCAGATATAGCCACCCCGGCGGATGTTGATGTACCGGGGGAGTAACGCCGTCATGTCCGTTCCCGCGGAGACGGAGTTCGCGGCGATGTTGGTGCCCAACTGCGCGAGGGCGAAGGCCGCCGCGATGATGAACACGCCGAACCGTTGGCCGGAACCACCATCGTCGATGAATCGCTCCAGGAGTTCGAGAGGATCCCAGATGGGTTCGCCGCCGTATATCACGGTGGAGGAGGAGGAGACGATGATGCCGATGAACGAGGTGAGGGCAAAGCCGATCGGGATCGTGAAGAGTTGGGACCAGAGCGCATCACGCGGTTTCCCTGCGAAACGACTGAAATCCGGGTCGTTGACAATCAGGGTAGCGAAGTTCGCGATGGAGCTCATGACGCCGTTGACGAACGCCCAACCGAGTTCGCTACCATGGATTGTGGATCCTTGGCGAACAATAGGACCGGCGCCACCAGCGCGAACCAGCGCCCAGATGAAGAATGCAATGCCGGCGCATGGTACAAAATACGCTTTCACGGTGAAGAGATGGCGGATCTGGTGAACCGGGAACCAGATGGCGGGTAGTGATCCGGCCCAGAAGAGGAAGAAGGATACGAAGTCTGCAGTCGTGGTTCCGGAATCCGGACTAAACGTGTTCGGAATCGTTTCACGATTCTGCCAGGAGATCAGGTCAATGTCGGTTCGCCAGAGATTGACTGACTTTCACTTACCCATCCCTTCCAAATTGAACGGATCATCAAATAGACACAATGGCCACCAATGTAGGACTGTACACCGTACTTCATGATATTAGTTCAAGGGTTTCGCCGCTTCTGTTCGATAAGTATCTCACCCAGATACAAGCCATCGCAGCCCGGTTGAAAACAGGCCATAAATTACCCCAGATACCAAAGGACGAGCGAGCGACTACGGGGAAACCGATATGGTATGTAGCACCGATTCTACCAGTCATGCAGATGAAGACTGCTGCAATGGAGTATCCGATCCAGACTGCAATACCAGGTCAGCAAACGTCCAGGACTGCACCAGCAGTCATAGTCACTGGTTTGGAGTCGAAACTCGAGACTGAAAAGGGGAGGGTTACCGCAGAGCCACGATTGCCACCAGCTCAGACCAGCCACGATCATGGACGAGGAAATCATCCAGGTGTTTATATTGAAAGAATCAGCAATCCAAAAACCAACGAAGTTCCAAGGACCCCATTGTCGCCTTCCGGGTTCGACGGGTTTCAAATCATGGTTGGTCAACTATGCATTGTTCGTCAATGCCCGTAATCTTCGACCGCGTATCACGTCTCCGACTGAATGGAATAATCCGAAGACATACCATCAATTGGGTGCTGGTCAGGCCCGGCTCCGATTCCACCGCAAGCTTGTGCGCCAGGCCGGCAACCTTCCGGTTCCTGAGCGTCCCCATAATGAACGAAACAGACCACGACTGTCCGTAACTTGTTCAGAATGGAGAAGAAGAATATTCTTCTCTCTTGGGGGGTATGGTCTAGCCGGAAAAGTGGGCCTTTCCTGAGCGACGATACAAAAATCTTCCGAAGCGATGACGATATGCACGTGACGGGGAGGGTTGGGGCGACGAAGTGGTAAACAATGCCTCTCCTCTTCCAACGGCTCGTTCTGAAAATAAATGCTTGGTAGATCCTGGAGCGGAAGCACCGGTATCGCTAATCAATGGTTGACGAGATGATGAAGGGTCGCGGGTGTTGGGAGCGACGTCAGAGAGCTTGATGTTTCCATCCGAAGTCCTGATCAAGGGAGATATGCATCACATTTTATCCCCTCCCATTCACCCACGCGGCACCAGGATTAAAACCGAATGGTGGAAACTCCGGAGGGATTATCCAGCTAAGTAAGGAATAGTGCATTTTCCTGCTTGCAGTCTGCATCACTACGTTGCTTTTGCCCTCTCCATTGTTAACGAGATGGTGGGAGCTATAAGCGATGAGGTCAACATCACGAGCGGAGTGCCAGGGTCCGCGCCGGTAATGCAGAGGAGAAAAGTCCAATTACAGGTGGTCTCTGCGACAATGCGACACTTTCCACGAGATAGGCGGATCAGCCACACACGACATGGGCTTTGGATGGGGCTTATCGAGATGCCGAACTGCAGTCATGGTAAAGATTTGCGATGTCGCCTCAAGGTTCATGAGAAATCTTTTCAAGTGGGATGGTAGGTAGAATTGGCGGTTCAGTCTGATTGGTTGGCCTTATCATGGGGCAGACAACCGAAAAGCAACTTCACGTACAATGTACATTCACCATCCGACCACAACGCAAATTCACACAGAGGCAGCCGGGCAGTCCGAGATACGTACCTGAAACTTGCTGGCCGACTGGTGGAAAACTGGGCTAAGGGCTTGAAGAATGGGGTCCACGTACGCATGTCGCCTACTTGCTCGGCACTAGCATGGGACTAGAACAGACCACGATACGGCCCGCCTGACAGCTTATCTCCCCAACCCCGCATAATTATAACGGCGCCTTGATATCGGGCTCGATCTTGTTACTCGATCGCATCGAGTCAACTGCTCGAACCTGATTAGGTAGTATCAACCAGTGTGGAGTCTGTGGTTGCACTATGGTTGCAGGCGTCCCAACTCCTCGGAGCCTTTCATGTCAAACCCTCCGAAGGATTCCTTGGGAGTTGGGAGCTGGGAGGCATCTGGACTTTCCTTGGCGCTTCATCCGCCAGTGCCGCTCTTGAACTAACATTTCGTCATCACAGGCTGCTGCATTGCGGATCTGGACTTCTGGAGCCTCGAGGATAGCAATAATGTGACCGGGGCTTCCGAATTGTCCCTGACCATTCAGAGCGCAGCAGAAAGCACAACTAGGACTATAAATCAGTAAGGTGGTATTTTCTCTGAGGAACTGAAGACAATTATTGAAATAATCCAGCGGTATGAAATCTAAGGGCTCCTCTGGTGGAAATAATATGGCATGCGGTTGTCGTAGTTACGAACTCCAGAGTCCAGACAGATGTGAGGTCAGAGATGAGACCACGGATTGCGATTTAGGCGGGCGCTATGTGCCAACTGTGCAATATTAAACATCACCTCGTCCACTTGCGTTGGTTGCAATGCGTAAGCACAAAGGTTAGAACAAATAACTGTATGCATTTGCTGTGGTATTTGAAGTCGATGTCGAGGTTGAGTAGTCAATTCACACACTGCAACCTAGAAGTCCACAGCTGCTAGTTCTAGCCAATGCCGTTGACGGGAACTCGATCAAGACCTGCATACGACAATCGCTGCCTAGAAGATGCTAGAGAAGGACGAGTCCCCTGCTATCCTAGTTGCTCGATTTCTGCGCACGAATGGATACAATGAAGTACGGATTTATTGAGCATACTCGTTTCCAACCGTTCGTGACCCTCCGCTGACCAAGTGCAGACTCTCACCGCGTTCCTGCAGGAAGCCGGCTTGCCTGTTGATGCGGGAATTACGACGAAAGGGAGCTTAACCATCGAGAACCTTATTCGTGAGAAGAACCTCTACGATGTTACGAGGAATTTTGAGAAATCGGGCCTTGACGAGAAGGAGCATGGCTGGAAGACTCCTGGTATCTCTACATCACCCTGTTTGACATTTGAACGTCGACTAAATGTTTCGTATGGTGTGGACTCCGTCGGGACTGGAGCTAGACCGGTGGCTCTTATCGAAGATATATGGGTGAACATATATTCTTTGGCTGCCGTGCGCCTGTCTTTCAGCTTCAAGTCGCTCATGGGATCGGAAACGATAGCGCCACCGGTCACTCCAGTCGACGATAGAGTACACATCTCTACACTAAACAGCACCCTCGAAAAGTATTGTCCTTTCTCTACCAAGCTCATCGAATGTCCTCTGCTCATCCACCGGAATGGTCGAGTTTGAGAACGGACACCGAAGGAGTGTCATCATCTCCAGCACGGCAGACCGTCGATTAACCATAACGTCTGTAGTGGATGGTACCAGTACAACCCTGATCTCACGGACTGATGTTTCCGACTCTCCCATCCTGTCATATCAACTGTTGAGGGACAGATACATAATCTGCGGAACGATGTCGGGCAGTCTTTTCGTTTACGACTTTGTGAAGTCGGAGGTTCTCTCCACACGAAAAGATCACGCGAAATATGTGGTAAACTTGGCGACAATAGAGTCAAGATCTAGGTATGGACTCCATAATGAACAAAATTGTTAAGAAACTGACACGGTGCTAGGATATGGCTCGCTACAGCGGGGTGGGACTCCAAAGTCTTCATCTACTCTTTAGACAGCACTGATTCTGAGATACGCAATCTTGAGAATGCGGTTGGGACACTCACCTTACCATCGAATCCAGAATCGATCACGTTTGTCAATCATCCAGACACAAATGAACCCATCCTGGTCTTAGGTCGGCGAGACTCGACGTTTTTATATTTTTACCGTTTGCCACTCGACCAATCTGGTCCACCGATAGAGTTGAAGCAGGCAGGGAGACAAAATCTGGCTCCTCATTCCAATGCATGGGTGGCGTTCACGCCATGTTCGATTTCCGTGTCTCCCGTGGAGCCTCTCACTGTGGCCGTTGCTACGTCCTCAATCCCACACATGAAGCTGATCATTGTCCGACTCCTGCTACCGAAGCTACAGGACACTGGCGGGCTGTCCCAGTCTGAATCCGATCCGGATGCTCCTCTCACCGCAGCAGCGATGGGGCGAGCTGAATTGGCTCGCCAAAGTCGAGAAGATGTCGCCATGCTTGTTCATGTCAGCACATTCGCACTGCAAACGCAGTACTCCACACCATCCCTTACCTGGCGGCCTGATGGGACTGGTGTATGGCTTAACGGCGATGATGGCATTGTCCGTGGGGTTGAGGCGAGCACGGGAAGAGTCAAAGTCTCGTTGGAAGGTCATGAACCTGGCTCGAAGATTCGCTGCGTTTTTGCAGGATATCTCGAAGACGTTCAAGGTTCGAAAAGGGAGTGTCTACTGAGCGGAGGATTTGATCAGCGCTTGATTCTATGGGAGATCGCTTGAATTCGGTAGGCATCATTGTCCTCGGCCTTGTAACATCTATTGTTTCGTTCAACACAAATGACAGCAACACAGGCCCTCCGGATCCATTTCTCAGTCGCGATTGATCATATTTTGGCCGTGCAACATAACACAGTGCGCGGATGCCACACTGGATGGTTGCCAACAGGCGCAAACGATGTCCTTCATGCTCCTTACCAATTCCCCATTCACGATGGATGTGCCTCCCTTCATAGCCATCATCCCCATTGCAGTCTCTGATTCTCGAGCTCGTACGACATGGGCACGCATTGAAATGCAGAGTACCAACGGACAAGTACCTCAATGTCGGTTAGGCGGACAGGCGTCCTTAACTACAAGCTTAGGACGTTGGTTGCACCTCTTTAACCGATGCCTATACTAGAATCGATGACATCCTCTCCTCCTACGGGCTGGGTAGCATCATTCCACGAGCCTTCCGACCTGAAATACATCCTCCTCCTCTTAGTATGACGATCCTACTTGTAAACGAGGTTTCCTGTGTCGTCCAGAAGTTCCGGAGTCCCTATTCAGAGCGAAATGCAACGAAACATCCCGACTATATCGAATACCGCCTAACTAGAAGAATATTTTAATGTCCAATGCCCCATGATTCCCTGAGTGCTGTTTTTCAGTTCTTTCAACTTCTCGCTATCTTTTCCTTTTCGAACATAACTCCTGAAAACGAAGTCGCCGCGTTTCCAGTACGGTTATCTTGATCAAGTCACACAGAAGGAACAAACTTTGTCAGAACCAACAGCATGCTTGCTTCACTCGTTGATAGGCCGTTCCAAGTATGCTCTCTTGCTATAACTCCCGTCCTGGCACTAACACGGAACCTTTCATCAGGTCCTTTTCTCAGCAGTGGTCTTGGGCCTAGCCGTGCCCTGATCCAAGACCAATGGAATAATTCCTCACCGGCGGCAACCAAATTTGCCGCATTCGCTGGCGCGTTCGGCCTTGTTGTTTCTCTGCTTGGTATCGTATCTGTCTTCGTCACCGCATTAGAAGGCCTGATCACCTGGGTTGTGGACACACTCGCAGGCCTCTTCTTCCTCGCTGCCGGGGTAGTGTTTGTCGTCCATCTCAAGACGACCAATTGCGATATCCATATTGCCATCCTAGCAGAGAATCCGCTCCTGAACGGTGGCTGCGCTGTCGAGCAGGGTGAAGAGTATTGCTGGTACATGTTTGCCGGCGAGTGGTCCGAAGAGGCCGCCTACGGGGTTCTTCGAGATCGGTGCAGGATGGTTCAGGCCGATACTGCTTTCTCATTCCTAGCGTGTTTGACGTGTGTCGCTGCCCTCTCCTTGAGCTTCTTCTTTGGTCGTGGAGGGACGAGGAGAGGAGGCGCCATTTAGGAGTCTGCCCTACTAGTCCGTGTTGAAATACTCCGTCAACGCCGAGGAGATGGCCTGGCGTCTATGAACGATTCAACTGGATCCTGCTATGTATAACATGAACGCACTTGGCTAGGTACTGCTACTTACAACATAAGATATTATATGAATCTGATGGTTTGACTTCAGGTATCTCAGCATGTAACGCTATCAAGCGATATTCACCCAGTGCCAAACTTGGTTGTTGGTAACGGATCTGACCCTTTTCACTCTAGGTTTTTCTAACCCGCTCCTTTGTTAACTGCCTCAGATAATTCCTGGACGTTTCGTTTCCACTCGCCTTCCTCACGCTTCTTTCCTACTTCAGTCTGCGTCGCCAATACATCGAAAACACCTGCAATATTCGCGAAAACCTTGCTATTCTCGTGGGCTTCATCCCAGCCACCAGTCTCCCCAAAACACTCGCCAATCTGTTCCATCTCCCATATCCATCGCCACGCCTTCCTCGGAACAACTGATACGCCTCTTTTTACCCTTCTGGCCATTTCCGGCGCCATATCGTCCAACGCTTCGTCGAGCTCATTCAGGATTCCCATAGATTCAGCAGTACTGAACGACTGAAGCGCTAGTGCTTGGAACCCTTTCAACAAGGAGGCAAAGCAGCACTTGAGGCCAGATGCTCGACCCAACTCATCTGAAATATGTTTGATGTTGAGTATAGCTGAGAGGGTAAGGTCTGGAGCTGCAGGGCTCGGGAAATTTGGAAGTTTGGTTGGGCCAGAGAGCGGAATGCGAGGACGTGACCACGCCTGAATTGAAAGCGCATCAGATGCATTATTGAGAGTCGGAGGGCCACCGAGAATACCACCATCTATGCATTGGATCGACCGATACGAGCAGAAGGTGAATAATTCTGCCACCCTGATGCTCGTTGATGGCGAGACTGCGTTGAGGTCACAGTAAATCAGCCTCCTGCCAGAACTGCTTTGATTGCTTGTTTGATTGCTTATCGGCCGCCTGTCGCTTTCGAGTGCTTTAAGCACAGATTCTGCAGTAGATATGGCCGACTCGGGTGGAACAATGGACAAAATAATATCGACAGTGTCGACCATGATAGACAAGGGGTATATCGCAATGTCAGCAGATCGTGCACGCTCCACTGTTGAAGGACTATGTTCTCAATCAGACAAATGGTTTCGTAGATCTGTAGCGAATGTACCTTCGGCCGTCTAGTGTGGTGGCAACATTGTATTGGAATGTTTGAAGGAGTCGAGCGATACCTAAGCCCATCTCCCCCAAGGAGATTATGCCAATCGTCGGGCCAGGTGTCTCTTTTTCTTCCATGGCGTCCAATGGCTGGATTTCCCCCAGGGATGTTGAAGATGACGGCCTTGACAGTGTATCTGCCGCAAGCCAAATAGATCCGCGTGAACTACTGATGGTCCTAATAAATCTCGTCCGAATCGGGAGAATATCCCTAGATGCTACTTTAGAGATTCCAACGGAGGTCTCTTCTTTAAAGAGCTGGAAACTGACGGGGGGAAGAACACTTATCAATTATCAACTCCGTGCGTATTTTAAATAGCAGATAAGTACTAGATACACAAGATTGAAACAACAACGGGTGAATGGTGGAGGTGAGGTGCGATGACGCCTTATCAAGTCTAAGAACTGATACTTAGTATATCCAGAGGCGGAACTATTCCGGCCCCAGAACCGAGCAACAGAACGTCCACCCTCAAAACTAAGACATCTTACAATTTATATCAGGTCCATCTCAGGTCAATAGGGATCCTGATAAATTTATTGCTGGGAGGCTTATAAGACAGAGCAAGTTCGCTCTCCGTTCCTATTTCGAGCTTGAATTGAACCCTGTTCAGGCCTGTTTCTTCCCCGCAAAACAATATGGCCCCCGCAATGTTGGGCTACCGGTAACGATGACCGAGGATCCGTGACTGACATCACCTTCAAGCCCGGTATATATAAAGTCATCTTGATTCCCAAGTTCAGATGTTCTGTAAACCCTCATAATTTCGCATGATCTATTTTCACCGGAGAACTGGCCAATATGGGCGACGGCACTACCACCAAACCCACCTCCCTCCCACCATGCCGCCGCTACATCTGTTCCCACACTCCAGATGGAAAGTCGGTCTTTCTCCCCTCCCCTGAGCAAATTTACCGTGGCCGTGACGGCGTCGGTGGGGTCGCGCGGTCATATTCCGTTGAGACCGTCCCCGCGAAACTCGCAGACGATCAAGACGTAAAAGCATATCTCTCCCCCCACGGTGACGTCAGTCACTTGGGCCAAAATATCGTCGTCCCGAACTTGAAAGGTTCCAATTGCCTGGTCATAGATCTCGGACCGGGCGGTGAAAGTCAGATGCACCAGACGGTTTCGATCGACTTCAGCATCTGTGTTATCGGAACTATAGACATGGAGCTGGACGGAGGAGAGAGGGTTAGGTTGTCACCAGGAGTGAGACAAAGGCACCCTTCATTGAAACTGGACCGATTCTGACGCCTGTAGGATCATATAATCCAGCGAGGTACTATGCACAAGTGGATCAATGCCTCCAAGACCGAGCCAGCAAGATTCATAGGAGTGACTTTGCCATGCGAGCCCTTCAAAATTGGCGAGGAGATGCTTGAAGAGAAGCATATCCGAGGGACGGGGGCGTTGCAGCCAAATGGATCGAGGCTATAGAACTCGAAGGCAAAAGTGAATTGCATACGAATGATTCCAACAATTCCTATGCTACCCGATGCCGGAAAGTCGTCGTTAAAACATGATTGGACCGCTGTATAGTCAGGGAGAAGAGTCTTGTATAAGTCCAGAACACGTTATTAATGTGAACGTGGAATCGAATGTTATGCCCTTGGAAAAACCATTATGGGTTCTGGAAACTCGAGACTGCCAAGGGTGTATCGTTGGCTTCTGGATCCTGTAACGTTACAAGTGCAGTCATACCGTTGCGATCGAGAGAGTACCCAGTCATTTTAGCTCAAAATGCCGCTAGAGCCATATATTTGTTGAACAAGTCTCTTTTGTTGCTGAAGAACCGCGTGTCCATCCATGTCTTCAAAACTGACAGACCAAACTGCATCCGCTGATGATCTGTTTGGATTTATGAGCGACTTGAAACCTAGATGTTGTACGAGCGACGGCTGCGCAATCCACCTGTGTAGGTTAAGGCTGAACGCACAGTCTCGACTGTGGTGGAACGGGTTAGCGTTTCAGTGAATCCAGAAGCGGCTGAACGATCAAGGATACTTACATCGCCAAATCGTACGGCCTATCCAAGACGGTAAGGTCTAGACAGGGGACCATCTCGGACAAAGTTTTGCGGCTGAAAACAATCGCTTGTGTGCAGCAGCCCCATCGCTGCTGATGTAGACCCGGCGAAGGGGGGAAGATCGAATACTTCCCAGCTTCCAGGATGAACCAAACTGTAAGTGGGACGACAATGGGAACTACCCAACGCACGGTGCGTGGGTCGATGGCCTTCCGAAGAATGCGAATTCGGGGGATAAGGACGGCAGCGAGGATCGCTGGAGCGATGGATAAGAAAGTTGCAAGTTTGACCGTCGTCGGTGACCAACCCATGGACCGCTCAGGGGTGAAGAGGCGCATATCGCTCCAGTGCTCATTCTGTGCTTCAAGATCGCTAAGAAGTTCGACTGTCCGTGCGACCCAGCCATTGGAAAATATCACATCATCTTCAAATACGGCAATGTATGGGGCATCGCCATTGTTCATGCAAGCCTTGATTGCGGTAGTGTAATCGAGACCCGCTTTCTGCACTTTCGCATCATAAGTCCCGTTCGCTTGGAGCAAGATCATCTGCTGAATGATGTCTGAGTCGACAATGTCTGATGTCTTATGCGTCTTATCAACTAAGTCGAAGAGCCGGTTTCGGATATCTGGGGGTTCTGTATCGTTGGTCCCGGCGAATAGAATTTGTATAGCAACATCTCGACGTTCGCCAATGCTACTAGTTGCCAGGGCCGATGAAATGGTTCTCTGTTGGAATATCAGCGACAAGCGTCCTCTCTCGCATATCATTTGACTCTTGCTTACTTCAAGATACTGCTCCCTGCCCGGACTGTTTCTCGTCAAGAAAGTGGCGCAAATTCTTGGTTCCGAGGCTTTGGCAGCATCAACTGCCGGAGTGGCGTGAATGTGACTCTTAGTTAACGTGATTAGGAACGCGTCGGCTTGTCTCTCCTGTCCCACACTGTATCGTGGCTCGAAAGCTCGCCGTGAGTCAAAGAAGATGCTTCCCGGATCCCGATACCAGTGGGTCTTCCCGTAATACCATATGCATAACGCGATCAACGCAAGGCGGATGAAGCTGCATGAAAGAAGTTAAAATCAGACACAACAAAGACCACCGCATCATCGACTTGAGATGTTATTACTCCTCGATGAGCATTGGGCGGGCCATCGAGCAGTACGTCAATAGACGTTCAGTCTATGGAATAGGCGTACGCTAGCTTTTATAAAAAGCAAAGCTGTGCCTGCGAACTCTTGCCACGTTCATATTCTGGATGTGAAGTCGTTCAAATGGCATACCCTCATACTGGCAACCGAGGGCCTCAGCAAGGAGATGTGTCGAGCACATTTGTGTGGACTTACGAGATGAGGATTCCGGAGCATGGTCTTGAAAATGCGGCATGCCAAATGTTAGTGCGGTTGATTCGACCAATTTTCTCCATGCTCTTCAAACGTGACTTCGGTTTCCCCCTCGGCGTATTGTTATTGAGCAAAGCCGCGATGGCATTGAAGAAGAATAGGGAGGAAAGGGGCGGTTACAGACCTCGACCGTCACACAATTAATGTGATTGTTTTCGAGTGTTTCTCGCCCAACGCGTTCTTTGGACTTTTAACCATCCTGATTGAGGATTCGAATTGCTGAGACCCACCGCAGATCTGAGCTAATTAGGAGCCCTAATAATGAGTCCGCTTCGATCGCAATTCATTATTGGCATGCCGAGAAAGTTTGAAACAGCATCGGTGATCTAGACCATGCAGAGGCCACATCGCGAACAGTTCCCTGATTCCCAATACGCGCTCATAATTACGCCTTGGCTCTTGGTATCATGACGTGATAACTTTAGAGTCGCATCAAAGGTCGATCACGAAGGAGATCATTGCGGTTTGGGTTGTTGCAATACTGGTAAGTACAAGTGGGTAGGTAAATGGCGATCAGGTGAAAGTAAGCAGGTCCCTACCCCTGAGTAAGTCCAGGGTACGTACCTTATCTTACGCTATACGGAGCATATGAACTGCTCTACGGAGTATCGGCTGCGGCTGTGTGAATTCACTCCTGTAGGTGCTTGAAAAAAGCAAGCATATGTCTAGATTCGACTTGAATCAGCATCGATTAACTTCTCAAGTACCGGTACTGTAATCGAACATTGAAATCTTCACGATGGCGCTAGTCAATCTTCGCTCCAACGTCTAAACACATATGACTGAATGCCATCATCGCACTGCTCTTCGCAGCCCTAATATCTTGAACTATTTACTCCCTCCACTTCCATCCATTGTCGGGAATCCCAGACCCTCTCCTCGCACGACTCCGTACCATTTAGTCTGATGTTCATCGACGCTGAGACGATCTGTATCACAACCCATCGTACCTCGATTTCCCCAATCGCGCACATCACCCGAACGAGATCTCCATTGATGGCAGACTGCTGCGCCGATAGTAGTATCCTCGGGCTCGCGATGGTATCTGGTGGTGGCTAGACCGTTGATTCCTGCCAGACTTCTATGCAACACCCGCATCCTTGTGTTCTGTTTTCCCATTCTGGCGCCGCCGCTTCGAGCCCCTTCATCCGATATCCGGATCGAGTGGTTCACCGGGCTTCTTTTCTCTCGCAGCTTGCAACTGCATGCGGTCCATTTAAGCAATTCGGAGGATCTCAAGCGGTGCAATATGCCAGCAGCAAACAGGAGATGGATTTGCATGATGCAGATTCCATGAAAATGCAGAGCGCACATGAGGTCCTCCCTAACATAGCTTTCCGTGGCTCAAGTCTGCCAAGAAGCCAGAAAGACGATTGAAGAATCGGATGGGATAGATGGGGGCTTGTAAGAGACATAGTATGGCCTATCACGGAAATTCACATGCTCAATGCCCTCGTGTAACGCTTCGGCTTCGGCCCTCTTAGAATGCCGGAGAGATGCAAACGTACGGATTCGGCCATTTTTACCGACTAGGTGGTTTCATTAGTTGCTCATCGCCTATTCGCGGTGGGCTTCTCGATTTGCTAGTGCCGGTACGAAAGGGGCTCGCACTTCGACTGAGAAGGGACGATGGTTAGCTTTCGAATGCAAATGAAAGGCAAGGCATGAAATTACGAATAGAAAAACTCACGACCGTCTCTTCTCCCCCTCCCTCCTCAAACTTTCGATGATCTTCAACATCTCTTTCCGGCCATAACTGGGATTGATCTCTCGACTGGACAGCGTCATTGGCACCCTTGCACGACTGTCTGCTTGGAGCAAGCGTTTCAGCAGTAGGTGACGCATGATCAGGCAGACATACACCCCACAGTCGCTTCCATTCGCCTGTTGTGGGCAGGAGTCCATCTCTTTGAACCTTAACTGCATGCCTAGAAGCGACTGGAGCTTCGAGGTCACCGTTTGGGCCTCGCGCCTGTTGGAATGATCCAGGCTGTCGTAGTGAAAGGCGACGCCGTCGAGAAGGGAAACGAGTAGGAGAGACCAGTGAGAACCGCCTTCTGAAATGGCGGGGTTCGTGCTGTCGTTTATCGGGAGAAAGATATGAGTCGTTTTGTCGAATTGCGGCAAGGCGTCTTTTATAGTAGAGGGATGCTTCGTAGTCATTAACATGAACGACATGCTAGGTCGAAGGAGGACGATTTGCGCTTTTGAGTACGTCTTTAATTCCTCATGCTCCAGCCATCTAATTCGCTCGAAGGTAACGGTTAGCTCTGTCGACGATTGAATTTGACCACCATGGACGGGGGGGTTACAGTACTCTTCCCAAAAGGCAATGGCCTATTCGTATTCGTAAGCTTATATTCCATTTGTGATTCAGCCGGTTGTACGTACATTGTCTGTCAGCCAGTCGTTTTTGATGCAATCCATATCTTCTCTTGTTACTGGGACCAGATGTCAGCTTCGGTCCATCGCCTCGATATCGGAGAATCCTCACGTCGCACGTCATAGTCTGGGCAGACACAATTAGTTAGCCAAGTAATCTCTATGCCTCGCTTTCGGATGGGGATGATCCGATCGTTCACGTACAACTTAGATATGCTTGATCCGGAGACAGCTATAGAAGTACTAAGATCAGCAAAAGCAGGTCAAAGGAATTGTAGCCTCAAGCGCAAGGCTGCAGTATAGTCCTGAAAAGCAGGCTCCGACTAGGCAGGCGGGGATGGGGTGATGCAAGAAGCCGTACACTGTCTCCGAAATGCTTGCTCACTTTCCCCTTGAAAGGATGGAAACCACTCATGGTGTTCGGTCGGCTGCAGCTTGAGGTTCAAGTGCGAGTGGGGTGTTAAACAGGATCCGAATGCGCGCATCCACGCGATGGAGGTATAGAAGGTTGTTTGATGGGAAGAGTTCGAACTGTGGGGTGGTAGGTAAGGGATTTTCGGGTGATTGTGGTATAAGTTGGAATAGGGAAGCCTGCGAGGCACTCGATGATCGAGAATCTGTAGCCTGGAGGACAGAATACTGGTGGAGATGAAGGGATTTCTGTACAGTTGCGGCTTTGCGATGACGGAATCAGCTCCGAGCGGAAAACGATTGAATTTGGGAATCAGAATGGAAAGCTGGAGCTGGGTCACCTGACATGTGAGACTCGCTCTCGTCAGCCACATATATCAGCCACATATATCAGCCAGGTTAAAGGGGCTAAGGGGGTGGTCTTGCATCAAATGCCCAGTGCTTACAGGCTACACAGCAGCACGATGGGTAGGACTCCGTCGCTATGGCAGGGTCTCCCCATGGGTTTATACTTCACGAGAACAGGGCTTCTTAGACCATCAATTCATCAATCTATATTTCGTACTACTAGCCTTCTAGAGTGAGCTAGGGACTCATTTTCATAAAAGGCACTGAGACAATAAGGTATCAAGACAACCTTCCCATCAGCCCGGTCGGTCAGAACCAACAACGCCCGGCCAAATTCCACCCCCCATTTCCAATCTAGCCCAATGATGCTACAGATGAAGTTTTCCCTCGGCTCCTATAGGACTATGCGTACTGAATTGGTCGCAGCGGATGCGACGGTAATGGCGGTTGGTGAGTTTGCTGCTGCTCCGGAAAAAACCATGACCAATCTTGATCGATATCCATATTGACAGCGGTCGGCCACGACCCGAGATTACACTCTGGGATGCCGGTCGCAAGCCCCTCGTCGGGCGGTTGTTGGGTGTCGTACATGGATGAGTAGAACCCGTCGTAGGCAATGAGGGGATCAGCGTTGAAGCTGTTGGGGCTGTGTTTTTGGCTGTTTCCGGTCTGCGAGACATCGTGCGAGAGATCTAAGGAGCAGGTGGATGTGGATGGCGTGCATTGACCAGTGGAAAATACAGGTGTCGACTGCGCCAGTGAAGGGGTTCGAGATATGTGGTGGTACTTTTCACCAGGGCGTACTGAGATTGTACCAAAGTCTAGGATGTTGTCAGCAATGCTCAAGCAATATTAAGGACACACGAACATGGAATGACAACGTGGATAATTTTCGATGGGTCCGATTCCGGACCAATCTGAGTGTGATAACGAGCACCACTCAAGGTTTTCAATGCCGCATGGCTCTGTGCAGCAACTTTGCCCCCAACCGCGGTGGATGCTCTCTTGAATATGTCCAAGGCTACATAGATCATGTCCCAGTCACGGTCGTCTTGCTGCGGATCGTGAGCCAAATCGATCCTACCATAACCCAGAACCCCTAAGCAAAGGAGAGCCGAAGCAGTAAACCCAAGAAAATCCACCGCCTTGCACTCATAAGAAGGGTTGCCTCTGCCACACAAGATGTTATAAAGCCGGAGCATTTCCCTCGCTCCGTTCAGGCAGGTCCTGCGGCTGTGTTCATAACGCGGGTTATCCGCCGACTTCAGCATCCACGGCATGTGGAGATAAACTCGGGCCTGTTGGAAAAACATCAGGCCTAAAATCAGCTCCTGCCACGTCGAAACTCCTTCGGGATTCCCCTTAGGTGGTTGCGGCTCGACCCTCCACCAATGCGCCGGCATTTTCAACTCAAGGGTTTCCAACTCTTGGTCAAGCTGTAATGTGGAGGAAAACGTGGCTTCCGCGAGACATTGATTCCGGTCAATGATTTTTCCAATTATGATGGACACTCGGTGAGGGAATGTCTCGGGACGGACGTCACCTAAAATGGGTTGACCATTGACCTCCATGTTGCAATGCGTATCGTTAATGGCATAGGGAAGGCCTAGCATGAGGCTCATAACCCGGTCCCCGTTATATAGGCCCCACCAAATACTCGATCGCGCGTTGGAAAGGTGATGGTTGCGGTGCATGCCGTTCAATTGACATAAGTTCAATCCGCGACGGAACGTTAACCATGCTCGACGTGGTTGGCCGATGTCCGAATAGCTTTTGCCGAGTACTATCAAGCATTCCAGTCCATCAATAGTCCCGGCATACTCGTCATCGCTGACAACCAGGCGATCGACAGCACTCATCAGTTCTTCCTGGTTGATTCCCTGAGCAGAGGAGGCAACGCAGAGGACCAGGATCCCAGATTGAGCGGGGTTCCCCTCTCGCAGCACACGGGTTGCAAAGGCCCCGATATCCTCGTTGCCGCTATTACCAGGACACCTCATCTTGAAGGTGGCCCACAATTCGGCATAGTTCTGTTTCAGATTCTTCAAAACCTGGTCGACAGGCGGTAGAAGCCTCAGGAGCGCATCTCGAACTCTTCTGTCCTTTTCACACGTCAACTTTGGGACTCCACTTTTATTCCCTTCCTCAGCGGAGCCGGTATCAACATTGATTGACTGGGTTGGGTAGGTTGTATTCCCGGAATTGGGCATCCCACCTGGAGATGGGCCCCTCTCGATTGTACCCAGCTCCTTCGGTCGCACTGCTGCTCGTGACAGGACAGCGTTGTCAAAGAGCGCGAGAAGCGATCCAGGTGCATGATCAGTCGTGTCTGAATCAAGGTCGGCCGTAATATCGGCTGAAAGAGGAGTCTGTGGCCCGGGACTCTCTCCCAGAGTCCGCAAAGCCTCGATGGCACCCTTCTCGGATCTTTCGGTGAGGAGCGTGTCAAGTAAGGACTCTAGTCTTGCCACACGCTCACGAAGATTCTTGCGATTGTCGACTATGGAGTCCGTATCCGCATGTTCTTGATCGATACACTTGGAACCTCGGGCAAAGCATTCCGTGCAAACTGTCTGATTCTCTGCATATATGCATTTGATCTTTCGTCTTCTGCCTGCAACCAAGGGTCAGTGAATCATCTCGACTTATTCGCTTTCGTAACATATTGCTGCTCGAACCGACACGAGCCCCACGTTGGAGTAAACTCCAAGCTAATGTTGAATAGCAACGATGGATAACCTTTGCTTCAAACATGAGACTGACAGGAACAAACAGGTACCGGTATTTAGCACCTTCAGAGGTTTCCAATCTAGATACACCATCATACACCTGCTTGACCCAGGAATACGAAATACCCCTCCGCAAGCAGATCAACCCAGTCTCTTTCGTAGAGGAGCTGAGTTAAGTGGCATGGCGGAGGGGGACACGTCCCGATTTAGTCACTCAGTCCAGATTCGTCCGGATAATCATTAAAACACGACTGCGTAACCACGCCAGCAGATAAACTGAAAATATAGCTTACATTCGAAGCATGAGTGGGTTCCCTTCCGTAATTTTCGTATACGGTTACTGTCAGCGGGTGACTTGGGCATATCTAAAGGCGATTTGCTCGACGTTTTCCCCCTTTCCATCATTGTGAAAGGCGCGAATGACTTCAACGGACAGAAGATGAAGTGGCAGAGTGCAATGGCTGCGGTCGAGGGCAGCTAAGTAATACTATGCCTGTGGTTGCGCTAGAAGGTTGGAGAGAGATATGTCTAGTCCACCATGAATAGTTGTCGCCAGGCAGCCCGTCCTCCCAAGACTTCGTCTTCTTGTTCATGGGACATTAGAAAGCAAAGGATTGGAATATCCATGTGTGGCCCCTACGCCCTACGCACATAGAAGGAAGATCGACCGTGTTTCGTCCGTGTCGGTCTCAGACTCGGTGTCTCGGGCCCATGGATTATTCAGCAGTAGTAAGGCTCAATAGTAGACATTAGTCAATCAGGATAAAAACCATTCTTCGCGTTGACTGGACGATAATCTGCGCACGGGCAAGTGCGACCACCCATTCCGGTCACTGTTGCGACTAGGTCCGAAAATGCCTAGAGCTGAGTAATAGAAGGACCATGGATAGACACAGAAATGCACCGTTAACGTATTCCGTAGTAAAAGCGGGTTGCATTCCATCCTTTAACACTCTACCTGAAAGGACAAAACACGACTTTGGCCCCATCGACTATGGCCAATCACGGTGGAATTTACAACGCCCCAATCAGCGTGAGTTTAGCAATGATTTTGCACGTGACATCGATTTGAAATCCCGCTCCTGATCCCACTGCTGGCATTCTCACCCATGCAGGACCAAAGACACTGATCTGAGGCCATATCCGCGCCCCTGGTTCGTCAGCTGAAGCTTACCTCATCCACGATTGTGGACGCTAGATCCTTTATCTAGCGCCAACCTTCTAAACGATAATGCGGTCCAAACGATAACTTAATAGCTTCCAGTCTCCTTAAGCGGAGTTAAGCCCGTTTATCCTCCGCCATTATGCCGAAAGATAATACAGCTATTGAATCTAGAATCCAGAGAGCCCTCCAATCAATCCCTCATGGCCAAATTCCCAATTCAAGGAGTTGGAGCGTGAATTCGACGTGCCCTACCAACGACTACTCGCTCGCTCAAAGGGCCGCAAGAGTCTATTCGAGCGGCCTAGTTGCACCCGGAAGCTCTCTACCACCCAAAATACCGCTCTAAAGGACTATCTCCGACGCCTCGATGACCTTGGAATTGCACCACGGATTATACAAGTAGTTTCGTGCACAAATACCATCCTAAAGATCGATCACACGGCCAGCGAGCGGCTTGGCCCCCCACCAACGGTGGACACTCGCTGGGCATATGCGTGGTTCAAACGGGAGCCAGAGGTCTACGCACGGAAAGCACGTGTGCTTGATCTTAATCGTAAAGCTGCTCATGATATCCAGGCTCTCGAGAGATGGTTTGAGCAGCTATACCATATCAAGATCCGATATGGAATCGCGACCGAGGACATGTGGAATTTCGACGAGACTGGCTTCCGCGTCGGTATAGGCAAAGACCAATGGATTATTACGTTCTACCCGAGCAAGAAGCAGTATATTCCGTCTCCAGAATGTCGAGATTCGCTTACCGCTGTTGAAGCCGTAAGTGGTGACGGTAAAGTTATACCGCCGCTCATGATTCTACCCGGATCTGCGTTTCTCGAGAAATACTTCCAAAACTTACCCGATGACTACGCGGTATGCCTTTCTGAAACAGGCTTTAATATCGACGAAATTAGCCTAATCTTCGCAAGGCATTTTATTAAGCATTCGTCTAAGCATCAACGCGGTAAATACCGACTCTTATTCTTCGGTGGTTTCGATAGCCACTGCACGAAGGAGTTCCTCGAGATACTCGAAGCCCACCACGTTATACCGTTTCGTCTTCCTCCTCATACAAGCCACATCCTCCAGCCGCTTGACGTCGGCCCATTTCAGCCTTACAAACACTGACATGCAGAGGCCGTCGACGCAGCCACTCGTACTGGCTGCGCGCAATTTAATCGTGTGGAATTTCTGGCCGCACTCAAATCGATCCGCGCGAACACTTTCAAGACGCGAACAGTGATCAAGGGATGGAAAGAAACGGGCCTTATTCCCCACAATCCTGAGCGGATTTTACGCCAACTCCGTGAGGATAAGATGACAATCGATGCCGCGTTTACAGCATACGATCATAGTGCTAGAATTCGAGATCAAACGCCACCTCCAGACACCGATATTCAGCGGCTTCTTTCCCCAACGAAAGACTATGCCACGCTACGCAACCATGTACAATGGTGCTTGGCCAACATTGGGAAACTAAATCTACCATCGCTTATTGTACAAAACTTCGATAACAGCCTCAACGGTGGCCTCCAATTCGCCCTCCAAGCCGAGCAATTGTCACACACGATACAGGCCAACATGGCGGAATCCCAAGCACGTGCGGCACGCCAGCGAGGCAACAAACGTGTCCTCCGGTCCGAAATGGGATACATTACATCACAGCAAGCCAGATCTATGATAAAGGTGCGTACGGAGCGCGAGAAACAGGCCGAATTGGACAAATGGGTTAGGGGCTGGAAGCCACGCCAAATCAACCACCGGAAGGCGTTCAAGGACATACATGTAGAATTTTGGCGCTTAATCGGGGGCATGAGGCATGATCCTACGTGGCGATGTCGATTTGGAGATGAATAGTAGTGCTGGTGGTGGAAATTTGGTATCTACAAACTTCATAGCACGGAGTATGTATTAAGTTATCGTTTAACTAGTTAACTAGACCGCATTATCGTTTAAGTTAGAAGGTTGGCGCTAGTTAGATTAAGGATCTAGCGTCTACAATCGTGGATGAGGTAAGCTTCAGCTGACGAACCAGGGGCGCGGATACACTAGCACTAATCAGGAAACCCCCTTAGGTCAGCTGACCCCCTAACCCCCCACCCCCGATCCCGCCCACTTCAAAATACGCCGGGTAATATTTTCTTTACTACAATATCAACTCTATTTCATTACCAATTTCTCATACAAATGCCAAAGTATACAGAGGAAGCGCTGGGAAATGCGCTAGGTGATATTAAAACCGGAAAATATCCTTCTGTCCGTGCCGCTTCGACCGCATATCAGATTCCAAGGAGCACGATTCGAGGCCGACTTGACGGCACACCTTCACACAAAGAAACATTGCAGATTCGGCAGAAACTCTCACCTAATCAAGAACGGGATCTGGTCGAATGGATCGTCGCCGAAGATTCCGTTAATCGAGCCCCTTCCTATCTCCGCGTTACCCAAATGGCGGAATGTATTGCGCGAGAAAATGGCGACAACAAACCTTGCGGGAAGCATTGGGTCCAGGGCTTTTTGCGCCGGAACCCCCAGGTGACTAGTATGGTGGGGAAGGCTCTAGAGGCCTCACGGGCAAATGGAGCAACAAAAGAAGCTATTTCTAGTTTTCTCGACCTGTACAGGCATATCTGCACGACCTACAAGATCAAGCCCTGCAACCGCTGGAATTTCGACGAACATGGGATAATGTTCGGTATGGGCACCAATGGGAAAGTGGTCGCAGCGCGCAAGAAGAATTTGAAGGGCCATACGTACGTTAAGACCCCCGGCGGCCGGGAATGGGTCTCCCTGATCGAAGCGATTTCTGCAGACGGTAGATCGATCTCACCACTTGTAATCTTCAAAGGTTACAGCCTGCAGACTACATGGTTTCCGGCCCATATTGATGGGTGGCGGAATTGGCACTTCACAGTATCTGAAAACGCCTGGACGTCCAACGAAATCGGGCTTAACTGGCTCCGTAGGAAATTCCTGCCGGAAACAGCCCCTGAAGACAAGAACGAATGGCGCCTCTTAGTCTGCGATGGCCATGGGTCACATGCAACGATTGAGATCATGAAGCTGTGTAAAGACCATAAGGTTTTCCTCCTATATCTCCCCTCTCATTGCTCGCATATCTTGCAACCCCTCGATATCGCGTGCTTTTCGCCTTTGAAGTCGAAATACCGCCGCGAACTACGTCTCCCAAGTTCGCTTGATGATAATACGCCTGTAAAAAAGCATAGATTCATTGAGATCTATAGTAAGGCGCGCCCTGAAGGCTTGTCAGCCGAAAATATACGGGCGGGGTTCCGTGGCACTGGTCTGTTTCCGTTCAACAAGCACAAGATCTTGGCCTCTACCCAATTGAACGAGAACCATATAGTTTTCCCTGAAACTACACCGGAGCCGCCTGATACATGTAGATCACATACTCCGGATGGTCCTAGTCAAGTATGGGATACAAAAATGGATGATTTGACGGCAAGGGGTCGGAGAGGGTACCAGCGCAAGGTTGCAAAGTCGCTTGGCAAAAAGAACACCGTAATCGCCTCGCACAAGGCGGAAGTTCAACGCCTTAGCAGAACAATTGAAGATATGGGCGACCTGCTGCGGAAGAAACAGAAGAAGATCACTGTCGATCAAAACGAGAAATATGCGAATGCCGACCGAATTTTTGCTGAAAAAGAACAGGCCGAGAAGGAGGCTGCCGAGGAGGAAAAACGGGCAGAAGATCACCAATACATCGCAGGGGGGGAGGCCAAAAGCACTGAAGCTTATTTCCAGTCGTGTCTTTATAATTTTCAACTTTAGACCACCAAAAAACGTATGGATTCAATTAGATGAAGCAATAAAGCGACTGATGTGATACCGATTTTGGGTGGGCGGAATGGGGGGTGGGCGGTTGAGCTATCAGCTGACCTACTATAAGGACCGTGCGTTGAGCACCAATCGAAGTCAGACGAAGTGACAAAGTCACGAAATGTGAAACCGGAACTCTTGACTGTATGAACGTCTAAAATGCCTTCTGTCGAGAATCTATCTCAGTTGAGGACATGACCAGCAAATTTCACGTGTCGCTCATCTCATCTATTCGAATCAGACTGCCTTCAGAGTGAGACGCCATACCTTTAGCGTAAAGTCCCGATGCCTACAACAAGATTTTGTGCATTATTATTGAGCATGGACGCGTTAAGTCGTTTCGTCACTTCGATAGCACATGCTAGGACGTCTCATCGGGAACAATCTATAGTAATCCGATGTGGCTTTCGTGGGCATACATCGCGCGAACGGTTCGATTCTTCCCATATGAGACAGCAGGCCAAAACCAGATGGGGATAAATCCCCTGTTCAGATTTGTCAACACCCTTTGCAAACTTGCTTGTTGTGAGCACAATTTCGGCTTTTTAGCGTAAGTGATATAGCCAAAGGAGAATTCCATCCTTGGATGCCGAGTGGATGGATGCTCCCAACTGCCAAGTCCTTGGATGATTCCCCTTACGAGCTTGGTCGTCGGCCGGCATAGGTGCCTCACTATCCTACAAGGATATAGACTAATATGTCGCGGTGCCTGCTTATGGCTCAGTCTGGATTCTGGAATACAAAATCCGGATAGAAGAGCGTTAGAGCGTGGGCGAGGTTAGTGCAATATCCACGAGGTCAATGCGCCGCGTCCTGCTTCAAGTTTAAACGTCATATATCACCGTACCAAGCATATGGCATTCCGATTGGTTTACGCAGCGGGTTTCTTCTTGTCACGATCTGCCGTCATATATTTAATTACAATTAATCTCCTTCTATCCTGTGTCAGTTACTTGCTCGCACTCAATACCGGTGGTCTCTGTCTGGGACAACCGTTGCTCAGGGGTCACCAGGGCACCTCCAGTATAATAATGTATTCTCGGTTGGAATTAAACCAAGACGTGAGCACATTCTTGCCCAGACTCGTATCGGATTACTGCCGATACATCCGAGCGCGGCATAATCGTTTAGAGACTTCTTGATTATGCTGCCCAGATGACTCCATCGTGAACACTGTGCCACAGATACAATCAATCTGGGGTAGACCTAGGGTGGATGGCCAACGTTCAACCTAAAGTATTCTTCAGGAGTGGAGTCCATGCCGATCTACAAGTGTTTTTATGCGCCTGTTCCCTCCTGAAATCCTTCTCGATAGTCTGTTTTGCATCGTCATTCGTTTTTTTTCAAAGTACACCTTCAGGTTAGCCATCATGAAGGTTACTTTACTTCTCCTCTCAGGGTCACTGGCCGCTGCCCAGTTGGCGCCGGCCGCGCCGGCCGGGTGCAAATTGCTACCTGGAGATGCCAACTGGCCTGCTGATACTGTCTGGAAACAGGCGCTGCCAGAGGTCGTTGCCCGAGGACCCCAAGAGAATATCACCCGACCGGATTACCGTATCGACGCAGAGTCTTCCGCAGATGTCATCGCAGCTGTCAAGTTTGCCTCTCAGCACAACGTTCGTTTGTCGATCTTGAACAGTGGTCATGACTTTTTAGGTCGGTGAGTTGGATATGGCTTTATCAAATGTCCTCAACTTCAAGCTAAACTGCGGAAGTGCCGACGCGCCATCCGGTCTTGCACTCTCTGTAGGAATGTTGAAGGGAATTCGTGCTCTTCCTTCATTTACTCCGTCGGCTCAAGGGGCACAAAGCGCTGCAGGGGCAACGGCGAATGTCATTAAACCCGCTGCGGGAACGCAAGCTGCTGTAACCATTGGAGCCGGTGTCACAACCCAAGAGCTAAATGATGCTCTCGAAGGGTCTGGTCTTTTCACGATGGGCGCCGCACACGGTAATTTTGCCAGACCATACGATTCGACCGCGCAAATAACGTTTTCTAGGCTCCGTTGCCGTTGCAGGCGGGTACAGTCAGGCTGCTGGCCATGCCCCCTTTTCACACAAATATGGTCTTGGGGCCGACCAAGGCGAGTATCCATGTCCCTGGGTCTCATGAGTCTTACTGACTTGATTTCAGTGCTCGAGTACAAAGTTGTCACTGCTGACGGCCAGCTTCGCGTTGCGAATGCAGTCACGAACTCTGACCTCTTCTGGGCGCTTCGCGGTGGTGGCGGCGGCACTTTTGGTGTCGTCGTTGAGGCGACTATCAAGTGAGTGGCCTCTGCAAAATCTGGGGCTTTGGAGCTTATATTCTATCTAGGGCATTCCCATCTCCTAAGGTTTCCTTGATTGCGTTCTTCCTGAACACGACTGACTACAACGACCACAAATCTATTTATCCGACTCTCGCATACATGCACCAAGAGTTCAAGCAGCTGAACGAAAAAGGTAACTCCGGATACTATTTCATGTTCAACAATGCGGTTAAGGGTACCTTCATCAACGGCGACGACGGAGTGACTCCAGCCTCGTTGAACGAAACCTGGCAGCCTGTATTACAGCGCATGGCCAATATGCCCGGCATGAACCCGAAGACGCTCGTCGTTTCCACCAAGGAGTTCTCGAATTTCAAGCAATTCTACGATGGTGCCTTCGGATCCGCGGCCGGTCACGATCATGGTGCTACCGAAGAAACCGGCGGCCATGATCACGCCTCCGAGCCTACCGAAGCGACTGGTGGTCATGATCACGCTTCCGAGCCTACCGAAGCGGCTGGCGGTCATGATCACGCTGCTGAGCCTACCGAGCCGGCTGGCGGTCATGATCATGGTACCGAGACTGCAGGGACTACGGAGCCTAGCACACCAGCTGCTGGAGGGCATGAGCACGGCGCGGAAACCGCTGGCACGGAAACCGCTGGCGGCCATGACCATGATTTGGGCAGCATTCCTTCCGCCGCACCCACGTCCGCTCCACTTGAGTGGGTTGGCACCGGTCTCAGTGGCTCTTCATCGACTGGACTTGCGGATCCCTCTGGCTTGCTACCGGTTGGTGGTGCGCCTGTTGGTGGTGCATCTCCTCCGTCAGCGCCATCGACGCCATCGACGGGCTCATCGACCACACCAGCTTCCCCCGGAACGGGCGCCGGATCTGGACTATCAGGCCTTTTCTCAGGCAGCGGGGGCCTTTCAAGCTTGTTTGGCTCCGGATCCAGTGGGGGAGGACTTTCCAGCCTGTTTTCAGGTCTGTTCGGAGGTCAGGGTGGGACAAGCAAGTCAAAGAAATCGGACATCCCCGAAGTGGAAGCCAGGGAATTGGATATGGATCTCTCGCCCGGTTTCCTCAAGAACCTCCTTCGACGTCATGGTGACGAAGCTATGTCCAATGCCATGGGCATCATTCCGCTCGACAGTCGTTTGCTCGGTGAGAAGGAACTGAGCAGCCCTCAGCTCGCCGAAGCTTTGGAAAAGTCCATGCCGGACATGGTGGCCGGACAGATTCGCGGCCATCTGATTGGCGGTGGTAAAGTCTTGACCCAAGGCCAGGACACATCTGTTCTTCCAGCCTGGCGTAAGTCCTACGTGCACTTGATTGGTACCGGTGTGGGATTCCCAGATGTGTCCGGGTTGAAGGCCTTGGACCCGACAATGGGGGCATACTCTAACGAGGTACGTCTATTTCATGAACACGTTAAACACAATCAGCGATTGACAATGGTTAGGCTTCCATTAAAGAACCAAACTGGAAACAAACCTTTTGGGGTTCCAACTATAATCGACTTTCCGAGGTTAAGACCAAGTATGACCCAAATCAAGGTATGTGTTCGTTTTTGCTCACCTGAAAGCCAATAGCTAAATATCTTTTAGTTTTCTGGGTGACACCTGGTATTAATGCCGATCAAATGGTGGTCAATAATGGCCGTCTTTGCAAGGCGACCGGTCCTAGTACCAACTCCCGCGTGCCTCCGGAGAACGACAACAAAAATTATGGCGGTCAGTCGAGTGGTGACGACTCAGGCGACGGATCCCCGTTCCCACTCCTATATCAAGGTGCTTGATCACATTTTTCGATCGTCTCGATGAACATCGGATCGTGAGGCCATCCAGTTTTATGTACATAGCTTTCAACAATTCACCTTGACTTAACTAGTTTCTCTGGGACCTCATCGGCAATCAAACGGCAAGCCAAGAGATTTTATTGATAGCCATGTTTCTGAAGGCCGGCAGCATTGGCCCCGTGGAGGCGAGTTCACTTATGTCGACAGTTCTCAGGCATCTCTGCTCCCGGTTTCAAAGGATCAATTGTAAGGCTTTGTACATGTATGGCTGACACCCCGATTCAGTCCCTATAATCCACTGCAAATTACACTAGAATGAGCAAATCATGTCGCTTCACGCTCAACTTTGTTTCCAAAAGGTCATAATCATCCTGCCAGAGATAAGAACCGATTTGGTGACCAATATCCTAACAAGATTTGAGTGTTATTTAAAGATTCGGTTGGAGGCACGTGTGGCAGGATAGGTCGGTCTCGGCGCCGTCAGTGCCTGGATTGCAAATTGAATCGATATTAATTGCACCGCGCACAAATGAACCACTGGACTCCAAAAGTATACTCATGCAGAAAAACCAATCAAATATCACGAAATTGGATACCTGCCGCCAAACGCGACTTGAAGCCATGGTGGTTGGGCATGCCCATTCATAATCCATTTCCACCCAGTGCTAGTTCGACCACATATTAGACCGTAGATCCCTTGACGTAGCTGAAACACAATCCGCCGCTCTTCACTTCCTATCCAAGAGGACATAGTGCTCATCGCAATGAAATTCCCGGTCATTATTTTGTCAACATTGGCGGCTCTAGCATTTGGAGCGGCGCTGCGGCCACGTGCTCTCGAGCCTTGCGAATGCGATCCGCCAGTATGCCCGCAGCAGTTCTTGGATGCTTTATATGTAAGTTCACCCAACCAATGACCTTCCATGGATGTTTAAGCACATCGGGTTGGAGACCAGTTTGATTGAGTCGATAACTAACAATTCACAGATCTGTCAGTGTCACAATAATCACGCGTACGCCTGCTGGCAGAGGAATTCAAGAACATGCCAGAGTCCATCATTGGTTGTATGACCCCGCCCATATTTGTATAACACAAAGTCTGTTCTCCATCTAACAGTATAAAAAGGAATGCGCTACAGCGGCTCCAATTGCGACTGACACCCCAACACCGGCGAACTCAACGATTACGACCACGACATCCACGATTGATTCGACCACGGAGACTGAATTACCACCGTTTATGGTGGTTGATCCATACCCGTCCCCGACAACTTGTATTGACCTAGGTCCTGGATCAAACTCATCGACAACTGCGGCACCTTAGGCCATGTCAGATCCGCGAGAGCGTTCGGACAATTGGAAAAGAATATAGCAAAGAATTGGGAAGATGAGATGCCATAAGATGAGCGGTCACAGATAGTATAACATAGAATTTGAACGGTATTGAAGAAGTACGGGTGATGGATGGTGGCAGTGATTGATGTACAGTTTCCCCAGTTGGTGTGGGTATAGCATAGCAGTAGCAGCTTCAATTCTAAATGACGAGGAATACTACGACTTGAGGTTGACTATGAGATGAACTAAACTGAATATTCCTGGATCAAAACATTGAAAAACATTGACTAACTTGAAAGATGTCAAGATGTAGGAATCTCGTGAAGAGTCGGAACAGAAATGAGGATTCTCCAATCCCGTGAGCGCCAAGACCGGATAGCCCCAGTAGCCAATCAGACGCGGCGTAATCCAAGCTTTGATCACCTTCGTCAACTTTGATCTGAAGTCGAATCCTCTCCAGTCTTTGGACTTCACGCCTTTCCCCCATCAACCCATTCCATTGCCTCAGCGTCCGGCGCCTGCAATTGCTCTCATTGAGCAATCCCATCCCTTCCATCTCCTCTCCCTCGATCGCCGCCATCCACACAATGTTGGCCCGGTCGTGCGCACGGGCGACTCGCTCGTCGGGTCCGATTCGGTCGCTGCTACAGAAGGCCACCTCGGTATGTGCCTGAATTCTTCATCCCGCCTTCAATCCGCGCGATTGGCCGCTGGATCGGCGTGGTTGCAAATATTGAACCGCTACTGACATGTTCTCCATAGCGTGCGTCCTCAACATCGGCATCGGAACCCTCAAAAGCTGGCAACGTGGTGGGGAATATTCTCGCTACATCGGGGGCAACGCTGGTCGGTGTTGGTGCTGTTGCGTGGTACTACAATCAATATGGACCGCGTGCATTGGCGATGACACCGGCTGAGGAAGGGTAAGTCGGCAGTTGATAACATAATTCGCGAAATCACCCCTTCGACGATTCGGACGGCATCCGTGGAATATGCTAATCCGCCTCGTATATAGTCTTCACGCAACCGCTTATCCCTGGGAACACGAAAAGCTCTTCAAGACATTCGATCATCAAGCGTAAGGTCGCCCACCCGTCTCGCACGGCAATTTTGCTCAGTCCATGTATAGTCTCCGCCGCGGTTTCCAAGTCTACCAGGAAGTTTGCGCGGCTTGCCACTCGCTGAGTCGCATACCGTACCGCTCGCTCGTCGGCACGATCATGACCGTGGACGAAGCCAAGACATTGGCGGAAGAGAACGAATACGACTCCGAGCCGAACGACGAGGGAGATATCGAGAAGCGTCCCGGAAAGCTGGCTGATTACCTCCCTGATCCTTACAAGAACGATGAGGCAGCTCGTGCGGCCAATCAAGGAGCGCTTCCACCGGACCTCAGCTTAATTGTCAAGGGTCGCCATGGCGGATGCAACTACATCTTCAGCCTGTTGACCGGATACCCGGAAGAGCCACCGCCAGGTGCCGCTGTACCGGAAGGCCTCAACTTCAACCCGTACTTCCCTGGTACTGGCATCGCCATGGCCCGGGTTCTGTATGACGGACTTGTGGAATACGAAGACGGCACGCCCGCGACGTCGTCTCAAATGGCCAAGGACGTGGTCGAGTTCCTGAACTGGGCGGCCGAACCCGAAATGGACCAACGCAAGAGGATGGGCTGGGAAGTGATGGCGATCGGCAGCGCCCTCATGCTTCTGTCCGTCTGGGTGAAGAGGTACAAATGGGTGGGCATCAAGACACGGAAGTTGGTTTATAATCCGCCTGTGGGCCCCAGGTCTCGGACACCGCGTGGTGCATAGAGTGGCACGGGGGGCGTTAGTCGCGAAGGGATGTTGTGGGCACTAGATTCCGCTCTCATGCGATAGGGGGACTTGTACAAAATACAACTTGTTTGGCACGCCATCCACTTATATCTAAAAAGATCGATAGATGTACTTCTGAACTGTACTGTACCGCCAGCTTCTATGAAATTTGGTTTCATTTGTTGCATAGCGTCATCTGATGCGACGGATGGAGACGTGCTACGCCCAATCCCGCCTCCATACTATTAAGGGAACCCCGAACGCCTCATATGCTCTAACGTTGCCGCATGAATGGCCCCAAAACTCAGAATCGCTCCTTCATTCGCGATGACACCGTTCTCAAATTGCCATACACCTTCCCTGGTGGGGCGCCGAGAATCAAGCTCACAATCGCTTCTCGTGCCGCCCGAATATTTTTAAACCCTCCCAGGATATGAATTTTTTGATCCGCGAGGACCACCCGGGTCCGACTGGCATTCTCGATGGCGAACTTCGTCTTTCCATCCTTCCCGGCTATCCGTCCGATGGCTCGGCTCAAATGATCGCCCTGCAGCGTCTTGACGTCCTTGATCTCGAACGTCTCGATGAAGAGGTCGTCCAGCCGCAGCAACGCGATCGCATCATCAACGTCGAAGCCCAAGCTGAACGCCTTCACGAAATCCTCGCCCTTCTGCAGCGCGCCGGGGTCGGTTGTGAACTTGGACGTGCGGAGCTCGACGGCGCGCGATTTGATATTCATCCGCACCTGCAGCTTGAGGTGCTCGACCAGCGGGGGGTAGATCTTCGACCAGTAGCCTTTCAACGGGGTCATGCGGTGGGGGGGGATGGGGACTTTGCGGCTTTCGATGCGGACGGCGCGGGGACTGTCCTTGGCGGGTGCGAACCGCGGTCGTCCTTCTGCATCGATTTCCATAGCCGTATCGTCATGGGCGGAAGGGGCGGAGGAGGAAGTTGCGTCGGCCGGCTGGCCGGTCGTATTTATGAGAAAGTCATTGTCGTCTGTGGGGGCGGTGAGTAAGGATTCGTTTCGCCCAACGAAATCGCATTTGCAAGGCAGACGAACCTAGCTGTGTATCCGGAAGGCTATTCTCTTCATCCAACGGCTCTGGTGCTCGTAAAAGAGCAGTGGGTGCAGGCATGGCGGCGTAATTGTCTGATATATGCGACTTGATTGAATCTGCGATCCCAAAAATTCGAGGGGTCGTGATAGAGAGAATAGAATTGTGGGTAATTGCACCGCCACCGGAGAATCCATGCTGTGGCTGGTGTACATGTCTTGGCATCTGATGAATCTCAGTGATGTCGATGTGAATTCTTTCGCTATTTTGCTGCGTTCTTCGTCATCGATTCATACAGTTGAGAATTTGAGATCTGCTCTTCGACTGATTAGGGCCATCCCCTTCCCCATTCTCCTCGCCAAGATGATGATTTGGAACAGATAATGCTTCGACATGGCTTGCGGACGGTCGACGGAGGTCTGCGACGCTCACTCGTCGACCTAACAGCTTCCTCTTCCCCATCCCCTCCGTCATATATTCGGAGCGTATTCAGCGCTGCATCACAAACCGGATCCTCAGTGCATCAAAGTTTGCTCCCCATCTCATCCCTAAAGGGTTCCAAATGGTGTTATAAATATCCCAATGCACCTTTGGGCATCTCCAACTCTTTCCGTCTCCTCTCAGTCTCCCCGTTCAGCCAAATCAGTCCTCCACGCGCTGCGTCATTCACAACATGGAACCGTGGACTCCCCATTTCGACCAGCCCACACATAAGGTTTGCAAAGGGAAGACAAAAGAGCTCGACAAGCCATGAACCGAGCAATCCATCGCATTCCGGTACTCCAAAAGCGGACCCGTCCCCGTCATCGCAGGGCAGCCCTAAGTCCACAGTCGATTCCACACCGACTTCAAAACCGCTATTCGAGCGAATACCTCACCTCCCTCATAAACTCCATACCCCAACGAAAGAGGAGCTTCTGGCAGCCGCTACAGGGTTCTGGTCGCGCTTCAAGATTCGCTTCAAATGGTTTTCGATCAAGAGCGCCAGACCGTTTAATATCGACGAGATCAGTGGATTCCTGTCATGGATTCTCGTGGGGCATTTCTTGTGGATTCTGATTGGAACGACCACATTTTTCTCTCTCCTGATCTTCATGGTCAACACCATGTTTGCGCAGGAGACACTGGCGAAATGGGTTGGGAACTACCTGACGCACTCCTCTGGCGTGAAGGTGGTGTTCGAGTCCGCAATCGTACCAAAATGGAATGACGGGGTCATCTCTTTCAAGAAAGTCTTCGTGTCGCGACGCCCAGGACAAGGGAGGTCGAAAGTGACGAAAGGATCCCAGGACTCCGCTGTGGCTGCAGCTGCTGCGTTGGCGGAGCGGGCCAGCGGAGCCGCCCAGCAAGAGGAAGAAGACACCAATTATACCCAGTTCGACCTTTCGATCGACACGGTTAACGTCACGCTATCCTTTGCGAAATGGATGAACGGGAAAGGCCTGTTGAAAGACGTAGAGATGCACGGGATCCGTGGCGTGGTTGATCGAACGCCCGTTCATGCGCTGGAAGAATATGTCGATCCACGATCGTACAAGCATGAGCACAATACCGGCGATTTCGAGCTGGATTCGTTCAAAATGGAGGATCTTCTAGTCACGGTCTACCAACCCGGGGGTTTCCGGCCGTTCGCGGTCAGCATCTATTCATGCGACTGCCCGCGCCTCCGGAAACAGTGGCTCTTCTATGATTTTCTGTCCGCTAATACAATCCACGGATCCTTCGATAACTCCCTCTTCACCATTCACCCTCGACAGACGCACAATTATACCGGAGCTCAGCTTAACCAGGGACGAGAGCTTGATGGAGAGTCGCCCTGGAAGAAGCATAGCCGCATCAGAATCGATGGTCTAAATATCGATCACCTTAATCGTGGTGTCGAAGGACCCTTCTCATGGATCCACGAAGGCAACGTCGATATCGTAGCCGACATCATGTTTCCTGCCGACGACGATGGCAGCATCACCAAGGTAATGTCGGACTTCTACGACCGCATGGAGGCAACGGTCACGTCGAACGGCCAGGGCAATACCTCCGACGATATCGACAACGAGGCGGCCAACAACCACCCCCTCATCGAAAACGAGGACCCCCAACGCCCGGAGCGGTTCATGGTGATCGATCTGCGGATCCACCTCAACGACGTCCGCGCCGCCGTGCCGTTGTTCACCAAGGAAATCTCCTATGTGAACAACGCGCTCGTCCGGCCCATCGTCGCGTACATCAACTCCCAGAAAACTTTCATCCCGATCAATTGCCGAGTAGTCAAGCGCGCCGACGAGTTCGACGGCAGTTGGACGATCTTCGACAGTGGGTTGATGGATGACTTGTCTCAAGAGGTAAGCTTGCATCTAATTATCCCTCGCGGTCATTGGCGCCCAATCGCATCTGCTGTTGCGCTTGGAATGCATTTCTAACATGACGTCAGACCTACACAGCCTTTGTTCGGAACATCACCGACGATGACGACGCCCGTCGGCGACGCTTCCGCAAAGTTGGCATTTGGACATTGCAGCTGGCCGCGCAAGCGTTGTTCATCGGGCTTGCGGGACATATTGCATGAATACACCTTTAAATCTGCCTTCGGCCTCCTGCATCGCCTTTACATGCATAGGGCCAGGCAAAATTCGTTTGTGCTTAGCGTTTGGAGTTCGGATACAGTGGCTTTAGGTTCGGGTGGGCTTCGGAGTACGATGTCAGTAGCTATGCCTCGCTGGCCTCCGGAGGAGGGAATTGGAAGAAGCCTTTTCATGTATCTCCGCTGTATGTATATGTATGATAATCCTGCGCTTGCTTTTTGGCCCTAGGGGATGAGCTCGATCCGTCCCTGGATCACCGATGTTATTTCAACCCCCTCCGCGTCGTAGACTGCATAGCAGGGCACCAGTTTTGCGGATTTATGCCATAGGCTAACAGAGCTCAAAGTCGCCCCGCTTGCTGTGTATGCTGTATAGTGTGCCCCTGATCCTTCACTCTTCCCTCGCATGTCCCACAGTTCGCGAAATGCGTCCACTCCTAACAGCGCCTCCTCCACGTCCGGTATCTCTTCCCCCGTGTCCAGCCCCGCCGTGAACATGAATGTCCCGGTCCCTCGCACCTGTACCACGTACAATTTCCTCCGGATGCCGGGGATGTCGAGCCACTGCACCACGGCGTCTCCATTTGCCATGCCGACCGCGCTCCACTCGATATCGGCACCTCGCGGCAACTCGGCCACCCGTACCACATACATCGGCGGGGTCGAGTCGTATCCGGTTGTGGTCGCTCCGGTCATATGCACATGGCGCATGTCCGGTAGCCTCGGGCGATGATCCACAGTGTTCGTCTGTTGGAGATGTTTCGACGGGTTTGGTTGTGGCGCCTGTTCTTTTTGTTGCGCCACCCACGCCGGTCGGTTCTGAAGGTCCCACACGTCGATTTCGTGGGACTCCTCGTCCTCCGTGTCCGACACCTCATCTGCGCTTTCGTTCGTTCGCCTCTGGCTAGCAAGATGTGCATTCTGCCACACACTTGCAGCAGTCCTCGCACTGGCAGCTGCGGTATGGGACGAGCTCTTCAGATGCAGTTCCACATTCTCGCTATGTGAGTGACTTGGTGGAATGGCAATGTAGGCGATTCCGCTGAGCCAGCAGTGGACAGACATGGATCGTCCGACGCGGAAAAGGTGCTGCAAAGCGAGGACCGTCCGAGATAGGAACAAATAAGGTTGCGAGCTACCGGTCTCCGGTAGGACGACCTCCTCCCCGGAGATATTGAGGGAAGTTAAAGGATGGTCCAGAAGCTGCATAGATGATGGGACAAGCGGGATCTGTCCCGCCATATATATAATTTTGGGTGCACTCCGCATGTCAAACTCAGAGTTCTCTTCGATTAATGCTTTCACTGGAAGCAGCGGAATTGCAATTGCCTGAGAATACGGCCCAATATTTGCTGGAGCCCAGTAGGACCAACTCTGCACATGCAGTCCCGTTCGCTCGGCTTGTCGCCCAAGTTCGACCACCACTGATAGTAGCACGTCGCATCCAGGTGGCATTGCCGACCCGCAGGACACAGCGACGCGTGCAGGAGGTAAGGGGAGGGGGAAGAAAGCTGCATATATCGGGTTGAGAACGGTAAAGTCGGACATGGAGCGGAGCAGCAACGTGGAGGAAACAATGGAAGAGGGTGTGGACGCGTACGTATCGCGGAGATATTGCCTCAACAGGACAAGAATCTTTTCCAGTTGCTCGGACGGCGATGCTCGTTCGTCCGGCGAGGCATGCATGTTGGATAGATAGACTGTAAGGCCAACATTGTGAGTGAACCAGGACGGTCTGAGATGAGAGTCCGTTCGGGGAATTTCAGGGGTAACCGTCAACGACGGTACCACTCCCTCTACCTCCGTCGCCACTGTCGACAGAACTTCCTCGAATTCCGCATCCAGTAACGTGGGTTTTATCGCCGTAGAACGATCGCCTTCCACGACATCCCCCTCTTCAACATCCACCACCTTGACGCCCTTCAAATTCACCCACCAGACATCTCCCTCCCCTCTAACCTTCTCCACCTCTCCCGCCTCGATTCTCCCCTTCCACCGTCCCGGCGGCCCACTCACTACAACAGTCTCATACTCCCCACCCTCCCCCACCACCGCGCCCCCCACCTCCTCCCCGCCATCCCCAAGAATCCTCCTCAACCCTTTCACTACCTGCGCCCTCCCCTCCCCCAACACATCCGCCCACAGCTCCCCCTCCCCAATCCCCGCACTCGCCACCTTAACGATCCGTGCGACCATCCCGGCGGCGCGCATGGTGTCGAGCAGGGAGGCGGCCGCGTAGGCCGGGGGTAGCGACGGCCATTGCCAGAGGGGGGAGAGCGAGACGAGGCGGAGGCGCGCGCAGATGGACTCGATGCGCGTGCGTTGGTAGGTGCTGAGGACGGCGCCGGTGCTGACGGCGGTGGCGGAGGGGTGGGCGGAGAGGACGCGGCGGAGGAGAGGGAGGAGGGACTCGGTTTCGTCGGAGGGAGGAGGGTCGATGAGGGTGGGGGTGGGCGCGACGGCGGCGGGTGTTGGAGGGGATGAGGATGCGTCGGCTATCGAGAGATTCTCGATCCCATGTGTTCCGTTCCCTTCCCCGTTCCCAGATATCAAGGAACCTGGCCGCGGCCGCTCGTGCGGATGGTATTCCAGCGTTGTCTCCACCGCCGCGCCAATGATCGGCGCGCGATACAGCGGCAGCCCAAGCAGCTGCGCGTAATGCGGCACGACCGTATGTCCCGCCGTCTGGTACATGAAGCTGTCTGGATCATCGTTCGCGTCGGCGTCCGCGTCCGCGGGGTCGTGGGCGCGCGGCGCGGGGTACAGGTTGGCTAAAGCCACGACGCGGTGCCCGTTGGCTTCGCACTGGAGGATCGAGAAGATGGAGTCTTTCCCGCCGGAGATCAGGGCGATGACATCGTGCGTGGCGCTGGATGGGAGCATGGTGGGCGGATTCCTCCGCGGCGGAAATCGTGGTATTTCGGGGAGAAAATCTCAAACTTGTGGTTAATGTTCTTGCATCTGGGCTATGAGAGAATGTCAAGCATCGTCACAATCCAATCCTCGCTAAAATTGATGGTCTTCGTAATAGCAATACCAATGTTCTAGTTTGGCAAAATATGCCCCGAGATATGACATGTCTCTCGAAGGGTTCAGATGTTCGAGACGCTTTTGGTGAAGGACCGCACCTCCACTTGTTTTCGTCTGGTTCGGATGGAGAATAGAACCAAGCCGCTTCCAGGTGATATTCTCCTGTCTATTATATAGTCACAAATGTGATCCCCAGATATATATTAAGGTATCTCGTTTGGACAGTCCCTCTTCACTTCCGCCCATGTATCCTTCACCGGCTCCTACTCCTCAACCGATTATAGGACTTCTTCATCGCACCTAGTACTGTTCGATCGCGGATCTGAAATCGCTAGAATATGGCCGTTATCTGATTTCGGAATGGGATTTTGAGAACTTGTAGTCATCCGCACAACACGATCCTATCGCCTATATTCGAGATGCTGAAGCATTGATACGAGTACGGCCTGGGTGGTCCATCGACGCGTCGGACAAAGGCGATGAGGTGACAAGCACAGCCTCCTTTACCCGTTTGCGTTCCTGTCCGACCAAATCGAGTGGATTTAAGTCACTTGCACAGGCAGACGCGGAAACGACATTCGAAGAGTCTGCTCCATTGCAACTATCCAGAACTATCACAGCGCACCCTCGATTAACCGCATACATCTACCCGATTTGTGAAATGATCAATTTTCGAAACCCCCCCGTTTGTAGTGGTGTGTTTTGTGTATGTTGTGTCTCTCCTCCGTTTTGTGACCAGCACAAGGTGTGTGAGCGTGTTTTTTTTCTCGTCGGTCTCACGTGCGGGATACCCATCGTCGTCATCCACATTACCGCAGTGAAGATCTATCTCGGAAAGGAAAAGTGAAGAATTACATTGCGAATGAAGTGAAATGGTGCAACCTGCCGCGCATACAGACACTGCGATCCCCGTGAGCCGGGACGCGGCTGTGCGACGCGCGGAGAGTTAAAAAATGTGTAAGTGGGCAAGAGCGAAAGCGCGAATATTGAGCAGGAAAGGTAAAAATACAGCAGTCGGAAAACAAAATACACGAAGCGTGAGCAAAGAAAAAAAGCCATGTGTGCATCTTTGGGTGCTGGATCGCGAGGTGAAGGGGTAATAGGGCAACGTTTTGCTGACCCGCCCCTCATTCTGGCTCCGCTCCTTGACAACTCCGGTAAGCATCAACCCCAGGAAACCGTAGCAGACCCGTCGATGAAGGCACCCACGACCGCAACACCTCTTTCGTAGCGTTCTCATAAGGTCGTGAAGCGGACGTGAGCATGTACGATAAGACAGACAAGGAAAGAGCCTTAAACCAAGGCAGGAAGAGACCGCACAAACAGCCGATCCCTTAGTCTTCCCTCCGTCTCTTCTTATTCTTCTTCTCTCCCCCGCTGCCCTCGTCTTCGGATGAGCTCGAGCCCATCCCACCGTTGACCATCGCGGCGGCATCGTACAGTCTTCTGCCGAGAAGTTGAGGGTCCGGTGTCAAGCTTCCGGACATGTAACCATCGTGGATATCCTCAGGCATTGGAGCCATCATCCCGGGTCCCATGTTCATGCTGCCATGAGGAGAGTCGATATTGTCTCCCAACTCGTGAACACCGAGCGTGATGGCACCGGCACCATGAGTACGTTGATGCTGGCTGAGATTGTCGCTGCGGCTGAACTTCTTGCCACAGTCGGTGCACTCGAAGGGCTTGTCGTGAGTATGGAGGGAGCGGTAGTGTCTCTTCAAGTGTTCCTGGCGACGGAAGCGGCGGGAGCATAGGGTGCAGACGAAAGTTTTGGATGGATCGTCGGTGAGGGACTGCTTCCTTCCACGGCGAGATGCAGGTTGTCCGAGAGGGGTGTCTGCGGCACTTGACGGCGTGATGGCAGAATCCGCAGGAGGGGAACCTCCAGTTGCGTTGGGTGGGGTAGCCATGTCAGTTTGCGCGGAGGATGGTTGGTTATCGGGCTCTTGAGAAGTGGCTTGACGGTATGAATGGGAACCGTTGTCGTTAGGTGCTTCCGAGTCAGACTTCTTGGATCCACTGTGCCTGCGTTCAGTCGTGGGAGAAGCGCCAGACATGTCCGAGCTAAACGATGACTCGGTGTCGAAGGGTGTGAGGAGGCCGGATGCGACAAGCTCCTCGTCGAAATCGCTGGAGTCTTCGCCACTGATACTGTCGTCTTCAGGAGTCAAAGGCAGGAGATCGGTCCGTTGACGTTTGGTGCCGAGGAAATACGCGTTGTCAGTCGGCGGGAATTGGACCAGGCCACTAATGTCGTCTTCGTTGTCGAGCTCGAAAAGTGGCTCGAATTCCGGGAACTGTGTGGTTGACGAAGCATCGAGGTCGCTCGATTGGCTGTGGCTGATGTTGAGGAACTCGGCCGGTGTAGTAGGTTTCTGGTCGGGCACGAACGCGTCGCCGTTGAGCATCAATTTGTGCTCTTCGTCTCCAGGGCACAAAGTTGGTAGAGGAAATTCGGCATTGGTACCCGAAGTTTGGACGGTGAGATTGCGGGGATCGCAAAAGTTGGGGTCGGCCTCGATGGGATTGATGGAGTTGGAACGAGGGAGAGGAGATGGAGAAGGAGAAAGTGATGGGCAGGCGGAGGCGGTTAGAAGATAGGGTGGAGGGTTGGGTGCCTGGGCGCCTTGGGGCTGCTTCATGTAAACTGAATTGGGGGTCCACGTTAGCTCAACCCCAACAGAACTGACAGAACACATGCAAACCATGTGAATAGCCGACTCAATAATGCAACTTCATGCATCTGTAGGATACAAGTATGAGAAAATAAAATAAAAAGATGATGAGGTAACCCAGACATTGTAATCACACCGATGTCTTCCATGGACAACTCTCCAAGTGCCATGTCCATGACCAGAAGAAATAGGATATTACTCACCAGGAGACAGTGGGGGAGATGCGGACTCCGGCCATTCGGCAATGGCTAATGAGTTGGAGAACACTTCTTCTTCGCACCCTTTCTTGATACCCTCCACAACGTCATTTGCAAAGAACATTGGGTGCACCGGTGTCGGCAGCACCTCACAGGTTGACGGCGGGCTGCTCACTGCGCTGCCAGACGATGAAAGCGGCGGGGTCGACGGCACGTAGACATCCGTGTCCAATGGCAAAAGATACGGGCTGCCATGCTGAACGAGAACCGTCGGCTTTTGGGATTGCGGGCGCGGCGACGCGACTGGCGTCATGAGCGCTTGCTGAGAGTACATCGGCGGATGCAGCTGAGCGGGAGAACTGGCGGCCGATGGTGGAGGGTGGAATTGCATCCGAGGGGGGCAGAATTGCATCGGCTCATGCACCGCGTGTTGAGGCGTGACGAGTCCTTGCGGTTGCGGAACGAAGTGGCCATGCTGCCGCTTGTCCGGGTGCGGTTCGGGTGTGTAAAAGAAGAAAGGTGACTGTGCCATGAATTGCGGTTGGAAGTGGGAATCCATAGTTGGATATATATTATGCCTTGAAAGCCATACTTGTCAGCGAATTCGATCTTCCCATGCTCGTATGCTGGCCTCAACTACGCGAACGAGGTTGGGTCGGTTCACCACGTACCGATGCGGCTACTGGTTGGTCGTTATCTCGGGAAACAAATAGGAAAGATCCGGGTTCGGTGACAGTTGGATGTCAACGGGAATGTCGTATCCAATATTAGGTGCCTTTGACTTGAGGCGCTGATATCGTGATCGTACAACAAATTGGGATAAGGATTGGAAGAATCCTGGTGTCAGGGAGCGACTGGACAACAGCGAATAGAGCTGTCTACTAAAATATGGTATATTCTTGAACAACAAAGACGTCGTCAAGCATTCGGGTAAAGGAAGGGACCGGCGACACAAAAAGGATTGACCTCAACTCGACCTTGCGACAGGAAGATAGATCAACGATTCTGGGATGGCCGAAAAACGTGGGGAGCCAAAGCGGGATGGACGAAGAAGAGCGAGGTTCGACACCTTTGTAACGAGTGGAAAGGGTCTCACTTCACACATGAAAATAATTAAGAACGAATGGTGGGGATGGGCGTTAGATAAAAACGAAAAAAAAGAAGTCAGAATAGCAGAAACGGTCGAAAGCGAGTGAGAGGGAGAAAGACGCAAGATGGATCGATGGAGGGAGGGAAGAACGAGAACCAGAGGATTGGAGGAGGATTGGAGAGAGAAGCCCAGCGATCAGCAGAGGACGAGACAAGCGCATGTGGACAACCAGCGCTGAAGCCCTGAAGAAGAAACGAGCGGCACAGGTCGCAGGCACCTTTTCCCACCATTTCTCCCGGCTCGCCCAGTAGGAGGCCGTGGCGGTTCCAGCGTACAGGGAGCGTTGCCCGTGGTCAGTGGTGTGTGTCTCCAACTCTGCATATGCAACCTTCGTCGAGGCCGGTTGGTTCATGCCTCATGGTTGCAAGCCTGGCCGCCTGGGGGCAAGGACACAGTTCGACAAGCAACGGACGCAGGATTGGGTAAGGTCCAGTGATGGGCGCGTTGGCCGCTGACGGGCAACCACGGACGATGACCGAATGATGGAGGTGGGCGAGTCAACGGGACTGGGCGAGACCCTGGGTTCCCTCCACAGGCCTGGGGTGATGGTTGGGTGTTCGGTCGTCCGTGCGGCCGGGTTGTCTGGTTTCGAGTTTCGTCGACTGCATCCTTGACACTCGCTGGAATTGCACGGACCGATATGTCAGGACTAGTCCCACTGGGTGGTGGACTGCTGGGTCGTGATGGAGGCGCAGTCGGACTGGGATGAAGGATGGTGGATCAAGGGCTTCTAGGTACGGTTAGAGTGCAGATTAGGGGGGATAAGGGTCTGACAATGACATGCAACCTGACATTTAGCCCCGAAAGTTAACACGTCTGTCGTTGGTACGGAGGATAAGGAGGGTAGTTGTGATTCTGGTACGGTATACGGTACGGGGAGATCACTGCGGAGTAGAGCCCACAATTCTAGGACAGTACGGACTATTAGTATTGTGGTTAGTTAGTTATTGTATCCGGCTTCTAGTATTCCATACCTTAGCTATTCAGTAATTGACCTTTGAGTTAGCCGCTTTAGTGGTGTTCTACTAACTGCTCCCCACACTCTTTGATAGCCTCGGACCTGATACTGTGACCTGCTTGCGATTGGCTTCGGTTAGTGCTACCCAGAGTCAAGGGCTCCCGCTCCAATCCACAGCAACAGATCATGAATTCATGATCCATCTCCCAGTTGTTGTCCATGTCTTAAAGACGAACGATGCTGACACTTTTATGCTTCGTATACTGTGGAGGACAAATTACACATAATGAGTGATCCAAATCGGCACACAATACCAATATAGAATTCAGAATCATACGGTTAAATACGAGTCCCTTGTGCAGGTTGTATCGGTTATCGTGGATAAACCCCATAATATTCCTTCGTCTTACAGCGATCCGCGATTCATCTTATACGTCGTGACAGGACCCGCATGACATCGGATGGATTCTCTTCCTGAACCGGTCGGCCGGCACGTCCATGACAAGCTCACCCACTGATGGGCGATGAATGATCATTCTACCTTGGTGGTGAGTGGTGAGTGCTGAAGTGCTGAACCGCGAATCGGCCCAATAAAAACTTTATATTAATCACCCAGCAACTCTTTAACCGGTTTAACGTCTTCCGCTGCCCGTCCATCCATCCATCATGCAGGTCCCGCCCGTCTGCCCGGGTCGTGATTGGCTTGTGATAACCGAATGCCCTCATGGCTCACTGCAGGCCCAGTGGCTCACGGACACTCCGCGCCTGGGACTTCTCCACGTTTCAGGCTTCGGCGTTGGACGTTCCTAAATCCCAACCGTCCTCGTGGACTCCGGGTCTGCTTTTGGGCCCTTCATTGGCCTGCTTTTGGGCCAGTCGAATCCTGCCGTCTATCACACGCGATTCTTCATTCTTCTGCTTGTGCTGACTGCTAAAAGATAGCCCATAGGAGACGCCGGTGAGAGGTGTCATCCGGTGATCTGCATCGCCAATGACATACCGTGAGGAGGGGAATACCGAATACCAGTATTCAGTATCCACAATGACATGGACCAGTCGCTGAAGTCTGAAGTATCGGTGGTGGCCAGGTTCCATGAGGCGTCGGTTGGTGGCGCTAAGATCGATCTCAGATTATCATACATAGCAGGCCTTGAACTTGGGTTATCAGCACTTCCTATGAAATCTCATTAGATTACTCCGTAGACTCTAGAAACCTGCCTGATCTAGACATACATGGCACAATGACAAACTCCGAATGTCACAACGTGCCAAGCTCCTGAGATTCATAAGGCATAGATAACCAACTAAAGCAATAATCACGAGTCAAAAGGATCCTTACGGCTACCCTTATGATAGCAGATAGACTTGGCCACATTATTCACCATTTTTGGAGATGACAGATTAGTCGATCAGGGTACAAGTAATGCCAGGATCCCGGGTTCCTGCATTCCTATACTGGAATCGGACACTCCGTCCTGTACGATTGGGCGACGCGGTGACATGTGGGCTGTGTCCTATCCTGTACTACCAGCTGTATGGCTATCACGCTCTCCAGGCGTGACGCTGGAGGAATACATCTACGGGATCGCGATATGAATAATACCTTATTATTGGCGTTGCAGATGATAAGGATGATTACCAAGACACCTTCAAACCACCGTACCTTATCTCACCTTCCCAGCTTCACCCGCCCAGTCCTCATGAACCCGACGCTTTGGCAAATCAGGTACGTACCCCGCCTCTGACGGAATCACGGAACAAGCGATGGGTTGTTCCATGATGGAGTGGTGGCAAACATTCAAAGTTTTGGAATACCGTCGTATTCATGCACCTTCCGCATCTCGGCCTGGCTACCGAGCCATTCGTTTGACCAGACACAGTCTCACAGAGGACATGCTATTACCGACTGGACGAACTTTGCATGTATCGTTCCACTATGGGCGGGATTGAAAGAAAAGCATCACGGCACCAGTCAGGCAGTCACCAATGACGAGGCTTAACCCACGGGTCGTGCAACGAGTGTTTCAGAAGGAAACCGGTCTTTTTTCTGCCGTCCGCCAGTCAAACGCGCGACTGGACTTGACGTCTTGACATGACCAATATTTGCCATGACGCGGGTCTCTGTGGACCAAACTGGCACTCTGGTCTCTGGCGGTCAGGTGAAGTTCTCGCTCGCAAGACGAACTTCATCAAAGCGTGTATGTGGGCGATGATATTATTGGTTACCAACGCCCTCTTTTCGATTTCTTCGACTATAAGCAAAAGTTATTCATTTCGCCGTTCAGTTCTTGGATGAGGCCATGTGTGTGCCTGACTCTGATCTTTTGAGACAGATCATCATCGTTACTCGTTCTCACGTGGAAAACATGGTTCGAACGGCATGAACGTGAGACTCCTCCGCTGAGAGTGTCAGAAAACTTCCCTGAAGCTGCAGCGTTGCAGCGGCGATACCTGCAAGTTGCAACAACTTTGCATTTTGGCCACTCCAAAAATAAAATCCGGGAAATGAGATGTTGCTGAAATTATGCATCGCAGCATCGGTCACCCCTTGTAGTTGTCGACCAGTCGGCGCTGCTCTCCAATCAGGCAAGTCATATGGTTACGTTGACGCCAGCCAACTTGCCTTCCTTGGAAAATTCCAATAATGCCACCTGTCAGTCGTCTCGTTCATGAGTTCAGGTAGGACTCGTTAACAGTAATAAGAGCACCATTGAATTTTCGCAGGCTGCGGAACCGCAAATACAGTCACGTTCTTGCGCATGCTCATGCTTCTTCTGCGTCCACTGAACTCAACCCGGCGATTCTACACGCGTTGCTGTGCATCAAGCTATTAAGCAAGAATGGTTTTATTGCCACCGGGCGCCTTGAAACCTGAAGAAAATGAAACTCACTGCGTTAACCTGGGCTCGTCCAGCCCACTCAAGAAGTCAAGAGTCGCGACTCAATTCTATCTACGAGTCAGTGCGTATCGATAAGTCGCCCCATCCCGCCCGCTCCGCTCAATCCAATCCGCATTCGTACAGGCGCGAAATCTCACCGGACCAGCATTGAATCCATCCACCGGGGCGAGCCCAGCCACGTCGAGCGGCGGGCGACGGCGCCGTGATCCCGCAAATCCAATCCCAGCGATGCGCGATCGACTCCCAGCCATATGGCCGTCGGCCATACCCCATTAGGCATTATCGCTCCACGGGAAATCTCGAACGCAATCCTAGCTTCCTAGCCCTTAGGGGCTAGGAGAGTTTAACCGCTCCACAGTTCAGTCTTCCAGGAAATCCAGTCATAGTTCAGACCTGCAGGATGCAGGGGGTGCGCTGGTCTTAGAGTGTCACCTACGCCACGATATGCAGGAACTCTGCAGAAACTGTGCACCTTACTCAGTACGTACTGCTCAGCAGTCAGCACGACCTCGAAAGCACCCAAGCAGCCTGCCTGAACCATTCCGTCGGTTGCATCGAAAATTGTTGAAATTTGGAAGCGAACGTTTTTCGATGGAACATCTTCCCTTCCAACAGACCTCGGGCAAGTCGAAATCCACTCCGAAGTTAAGAGCTACTCTGCAATGTCCCCTTGCACCGTCAACAGCCCCGAAAGATCCATGCTTTATTCAGTCCAGCGTGGTTTATCTGGACGACTCAACGGCCCAATGTGAGTTCCTGACGATAAATTACTGATTCAATGCCGATCCACAGCATGATCTTTTCAATGAGTGATTCAATCTCAACGATTCTCGCCCCGCTCTCACGGCTCACAGACCGAGCAAGGCTCCGACCCAGCAGTCGGGGACTGAACGTTCCGCCGTCGTGCCAGACACCCTTCTATGGATCTGGTGGCGTTGGGACTTGGGAGGCTCAGTGCTTTTGCAACTTTTGCCCAACAATCTGGTCAGTTGTCAATACGTGCCACCAATGACCAAACCACACTCTCCTCTCGGCTCTCTATGTCTGTCTATCCGGATTCCTGCGCGTCTCTTTGTTTCTTGATCTCCTCCCTCTTGCATCCTCCAGAGTCCCTGCCTTTCTCTTTCCAAGTCAAATGAAATGCGACAACCCCAGAATGTCAGTGGGACTGTGCTTCAGTTGAAACACCTGAACGGGATGGTGGACGCCGATCCATTCGCCGGCACCGGGGAACGACGTTGTGGCGCCCTTAGCATGCCTTCGCCTCATCCCCAACTTTCATCTTGACCACCCGTCACCACGCTACAAGACTCGGTAGGCGACAGTGCGCGAATCTTGCCCAGATCACACCAGTCACCAGTCACCAGTGACCACTGACCACGCCCTGTTGGCACTTGCCAGTTGGCAACCTTGGGATCGGGAAAGGCCCGGAAAAGCCATCCTTGGCCCTTGGGGGTAGAATCACCAAGTGTGAATTGCGAATTGCCGTTGAATTAATCGCTCCCACTTCCCGGTTATGTTCCAGAACCAACTGGGAGGATGGGGACTGTACACGAGTCACGATTGCTGTGATAGATGGAAACAAAAAGAATATTCATGCTCGTCGGAGGCTTCTTCCCCTCCAGCTAGTACAGGAACAATGTAAGCCGATACCACGGGATCACATTTTTATTTTATTGCATCACCTCGTCTCACAGTCGTCTGTTGCCAATTGCTTGTTGCCACCCGCCCCTCTCGAATATCGGTGACGGAATCGGTGAAAGGCAAATAGGACTTGCGCCATTGGATGGTTGTATGTATTGGTACTAGTACAGCCTCCAGAGAAAAATCTACACAGGACTACCACGGTTACCCGATCTATCTGATAGTGTTCCTGACTCCTGTCCTCTTGCGGCAGAATCTGGTGTCAAGAAGTTCTTCATACAGCCCACAGGGCACAGGGCAGTCATTCTTTGATCTTTATATCAGTCTTGATTTCTGGTCCACGTGCCCTCAATGTCCCGAGGCGATGATGATGTTCATGTGTTGCGAGTTGTGATTGTCCTCATGAAGTTGATGTCTTGATCGCCATTTTGGTTGCAGTTTAAAGCTTAGGTCCCTGCGAATTGCGATGGACATTTCGATCATCTGCTTTTCGTGCATGCGGCAAGCCGTCGACCTGCTAGTCTCCACTACCTAACAAATGATCGCCAGAAGTACTTTCGAAACAATGACCTGAGTGGTCGGCTATGGGGCCATTCGAAATCGCCAATCCTAATTTCTGGCCACTGGCTACCTAGAGGGCTAGATTATTAGGTACTCCGGAAGCTCTGCAGTCTGGAATTCTGGATCCAAGGTTTTCGAAAATTGAAACCCATCCTATTATCCAAATTCCCATTCTACAATCTCAGAACACCGTTTTCATGTTCCTCCTAGAGTACCAGTTGCCTCGGAGTTGGGACTTGGGAGAATGGGAGTGCCCGCAAGGAAGAATTGAAAGAAGGATTGAAGAGCCTAGAATGACTGATACTACTCCGTACTGTTTCAATGGCCAATATGTATCGCGCTTGTGTCCCACTGTTCTCTATGTTCCTCCAGCCTAACTTCAGCTCGAGGGACAGGTTCACATCGCCTTCATATTTTTATTTCATCGGCCTCTCAATTATACTTCGAAATAACCGATAAGCTGGGGAGTGATAGACCCATGAGTCCTAGGATGGAATTGACAATGAACTCCCTGGGCAAAGGGATGACGATAAATAGACCTCCAAAGTCACGTGTAGCTGCATTTCGCTACGATATGAAGTATTATAACCTTTAGTTCTTATCGTTTTCAACACATCACACGTCAATTCGACACTTACTGGTAGAGACCAACGTCCATTATGGTAGGGCTGTGTGCCGAAGCATCTTTGAAGTTTTCCAGATGGGCAACCCGAGTTCTTTTCGATGGATCCATATCCATGCCAATCCGCCGATACTTGCAGGCGTTAATTAAGGGGGCGCAGCACTTCGTCTTTGGACGACTGATATGAGGTTCGAAACCTTATAATGAGAAGTCAAGTTCAACTATCTTCAATTCACAGTCACTATTTGATCATTTGTCCTCGATGGCAACGTTATGGCGGAGTTCGGGTCAGGGCCTGATCTTCAGGTTATCCGCGGGCAAATATTGCAGGCATTGCAAGAGTCCATAGTGCGGCTCAAAGTGATCAAGGAAACGTCAGAAAGTCCAGTGTTCGCACAAAGAGTCACTATTACCGTACAGACTGTCGAAACCGCGTTGAAAGATCTGGAAAAATTTTGGGGCCATATCAACCGCTACTCCACGGCGTCGGTGCCGCGGTATCTAAAAGTCCACATCATCGACGTGTTTGACGATGCCCAGCGCATTCGCCGAAGTACCATCGAAAGTTTGGAAGAGTTCTGGGTTGTTGACGACGTGCCGGACCGCGACCCGTGTCGAGGGCGACTGTTGATATGCAGCCCAAGCCAAGAAATCCAGCCGCGCCCGGCGAAATTCACCATTCGTGCCCGTGAACCCGCGGCGATTTGTCGGTCCGGACTTGTCGCGTTTCTAGTGATATCCAAAAGACGGTTTGAGTTCTCGGCCCGCGACCTTTGCGATCTCATCGACCCTTTTGCCGTGTCTCGCGGACCTGAGGAGGTGTCGGTGTTGAATGATAGGCTTTTTGAAGACACCCTGTCCTTCCCTTTTGAAGCAGAAGAGAAGGATGGTTGCTCAAAAAACCCGCTCATCCTGTGGTCTTCTAGTCAGAGCTATGCTCTAAAAGTTATGGATGGCAGTCGAACCGCGACCCAACTGCTTCGATTCCCTAGTCCGCCACCAGACTTCAAGACCAGGTTCCAATACATGGAAATATGGGAACCGCATAGCTTCCATCCTTCGGCAACACGCTGTGCAACATGGGGGGCGAGATCTCGAGGCCAGTCAGCACAGTGGACGTCAATCATGACCTTCGGAGATACGGAAACGGTTGATTCCTTTACCCATAACCTGCATCGTCTTCTGACAGGATCTCCGAGCGTTTCTTCGACCCTGGGGACTCACTGGGGACATGTTCTGAAGTACGTGTTTGCAATGGGGATCAACGATGCTCGCATGACTCTACGTGCAGCGCTACGTTCGCTCGACAAGCTAGTAGGTCTCCTGGAGAACCTCGTGGCTGATATCTGATATTCGGCTCACCGCGAACAGAAATACGATAATGCCGCAAAGCCAAAAATAGGCAGTGCACATGCGTGCCTAATGTATATGAATCATATGGATTTTTTCCAGAGCTCGGCAGAACGGCTGCGGGACGGCCTGGTTAAAATGCCTTCGGAATGGGCCCTCGGCCAAACTGAATGGATGGCTAGGGTGTCGGATCAACTCTATGCCTTTGAGGACGAAGTAGTGACGGTCAGGCATGAAGCCAAACGCGTTCGTCAAATGATCATAGAGCAGCACTCTCTCTTTCAGTCTCGTCAGGCCACGATCCTCACCGTGCTTGCCTCGATTTTCATCCCGCTAAGTTTCGTCGCCAGTTTCTTCGGGATGAACACTTGGGAAATCAACGGATCATCCTGGAAGTTGAAATGGTACTTCATCACGTCCATTCCCCTCGCGACGATCACTGTGTTTCTCCCGCTCGTTATCATTCCCGTGTTCAACTCGATCGTCCGCAAGATGGTGCCAAAAAAGGAAAATCTCAAGTGGACATGGATAGTCAGCACCATCCTCCTGCTCTCCGTTCGGGATATCACTCGTGTGACAGGATATGATGACCTTGCGGACGTCCTCTATTGGATAATTTGGGTTGCGATCTATCTACTCGTCATGCATCTTTTGCACCGAATATACTCAGCATGGCAAACAGCGAAGAACACGAAAACGAGTCTTATCTTTATGGGGAAACAGAAGGTCTGGTGGTTCCTGTTCTGGCTGCTGGCAGCTGGTGCTTTCGTTGCTGGGGTGCAGTTCGTCCCCTTCGTCGAACTCGCCCCCTTTGGCTTGTATTTTGGCATCGTATATTGGCGCTTGCGAAATCGACGGTTCGAACACGCTGTCGAAGCGTAGCTTTGAACGGTTAATGTTAAACGACAAGTGCTTTTCCTGGCCAGTTGCCTGTATACAGCGAACCTAATCGTTGATGTAACCTCGTATAAATTCATTGATCTAGAGTAATGTCATAGCCCGGTATTCAGCTTCTGATAGCCTGAATTCCGGCCTTCCGAGCGTGGAAACTGAACCAGGTCGTTGTAGATATTGAGATTACTGTGCTTTCATGTGGGGTTGAACCCTGAAGCTTTTCACCTCGACACGGCACTTGCATTCATTCCAGACTTTTCCAGTAGGTAGGTATGTGACCTGTTGCCTTCGGGTAAACTTCCCACATATCCGTCGAACAAGACCTTGCTATTCCTATTATATGGTCCGCCATAGAGACTACGAGGCGTTGGAATTATGGATGAACGATCCCACATGGTACTTTACCCACAATCCCGATGTTTAACGAAACCTAGAATCGCGTTCCTAAACGCGTAAGGACCGACATCGTTCCCGCAGTTCCTGGGATGTCAACGGTCTCCACCTGTCCTTGCCACCCAAACCACAAATAATCAGATGTTAGCACGTTTCTAAACCTTAGATTACTGCACAGCCGAGTGCCCAACTTGGCAGGAGAGGCTTAACTGGAGCAAGTTTACATGTCAATCGCTCGATGATATTGCAGGCTGATGTCCGATGGCCACTATGATACTAACTTCGCTGTTTGACCAGCCGCCGTGGTCAAACAATTCTTGAGATTGATGCGGATGATCGGCGTTGGTTCCACCTCATTTCATAGCATATTGGATGAGTATAAGAAGAGTTCGATCAACCGTAGGATCGACTGGTCATCTTGCTGAATCCATCCACTGGTCTGAATTCAAGGAGTTGCAATATCAAGATGCATTTCCAGACTATAACCTCGCTCTTCCTTTCTACATTGTCCGTGGCAGCGGCCCTGCCATCAAGCCAAGGCAATGGCCTCCAAAAACGAGCCAACGTAGAAGGTTTCGACATCTCGCACTACCAGAGCAGCGTCGATTTTGCAGGCGCCTATTCTGCTGGGCTCCGGTTCGCCTTGATCAAAGCTACCGAAGGCACCACCTACAAGGACCCTCTTGTGAGCACGCCCCAAAGGTAGTCGTGGTAAATTCGCTCATCGAGGACCAGTTCACTTCTCACTATAACGGCGCCACGGACGCGGGTTTCATCCGCGGCGGTTATCATTTCGCTCGACCAGCATCAAGTTCTGGAGAGGCTCAGGCGACGTACTTCCTCAGCAATGGCGGTGGATGGAGTGACGATGGCATCACCCTGCCAGGAATGCTCGACATGGAGGCCGACTGCTCAAGCATGACCGCAGCTGAGACGGTTGCCTGGGTCCAAGACTTTGTGGACACGTACCACGGTTCAACGGGGAGATATCCGATCATTTATACCAGCCGGAGCTGGTGGCAGTCATGCACAGGGGACAGCGACGCTTTCAGCAAGACGTGTCCGCTACACCTCGCAAGCTGGAACAACTCGCCGGGAACCATCCCAGGAGGCTGGGGTGCGGAGACCATCTGGCAGTATAACGATGCTTCCAGCTGGGGCGGGGATTCGGACCAGTTCATTGGGACCATAGCCGAACTAAAAGCCCTTGCCAAAGGCTCTTGAGTGTGGGAGAGAAAACGTATATCGCAAGTTGGACAAATTATGAAGATATCGGGAACCAACCAAGCGTCGTCCTAGTGGCTTGAGCAGGATAGCACGCGGGGATCGCACCGTGACCAAATCAGAGAAGACAAGAAAATCTAAAGCTTCAGGAAAGCAAACTGTTGAAATCTTCAGCACTGAACTGGTTCGTGACGACGTGAAAAGCGTCCTTTATTCCTCAATCATTTAGACTCCCCAGGAATGACCGGGGAGTTTCCGACTAAGCTGATGAGAGGCGTTCTTATGACTGTCGTTTTGAAAGGAATGTTGAATTAGGATTCAGGACTAGGTTGGCACCTTGGAGAGACGAGTTCTGGTTTGACCAAAGACAAAGTTGGCGCTGAGACCACAAAGTTTGTCTCTGAGAAGAGCATCTTCGCCTCAGGAGTAACAGTCTAGACCGTTAACGCAGGTGATTATGGCGTATGTAATCACTCCCTATTTGACTTTTCCTAATGTGGTGTAGTGCAACTGGTTTGGGTTTAGAGTGCGTTGAAAACCCCAGTTAAGGGTATTTAGGGGTTGGGACAGTTGGAAACTTGGAATTTGAGACTGTTCGGAGTTGAGACTTGAGAACTGGTGAATGGGATCACGTGATTACATCAGACCTCCGATAGTCCGATTTGTGTACTGAGTATCTTTCTCGAGCTTCATAGAATTATATCTGTAAACCTCACTCCATAACCCTTTTGTCGCACTAAATCACCGTCGCATTATTGCATATCCCTGGGTTATTGGTTGCAGCTACCGAAGATTCTCTAATTCCTCAGCGCATACCCTAAGATTGTTCAGATTCTTTGCGCCTCCCCCAATCTCCTGTAACCATGCCGCCACCCAAACAAATGACCGCAAATCCTACGAGACCCTCCCGTCACCGTGCCGGGAAGATACTCGCGCAAGACTCATCGTCCGATGGATCAGAGGAGGGTGAAGAAGATATTGAAGAGGAGAGTCAGGTCCCCACCGAACGTCCAACGTCACCAAAGCCTCCCCTGAAATCCGCCGGTACCCTCAAACCCCTCGGTCAGCAGAGCAACGTCGCACTTGCTCCTCCAAAACCTCAAATCGATGAGTCGGAATTTGTCACAGAGAGTGAAGGGTCGGAAAATGGATCCGCAGGAGCTTCAGGGAGCGAAAGCGAGGAGGAATCAGAGGCCGAGGTTTCGGAAGAAGAGGAGGAGACGCAGCCACAACTTCTACGACCGGTTTTCATGAGCAAAGCGAAGCGGGCTTGGTTAGCATCAAAAGGCCGCAGTGGTACAAGCGGAGTCCAGACAAAAAGCGCGGAAGAGATACAGGCGGAGGAAGATGCTCGTCGGCGGCAGAAGGCAGACGAACTGGTTCAGGAGCAGATTGAGAAACACGCGGCTGCTCGGGCGGCGGGGAAGAAGAACTGGGATGACGACGAGGTGGAGGATGCGGAGGAGATCGACGACACCGATTATCTCGACGCCGCGTCACTGGAGGCCGAATATGCGAAATGGGAGCTACGGGAGTTACAGCGGATCAAGCGGGAGCGCGACGTGCTGGTCGCTGCGGAGAGAGAGCGGGAAGAGGTGGAGCGAAGGCGGAATATGGATCCGTCCGAGAGAGAGCGCGAAGATCGAGAGTACATTGAGGGGCAGAAAGCGGAACGGGAAGGAAAGGGCAAGATGGCGCACATGCAGAAATACTTCCACAAAGGAGCGTTTTTCGCGGATGACTCCAAGCAGGCGGGACTTGCGGATCGCGACATCATGGGAGGACGCTATGAGGACGACGTACTGGATCGCGAGGCGTTGCCCGAGTACATGCAGATCAGAGATCAGACGAGACTCGGCAAGAAGGGGAGAACGAGATATCGCGATATGAAAACAGAGGACACCGGCCGATTCGGGGATTACAATAGAGACCGTCCTAGCTGGCAAGGCGGTGACCGAAGACATCAGGACAAGGACGTCGACGAACGCTTCCTTCCGGACAATGACCGCCACGGGCTAGCACCATCCGGGGCGAATGCAAGTTCGCTGGGCGAACGGAAGAGACCTAAGGACGAGGACGACCGGGGAGGAAAGCGAGCAAGGGTTCAGTGAAAAGGGTTTCTACGAGACGGACATATCAAATACTACTGAAAAGGTCGCTCCGGACCTACCAGAACGAATCGGCAATTTGGCCGCTGCTTGCTGCAATATCTGCAAATGCAATCATCCCACAGATGCAGAGGGAAACGGACGCCACGGGACGCGTAGCCAAGGACGATAAGCCTATATACATGATCCTATTCATCCTAACTGTCATAGAGACGCCCCACAGTGGGACCGTTTCAGGCTTTGTTATACACAGTACAGTGGGGATAGAAGGCGGATCAGGAGATCGCAGCTCTTACACATGCCTGGCCGTCTTGGCTTGTGGCCTATATAATACATGCTCATTTTAACTCCACAGGGCTCGGACAGTTATCCAGGCCATGGATAGGCAGGATAGGCAGGATAGGCGTCGCTTCCACTTCGGCCTTGCCCCTCAGCTAGATTATTGTCATGGCCTGCTCAACTATGCCTGCCAAAGCGCATTGCATGAATGAATGCATCACTCACGCGCATTCCGTTCGATGAAATCACTCATCGTGCTCCATCATGGTTTGGCTTCCGCATCGCCATAGAATATCGATCGGTACCGGTGCGTCAAGTCAACAACCGCCTCGACCGACGTATAGTCTGTAGGGTTAATTAGCGACTTTCACGTGCGAAAGGGGAACTATATTATATGGGCGCCGCCTTCCACCGTCAAATAAACATGATGTGGTGGAGCCCTAGCGATCACATACCGATATTGGTCCCAAAATCCGTGCTGTTGAGCACTTTGATAGACATGTCCTCGTTAACTTTGCCGATAATCTCAACCCAATGGTCCACGCTCAAATGCGACTCCTAGAACATAAAAATAATGTTAGTCATTAATTGATCGTCTGATGCATGTAGTTGCACATGTCTCGTGGAGATTGCAGGAAAGGCCCATAGTGATTGATGGCTTAGTACACGCAAAAGAACCACTGCACGATATCTCAGAATCTGCGAACCTACCCGATTCAAGTGGATGGTCACCATGCCAGTGCAATCGATCACGGCCGTTTCACCCATTAATTGTGCCACCTTGCCGATAAGACGAACATGGCGGTGTCTGAAGTTGCCCAGGTATTGCCCGTTAACGCGGGGGGTTTCTTCCGCCATGATGTATGGAGGGGAGGATGTCCGTGCAAGAAACCTTGTTGTCTTTAGAATTTCTGGGGGGAGGGTAGGGGAGGGGGCTAGAATTCTTGTTTGTGGAATTCTTCGGACAGGCGGAATGTCTAATAGTGAAACGATGTGTAAGTCGACTGTCGATGTGATTACGGTCCTAGGGTGGCGAGGGCACGCTGGAAGACATCAAAACATCCAAACCTGTGGTGAAGATCGAGACGACAGGCATCCATCATAGCAAACTAACCCGATCGGGACTCCCATCCCACCAGCTCCCCCAGGACATCGATAACCATTCTCTAGGTCGTTGTTCAAAACAATCATTTGGCACCTGATTTTACAGATTTAGTTCATGGTTAGCCATTCATGACTCAAAGAATTTACAGGTCATAGTCACCTAGCCTGCCCCGCCGGTACGCTCGTGACAGACGCTGAAACAGAGGCGTCCAACCAATCTGACAGGAAGCTAGTGACGATCCAACGAACAGATTAAAGCAACTGTATAGACACGATCCACGTAGGACATTGTTTAATGCCTATAGAGACTACCTCGACGGCCTCCTCGGCCCGAGGCGGCGATGTAACTGGCTGGCGGTGGACTGTACTCTGCACGTACCTCCAAGATTACAATAGAAGCGAAGCTTTGAACAAGCAAATCGGTAGCATGGCCCCGATGCATCCGATGATCCGGAGGTAGGCATATAAATTGCTCACAACTCCACGGGGATTTCTTTCACGGGGTGTACATGGCATAGATGAAAAGCAGGGGAAGCAGGCAGTGTGGTGGGACGCCATAGATATATTGAGAGCTGGAATAGCGCCGTTTCGAGATGAAGCTAACCGGTTACGGTATTCCGTTGTTTAAGCTTCTTCATCTATCCGATGCATCAATATAGAATACATGATTCGGCCCCCCTCCCGGTGTCATTATTGGCTCTCTATATCCATGCTCTCGGCCGATGGCGGGCCCTTTGCCTTGCTAAGCCAAAGAAGTATATGGAGCATTAAACATAGCTTGTTTTCTTAGCGTATCATGCGTTTAGTCTGGTTGTTTGATGTGTACATCCTGCGACTTGCCAGGCGCCTAAGCCTGCCCGCAAATCAATTCTGTTTGACAAGGTACATGCCATGTGTAAGTAGGAGGCTCATCGTCATGAAGTTATGCGTGGGAGGCGTATTCCCCAGAAAATTCATCTAATTCATGCCACTTGGCCCGTCAGTCATTTCAGGTAGGGTAGGGAGGAGACAGTGGATCCCAATCGAACAGCATATATAGTCATTCCTCGCCGCTCCTATTAGATCCTCTCTGTATCCTGCAGCATAGTCACTCTTTCATCCACAAGCCATTCTTTTCGCATACGATTGATTCGATTTGCCCAATATGAAATACTCCACCGCTCTTCTCGCCCTGATCGGCCTCGCCGCTGCGGCACCTTCTTCCGACCTCGCCAGACGTCAGATCACCTCCGACGAACTTATCAAGGGAGGATGCAAGAAGGTCGTCTTTGTTTGGGCACGCGCCTCGACTGAACCCGGCAACATGGTTAGGAAAACCCCGCGGTCGACGTGAAGAGCTCGCTAACCGAACCGCAGGGCATGAGCATGGGTCCCATCGTATGCTCTGGTTTGAAGAAGAAATTCGGCTCGAACAGCGTTGCCTGTCAGGGTGTCGGAGGTCCTTATTCAGCGGGTCTGATGGACAACGTGCGGTCGGATGGCACCACTGAAGAGGCCGTCAACGAGGCCGTCAGCATGTTTACCAAGGCCATTCAGTGTGAGGGCGCTCTCGTCGTCGGTGGTGGATACAGGTAAGCGGATAGAACGGCAGCATACACCGGCAGGACGGTGTTAACATTTTTTACAGCCAGGGTACCGCCGTGACTGGGAATGCGGTCATGAAACTTGATAGTGCCGCGAAGGAGAAGGTCCTCGGTATCGTGCTATACGGATACACCAAGAATGGTCAAACTAAAGGGTCCATTCCCGGATATCCCTCCGACCGCCTCAAAGTCTTCTGCCGTGACGATGATGGAGTCTGTGACGGCCAGCTCATGGTGACTATTGGTCACTTTGGATACCTTATGGACGACAGTGGCGATGAGGGTATCGCCTTCCTAACTCAAAAGATCCAAGCAGCTTCCTCGGGCTAGACGAACTTGGCGTTATTGAGCCTCACATCTCTCTAACGGATGTGCCTGGACGCCGGTCGTATTGAAGGGAGGAGGGGCAGATGTCTATAATATTCAATGTGAATAATGGTCAATATGCCCAATTTCAATGCTGCATCCATTCATCCAACCAATGAAAAGTTACCCACCTTAACATATATTGTGCTTTATGTATGCGTTATTTGATGGAGAAATCGAGATCGACTCAAGACTCATGAACGAAGTACCAAGCGAGCCGTCGAAGGACGGAGAGACATTGAGAGGGAGCAGAATATGACGCTACCATAATAGGACTGACCCATCCTAGCCGCTGGTACGCCTTTCGAAGATCCTGATTATGAGAACACGAGCAAGGATGGGATACGGCTTTGATAGCCGCAAAATAGGAGCTGGGTATTGCGAGTCATGATGAACTTGTCCCTAGCTCTAGATAAATATGGCGAGGCCATAACACCAAACTGACAACATTGCAACCGTAAGCAATAAACGATAAATCCGAACAACTCATTCTGCATGGAGACATGTTCTGTAATATGCAGCAACACCGTCCGGAATCAATATCCTCGTCTTGGTCCCGAGTCGGAATGCACTCGGCCCATTGGAACAGACCCCGGCAGAGGGGAACGATGTCTAGACGCTGCTCGATATGGACTTGTAGCGTGGTGAGTTTCGCCATGAGCATGGCTTGGACTGCGATGCGTCGACGGATGTCTTCGAGGCGGCGGTAAGGCATGCGAAGGATATGGAGCATGGCCTCCTGCTTCATGCCAACTATGGGGCCGCTCCGTGGTGCGCCTCTGTGGACGAAGGTGGCTAGGGGAATGATCTCTAGGCCGCCCTCGGGGAGACGTGCTGTGGTGAATATCATGGCTGGGGGAATGGTGCGAAGGAGAGTGGCGCGATGGAGAGCGGTGCGAGCGTGTACGCTGTGGCCGAGACGACGTCGACGTGGTAGACACTTTAGACGCGGACCGGGCGCGGTTCCATTTGTACATTTTCCGTCCGCCGCCAATGACGATAGGCGCGATCACACTGAGCGGCTCTAAGATGTCCGCGAGCCCTCGTGCAGTATCTTTGACCCGATCTTTCAACGATGGGGGGTCGGGATCCGGTTCGTGGCCTTCCTTGCCATGCCGTGGAGGCCTGGAAGAAGACGGGGGCGTGTGGAGGTCTGGAGCCGATTCGGAGAGGTTCGTCGGTCGCCGTTGTGGGTAAGGGTGATTCCTATGCCTGCGTCGATGCTGGCGCTTCTTCATCGTTGCGAAGACCTTTCCATAATCTTCATCGGATCTTGAACTGAAGGTGCAGATGGAAAGGTGGCTCTTTTTCAACGGCGTTGCATCCTCGAACAGCTCATCCTCTTCGTCCTCGAAATCTACAGGGAGGCTGGACGACGGAAGGCCCAGGATGACTCCACGGCCATAGCCCCAGTTCGGAGTCGGAAGCGTCTCTGCAAAGTTGATGATTTCCAACGGGGCGTCTTTATTCATCTCAATAAAGTCCTCGTTGATATCTTGCAAGACTTCGCCGCTATCTTCTAGAGCGTCGAGAAATGCGTCCGAGGAGGGCACGGACGAGACCTTTGCGATGGCACTCGCAAGTTTGCCAAGGTTCTGCTCCGCGTGTCTCCATACATGCGGCGCGGCAAGGAACACGATCCGGCTCGTCTGATTGTATATCGTCTGGAAGCCTTGATGACGCGCCTGCGAAGCAAATAGCAACGCTGCCTTCAAGACAAAGGCTCCCAAACTGTGGGCGATGAAGATTATGGGGACATCTTCAGGCACGCCATCCTTTTCCCGAGCTCTTATAACGCGAGATAGTAGCCGCTTCGCGATCGTGTCGATGATGCTTTCGGAATGCTCCAAGTCGTGCCCACGGACGGTGCTGCTGAAAAACAAGACTCGAGCGTTCGGACGTTCGGACGGCAGGTAGTCGCGCAGCCAGTTCCGTCCGTTCGGCGCGGTCCATGACTTCCAAGCTTTGTTCGGCTGGTCGGCGTGATCAGAAGGGGATGCAATGGCGATAATCTCAACGGAAGGATGGAGAGGGTTCGTGACCGCTCGAAGAGACAGCATCTGCTCTTGGTCCATCGCGAAAGGAGGTATTAGGGGTTTGGCGCTCTGTGTCGATTGAGGAGGTGATCAGGTTGGAAGCATCATGGCTTCGAAGTCTGCTTGTAATACTCCGTACTCTTGAGTTAAATAGGTTCTGGATCCAGCACCAGTTCCGAAGTCAGCTGTACAGGAGAGCATCGTCTCCCGAGTCCCGTGTCCCGTTGGCTTTGCCCGCACATTTGCATGAACTGCTGCCTTGTGATTTGACGTGGCATGGCGGCGGTGCCTCCCATGCCGGCAGTCCTAGCAAAGTCACACATATCAGATCAGATGGTTGGTAAGGAGTCATCAGGTCAGTTCAGCGACACCTGGAACACGAAAGTCGAAAAGACAGATACGTTAGCCACAAGTAGGTTGCTGTCCGTTGGGAGCTATCGGTATCTCCCAAAAGCCATAGGATGGATGGCTGTACGCCACTTCCCCTGTCCTCAGCGTCACGAACCTTCGAAGGCTTAGACCTTGGAGTGTCGGAGCTCCAATGGTTACCTCCCCTGACGGCGATTCTCAAGCACTCAGCCTTCCAGAGTTCTAGACCAGCCCTACGGCCGTGGCTTTGTGACTTAAGGACCCTGAGTCTTGAGGCGTTGGGACTTGGGTCATCTTCTCATCATCAGGAGTCGACTTGGAATAAACAAGTCCTGTGTTGATGATGTGTATGGATTCAATAAACCGCCCTTGAGAGCATGCTCTAGAACCTGTATGGACAGCTTCAGCTGGACACACGGAATAAGGTGGCCTTCAGCCTCAATCATGAGGACGTCAACTCGCCCATCATTATGTCTCTGAAAATGCGTTGTAGTCACTAAGTACTCTAAACAGCGCTCGGCCAGCTTGGGAGATAAAGTACATCACTGACTTAAGTAAGTGCTTACCTTTGCAGTTTGCACGCATTTGGTCTCGGACTTTATTTAGGTGGAATGAAAATCAATTGACCTCAAAAGGTGGATCTACGAATCTCCCCTTCTCATGCCCCTTTCACCTCACCGCCTCCTCACAACTCCACGATGGGCAACCGTAAATCTCCGGGTCCCAAAGAACCTCCACATCTCGAGCCGACTTCATCCAGCTTCAGCATATCGCACGGGATCCCACCCCTCGACGAAAGCAAAAATGGCCTCCGACAAGCTCAAACATGACGTCAACAACGACGACCCCCTGCCCTTTGAACTCACGGATCTAGATCAGAAAATCCTCTCCCAGACCGACGAAGAATACCAACCCCTTTCCTGGGACGAGGTGAAACGCATAGCCGGTAGGCCGCTCTGTCTGCATTCCACTCCCGTCATCGGGCACTGAAATCCGTGCAGCCGAGAACCGCCTGGAGCTCTTCACGCGCACGCCGTCGCAGCTGCGGCGGTACTTGACGTGGTCGCGGCGTATTCGGATTGAATATGGCGGCATGTTGAACTACATCTGCACGGAGAGACTGCAGTGGGACATCGCGGACGGCGGGGTTGCGTGTGTGAACCCAGTCCCGTTCGCCGATGAGAGGGACTACACGATCCGGCTCAACGACTGGCCCTATGGCGTCAGTCCGGAGATCCGGCACCTGTTGGTCTGGTTGAAGACGCCGCTGGCGGTCGATCTGGAAGGGAAGTTGACGCGGGAATCGTGGGACTCGATCGATCATTTCGTGCGTCGGACGTTTCGAGTCAAGCTAGAGGCGGACGGACATGAATTGCCGGCGAGCGAGAGGGTGCTGTGGTTTAAGAACTGGACGGCGCTGCAGAGCGTGCGGGCGCTGGAGCACTTTCATGTCATGGTGCGAGGGGTTACAGATGAGTTGATCAAGGAGTGGACGAAAGGCCATGTAGCCTGTGTACAAGATGCATAGACCGGGTATAGAATAGACATAATGGCGAGGGCCGAAGGTATATTGGACCGGCTTGGGACAGCAACGGTTCTATGACAGCAGACACTAATACACCCATCTAAACGTAGCCCGCAATCAAACTCCGAAGCAATGCCTTATCTCATCTCTCATCATCCGGACATGTGTATTCGCTCCAGTTCGCAATATCCTTCCAAATCGTAAGTCATACAAAGCTGTCCCGACCGACAGCTCAGCTTGATGGATCAATGTGTGTGTCCTTCAGGTTTAATGGCTGCGGCACGGTAAAAGGCGTCCCCGCGGGCCTGGATCCTGGCTCGGGTACCGCTGGCGATTGTGAGCCTGACACAGGCGTTCCTGCTCCACTGGGAAGTGGCAGCGGTGTGATGGCTCCCGACTGTGGGACGGACGGTGGGACGGAAGGCGGGACGGGGATCGAGATGTTTTCCGGCGAGCCCGGGATGATATTTTCGGGGACGTCGGAGATATGAATCCGTTTCGCTTCGTTGTTGTAGGAAGCGGGGATGATCTAATGCACAATCAGCAGGCGTCGCAACTTGGCAGCGGAGCGCAATACCTCAATTATCTCATCGCGTGGAAACTCGATCTTCGGGATATCCGCCGCGTTGCAAGCCATCAGATAGCCATAGAGGACCCTGAGGACGCTTTCATGAGCAATGATGAGGACGTCGTTCTGTTCTCGCTCCAGCTCGAGAATGATGGGCTCCAGTCGGACTGCCAGATCATGGTAAGACTGCAGAAATTAATCAGTACGGTTGCCATTGCATGGCAAGTGACAAAGGGCTCCTTACCTCTGCTCTTGGATATCGATGATGATATGGGTCGGCCTCATGCTTTATCACCTCATCCGGATACTCTGTTCTGATCCGTTTCTCGCTCATTTTCTCGCAAACTCCTGGATTCATTTGGCTCATCTGGCTCCGGGGAATTACGGCATAACCGTTCTTGGCGAAGTACTGCCCTGTTTCGATAGTCCGTCGCCTCGTGCTTGTCCAGACTGTCATCGGCACCAACGCATTCTCCGGGCCTCCTCGGTCGATCAAGGCCTGACGCTCTTGCTCACGATGCTTGATCAATCTTTCAGTTAACTTCCGGGCGTAGTCTTTGCCTTCTTCCGAGAGAGCAGCATCGGCTTTGTAGGAGTCTTCGTGTTTGGTCGTCCCAGCGCGGGCAAAGTAGGTTTGTCTCGGCTTCGTATGCAAATTGAGAAGGTAAAAGACGATGCGCTGGGACAAGTATCCGAATGCGCAGTTGTTAACAACGACCCTCTCTCCGGCATTTATCAGCTTTACCCAATGCAAGTCCTGCTCTTCCATAGTTTCGAAATGCGGGATTCTGGCGGACAGACGGGCCAAGTAGTCTTTGACGGCAAGCTCGTCGGACCATCCTTTGTAGTCCGGGGATGAGATCTTAACATTGCGGACGTTGTCTTCGATTATGCGCTCGTCCGTGCAGTGGGACTCGATGAACAGCGTTTGAACTTGATGTTTGGCGAATTCTTTCGCCAGTGCTCGTCTGCCTTCGGAAATGGCATTCACGGCATCATAGATGGCCACTTGGCCGTTCTCATGGTCGAGGAAATGGAAGATGTCCTCCCGGCACTTCTTCAGGATCTTGTTCCTTAACAACACCGAGGAAGGGGACGCATTGATATGGAAGTAATCCTTCGGGACATCGGTGCCCGGTCCCATTGTCGCTCTCCGATAATCTCCTAGATGGAAGACGTGGGTCTTCACCCCAAGCCAGCGAAGGTACCGGGCAAGGGCTACGGATATATGAGTCTTGCCACGAGCTGGCAAGCCAACGGTAGCGATGACGATCCTTCCGGAATGAAATAGACGGCCAGACTCGGTGCTATACAGTTGGGCGGGCGCCATCACTTCCTTTTCGGGGAGATCGTGGATGGCATCGACGTATACGCTCGACCGGCGCCGGACACGCGGCGAGTTGGCCATGATGTCGGCAGTGCTGCTTTCCGTCAACCATTGAAGCGGAAGGAGGATGGTACCACCATAACCTACAGCAGAGTGTCCATATTGAAAGAGAGTAGTGTCCGGGGGTATCGAGAAACCGGAGGCTTGAAACGGGAAGCAATAAAGCAACGGTGGAGATCTAGTTCGCAATTTGCTTGCGGCGGCAGACAGGCAATCTCTAAGAGAGATGTTACACAAACGGCGATACTATTTCGTGCTCCGGATGGGTTGGCTGTGAGTCCACGATGTGCATATTTCCGAGAGTGACAATGGTACGGGGGACAAGAGAAGCATTGCAATATGAAGATGGGAGAAACGGAGAAGAGTCGGGGAATTGGAAGATTTAGCACAGTTTAGAGAAATGTCGCATCAAAATGAAGACCCTGCCAGTAGTACCTCCGTTGTCCGTCTCGTTCATACAATACTAATCTGATAAATGGAAGGGAAGCTTCAGGCGTCCCCAATTTCCACGATGACAATCAAAGACGCTGACCGCTGAAAGGTGCAAAGATATCAAAGGTCTGATTGGCTGAAAGGTGCAAAGATTTCAAAGATATGATTGGCTGTCACTGGAATTGATAAGGAACTGGTGGGAGAGTTCAAATGCACGTGATGATCAGCAGACCTAGTTGGCAGATTAACACGTGCAAGTCAGGTGACCACGCGTTAAGCACTGTTTGAGTCAGGAATATCTCCTTAACCGCTCGTGAATGAATCATGTCATTAAGGCCCCAAGGCAATTATTCGATCCACCAGCCAGGCCATGGACTGGATATTCCCTAGAAGACTTCCCTTGATGCTGGACATCTGAAGACATGGACTTTCAAGTTGACTTGTTAGGAGTTTATCCTCTCTACCTTCATCGGCTGGAGAGACTTTCCGCACAGCTTTCATTGTCTTGAACATCATTCAGCGCTGACTTGGATTGGCAGAACGCTGCGCGAAACTTCGATGATGCGCCTGCCTTCTCTCAGGCATGGCACTCTCAGGCATGGCATCAAGAACATTAACTCTCCCGGGCGCGGATTGAGTCCATTTCAATATGTGACCCTTCTCTCGCGTCCATCCGGCTCTCGCTGGTTGAGCAAGGCGACGAAACTCCCCGAACAACCGGCCAGAACCCGATTCGCACCCTCCCCGACCGGATACCTTCACCTTGGGTCTCTCCGGACCGCGCTCTTCAATTACCTCCTGGCCCGCCGAACCGGCGGGCAATTTCTCCTTCGAATCGAGGACACGGACCAGAAACGGACGGTGCCAGATGCAGAGGAAAAGTTATTCAAAGATCTACGGTGGGCTGGGTTGGAATGGGATGAAGGTCCCGAAGTAGGAGGACCGTATGGCCCCTACCGACAATCCGAGCGGACAGCGCTCTACCAGTTGCATGCCGGGCAACTCCTAGAGACCGGACACGCGTACCGATGCTTCTGCACGCAGGAACGGCTTCAGGAACTCGCAGAGGAGCGACACAAACTCGGACTCCCGACCGACTACGACCGTCGATGCTTCCACATGAGCAAAGAAGAATCGAATGCGAAAGCAGCGGATGCGCAACCCCATGTTATCCGCCTTCTCTCCCCGCCGAAGTACCCGTCCTTCATCGATCTAGTGTATGGAAAAGTACCAAAGGGGGCCACCCTGAAACGTACGGTCGACGACGCCTTCGACGATCCCATTCTTTTGAAGTCGGACGGATTGCCGACATACCACCTTGCGAATGTGGTAGACGATCACCACATGGAAATCACCCATGTCGTCCGAGGGTCCGAGTGGCTGATCGCAACCCCGAAACACATCGCGATGTACGAGGCTTTTGGCTGGAAACCACCGGCGTTTGCCCACGTAGGCTTGCTGGTTGACGAGGAGGGGAACAAACTAAGCAAAAGAAAGTTGGACATTGACATTGCGTCTTACCGGGACAAAGGCGTCTTGCCCGATGCACTCGTGAACTTTGTAGCTCTGCTTGGGTGGTCGCATAATATGGGCAAGGACTTTTGCACCGTGGAAAGACTACAAGAGCTTGTAAGATCAAAGAGTATGCTATTTTTTAACATTGTATTAACGCGTGGGCAGTTCCGACCGAAATTCACGAAGGGCAATACAACTGTAGATATCAGGAAGCTTTGGTTCCTTCAATCTAAGCATGCTGCCAACATTACTGAGGAGAGTGGCCAGCCATTTGCCGACCTTGTTCGCCAAGTTGAAGAGGTCGTTGTGAAGGAATACAATGTCGCGGACAGGTAAGACTTCTGGTCTTGGAGCCTTTTGATATCGGCCATTAATCCAAAATTAGATCCCATACCCTGCAGGATACACTATTGCCAACATACATATCCAGCATCCTCAAAGCGGATGCGAGGAATTATTCCACCCCAGAGGAGTTCGTGAAACGCGTCGAATTCTTCTTCCGACCCCAGCACTATCCCCCAATCTTCGACGGTTACCAGAAATCCAACGTAGCCGTGGACACGCTGGCATCCGCCTGCCGTCAAATTCTCCAAGCATCGCCCTGGACGAAAGAGGGTATCCAGAAGGAAATTCTGACCACCGTGGCCCAATTAGAGAAGAGCATCGCCTCTGAAGCGTCTGAGAAACACTCCCATCGAGCCGTGAGTGCCGATGTGCACCATTTTCTCCGCGGTGTTATTCTTGGTGGCCGAGCAGGACCGACGGTGGCCGAATCCATGGAGATCTTGGGGAAGGCGTTTTGCGCGGCACGATTCTCCGAATTCCAAGCCGCTCGCCCCGCAACGGCGGAGGATGGTACTGTTTCCTCTGCGGCTGGGTGACAATTGAAGGGGGCTCGGCGATCTCGTACCACCGGTGTATAGAGGAGCCGTGTAGCCAAAACTCCACCCGTTCCGAATCCGCACAGTATGACAACCCGTTGTCGATCCGATCGCGATGGGGTATGAGGATTCGAACGGACGTGGCGGCTGCGGGCGACTGTCCGAGCAGATGGACGATGTGGCGGGGCTGTTGGAATGGGCGGTTGGTGGATGGACGAGGTTTTCGAGTAGGGTGAGGATGAGCCTGGAGGGATCGGGCATAAGGCAGCGGAGTATGGGGATAAAGAGCAGTAGATAGTTCTCTATGAAATGACCAGCGCGTCGGGGACGCCCGCTATATAAATCGATACCCGTTGACATGTTCCAGACATAAACCTGTTGGGCTTCAGTCTTATCAGCCAGCCATATATTGAGTCAGAGATGGAAACCACGACAGAAGGAGACTGCAGCAGAAAGCATCCGCACGTTGAAACATTTGTAGCAAGGTCTAAAGATCTATTAAACGCATGAAAAGAAGTCTTTTCTCTCCGCTTTCGCTTTCCCAAATCAAACATGGCCGTGGTCCAAACATCCAAAAACAGAAAGTATACACAAAAGTACGATGAAGCTTTGGCCGAAGATTATCCCAATGCAGCAGTGGTTGAACCCGAAGTATATATGGGAGCAGGAGGTGGAAAGGCTGAGGGGGCAGTACGAGGGGCAAAACCTCTGGAGGACAAGGAGCGAAGTCAGGGCCACCGCGCTCACTCCCGCGAGACGTCTCGACCAAACATCTTGGTCTTGGCCCAATCCATCACTACCAGGATCCTATTTCTCACTAAACACGAAGAGAAAGCCGTTAGCATGCTATTACCGAGTCTCGGCGCGGAACGCTGTTGGGGTTCACTTACTGCTCCAGCACATGCTCAGATAGGCGCTGCGCCAGAAGATATAGGTCAGGCCACCACCGGTCGCCACGTTTCCGGTCAACCAGCTGATATCCGCCACCGCCTTGTCGCTCCCGATGTACGCCAACGATCCTTGATGGGAGTATTCGAACGGTCCCATCTGCTTGACGCGTCGGAGGCGCTTCTGCAGTTCCTTGATGTCCGCGAAGACTTGATCCCGCTCCTCCTTGTTCGGCGCCTTGGATTGGAGGTCGCTCAATTGGGATAGCTTATCCTCGATGGCCTGGGTCTTCGCGATGTTGTTGAAGAGCCTCGCCAGGAACGCGCCCTCTTGCGAGGCGACCTGGGCCGTTGGCGCGTAGTTGGCGATGGCGCAGTCGCCGACCGCCCAGATGTCTTCAGTACCCTTCACGACGAGGTATTCGTTAACGAGGAGGCCGCGGCGCGAGTCCTTCTGCGCAGGAATCTGCATCATAAGATCCTTCACGACAGGCCGGAGAGCGTTACCAGTGGCCCAGACAAGGAGACCATAGGGGATATTCTCCGTGATTTTCTGGCCGTCCGGACCGGTGGACTCGGCTTCGATGTACTTCTCGTGGACTTTTTTGACCATGGTCTTGGTACGGATGGTGATGGTTTCTTCCTTGAATGTGCGTTCGGTGTAATCAATGAGTTGCTTGGAGAACATGGGAAGAACCTAAACGACGAATTAGTTCTCAGTACCGAGTTGAGAGTGACCGAAACCTTACGTTTGGTAGAGCCTCTACGAGGGTGACGTGGAAGTTGTCTTGAATTTCGGGGATCCATTTCCTCAGATCATCTTGGAAGAAATCCTGGAGTTCACCGGCGAATTCGACACCGGTAGGACCGCCGCCAACCACCACCATATGCAGTAGCCGGGCTCGTTCCTCGGGAGATTGGTCCCGGAAAACGGCGGTCTCACAGCAGTCCATGATGCGTCGGCGGATCTTCTGAGCGTCACCGACCTCTTTGAGGAAAAGACCATGCTCACGGACACCGGGGATGCCTAGCAAATATATATCAGCCGGCTGAACTGCACGCAATGCGAATAGCTGTGAACTTACCGAAGGTCGCATTTTCCGCCCCAACACCAACCACGAGCATATCGAACGCGATTTCCGATGTCCTCACATTACCCTTGATTTCACTCTCGTCATTGATGTATACGACCTTCTTCTTATAATCGATCTTCGTCGCCTCGGCCTCGTAGAACTTGACGGCGGTTTTCTTGTGTCGCAAGAAGTTTCGAACCGGCTCCATGATGGAGCGATGTTCGATCTGGCCGGTCGTGCAGGAGGGTAGGAGCGGGGTGAAGAGGAAATAATTGCGCGGGGAGATGACGATGACATTGTAGTTCTCCGTATCGAGTTTCTTGAGGAGCGAGACGGAGCCCCAACCGGTGCCTGCAGGTCTCATAGTTAGCAAAGGTGTTCGATACTGTCTGCTCCTGTCCGCTCCTGTCCACGGATTTTGATGCGAGCAACTCCATGGATCCGACGTAGAGCCAGAATGTTAGACAATGGGACACGTACCAAGAACCACCAACGTTTTCTTCCCTTCCTCTGGCACCTCCTGCTCTGCGGGATGGCGCATCAAGTAGATCTCATAACCCACATACACCAGCGCGCCCGCCGCACCCAGATATGTCAACCGCCAGAGCCATCGAATGAGTCGGAAGCGCTTCTTCGGTTTCGGGGTCTCCGCCTCCGCCGGCGTCGCATACGCCCGGGTCGACACGAGCGATGTGACCGTCGTGATCCTCGACGGCAGCGCACGGGAGACGGATGAGGATGTGAGAATCGGGCTCCGCGACGGGGCTTGTCGTCGTGCGATGGCGGCGGAAGAGAGGGCACGAGAAGTGTGGGAGATCAATCGAGGGCAATTGGCGGCCGGGAGGCCGGCTTTCAGCCGTATCGGCGCGCAAATGATCTGTTTCATCATCGTGGCCGTTGGAGCGATGACTTGGAGGGAAACACGCTCAGAAATGCGATTGCAACCGGGTCAAGAAGAGGCAAAGCCTGGATTTGATCGTCACACAAATAACGAGGGTGGGAGGTGTCGATGGAGGTGGTTGCAGGTCGGGTCGACGGCTCGGACGAAATGGAGCAGAGCAAAGCTTGATCTGCAGACGTCACCGTTCTCGACTGCACTTGGATTCGGACAATTTCCTACGGCAGAAGCAGGAAATATATGTAGGCGTGCTGCCGACGAGAGGTTGGTCAGCAGAGGGCGTGAGGAGGGAGCTGAAGGATTTGAGGCCTCGTTCTGAAAAAAAGAAATGGAGTCAGATGGATGAAGAGAAAAAGGGTCTAGGAGGCGATGACACCAGCAGCCAATGCTTACCACTTTATGGAGTACGTGCAGTCACACACTTGACACTCCCTCTAGCTGCGTCGGATAAGATTTAATTTATTAAGTACGGCACACAGCACTTGAATCTATCGTTGGGATCTGATTTTAACGTGTCCGATCCCAACAATGGGGAGCGGAAAATGGGAACCAGACAGCCTTCCAGCTTCTTGTACAATGGTCGAATTCCCCAATCCGGCTAAAAGTAGAGCGTGTCGGGCTCAGTGGAATTGCTTATTACTGTTAATCCCAATTGACAAATCCATTACGAAATACATCCGGTAATTTAGGCCGTTTCATGAAATACTATGTACAGGTATTATAGCTTAAGGTGCGGTAACCAAAGGTATCACCGACTTAGTAACTGCAGTGTATACCACCAGATTCGGGTGCCGCTACGATGAGAAATTGAGAACGAAGGCGACAGGAGCTTCTTCATGTGACAAGACCAACGTCACCACCTCTTAAAATCCCTTTTCAAGCAATGGTAATATATTACTAACGTTAGATTCGGAGCTGAAGATCGGGTCAACCCGGAGCCATCGAGTCCATCCGACTCTTGGGATTCTTACGACTCCTGTCGGAATATCGAGGAACCGTCCGGACGCGAGGTTGGACTCCCGTCGGTGAATCTCGTATCGTGTCTACGGAGACAATATCACAAGAGTCACGTTTCTTCCCGAGAGGACACAGGGAGCATCTTACGGCGTGCGTATTGCTGTCTGCTAGATGTACATGGTCTCCTTTCCTCCCTTCCGCATCCACGTCTCCCCGCGAGACCGATGTCGACAGGAAGGAGATCGATCGCTTTCGATCGACCGTCTCTATAGTGAACCGACCGAATGAATATCGACCCTCGCTCCACTTCAACAGCTGAATGATAAATAGCTCGGGCTCCCAGCCCCCCGGAAATATGCAGTCAAGGAAAGAACGCCATCGCGATGCCATGCCATGCAATTCCCCCCTGAAACGCGACGGAGGGGGGAATAGTGAACAGAAAACGAAAGTGAAAAAGACAGCGGCCGAGAGCGGTGGCTTAATATAACCACGGACGGGTCCGGCAGAAAGGTCTTGACCCTTCTGCACTATCTAGAAACGCTGTCGCCGGTGAAATAAGCTCAACGTGATGAGAGCTGCACAGGGAATGAGATAAGGAGATCCGGAAAATCAGTATCTCTGCTCCCTTGTCCGGCTCCCGCCTCCGGTTGGCCCTGTTTGCTGCCAACCATACGGCTGCCCGGAATAGCTTCCCCCTTGATGTTGACCTGGACCGGGCGCCTGACCCTGCGGTTGCGAAGTCTGTCCCCAGTTCCCGACATACGGAAGACGACCCCACTTCGTCTCGCTGAAGTTCCTCCCAAGGCTGCGGTACTGCAACCGTGGCTCGGGTCCAGAGCCCGACTGGCCGTATCCGCTGGGGAAAAGCCCACTCCCGGCGCCAATACCGCTGTTCAGAGTCCCGCTGCTCGGCTGGGAAGTGGAGTTGCGGATGGCGCCCATCATCCCGCTCGGCGGCGGGACGAGCAACGTTTGTACTGCGCGGATTGGTCGATACGGTGAGGAGCGCTGAGCCAGGAAATAGGACGGAGAGAGATGGCTCGGGGGTAGGGCAGTGGCGGTGGTTGATGGCGGCATGCTGGAGGATCCCGGGGTGAAGTGTTGGGTTGGCGGCTGCGAATGCGTCGGCGTGACGTTGCCGGATGAATTGGCAAAAGTCGCGGACACAGGAGAGACGCTCGTGGAGCCTGGTGGGTAGGGGCTGAGATTGCGAGGAGGGGGGCGAAGGTCGAGTGGAGGGACATGCGGAGGTATGGAGAGGGGGGGAAGTGAGGTCCCCATAGATGAAGGGACGTTGACTCCAGTGCCTGGCCCTTGATATGGTGTGGGAGGTTGCAATTGCGACTGCGACTGCGGAGGGAAGACGAGAGACATGGCATTTCGTCCCGGCGGAGGGAGTTGTGGTACCAACGGGTTTGAAAAGTGATTCGATTGAGGGGTCTGAATCGAGAGATTCGGTACCGGAAGAGGTGGAAGAGAACGCTGGGGGTTTGAAGCAGCCGCGGGCACCGGAGTTGGGAGACTATGAATCGACCGGATCAGTTCTTGACGCTTTGCCGGGGGCTCGATGTTCGCATGTTCTTCATAACCGCGCTTTTGGCCGCCGAAGTGACCATCCAGCTCGGGAAGAGGTCGGATTGGGGACACGGCGGCCGCACGCATCTGTGGAAGAATGATGGGCGTGGAAGAAACAGCCGGTGGGAAATGATAACCCGGCTGTGATGGGGGCGACGTATGTGCGGATACTGGGGGAGACGGCAGCCCTCTGCCACGAGGGGTGGATTGTCGCGCCAGGGAGGCGTAGTAAAAGTAATCTCCGAATTTGCCCAGCTTCGCCTTCCACTCTGCCCAGTGCGTCTCCGAGGCGTAGAGGCTGTACCGCATGTTGCTCAGGAACTCGACCTCCATGACGTGGACCTCTTGCACCGAGATCCCGGATACTTCCGCCCAGGTCTTGTTCGTGTACGTATTATCGTCTAGGACTAATCCAAAGGTTAGTACAAAAACCGACATATGATGAGAAGTCGAACGAGCGCACATTTGTTTCCGAGCATCAACGCAACCGTCAGCAGCCTGAATTCGCTCCCTGGCTTCCCCTTCACCATTGGGTTGATGTGCTTCAACCGGTAGATAAAGAGGAGGGCGAGCATAACCACATTCTGCGTCACCTGGGTGGTGGACAATATTGTGGCGACCCATTTCGTAAATCCGGTCGACGGTCTGGCTTCGGGTAAAAGGGACTGTGCAATGGTCGGAATGACCTCGCGGTCGGCGCTCTGGATCTTTTGGAGTAAAGTCGAGTCCTCAAACCAGAAAAGGCATGTTACCTATGAACATCCAGTCAGCGAAACAGGGTAAACGACGAGTCCCAGAACCAAATCGTACCTCGGCAGCCAATTGAGGCATTCCCAGTTGCTTGACATTGATTTCCGGTGGTATCTGAAGCGATGGAGCTACCAAACTCGTGAGGTTTTTTCTCCGCTCATTGGGCCCGTCCACGGTGGTAGAGTGCACGGTTCCATGTTGTAAAGGCGACCGTCGTATGGGGTCTACCATGCTCGCCGACGCGCTTTGATATGGTCGAGATATCAGGTTCTCCGGTTGCCGATACGGATCTGCCTGTGCCGAACGATACGTGGTATACCGCGGACCATCGGCCATCGGCGTTGGAACGGGGCCACTGGATTGACCATATCCTCGACTAGACACCCCGTACATGGTCAGAGGGGATGCTGAGTCGTCGTTGCCGAAGGGCAGGGGTCGCACTGCGTCCGTCCACGACTTGACTGGCTCTCTGCTGCTTAATGCTTGAGGTACAGACGAGGGAAACCGCGGATATGGAGTTGGAAGCGTTCTGACTGAATCTTTCCGTCGTGTCCGGGGAGAAAGGTGTGCGAGAGGCTGCTCGTAAGGGAGCACGGCGTGAGGCATAGGGTTTGGATAGCGTAGTTCGAGCATGGGAGGCGGCGTTTTCGACGGAGGTGATCGCTACGTGATGTGAGAGCGTGATATGGTCGAGGATGCGATCGGAACTGTAGAGGCTTGATTTAAGGAAAGTGAGTTCGATATTGTGACAAGGTCGGCAAGTCAGAGGTGGAATTAATGGAAGCCGCGAGAGGCCAGTGGAGGGCAAGGGAATCGAACGGACGTGAAGGTGTGGATGGGAGAGAGGTATCGCAGCTCTCAGGACATTTTCATCAATGGGAAGTCTTTACAGTACTGTAGGGCAGGCGTTTGTTGACGATTTCGATCCCATTCTTTTCCCATGGGCAAAACACCCGCGTGAATGTCTCAATGTCGCGGCCTGGTGGATTGAGTGATGGACCCAATGGCTCGGCCAGGCTCATGCAAGGAGCTGGCGTGGGAAAGCCTGTGTACCTCCAAACTTGTCCAATGGAATTGTGTGTCTTCGGGCCCTCACAATGCTAGATGTGAAGTATCGGTATGTGAAATATGTCCCGTGCCTGACGTCGGGCAGGTGCAACAATAGAGGGGGAGGAGTTTGGCTCCGGTCGGTGCTTGCACGTTTCCGCAAGGTCCGAAGTAGGTCGTGGTGGTCGTATGTGGTGGTGAAAGGTGGAGAGATGAATTCGACTTGCAGTCCAACGGGAGATGCGGATATCGGCTGACGACCGCAAGCGGAAGCAGTCGGTTTGAGGCAAGCGGGCAGCCTGAATACCACCTGAGGATCGATGACCGGTGGAGAACTGGAGATTCTGAGCTGTAATCCGTGGGACGCTCGATTGTGAGAGTTCAGTTCGAGGAGATTCAGATTTGGGAGCCAGTGAAAGCGGGATTCAGGGTCGAACAGGTGGTGGTCGGAATGATTCCAATATTGAATGGACGGGATTGATCGGCAGTGAAGGGATAGTGACGATGATGCCTCCTTTCGCTCGTGGACTCCAGCGTCTTTGACGGTACAGACACGGTATAAGTCCGCCTGAGGGTCATCAATCGAGTTGGGTCTTGCTGGTCAAACCCGCAAACGTTCGTTCCTGGACTACGACGTTGCACATTATTATGATTAAGAGAGGTCGGATTGTTCGGTTCGATCGGGAATGACAAACACTAAGGCAATCGAGTGTTCACACAGGCAAGTAATTAAGAAGGAAGCGAAGAGAGGAAGGATGAAGGAAATCAAGGAATGTGTGCGGTCCGAAGGCATTGCTCATGCTCGAGAAATGGGCCGGGTAGACGAGTGGGATGGCAATAATAAGACGATACGCCATCCAAACCATTGCAGTGAGTCGATGACCTAGACCGGGTGGTGGAGGGCGTGGAGCCCAAGCCGCAATCAGCAATGGACACAGGAAGTCCTCCGTACCATAACCTTAGTGTTAATCCAAGTCGGTATCCAAGGAAACCCCCCCTCCACTGTCCAGGTTGTATCTGGTCAGTGGTGGTCTGGTGGAGCGGTGGCAGAGAGGGAGAGACGCAGCACAGCAGCGAGGCTAACGTCCAAGCCCGCCAAAGAATGGATCAGGATTCAGCAGACAGCATGTCATCCGTGATCCGTCTCTAAACAGAAACGAGACCATTATCAAGACAGATGACATGGGTTTCGCGGTTCGCCAAATGCTGGGCCGCGGATTGGAGGGCCCCCATGTCCCCCTAAGTTAAGCCGAATGAAAGGGCGGCTGTCCTGGTAAGTCGTATGGATCAAAGCCCAAAGGATCAATGGATCATGGCATCAGACATGGGACCTTCCGGCCGTCGACCACTGACAGCTTCGGCACAAATGGACAATCATCTTTCATCAATCATCACACACTGGCGTCTGGCAGTCTGGGACGGCTTGTTCGCCTTGCCTCGTGCAGTCTTAGGCACGCTTTGTTGATCTTTTGACGAAGCTAAGGGCCGACCATCAGATTACAGAGGGGGAAACTTTGAGGAGTTTTCCCGCCTGTCAGTTTGAGTTACGATACTCCGTATCCCGTCCCCACCAAGCACGGTACGCGCAGCCTGCGTACCCAGTGGGCCAGCGGGCATAACTGGTAAGTGGTAGGTCCGTAGGTGGGGGGGGAGACTAGGAGTTGTGCCCTTGACTTGCTTCATGCTTGGACGCCAACGCCAACGCCTGCCAAACGCCGCAAAGCCCCAGCTTTCCATTAAATCCATCCATGGTCCATACCTTCTGCTGCACGCGTTCCGGGGGGTCTAGTTTCATTTTAGACGGAAGGCTCGGGAAATGCGAAAGGTGAGGCACACGGGATACAGACGATACAGTAATACCCAGGGGGCCAAGAGTCCTGGAATCAAATCTCTCTCGTGTTGGGTTTGGCTTTCTGATAGTGGTAGGATCAACGAATAGGCGGAAAATACGTAGTACGTTAGGAATCAGGGGATGAAAGCGGCCGTGGTAAGAGACATAAACCGCTTGGATTCTTGGAGGCTTGGGAATGGCCTCAGCACCCATACATCGGGAATTCGGAATGTACTGACGATGATCTTGGGCCACTTTACTTCGGGGGCGACATTTCTGTGGTACGCCCCGGTGGCCGGAAACGCCTGATTTTGCGTTGATGCTGGGGTCACCCACTGACTCTCTCTTGATTCCAGGATAGCCAAAGGCAAAAGGCAAACTACAAAACTCTTCATCGGCTTTTTTTGCTAAATTATAGATTTTTTTAGGATCCGCTGGACCTCAGTCACTCAGCCGAGTGTGCTTCCGGTGGTCTTGAGCCTAGCCTCCACCAATCCGCCCGCGTCCACTTTGGCAGTTGCAATTTCTTCACTCTTCGCAGTCATCCAGCCTCATGCATCGCCTCCAGCCGGGACTTCTGACGATGGCTGGGTCCACTAGATCCCAGTAGCCTGAGGTCAGCATGGGTGACGACGACTGGCGAGTGACGCCCATTTGGCTGACACAGTTGACCTTCCATTCTGAGTTTGAGACCAGTCCCCAACAGACTGTATATTTCGTACCCTGCCTGAACATAATGTAGAACACTGTACATTCAACACCGTACAGAGTGTACACGTATCCGGAACCTAGAATAGACATTCCCCATAGTGAAGTGGTTGCGTGCTCGAGCATCACTACTATTTAAAATTTAATGTATGGGTGATGGTGCCGTAAACGGTAAATCGGTATTAATTGCAACCCCTTGCCTCCCCCTTCATACGAGACATCTACAATGTGGAATCCTCGGTGTCCTGTATGTGATATGCCAGAATGTATCATACATATTTGCTGCTGGTCAGTTTTGCAAATTGCCATGATCTTCCTTTCGGTACAGGGACAGGCGTAGGTAAGTCCGTTCGGTAGGAGGGCTGTACTATTACTAGGCGGTAGGATTGTAAGAACGAAATATTGCAGATACACCTAGCCGCCATTGGTCAGCTTTGCGGATCGCGTACTATTTGGATGGTATGCCCGATGCCGTACGCGGTATTAGAGGAGACTGGAGACACGCGGTTGCCTGAGACAACCGATCTTTGGAATTTGGCGAGTTCAACTGGATCATCATTGATCATTCATCAAGTCACTGGTTTACTGTGGATTTCTGTATGGGTTGTTAATAGTAGTTTCAGGCCAAGGCTGAACTTTTGGGTCTCAGACTGTCAATCGTTGGTTCAAGCCATCAGGGCTATTTGATACTCGGCTGCTTGCGGGCTGAGAGCAGCTGCAATTTGGAACTGGGAACTTGGAAGACAGCCCGAACCCTGCAGCAGTGTCTCCACGCCGTCATCGCTCATCACTCGTTGGGGAGATTGGCAGATGCCTCTTGACTACCAAACACTATGATTCTCGTATCTACAGGGCGATGTCGACAGATGATCACACCGCTCGAGGAAGCATGATGTTTAGCAGAGTTCATCACCATTCCTTCGCCTTTCCCTCCTCCCCTTTCGTTGTGAGTTTGGGTGGATGAGGTTAGGGAGATATATCGTTGGTTCACAACGGTGAACCGTACTCTCACATTTCATTGGGAATATAAGTTTAGTATCATGACCTCAGACCGAGGAGCCGATTCCACAACAACTATGCATCGGCGTATATCTCTTATGGAGGTTAGCTGTTACAGCCATACACCAATCAATATTCCTCGCTTTCAAAGTCTAACTGCGGGGGAATAACCAGGTTCACAATGGCTCAACATCAAAAAGCAAACATTTGCCTATTCGCGCGACATCCGTGTCGTTCGCTATACTGATTGGTCATTACTCACGACGTACCGTAATTCCAAAGGCTTGACGCCTGAGGGTGTGCTCCTCGGTCCGCCATTTCCTCCTTTCCTAGCGTTGGCCCTGGTCGGAGCACGCCAGCTGCCAATGCACTCCCGGTAGGGGAGGTCTCAAGGTAGGATGATAGGACATGATTGAGCTAAGCGGTCTGCCTGTCTTGCTGCGTGTGCTCTACTAGACCAAGGGCAAGTCGGTTTAGCAGCCTATTGGGAGCATCTTGGGTAGATCGATGTATTTGCAATAGAGAGCAGTTTTGCCATACCGAGGAAACATCTCGATGGTCCATATTCGGAACTTCCCTGATATGAACGCTAACCCCTAAAGCATCACGATTTCGGAGTTATGGACAACGCAAATGAAACCTCGGATTGGCATGGCTGCCTAAGTCCCTAGCAGTCTGCCGCCTACGAACAATACTTACATGTAGGCAACTTTTGAGATATTAGTCGCCGATGAAACAGGTCATTCACCATGGCCATCCTATTAGTGCGAAACAAAGTCGTAATGCACCAGTGTCTAATCCAAAATGGCACTTTAATGCTTTGGCAGTGATCCGCATTCCTACCACATATTGTGTCATCGTGTGTGTTCTGTTCTTCGCGCCTTGTTCCATAAATGATACACACCACTCAAATCTTTGAATCCTGGGAGTTTGTCTCCAATGGCGTTTTCAAGTTGGAAGCATTCCCGCGCCCCTCAGTCGTTAATCATAAGTGTCAAGCGTCGATGGAACGCCTCCTCGGGTCGGGAACTGCCTGCAGACTAGGACGCCCCAGACGCCCGACGACGCTTGGCTGCTGGATCACGAAGTTGCAACTTGCAAGGACTCCCAAGAATCCGAACAGGCACAACAGTGTGCAGAAGTATATTGGTGATCGTTGGTATCGTTCGGATTCTATTGGAGGAAGTAGGCGAGCCTTCCGTGGCTTGAAACTTGAAAGCCGAGTTGACAAAGCGGGCAAGGGCAGGGAAAATAGCAACGTTAATGATCAACCGAAACGAGGGGAGAAGCTAGAAAGTCTGACGGCTAAAGGTGAATGCAGAATGGCATATTCCGTCTTGCGATCGGTAACGAATGTCAATGTGGCACCAAATGCCCGAATACGGGAATCAACTGGATGCAATGCATTGAGTGGATCGGTGGCCGGATTCTGTTTGTCTCAGGTTCTTTCATGTTTTGCCAGGCTCGATCACCGAATGACTGAACTGGTTCCATCGTGTTCATTGATCCATCGGATGACCCAGGCATTCTTTCACGCAAGCTGCAGACGGTATGTGAGTCGGTTGAAGCCACTCGAAGCCCATGTGCATCCTGCTCCATTCGTCGAGGTACCTGGTCGCTTTGTGCGTTGTCGGACTCTCCACATGGGTCAGGAATGAAAGTTTGTCAATCCGAAGTCGTCCATGTCACTCCGCGGTTTCGCATGTCACGTCGAGTAAACTTTCGGTACTTACTATGGATTCCTTCGTCCAAAGTACAGTCCCATCATGATATCATGTAGCATGACAGGGGACAGTATCGCCCCCAAGTCATGAGAGTAGATATCGGCATCCGAAGCTGAGCATTAAGTACCCTGCTGTACTGGTTTTGTAGTCCTTGGGGGACAGTGGACTGGGGTAATTAAAGGCAAAACACTGGAAGCAAAAGCCTGCATGGTCCGTATCTGAGGGAGTAGGTTGGTCGAGAAAGAAGACTGTTCATGGCAGTCGACAGACGATCAGGAAACATGCATTCGCCAAAGTTTCGGTATCACAAGAATTTCAGTGCCAAGTTCCAGTCCGAATCGCGTTACGCGTCTCACACAGCCGCGTCGGGCGTCCCCTTACTACTCACGTTGAGACTTGAGGGCCAGCAAAATTTATTTCATTGGTACTAAGTTGTATCAGGATTTCTCCGTACGGCGCCTGTCGTTCCGCCCACAATCGGTCAATCCCAAGGGTTGATATTCGTCCTCCCAAGCCGTCCTTTGTAATGATACGGTAATCATCACTTCCGTCTTCGGTCCACATGCCTCCTCATGATACATCATGATCGACCTGTGCCCCAGGGCGTGTCCCCCCTAGGCGCAGAGGGCTTGATAACTCCTGACAACCCCCAGTCAAGTACTTGTGAACGTGGTCGAAGGGTTAGGATTCATATTGCAGCCGGTTTGGCTCAGCTCCTTTGTGTAACACGGCAACACATGACAGAACCGCAAGTCCACTTGCGGTTGCAAACCGACAACCCGTGGAAAGCAACCTGTAGGCAATACAAGCATCCCTTGTCCAACCTGGTCCTGAGGAATCCGGCGTCTGAATGTGAAGGAGGGCGTTCGTTCAACCTGAGGAAGATTGGATCTTCTTGAGCACACGGACAACCTCTGCATCTGCATGAATCTATCGATTGGAATCGTTGCGACACATTCACAACGCACTCCATACTGGGTACACCAGTGCTAAGCCGAACAGAATGGCAACATGAGCAAATACGGGGGGTCGCAGGCTACTCTATGCGAGGCCATTCGACATGAAAATGATATTGAAAGCAGGCTAGCGAAATCGCATGATTCCATATTCTACAGACAATACTCTCAACGTACGGCTATTATTATTCCACCAGGCCATGGACCTGAACTCTCTTGATGTGGGGTTTATGAGCGGTGAGGGCTTGCACTTGTCGCTTTGCTCATGCGCCAGGAACTACCCCTTAGGCGTATATTCACGCCTTTCTATGCTATATGTAATCTCCACTGCATTTCAAACATCGTTCTTCATGTACCTGTCCCTGTTTTATGTTATAGTCATCTTCGTTGTCCTCCAAAAGTCAACCTGTCCGCATCTACCATCCCTACTGACCGGCTGTTTTATATACTCCGCAGGCGCTGTAAGATATCACCCGTAGGCTCAAAAGCTACTCGAATTTCAATTGCAAATACAGTAGCTCTCACGTATTGGGGAAGTAAATTGAATATGATGGAGCGGCTGTTCAGCTCCACTGCTGCTTTGAGACCTTTGAGTGTTAAGTGAACTCCAAGGCCGGACAGGTTCTAGTCCTCCGCCGTCGCTGGAACAATCCTTCCAAGATATCTTCTCCTCGCGCGTGCCGATCCAGTCGCAGCTGGCTTTTCAATTGCTCGAGCATCCCTAACACCCCGGGATCCGCCAGATCCAAGTAGCTCCAGCTACGATGGTTCGGGTGCGGGCACTGTGTTCGAACCTCCGCGGTGACATCGAATGTCTGTCCCTGTGGACATGAATGCTGGCAGATTCTCCTGCAGGACCAGCGCCTGTGACGGTTGCCGAAGTAGATATACGATAGCTCCGCGACCGACGGGCCGGGGAATATGACTGCTCGAGGAGTTCGGCCCTGACGTTTGCGGGCGTGTGCCTCTGGATCGGTGTTGTGCGAGCACTCGCTATCTGCGTCGCTGTCGCTGTCGTTGCCAAGCTTTTGAATATCTTCTTCGGGGAAATGTGCTAGAACTTCGTCCAGGGATAGCAGATCCCCTTCCTCCAGACTTTCCATTTCGGACCTGGTAATGGGATTCAGCTGCAAGGCATCGACCCCAGGTACCGCTGGCACTGGGCTTGCTCCCTGAAACACGATTCCTGGACTACTATCTCGTACTAATACCTGCCTCCTTAGGGTTCCTGGTCCAGCCTCCTCTTCGGCGAGAAATCCCTCGATCGTTTCCATCGGATCTGTCAAGATACCAGAGGCGAGGAATGTCGCAAGGTTGGCGGTTCTCTGGCGGCTCGGGGCGTCCCTCATGATCACGTCTGGGATTTCCGGAGTGCGTGCTGGAGAAACTGCGGTGCGTTCGGACTCTGTATCATCGTCACCTTCCCGGCTGCTTCGGGGCCAGGAGGAGTTTGCAGCGGGCTGGGGACGCTGGTCGTTGCTCATGGCTAGTGATTTGCTCGTGCTGTATGTTCGGAACTCTCTGCTCGATGTAGAGGTGGATGAAGCTTCTTATAGCTTGGCCTATGCTGTCACCAGAGACCACTGTCATACTATTAGTCGATGGGGACGCCTTCACCAGAGCTCTTAACATGGTGGCCATGACAACCCCTCCATGCTCTCTTGCTCACCGGATCCGCTCGTGGCTATCCCTCCTGAATAGCGTCCGAAGAGCCAGTGGCTTGGATAGGATATGCGAATGATTCACCACGCAAGACAGAAAGCAAACCAGTGGGGTTTTCGATCACTGCATCGGAACGTGAGCAGGGTATAATGAATACCCTTTCGATTATTTCCACGCTATAGTCTTGCGTTGCTAGAATTAGTACAGGTTCTTGAATGCGGCCATGCCGTGGTAAGAAGATGTGCCGGAACTAAATCCAATTCCAAAGTCAATCTAGAACGTCAAAGCTTGCTCCGAACGACTTCGAGCCTAAACTTCACATCTTTCAGTTGCTTGGTGGTCGGCTTCCAACTCTCAAACAGCTCCAGCAGCTCCTGGACCTCCGCTCGCAGCTCCTTTCTCACAAACTCCTCTTCCAGCAACCCCCTCATCGCCCAGGGCAAGAAATACGGATTCTGGGTCGTGAATCCTCCCGTAACTCCACTGGTGGTTGTGGTAGACGTCAAGTTGGCTTCATAGATCTCGACTACGGCTCGAGGCGCCTCGCCGATGGCCACGATGGGCTTTTCCTCTTTGACTTTGGGGGCCAAACGCGCCGGAGAAAGGCCGGACAGAGCCCCGGCCGAGATGGATGCCAGGTTCGTCGTTTCGAGGGCGCATTGAACGGAGAGGAAATACACTTCTCCTTCGTCGTAGATTCGTGAGTGCCCTTCGCCCATGTACAGGGAGCCAGCGAGGGCGGGTGACAGTTCGCGGATGAGGCCGTGATCAGGAATGCCGAGATTCCGTAGCTTCAATACGAATCCCACGAGACGGGTAAGGCTAAAGGCAACATCAGCACTAGTACTCGAGGGTTCGGCTCGTGGAACTTACAAATCCGGCGCGTGAATCCGGCCGTCGACGAAAACCGCGCGGAAGATATATGGGTGAGCTATGTTCGAGAACGTGGAGGACTGCATGGCTATGAGCGGTCGATATACGGAGACTGATTGTGGAACGTACCTCTAAAGACACCAGCTGGTCATCGATGCTGCCAATGTAAACGACTCGGACGCCGGCTTTGACAACGACCTCTAACGCTTCTCTATACGCCTTGCTCATTTTGCTATCATTCCTAGTGAATTCGAATAATTCGAACGCCGCACCCCCCAATATCCGGCTTTTGTACTCGGGAAATGGGCCAAGGTTTACGCCAGCCATAGCGCAGATTCCAATCCGCGCATTGGGGTGGATGCAGCCAAATTGAATGAGTTTCGAGATCAACATAATCCCGACCGGAACCCCCTGTGAATGGCATGCCAGGAGGATGAAATCGGCGCTCTTAATGTGCTCGATCCAGTTCAGGAGTAGGTTCCAAAGGGTGGCCACCCGATCCGACACCATGCCTTCGCCTTCCAACGCGACCTTTTCGATATCACAGGTATATCCGCGAGCATCGACCCACCGCTCAATCGCCGCGGCGGCGTGATTTGCGAATCGTATCGAAGTCCCTGTCGGCTGCCCGATGACGCCGTTGAGGAAGGCGGCGGGAAACCAGCCATGCACACCGATGGCAAGGGCTTTCTTGATGTGAGGAGGGTTGGGGTTAATGTGAACGTGGGGTGGTATGAGACCGTCACCGAGGAAGAACTGTCGGATCTGTTGCCAATAGGAGGGGGGTGGCGTGGCGTGATATGTGCCGGAGAAATGCGGCAGCAGGAGGTTATCTCGTACGGCGCCTTGCTGCTTTCCGGATGCGGTGGCAGAGGCCGGTGTGCCTTTGCTCGCATCATCCTTTGGTCCTCTCTTACTACGCAACGTCTTCGCTGTCGACTTTGGAGGGGTTGTAGCTGGCTCTTCTTGCTCATTGAACTGAGCAGCCTCCGGATGAGATTGGGATGGAGTATCGGCAACCGCAAGTTCGCCCACCTGCTTATGTTTCCCATTCATATTTTCCTTGCCTTCCGGCTGAGGCGTTTGCCGGGACCAAAAAGCCCAGCCTGATGATTGCGCAGATTCCTGCTTGCTGTCCTGGGGTGGAGGAACCTCTGCTGGTGGTGCATCGGGCAAATCCTTGTCTCCACCTTCAGGTACCGATTCCAGTGGCGGCTCATCTGCCTCTGCTGGTGGAGACAGCTTCGCATTCTGCGCATTGCTCCATAATCCAAACCAGGATTTGCTTGGGGCAGAGGTGTTCACCCCCTTGCTTTGGTTGTGCGCAGCAGCGGACTTCGCTTCTTCTTCCGCACCGCCGTTGGGTTCGGCTTGCGCCGCGGGATCAAGCTTCCGTTCCTCATCAGCAGTTGGCCCAGGAAGTGGCGTCTTCTTTGAGTCCTCCAACGACGTCTCGGCTGATTTTGCTGCCAATGTCTGTGGAGCTGTGTCTCCGCTGTCCGCGTCTGGTCTTGACCACCAGCCATACCAGCTGGTCGATGTTGGGCCTTTTGTTGATTGCGACGTTGATTTCGGCTTCTGTGTTTCGTCGGAAGTTCGACCAGTCCGCTCACTTTGTGTTGGATCCTGTGTAGGATCTGGCGGTAGAGGAGGTTCAATCTCTCTGGGTACATCCTCTACGTTTCCATCTCTTGGAGGTGATGGATCTCCACTTTTATTGGATGTGATATTGAGCTTCGTCATTGAGGCTGCAACGACGTCCCCTTTACTTGTTTTCCTCGGGCTACCCTCCATGTATTGTCGCGGGGATTTCGGTGGTGGTTGGGTGGCGGTCGACCGGCGAGTCTGCGCAGGAGGCGTGTTAGGGGAGCTGGACACTGTTTCGCGAGCGACTTCTGTCACGGGCCGCGCTTTCGATCGCCAGCTTCCTCCGTACCAACTGCGCTGGGGCTTTACTTTCGGCTCCTTAGGTTTCGTGGTGCCATTCCTTGAGATGGTGCTGCCGTTCTCGCCGGCTGGAAGTGATCGAGACAACGCGGGCTCCTTGACACGAGCCTCTGGATTATCTAACTGTTCCGAGCTCGCTGCAGCGGTGCTGTCTGCTTTGTTTGACACATCATCCTTCGACTTATCAACTGTGGTTGTTGAACTTCCAGCTGGAGCCTGGTCAGTCCCTTTAGACTTCTTGCGGGGTCCCATTGGTGGATGTCCCAGATAAACCAGCGCTCGCTTCATGAAAATACTGCCGACGAGAGAACATGGGAAGGCTGGGTCGAGCTGCCCATGTTATGCAGAAGGCGAGAGGGAGTGTTTTAGTAGCTGTCGTGGTTAGATGCCTGTATTAGAGCTGTGCCTGAACATATCTGGTGGCTGACTGGGACCTCAAACCGATGACATACCGAAGGCCGAATGATGCGCATGGGCCTGAGGCTGCAAGGCAAAAACAATGAAACCCTGAATCACGTGCCAACAGTCAACTTTCGGCGGACTTAACGCACCATACGGCAGTTACATGCCACATCCGCCTAGTGGGAACTTTTCACCGATAATTCAGATCCTGCGATCCTCGAAATCCTCTGTTAAGTCTTAACGAAAGCCAACCTGCCTCTTTAAGGGGGTGACCACACGGCAAGATGGCAATCCAGAAGAAGGTACGATTGATCGTCCGATTTATGAACGACCTACTAATGTGACCTAGCATGGCAAAGGTCGGCTTGACAAATGGTATCGCCTCGCGAAAGAAAAGGGCTATCGCGCCCGATCCGCCTTCAAGTTGGTGCAACTAAATAAGAAGTACAATTTCTTAGAAAAGAGCAAGGTCTTGATAGATCTTTGTGCAGCTCCAGGGGTAAGCACCATTGCACTTGACTCTACCGTCTCTGATACTAACAATTCCAGTCATGGTGTCAAGTGGCCGCGGAGGTTATGCCGCCGAATAGTCTTATCATAGGAGTCGACCTTACCCCAATCAAGGCGATCCCTCGCTGTATTACCTTCCAAGGTGATATCACTTCGGACAAAACTCGAGCGATTATCCGCCAACATCTCAAGACATGGAAAGCAGACACGGTTCTCCACGACGGTGCGCCCAACGTGGGTGCCGCATGGGTTCAAGATGCGTTCTCTCAAGCAGAGCTGGTCTTGCAGTCGCTGAAGCTAGCAACGGTCTTCCTTGCAGAGGGAGGGACATTCGTGACGAAAGTTTTCAGATCCAAGGACTACAATCCGTTGCTGTGGGTTTTCAACCAGCTTTTCACGAAAGTCGAGGCAACGAAGCCACCCTCGTCTCGAAATATCTCCGCTGAGATCTTTGTCGTCTGCCGTGGTTACAAGGCGCCGAAGCATGTCGACCCGAAATTCCTGGATCCGAGGACGGTCTTCGCAGAGCTGTCTGATCCCACCCCGAACAACGAGGCGAAAGTGTACAACCCTGAAAAGAAAAAGCGTAAGCGTGACGGTTACGAAGAAGGCAACTGGACTCAATATAAGGAAGTGCCTGCAAGCGATTTTATTCAAGCCACGGACCCAATTGCTATGCTAGCAAATCTCAACAAGTTTACCTTTGAGCAGGGCTCAGACGCAAATCTTGCGCTCGCGACGTTGGATCGACTTCCTGAGACGAACGAAGACATTCGAATCTGCTGTGCGGACCTAAGGGTCCTTGGACGGAAAGAGTTCAGGATATTGTTAAAGTGGCGGTTGAGAGTCCGCGAAATCTTCGGACTTTCTTCGAAAACGAAGGCGGAGCCTCAAGGAGAGGAGGTGGCCGAGGTCGCCCCGATGGACGAAGAGTTGCAGATGCAGGAGGAGATGCAACGGCTTCGAGATCAAGGCGACAAAAAGAAGAAGAAGGAAAGAAGGCGTGAAAATGAGAAGAAACAGAAGGAGGTGGTGCGCATGCAACTCAACATGCAGACTCCAATGGAACTGGGATTAGAACAAGACATCCAAGGCGAAGGGATGTTCGGGCTCAAGGCTGTTGATGGCGCAGGCCTTTCCAAGAAAATTGCCAAAGGCAGAATGCATATCCCTCTTCCCGCCGACGACCAGAAGAAAGCGGAAGCCGAGCAAGCTGAAGACGAGGATGAAGAGAGCGATCCAGAAGAGGACGCCTTGGAGCGGTCGTTGGATGACATGTACGATGACTACCAGGGTCGGATGGCTGACCGAGATGCCAAATTCCGCGCAAAAAAGGCACGCAAAGAACGCGAGGGCAACGAATGGCATGGTTTCGAAGAGGAAGAAGAGGAGGAGGTCGAAGACAGCGACGATCAGATTCAGGTGGAAGAAGAAGACAGCGATAGCTCTGACGAAGAAGATGAACCGCGTCAATTGGTCACCGATCTTGATCAGGATGCTGGCAAAACCGAAGGAGGGCTCACAAGGAGGGCCGCCATGTTCTTTGAGCAAGATATATTCAAGGGCCTGGACTTCGAGGGTGGCGCGGACGAGGACAGCGGTATTGATGTGGACAGTGCCGAGCCAGGATCCTCAGAAGAAGCCGCCGTTTCCAAGTCTAAGCAGGGAAAACCAGCCCCGTCAGACTCCGATCATTCTGAGGACGCCTCGGAAGAGGACGAGCAGGAGGATGACGAGCACGCAGAATCCTCGGATGATGAGCCCGACAACGACAAACCTTTTGAGCTAGTCAAGCATTCAAGGGAGGACTGGGAGAGCGAAGTCCAAGACCCCAAGACGAAGCGGCCCAACATCGATATCATCACCGCCGAAGCGATGACATTGGCGCATCAACTTGCGACGGGGCAAAAGACGAAGGAAACCATGGTGGACGATGGGTTCAACAAGTTCGCGTTCCGGGACGTGGACGGCCTCCCGGACTGGTTCCTCGACGACGAAGGCAAGCACTCCAAGCTCCTCCGCCCCATCACCGCCGAAGCGTCCGCCGCCATCCGCGAAAAGCTGCGCGCGCTGAACGCCCGACCGATCAAGAAGGTTCGCGAAGCCAAGGCCCGGAAGAAGTTCAAGGCGGCGCAGCGATTGGAGAAGCTGAAGAAGAAGAGCGCGCTGCTGATGGAGGAGGAGGGGGTCAGCGAGCGGGACAAGGCGCAGGAGGTGCAGAAGCTGATGGCCAAGGCGGCGAAGAAGAAGCCGAAGCGAGACGTCAAGGTGGTGGTGGCGCGTGGTGGAAACAAGGCGATATCGGGGCGTCCGAAGGGGACGAAAGGCCGGTATAAGATGGTGGACGCGCGGATGAGGAAAGATGTCAGGGGTCTCAAGCGGGCAGCGGCGAAGCAGAAGAAGAGGTAGAGTGGCCCGATGTATAAATGCATTTTGGCATCTTGGTCGTCTCCCAAGTTATGAACACGCTATTTAAGGTGCTAATATGTCGCCGCGAGTCTGCGGATCAAATAGTCGCCACTATTGACTCCTGGATACTTCTTCCCCGTCTGCTCATACGTCCCAGGGATCGCGTCGATGAACTTGTCGAAGTTCGGGTTGCAGAAATAGGCGATCGAGTATCTCGCCGGATACTTCCCATCCTCATTCGGTTCGCTTGGCGGCTCAATTACTCGGTGTTTAGTGCTCTTGATCGTATCGTTCGCCCACCGCTCGAGCAAGTCGCCCGCGTTCACAACGATACTCCCGGGAACCGGCGTCGCGTCTATGAATGTCCCGTTCGGCGATTGGACCTGGAGTCCACCGCGGGCATCCTGGAATAGGAGAGTGACCGAGCCTAACATCATTCAGTGCCTCCTTCCTGTATTCAAAATCTATACGCACCATAGTCACTGTGGGATCCAGCTCTGACCGTGCCCACTTTCTCTTTGAAAACCTTCCCATCGACCGACGGGTAGTGCAATAGCCGCAAGGTATTATCCCCAGCACTGGTGTATTCATCGAACCAAGTCTCCTCCATACCCATACCGATCGCAACTGCCCGCATCACCTGCTGATGCAGCTGCTTGCACGTCTCATGGAACGCCATCATCTCTGCCCGGAACGTCTCCCCCTCCGCATCCTTCGGCCACATGTTTGGAAAATGCGGCTCATCATCTCTACCGATCTCAAAGCTCTCCTTGATATCGGGGACCGACGCCCGCAGCTTCGCGACCTCGTCCTTATCCACCAGCCGGGTGACCTTCTCCCGTCCGTGAGCCGTATACCCACGGTTCGCTTCAGCCGCGTACCACTCGAGCAGGTCTTTCTCGGATTGAGGGCGAGTGAAGAACCGGGCGGAGCGGGAGAAGGCCTTGTCGACGAGGGATTGGGGAATGCCGTGGTTGGTGAGGTACAGGAAGCCGGCACTCTGGAATCCCTTTAACACCGAGCTGGCCACCGAAGTCTTCAGCTCTTGGTCATTAGAGAGGAACGGGGCAAAGTCGATAAGCTGTAGGCAGAGGAATATGGTTAGCATACGACGAGATATCTTGGTCGAAATCTGGGACATACAGGGATAACTAGATCGTCCTTCTCAACCGCCGCGGTTGTTCCTGGTGCTGCCATTGTAACACCAGACTTGCCAAATCTCAATCGATGTTAATTGTAGTCTGCGGGAAATGCTCTTCGGAGTCCAGAACCAGATAAAGACTTTATTTCAGGAGAGAGATTAAAACCCGAATACCGAGGATGGCTTATATGCGATTGATATGAGGAGAGGGATAACAGATGTGGGGCAAGGCAAGATAAGCAATTGGCAACGAACTTTCGATCTACAGTGGATGTTGTACAGATTGTCTTCGGAATGTGTCATTTCACTGATAGGCTAATTAACGCCGATATACTTGTCGTCTTGTCGCTTCTCACCACGCCGTTGATCCTTCAAAAAGAGTCCACCTCGTGAAGTGTCAGGTGGAGCAAGGTAAAGATACGGAGCACAACGCAAGCAGGAATTATCTCCATTGCAATTGCATTTGTACATAAGGTACTTACTGGTCCTTATTGTACTTTCCCTACGGCCAATCGCGGTCTGATTATCGAATAGAGCTTACACCGGGTCTTGTCTTCCAGTCGATGATGTTCCGTTAGGATGTCAAGGTCGATACGAGTACCTTAGGTAATTAGTCGATGTCATCAGGATGTGCCTATAATATCCCTCATATTTTATCATCTCACCCATGACGCGAATCTATGATATAGAAAGGAATGGCAAAAATGTCGTCTCTAAATCTTGGTACTCAAGTCTGTAATCTGTATGTTGGTGATCAAGCAGCGATCCCTTCGTGTTTACTATTTTTAATCATCCTGTCTGTCCGATTTTCCCCACACTTTCCAACGTCCTCTAATACTGCGTGTGTGGCTTCTACTATGACCATGTCCTTTCGATCAATTTCTTCATGTGGTAATCATGTCATACAAAATATCCTTCCTTCCGTTTGGGTTTTCCATCATGACGTTATTCACTCCGAGTTCCCCGAGTCCAAGTAATTTTATGCGATGGCAGACGGATGGCAGCTGCCCCCCAAGATTGCAGTGCTCCGGGTCGTATATCCGAAACATTCCATCAATGGTTCGACGAACGCACACTTGAACTCTGGACGAAGGTTGCCGTCTAGTAATAGCATGGAGAGAGGTGAGGGTCCACCTCCAATGTGGCAAGCGATCCGCTGATCGCAGGTCCCAAGCAATCAGGAATTAACATCAGTCAAGTATACGATACCATTCATTGTTGCTTAGGACCATCTACCCGTATTCTCCAATATCGGAACCATCGGAAATGGACCACCAGATTTAGATATCATCTCGCCAAGACTGAACACGAGGAATGAGGTAAGGTATTGACAACCTTGGGGGCAAGGAGCTGGGAGATCTGGATATATCAACCTCTTTGATTCCGCACTTGGGATATGGGATCTCCCTTATTGCATCAAGCCAGACATTCGATTCCTACTGCTGCTCATAATACAAGTTTCGCTTCCGCAGGGATACAATCATCATGCGCATGTTAAACCTTTGCACCACACTTATCAGGTTTGCAGCTTTCTCCTCCCTACTCCTGCCGTCCAACGACGTATGCTGATGATTTCCAGTCTTCTGCCCCTGGCTCTCGGGGTGCCTCCAAATCCGTCTTGCTCGGATTGTCCCGCGTCAACCACGGAGATTATCACCACGGTGGTGGCACGCCGATGTGATCCAATCTACACGAAGGTCGACAGCACCTCTCCTGGGGCATCATGCTCCTTCAACGACCACACGTGCATAGTGCCTGAGTGTCTCGCGCTCTCAACGACGACTGCACCGTGTCCAACCATTACAGACCACTGTTGCAAAGACCTGCCGAAAATTACGAGCACCTGGTACAAGCCTTGCCCAACCGCATGCCCGTCGCCGTGTGGTGGGACAAGCTGGGTTGTGGAGAGCGCTGCGGATTGTCCAACTCCTCTCCCGGCGCGATGAGGGTGAGTGGTTTGGCAGTCGTGTGGACTGAACGCTCCAAATTTCGATGAGAAGTGACTAATTGATGGACTGGGGGTATCGGACATGTCATCTATCTTCTAAATTGCCAAATGCGGACTCCATGGGTATTTACAGCGATAACTTATGTGATCAGGGAATGCACATTCAGTCACTTCGAGCATCACAGAAGTAGTTTTAAACTGTGTACTGGCACCTAAGTTGTGGTGGCGCTGATGGCCCATCGTATAACTGCTCTTCCATGACGACTGCCCCAATCCAGACTCAAAGGGGCGATTTGATGGATGGCGTTTGGGACCAAGTGACGAGCCCCTGTTCTGGGCAAGCCAAAAATAGCAACCGTAAACCCGGGGAACGGACATGGATATATAGACTATAGACCCTTAAGACTAGAATATAATGCTCAACTCTCAGACTTTGGATAAGAACATGAGTGGATCTATGTTTCACGGGATTCAATCTAGGAAGTGAAAATGACGATCGTGTCTCTTCATTGCTTCGTATGGAAATGGTATTCATCGTTCCACAGATCCGGTTGCTTTCCTGCCGAGAAGGCCGGTTGGTTTGTGACAAAATCCATTAGCCACACCAGCTATTGTAGTTTGTGCGAATCGAGCAGTGAGCACGCATATGTGTTACGTCATGGGTCGATGCTAGAGAACTGACTGCATACTCATTCCGAAAGCGTGGCACCATCAATCTGGGGATCGTCGCATGGGAGGCGCAAGCCGTCTTCTGCAGGCTACTCATTGGACGAAAGGGATGCATGTTATTCAAGAATATCCCGTCTCATCGTCGGTGGAGAGCCGTACGTCTAACTCGAATGCTGGAGGGTGCCTAAACTTGCGTCTAACGACCCGGTACGAAGCAGGTATAAATATCAGTACCTTTTTCGATGTTCATCGTGCAATAAAGCCTGTAACGCGGGAGATTAGCCCATCGCATCATGACGAGAATGACGGCATTATGAAAACCTCGGACGGGGTCCTAATGTGTAGATGAATCGCAATGAGCGTACTTACGATCTTCGTCAAGGAGAGTCCGCTCTTGGTAGCTTTCAATGATCCATGCGGCATCGACGATCTTTGGGATCGGTGACATTCTCCACGCTGTTAGGTCCTAACTGATTAAATGGAAGGCATGAGAAGCACTTACTGCGAGACCTTTTGACGGAGCTGATGCAAGTGCGATCGATCACGACCAACGACAACCTGAGTAACACTCTCATCCAGTGAGTTCGAAAGTGTACCTCCTACAAACCTCGCCTTTCGTCCTACCGCCTGCAGTTCATCGATTGCAGCAGTGAATTCGGGGGTTTTGGCAGCACCGTCTCCAAAATCAAGATAGAGAACTGACCCCTGAAATATGAAACGATCGCTTAGGTCCAGGCCATGGTCTTCCAAATGGTCCACAATCTCCATCGCTTTGGCATGCTGATGCTTGTCTTCCGACTTAGGGAACTTTGCTAAGATCCCCCGTAATTCGCCGAGGTCGACGTCGCGGGCGTAGCTGTCACCGAATTCGTCGGTAGTGGAATCCACCACAGCCTGGTCATCGTGCGTGGAGAAGTACATATGTTGCTCCTCGTACGGGATGAGATACCGTGGACGCCCAACATCCGCTTGAGCCTGCTTGATGCAATCGAAGAGCCAGATAGGCCGAATGATACTTCTGTCTGCCGACTTCTTTATCGATCGAGCCTTGAGGACTTCGCGGTCAGAAATGCATATGACGTCGCGGGAGGCGGTCTGAGTCTGAACGATGGAACCCCCGTGAACTTTCACCATATCCTCGAGCTCTGCCTTGCTCTTTTTCTCCGGAGCCAGAGACTCCGACATGATGAAGAAGGAAAGTCCCTCAAAGACCTTGGTACTCAGAGCGGCATATGGTGTAGAGACCTCGTCGTTGGCCCCAAGAACTTGTAATGGCCGTTTCTTTGGACGTTTGATCGTCATCCTCTTTTTCCGACGCTCGTTGTCGAGTTGAAACTCATTCTCTTTATGCTGCTTTTCCGCATTCGATTTCAGTTGCATGAATCCCATCACACTCAGTGCATCCTTCCAATATTTATCAGGCCTCAAGCGTTTAAAGCGTGGGAACCGCAAAGTCAACCCCATCTTAAACTGATCCGTGGTTCCGACCGATGCGGCTTTGACAGAAACCACAATGGAATCTTCGGGTTTAATCCAAACATCGGGACGTTCATATTGCTTGTCGCCACCGCCTAACTCAATCCAGTCCGATGGAGGCTTTTTTGGATCCCACTTGATCCATTTGTTGTCCGTCCTGTGTCGAATCTCGGCGTAGTCAGCTGCGCAGAAACCGCCGCCGACCTTGAAAAAGGAGTAACACTTCTGTTCGTTCGAGCCGCGTGCAACGTGATTTTGGTCGACCCTTAAACCACACAGAAAACTGGCGAGATTCCCGCCTCGGTGCCCTGAGCCATAGTAGCCACCAATGACCACACAATCCAATTCCTCTCCGAATTCTGACATGTATTCCGGCTTGACCTTGATCCAGTCATCATTACGTTCGTTGAGTCGGTAAGGGGAGCGTGGATTCTTGATGACTAAGCCCTCAGAGGCTTCAGCAACAACTCTTCGAAGAGCGGGCTCAATGGAAGAGGCGCTATTTCCTTCAATGTACGAATGGATTTCTATCCGGCGATGTATGGAACTGATACTTGACTCGAGAGCCTTGCGCCGGTCTCTCAAGGTATAGAGAGTCAGGGCTTTGTCATTGAGATATAGACAGTCAAAGACGCGATAAAGCGGCCGTTGCCCTCCGGAGAATGGGTTGCGTTGTTCTGAAATCGCCGCTGTCTTCAGCGTCCCAAACGGAACCATTGCATCTTGCTCGACGTCCCACGTAATCATCTCTCCGTCAAGAATGACGTTGCGAACTCCAGGATTGAAGGCGTCTCTGATGTGACGAGTAAGAGAACTGTTATCGTCCTCGAATCCGGACCCGTAGAGGTATGTATAGTCCTTTGCTTTTCGGGACCAAAAGTTGAACCGGAATCCGCCTAGAACGCTTTCATCCTCGACCATGTGCAGTTGCATCCGCTCACCGTCGAGTTTCTCTTCTATCCAGAAAACGTCATCGGCTTCAGTGGGCTTCATTCTCTGGACCATCTTTTCAAACGAATGCATTTGGAAGGCCGCTAACTGGGGCTGGAAACATTGCATTAATGTAACCCCGCTGGTGTCCTCATCTAGCCGGATGACTGGATCATATAACTCCCAACATACTCTGCGGAGGCTGGATGACACATTAAAGAGGCTATCGGCGTCGGGGTGCCAAATATCAAAGAACGTTCTCTCGCTCGCTCCGATCTTCATTTGTCGTAGGATGATACGGATCAGCCAGATCAGCTCATCTGGGTTCATTCGCTGATAGAACTCGGAAAAAACTTTGATTTGATCCACTTCTTTAGACATGCCGGAAAGGATATCGAGTTTCTCGTTCACTTCGCCGATGGTCATATCCCCTGGCTCCGTTCGCATTGGTCTTTTCGAGATGACTTCATAACATCGACCAGCGAAATCGCCGGCTGCATGGGTTTGGCCACCTGGAAGTTTCCAATTAAGGAGGTTGAAGCCATCTTGCGAATCTTTGTCGATTCGGAGGATCTTAACAAGAAGTTTGCCGATGGCCTTCTCCTTCAGGCCATACATGGCACGATCACGGTCCTTTTCGGGGACAACCAACCGAAACGCCGGGTATATATCGTTGCCAACCTCTTTCCTCCATCTTGAAATGAAGCTCTCAATGATATTTCTCCGGATTTCATGCGGAGTTAGATTTGAGGCTCCGTGTGGACCCAGTTTTCTGCGAGCAACTGGCGCCGTCGGTTTTCTGCGATTATCGTTGAGAGGGTTGAAAAGCGTCGTGTAGAGTATTGAGAAAGAAGGCGTAACAGAATGGTTGTGAGGTCTGTTTGGATACTTCTCATCCAGTTCGGTTTCGGTGAGGCTGCCATAGCTGTACATTCGCCGCTCTTCGTCCACGGCTGCAGCATCTCGCATGTGCGTATTCGCCATGCTCTTATAGATTAAGAAGGCGGTAATATTAGTCGACCCAACGGTTCTGTCGGTGGATGAAGGAATGGTCGCATCAGTGTGATGGTTTGACGTTTTGCATATTATTCTAAATCGGATGGATGAAAGTGGCTCCAAGCATGAGGGCGTTTTGCATCCAGGCAGCCGTCACATCGAGTGCAATGATGGACACACAACAGGCACGCTAGGAGCTATCACAGACTAAACTTCAGAAACGCAACATTACATGCTTGGGGATCAATAGAATTCTTGCGAAAAGGTCGACTTAAGAGAAGTCACCAGGAAGTGAGTGAGCGATGGTGTGAGAAGCAACAAGCTTGGAGGCTTGTGGTGGTCATAATTAAATACCTGGCTAACAAATCCCCCAGGACGACTACAAATTACTCCCTGTACAACAGGACCATTTTCATAGGTTGATTTGATTGTACCGGGCCGCAAATGACACGAGGAATATGAAGAGGGACATTCTATTAAACGTCTGAACCTGAAGTTACCTTAAGTAGTTATGTGTACCTTGATACATGTTTGAACCCTATTTCCCCTATTTCCATCAAAGCTGAGTCCCATTCTATGGTACCAGGCTGGGAGGAAAATGGACTTGCATATATCTTCATCTCCACATCAAACACCCTACCGCACCTACCTATGCGATAATTTTATGCAATCTACAGGTACTTGGGAACGAGTGGTCCTGCACAATGAAGACTAGTTGAAACGTACATGATTGTTTCACTGGAACTGACGAGATTGGAGCAATAGGACATTGTCGTCAACTCGAATTTTATATATATCCAAAGCAGCAAAGACGGCATCCCTCCGAGTGGCTGCACGTCGCTTCCGCAGCCATCCGGGACGATATGGCCTAGAGAACCCCGTCGCCGATGAATCCATGAAATTCAAGAAACAAGTCTTGAATCCCCGCGCTGGCATCACCTGTGTGCGCCAGCGGGAACCCTCAACGCCGAATCTTGAAAAATAGCCATGAATGTGGCCGAGAAGAAAATGTCAAGAGCCGAAGGAGGGTGGTAGATGCGGCTGATTCATATGTTCTCTACAACACCTCTTTCGCTGTCGGACTCGAGGTCTTTACATGATGGTGCACCCGTAGGGGTGGCCGTCAATATTGTTGACGGGAGCGGAGTCGGTCCCGGTCTTCATGACGGTGCATCCATAGGGGCGGCCGTCAATATTGTTGACGGGAGCGGAATCGGACCCGGTCTTCATGACGGTGCATCCGTAAGGGCGGCCGTCAATATTGTTGACGGGAGCGGAGTAGGTCTGGAAAGTCATCTTGGCTGATGTTGGGCTTGAAAGTTGTTTTGGTTGATTGGGATGGAATCGATCTGCCGGGGGCGTTAGCAAGGCTGAATCGACTGGTGTTGACGATGGTTCGAACTTACTGACTAACGATTGACTGAGATCGAATGTTGTGAGTGGGCGAAGAGGAAGTTCAGTTGATCCGCAGCGAGGTCCAGCCTTTATAGACAACTGATGGAGTACTAGCTGTTCCGAAGCGCCTGTCCCTTTGATCCAGGAAGAGCTAAGGATGCAAAGCAAGCGAGTTTCAACTAGGGAGAGAAAGGTCTTGCGGACAATCGATTCACTTGAGGCGTTAGAAAAAACAAAACGCTCTGAATGATTCTCACGGAGAGGAGAAAGGCAGGAGAGGCTGGGAACTGGAATGTCTGCTGTTCTCGGATCGAAACAAAGCAATTGCTTCCAGAGGAAAGAGTTCGCAAGTTGAAGGATGCTCATTGGAAGTAGGAGATGCGGAACATCTTTGTGCCTCTGTTGGATCTATCACGATAAGTGTCCGGAAAAGGGATTTGGCGAGTTATGCTGAGAAAACGAGGCCGTCTTTGGAGCAGTGCACTGCTCAATCCTACCGCGCGCAACCCAATATCAGATGCAAATGCTGCTTCCTAGAAGCCACCCACCCATCGGAAACACACAGCATGACGGAAATATATGACAGACATTTGCGTTGAAAGTCATTTGAAGCGCCGATACCATATGCCGCGACCAGATCTCAGACGAAATGGAAATGGCTTCCGAACTCGACGAAGGGGGAATCGCCCAAGTGCGCAGTGATCTGACAGGCGCCTACCATTCTCAGAACAGCGATACTCTGCTGATACTCTATAGATTCCTCGCTTAGGAGATTCTTTGAAAAAGCATTCAGTTGCCGTTAGTATTGTTGATGATGCTTACTATTGTTGTTGACGATGTTTACTATTGTTCTTAATATTGTTGTTGAATTTCATATATGGCGCTAGTCCTAATCTGGAGGAGATATTCCGGTCCTTCCCAGCATCCATCCAATAATAAGCGCAATCCTTTGGAAGCGCATTGAAAGGAAACTTGATTGATTTCGCATTCCTTGGCGGAAAAGTTCTCTAGGCGGAAAGGGATCCTTCAAATGCTTGGATTGCAAATTTGCAATGGAAAGCGGATTCGGCTTAGTGAAGCTTCCAGGTCTGTATGACGGAGTACCCCAATCCGTTGTATTTGCAGTTCTATGTTAGCTGAGTGTTTAAGGGGTAGTCTTTCTTCCTCTCCAAACCTCTATTACATTGAGGGTTCAAGGAGGAAAGTTCATTTATGGTTGAGATGGATGTAAATAGGAGAGGATGTTTAGCACCTTCTACAGTTTTACGTGATTTGAATGACAGTATGAGAGATGAATGATCGACGCGGATAGAAAGTTCGAGAACATGCTGCTTTATTTAAGCATGTAACACGGTAATTAGATAAGGTCGGAAATGTCATGGGATTCACCGAAGATATTAATATACTGTAAGGATGCTGTTAACTGTACATCGAGGAGAGCGTAGACGTGGAAACAATTGTCCAGGCAGGCAGTGGCGGTGCGTTGAGAAATTCTGGAGGGTCAGAAGGAGGAAGGGGATTTCGCTAGTTAGTGTAACTGAATAGGACTCCATTTGCGGACCCTCATTCACTTGCAATACCCCTGAGATGATTGACTCTGCACACAGCAGCTCTTCGGAAGGACTTGAAAAGCTCCACCATGGTGAACTGCCTCAGCAATCTTTGCCACATCGTTCACCGCCCACTCCCCCGAGACCTGACCCATTTCGTTGGTAACGAATCCTCCATCGACTTAAGTAGAAGACAGGGCAGGGCGTCCGACGACCACATTCTTTCTCCTCCCCATCTCTTGATCCCAGCCCACGGGCTTAGCCTCACTGTACCGCTTAACAACCTCGTACTCCTGACCCTCACCCTCCCTCCCGCAGGTTTCCTCCATAGTCACGAATCCACCAGTGATCTGATCCAGATACTCATTGAACTTATTCGAGTGTCCAATGCTGCAGCGCCGGTTGTCTGGCGCGGTGACGTGGGCCGTAAGTCCCGCAAATGACTTGAACCGTCGTTGGCAAATTGGACACCCCGCGAACCTAATTGCATGGATCGTCGCGAAATGCGCCTTGACATTCTCCTTGGAGGGTAGCGTATCAGAACATGACGGATAGGGGCATGCGTAACATTCTTGGATCGGGTTGTAGAAGGGGTCGCAATTGAAGTCGGGGTGGTTGGGATCCCAGGTTTCAAGTTTGAATATCGAGTTGTTCCCGTACGGGACGAGATCGACTCGAGACTTATACTCAACGGTCAGTGCCTTTTCCCAGCCGTGCGTGCGGTGAACAAGTTGCTCCGTGGGTTCCGCCCTCGGTTGCCGCTGGTGATGGGCATCGTCGTTCACGGAAAGGAGACCCATCTCTTCCAAGCCGCCCATAAGATCGTCCATGATGTTTCCATCCGCTGCCATGAACTTCGCGAGTAGTTCAGGAGGAAGTTCAACATCGCCCAGGGCTTTGGATTCAGTTGGGGCAGCAATAGGCTCCACCGGGAGTGGGTGGACTGTCTTGATTTCGGCTTCGATCGGAGTGACTGGTGAGGTTGCCTTCAGTTCGTCTTGGACTGGAGAGACTGGGAAGGTTGCCTTCGACACGGAAAGAACAGGAGGATGGCTGAGTTTCAGCCCATAGGGGTCATCATCGTCGTCCCAGTTCACGAACGGAATATCGGGGTCGTCCAAACCCAACGTCGGCATCTCGACCTCATCCATCCCTTCATTGCTTCGAGCAGTCTTGACTGCTGTGGCCTCTTCCATACTAGCTTCCTTGATCGAAGGCGGGGATTTGTCATCGACAACGGCCTCAATTCCTCCGACGGGCGAGGTCACATCATTTGCATCTTCCGCAGCTCCAGAGAAGTCCTTGGCGAAAACCAATCTCGCTGCGTCGGGGTCCGTCATGATGGTTTTGACGATGCTCTTGTGTTGAACGCGTCCATAGAACCGGTCAGATGTAATTTTCTTGCAAAACCCCTTCTCGAGGTGGTTTACGTAGGCAGCGGGGGTTCCGAAGGGCTTTCCGCAGCCCACGCAGTTGACACTATGGATCAACGGGTGGAACTGAGCGGAGACGTATTAGCAATAAGAAAGAAATCTGAAGATGTAGGCCGTAGGCCGTACCCGGGTGAAATGCTGCACGCGTTCAATCTTCTCGGCGAATTCTGTGCCACAGATGTGGCAGATCGGGACCTCGTCCGGGTCTTCGGTGTGCCTCTCATCAGTGATCTTGTGGTCGACCATCTGCTGCCAATCGTTGAAAAGCTCATCGCACTTCACGCAGTAGTCGTGGACATTCTTCATGTGCTCCAGTGTCCATTTGAGCTTCTTGTAGCTATAGGTGCAGCCAGGAGATCTGCATTTGAACACCGGTTCGTCAGTAATAGCCGACATGGTGAAGGTTGGAGTCCTGGACGGACAGAACAAAAGTGATGGGTCAGTGAGTTAAAAGCTCACGGTATAATTCTGTATTGGGGAAATATGTATGAGAGAGAGTGAGAGAGAGTGAGAGAGAATAAGTGAGAGTGGGGGTGAGAGAGGTGGGAAAAGACTTGAAGGAAGAAATATCTATCACCGCAACAGAAAATGAAGCTGGTTCTGTAGAGTGAACGTGAAATTTCGGTAGCCTCCAGGCAGCATATATGAAAAAGATCCGTGTACGTGTGCGATAGGCTATTGCATGTGATCAAGTCAAGCAAGTGAATTTGGAGCACATGATCATTGATTAAGAAGAGAGAGCTACCAGTGTAAAGACCATGATGACTGTTAAGCTCAAGCCTGAAGCCAGTAGTTACTGCAACTGTAATAACTGGCAATGAGGAGACGGCGAAGTCAGTTCTGAGACAAAGACTCAAGAAGAAGCGCTCCGCTTCTCTGCGTCATGGCTCCCTTACTCCTTAGATCCTCTTCTTTCCATTCAATTGAGTCATTGGCATTCAGATACGTCAACAAGTCTACATTGAAATGATGTACCGCCTGCCTACCAGTTGAAACCTTTCATTAATGATTGTCGTGCCTTGCATATGTGGATTGTCCTAGTCTCCTCTTCAAGAAACCGTAGACCTGTATCATGCAGACCATCAGTCATGAAACAAACCTTCTGTTTGCTCTCCAATGTGGTGTACCGGAGCCTAGTGCCTCAGAGGCCGTTCCAATTCAACCATGAAGAACATCTAGAACCGTGTATATGGCAACCTAGACGGCGTTAATCAAACCGAAGACAAATCTACCGACATCCTCCTGGCTTACCATTTCCCTCGGATCGTAATCACTGCCCAAGTTCCTTGATCATCCACCTCTTTTTCCACCTTGGTGCTGAAGCTAATCGCACTCATGATTCCGTCTCCGAATTTCTCATTCAGGACCGCCTTATAGGCCAGACCATAGTTCTGCACGATCTCATAAAGTCGATAGATCAACGGCTCCTTTGGCGGCATCTCAATACTACGTCCACGGTCCGGAAAGCCGGCCAGTTGCTTCGCAAGCGGTTCTTTAGGGACGGACAGCAGCGTAGAGAGGGCGTCGATGTCTTCAGCGGACGCCTTCGCCTGACCGTAGAATAGAGCCGCAACAGCAACCTCATCTCTGCCCACGGCGTTGCCGATTTCTGCGAACGTGAGATTCTTGGCTTGCTTGGCCTCGAACAGAGTCGCGGAGGACTCTGGCAGGCGGGGAGCGAGCGATGACTACCAGGACGGTGGAGTTAGCTCGAGTCAGGAGGATCAGACATGTCGCAAATATCCCAACATGGTTTTGTACGTGCTATCGCGCCTAATGGTCGCGGGGGAGGAGGCCGTAGGAAGCACACGGAAGGTCATACCTCGAGGACGGAGACTGACATGGTTGCTCAGGGGGGGTCGGTCACAGCGATTCAATGATATGGCAGCAAAGCAAATGTTTCTGGGGTGAGAAGGCCCTTTTTGTACAAACGAAATACAAAGCAGTTACGAAACCTGTGAGCAAGTTTGGAGATGTCGATTCTAATATAAATTCTGACGAAGTGATGATGTGAGGTTGAATGACTGGATACGTGCGAGAGGAGGACGTGGTTCAGCGATCCGTACGAAACGAGGTGGGGATTCCGATATCCACAGTTACCAGTCCACCGCGGAATTTCTCCGTACGGTACTGATTACTCCGCTCCACCATACACGACGGTCTAGGGAAATGATACCAAATGAGCTCCTAAGCTAAAGCTACCTAAATGGGACTGGATGCCCAGAGTGGATGGTGTGCCTTGTTGATGTGCAAAGTGAAGATCCTAGCTCCGTTCACTTCTTCACCCCACAATCGTTCAGCCTTCAGTACCTGGCAACTGTAAAGTGTCAACAGCCTCTATGTTAGCATCTGCAACCAATCCGTAACCAATGCCCCGTTACAACGAAGACGACCTTGCTTACGGAGAGTATCACGGTCAGGGTGGTGAAGAGTCCAGTCGCCACTTCATTGGAGACGTCTTCCATCGATTGAGGGGTACGAAGCCAGACAGCGAATATTCCCACGAGGCGGCACAAACACAAACACCTCCGGGCTCTGTATGTCCACGTCTTTTGACTCTTGGTGAAACACCAAACTCAGAAGCCAGTCATATTGTATGCTGATGCTATTATCCTCTAGACAACCCCATATGACCCTCATCTCATCGATCCAAACCCCACCACTGTGGGAAACATACAATCCCACGATCCACCCGCCCAGTCTTCATCCACCATGTCATCTCTCTTTGGCAAGGTCCACCAGGCCGTGCATGGAGTCGGGGCACAGATCAAGGACAAAATCAACACCTTGGGCGATAACCAGACCGTCCACGCGCATACCAGCGTTGATGGACAGTGCTCGGATGGAGCCCATAGCAACAGTAGGCATAGATTCCATTCGTTCGCTCCTCAGCGCGAAGGCAACGAGTTGAAGTGGTACGTGGATGGCTGCAATTATATGTGGGCTGTAAGTGTAGCCATTGAGCAAGCCAGGGAGAGCATATGGATTCTTGATTGTGAGTTCCTGGCCAATTCAGGTGGATCTTCTACTAAGACGACTCTTAGGGTGGCTGTCCCCCGAGCTCTACCTGCGTCGTCCACCAAAGAAGTTCGAGAACTACCGAATTGATCGTATGCTAAAAGCAGCCGCTGAACGAGGTGTGAAGGTCAACATCATTGTGTACAAAGAGGTTCGCTTCGAGAATGCAGTTGCTCCGATACGATATGAATGCTAACCCCCTATCAGGTGACCCAAGCACTCACTCGTAAGTTGAAGCAGACGCCCTAGACCTAGACTCCCAGATCTTTCCGAATTTCGACCCAACGACCAGTAGTTTGCTCGAGTTGGACTTGACTCTACACCGCATGTCATTGAGATTTCCAACGACATGGCCAGCTAACACATCGACCTGTTCCAGTCTCTTCGGCGCATACGAAGCACCATCTCGAGGATCTGCACCCCAACATCGGCGTATTCCGTCACCCCGACCACCTTCCGGATACCGCCGTCCTCAGCTCGTCCTTTATCAGTTCCTTACAGAACCTGAAACTCACAGCTGCTTCTGCCGCAAAACTTCCCGGTGATGCTTTAAAAGCCGTGTATGGGACGTCGGAAGGTACGGTGTTATACTGGGCCCACCACGAGAAGTTGTGTCTCATCGATGGCAACCTGGCCTTTATGGGAGGGCTTGACCTCTGCTACGGCCGCTGGGACACTCATCAGCATCCAATTGCAGACCTCCACCCCGCAAATATTGATGACACTGTTTTTCCAGGGCAAGACTACAACAATGCCCGAATCATGGACTTCCAAGATGTTCCCCATTGGGAGAACAACAAGTTGGACCGAACGAAGAGTGCACGGATGGGCTGGAGCGATGTCAGCCTATGCGTCAGGGGTCCGGCGGTTGAAGATCTCAAGGTCCATTTCGCCGAAAGATGGAACTTCATTTGGCAAGAAAAATACAGTGTGAAGAACGAAGGCCGTTATCATAAGATTGATATCCATCGCTCTTCATATGGAGTGGTCGGCGAGGGCCAGACGGGTGCCGATTCAGCACAGGGATCGTACCAACCCTCAGGCGCCCAAGGCCTAGATGGCGCACCATCAGAGTTCCAAGCACAAAGCCAAGGCCAGTATTTCCCCCCTCCGCCAACCCAAGCGAGTCGGGGAATAGATCATGCCGAAGGCGAACGCGGATTTGGCGGAGAGGATGGAGAGAGAGGGTTTCGTCATGGACGCCTCGGTGGTGCAGGAGACAAACTGTGGCAACGGGTTGAGGGTGGCCTTCAACAATTCGAGGACAAGTATCAATTACACCACGAATCTCACCATAGTGAACAGCAGCAAACCGGCCCTCTAGGAGGAGCCATCTGTCAGCTCACTCGCTCCTGTGCAGAATGGTCGCACGGCACGCCTCTTGAACATTCCATCGCCAACGCTTACATCGAGACCATTACTGCTGCGAAACACTTTATCTACATCGAGAACCAGTTCTTTATCACAGCCACGACCCCGGAGCAGAAGCCTGTGGCAAATCTCATTGGCTCGGCCATCGTTGCGCGGATCAAACGAGCGGCACGAGAGAACCAGCCGTTCAAGATATTCGTGATGATGCCGGCCGTCCCGGCGTTTGCAGGGGACTTGCGAAGCGACGATGCCCTCAGCACCCGAGCCATTATGGAGTTCCAGTATCAGAGCATTTGCCGGGATCAGAAACGCCAGCTGAGCATCTACGAGCAACTCGCGCGCGAAGATATCGACCCGGTCCAGTACATCCGATTCTACAATCTGCGCAATTTCGACCGGCTTAACACGAGTGCGGCGTTGAGGACGGTCGAACAGAGCGCTGGTGTGAGTTATGAAGACGCACGTAAGCAGTATGACGAACAGGTTGGGGGCGGTTTCGGTCAAGGGCAACCGGAAGGACAGGAGACCTCGAGGGGATATGACCCTTCCGGATACCAACCGTACCATCCTGCTCCCGCTGAAGCAGACTCGAATCCCGGTTACCCACCGCCACCGCCTCGTCCTCAGGATCAGTACAACCCGCCTTCCCATACCGGATACGGTGCTCCACAGGACTACTCCGGCGCCGCACCATACTCGACCTACCAGTCTGCAACCTCGCAAGCCTCTTCGGACCCGACGCCCGATACCGTGTCCAATGCTTACATGCAAGGCGGACAGGACATCCGCAGCGCCCCATGGTCCGGCGACGCGCAGTCAGAGCTGTCATCCATCGTCTCGGAAGAGCTCTACATTCACTCCAAACTGTTGATCGCGGACGACTCGGTGGTGATCTGCGGCTCGGCCAACCTGAACGACCGTTCCCAGCTTGGCAACCACGATAGCGAAATCGCCATCATCATCCGTGACCGCACGCCCGTGCCCGGCCCGCCGCCGACGATCGCCGGACGTCCCAACGAGCAGGCGAACGCGTTCGCGACGAGTCTGCGGCGGTTCATCTTCCGGAAACATCTGGGGTTGGTCCCCCCGCAGCAGATGGACCGACCGGATCGCAACGCCATGCCGCTCGACGGCGGGATGGGAGGGATGACTAACGACTACGACTGGGGCAGCGAGGAAGATCGCGCAGTCCACGATCCACTGAGTGAGCCGTTCCTCGCCCTTTGGGACGGCACGGCGAGACGCAACACAGAGTCGTTTCGGAAAGTGTTCCACCCTGTCCCTGATGACACGGTGCGGACGTGGACGGCGTACGAGGAGTATTACACGAAATTCTTCGCGCCCCCGAAGCAGGAGGGCGCGGCCAAGGAAGGACAACCGGTTCCCAAGGCGAAGTATGACGTCGGGCATGTGGTCGAGGAGAATTTCCCGGGCGGGGTGCACGAAGTCAAGGAGATCTTGAGTCAGGTGAAAGGAACGCTAGTGGAGATGCCATTGCTGTTCCTAAAGGATGAGGATATCGCGAAGGAAGGCTTGGGGTTGAATGCTTTCACTGAAGAAGTCTACACGTGAGGGCATTCGAACATCTCGGCGGTGACGTAACAGCCTATGAGTGATGAGTTCGACAAATGAGACACGAGGCTTTATGACCATGTTGATCATCGTTATGTTCACGACTCACGAGAAGCACGGCGGGCCTAGTTGATGTCATCTCAATATCATCATCGTCTGGCCCGCGTTGCTCCAGTGGCCTCTCTATCCAACACTACGGTCGCGACAGCTACCTACAATTTAAACGGCCCCTTGCAGCCACGCGAAATCCCAAAGCAGATGGAAGGTCAGGTGGCGTACGATCTGTGTCGCCAGAAGAAGACAAGGGTTAGTGAACTGCTCCAATGTAAACTGTTCTTCGTAATACTAATTAGTAAGTGCCTGCTGTGAACTGGATTTATTCTAACGCATAACTTATTCATCATAACCATCTCTTCAGTACAGGTATTCAGATGGTATATCTACAGGTATCTATGACCCCCAACCTGGCACTGCCCGCTTGGATAAGCCTCTATCTACTCCAGATATGCCATATGTATACATCTCTATTCAGCGCCATTTAGACTGATACTCAGAGCCTTTTCCACCCATTTACAGACTCGGCTTCGGCGGCATCACCCGTGCTTCGCCATGCTCGCATGTGTAGCATACAAGCCCGTTATCCTTCCGCCTCATAACCCCACGGACCATTCCCATCGACTTCCCAAGATGGACGATCTCGCTCTCGACAAGCAGGACAGACCCTTCCGATGCTGGTCGTATGTACGTGTAGTTCAACGTCCGCGAGACATGACCCGTGTCCCAGAAGTTCTCCTTCGCGACCGGCGCAACCGTGGCCGATGTACTTGACTTGATCAGCCTGCGGTTGCTTATGTCCGCCTCTATGCCATATACCGAGATACTCACCACATGTCGAACACGAGTGCAACCGCGCCTCCGTGCAGGTTTCCAGTCGCATTACATAATGACTTATCGCAGGTCAATTCGAACACGCTTTTCGCGAGGGTCGGATCTTTGGGGTCGAGATCGACGGAGATCACATTGAGGTGTCCGCGCAGGTGGCTATCAAAGAACTGGCTCAAACCATATCAATAAGTGATTGGAAATCCGCAAAGGTCTCATCTTTGCTCACTTTATAATTCTCGTCGTTGATATCGATCAAGAAGAGGCTAGCACGGGCGCTTGGCTCTGGTCTAAGATCTACCTAGAGACCCATGGGATGGTGATATAGGAAAACGCTGGCTCGTCAGGAGCGCAAACGACTCAAGAACTGGTTCGGAGTGGGTACATGTCACACATCAGCAGAATATCGTTAAGGCACTGAAAGAAATGCGCTGTGGATATCGAGCAGCAAAAACTGAATACATATATGTCATGAGCATTTGCTGCAATGTTCTGTGACATCGGATCTCGTAGGGCGCAAGATTGGCTGTTTCAGGAACAGCCAAGGCTTGAGCTAGGTGCGCTAGGCTCTGTGTTAAGAGCATGGGATTGCTAAGTTACTACTCGTTGTTATTATCATGGAATAGGCAGGTATTTGAACTACCAATCATGCCACACATCTATCTCGTATCTGTTCCGTTAATAAACTTTGATGGTTTGCTCAGTACTCGTACATTCTTCTGTAACTTGAACACTGGCTGAACCTTAATCGTGGTCATACGTAGCTTGGCCGATTTAGAAACATATATCTTGGAATATCATTCTGATGTTGGCGCCCTCAGCGATCCAAGGCTCCACGATCTGCTCAGACCCCTCGGCCAGTCGTCATTCCATTCAAACGCAGCGAATATAACAGCATACTCCCAGTAAGAAGGATACCAGCCTGAACTTTCCTAGTCAATGATAGAAACCTCAAAGTCGTCAGCTGTGATGCGTTCCACGAGAATATTCTCCACTGAATATCAGTGTGTGTGAAAAATGGCAGGTGGCCCTTTAACACCTGTCCTAATTGGCGTTCATAGAAATCTGCTTTGTAGCTGTGCCTGTCGCTCATATCCCATATCCTCCGCAGCTTCCTTGCAAATCCCATATTCAATTCTTGCTCTGAGTCAAATGGGCACTCTAAGCATTCATGCATATATCTGTACCAGTTATTGTTAAAAAAGTGAAATTTTGAAATCACATTAGACAATGTATCATTGTCGTAGTGCTTCTAGACATAAGTAGCGATGGCAGTCTCCGGGCATTACATCACAGTACATACGGCTCCAGTTCCTTCATCGTCATCTAGCGGATCCTTGCTCACCAGAGTAGGAGACGTGCACAGGTCTTCCCAGTAAATATGCTGCATAAATCCGGACCTTGGGGTCTGAAAAAGTTCAGCCATTACTTTCAAGCACTCTTCGTCCTCCGTTGCAAGCATCTGGGCAAATAAAAATTAGTCTTTCTTGTCTTTCGCGTTTGGGAAGTAGAGAATAGTGTAGTCATAATTGACCTCCCTATGCGCGGCGTTTGTGCATGACGTCCTATGCAATGCCTTCTCCAAAGCCCACACAAACATATCTTAAACTCAATCGCCGGGAAATGACGTACCAGACCTGTTAGCGATGCTCTCCTTTCCTTTCTCATTTTTGGATCTGCCTCATAAGCCTGGATCCACAGCGGATGACGCATCTTCTCCAGTCTAGTGAATTGAATGGTTAGCACGGTCTGTTCTGAAATGCTTCTGCAACATTGAAAACTCAAGGAAAAGAGACGACTTTGGAGAAGAATATTTATAGGAAACGCAACCATCCTTACTTGTCTTCGATACGATGGAATAACACCATGAACATAGCAGTGGTCCAGATGTAATTTAGACCTATTGGGTCAAGGAGTTAGCGCCTTGCAATCACGGATGACTTTGGCGGTCGAAAGGTCCCAAAGCCCATAGATTGTTGAGTGTGGAGATATCTGGGGTAGAAAATCGCTTACTGGAAACCGGTTGCTGGCCAGAAACATCGTTAATAATGTCAAGTTTGAGCAAGTCCAATAGTGCTGCGTCGCTCAAACCAATCTTGCTTCTATTACCGCCGGCGGTGGGCTTGGAGATGCCGGAAGTTGAGTAATCCTTGGGTCGTGAGCTCAAGAATGCTTCAGTAAGTTCTTGGTCGACATGGCCCTTATGGATCAACGCTGACATTTCAATCATCGCGTCATCATGTAGCCCCTCTGCTCTTGCGCGTCTGACAAGTGTCGTATTCTTCAATACCTTCTTACCTGTAGCCGGATCGACTGGATGTTTCATTTGGCCAATTCGCAGTATAGAGAGGATGGAAAGCACGGGAATATTCTCGTCGGGTATTCTTTCGGGAATCCAATCTGCTTCACGATAGAGCCTAAGAATGGACTTTTTCTTGAAGAAGCGGTTTGCATTCGTATCCAAGATTCCATGGATATCAAAGGCTGTACGAGCGGCAGCCCTTGAAGTTTGTCTTCGGACAGTGGCACGGCGAGAGCCCGACTTGTCGAGTGCTGCAGTGAAGGCTGTGGCAAAATCAGAGGTCGGTATTTGACCATCAGCAAAGAATGCCTCGGGGAAGAGCGACTGCAAGCTGGCGTAAAGCCCAACTGGCTCACTGATATAACCCTTCTGGACCAGCATGTTGTGCAGATGTATGACGCACATGGGCTCCGGTATTCTGTCCATGATCAAGAGGCCCACTGCATATGCAAGCTCTAATGCCTCCATTAGGCCAACCCCGCAAAGAAACGGAGAATACTCCCAGAGGCCGTTGGCAGTAGTATTTGAGAAGCGTGATGGAGGAATCGTTGTCAGGCCGTACATGTACTTTGACTCTCCAAGCCAATTGATGAAATCATAACGAAGCTCGGTTAGCAGTTCTGAATGATCTCGATGGCGATTCGGGTTTCCGTGCATTTTGGCATCTTTTTCGAAAAATTGATTCAAAACATCAACGCCGTTGCAAAACCCACGACCCATGGCCACATTTTCGCGATCCATGAAGAGGTCAACGTCTCTCCTCGGACGGAATGCTCGGGCGGGTGGGTATAGAAGATGTCCTTTGAGACAATTAAATGACCAGCCCCGGGAGACTGTCAGAGAATCGACGATGCATCTTTTTGATCAGAATTTAGTAATGATTCTTTTGAAATAGCCTTGGGAATAACGAAACAATATCTGAAAAAGGGATCTAGGCTATTATCTTGGCGGCATGTCCAGCTAGAAATTGGTTCGAGCTTTCAAGGCATCATGCGGAGGTGTTATGGCAGCTCAAAATTTACTTACTGGAGTTGAAAGACTGTATGTGGAAGGATTTTTTTGCCACCGCCGGTACGAGGCTTTTGCATTGCAAGAGCAGTAATTTCGCCAGCAAACTATTTGTCACGAGCAGTTAGTATTTCACCTATTCCGGAATGTAATGAGTTATAGAGCAATGAGAGATGTGGCAGAGAATCTGAAGCTTTCCTGAAGGGGGCAATATATTGTCGAGATTACGCACCTCATTCAAGCCGAACAATCTTCGGTGTTCATTCCACGGGCCACTGGTAGACCAATCGACGTTCTCGAGGGCAATTCGTTGATGTTTCATTGTAATTCGTTGAACGACGATTGATGAAAAGACATTCACCAAGTCATAGAGCCAATTGATTGTGTATGCCCGGCGCCACTTGATCCGCTGTTCCTTGGTGGCACGTTGAAGATCAAGGGCTGGATCCCAGTTTCTGATCTCAGAGAGCAGGCGTTTTGTTGGCTTGCCGCTGCGAGTTGCTTGAAAATCGGTTACAAAGTCAAGGAGAGCCTGATAGGTGTGTACCAAGAATTGCTCTTTGACGTCGAGATCCATTTCCTGAACCTTTGTGAACGACTTTCCGTCAGGCTCCACTCGATGCAAAGCCGCGTGGAACATTCCTTGGGCATTTTCTACATTCCCACGTGTGATGGTATTCATAACCGTCTCGTAGGAGTCGTGTCCAGGAAAATCCACAAAGATTGATAATTCCGACTGCTCGATCATTCCAATAGCAATATTGGACATCTCGCCTGCAACAGCACTGTTGAGGCCGCCGTATGAGACCTGACGCCAAAGAGATTGAATAGAGTTCCGGAGATCGATCCACTGCCTGACAAGGGAATAGACGGCCATCAGATAGTCAGTAAGAAGTCCACTCTCGTCTTCGATGATACGGTAACTTTCCAGAGGGACTTCTTCAAGACTAGGCTCCTTAACAGCCGGCTGGGGGTTCTTTTTGGACTTTTGTCTTCGTTTGCCATGCTTTCTGCTTCCTTTAGACTTCTTCTGCTGTTGCCTGGTCGGGATATTTGTAGATGGTCCATCGAGTCGCTCGGTATCATCCGCTTCCTTCTCCTCCTCCTCCTCCTCCTCCTCCTCCTTCTTGCCACCAAGCCCGAGAATGGAGAACTGGTTTGCAAATATAGCCTGGTCTAAATCTTCTTCATCGGGAGGCTCTGTCGCAGCCTTCTGCCTTGCAATCCAAGCATCGCCTCCAAGAACGTGAAAAGCCTCGGTCAGGACATCAATAAAAAGTTTGTGGGATGTATTACTCCTTTCAATTTCCGGATCGGGCTTCCTCGACACGATTTGCACGAATGCTTCATGGGTTGCCTTCCTCGCCGCTATTATAGACTGCCAAAATTGGAACCATTAGTACTTAGGCTCCGTTGGAGGTAATGAGACAATGTAGCTATTGTAGATGACTTTGTCTAGGAAAGACGTCTCAAACAGCCCAACCTCTGACGAGGAGAAAACCTACCTGGAAGAGACGGTAAATCTCTAGCGGAACTAGATTGACATGCTGCGCAATAAGCTTTGAGACAGGGACGAAGGAGGAGATTGCAATTTGGCCGGTATTATTGATTGCTTAATAACGAATCTATCAGCACTTGTGTTGGATTTTTGAAATCAATGGAAATAATGAGTTGGTTCTGCATTCCAAGAATGAGGATTTGCGGAGCTGGGAGCATTCACATTCTGAGATCTGTAGATTCGACGACTCTAGAATCTTGTTTGAGGTGTGTATCATCCAGCGGACTAAATGATTTTGATCTCGCTTGTACTGGTAGTATGAGTAGCGGTCCACCATGGTGACTGTGGGGTGTCCCTTATGAGCGACACTTGATGGCTTGATGACTTAAGGAATGTCGTTTGTGGACCATCGTTGTTCGAGGTCGTGATCGCAAACTGTAGAGTATTTTGTGGTGGGAGCCACTGCGAGCACCGCCCTGTTTTGCTGCAAGCATCCCCCAAAATGCCCCCATACAACCCCATATCACGTGATACAAAAATCTTGCATTTTGATTGGCCCATTCAAGGAAATTTACCGCGCCCCACGCGCCCATCATTACCCGTACAAGAGAAGACGCGAACTGTCAGAGATCAGGCTTTCAGGAGATCTCTATTTTTCGGGACCCGCCGGTCTCCAGACCGCGCCCCCATTTCTTAGTCGTATTTAGGTGGTCTAGCCCCTATGGTTCCCCCGTGGTTCCCACGTGGAGGAGCATCCCACACCCCAGCCAATGCTTCTTTCTTTGCTTCTTCGCTCGTTTTGAGGAAACCAAGGTCCCCACGACCATCAATTGTATACAGAACATATAAGATGAGCGTATTCCTGTAGTTTGTACGCTCATTAAGGATCAAGATCAATCAACACTTTCAATTCTTGGTAATCAAGTGCTCTCCTGCTGAAGTCGCATCTCCAGATCACCTGATCAAAGGAACAGCTATACTCTGTCACGAACCGGCAAGCGGTTCGCCCAAAGAGAGCCTTGAGGAACGAAGCTCGAGTTGGCGATTTTGAATTCCAAAACGGCACTTGAATTATTCACAGAAGCATCACGAAAGGTTTACAGTTCATTGGTTGGTCCGTATTCCTAATTCATTTGTTTTTGGAATAATGGCGACCTGCCCAACTGAGGGAGAGCGTTGACTTTGATATATATATCACAGTTCTGAATCGATAGATCTAATACCCATGAGTCTGTCATTCGAAATCTAATGAAAAGAGAATACTATTTCATGCCTTTTAGTGTTTGTAACCAAATACTCTTAATCTATGTCGTGACGCTTCTGCGCTAGGTGCCGTCACGTCCACATACACATTGTCGGATGGTAGCTTACGTGATGATTTTTGTTTATACTGGCACGTCAAAATTTTTAGGAGGATGATGGTTACGACGCGGGCGAAGTCCGCTATTAGAGCTCCTAGGTAGATCAGATATATTCGAGGAGTCGCGCGGGTGCGCAGTGGTAGAGAGAGAGAAGGGGGAGTGGATTTTGAGCCTGTGGTGCGGTCTGTATGCGGTTGATCGAGTCTACGTGGCGTCGAGTCCGGTGGAGTTGGTATTTCAATGGCCGGGTCCGAGAGACACGGTTTTTTCGAAGGAGTCAATAGAGCAGACCGGCCCTCCCAGCGATCGAGTCGTTTCGATGGTGGAGTGGTGGCCGGGGTCGAGGTGGGTTCTGTGGACGCAGGCTTCGGCAAGTAGGCCAGAACCAGGACTCGGAGGGCCAGAAGGTTGGTGTCAGATGTATGACCGGCCACTTTTCCAGTGAGGCTGAGGAATGATCCTGCCCGAAGCAATCGTAAAGTATATAAACATCTGTCGCACGTGATGTGCTAAAATGGTTGGGAGTTAGGTGCTGTTGTTATAGTAGCGAAGTTGTTGTATTGTGTAAGTTGTGTGTAAGTTGTGTGTAAGTTCTATAAGTTGTGTGTTCTAGCTGAATGCCTGGTCCCCCGGCCCAACAGATATACGAGAGTCACGGCAAGATTATTAATGCAGTTTGTAGCCTTGGACTCCTAGAGCTCATGCCTTGGCCTGCGACAACATCTTATCGTATAAGGTGTGGAATTGAAGTGTGGAATGGAAGTGTGCTTTGTCTCAGGGGGAGATATTTGGGAAAAGCAGGGCGCCGCCAAAAACAGCGTCATAAACCGCTCTTTTCGGCGGCAATTTCACAGGTCCTCAGATTCTATGTGTAATTAAGGCTTCCCTTCACCCCTGACGGATTCCCTGATGGGTTCCCCACACCGATAGCGGAGAAATGCTCAGCGTGAAATTACCTAGATGTAATATACACTCCAGCGAACTCGTTCAGTTTAAAATGATAACTGTTTGCGTTCCATTAGACCTATACTTAAAATGGAATATCAGAACCACCACAGATTTGATACAGAAAGGAAGATTTAAATTTGGACATTCACCGTACGAACCTGTAGGGGATCCCCTGCCCCAACCAGCCCGCTACGCCTCCGCATCTGACTCGGGTCGACATGCGCGCCACGTCTGAAATCGGCCCTCATCCACCGCCCCCTCTCCCCCTCCGCCAAATCCCACCACGCGCACCACCGCATCGCGCCATTCGATCCCTCAGGTCATGGACCACCCCGCGCTTCATTGGCGTTCACGACCGCGGGAATGGCGTCGGAAGAATTCCTGACGCAGCTGCCGCTAAGGATCGTCGATCGGCTGGTGCATCTGGATCGGAGCTTTGGGGACACCGCACGGGCGGTGGGCGAAGCGTTGGAGGGAGGGGATGGGAAGGGAGCGGAACGGGAGGGGAGGGGAGGGCAGGTGGGGATTGGAGGGCTGGAGGAGACTTTTCAGACGGGGTTGATGCTGAAGCGGCAGTTGGATGAGTTGGAGAAAGAGTGTAAGCATCGCATTTGCTGTGTCCTTCCCTCTGGTGTTCTGATGTCGGTTTGCGCTTGCGACGACTTCACGGCATAGTCCTTTACTACAGACGCTGATACGGAGGAATGCCATAGCCTCTATTCCTGACCGCTCTGGTCACCTCGCGCTGCTTTTGAATAGCGAATATGTCCTCTGGTCGCTGAACGCCCATACCCCGCTCCGGCTCAACCCCTTCCTGTCGCACTGGGTCGAGGTGGTGAGGAACTACGAGATGCGAAACAGCATTGTGATCGAGGAGGTGGGAACGAAGATGAATGATTCGAGCCTCCAGAGCGCTCGAGTGGAGATGGTGAAGCTCATCCTCGCTGGAGAGATCGAGGTATGTCAAGGGTAGATGCTCCTGGTCGATGAATCTTTCATCTGAACGTCTTAGACACTGTCGTCTCTGGCTCCGAAACAATTCGCCGACCGCCTACGCCTCTTCCCACCGCGCGACCTCGACATCGCTCCCTTCATCGAAATGCTGGAGGAAGAAGGCATCTGGGATCCTGAGTCTCCTGTGCCCTCGTCCCGTCCGACCCCCACCCACTCCCGATCGTCCTCCTTTCAAAACCGCGAGACTTCCGAGCCCAGCGCCGATTCCGGGTCCAATAAGCCTCCACCGTCTGAGTCTCCCAACGCGGATGCCATGCCGTCTCACGAACCCCAGGCCCGGGTTCCAAAATTCAAATCTCGACCTACCCCTCTCACACCCTCCACACTCGAACACCACCTTCAGGCCAACCCCATCCAAACCCTTCGTACGCTCACGCACCTCCCCATCGACCTCTCCTCCCTCGACCTCCTCACCACCGCGCTCACGTCTCCATTTCTGGTCGTCATCGGCATTGAGCCCCCCTCCGTTGCGCGAGACTACATCCAGCACGCGTTACGCGTCATAGAAGGGGGCGTGAACGCTCCCGACCCCAATGATGCGCCCTCTCGCGCACCGCCGCAGTGGAATGAGTGGCGGGACACCCAGCCTCAGAGCGTGTACGAAGACGACGACGACGAAGACGACGACGACGAAGACGAAGAAGATGACGGAGACGAATATGAGGACGACGGCGAAGCATCCACCCCACGCGGACGCACAGCCGAGCTCCACGACATGGGCATCGAGATCATGTGGGAGCGCGGCGCGACGCCGAGCCTGCCGCATCCGTCGCTGGGCGTCCCTCCGAGCCGTCGGAGCGGTGAAGACGGCCGAGCGGCGGAAGGAAAACAGGCAGGGACGGCCGCGCAGGCTCAGAATCGTGCTTCAGCCACCGAAGCAGCCCGCGCAGGCGCCATCGCAACCGATCCCGCGGAGGACATGCCAACGGACCGGGCGTCGCTGCAACGCGCCGCGACGCTGTTAGTGCTGTTCGTGCGGTCGCTGATTAGGAAGGGGATCGTGGAAGTGCAGGACCTGTACTGGGAGATCCAGGAGCTGTGCGTTCGGTTCCTGTGGGTGAAAGACGTGAGGAGGTTGAAAGCGTGGGTCGAGACGGGGGAGGACGAGGAAGAAGACACGAATGTGGAGGTAGGTGGAGGGAAGGAGAAAAGCAAAGGCGTGGACGGGGAACGAGAAAGGGGAGGCTGATAGATGTCGTATTGTAAGGGACAACGGGCACGAAAGGGGCATCTTTATGCCTACCAAAGAAATCTATCTAGCTGCAAGGAGTAGGCCCGGGGTCAACTTTGAACAACTGGGTCATCATTTGAAACTGGGAACTTATGCTGCATACTGATGGGAGATCCACTCCACCCAGAACGATCCGCTTGTCAGTGTGTCGTATTCTAGCGTTCCTTGTCACTGCGTCGATGAAGCTTCTGGCGTCTCTTGCTCGAGGTTTCGCAACTCTGAATTGGTATCTAGCTATAACTCAGGGGTATTCGCAAGGGTGTTCGTCCAGATCGCTCCGCAATGCTAAGTTATTCCAACCCGCATAACCATAGGTTCCATCTCCATCATAATCGTACAATCGGACCATCGCGACCCACGCCTCACTCGATCGCCTCCGTCTCCCGGATCCCAGTTTCATCTATCTCGACACCTCCTCCTTCTGCAAATCCACCTCGACTCCCCGTTGCCGGGTCTTCCCCTCATCATGCCGCCTGTTCGCCTCCGCCTGTGATTCCCGATTCCCTGTTAGCCCTGCTACTGCGCCGCCCACCGTACCGCCCACGCGGTCCCCGATGCCCTGCCCCAGATCGCGCATCTGCCCCTCGGCCTCCTGGCCCTGGCCCTCCTTGTTCTGGCGGATACCCTCGTTCTTCAAGCCCTCGGCACCGACCAGGCCGCCGACCGCCTGCTTGCTGGCGCCCACGGTCTGGTTCCAGGAGCCGGCGGTGCGGTCGTGGTCATCTTTGGTAGCGCCGGTGGAGGAGACGGTGTAGGGGCCGGCTTTGGCGGCGGTGTGGGAGAGGTCGTGGCGGGCATCGGATTCGCCTTTGTATTGATCTGCTTTGGTCTGATCCCCGGGGTTGCCGGTTAATTTTCCGAGGAGCGATTGACCTGTGCCCTTCACTTGGTCCACGTAGGACTGGGGGGTAGATGTGTTCTTGTCCGTCATGATGTTGGTTGGTTTGGTTTGAATTGGTGTTTGGAAAGGATGACTTTGAATATGAGATTCAGACAATTGATTGATAGGATTTATAGGATTGACAGGATTGATAGGACTGAAGAATTGAAGAATTGTAGGAGCGAAGGTTGATCCTTTTATGCGCGATACCACAGCAGTATCTAGACACCTCAATGAGCCGATGACGTCAGGTATGACCTTCCCCCGGTGGGCTGGCCAGACCATTGGTGGCTAATCCATTGGGAGAGCAGGGTCTCAAAGTGACTGCACGTGACCGAAATGGAGAGCCAGAATCACATGTGCCCTTCGCAATCACGTGTTTGATCCTTGTCTGGCCCACAATTCAGGATGGCGTTGTTGCAGCTCCACCACGTGCAACTGAGAGTCGATCCTCGTAACAGAACAGCCACCAAATACGGACAGAAAAGAATATGGACAGGTAGAGCAATGGTGCAGCTGCGAAAGACTCGAGGTTGAAGCCCGATATTCTGGCACAGATGGATGCTTCGAAACGGAAACCTAAGCTCTACAATTAGGCCCAGCTTGTTCCTCGTGGTGCCACCGCTTAATTCCTGTATTCCGTAAATGGCGCATCAGATGGGACCCGCGCGGGGTGTGAGATCATTCAAGTTCCAACTTCCAAGGCAGGGGTTGCGCTTCTCGATACTGCGTCGCCTTCTCTCCCGGATTCCACCATTCCGAACAACCTTGACCTTCAGATGAGAAATATGAATGTGTCGTCATAACTTACCTATCGGAATAACCAGGGTAGAATCAAAACAAGCCATCGCACTAGTGCTGGATGACAAGAAATCGATCCTGCATCCCGACCGCCGAGCGTGATCTCGAGGTGGACTGCAAGTATGGGCTACGATTCGCAAATATCCTTTACTTTGGACACAATATGTCCCTGGTCAGTGTAACTCCGCTGAGCGCCGCGCCGATACTGCGTGCTGAAAAGCTTAGGACATACCTCGCCAAAAAACGTCTGGACGCGGCTTTGGATCAGTATCGCACCGCTCATCCCGACTCATCAGTCCGGTTTAGTGTGAAATACCTCCCATTTCAACTCTATCCGGAAGTATCGAAGGAAGGTGAAGGCAAGTACGAGTGGTACAAACGGTCCAAATATGGCGATTCAGACGAGAAGATGCGGATGTATACCACTATCATGAGTGCGTATGGACGGAGCGTCGGGATCGACTTCAAGTTTGGAGGCACCGTCGCCAATACTCTGGATGCCCACCGTTTAATACAACGGTACCAAGAGGTCCGAGGGCCTGACTGTGCGGACAAACTAATCAATAGTATTTCCCTCTACCGCAACATTAAGCTCCCTCCCTGATAACTGGATTAGCTTTGTACATGCTGTATTTCGAGAACGAGGAGCATCCTAGCTCCCTGGACACCCTCCTCAAGGCAGCGAAGGAAGCGGGGATACCGGAGGATGAAGCGAAGGCGTTCCTTGAAGATGAGTCCGAAGGTCTCCAAGAGGTCAAGAAGTTGATGCAGGAACAGGCGAGGAATGGAACGGATGCAGTGCCAACTGTCGTGTTTGAAGGTTCGTTCTCTCAAGGTTGCCAGGCTAGACTCGGGCACATGGCTTACCAAGCGCAGGCAGAAAGCGCGACTTCACGCTGGTTGGCGCAAAGGAAGTTCAGGAATATTTCAAGACGATGGAGCAGGTCGCAAAAGAAGCTTGAGATAATATGCTTGATATAGCAAGAATCGATGATTCAACGCAGGCTGATGCGAATCATGAACAGGTATATAAGAACCGCGCACTTCCCTCGCTGGCACTGAAGGTGGGGGAGTGTTCGTGGATATGAAGACGCCATTCCATGTCTCCACCATTTCTCAATGGCCGATATAAATCTCATAGATATATCATGTATAGGTGTAGAATGATGGCTTCCTGTACTCTGCTGTCGTCGTGGCTTGAAGCAAGAAGTATCAAATAAGGCTATGAACTAAGCCTATTTTGGTTAGTGTGTCGGATATGCAAGGGTCTCGAATCGCATATCGTGTCCTGAACCCTGAGGGACTTCAGTCCTCCAACACAACTCAACGACTGTCCTTTACGCGAACGCAGATGAGAAGCAGGAGTTGGAAATTGAAAGGCCTCAATCAGAAATGATGATCCAAATACCGTCCTAAAACAATTTCTTACTCCACCGGCGCTATTTGTGTTGTAGTATCCGCCCAGGCGATGTACCCTCGCTTTCACCATGAACGGATTCGCGGACCACGGCCTTAGTGCGTCCGACTTCGAGACGCCAAAAGGAGGCTTCGCGACATTTGACGCCTTCCGTAAGTCCTTACCGAACCTGGTGGCTGCCATTATGCCGCAATGAGCAATGAGCAATGAGAACCGAAGAGAGTCTAATATGCAACCGCAGCAAAAACAAAAGCCACCTATTTAACCCGAACACGGACCGGTTCAGCATGGACTCTGCTCTTGATCGTCACGACCGTCTACCTATGCATCACCGAAATCCGCCGCTGGGTTGACGGGACCATTTCGCACAACTTCTCCGTCGAGAAGGGCATCGGCCACCAGCTCCAAATGAACCTCGACATCATCATGGCCATGAAGTGTGAGGACCTCCGCATCAACGTGCAAGATGCCAGCGGGGATCGCATCCTGGCGGGCGAGATGCTACAGATGGACCCCACCAAGTGGCTGCAGTGGGGCGGAGGGAAGCAGAGGAAGCAGGTTCATAAGTTGGGAGAGTCGGAGGACAGGGACTCGATATATGGCCTCGGGGAGGATGAGGACGTTCACGACTACTTGTCGATGGCAAGAGGGAGGAGCCGATTCCCACGCACGCCGAAGGTGAAAGGCGAGGCGGACGCCTGTCGGATCTACGGAAGCTTCGACGAGAACAAGGTGCAAGGGGACTTCCACATCATGGCAAGAGGTCACGGATACCGGGAGTTTGGCGATCATCTAGATCATGGCCGTGAGTTCTTAAGGTATCCCCGATGGTTCGCAGAATGCTGACACCTTCATTCGCAGTCTTCAACTTCTCTCATCAAGTCAATGAATTGTCCTTCGGTCCGTATTACCCGAACCTGGTCAACCCCATGGATAAGACCATCGCCACCACCGAATTCCACTTCTACAAGTTCCAATACTATCTCTCCATCGTCCCCACCATTTACACGACCAACTCGCGGAACCTCGCAAAACTCCCGCAAAACTCCCACAACCCATACATTACCTCCGCGTCCGACACCGTCGTCACCAATCAATACGCCGTCACCGAACAAAGCCACCCGGTCGGCGAGGCGAACGTCCCCGGGATCTTCTTCAAATACGACATCGAGCCCATCCTTCTGCTGGTGAGCGAAGAGTCGAGCAGCTTATTTGCCCTCCTAGTGCGCCTGGTCAACGTGGTGTCCGGCGTCATGGTCGCGCTGAACTGGTGCTCCCTGCTGAGTGATTGGGTAGCCGATGTGCTGGGGCGGAGGCAGAAACGCGAAAGCCTGGGCATGCTGCACGGGCGGACGCAAAGTCTGGATAAGAAATTTCGGTACGACTAGCAGGGTGCATGCATGACATAAGACCTTGGACTTGTAAATGGCCTGGAGATGACTTGCATTTAACGGCGTTGGCAATTTTAGAGACTTCAATTTTTACGCGGGATGTTTTTTATGACCGTTAAACGCCCCCCCTATGCATTTTTCTTGCGAACTGACCATTCGTTCCGAGTAATCCAAGTCAGGAATGTTCGATCAATACGTTCCGGATTTCTCTTCTTCGATTGTGCTGTCTACGCCTGTCCCGGTCATTCCCTGCTGCTTCTCGTACCCCTCATCGTGCGCTCTGCGCATTTGCACCCTGAATTACCCCGAGTGCATAACGTCCCGGGCCACTATCTCTTCCCCTCGCCATCGCCCTCATTCAGAAACCCCCAGCCAGTCCGACTCTCCTGTCCTCTCCGCGCTTGAGAGTCCGGCGCCGCGTTCAACTTCATCGCGGAGTGCGTATCCGTGACGTTGCTAGTGGTGCCGTGTGCGGACTGTTTCATCGCGGATGCCGATTGGCCGGCCGCGAAGCCGCCGCCGGACTGGAGGGACTCGGATGCGAGGGAGTCGGAGAGCACTTCGCCGGTGGGTTCGGAATTAGGGGCGTGGGATTTCGGGTCCGTGGAGACCTGGTCGGGATGTCAGACTGCGGTACTTGCATCAAAGAGTGGTGGTATGGGAGAGCGGTGGGTCTGTGGGAGGTTCGTCGAGCATACCTTGGTTCCTGCGGATGACGGCATCTTGAAATTTGTCGATCGGATGGTGGAGGAGGGATATAGGCGGATTTGGATATGGGATACTTCAGTCAGTTCTTAAGTTAAACTCGACATGCTCCGGTGTTGCAATAGAGGCGTGTAGACATTCATCCCATCTGACCTATTTCGACCCTGCGATGACATCACCTTGAAATCACAACCCGTTTTGGGGGCGTGAAGGATGCTGATCAAAACACAAGACATTTTCGTGAAGTGTACATTTTCAATTGGATTGTAGTCTCGCTATATCCTGAATTTTATGCCTTACACTTCTCAATGGCGCAAGCAAGCGATAAATGCTGCCCGATAAAATCTCACTCCTCCCACTGACATCCTATTTCGTCGTCTGAGACAAGCCAGCGGCATCCTTCTTGTCCCTCGTCACCGCATCGTTTGGAATGCCGTCCAAGTTATCCTTCGCCACGCGTCCGACGTTGCTTCCAGCCGTGTGCTTCATGGTCTCTGAACTGTCTTCTCTTACGTCACTGCCCGCTGTGGCGGGCCCTCTCAATGTGTCACCGCCCTGTCCCGATGCTGAGATGTCGGATTCGACACGACCCGAGCCAACGTTGACAGTGCTGGAGTCGGAAGAGTTCCAGTCGGATTCAACGGGGGGTTTATCGGGGAGCGGGAGGTTGGATTGACGTTGGTTGATGGTGTCTCCTGAGGCAGGCATATTGATGATATGTAGAATCGGAAAGCTATGCTGAGATGGGAGTTAGTAGAGGAGTACAATGGAGCCTGGGGCAAGAACTTACCGACAGTCTGTGTATGTTCTGAATAATGATATACTTCTTGCTTATGCGGCTTGGAGAAGGGAGAGGCACTGGGAGACATTTATATCGTCAGTCAGTGGACGCAACTGGGGCGGCCCCACCGAGTGACGTCAATATCACTGACCTCAGAGACAGCTGGTCCGATACAGGGACTAGAATCGTCAGACCCCACAGTGCAAGTGTCCAACTCTATTGCAACCTACACCGAACATCAGTGTACATACGGTCATCACTAATCGGAGGAACTCAATCAAGGATTTCCCCTGGGTATCCTGATCGTCCGCTGCACCTCGTACGCTGGGAGGCTACCGCTTTCGTCATGATCGTGCCAGGAATTCACCATGCTCTCATAATCCATAGATGATCGTCCATGTTTATTTACGGGGAAGGACAGGGTGGAGCGGTAAATAGGTGTAGATAATTGCCATTCGTCGTATGTACGTGTCGATCAAATCCTGCTCCAGCCTCCAATGCTCGCTCAAAAAACAATACGAATCGTAACAGCCGCAAGCCAAAAAGCCTTCAATGTGTATTTTAGTCCTTGTCCCGTAAATGCTGCGCAGTCAATCAGGTATCATTGCCCGCTCCAGACTTGGGCCAGCCAATCCCGAAATCGCAGCGGGTGAATCTCAGGGAATCTCCGATTCAAACTCCGGTCGGTGACGTCGTACCGTCCTTCGATGGTCGCGACATGATCGTGCGCTCGCAGCAGCCGCTCCCCATCGTCCTCATATTCCGCCATCACAATCTCGGAGCGGAGCGAATTGATATCGTGCCATTGTACGGATGCGCTCGGAAACCCTACATTGATTATCAGGTAAGTCAACTCGTTACCGACATCGCGATGGGGATCCACTCACCCTTGACTTCCGCTGCTAGTTGGGTAAGCTGGTACACGGTCATCTTCTCGCCATACATGGTCAGTTGGGCGGGCCACGACGGCATGTCGAGTGCCCGCACCACGAATTGTGCTACGTCCCGCATGGCAGTGAGACAGATGATGACATTGGTTCGGCCTTGCGGATCATAAATCGGCGCTTGGACCCGCATGTCCCGCATGTTCATGATGTAGTCGCCCTCGCCCGCGAGGCCAAATTCCAGTCCGATCTGGTACGCCGCGAGGCCGCCCGGCGCGAATCGCTCGTAGAAAACCCCACACGCGAAGGTCGTCGACTCGAGCTCGCGTCGGTAATGCTGCAGCCAGGTGAGCGCGGCCGTCTTGTCTCGGTCGAGAGCGTCATTCGCGCGCCGATTCGACGGCAATCCTTCAAACTCCGCCGGAGCAAATCGTCGGACACCGGTCTGAACCGCAGCTTGAATCAGTTGTAATTGTGGAGGACCGGTGACCGTGGATATCACGGTGTGCACTCCAGTCAGGGCATGTTTCACTGAAGTGTCGTCGTCGTAGTCAACGAGAAGAACTTCGAAGCCGTGAGATTTTAGTTGCGGTTGCTCCTATACGCATCGCATCAGCCAACACTTTCCACATTCATACGGTAATCCCAAATATCTCTCAGAAGTTCCACAGTGAACTGCCAAGCTCGCTGAAGCAAGGCCGTATCAGTCGCACGGCGAAATATGGGATGTCGCCATTATCCTGGGCCTCCAGTGCCAAAGCCACGTTCGGCAGCAGTTGGCGAGGCCATTCAACACAGGAACTCCCGCACCTCGTAAGGTGTCCTGCCAAGGGGCCACGCAGCCACGGAACAATCGGGGGTAAAACGTACAAATCGAGATAGGATGATGAGTTGATGGCTCGTCATCTCCTTCACATAGGAAGCGATTAACAAAGCAAGCGAATTGGTCCCGGCAATAACAACCCTCATGACGGCAGCTTTCTTTGAAGACCTGGGCATCCTTGATCAAGGCTGTTCTCGGGGCGTAATTGGGGATATGAAGGGGATAGCCAAAAGCACTGAATTTATTGCGGATTCGAGGGCCGTGGACTAAAACATAAAACTGTATATGAACTTCCCGAACGGCGACTCTAGGCTGGGGGTTAAAGAAGATTCTGCAAATGAAATATACAATAGAGTTACAAGATTTGTCAGGAACAAATTCGAAGGCAACGATGGATGTGAAAGATAAGACTTATATTTCAGGTTTTCTGCGCAATGAGAGACGCGATATACGACAGCAACGGGCGACGCTATTCTAGAACATGATTCGGGCTAGAACGTAGGTTCAATGTACCAGCCACAGAAAGGGGCCACGGCATGCGAAGCCTCATTACGCCGAAACTTCAACTGGAATAGAGTGTACTCATCATCGCTCATTGCTTACGGCCATATTGAGCGAAGGTTGCGAATGGTACGACCGGCTCGATTGACTGTCGCACGGGCAGAAGAGATGGCCACCGGAAGGAAGCTAGTCTGGGATACCAACTGGATGGATGATCTGCTGCACCGACGCCATTAGCTCTGCCCGATCGATGAACCACGCCAGGGCAACTCCGAGATAGCGTTATGGATCCCCCTGGCGTTCAATCGGACCGTTCAGCCCTACGGCTGGAGCCTAGATGCGTCTGCACGTCCGACCTATTAGGTCATGAACCGTCAGTTGTTACAGAAACACACCAGGCATCAACACTCCGCAGATTCGTTGGCGTGCGAGGCTTATGAGGCGGTCGAACTCTCTATCCGACCAAGGGATTACAGACAGGAATGGGCCTGTTCCGGACGAAAAAGATATTGGAAATCAAATGCCAAAGACCATTTTCGAGGCGCCACCACGGTTGTCAGGCCGCAAGTTGACAGCGACGCGCACGACGGCGACAGATATCTCTAAAGAAAGAAGCGGTCGCACCATGTTCGCCGGCATGGAGTGGCCATTGGTGCATGGACCGATCGCTCCATTCCCCGTTCCCGTCCGAGCGCCGTAAGCCGCTAAACACGAGGGGAGGTTGTATCGTGGATTTCCAACATCGTGGGGTTATGGTGATGGCTGCGGAGTTTTTGGGCTGTTTGGTGGCAAGCACGGCTCCCTCCGGAGCAGAAGCCTCGCGAAAGTCGCCAGCCATCCCTCAATGAGGATCTATGGAAATCCATGGTGCGATGAATATGCTCCTAAAGTTCGGGCCTGAGCGACGCAACATGACGAATATTTCGAGGTTGAGCAACTTGGTCGTTGAAATAGAAACGGGCGGTGCGCGATGTGGTTGCAATTGGATATTCAAGGCGTCAAGGCGCCAAGGGGGCCGTCCGAAGACCGAACTCCGAAGGATTTCACATCAAGGATGAGGTCGTCCAGACTCCGTCCCCACTTGAGCCGCGTTGAGCCTCATATCTGAGTAAGGTAAGGCAGAATTCGTGTCTGCCTACTTGACCTTTCTGGGGTTTCTTGCGGGGTGCCAACAGTCGACATAGTTATGCATCTGATGAGTGTGGTGGTGGCGTTGTTTAGGAGCCGCAGAGCCTCCACAGAAGAGTAAAGCAACAAGCGGTGACGTCGAATGTGTGGCGCAGTGTAAGCCGCCACACATCCCTGTTAGGAGGTCTTGCACGTGTGGGATGATGATCATGGACGGAGTAGTTACAGTAGAGATGTGCACTTCTATCGTGGAGGAGTTAGGACTTAGGAGGCTTCAACCTCCCGTCGCAGCACCGCAGCCAGATTCCTTGACTGCCCGGTCTACAGTGCAATTAGGTCATCAAGTCAGCCTTGGTGTGGCTTCACGCTGCTGCTTGAAACTCCAAGCATGTCCTGATGCTAGTATACACGGCTGCATCTATATGGGCCGGACGGTGTGGAGGAGAAACCCACGGTGGTCGCGAAATCCTCAAGGTACCAGACCCTGGGCTCGCATATCATCGTGTGAATGAACCGAACCTCCGCAAGACTACCCCTTCGGGTTTGAGGGACGGCCGAATCAAGGATTACAAATGGATGGCTTACAAAAACTAATGCAACGAGAGAGGAAGGTTGGCGATTAAGTATTCGTCCAGGGATATTATCTCGGGCAACTCCGTCGGTGATAAGGCACATCCTCACAATGTATCGTGGAACGAGCCCCGGCCCCGGCCTACCCTGAGCCACAGACTGACCATCTTACTTGACCCTGTCCTGCGGATGGGAATGTCTTGATACATTGACCGACGCCCCGAGCCGCCCACGGTCTACCCGACTCTGACTATCGTGTTTGCCGGTCCTATAGATAAGAATCTTATGTCCATTGACCAGCGCCCCCAGCCGCATACTTGATTCTTAAACCGAGACCCGCACATGCTGGGACATGGTCCACTCGAGTCGATCCATCAGGCAACGATCATCGTGACCTGTCGGCGAGCAATTCGAAGGTTGAATTGGTCAGAAACCCGCCTTCTGCCTCTTTTTCACCGGCCGTCCCTTGTCCGATTCGATCGATGCGTTCGACTTGTTTCGCTTCAAGGCCATCCATCCCTCCTCCTCTGCCTCTCCCGTCGCGCCCTTCGCACCTGTCCCCGGCCTAGAATCGCCCGTATCCGAACCCCCAGGCATGCCCACGCCTTCGTCCCCATCATGCCGGAATTTCGCCCGCTTTCCCCTACTTTTGCCCATGCGTAAATCCATCACGCCGCCTTCCACCTCCGCGATGGAATCCTGCGACCGTCGCTTCCGTTTGTTGCGCTTCCGCTTGGTGTTGGGGGACATGGTTCGTTCGCGACGCCGTTCGGCGCGGCGGATCGCTTGCGCGCGGAGGCGGACTTCCACTTCGGCGGTGATGTCGTCGTACTCGACCGGGACGGTGTTGCTCTCTTCGGTGGATGGTTTAAGGCGCTTCGAAGGAGAGAGCTCGATCACGCTGTTTTCTAGAGAGCGTTTCACGGGGGTATCCGGTATGTGAGCTCCGGGAGCTGTAGCCAGCCGTACTTTGTGGGTTCTCGTCGCATCGTCCTCCGGACTATTGCCACTCTCGTTTCGCTGATCGAAGGTCAACATGCGAGCCGGAGGGCAGGTCATGACACTTACCAGCTCTGCTTTGACCAGCCTTGCCTGGTCGAGCAATCGCGTGGATATGTCTAGCATTCCCTGTATGCGTCCGCGGAACACGCTCGAAGCATCATTGGCCAGGTCGGGATGTTGGACGATTTGGCTGATGATGATTTGGTGGCTTGTCAGATTGACCAGATGCAGGTCGAGCAACTGCGTCAAGTAAGTATCCTGCACTACGATTCCAGGACGACCAGATATGAGTGCTTACACTCTCCCATGCAGAGCTCTGCATGCTTGCACTTCGCCAGCCTTTTGCATCGATGTTTGATAGGGATGCTTGGAGCGTCTCCGCTCGTTGGAGGCGTTCGGCCCAGGTTTCTGGCTCTGCCATGGTGGATGTAATGCACGTTGTATCGTATAACTCAGAAAATGTCTAGGTGTTGAATGCTGCGTGTGGACATTACAAAGGTGGTAATATCACCGTCATCGGGAGTTGTTAATTGAGTGTTTATTTGCGTTGTTCGTTGCCGGGTGCAGTTGATGTTAAGTGTTTGTACGATCGATACCCATGCACATGGAACCCCAGGGTAATTAGAGGGTTGCCACTTGCACGCGTAAGTGGGCATTCCAGACTCCAGTTCACAGCGCAACTATTCCATGGTGGTTCACTGCATCAACACTCCGGTATACTCTGTACAGAGTTGAATAATACTTAGATACATACATTTATCCTTAAGCCGCATCCACAAGTGCTTTTCTCAGTCACTATAAGACCCGTTCCGACTCTATTTATCCATTGAAACCACACGTTTCAATGACCCCTTGAGTCTCCACCACAACTTTTCTTGCAGTTGTGTTGTAGAGATATATCAACAATTGCCTTATCGATAACTTGTATGACTGCCGGTGACACGCCCACGGTTATTTCCCATCCGTACGACCCCCATGTTCCAGAACGTCGCATTTTCCCCACGTTTGACCTGCCACCATCGTACACACCCGAGCCGGACCTCCCGTGAAAACAACGCAAAGGTGTATAGCATAGTCTGCCATCAACCGAAGTGAAAGGACTGGGAATTGGGAGAAGGATGAGTCGCTTGCTACGATGTAAAATCGGCCAGACGCGATAGAAACGGACAACTGAGATGGTCCAGGAAAAGAGGAGAACCCGTTGACCGCAGCGGGTATGAGCCGTGATATTCCTTCCACCCCTCATCATCGTTCATCGTTCATCATAACAAGGAGGAGATATGGGGTCGTAGAAGTCGATCAACGCAAACTAGGAGACAAGGGCACAGATCGTAAGCTAAATCACGGGAATGCATAAATATGACACGATGCAATCATCCACTGACCGGCATCTTCGGGCGAGAAATGGAACCAGCAACGATAGGGGAGAACGTTCAGTCAATACTCCTTATGGAAGCGAACAAAGTACGAAGGATATTCCAAGCGTGGTAACCCGATCCCCGTGAACGATGCGACGCGCAGGGGGTTGGAAGAGAAGGCAGCGAGAGAAATCAAAGGAAAGGGGAGATGGAAATCGGGGAACCTCGATCTCGATCGCTCAGCCGCAGCACCAAAGCACGCCGAGAATCGAAATCGAGATCCCCTCCTCCGGCCGGTCAACCCGATCCAGCACGAAAATCAGACCGGTAACCCAAAACGAACCGAGACGAGGAAAAATATGTGGGAGATGTGTAAAAGTTAAGGAAAACCCTTTTTGTGACCCCGCCCGAGTTTTTCATGCTACAAACTTTCCCCGTACCGAAATGATGGCGACGTTTTCGAAACTCCTAATTAGAACCAGTTATCCTTGATACCCCCCGAACCCGTTGCCCGGGAACGCGCCAGGATTCGGCCCCGGCGGCTGCGCCCATTGTGCTTGTCCCTGGTTCCCACGCCCGTAGCCGCCGGCGCTCGCTGGCATCTGAGGGTACGGTTGGCCCATGGCTGGTGGAGAGAATCCAGCTTGGCCTTGCTGGAAAGGTTGGCCAGCCGGATTAGGACCTAGAGATTCTCAGTTAGCGACAAAGTTCCAAATATATGCGCAGCGAGAAATCAAATGCATCAAGTGACAAGAAGAAGCTGGTGGAAACCTCAAGAGGTGGTGTTGCAGATTAGTACATGCCCGAGACTAAAGGGATGCCGAATGCGGAGGGGTCCAGGTGCGGCATTTAGTGACTCTGTGATGTCCAGGATTGGCATAGGGAGCAGATGGGGATGATGAATAGCGCCTCTGGTTGCCGTTGCCGTGTGGCCTGTTGTAGGGTTTCCTCTGATATGGGTGGAATTCACCTTGGCCAGTCCACTTGCGCTTCCTCGGCTGATACTCATTTTGGGATGGGGGGGAGGGTGTGTCATCCGAAGCGCCAGGGTGTGCCTTGGGTTTCCTGGGAAGTGTATGATGCGTTCGGTTACCTTGGTGCCCGGCCTGGACTGGGTAGTCGGGTTCATAGAACTCATCCTGGCAACCATCGCTAGTTTTCGAACAGAGGGTTACTGCATCCCCATTGTACCCTGGATCAGTTGAGCAATCCTGCATCTCTGTGTCCTCAGATGCATGCGAATACTGCTGACCGTGCTGATTTCGAGAGGAACGTCCCTCTGACGATCCTGCGGAATCCATACGGGGCCCTCCGTTTCGACCAGGGGATGATTGCCGACCGTCTGGATGATAGTGGGACGCAGGTGGAGAAGCAGCGCAATGAGACTTGGAAGGAGGTGGCGGGTAATGAGAGTTGTATGTACCTTGAGGAGACATCGGGCCGGGTGGACCGCCGTACTGGGGGAAGTACGCACTGGGGGTCTGCGGGAATGCCGAGTTGGGGCCTTGCGCAGGCGAATAGGTTTCAAACTGTCCGGTAGGAGGACGATCTTTGCCCCACTGAAAGTTGTCAGGTGTGAAAGGATCCATTAGCCGGGAGTGTCAACTTACGCTGCACTTGAGGGGCCTGCCGTTCACTTGATACCCGTTGAGCTGGCAGATAGCCATTGCTGCATTCTCATGGGTATCCATCTTGATGAAAGCGAAGCCACGATCGGACTGGAAGCGAGTCTCGACTACGTATCCAAAATTCTGAAACAAGGGAACGAGATCCTGCTGAGAAGTGTACGGAGTCAGATTGCCGACGTAGCACGTGGTCTGCCATTGAGGAGTCTGCTGAACGATCATTTCGTAGCTTTGCATGCCGTTCGTTGGGAAATGATGATGTCCATAAGGAGTGGTTGGCGTCATCCCCATCGAAGCCATCGCCTGCTGTTGGGACATGGACGGCTGGCCTTTTTGATTCGCCCAGTTGCAGCGAATCGCGCGGGAACCAAGCCACTCCCCGTCCATCGAGTTGAGAGCCTTGTCCGCATCGGAACGATCGCGGAAAGCGACGAAACCATAGCCACGAGAGCGGCCGGTTTTCATGTCCCACATGACACGGGCTTCGGAAACGTTCCCAAACGCCGAGAAGGCTTGGGTTAGAATCTCATCATTGACCTCATTGGACAAATCGCCGACGAAAATGTGGAAGTGGCTCGACGTATCTTCCTTGTTGGAGCTGTTCGATTGATAGGCCCAGTTGACGCGAATTTCCTAAACGTTGTGAGCAACCGCTGATATTCAAGATAAAAAGCCCACATACCGATTGATGGATGCGACGACCGTTGAGAGTTTGCATGGAACGTTCTGCCGCGCCCGGGTCGTCGAATTCGATAAACCCATAGTTGAACCCCTTGGATTGATAGTTCTTGTCCGGGATGATCTTGACGCTTTGAACGTGACCAGCCGTCTCGAAGATCTGACGAAGGACTTCCTCGGTCACACGCGGGTCGAGACCACCGACGTATAGCGCACGCTTGTTGGGCTCCGGAGCCGCGCGGCGGACGTAGCCACCGGCGCTGGCAGGGGACATGACGTTCCCGGACATCGGGGAGCTGATCGCGGTAGGGATCGGATTGGTGTTCTGCGGGATGATGACCGGGGCAAGAGCCGGCGGGGGCATATGCGAATTCCCACCTTGTCCATTGCCCGGCACCGTACCCGGAGGGGCATTGTTGTCGTAGCCCGGCGCTCCGGTCGAGGGAGGGGGTGGGAGGCTAGCAGAGGGATTCGACTCAGACATTGCTGAAGATAATGCTCGACGAGCTATTTCGGTTGACTTTGATGCCCTAAGAGATGCTTTCGCAGCGAAAGGAAATTACGGGCCTGACGACAGCTCGATGGCACGGCAAGAAAAGTCGCGTTTCGATATGAAAGCGGACTGCAGTAGACAGACCGGCCGGTGATGTTCAAATAAAGCGCTCAAAGCTGGACAACAGCAAGGAAAGGCCGAAGGGATGTCGAGAGCGATGAAGAACTGCAAGGCGGTTGAATCTATGGCAGGCGGAGGAAAGAATGAGCGCTCCGAGATCATCATGATGGAACCGAAAGGAAGTCTACTGTACTCACCGACAAGTAACCAAAGCTCCCGTCCGATGGAAAGGGAATCGGTCTTAGACTGAGGCCAACCGTATCGCTTGGCGAAGGAAAATCGAAGGAGACGGAACTGAAACCCTGAGGAAGTGGAAACAGCACGAAGGAGATGGAGAGAGGAAAGGAGATATGATAGAAGTATTGGTCGCTCTGCAGGCTTAAAAACCGCCGACCGATAGGAGAAGGAGGAGGGAGAAGACGTCAAGAAATGAAGACAGAGTGGAAGGAATACTTGAAAGTTGAAAGGGGGTGGGAATGGAGATGGAAAGAGAAAGGAAAAAGAAAGGTGAACAGAGCAGCGGATGGAGAGGGTGAAGTGGAGAGAGTGAGGAGGAGGAGTAGTAGTGAGGAGAACGGAGGATGAGGAGAATGAGGAGAATAAGGTGAGTGAAGTGTGATGGAGAGAGAGAGCGGCGCAAATTATGGCGTTGCACCGTGCATGGGTAGAGGTCACTGGCGGTGTTCAGGGTGCTGGTTACTGGTGGTGCTGCCCCGACGGTCTGGGTCAGTCGCTGCGTCTCCGGGGCTCTGGAGAGGTTTCTGGCCCTTCTGCCGCGCTGCAAGTGATTAGTTTTCTACGGAATACTACTGTTGGTTACAGAACTGGCAGAACCGTAGAACCGGAGTGCAGGACCGTCCGGCTGGCGGGCCGTAGCCAACCTGCAGTAGATAGGACTAAACTAGCGATAATAGAGCCTAGAGCCCTGGTAGGGGAGGCTGGGGAGGGTATTGGCACTATTGGGTAACCGGTGAGAGATACAGGAGGGGGGATGGTTCACTGTTAGCAGCTGTTCCGGCGCCAAACCCCTCGCCTGTCACTGCGACAAATTCAACGTCGGCTAAGGGTTGATTGGATGGTATGCCAGTCGAGCGAGGAGGCGTTGGGCGGATATCAGATTTCAGAGCCGCCCATGCACATTGCAGAACAAGGTCATGAAGGAATATTAAGGAATAGCTAAAGATTCATCAAGAAATGGAACCCTTTCATCGAATTATTAGCGACGCTGCGGAATACCGCAACAATAATGAAAGGCCCAGTATCAAGTCGAGTACAATACTTAAATAGTAGGACCCATATAAATTCACCGCAACCTTAAGCCTCTCATGATACAATGCGGTACTCACGGTAATACAGATTACTATATATAACCATAGCAAGAATTAGGAAAGAGCCCTCCTTGGTTAGATCATGACAGTGGATGCTGACAATACGAACTCCTGCCCGGTACGGAGTACAGGATATATACTGGCAGTCCAGTCAGGTAGTACGGACCTCCTGTGGAGTCGTGATACTTTGCTAGGTACGGAATACTATTATTCTTTATGTAAGGTACCAGTTTGCTATCAGATTACTATCAATTTGCTCTCCATAGAAAACTGCTCTTCTATGATTAATCTATACATGCGGATACACGTCCATCGTGATCTATCAACATTCAATTTACATTCTTCCTGTAGTGAGTGAGTTACACTGAAACGTATTCCGTAGGTACCCACCCCTTCCCGTCCTCCCCACCAACCAGCCCCGAACCCAGATGAACCAATGAACGGGCACCAATCACCCAACGCGATCATGACCACACCCGCTCCCATCACTTCACTGCTCCCATTACCATCGCCGCGCAAATATGATCCGCCATCTAACCCCCCCACTTAGTCCCTCCATCTTCCCTCCATCCAAGACATCCATCGCCTCTCCCTTCTCAATCGCTGCTCCGACTCCAGCTCTCCATCATGTCCATGGCCATGCCGCCGCAGCCCCAAGTTCGCGCGCATCCCGGCCCGCAGCAGGCCCAGCAACCGCAACCGCGCCAGGGAAATGCCACCCGGCCGCCCGGTGATGCGCAACCAACGCGCGCACCCCAACATCCCACAGAAAGGCTTCAAGGAATGGTCAATTTGATGGTGCGGCTCAACCTTTCATATCTGCAATACCAAGTACGCAGTGGCTAACAGGTTCTCATCAGCTCGTCCAAACCGGTCGCATCTTTTCGGACCCTTCCAAGCGACGCGGACACGGCGCAACCGTGACGCGGCAGCAACTCATGCAGATTTTCCCCGAGGCGGAATCGAACTTCCACAATGCGCTCGATGAGCTCGATGCGGACTTGCAGCGGAGCCAGGCCGTGCTGCGGCGCGATCTGGCGCTGGCGCGAGAGCGGAGGCGGAAGAAGGAGGAGGAGGCCCAGCAGCTCGACCGAAGCGCGAAAGCGAATGCCGACGTTGATGCGAAAGTGGTGAAGAAGGAGGACGTCCAGATGGCCGATGCGCCTCCCCCAGCGAGCGCGACAACCGGCGAGAAAAAGCCCGATGCCGTCGCCAACGTCAACGGCGGCGCGGACGCACGCAACAAGGCGAAAGTGCCGGCGGAAATGCCCACGAAGACGTCACCCAAGGGATCATCCACATCCGCCATCCCCAAAAACCCCAACCCCACCACCGCCACAACTTCCGCCCCCACCTCCGCCCCATCACCCAGCAAAGCTGCCTTCGCCTCCATCGACTTCGAGTCCATCGACTCCCTCTTCGCCTCCCACCCAGGAAGCCCGTCCGCGCCGCTTCCCGCCGCCTCGCCACAACCTCATATTCCCCCCGCGTCTCCCACCGGCATCCTCGACAACCCCATGCCCCCCGCGACCATGAACCCCGTCGACGACCTCGACTTCACCATCCCCGGAACCGGCGACGCAGGCGAGGACTCCGGCCTCCTCGCGGGCCTGGATACGTACGCCAACATCGAAGGACCCGGCGGCGCGGACCTGCCCCTGCTCTCCGCCGCTCCACCGGCACCAGACGCACAGAAACCGAAGCTCGCGGATGGCGACGATGTGGCGATGGGCGGGTTGGGAGATTTCGGGAACGTCGACGGGGAGGGGAACGAGGATTCCGTGATGGGCGGACAGACGTTGGACGATCTCTTTAACTCGTTGGACGATCTGATCGGGGACTCGGGAACGGGCGAGGGAGACGCGGATGGGGACGTGAATTTCGATTTCGACTTTACTTGAGCGGGGGGTGCGGATGGCACGGGATTGGTGACCATCGCATGGAGGATACGATCACCATCGGGTTGTGGAGCGACAAAATCGTGGCGTATACCAGGTTTGTCCCGCGATCTTACGCACTTATGATGAGAGCACTGGGCGTTCGGATGTCTTTTCTGTCAGGACGGTTTGTTGGAGACAGCCATTCCCACCATACCCGTTGTTGACCTTCTCTGGACGTCATTGTATGGGTTGGGCATAGGAGGATGTTCATGGAACGCTTCGTCTGGTCTGCATGGTGGTTGGCGTATGGATTTAGACTAAAAGGTGTCGTCTAACGACGTCCGAATTAAATCATAGCAATTTACGAATCCACGAGGACTGCTTGTCAGATGTCGTTGAGACAAGCATTAGGATCTTTCTTAGGGGTTGGCAATTGCTGAGTCGGATTCTGTCCTACGCTACCGGTAGTTCCCCTATTCACAAGACCACCAATCCGTTGGCAAAGACTCCCACCTCAAGTTCATGCTTAACTTTACAACGCCGATGGAAAATCAGGACTATGACAGCTGCCTCCGAAGCAATGATATAGGCGTGAGGATTGGGTGTTTTCATGATAATCTTTTGGTTCCCTTGCATATCTGCTTTCAATGCACCCCTCCTTCCCCATGCGCGAACTGCTTAACTTCGTTTTGTCAGAATTCCTTACATTGACACCAATACACGCATATATTCCGCTCAACGTAGCCCTCTGCATCGCCGCTGAAAAGCCCCTTGATCGGACCGTACCCATCGTCTATTCAAGACATCGCTAAATCCCTCTGTGTTCCAATCTTCTGTTTTTCAAAGGGCGATTCAGATTCGTGGCCCACGCGACCTCGCTCAAGCAACTATCATGGTGATGTTGGAATGGCAATTTTCAGACTGATCACTTAACAGGGTGAGGAAGGTTGATTCCATCATGAAGGTGGAGCAAATGGCCTTGTTGGCTGCGTCTGCTGTTTCTATACATGCCATGGATTACTCGTTCAGACTGAATGGCGGTCTCTCCGGTGAGGCGGTCTTTTTGATCTCACGTTGAGCTTGTGACCATCACCACGCCACTATATTTCATTTCCATCTCAGTCATATCGGTATATATTGTTCGCTCATCTGTTCTGTTTATCATGCCCTTCTACCTCCTAGACTCTACTACTCTTCGACATCAACACGCACACGTCCTGACCGCTGCTTCCCCCTTTCTCATTCGTTTACTAGGAACGCGTCAACTCCCTTCGGGAGTATCCACCTCAACGTACCTTTACAATGCCGTGAGTTCGGCCGAGGTCCTTCAGGAGTGGTACAACGCAACCACGGGCCTCTATAGGACGGCCGGATGGTGGCAGAGCGCCAACTGCATCCAAGTGCTTGCCGACCTGACCGAAGTCGCCCCCTTGCTGCGCCTCCGAACCGACGGCATCGTTTCCAACACGTTCACAAATGCGCAGACATTCAATTTGAAAGAGATTAAGTCCAATGGAACGACGTCGTGCATCTGGGATACCTGCCCGGATTCCACGCCGGGGGTCGAGCCGAAGGGGTTCCTTAACGGCTTCTACGACGACGAGGGTTGGTGGGCTCTGGCGTGGCTCAAGGTCTACGACATCGGGAGGAATGGGACGTATCTGCGTACGGCACAAGATCTCTTCGAAGACATGCTCGCAACGGGTTACAACGCTACATGCGGCGGCGTGTGGTGGGATCGTGACCGGACCTACCACTCCGCCATCGCCAACGAACTCTTCCTTTCTCTGGCTGCCCACCTGTCGAACCGCGTCCCCGCGCTCCGTTCGTATTACCTGCAATGGGCGCTCCGGCAGTGGGACTTCTTCCAACAGTCCGGCCTGATCAACGCGAACAACACCATCAACGACGGCCTCGACCCCACGACCTGCACGAACAACAATGGCACGGTGTACACCTATAACCAAGGGGTGATCCTCGGCGGCCTGGTCGAGCTCGCCCGCGCCGATCCAACGGCCACCTGCCTCTACCTCGAGGCCGCGCGAAACATCGCATCGGCCGCCATCGCCGCGCTCACGGACCGCAACGGCGTACTCCACGAGCCCGGCGAGCCCGATATTTCCGGCGACGGTCTGCAGTTCAAGGGCATCTTCCTCCGCAATGTGCAGACGCTCATCGCTGCGCTACCCAGCGACGATTTTGCGGCGAGGGAATACCTCCGTTTCGCCAGGGTGAACGCGGACAGCATCTGGAAGCATGCGCGGGAGCCGTGGATGGGGAGGCTGGGGCCGGTGTGGAGCGGTCCGTATAGGGAGGCGGGAGCCAGTAGCCATAGTAGCGCGATGGATGCGCTCATTGCTGCAGCGGCTCATGCTGCGAGACTTGCAGAGGAGTAATTGGGCCAGAGGGGATGTCCAGGCTGTTTCCTTGGGTGTTGCGCGTGCGAAAATGGACTGGATCGCCATGTGATACGCGAGGGCGAACGGTGCTTTTTATTAAGGAATACGGAAAGGTATCAAGAGGGAGCATCTGGTGCAAAGCTGCAAACGAAACGGATGGCAGATCGCGACTGATGTCATGGTTGATACAAGCTCCAGAGACAAAGTGGAGCAACGTGGCGCATACCAGTTGATTTGTAACCGGCAGGTTCGGGAGTCTAGACCAGGGACAATTACATATCCCACTGCAGTACCTAAATCCTGAGTTTCATACAACCTACCGAATCCTGTCATCCTTGGTACGGTATCTTCGCCCTGCGGCGGCTTGATTGCGATCACCGACAAGGTCGTCCAGATGCTCCCGCCCCTGCCTTGACCTCCGTTGACGTGACCAATGGGGCACCGTCGTGTCTAGGTACTAGGTAGCTGCTAGGTGCTGTGATAAGTGATAACTGAATGGCATTAGAATATGCCCCGCCTTCTGAGGTCTGAGTGTTCAACTTGTACGGAGTATAGAGTAAAGACTTAAGTTGTAACTCGTAATACACAGACAGCATGAGCAGAACTTGGTGTTACGATCAAAATATCAATTAATATGATAGTATCGGCTGGTAAGTACTGGACGGGGTATCTTCTCCGGTATGGATCTCTAAACTTCCAGTCCATTCCGCTCTCCCATGAACCGATTATTCCAAATCCCAAATTCTCGGCATCGCCTCCATCCGGGAACCCTTTATCCATGCCGTCCTTACGACGCCCATCGCAAGTTCTCTTCGTGGCATCGAATAAAACACATGATTCTCTTACGCCATCTTTGTCAAAACTCCGTCCAGAACGTGAACCGCTTGAAAGTCCCTATTATCCATAATCTTATAATCTCCCGCGCCCCCCATCGATCGATTTCCTGGTCATCAACCTCCATTCAACACCGCACCGTATTCAACCCGCCCTCTAAGCTCCAGCTCCCCCGCCACCGAACAATGGCGTCAGCTACGAAGTTCTACGATTTCACTCCTTTGGACAGTACGTATCGATCACCACCGCTTCGGCATTCGGTTCACCCTGCAGCAGCTAACGGCCTCCGCAGACAAAGGCAAGCCCTTCGACTTCTCTCAGCTCCAGGGCAAAGTCGTCCTCGTCGTTAACACCGCGAGCAAATGTGGCTTCACCCCCCAATTCGAAGGCCTGGAGAAGCTCTATAAAGAAGTCGCCCAACCCAACGACTTCACCATCCTCGGCTTCCCCTGCAACCAGTTCGGCGGCCAAGACCCGGGCTCCAACGATGAGATCCAGGATTTCTGCCGCGTGAACTACGGCGTCACCTTCCCCGTCCTCGGCAAGGTCGATGTGAACGGCGACGCCGCCGCCCCGCTGTATCAGTGGCTCAAGGCGGAGAAGCCGGGCTTGATGGGGATGAAGCGCATCAAGTGGAACTTTGAGAAGTTTTTGGTCGGCCGCGATGGGCAGGTTAAGCAGCGGTGGGCGAGCACGACCGGGCCGCCCGCGTTGAAGGCGGCGATCGAGGAGGAGTTGAAGAAGCCGGCGCCGGTGCACAATTCGTAGGAGTCCAATGCGATGGAATGCGGTGTCAATGGACGGCGAACGACGTTTGATGAGGGAAATTGGACTACCGACTGCGTCGTTCATATCTCCTTACTTCTATCAATATCCCTCCCCGCTTAGAATGAATGAACGATGATGGTTGATTGATGTATTTCAGTGAGCAATCACTACTGTTGTGGATATATTGCCATCTCATCGAAGCTCTCCTCCGGTTCAGCCTGCATAAATATAACCCGATCTTGTCGGTCTCTAGAATGCAGGTAGTTTAATAGACGTATTTCTTAAACTGATGGGATGATTGGACTGTCCAAACTCCAAAAGGTGCGATACTTCAGCAAACTGCCTGCAATGACGGCCCATGCAATTTTTCGATTCCATTTTGGCCGAGCCCCACCCCCACCAGAATACCCTGACGGCGTGAGTGACGAGTCCCGCAGCCAGCGTTTCTTCGCATCGCATGCCTCCGAAAATTTCCATTCGACCAAAGAATTTCGCGACTCTGATCCAACCCAAGACCCAATTGCAATTCTCCCACACTCCTCGACTGCTCCCCACTCTCCGACCGCACATCCGAACGTTTCTGTCGCCGACTTCCACAATGGCTGAAATCACCCACCCGATGATCAAGGGTAGGCACCAGTGCGCAGGCGTGGATATGGGTGGGACTGACTGTGATGTATAGATGGATGGTTCCAAGAAGTCAACGACATGTGGCCGGGCCAGGCCATGGCCCTCGCGGTCGAGAAAGTCCTCCACCACGAGAAGAGCCAGTATCAGGATGTGCTCCTGTTCAAATCCAAGAACTACGGCACTGTCCTGGTTCTTGACAATGTGATCCAGTGCACCGAGAGGGACGAGTTCGCGTATGTCCCCATCCCTAGATGTAGAATTCCGATGAAGTCCAAGCTGACGCAGTCCACAGCTACCAGGAAATGATCACCCACTTGGCCATGAACGCCCACCCGAACCCCGAGAAAGTCCTGGTCATCGGAGGCGGCGACGGCGGCGTCCTCCGGGAAGTCGTCAAACACAAGTGCGTCAAGGAGGCCACGCTCTGCGACATCGATGAAGTATACTCCCCCTCCGCGATACATGCGCGTCAGGAAGCTCACTAGCGCAGGCGGTCATCCGGCTCTCCAAGGAATACCTCCCGGGAATGGCGGTGGGTTTCGAAGACCCCCGCGTCACCGTCCACATCGGCGACGGCTTTAAATTCCTGGCGGACCGAAAGAACGAATTCGACATCATCATCACCGACTCCAGCGATCCCGATGGGCCGGCCCAGGTTTTGTTCGAGAAGCCCTATTTCCAGCTGCTGAACGACTCGCTCAAGGAAGGCGGCGTCATTACGACCCAAGGTTGTATGCCTCTCGTATCCCATTTGCCCCCTTCTGCTTTCGTGTACTCCTAACCTGCCGGTACTGACGGAGAATAGCGGAGAACCAATGGCTCCACCTCGAGCTCATCCGACGCCTCAAGGCCGATTGCAAGCAGGTGTTCCCCGTTGTGGAGTATGCCTACACGACCATTCCGACATACCCATCGGGACAGATTGGATTCATGGTCTGCTGCAAGGACGCGTCGAGGGACGTCAAGAAGCCAGTGAGGAGCTGGACGACGGAGGAAGAGGAGGAGATCTGCAGGTACTACAGTCGGGAGATCCACGAGGCGTCGTTCGTCCTTCCGACCTTTGCCCGGAAGGTGCTGAAATAGAATGGCCGGCCGATGCTTGCGCCGAGGATACTCGGATTATTGCTAAACGTTGTCATATATACGGCGGGTATGATTAGCGGCGGAACTTGATTGACTTTGTACCTTGTTGAAAAGTCTCGATGGAAGAACCTATAGTTTCTCTGGTTGAGGGTAGTTCACGGATATGATACACGGAAATCAGGCTCATAAGGTTGTAGAGAAGGCAACAATTTACATTCACACCGCGACCAAAGTAGGGAGTATTTGATTATTGATGCCATTTAAAACAGCGCTGGCGGGTGGAACCAGAAGTTCAGGCATGGGCAGGCAGGGGACAGCTGTGGCCATCCAGATTCCCAGAAGCCAGACTGCCAGAACTAAGTAGGAAGGCACAAGCCACATATCGGACCTGAAAGCCACACCTGCACTTCGCCCTCAAATGCGACCTGGACATATAGACCTTGATGACACCTTGATTCTGGAACATTTTGCCCAACAAACCAGATTTTAAACTCTGCCGCCTGTATTGCGATTCGGTAGTCCTGTCCATTTTAAATTGCCTATCCTAGTATCATCCGATTGCCTTGCAGCGCGCAGGATATCGCACAGAATGGATCCCTTCTCTGCGGACGGAGGTTCGACGGCCCAGCCCATCAAGACAATCGAGACATGTTCAGTCTAACATCCTTCAGAACTCACGACACTCCATACGTATTTCCACCAGTGCCTCTACCCCGCGGTTCTCTCCTATGACCTCAGCCCGCTATCGGACTCCAACAAACTCCCTGCCACCATCCTCCAACTGCGCGCACACCTCGCTCTCAACCAATACTCAGAAGCCCTCTCCGTCTGCGCTTCGAACAAGGGAAAGGTGGACTTCGACGCCGTAGCGATATGCGCACGGTACATGCAAGCGAAGGACCGCGGCGATGGTAGCAGCGTTACGAAAGCTAGCGAGGAGGCCAGCGCACTCGCAACGAAGGAAGGGGACAATGCCACGGTCCAGATATTGTGCGGAACTGTCCTAGCAGGCACCGAGAATGAGGATGAAGCCTTGGAATTGCTGAGCAGACATCAAGGAAGCTTGGATGCGTAGGTCTCACCCGTGGCGGGGTGATGAGTGGAGAGGTCTACTGACACTCGGTATTTCAGAGTTGCCTTAATCATACAGATTCATCTACAGCAGAATCGACTTGATCTTGCGAAGAAGGAAGCCCAGAGCGCAAGGAAGTGGGCCCAGGACAACCTGCTGGTCAACATCGCCGAGTCATGGGTCGCGATGCGAGAGGTAAGTGACCCAGACGCTCTACAAGGACTAAAGTAACCTGTACATTACAGGGCGGCGAGCAATACCAATCCGCCTACTATGTTTTCGAAGAGCTCGCTCAAGCTCCCGCAACCCAATCGGTCAAGTCATTGCTCAGCCAGGCCATCTCCGAAATGCATCTCGGTCGCCTCGAGGAGTCAGAGGCCGCCCTGAAGCAAGCGGCCGAGCTCGAGCCGGAAAATGAGCTCGTGAAGGCGAACCAGTTGGTGCTTCTCACGCTGGCGGGGAAGCGGGACGAAGCCGCCAAGGCGAAGCCGGAGCTTGAGAAGTCGGGGTTTGCTCAGGATTTGGCTGAGAAGAAGAAGGAGTTCCAAGCGGCATGTGAGAGGTATCAGCCGAAGTTCGCGGCATGAGGGCACCTTCGAGATGGGGCTTCGTGAGCTACCTCGAAAAAGGAGGCCGTGCCTTGCTCCCGGCGTACGGATAGATAGAATACATGCGAGTTCTTGTCATTAGACATCATGTGATGTATGCGTCACGAGGTTAAGTAAGTCGGGACGAGAATGCATCAATAGGGCAATATCGGTGAGATGAGAGTATCTCACGATAATATGACCTCAGATTGATATCGGATACAATATAGTAGCCGGGAAGAAAACGAGAATTAAAAAAGAAAAGAAAAGAATAAGACGCAGAGGAGTTGAACCTCCATCCATAGACCGTTACCTCCCGGCTTCAGACAACACGTTACTGCCTCCAGGATAAACGCCTTCGTGCTATGATCTGACCACCTTGGCTCTCCCTTGATAATAGATCAGCTTAACTGATTTATATGTACTACCAAGCCTCCCTGAAGGCTAGAAAGCCCGTGTATGCTACGAATGCTCGAAGATTCATGTAGATCATACTGCCTGTGTGGATCCAAAGGAACCTCAGCCAGCTTTAAATTGAACGCTAACATAACTTCTATGACGCCGCCGTCCTTCAAAATCCTCGATAGACTATGGCGAGATTACATCTGTTGCACGGGGGTATCATTTCAAATACAATATCTCCCAATGAACGCCGCATATGCATACCGAATTCCATGCCCACCCGTTTTGCCCTAAATCCGGATCTTCGGCAAGACAAACACCACAACCAAAAGGGCCACCCATAGCCCTCCTATCCACAAATACAGCATCAGCCTTCCCCATAGACCCTGCTCTTCACTGAGCCTCTTCACCAACCCCATCTGCTTCTCGAGCCCACTGGTACTCTTGTCCATCGCCTGCCCCGCCAGATCCACCGTCCCTTTATCCTCTGAAATCGTCACTGCCAGCGACGACGCCTGCGTGCGGAGGGCTTGCGCCGTGGAGAGCAGCGATTCGGTCAGGTCGGATTGCAGGGAGCGATGGTGGGTGAGAACCTGGTCTTTCGATGCGTCGGCGTCTGCTGAGCCCGAAGTGCCGAGATTCGATGGCCCGGATCGTCCCTCGAAAAGTGCGTTAGACGTAGATGTGCCTTCCGGGTCCTGTTGTCCCGGCTTTCGTGAACGGAGGTTGGAGTCGGATGTGTCGGGCGGCACGGTGGGGGCTGCCTGCTCCTGCTCTGGTTCCGAGTCGACGGCATCATCGTCATCCCAGGACGTGTCCTGTGACTCCAGCTCTTTTAATCTCTGCGCAAGGCGTTTGATCAGTTCGCGTTGAGCTCGTAGGGTTGCTTGGTTGGCATGACGAGCGCCTGGCTTCGACGGCGAGGACTGTTCCAGGTTCCGCAGCAGACTCCGTGCATAGTCCAAGTTCTGATCACACATCATTAGCACCGGATGATTGGCTTGCCACGCGTCCTGCTCATACTGCAGTTGTTTTATTTCGCTGGAACTTGTTCGATCGCAATGGCGTATCGGGGTCAAGGATGGTCTGCTCCAAGCTGGCTAGCAGTCGCTTGAGAGTGATTGCATCTTGATCGGGCATTTCTCGGTCTGAAGCTGTCCGACCCATCGAGATACCCTCTGGGATTTGGGGATTTCAGGGATTTAATTGCTTTGTGGTGGCCATAACGGTATCAAATATCTATCTATCGTTGCGATATTAGTGGGATGTTGTCCTGTACATCTGGTAGCTCACTACCGCAACAGCTGATTGGCTAAGGATGGCAGGAACCAGATAATGTCCAAGTCACGTGATATGTCCAGTCAATGATTTCAGGCTGGCTAATCGAGCAAGGCCTCGTTAAGCGCCTCGCCTCGCTCGCCTCGTTCCTTGATCAAGGCGTCGCTATTTCGCTGTATCACGTGTTGCTAGACCCGTTTAGTCGCATGCTACCAGTCTTTCATCGTCGTAGTCCGTATTTTCTGGATCTGACCCAGATTCTATAGGATTCAATGACCTTAGCCACCGTGGTATTGGTCACTATATAGTATACAGGACTACGGATGGTATATTTAACCATGGTTCGCGCAGGCCTCGCGAGGCGGATTAGTATGTAATTGAGTCGAGGCGAGGCGAGGCGCTTAGTCATCCCTCGCGACGCCTCGCGACGCCTCGCGACGCCTCGATTAGCCAGCCTGAATGATTTACGCCTCTGACCACGTGAGATCCCTCAGGCCAGTCCAAACGTAGCAATATTGAGGTGCAATTCACAGCTTTCTTATTCTTTCTTGCACGCCTTAAGTTTTTCAAATTCTTATTATCTAGCCGGTGCTTGCTAGTGCCAAGTGGAATGAGTATGGCACCTCGCAAGCTTAGAGGAACTGGGAGAAACGTTGCCCTTCTCACTTTTCCCACCCGTACTGAGGTCCTACATACTGTAATCCAGTCGCGACCAGAATCGGTTTCCGGTTTGCACTCTGAATCACAGGTTAGCAAGACGGTGAATCATGGCGGTGCGAGTTCGGATAGCAAGGATGAACCTGTAACAGTGCAAAGCTCACTTTATTTGCGGTTCAAGGCTAGGGTACGGAGAAGAGGTTCATAGTATAAAGTTATTAATTACAGTCTGCCTCCCTAATCAGTACAGTATGTATAGTCTTCGGTGAGTGAGGTTCTACGAAGTGAAGAATAATCACATGATTCAGCACGCAGAATTATCTAAGGTAGTAACGATCTGAGCTAAGAAAATGATTTGATTATGTTACGTAGACGCTAGTAATGAATACACATATACCCTTGTAATGTACTAGAACGGAGTAGGAAACCCCCTTGTCATATGGACCGTGCAGTGAGAACAAAAGTGCAAGCCGGAAACCGATTCTGCTCGCGACTGTACTCTATACTCTCAATGCCTTTCCCCGTCGTGCCCGTCTTCTTGGAGTCAGCCATGAGCCAGGTCGCAGTTGATGCTGTCAACCTTGTTTTGAGTTTTGACCGGACTTTTCCTGTTTTCCCCCCATCATTGGATCATTGGGTTAGCTTCCGGCAAGTTGGGCATCAACTCCTAACAGCGGGAGCCCAAGATTGAGATTCGCGACGTGCACCACCGCAAATGGCTTCGGCGCTAGATGCAACGCCTTGTCGGGTGGGCGGATTGGTCCGGACCGCTTCGACAGCTCGATAAAGTCTCCACGTCATTCGTCGGGATGGCTACGTGCGTGCAGCGTGACAGATAATATGAATGTGTTTTGTGACAATGCAACGGCGCGTGCATAAGGGCATCCAATATCAAGGCCTGTCCTGCGGCTGTCCAGCACCCTCCCGGTTCTCTATCCACTCAAGGGGCTTCCGTTGCGACACAGCCAACATAAGCGGCACTGAGACACCAGCAATGTCGAGATCAGATTGCCAATCATCCTTCGTGCGGCCATGCATTCTGCAGGCGGCCGGCCTTGTCCATGGACCTAGGCCATCATGCGAATTGCCAACGCATCAAAAGGCGGCGCACTGCCCTCGGCCGTATCTGCTCTTTTCCCCCCTCTTCAATCCATCCGCCCCGTCGACCTTGGTCTTCATTTATCCATCTTTTTGATCTTCAAGCCAGCATACCACGCAAGTTCTACCAGCAGACTCGCCACTTCTTGATTTCCTCACACAGTTCCCCTCAATTCCAACCGTTTTCAAGGACTTCTTTCAATTACAATTACTGCCATCTGGATACGCGGACGATTCCCTGGAGATCCAAGAACCCCGCGCTTCAGGTCGTCACCAAGCGCTTCGAGTTCCCTCACAATGACCTTGCGAGCCAGCAAAGGAGGTCCCCATCTCAGGTACTGCCATTTTAAGGTTTTTCATCTTCCGAGTCTTTGCTTTCAAGTGCTTTTCTTATCTTTTCCGACTTGGCTTTACCGGCATCCGTTCCTCCGGTCTCCTTTCCTCCGGTCTCCTAGCTTCTTGGACCATCCACCGGATTCTTCTGCCAGCCGATTCGAGGTCAACCAAGACCAAGCCAGGTCAGGCCGACCATAACAGGCGGATTTCTATCAATTGTTTCCGTCTCTTGCTGGATTTCCGTGGAGCTGGATCTAACTGCTTATATCATCCCTCCGGACATGGTTTCATCCGGCCGTTCGAGGATTGATACTTACAACTTACTTATGGATTACGGAACCATCCGTTCAATGGGTAAGCCCCTTCATGTATACGAGAGACTCACGTAGAATTCCAAGCCTGGAGATAGCTGCGACTTTGTGGATCAATCCCGTTGGCAGACTTCCGTCGTATTGGACTTCCAGTAGGGACTGGCACTAGCGGGACGATTATCACAGTAGACATCACTGGCCAACGGAGTCGTGTCATGCCATTTGCTTTCATCGGCACGGCTTACACGATGGTCGTCGAGTTCAACGCCTGCTCGTTCGACTGGAGACAATGAGAACTGCCTGGAAGCCATTTCAAGGATACCGCTGGAATACGGAAGGCTCCGTTGAGCCGTAGAAATGTTTGGATTTGGAGAGGAACCCCCCTGACAATGAGTACGTGGGTTGAACACCCCTTTTCTCTGATCATGAATAATAGAGAGATGGTGGTCGATGCTAACTTGTAGTTCGTTTAGCTCTGATATGCACCGACATGGACATCCTAACACCTTGGACTTTCTGCGTTTTGATTTTCCATGCCGGAGGAACCCTAAATCTGTTTTGCATCATGGCCGCTTTTCCCTGGACACCTATCCTACTGGCTCACTCTTCTCCCCATTATCTACGCCGCGAACTGTGAGGATTGATTCTATGATACCCTGAACCTAGGAACCGCCGAGCTTGCCGTGGACGAGTTGTGCATTTTTATATTTCGCCTTTTCATCACTGTCGGAGTCTACCAATCTATCGCATTCCAACTTATCCCCGTCGCTCCCATACTAACATGCTTCGAATCAGCGAAGCTATTGAAGGTCCTGGTCATTTTCCCTGTCTTAAACCCGAGGATATTGCCAAGTGGACTCAAACCGTATCTGGACCTGATATTTCTGATTTCATCTATTGTGGACCGGAAGAATTCCTCCAGGATATGCCTGATTCAAAGGACGATGGGTTCTCTATTGGTTCCAGCGCGCCTGACAGTGCGTATATGAGTCAGTCTGACACAGGACATGCTCAGCCGAGTTCGGGAAGCTTTTACCAGGGGCCCTCACAATATCTTCGTCGCCACGCCATCGATACTCATCAGAGGAGCACCTTATCACCAGGATTATTCTCGGATGCTTCAGCTCATTACCCTTCATTTGCTATCGGCCAACAATTTCCTCCTTCTTCTCATGCATCTGAATTGGATGACGACTCAACCCACATCTTATTCCCATCGCCTATCGAGGGTCGCTTTATTCCTTCTCATGATCAGCTTGACACCCAGTCCGGATGGGACCAAGCCTCCTGGACGGTTCAAGGATCCGGACAACCACCGCGGACCGAGGCGTTTGAGGAGCGAGGAACTGAGCACAGTTTCATTGACACTCAATTCCCCCAACCGATGCAGTACAGTCTTTCTTCTCAATCTACCCAGAGGTTCGAGATCTCGGAGGATACCACCAGCATGCATGGACTTTTGAACCGGACCGGGATGTCCGGAGTGCCGACTCCGACAAGCTCATTAGTATCCACGGATTATTCGAAGAACTTACCAAGACTTACAAATGATCCACAGGACGCAATCATGTATGTGTATAACCCTGCCCATCATATTAATACCGAGCGCTAATCAATCAAAGTTTTGGTCCGAACATTGCCTTGCATTTCACTGGACCAGGGTCTACCGGAGGCTCTCCCGAGGATTCTGGAGATATCGATGTTCAAGAGGACGTACAGTCCTCTTCCGCTGGAGGGAAAACAACAGGGAGTTCAAGTCGATCCGGAGAAGAAGGTTCTAGGAGCGATCCACTTTACAAAGCTCTCCCTGGCCCCAATGGACAGTACCGTTGCCCATTCGCAGAGGATGGTACCGACTGCGGACACAAGGAGACGAAGTTGAAGTGCAACTACGAGTAGGTTCATCTCCCAAATATGCGAAAGTCCATGGTCTGACCCGATAACCTAGTAAATACATCGACTCTCATCTCAAACCTTTCCGGTGCCGAGGGCCAGATTGTGGTCACCATCAGTTTTCTAGCACCGCCTGCTTGCTCCGGCATGAACGCGAAATGCATGGAATGCACGGCCATGGTTCACGGCCACATTTGTGCTTGTATGAGGGCTGCGAGCGATCGGTGTCAGGCAATGGGTTCCCACGACGGTATAACCTGCTTGATCATATGCGTCGCGTCCATGACTATGTCGCTGGGGCGGTGGATTTTCCCAGAGACGATGCTATACCCGAGAGGAAGAGTCGCAAGCGAAAGGCTGCCGAAGGGAGCTCGCCAGTCGAGAAGAGCGCACGCCCGAAAACTCCAGTGAGCTCGACATCCAGCCGTCATCCGTCAAACCTGGCCGTCCCGCATACCTCTGCTCAGCGATCTGCAGCTCCTCAACCAACTGTGGCAGCTTCACGCCTAGGATCAGCACAGCGTCATATCTCTCAAGGGGGCATCCAACCGCAAGCATCGCCCAATTTCCAGCAGCAGATGCTTACTTCCACCTTCCAACACCGGCAGCGACAGCCTGCTTATGCTGCTCAGGGCAGTTCGGCAGATTTCAAATCGTCGGTGGCGTCGTTGATGTCGCAACTCGCGAGCATCAAGGGGCCACTGGATGACGACGGACTGCAGGAAGTGTCCCTGGAATATGCAAAAATGTGGGCGATCGTCAAGGATGCGAAGAATATGAGGAGAGCATGAATGTTTCCATGATGATTAACGACCACTTCTTTACGGCCGATTTCCTAACCTGATGATTTCATTTGATGTTCTTTCTGTATTCGGTATACTAGAAAGAGGGAATATGGTTCTTTCACGCCATGTTACTCCACTATCTAGTGGTGGATTTCTTAGGTAGTTATTATGTATCGCTGGGTTCAGCTGGCCAGGTTGCTTCTTCGGCGTTTGAGAAGTCTCCCTGTGCCAACAGTATGTCCGCCTAGGTTTACAACTGTCTTGGCCTCATGACTTGGCTAGTCATAATTGGGGACGTGGACGAGACATAGATACCCTGGCATTTCTTATTGTCATGGAGTTTCATGACAAGGCGTATTAAAAGCTGGGTGGCATGGACATCGATTGGGAGATACATTACCTTAGCAGATCCACCGAATAAGGAATTGAAAGTCTTTCGGACATTATGACATAGTTAACTGTTGCCGGTTGTATTGAACTTGCATTGCAACCGGCGTCTCCTGATTTGGCACCGTCTAACGATCGTTTCTACATGGTAGGATGAGACATAATCAGAGCTAACGATGTTGGATGCTGACGTAGCTCCTCTTTTCGTATCACTACAAAACCCACGTCCTTCTCTCACCTTACCATCAATTCATAGTAGGTCGCCACGCCTAAAGGCCAGCGAGCAACTCTGGTTCGGATCGCGGATGTGGTGAAATCGGGTATCTATTACAATTTTGCAACCCTCTCCCTCTTCTATCATGCTCTGCCCACCTTGAACGACAATATCTGAGTCTATGTCAGTCCGGTACGATTCAATGCATGGAAGTAACCTTACATCATTCTTTCCCTTCTCGACGACATCATCCTCAGACACCCGCACGCCGCCCACCGTCTCCACGAACGCGAGCGGGGCATCCCCCATTACCTTTCGGTATACGTCGCCGACTGTTGATCCCTTGCCGACCAATACGCAATCTCGGAACACGACCGAGCTACCGGCGGCTCCCGAGCCGAAGGTATTCATATTTCGCACGGGATACACCGGCACCAAACCGAGTAATTCGCCCGCGCGCGACAGGACTTCGACCACCCCTGTGCTGCCGAAACGGTATAGTACGAGGTCTCGAAGGTTGTCGATTCGGCTAGGGTTCAGCGCATCGGATATTAGCCGAGAAAGACACAAGGAGCGACAGATACAACGAGGAAAGAACGCAAAACCACGCGCAGGAACCCGGAGAAAGAGGTGGTCGTATGTATAGGAGGGATTTCTCACTTTTTGAGTTTGTCGTCCATCTCCTTCAACCCTCCGCCATCGGGGTCGCCAGCCTCTATTAGATCTTCCCTCGTATCCACAAACTCGCTTCCTTCCGTGTACCGGATGAAGCCTTGCTTTGCTAATCGGCGGAGGAACACCTCGCTGACGGCGGATGTGAGGACGAGGGTTTGTGGATCTTGCGCTTTGGCAATTTTGGCGATGTTCTGGGCAAGGTAAGCGGGTGCTCGTATTATTCGGCATCGTTTGTTGAAGGAAGCCCTCCACGGGGATACGTACCTTATCGGAATCGGGGTGGTCGATTTTATTCAAAGCGATAACAGTCGGGAATTTTTCATCGATGAAGGCATTGACGACTTGAGTGATAGTGTCGTCATCCCAGTCTTGTAAAGGAGTCTTCAAGTTTAGTCGATCCAGACATCGAGCGACTACCTTACTACTACTGCCATAGCCCGAGAATTGATTCTGTAATGTCTCGACTGCGGTTGCTTCTGTCCCATTTGTTAGCGGCAGGACATTCCTTTCGAAACGGATCATTGATTCCGTGATTATAAGAAATGAAACTTACTTACGGCGATATGTCTCCGTTTAATCGAACCCCTTCACCAAGTATTAGCGTATGATCCCTTTGTCATTGTCGAAGCGACAATCCCGTACCATTTCTCCACCAGATTTCCCTTCACCCAGTGCACCATCTCACTCCGCAACCATTCAATATCTTTGCTCGGATCATACCCCCTCGTCTCCTTCCCCTCCTCATCCGTGGTGCCGCTCACGTCAACGACGTGCACCAGCGCGTCCGCATGCCGCAAGTCGTCCAAGAACTTGTTTCCCAAGCCTCGACCCTGGTGCGCCCCCGGAACTAAGCCCGCGACGTCAAGCAGCTCGATGGGCACGGATCGTTTGCCGTCGACGCAGGAGCCGTAGTTGGGCTTGCAGCGCGAGGTGAGGTCGAAGCGCGCACAGGCGCAGGGGATATTGAGGTAGCCGACAGCACGTTGAGGGTCGATGGTAGTGAAGCTGGACGTCTGTAAGAATCGGCGGGAACGGCACCGCAAGGCGCATGGTTCTGAGGGAAGCGGAAAGGAGAGGAAGCAGCTCACGGAAAATTTCCTGGAGGTCTATCAGCTACTTGTCATAGTATAGGACATATGCTCGACTCGAAGCAGATAAGATGGAAGTGCAGAATTCAAGTACTTGACAAATCTTACCAACTTTTGATGTTGCATCGGTCAAGCTATCAACTTGTCAATTGAATCACTATGACAATGATACTGTCCATCGTCAACGCACCTGTTCAGCGTCGTTGACTTGCCGGATGACGGCTTGCCGACAAGGCCAATTAAAGGATCTCGCGGCATATCGTCACGCAGTTATAGAAGGAATACTTAGGTCGAAGGGATCATAACAGCAGTGGAAAGCAGTGGGAACTTTGAATTCAGTGTCATGGAACGCCGTTGCGGTGTTCCGCAATAGACCACCGAAAATCATCGTTGCCATCAACTTGCGATGGATGATTATTGTGGCGCATCGGAGACGCCAAGCCCGTTGCCCGATACTCATCAACTAGAATCCAAGTGTAAAAGTAGCGCATTCGCTCCTGATATATTCAAACTTTCAAAGAGAATCAAATTCCAATTACATCTTGTGGAAAAAGCCGATTGCTTGAGTATTGTTATTACGGCGATACACGTATCCATTATCAGTCTGCGCTATGAACTATTCCGTGCCAACCCCTATACAGTCATTAGTAGAGTATAGGATAGAAGAGAGTATGCCATCTCTGAAGATGCATACCCATACCATACTATGACAAAGTGTCACCTAAAGGAGATCATCCTTTTCCGCTTCATATTGTCTCTGAAGATGTGTGATCCGCTCTTTATCTGGAGCTCTCACCTTCGAGACCCTTTACAACAGCGACATCCCTACACCTGTCGACACCAGGACCACGGCGCACGTCATGAACATGCCCATATCCCCCTTCCATCCCGGCACCTGCACCGAACGCGCCGCAGCCGCAGTCGAGCTCGCACCCGCGCCTCCACCCGCCGTTGCCGTCGCCGTCACCTTCCCACTGCCCGGCGTCGCCGTCCCGGAGCTGCCCGTCCCCGCGTTCTGGCTGCCGTCGCCACTCAACCCCGGTCCCGGACCGGCACCCTTCTCCATGTACTCCATGGCCGGTTCCGGGATGGCCGGGAGCTTGTCGTCGCCGACTTCCCAGGATGAGCTCTTCGCAGGGCATTTACTGGCTTCGCCGCCGGTAGACGCTCCGGCATCGCCGTCAGGGGGACTGGCGCCCTCAAGGGCGGTGCGGAGGATGTCGAAGTCGTCGAGGTTGCTAACCTCATCACCGTTGATTTGCACGAGTCCGTACTTGCTGCCCTCTTCGGAGTATTCGTAGACAAGACCGCCAGAGTAGACGGAGGTCATCTTGTCGGAGTAGAGAGCAGTGACTTCTTCGAAAGTGCGCTCCTTTTTATTGCAGCCGAATTCAGAGAGGCTACAGAAGTTAGTCGACCGAAAATGCATCGGGATGTTGGGGACGACTTACAAAAGGGGAATGTTGTATTTGGAGTACTGCTCAACCTTGGCCTTCCACCCGGACTCGTCGAACGTTGACGGCGGGCACCAGGAATAGTCATTGAAAGCGAAGAAGTCCGACCGCTCATCATCCGTTCCGCAGTTCATGTACTCCGCCATCTCGAATCGGTTCTCGTCCACGTCCGCCGCCGAGTATCCGACGGGGATCGCGCGGTATCCGCGCGATCCGATGTACTGCCGCATGTCTCGCGTCACCGCCTTCACCCACGGCGCCGCTTTCGTCGTGTCGTTATCGTTGATCACCTCGTTAGCGGAGAAGAACAGCAGTGTGTTGTCGTAGTTGGCAAACGCGTCGATGGCGGCGAACACGCTCTGGAGGTAGACGTCGTTGTACGACGGCTCGGGGTCCGCGCGGTTGAGGCTGTACTTGGGCGAATTCACGTCCAGCGCCAGGTAGATGCCGGCGTCCGCGAGCAGCTTCATGCACTCGTCGTGGTTTGCGGTGCTGTCGACCGTGTACACGCGGATCGTGTTGATGCCCAACTCCTCGAACTTCTTGACGTCCCGTCGGCAGCTCTCGACATCGGCAATAGGGTCCGCGATGTTGGAGCTGCCGCCCGGTTGGTAGGCGACGCCGCGGACGTAGAAACGCTTGTCGCCGGCGTAGAAGGCGTTCCCCTTGACGGACACTTGAGGGACGCTCCCTGAGCTGGTGGAAGAACCCTGGGGGCTTGGCTTGGCGAGGGCCGTGGTGGCTGCCGTGAGGGCAAGAAGGGCGTTAAGATGCATCATTATGAGTTATGACAAAGGTAAAAGAATGTGGTTTAATGCTCAAAGGTTGTGTGGCCGTCTCTGTCAACCAAGGCAACTAATGAGGGGAAAATGGAGAGCAGCGGGAGTGACCAGTATTAGAAAGAAACAGTCGCGCTTATCAAACGAAGGTGGAACACAATCAGTGAACAGTGAATCAAAATGAATTTCGAGACAGCAACGATCTCTGAACGACGGACCGGGAAAAAACAGAAAAGTCGGAAGGAAAGAATGCACGTCTGCGTGGTCCTGTGGAGGCACAAGATTATAAAAGGGACCTTAGGGTCAAGCACCGGGGGTTTGTCTGGACGTGATGGTGACCTCCATTACTCCATACCACCACAGTCCACAGTCCACAGTCCACTCCACACATGCCAGACATGAAATCTTCCCTGTTTGATCCCGACCCGCAGCTGGCACCACCATCCCGTTCCAGCCTCTTGGGCAAAGATGGGCACCCAGCCAGGAACTGCACAGCATCGCTGATTGCGATTCGCAACCTATTGGGGCTGTACGGAGGGCAGATGTACGGGATGGGTAGGTTTCTGTGGTCCCGTTCGCCATCGTACAGCGGCCTGCTCCAGCGGTCTCCTGTATATCAGTGCTCATCAATAGGTGCCGATCGGGGTTTCAGGTGTGGACGACATGCCACCAGTCTACAAGAAGTGGGAAGGGGGAGACGGCTTCTCCACTGATCTACCTACATGTGCGTGTCGAGATATCGCAGGCGGGATTCTTCATGCCTGTTGAGAGCCTGGCCAGGACGGATGGGCCATTGATATTGCTGCGATTGCTACCGTCGATGAGACACCGTCGAAATATCACTGAAGGGCAGCAAAAGGCTAGTTTTAGCAATCAGCACTTCCGGACGAACGAGAAAGTCTGAAGGTTCTTGTACGACCGGCACGGCAACATTGGACTGTCGTGAACGCTCCTGAAACATTGATGACGTTGCGGCCTGTGGACTTTGGAATGCTATTGGCAACTAACAGAACCCGACATGAAATTTCTCCGCTCTTTAATATGGAAGATATATGGTGGTCACGTGATTGTATAGGGGATGGTCTGGGTCTTGGCGCAAATCTTTCAATTGGAATCTGATAATGGCGAGGAGTAACCACACGGAGCATACATATACCGCAGGGACATCTGGCTTGACCGAAGTTGAAATTCACGCTCTTAATAGCAAAGCCTACAGAAAAAGCGGTGCGGAGTACGCTCCGTCCACCTCGTCCGTGAAACCGGCGTAAAACCGTGACCATGAATGCCTCGAATAATTGAATTGTCTGCGATCCGTCTCCTTGAAAAAAAGGGACGTGACCATTCGCATTCCATGCCGTATATCTATCATGTCTCGTTCATACAGTACAAAGATTCCCTATCGCCCTCCGCACGAAAAGATGGAATTGAAAAGCATCGCATCCGTCATCATAAGAAGAGATTCCACCGCCCGCTGACGGCCTGAAACGGGTCAGATGCCCGGTGACTATCCCGGGATTGGCTGGATCGGGTCCGGTAGTAATGTAAAAGTGTCTTCAAAGCTGTTCCATCCGTAAATGAACGCTGCAAATGCCCCGACATGAACAAATGTTGGGAAAAATAAATCCGCGTTGGGGGGTCGCGAAATGAATGTCAATCAAAGCCGCCTTCCTTGCGATGCGAGGAGGCTGTTGCCATCTCCCGTGCACGAAACGCTCGGTGCAAGTCGCGAGTCCGCCAAATAATCGCTCAAACGGTGAAAACCCGCGTCACACCCTGTGACTCTCATTTCCTCCCCATCAGGACCGCAACCCCTCCTTACTCTTCCAGAACTTCATCATCCGGCTCAACCTGCTCCCCCTTTTTTCCCGCCGCGCATCCGAATCCATGGAGACGCCGGCTTTCTCTCCCATGTCTCGGCTGTGGCCGTGGCCGTCGCCCTCGCCCGCCCGCTGCTCAACCGATAGCTTGCTCTTCTCGCCCAACGCGCCGCCCACACCCATTAGTCGCGACAGGCTGACGATGCTCGCGCGCTTGCGGCGGCGGTTATGCAGGTCGGTGTCACTCGGGTTGTCGTGGTGGGCCATGTGGCCCTGCGCTTGGGGCGTTGACTCGTCGGTGGCGTTCAGGGCAAGGGAACTGCGTGCGGACAACCCGATCGAGCAGACGCTGGCGGAGCGAGCGTCGCGGAGATAAGGGAGCGTGAAGGCAGACGTCGGGCGGGCGAGCGGTGCGCGTGAGACGGGGGTCCCACTAGAGCTCTGGGGGACGGCGTACGTGGGGTTGAAGAATTGGAGGTGATTTGGCGGCCCTGGTGCGGTGACGCCAGAGGTCGGAGGTCCGTTCGTTGCGGTGGACCGCGAGGATGTGAGCGAGGGCACATCGTCGACGGATACGCGGATGGGCACCTCGGAGCCATCGGGGAGGAGCATCATCATTTCTCGCATGGATTGCGCCTCCGCAAAGTCACCAGCCTCGTGGGTGCCACGACCATCGGTCACCGAGCTTGTCGCTGTGCCAAGTCGGGGGGTTTCGAAGCTCGATTGACTGGCACTGAAAGCTGGGGAAGAGAAGGCGGAGGATGTAGAAGAATCAGGCGTCATGAGCGGCGGAAGAGGCGGTGGTGGTGGTAGTCCAAGTGAGAACGCGTGCGGGGAAGGAGCGGTAGCTGGAAGCCCCAGAGTAAACGAGTGTGGTGCGGGGGACGGGGATTTGATAGGGAGCTGGAGAGGGGAGTCCGAGGTCGGATGTAAAGGGGGTGTAATTGTACTGTCGGAATCGCGGGTAAGAGAAGAAGCACGCGGCTCTTCATGAGGTTCAACAACCTCTACGGGAGATGGGTCCCGATGATAGCTTGGAAAGTGGTAGGAAGGAGCCAAAGGTTCTGTGACCATCACGTCAGAGGAGACGGGGAGATCGTCCCCAACGGGTCCTGCCACAGGTGGATCGGCCGTAAAAGCGTCCCCGGGACTCTGGGTGGAAGGTTGGTTAATCTCGCCAAAGTCAAATCCTGAAAGGTCATCCGAAGGGTTGGCTGGCGGCACGTCATACTGCAACATCTTCCCTTCGTCTTTCGACGCTCCCGTCAAACTCAGCTTGGGAACGTTCTTCGCTCCACGCATCCCATTTCGCTTGGGCGAGTCTTCCTCCTCTTCCTCATCCTCTTCAAATACATCAGCCATTGTGGACACAGGTGCGACTCCAGAGCGTGCTTCGAAAGGCACCAGCTCGGGCGCGCTCTCAGTCCGCCGATGGTTATTTTGAAACGAATTGTTTGGCAGAGCGCCACTGTGCATGGAACGACGAGCCGAACGGCAATTGCGTCCCGAATTTCCCACAGATGGCGTATTGAAAGGTCCGAGGGCAGCGTCGAGGTCGATAACCGGACTCATGGTATCGCTATCATGCACCGGACCGAGCTTCGGGGTACTTGCGAGGGAGCTTGTTTCGGGGTTGATGCGAGGAGTACGCAAGTCATCGGCGGCCACAATAGTGACGGTGTCATCTACGTCAAAGTTCTCCAGCAGAAAGCTTGTCGACAGATCCGGGATGGTATCCATGTCATCATCTGCGCTGCTCTCGGAATCCTGGGGTTGCGTCTGGGTTCTGGACTTGGTCTGCTGTGATTTTGGCTTCCGGATCAACGAATTAGCCCATGATTTCACTTTGCGGGGCTTGCGGGCTTTGCCGGTAGCGTCCTTCGTATCGGCGGCCACCGTTTCTTCTCCGGCTGTCGATTGAAAGGGTTCCGGTGAAGATGCAAGTGATGGATCTGATGCCGAAGGATGAAGCGACGGAGAGACTGGAGTGGGAGATCGTCGATGTTCCCATCCAAAGAACGCCCGCTTCTTTGGCGGAGGCGATCCCGTAACAGTGGGAAATTCTCGAGTCGGCTTCGAAGGAGAGGGAGAATAAGACGAGTTTGGACGGGATATCGTCCCGGAAACTTTGTCTTGCCCGCCAGTGAATAAGTCGAGGATATCGCCCGCAGTGCCAGGTCGCGCCCGAGGGCTCTCATCTTCGAATGTTGTGTGCAAAGAAGGACGCCCGCTTCGCGCAGGTGAGGGACTTGACGCACCGCCACTGACAACCGACGAAAGACTTCCTGTAACGGAATGACCTCGAATCGTTGAGAGAGAGCTTTCCGTCTCCGAGGAAATCGTGGACAAAGGTCGAATGTACTCAACTTTTTCCGAGAAGCCGACACGTGCGCGATGAGAAAGGAGTCGTCGAGGACTCGATTCGGGTCCCGGCTCCACGGAAGGATCCGCCGGCAGATTCACGGACGACTGAGACACGCTTCGCCTACTTGGAATGGGGAAGAACGGCTTGATATCGGTCTCGAGGGGAGTAACTGGAGCACTCCCGCCTGTGGGAAGTGGATTCGGAAGCGGATTCAATTCCCTCGGTTGCAAGATCGACTGGAGATCATGACCCGAAATCGCCCCGGACCGTCGATGAGCATGACCGCGTCGACCTGGTGGTGGCCCCAACCGCGTCGGCGCGCTTCCCGCTAGAGCAAAGCCGTCTCCTTTGGGCGGACTGTTGCTAACTACGGACACCGTCCCATATCGTGCGTCTCCGCCGACCAGCTCACTTCCGCCACGTCGATGACCCATGGGCCTCGACGGTGTGCTCGGACTGGGGAGAGGAGGTGAGTGAGGCGGTGTTGACGTTGAGCTCCCCGGAGCGGACCCTAACCCAGCGGGATTGAACGAGAAGTTGGGAAGGGCGTTCACAGAACGGCGTTCGGAGATGGCGGCGCGGGGGACGCGCTTCGAAGTCGGTAGGATCTGTGTTGAGAGGGGACGCTTCGTTGACCTGGTTGTAGAACCATCGCTAGGGAGTGCGGGAAAGACAAAGTCGGGATTAGGGAGGAGCTCGACGTGCGCATCGTTGATCGGAGAGCGTTGCGAGTGCATTGTCGATCCCATCGTGTTTGGTTCGTGGGAAAACGACGCGTCAAGAGAGAACGGCATCGCCATGCCGACGTTTGATATGGTAAATACAGACTGTAGCTGCGTATAATCTAGCCACGGTGGTGGATATGAAGGCGGATCTTCTTAGATTGGGTAATTCTTGTCTGCTGCCTGGACAGGTCAAGAGATGGATTATGATTCCGCAACGTTGTACCGAGTGGGTAACCCCGGTGGATGGGAATGGATGGGCTCAAGGAGCGACACTAAAAACAAGCATTCAAAGCAATTTTGCATTACTGGCTCCAGGGCAAGTTAGCGAACTGAAACCAACGGGTGCAGCTGATCGCACAGGGCGTCGATGGAAATGAAGCGACATACAGAGTACGTAGCAATCGAAGCGACCGAAGCAGCCGCTTGAAGCGAGGGACCGTGGTACAAGCTGAGCAAGGTGGATGGGGGATCGTTTCGTCGCTCGCAGGTGAGCAATCCGGAGCGACGAAACGGGCGTGGAATGAAGGAACGGACGGCGACGAAGATCGACTCTCGCGATGGAAGAGTCGATCAGCGAGCCAAAAGAGAGGAGGGGAGAGGGAAGGTAGAAAATGACGGGGGGGGGAGGGAGAGATGGTTGTGGAGAAGGGGAGGGTGGATGAAGAAGTTTAAAAGAGAGGCAGAGGAGGAAGAGGAGGAAGAGGAGTTTCCAGTTGGGAGGAGTGAGGACTGGAGGGAAACGGTGGAAGTGAGGCACCCGGCTACAAGTCGCTGTAGGGAAGAATAGTGTGGGAAGAATAGTGCGGGAAGAATAGTGTGCCTGGCTTAGGCCCTTAGCAGCAGTAGCGTCCACACCCCAAATCCGATGACACGGGCGGGTGCAGTGGGAGAGAGGCGGATTGGCGGGCGCAATCAGTTTGGTGCTGCAATGGGCGCTGCAATTGGCGGGTTGGCAGGCCCAACGGCGTGTTTGGTTCAATTGGCGGGGATGCAGATGGGGGGTGCGGATTGGCGGATGGTTGGCCGATTTCTCTAGGGGCTCATCTTATACAGCTGCACTTCATCTGCAATCTGCATAACAAACAGCCTAAGAACAACAGTTTGAGGTAAGGTAAGGTACCTACTTAGTTACCTGCTAGTTACCTGCTAACTTAGTTATCATATCTAAATCCTAATACATATTCCTTCCTTAGAGAATATCGTCAATATTCATTCTGCCACAATTCTGTTTTGGTTTCATTGTTATTATGGTCCGCCGATCGGGTGCCTCTGTTGCTCCCGTCGGATCCCTCCATACCCTCGCTCTCACTCGCTCCATAACACTTCTCAACCGGTTCTTTGCTTAATTACACTTCATTTCCCATTCCCAGCCCAGAGATGCCTCCAATTTATCCAATCTCCAATTTCCATTTCCCAGCCCAATCGTCCAGCTCGCCCAGCTTAATTCTGAATTCCACGTCCTGGCCATGAGAAGGGATCGCCCTCCAAATCAGATCCATGGGGATCGTGTTGCACAGGGCAATCAACCGATCCCCATCTGTCCCGACACATCCCACTTTGCATGGGAGGATGGAGGGTGATTTACGGAAGATGATGTACCTATCCGCTCGGCGTCTATCGCTTCCCTTCTCTCTTTACTTTCTCAAGTCAACAGATGGGATCGTGGAAATGATACCCGACAACACGCCCGAATTGATTCCACCTTTGCACTTCCTACATGGTGGATTGGCCCTTACATCAGGATCAGGCCTGGGTGGCGGCAATGACACCAGCTACATAATAGCGTGCCTGACTGACGGGTTAGTCTCTGTTCGTAGCCGACACGTACAAATGCACAAAGGTAGGCTATCATCACCATCATCTCCGTTCCCTTCAGTCGTGGGACAGTTGGAGTGTTGGACGGTTAGACGGTTAGAGCGGATCGGAGCACCAAATTGGTTCATCTCGGCATCTCGCCAACGCCAACTGGTGACCGGGTTTCCGCTGACAACCGACAAGCGGTCGACAACACCCATCCATCTGTCGCAGATTCGCAGTCCACCTAAGTCTCAATGTGGGACACGTCCGTTGTCGATCTCCGCTCCGCTTCAGCCTTCTTTCTTCCCGACATGGGCGACTTGAGAGTTGAGACATCTCTCCCGCTCGCTCTCCGTGGCCTCGGTTTTGGTTTCGAGTGGCAACTTTCAACTCACGAAATAGATGATTATCGATCCAAGTAGTACCCATCTGCACGGCTGTGTGTGGTGTTAGGTGATTTCTCCCACGGATATCCCTCAAGATTCATCACCATCAGGCCTCAGAGTTCAGACCGCTCCACTCCATCCTCCCACCCTTAATCCATTCCATGGAAACCATGCCAAATTGCCAATTGCCCCAAATGCCAACACGCACACAAGCACAGTCGCATAAATTGTCCGACTCCCTGTCCCTGCATGCCCAGAGCCCCAGAGACCAGGAAAGCAAGGGCATCCCCAGGCGGTGCCCCCGCGTGGGCCATGTCCGAATTCCGATATCCCGCATCCAGTGGTCCATCTCCCGTCAAACGTCGCAGATTGCTCGACTCCAATCAACTGCCTTTTGACACTAATTAATTATCTGGGCGTAGGCAGCTGGATTCTGGAAACAGTCCCATGTCCAAAATTGCCACACTGACCATCGAGAATGGGACATCGACATTTAGTCCTTGTTTCAAGAGCGATCTGTACTCTGTCTGTCCTCTGTAAATAAATCAGATTGCGGTCGAGTTCCTAAAGGCTGATTGCCAATGTTGCCAAGGAGGGGTTTCATCAGCCACGATGCATCTTATTGGTCCCCTTGGAGATTACCTTCCCACTAAACCTCACACTATCCCCTTTTCTCTCTAGTCCTCATCACTCCCATGCAACCATGGAACGCACATCACAACTAAACACGCCTCTTGTTCCTCTCAGAGACAGCAGACTAACCTTGATCGGTTATCCTCATGCAATCATCTGCCAGCTGCCCTCGTTCGCCAGTTCGCCAGTCACCACGCTCTGCCATCCACTACTACCCGACAAGTTAGCGCGTCGACGAATACGGTCGCCACGTCCCCACTAGCGCTGACGAAACAACCACATCAGGCATTCGAGGATTGCGGAGACGGGAGCAGGAGGACCTGAAAATCGAAACTTGCGTCCGACCCCCACGTCTGATTGGTTGCGCGTTATCGATGTTCAAACAAAGAATGCATGATCGCGGCTTTCGACTTTCAAGACTCGAGGATCAAGAATCGAGACCGTGGTTTGGTGGTCGAAGGAATGAAGGGGGAACATCAGCCATCACGCGTCGAGCACGCTTCCTGCCCGCATATCTGTCGGACATATGATCGTCCTATCATAATGGATACAGCCGTGTCGGAGATCATGCAGAAGCCTCCTGCACGCGGGGAAGAAATTTTCCTTGCACGATGGGATACCGCAGGGCGATTCTGCAATGGATGGTTGATACAGATTCATGCACTGAACGTCCAAACCAGGCAGGTATGCTGGGGATACGACCAGTTACTACCAGACATAACCAATAACGGTTCGAGAACAACTGCCCAGCGCGCCTTGAAGATTTCGATGAAAATGGTGGATTCTAATTTCTGGACTCCAGATACTGGAGCATGGAGGACATGGCATGGCTGACTGACACTTCGGAGATCTCGCTGCACTTGGAAAGCCACGACTCTCGATCATGTCGTTCCACGATTCCTTCCGGCATTCCCGATGGACCCTCATCAGTCATCAGGTGTTGGCTTTCTTCTTGTTCCACCTCGATACGTACTAATTACCTAGGTCCCAACTAGTTAGGACGTCGTGTTCTAAGCTCTCAACTTCCACTCGACCAGATTCTTTTTCGTTGGCATTCGAATTCGAAATCGGCTTTCCTCCCGTCGATCCATCATCCATATGATTCATGTTAATTGGTGTGGATGCCATCTACCCCGCTAATATCCCGGATTCATAATGTTTCCACTTCTTCTCTCCTCAGACCTCAACTCAGGACTCAAGGCTCAAGTGACAAGTCAAGTCATGGGAAATCATTGGAGATCCTGATATCCTCGTTTTGGATGGTGATGAGCGCCACCACGTCAGCTACCTTGCATGCGAGGGTTGGAACCATTGGTGGCGTCTGCCTGGGCCGATCAGTTTCGGCCGGTCCGACGTCCTAGGTTGTGGGCGTCCAATCTGGAGATGATTTTGGCTGTGATCTGACCAAGGAAGTCGGTAGTACTAGGTAAGTATTCTCGGGCTGGGAGAAGATTCTAAGGTACAGATATATCCTTCCTTGCATTACAAAACGCGAAGCACGAAGTGGGATCCCACCGCTATCCATAGGAGAGAGGAAAAGCGTTGTGATGAGATTATCAATAGAAAGGACATATCTCCTCTTCGGTATCAACAAAGTGACCCCTATGGAGTAGACTATCGAATTTGCTTTTGAGGTATAGATAAATTCTGGATGAGGATCGCGCCGCTCCATGGCATTCGTTTCTTGATATCGATGGCACCAGATAAATCATAAGCAAAGGACAGCCTGAGCAAGGCTGCGCTTCAGGTTCTACATAGTATCTCTTACCAATGCTAAGGCCATCATCAATCTGAGGCGTCTTTCATGGCTGCTGGATAAACCGCGCTCTATTCCTCCTAGGTCTATCGCTATCTATTCACCCAGCACGGGATATTCCCCCACAGAAAAGGGCCGCTCCAGTAATACAGACTGTAAAGTGTTCTCGAAGGAGTCAAATCGCTCAAATGTCAAACGCGCCGACAAAGTGCCCAACGACAACTTTGCCTTCGTCGAATCGAGGCTTCGGCATTCGCACGATGATCGCCGCGTGTGTGTGATGGACCTTGTGGATGTAGACGGGGTACTTTTCCCAACCCAGCTCGTCCAACGCGCGAATCATTTCAAATTGGCCTGCGGTGAGCGCCAGAGTAGGGAATTCCGCGTACGGCGCCTTGACCTTGTTCTTTTCCTTCCCGTTCGCCTGTCCGCTCCCTCCGTCCTCGTGTCCGGCACGGGTGGTTTGTGAGTCAGTGGCATGCTCCTCCTCGAGGTACTCTTCCGCCTGCGCACTGTTCATGTTCTCGTAGACTTCCTCGGCGGCGCGTCGGACGTTCCGGACTAGCAGCGGGACTTTATATAGGCGAGTCTGTATGCCCGTCTGCCCGGATTCGTGGAGCCGGATCCGTTGACCGCTCTTGACTGTCTGATATCCCGAGTTGAGGAGGAAGAACACCGTTGCTAGGGGTAGGATGAGGGTGAAGAATGCAATCAGTGGAATCGCATGAATCGCCCTTCTCGCTCTTGTCGTGATCCACTCCCAGAGTGGGACCGACTGCTCCTCCGCTTTCAATGTGATCGGCTTGCTCGCATCGATTAAATTCGGCTCATACCCCTTCAAATAGCTGAAGTTCAAATCATGTAACCCCACGAACGGATCTGTCTTCGTGATCGCCGTGGTATAGTACACCGCGCTCCGATCGTTCAGGATGTTCGTATACAAGCTCCGTCTCTTGAACCGCCCCAATGCCTCCATAAACACGCCCTCCTTCTGCGCCAGCACCTCCAACAACGGCTTCCCCGTGTCCCGAAACTCATCGATTAGAAACAGCTGCCGCCCGGACATCGATAGTGTCCGCGCCCCCACCACGTTCCACACCTGGTTATGCCATCCCTTCAACGGCGTCCGCACGCCCAGATGCGGCGACGCGAACGTCACGAAGTTGATCGGCTCCAGTTTCCCTTCCGCGAACCACCCCTGATGGTACAGCAACCCGATCGCATACCGCGCCACCAGCCCGCCCAGCGAGTACCCCACAACGCTCAGCTTGCGGATCGGCCGGCCCTCTGACGCGAGCGCGGCCAGCGTCTCCTCGATCTCATGCGCGACGCGCTCGCCGCCTAGCTCGATGCCGTCGTAGGTGAAGGCGCCGACATTGCGGGCGCAGTTGAGGATGTGGAGGCGGGAGGGAGGGAAAGCGTCGCGGAGGGTGTCGTGGACGTAGGCGAGGTGTTTCGGGTTGCCCCAGAGGCTAGCGATAAAGGTCAGGTCGGAAATGCGGGCGTAAAGGCATTTGGGTTATCGCGCAACATCTACGTACCCGTGGACCAAAACACATAGGTGGTCCGGTTCTGCCGAGAATGGCGACTCCGTCCCCATCTTCGGAGTATGACAGTCGCCGTACACGAGAGTCGAGAGTTATCTAAAGAATGGCAGGATTTACAACGGTTACCAGGTGGATATGACCATCTCGACAGAAGATGAATACGAATAGTTTGAGGATTCAGAGGGAAGTGACTAGTAGTGGCCTTGAAGTAGGTAATATATATTACATGTGATGGTCAGGAGTGGATGGCGGGACTTGTGAATTGATAGCCCGGAAACGGAGTTCATCAGGCATCAGATCTCCCGTAAAATGACGCGTTGGCTACAAGGGGCATCGCCGGTGGGATTTGTGGACTGCGGCTGCTGCCGAGTGGTGAATCGAATTATGGAAATCAATTTGTTGTCCCGATCCCCGAGCGGCTGTTACTACGTACTACAACACCACCTCTCTTCTGGTTCTGTTAATACTACTACTATTCCGTACATACTGTCAGGTTCTTTATCAAGGTCCGGATCAGGGTATTGACTCTTTATGATCAGACAATAAGGTTGCTAGGAACATCCCGAAATGAAAGTGTGCACGGCCACGTCTGATATCCATTTTCGGAACCCTTCTTCAGTTCTTCTCTCTTGAATCTCGATATATTATCGATCCTAGTCTGGATTGAATATCGCTGGTCCTAATCTTTCATCTTCCCCAGATCCCGAGTCAGGCACAGTGGGCCAGAATGTCATAATGTCATGAAACGATTGCAGATATTACCCCGTCAAAGAAACCTATCTCATTCCAACGCCAGCCTTCTTTGTTCATTGTTTGCTACCTCTGCACTCGACGACCTTCTTAGTGATCTCGCACCACACCATACAGTTCGAGGGCTAAGCGTCTGAAACGCAATATTCTTTCGAGATTCACTTCTCGAAAGTTCGCCCTAGAATCCGCGATGAGAGGCTTAAGCGCCGATTCATCGATCAAAATTCACAATGTTTGCTCCAAAAGGGCTCTTCAGAAATATCCCTTGCCCGCGGCTCGAGGAATGCCAGCTATTGAATTGCCTATTCTCTCATGATAACCAAACGGTCGATTCCAACGAGCAATCCATTTCCTTCGCGACCAGGTCGAAGGCAAAAGTCGATCAGGATGGATCCTCAGTTACAGCTGAACCGGATAGGAAGAGGAGGAGGCTTTCATCGGACGAAGGGGTCTCCGTCCCTGTTGATGATCTATCGACGATGGAGAGGCTAGTCCTACAGGCTCGAACCGGCGAAAACATAACGACACCAGCGCCCGAGGCGCCCGAGAAGTCAGAGAAGTCAGAGAATAGCGATTCAACCTCCTCCCTACTCGGCTCGAAGACCTCTATAGCGGATGCTAAACCAAAGGATAAAAGAGCGGCGATCCCCAGGCGAATATCCCGAGGAATCTCTCCTCCGCCATTGAAACGCCCATCCGGTTCCACAGCCACATCAGTTCCGCCCAAACCGGCAGCTAAACCAACCTCTAAGCCCGTCGTTTGGGAGCCGCTGAATCCTCGTCTGGTGCAGAAAGATCCTGTTGGTCACGGGAGGCGTTTTCTGCTCCTCAAAAGCCTCTATCAAGCAATGAAACGTTTGAATGACGAAGCTGCAAACGTCCCCGAAACAAAGCTGAAAAAGTTACTCCTCCATGAAGGGCAGTTGACCAAAATGGCTCTTGACGAGGAGGAGAAACTCGTTCATGAAGGTGGCTCTGTATACGAAAATCTGGTCAGGCAGCGGCTCTTCGCATACAAGAAGATGAAAGTTACGGAGTGGTTGGAAATTCTTGAGGCGCAAAGAAGGCCGAGAGAATCGGAAACGAAAACCGAGAAACCAATCGAGACAGGTCTTGAGCCACACCAGGAAGTCTCCATGGTATCCCGCTTCAAAGCTGATCAAGAGAGTCTCGAAAAACACGGGTATGTCGCCCGACCTCCGACGGCCGCAGAGGTCCAAGCCGCACGAGAAGGAGAAATGGACGCGAAAGGCTGGGAAGAGTGCGATCGATGCAAAACTCGCTTCCAAGTCTTCCCCGACCGGCGCGATGACGGCGCCCTCACCAGCGGTGGAACATGCGTGTACCATTGGGGCAAGCGACGATTTCCCAAACGAGAAAAGACCGACGCGACTACCGGCACGAAGCCGACATTGTTCGAGTGCTGCAATGAGCCGATCGGTTCGGATGGTTGCACGACGCACCCGACACATGTCTTCAAGGTCTCTGAGGTGAAGCGATTGGCGGTCGTTCACCCGTTCGAACCCACTCCCGATAACCCCGAGATCCCGTCGTCGACAGCGCTGGCGTTCGATTGTGAGATGGGATATACCACTAAAGGGATGGAACTGATCCGCCTCTCTGCCGCCTCCTGGCCCGAAGGCAAATCCGTCCTTGACGTCCTCGTCAAGCCGTTCGGCGCCATCCTCGACTTTAACACGCGCTTCTCCGGCGTGACCCTGGAGCAATTCAACTCGGCCAAGCCGCTCATCCTCAACAACTCCCAAGTTCCCCCCGGAACCGACATCGCCGGCACCAATAGCTACCTCCACATCGTCTCCAGCCCATCCACAGCCCGTTCCCTATTCCTCACCCTCATCTCCCCTACCACCCCCCTCATTGGCCACGCGCTCGAAAACGACCTCAATGCCCTCCGCCTCGTCCACCCCACGATCATCGACACCGTCCTCCTCTTCCCGCACCCGCACGGCCTTCCCATCCGCCACGGCCTCAAGAACCTCGCGCGGGAGTGGCTGCGCCGGAACATCCAGGCGGGCGGGGCGGATGGACACGATAGTCTGGAAGATGCGCGGGCGGCGGGCGACTTGGTGCGACTGAAGATTGCGAGGGAATGGAGGAAGTTGAAGGCGGAGGGGTGGAGGGCGGAGGAGGGGAAATTCGTGGGGCCGGATGCCAAGAAAGGGGTGCCGTCGGGGGAGTTGCCGCCTTATGAGGAACCTTCGGGTGCGTCGAATAGGAAAAGGAAGAGCAGTTATTAGGCACTACGTATGAGCTATCGAACATTTCTCGGAAAGGCGAATCCTGCAACGTACTAATTGATCATAACTTGTTAACTTCGCCGTCGCTGTCTTGCTGATGATCCCAGATATCCGTAAACCCAATTTTTTGGCCATTGCCATTATATTCGCCCTGAACCATTTAAACTCTCACTCCATATTCGCGTCGCTATTTGATACACAGCACTAAGTCTTGATCCCTTCCGAAAAGACATTGACGATGCCAGCAAAGGGCTCAATTAGCATACCCCTCATGTCGTCTTCTTCTTGCGTCCACGCTTGTTCTGCTTTGGCGCCTCAACATCAGCAGCGGCAAGGTCAGCGTCCGCCTCCGCCTCCGCGGGAGGGTCTGACTTCTTGGGTCGTCCTCGCTTCCTCTTGGGCGCTTCGATCTCGTCAGCGGTAGGTTCCGCAGCGGCAGTAGCAGAGACCTTTCGTCGTGATCGTTTCGCGGGCGCGGCTTTAGGTTCTTCTGCGCTGGCGGAAACCGCAGCCTTTCGGCCACGCTTTTTGGGTGCCTCGGTTTCAACAGCCGGCTTCTTTTCGACGGTCTCTTCCTTCTTGACGCGCTTGCGAGAGGGCTTTGGCTGAGCCTCCACGTCAGCGTCGGTGGTGTCCTCTTCCTTCTTGATACGCTTGCGAGAGGCCTTGGGCTGAGCTTGCACGTCAGCGTCGGCGGTGTCCTCTTCCTTCTTGATACGCTTGCGCGAGGCCTTCGGCTGAGCTTCCACCTCAGCATCGGCATCTGCCTCTTCCTTCTTGACGCGCTTGCGGGATTTCTTGGGCTTCTCTTCAGCAGGGGCATCTTCGTCCTCAACAGACTTGGCAGCCCGCTTTCTGCCTTTGTTGGCCACGGGCTTGTCATCGTTGCCAGCCTCTGCTGCAGCTTTTGTTTGAGCCCGCTTGGGTTTTTTCTTCGTGGGACTCTCGCTATCGCTGTCATCTTTCTCGTTTTCGTCTTCTTCCACCTTGGAGGTAGGGCGGCGTCGGACTCGGAATCCCGACTTGCCGGGGCGATTACACTCGAGGTCCTGCGGAGAGGGATCAACAAGGTATCCATCTTTCTATAGATGGTAAAACCTACTCCTCGCCAATCTTCATCATCAACGTGCCCTTGCTCGAGAGCCTTTCGAGCCTTGGCTTGAAGTTCGGCCGGGAGCTCGTCGTAGCCATCCAGTAGATCGAAATCATCGTCAATATCGCTTTTCAAATTCGCAATCTGCTTGGGTGTAACGCAGCCCCTTGAAAGGTAAGCATTTGTGCGGACAAAGTAGCGAGGGAACTCACCAATGACGCCAGCTCCAGCCTCCACGTTCAAGGGCGGCATATTCGACCCAGGAGCCGAACCTCAGCTCGCCTTTCACGAGCTTGACCTTTGCAGCCTTGCATTCGGTGTTTTTGCAGACTGCCCGACCAGTCGTGGACTCCTCTGTTGAATATACGAATTAGCCACAGCATCAAGCTGAAAAGGAAAGCGGGACAAAGATAATGAGCGACATCTTGATTGAAATAAGTTAAAAGATACATCGTCGCATTATTCTAGTTAAAACTGATAGAAGTGGAAAATATCTTACCAAGTCGGTACGGCATTGTGAGCTTGTTGGGTGAGCGTCAGACCACTCCGGAGCTTTGATATCTTATGTACGATATACGGGATTGAAGGAGGGATAGAGTTAATTGAATCAATGGGAGATTAAGAGATAGCGCAATGAGAGCGCTGCTGGATGATATATTTAGTGGGATTCGATTTGAAGTTTGAAGTGAGTAGAATGTATATGCAGGATAGAGGTGATGATCGCAAATTCGCCAATTGGCAGTGGTGTCTGAATCAGTGACGACACGCGTGTCCTAGACCCATAATTAAGACACGTCTCACGTGTCGAACCCTGCACGTGTGGCTCGTTATGTGGCGCGTGTGCACGTGACTCAGCCCTGTCACTGGGTCTGATTAGTCATCATTTCATTTCCAGAACTGCAAAACATCTTGTCGAAATAAAGTCGAACCTAAAATTTCCAGCGCCGCTGTTGGATTATATACACTATCAACCCCAACGCCGACCTCCTTCTTTCCCTTTCTCTTGAATAGAGCGAAGAAATCAGATGTTATCAGAGGTCCTTCTGCAGCGGGAGTGCCTATTTGCCGGGCTACGGGTGAAGGTTGCTCAAACCTCCGACCCAGTATGCTACTCATCACGATTTTGATATATCCCGGATAGATATTGCGAAACCCTTCCTCCAATCCGCTGTCACATACGACGTCCCTCGATTCCCACTCATGCGACTCCCCTAGTCGGCCGGCTTCGAATCTCTTATGCGCAGCACTCCACCCATTCTCCTCTCTGCTGGCAGGAGATCCAAGCGCACGCCTTTTTGGTCGGTTCCATCACGCGCCATCCACGGATCGAAAACGTCCAACTCAGAATCGGGGCAATTGGAGCGATACCTGCCATTGCCAATATGGAAAACCCGGCCGTCCAAGCCCGTCCATGAGGGCACCCGACCCCGTTACGTGAAGCCGACATCAAAGAAGGGGTACAGCGAATGGATCAGGCTTTTGAGGCCGTGGACCCATGGGAAATCCGCATTCTCGAGTCCAGATGATACCGTTGGAGGCGCCTTCGCGCAGAAACGCCGGACACAGAGTTTGAGGAGTCTGAGGAACCACTTCTTAACGGCCTGGGCGCAAGATCGAGTCAACATTTTAATCAAACTCGGCCGCGATGAGGGTCAATGGGAAGTTGTTCATAACCTCATCGAATTACTGGTAACCAGAGACGACGATCAATCTCGGGAGTCTTTGGCTCAAACTAATATTGTCTGGGGACAAGCTGTGAATCTCGATACCTTAACCGAGACACCGATCAATCACGTAACCGACTGGGTGCCAACCAAGGGTGCCAAGCTACCGTTAGACAACGCCTACTCCCAGCCGCGCAGACTCGCACGGGAGCATAGCAATAACCATCGGCATGCCACTATCGGACTAATATGGAGGACCTTAGCCGCAATGGTGCTCCATGTTTCGGCTCATGGAGGTTCCGAGGAGATAATGCCTCATGTCCTACGAATCATTGCAACGTTGCACCATAATGACGATATCCCGGCCGCTGTCTACACTTATCCCCTTGTCCCTGAAGACACCCTGCCTCTGAAATCGCCGCTCCTTTCAACTCTTTCGACGCGAATACTAGCAGCGTTATCGGATGCTGCGCTTCTGGCCCGGCAAGAGCGCCTGGATCACACCCGTGGGCAGCCAAAACCTTTCTCACTTACTAGCTCTTGGACCAGATTTCGAAGTGCTGAGATTAGTCACGAGGTCTGGATTGAATTTATTCTTTCGGCCTGCCTGCATGGAGGTTGGCCCGGCCAAGGCAGCGGGATCATCGCACAGATGTCGGGGCGTCAATGGAAGACCATCGATTGGCGCAAACACACGGACGCTTCTCAAGCAGAACATGGCATCCAAAAGTCATCGATCCTACTGGAGGCCGGTCGGGGCCAATCCAGTCTTCCTGATGGATTGCGGCATACAGTATCATGGGAAGTTGTCGCAGGGATTGCTTCCGCTTTGGTCAACTCCTTACACGCAGGGGTCGGCAATCGAGGGGTCCCGGCGGACATTACACTTCAAAACATCCGAAAGTGTAAAGAAATGCTCCAAAGGAATAACATGTGTCTTGGGACTATGTCCTGGGATATCATGCTCACTCGGCTGCTCAGTTCCGAGGGAGTTGACATTGTCAACGCGCCGAACTTTGCCCTTACCGCAACGACCATGCTATCCTCCCGGTTTGGAGTGGAAATCCAAGCGCAGAATGCACCGTCCATCTCTCAGGGAGCGGTCGATAACGATACTGTTCCGTTTGAACCCAGCTCAGCGAGTCTCGGAATCATGCACTGTATACTTCGATCGCACATTGCCTTCGGAAATCCAGATGGTGCAATGGAAGCCTTTTCGCAGCTACTGAAGCTCACCGACGAGAACAAGTTGTTGTCGGTGCAAAGCTTTTTCCGACGGTTTAAGGAACAGGACAAACTTCAAACAACAACACCACCGACATTCAGTTTTGAGAGCCGAAGTCCTCGCATAGAGTACCCGAACTACGACCCAAATCTTAGTCTTGATATCCTTGGAAGATTTCTGGACCTCACCGTTTCATCCGGAAATCTCGCGTTTGGGAAATGGTTGCTTTACTCCGAAGACGTTGACGGGCCCATGATCAAAGAGACCGATTACTCTAATATGCATCTTGCACCGGCCATGGTTCGCTACGCCATCAGCGCCAACGACGAGGCCCTGTTGCAGAAAGTATTGACCGTGGGGAGTGACGAGCAGGCGGACTTGCGGCTCCTGACGCTCGCTGATCTATATGCTCTACGACATGACTGGCGACGCCTGACCGTTATCCTGGGGGACCTATCCGATCAAGCACGAGCCGCTCTTCCCGTTACTCTCTTGGCCACGGTTGCTCGCGCCCTGCTCATGGTATCCGCCAGCGCTGGAAGCGCAGATCCTTCACAGCTGAATGCAGCTAAAAGCGTCTATAAGACGCTCCTCGACACCTACGCTGAATCGCCCAAGGGAAGGGCGGCAGCAACGGTAATTAATCTCCTTCTAGCATCCGTGGATCCAGTGTATTTCCAGGACGGATGGCAGAGGCCTTTTCGCTATGACGGTGGTATCGGTTCCCCCTCCATTGATCACTTCAATTTGGTCTTGGAAGGTGCCTGTGCATGCGGAGGTTCAGAAGCGGGTATGAATTTGCTGAGAAGTTGGTGTATCCGTTATCCATCCAGCACCGCGTACGAAGAACCGTCATCATCATCGTTGTTCCCAAAGACCCCTTCCAAATTCCTTTCTCGACCGCCGAGTACATTTGAGTCTATCCCGAACCTGAACAGGCACGCCGGTGTCCCTGTCATGCGACGCGAAAGCGACTTCATTGCGAAAAACGTCCAAGATGTGGTCCTTGATCTCCCTGGGAAGGGATCATCGCGTTTAGGAGGGGTCCGACGACTCACTCCCAACGCCAGCACCATCCGGGCCCTCTTTCGCTCCGCGCTGGAGGATGCGCTATCACTCCCATGGATTCTTCGTCTAACCCCTCCCATTCAGATCCAGGAGTTGAAGACCTTGGTTGACATGGACTGTGGTGTTGGAGAAGCTGGCGACGGACATTCGCTACCGTCGTCGGAAACGTCCGAGACGGAGTTGCACATCCGCTCCGTTTTGAAGGTGTGCTGCGAGGAGTTCTCCGCGATGAACCGCAGCAGTACGGGCATCAGTGTACGATCGGAGTTGGACGCGGCGTTGACATCACTCTTTCCTCAAGATTGGCATGGTCAGGGGCCAGGCGTCATGGAAAATGGACCGCATGGATCAGGACGGAAGGTGGATTGAATTGGAACATTACGGCAATATACCCCATCTCACCAAGTGCCAATGATGGCAATGTGAATAGCACTCTTGTACGATATATGTAGCATACCTCTTGAATAGATCTATCAACCATCTTCCGCTTCCAGCCACGGTGAAATCTCCGCGGGGTTGTCTCGGGAGCGAGCGGATCACGTGCAACTTGCAAATCCGAATTCAACAACATCTGCCCCACCGGCAAATCTCGACCTTCGGAGTTCGGACCCTGCCAAAGAACTAACCTAAGCGCTCGGTTCCGATTGCTTTTCCCCTGCCTCACGCTTATTGGATGATCCGCTCGAAAAAAAGAGCCTCCTCCGCTTGGAGAATTGGGGCTCTGCTGGGTGGTTGTCCCTCCGTTCCACTTCGACGTTGAGAGCCGGACGATCCCATCCGCGGCGCCGTGTCTCTCGTGTCTGGGTCCGTGAGAAACTGAGGATTCCGTTCCGCTGCACGTTGAATTGTCCCTCCGCCCCCTTTGTGGAGAAACCGCACGTGTGGCAAATTGAGACATCAGGACCATCTTCCGTATTCGGAGCACGATCGAGAGGGGCGGTTCAAGTTAAAGGTGGGTGGGTGGCTTGCATCGACGCCAGTGATGCAGTCGACCCCTCGACGGGAGGACGCAACAACCCCCGAAAGGAACGGAGGATGTGGATTCATTGTCGATAGTTGATGTCAGATTGTGAGTAGAGTAGTAGACTCAAAGTAGAGAGCATTTTATTCCATTGCCATTGGCGCAAAATGGATCTCCATACGACACCCGACAGGGAACCGGCCTCTAATTCCCAGCACACCGCCCTTTCGACGTCCCGTCGTATCTGGCGGGATGTTGGACGTTTGACGCAGATTGGACCGCCATCGGATGCCCTCCCATGCCGTGACACGCCGCTACCACGCTACCTGCAGTTTCAGGGAAAGTCATGAGGGTTCGAGATTCGACTCCAGAAGAGTAGGAGACTCGTGCTTAGCTGTTGTATACGTACGATGGTCAGACATCGGAGGAATCATGTATTCGATGGTAGATAGAAGACCACCAGACCATAGCGATTCTTTTGATGAAGAGTGCCCGGCGAGGGGCAAAGAACGATGTTCAACATCCACAATTCCCATCACGACTTCGGAGATCCGATCATCAGTGATTAAACGAACGCCGCCTGACATCCTGGCGCCTGTGCTAGTTTCTCAGCCGCCGCAGCCATTGGCAAACCTCGAAAACTGGGGGTTTAATCAATCGGATGCGTCTCATTCGTCCGCCCATGATTGATTTGCAGACTGCATGAAGCTGTTGTACACACTACACGATACAGATGAAAGATACTGGTAGTTTCACGGTCGACAACGGGGGGGCGGTCGTCTGCTGTTATGGGGCAAATTCTAGACTCGGTCTCGACAGGCAGCAACGATTTGTCCAGGCAGTCACGCCCATGGTTGATGCTGCGCATCGTCAAGGACACGAAGCATGATATAATTGGAAAGCGTGAGAAACTCTGAGAAGGGGGATTAGTGGGACTATGGTGATTTCAATTCTCTTCATGTTTCGGAAGGAGAGAGACAAAGGATGCGAAACGTGAGGTTTGCCACATCATGACTCCCATTTATACCGGCATCAGGCGGCGACTCTTAAAGAAAGCCATCTTCTATCACCAATTCACCATGGTGACTCGACGACATCATGAAGTAACCATTAACATGGAAGGATTCGGACCGATCGAGACAGTGACGATATTCTCCTCATGTTTGGTACGAGGGGACTCACCACGAGCGGGGCGTGCCAGCTGCCAGCAGGTGGTGACCAAATCGCACGTCCATCGTTTCCTCCAGGGGACGCAGAACGCAGGGGGTCAACCCACCTACAGCGAAGGAAATATGGACCAGCAACGGCAGGTTGCCGCCCACACGCTGAAGGGAACGGAAGCCCATCCCTGGGCCATTTCAGTTTTCACAGTGGTGAGTTCAAGAGGTGCAATTCAGTGACTGGGGAAGGGCAGTGAGAGGCCATTCGAGCATCAACCATATCCCCGCGGTGTCCCTCAGTCTGTCTCCCGTTTACATTTGTTTGTTCATGGTGCCAATAGTCAGTTAATTATTGCCGGTCCAATTGATTATTCCCTAATTCCATCCCAAATATCAGCCGGTCAGTCCACTGAAGGTCAGATCCTGATGGTTAGGTACGGAAGCACAGTGGTTAGTGGTAGTGATGAAGCTAAAACCGTTTGACCGCTAAACGGCGCTAGTGAAGACCCCCAGTTGCTCCGTTGCGGAAAATTCCCCCCCTCCACCTCGACTTTTCCACTCGTCTTCTCTTCTCTTCTCTTCTTCCTTTCATTAATTCCCCCAAAGGACAACACAGTCACCTCCAGTCAACATTTAGAAGTCTCCAATCAAGGTCAAATCCATAAACCATATCTTCGTCGAGACACCATGGCCCAGTCCATCTCTGAGCTGTAAACTCTCCGCTGGGGGACGCTCATCCGGGCGTCTCCCAGTTCGGCCAGCCTCAGGAATACCACAGACAAGACGCTCAACGAAGATATATATCGAACGAATTCTCGATTGGTCGGTTCTCATAGAGCTATCAGGGTCGACGTTCGTATCAATTCATACCACTCGACTTGGAAAAGCCTGTTCTCCTTCCGCGAACGCCCCGGCGACCCTCGACACGTTTTGACTCCTCACCCCGTTCCCTCCGACGACAAGTTGAGTTGCTTGCACTTCTTCTTCTAGCGTTTACTGCAAATACTTTCCTTCCAGGGTATTACACTCGCATCCGCACCGCTTGTCGTCACCACCCATACCACCTTCGAAATCCACCGACCGACCGAACGATCCCCTCAACTCCAGACAACTCCCTCCTTCACCGTTCCGTTGACGCTCCCCCACTTCACCTTTCGGGAGCATTTCGACCTCAACCACATTTCTCTTTGCATCTAGTCATCTAGTACTCAAACACCAGTCAAGATGAATGCACAAGCTTCCAAGGCGTCCAAGGACCGTCGATATACTCAGACTCTCCAGAGCAACGCCGCCCGAAGCCTCCGATCCCGAGCGAGAAGTAGTGCCAGTACGGATTCCTCTTTAAGTGAGACATTCTCTACCCCTGGTGATCCGGCTGCAGAAGAAGGTTCTGCTGAAGAAGACGACTGTACGGAACCGGAGTCTCAAGCGGAGGATAGCGAAAAGCCAGAGGTGATTGCCCCGTCTGATGGGTTTCTCCAAGGACTTGATGAGCCTGGCACCGACGGTGAACAAGATGTAAAAGATGTAAACACCGTCGAGTCATGTGGACATCAGGCGGGGCACAAAGACGACGTTCAGCACTCTCATATCCCCACCCCAGAGCCAAGCACCACCGGACACTCAATTGCTGATAACCGGGAGTCCTTTCCCATGGACATCACTACCCCTGTCCGGGACTTTGATATTCACTCCTCTGGAGTGGACGTTCCCACACCAAATGCCCAACCCGAAAGCCCCTCACCGAGGGTTGTCGAGGTTGATGATGACGACTACAACGCGGTCAATTACATTCCTGACGATGACGATGACGGCAATGACGATTCCATTGAGTTACTAGAAGAGCAGGACATCATCCAAGAAGAAGCCAAGCGGCCCGCTCCACGGATCGAAGACTTCATGGACGAGCCGGACGAAATTTCCCACCGATTCAGCATGGAACTAGAGATGCTTTCGGCAGAGGAAGACCCCGCGTCCCCAGTCAACCGGATGGAACTCGACGCTCCCAGCTGGAACATGTTCCAGGCCCATACGCCACTCTTCCCCGCCCGCAAGCGCGTCCGCTTCGACGAGACGGCTGAACACCAAAACACCCTCCGCGGATTCAAGGCCGGCGCGGACCAATGGGCTGTCCCAGTCGAAGATCTGAGCCCCAGTATGCGCCGCATGATTGATGGCGAGGATAATGGCTTCAGCACTGATGGTTCGTCCGACGCCGCGAGCGAATTGATACGTCTGCTAACCTGATTGATCTAGACTCGGGCGACACGACTGACGAGGAGATGCCGGTATGGGTGCCGTCCCCTGCCGCAAACAAACCAACGCCGCCGCGCACCCGGTCCAAGGCAAAGAGCCCTCGTCGACCCTTGGGATCCGGACCGGCGATTGGGAAGTTCGTCGTCGAGGTGGACAGCGACGCGAGCATCTGCATCTTCAATGGCCGGACGAAGCAGATCGACATCATCACTCCTCGCAAACGACAGACTCCTCTGTCAGGCATGTCCTCCGTCACCTGCAGCACTGCGGGCAACAGCCCTCGCACTCCGATGTTGCAACTTGATGATGTCGACAGCGATGGGTCCCCCACCAAATATTTCTCCACGGACGTCATGCTCGCTGGGCAGTTCAACAACATAGGCTCCAGCGGCAACATGTTCGGAGCTCGCGTCGGTCCACCAGAGTCTTTCATGCCCAGCAACCCCGGCAGCGAGCAGTCCTGGTTCGACCTCTCCGACCCATTCACCGCCTTCGATGGAATCGGCTTCGACGAAGCCGCCGAGAACGACGAGCAAGGGGAGGTCAACATGGGCGAATTCCTCGACCTAGAAGAGGATGACGACGTCGCCATCGACGACGCCACCGACGCCGCGCTGCTTGTCCCCACCACCCGCAAGCGCAAGGCCTCCTCGTCGTTTCGTCGTGGCTCCTACTCCGTCGAGTCCAGCAAGGTCGGGGCGTTCCGCCGCAACCAGGAAGCGGCCAAGCGCGGCGGCGACACGCGTGACCTGGAGGCGTCGCGGGTGGCGTTCGCGACGCTGGCGGAGGAGACGTTGATGGGGCTGCCGCGGACGAAGAAGAAGCGGCGGATGTCGTCGATGAGCCACGGTGGCCGGCGGTTCGAGACGTTGTTCGAGGAGGATTGAGTGCTTTTTGGAGAGACGCCCATGAAATGATGTGCGCAGGTAGTTGGTCATGGTTTCTGATCATCTACGGGGATGGATGCGGTGCTTCTTTTCTGTTGAAAGATACCCACGCCTTTTCTTAACGCGACCCACCGACTCACGACCGCATGTACCCCACTACGGCACGCAACAAGCGCCTCGATATCGTGGCTCGCATGGACATTACGGCCTCATGATGGATTATGACACTATACATTTCCTTTCTTGCTGTGGGCCTCAAGGCAGATGGATGGATGGACTGGATGCCCGTTTTCTTTTAATCAGTCGCTCTGATTCCCAGCAGAGCCAACCCAACGCATCGCTTTCTTTTTTCTTCAAAAAAGGGTTGGGGGAATACGGATGGGACTTGGGGGATGTTTGAGTTCCTTACGGATCATGGCGTGGGAAGGGCGGACATGGTTACACGGGAAATCCGAGAGATATTGGGATGGCATGAGTAGGGGATAGCAAGCGGCAAGCAACGCAAGCGAGAGACATCCCCAAAAGTATGACGGTATTAGTATTGCATAGCTATAGTTAGCTGTAGCTGGAAAATAAAAGTTACTATATTTAATGTAGTCTGGACTCCGGATATCTGTGAGGTGTGCGATAGACTCGCTGCTTCTTCCCGTGCAGTTTAAGCCAGTTTTGTGTTAGCTGTCTACCCACGCGTTCCCGTCCCAAGACCAGCAATCGCAGTATGCAGGCTTGGATATTGCAGTATCAACGGGTCATTGCGAACGCCTCGGTAGACTCTCCACGCCGGATGGTCCAATTGCTTTTTGTCCTCTGTCCACATGATGCTGTGACGTGACGACATTGCCCCGTGTCCATACTGAGTGGTGACCGGAGGCTGCGCCATGCCTCTTTGTCTGCCACGGGAACTGGCGAGAAAATGGAATAAACCTGGCGGTGTCAGGCCATGTTTGAGTCAGGGACAAACTACCATTTAATTAATCCTCTTCTCAAGTAAACCAAGGCCTCGGACGTGGGGATCAAGGAGGATCCAGCCAAGTGGACAAAGTTCTTTTGGTGAAGGAAGTGGATGGACAGATACAATTTGAAAAAAATCCGAAAATCCCTTATCATTCCCCCATCTTCGATAATGCCACCACCCAAGTATATCGTCAATTCTTAATGTCCATTCCATACAAATCCCACCGGATAATCCCACTACGAGTAGCAGAGATCCTTGTGTGGTGACGCAAAGACGCAGGTGCTTTGCTGGCTCCTCACCTTGGTACTGCCACCCAAATTAACTCTCGTCTCTCGTAGCTACTGACCGGTACATCGGAAAAGTGAAAACTACCATTCACCTCTTCCCTCCTCCTTCTTCTTCTTCTTTTCTCACATCAAATCGCAAGCACCGCGTCCCTCCTCCGGATCGAAAGCCTTCTCGTGCTTATACCCTGTCTCTCGATCGACCATCGAGTGGTGTTTTTTGTCCCACCCTCATCCCTACGCAATTCGACCTGCCCCTCCATCATCGGTCTCAAACAACCCTGCATCCTCAACGCGCTATTAGTACCTCCCACAGTGCTCAATCGGTTCTTATTCAACGTCAAATAGGCCCAATCACCTCCAAGAACCCCGACAATGGAGCCCGTCCCCGCCTCTACCAACCCCAAGGTCTCGCACAAACGCCGCATCGGCGTGCTGACCAGCGGCGGTGATGCGCCCGGCATGAACGGCGCCGTGCGCGCGGTGGTGCGTATGGCATTGGCGCAGGGCTGCGAGGCCTACGCCGTGTACGAGGGCTACGAGGGGCTCGTGCAGGGCGGCGACATGATCCGCGAGATGGGGTGGGAGGACGTGCGCGGTTTCCTCTCCGAGGGCGGCACGCTGATCGGGTCGGCGCGGTGTGCGGCGTTTCGAGCGCGACCGGGGCGGCTGCAGGCGGCGAACAATATGGTGTTGAGAGGGATTGATGCGTTGGTGATCATTGGGGGCGATGGGAGTTTGACGGGGGCGGATATCTTTCGGCGGGAGTGGCCAGGTCTGATACAGGAGCTGGTGGAAACGGGGGTGAGGAAGGAGGAGGAGGTGGCGCCGTTCCAACATTTGAATATCGTGGGGATGGTGGGGAGCATCGACAATGACATGAGCAGCACGGATGCGACGATCGGATGCTATTCGTCCTTGCATCGGATCTGTGAGATGGTGGATTACATCGACGCGACGGCGCAGTCGCATCAGCGGGCCTTCGTCGTCGAGGTCATGGGCAGACATTGCGGTTGGTTGGCCCTCATGGCGGGAGTGAGCTGTGGCGCCGACTTCATATTCATCCCAGAGAGCCCTCCGCCGGAGGATTGGGAGCACTTGATGTGCGGCCGGGTAGAAAATGTGAGTGCAGGAGACCGATGTTAGGGGAAACGGCATGGAGCTGACGCATCGCAGAACCGCAAGCGTGGCAAGAGAAAGACCATCGTCATCGTTGCCGAGGGGTCTCAGGATCGAAACCTCAATAAGATCACGACGGCCATGGTCAAGGACGTGCTGACAAACCGAAGCCATCTCGACACTCGCATCACTACCCTTGGTCACGTTCAGCGAGGCGGTCAAGCGTGTGCGTACGACCGCATGCTTTCCACCTTGCAGGGCGCCGAAGCAGTCAAGGCCGTTCTCGAAGCGACCCCTGAGACGCCCAGTCCGGTCATCTGCATCATCGAGAACAAGATCGTGCGGCGGAATCTGGTAGACGCGGTCGAGGCTACGCAGAGGGTGTCTAAGCACATTGCGGAGAAGAACTTCGAGGAGGCGATGAAGGGGCGAGATGCGGAGTTTCTGGAGTACTACAGGAACTTCCTCATCACCACGGATATCGAACGCGAGGACCTCCTACTTCCGAAGGAGAAGGTGAGTTTTTTGAACGTTCAGGCGTATACTCGTGGCTAATGTCGCCGTAGCGCTTGCGAATCGGCATTATCCACGTCGGTGCCCCGGCGGGAGGGATGAACGCGGCAACCCGTGCAGCGGTCGCGTACTGCCTTGCTCGGGGACACACTCCCGTCGCCCTTTACAACGGCTTCCCCGGCCTGTGCCGTCACCACGACGATGAGCCTCTGGGGTCGGTCCGCGAAATCAAATGGCTCGACGCTGACAATTGGGCATCCCGGGGTGGGTCGGAGATCGGATGCAACCGCGGCCTGCCCGAAGCGGACATGGAGACGGCGGCCATGTGCTTCAAGCAGCACAACATCCAGGCGCTATTCTGTATGGGCGGGTTCGAGGCCTTCACGGCGGTCAGCCAGCTGCGCAAGGCGCGCGAGCACTACTCTAGCTTCAAGATCCCCATGGTGGTCATCCCGGCCACCATCTCGAACAACGTCCCCGGGACCGAGTACTCGATCGGGAACGACACCTGCTTGAACGCGCTAATCCAGTACTGCGACGCCTGCCGGCAGTCCGCCTCGTCCAGCCGTCGCCGCGTCTTCGTCATCGAAACCCAAGGCGGCGCCTCCGGCTACGTCGCCACCGTCGCCGGGCTCAGCATGGGCGCGTTGGCCGTGTACACGCCGGAAGAGGGGATCAACATCGACATGATCAACGACGACATCAAGTACCTCCGCAAGGTCTTCGCCAAGGACAAGGGCCAATCCCGCGGCGGCAAGATCATCCTCCGTAACGAGAAGGCGTCGAAGACCTACACGACGGACTTCATCGCCGACATGATCCGCGAGGAGGCGAACGGACGGTTCGAGTCGCGGGTCGGTATCCCCGGGCACTTCCAGCAAGGCACCACGCCGTCGCCGATGGACCGGGTGCGCGCGACACGGTTCGGGATCAAGACGATCCAGTACCTGGAGATGTTCGCCGGGCAGAGCAAGCAGGACATCGCGGACGACCCGATGAGCGCTGCGGTCATCGGGATCATCGGGAGCAACGTGAAGTTCAGTGCCATGGAGAAGGTAGAGAAGACGGATACGGATTGGAAGAATCGGAGGCCGAAGAACGAGTTTTGGAGGGAGTTTAAAGTGCTGGTGGATACTTTCAGTGGGCGAAATCTGAAGAGGTACTAAAGACTAGACGATTTTGGAGGCGATTTAATGAAGGTTGCATTCAAGACGGTCACGACCACTTCGACGCCTAAGGGTCTTCCATCCCTACAGTATATAATCTTGAGTTGTTTACACGGGCAATTTTGTCGGAAATACTTCGCTGACAGATTTAGCTAAACCCTACAATGACATATCGACTCCCCATCGAACCATTAATATTCTTCCTTAAAGTCGCGAAGCCTGCCTTGCTGAAAGCCTTGCTGAAAGCCTTGCTGAAAGCTGTGATCCCAGACAGCATATACTACACATGCGAGGGGTCAGAAAGCATGGACAATTCTATTGAATATCACTTCGCCGCTCTACTCAACAACTAACCTCACCACCTCCGCGACGCCTCCATCCCCTCCCCGTTCAACCATCACCCTCTGCATCAGCGACGCCAGCGCATCCAACCCACCCCCATCCACCCCCTCCTCCTTACAGGCCTGCAAAATGTTCCGCACCCCCGCGAGCTGCATCCCCAGCGGATTTCCCATATTGTCCTCCCACGCTTCCTCGTCCACGGCCGTGGCAATCTGCCCCACATATGGCACCAGCGCCGCCAGCAGTGGCACGACGACCTTCTCCACCGCGGGCGCAATCTTCGCATCCCCCTTGCTCCCCGACCTAGCGAGTTGCTTCTGTAGCAGCCCCATTCCTACGAACGCGCCAGCGAACATCCCGTACATGGCAGCCAGCGCCGCAAGGTCGCTCGCCGCCGCAGAGGTGACGTCCTCGCCCGTGTAGAGCGCTGTGCCCAGGGGAGCGACGACGCTAGCCATGGCGGCTTGGAAGCGCGCCTCGGTCGCGCCGCTGAAGAGGAGGAACGCGTGCGGCGTGCCGACCAGCTGCGGGGTGACCATGACGGCGCCGTCAAGGTAGAGTTCTGCGCCGCGCGCAGTCATCCATGTCTGTGCGTCGGTGGCTTGGCGGGGGGTGCCGTTGGTGAGGTTGATGATGGTTTTGCTGGCGAGGGAAGGGACAGGGTGGAGGGCGGTGTAGATGGCGGGGTAGTCGAGGAGGCAGATTAGGATGATGTCGGCGTGGGCGATGGCGGTCACGAGGTTCGGCTCGAACTTGGCGCCGGCATCGACGAGGGACTGGACTAGTGGGCGGGAGGGGGTGCGGTTCCAGATGGTGAGGTTGGTTGTTGGGGAGGAGGAGCGGAGGAGGGTCTGGGCGAGGGCGGCGCCCATGTTGCCGATGCCGAGACACAGGATTCGAGGAGAAGACATGCTGATGAAGTTGAGATCTGAAGATGATGCGTTGGATGGCGATGTAGTTGTTGCTGTTGTGCTGGTGGTTTGATGTCTTCATCGCCGTCCAACACGGTACTTTATATAGAGTCTAGCAGCGCCATTCATCTCCATTGTTGAAACCGAGAACTCCGCAATCCGTAACTTCGCCAATCGCACAGGAAGCTATTCAGTCCCTCGCTATCCACTAATTACCAATATCCCCGACGGTGACCAAATGAAGAACAAGCCCCTGGCATATCCACTTTGGATATCGTATTCTCCCACCCCAAGACGAAGGGAACCAGACCGTGAATCACGCCGTGCGGACTTGGCGCAGGATAGCATTAGTAATTCGAGGCACCGGGATAGTATCAGAGGCACTGCTTAGCAATCGGAAATTCAGAACAGCCATCGCCTTCCATTCGCTAGATCAAAGCTTGTTAGCGGACTTGGCAGCCAGCATTGAAGCCGTTATATCAAGACAAGCAAGACTGCGTCGATAGTTGTGCGTGTACGGGGCTCCGATCCAATCTATCAACATTCAGTGAAGCCACTAACTCAGTGTACTAGCATTTGTCAGCAAAGTTCAGTGTAGCCTGTAGGGTGCAGTGTAGGGTAGGTATCAACGCGGGGCTGTGGTTGGATTGATATATGCAGTGGATTTGTGTGAACGACTTCCTGATTAGGCAAACGTGAAGCTATTCCCACATATTCGGACATCGTACCGTCACTTTACCCCAACCGTTCAAGTTCTGCATATACTTCTATTACCAAAGAGATCAACTCTATTGCGCCTTTTCTGTTTATTGGAAAACTCAATTAAGGCGACGGCAGACTTCTACTACTCTTACCTAGTAGCGTGTTAGTGAAGCTTCCCAATGTGTCTCCCCTCTCACTGAATCACTGTAATATAGCAGGGTGTGAACAATCAAGACTCTCAAACCGTGTCAGCGACCGACGGTGTCAATAAGACTCTTGAAGTTCCATTCACTGATGGCCTGGCGGGGCTTACAGAGCACATACCTCTGCCGAACGTCGATGATACCATTCGCAAAAGGATAGCTGGGAGACTGAGAGGGGGTCGGCGGGAGTAGTTATGTTTTCGAGTTAAACATGAAGTTGGAAAATAGGACATCGCGCTATCCCCAATATAGGAGGTACACTGATACGCCAAGTGATTAGATCGATTCCGGATTCTAGTGCATTTATTTATGCCTTAATGCCTAAGTGCCTTGCAGATATTCCGTTCCAGCTCCTCACTCCCCTGCATCTCTCCAGCCTCTGCTCTCCTTCTCCTCCTCCTCTCCCCATCACCTATCATCCCATCTCCTCTAATTAATACCCTGCCTCAAATACAGGGAGGCTTCACCACTTCCTGAGGCCACTTCTTTCTCGACGTTCCCTCATCATGCTTTCATCCGTTTAGCCCGTTCAATTCTTCGTATCTACTTTCAAGCGAGCGTACTATGTGAATAGGGGATCGACATTGAATTCCATCGCCATCCGGCGCGTCTCCAGCTTTTGACTTTTTCTCGCTGATTCCGACATCTATACCACCCCATTCAATTCCATCGGCTCATTAGCACGATCTCCTCATCTCGATTATAATAACTTTCACCCCGTCACGACCCGAATCGCTGCACTGTCCCTCGCAAACGCATGCCTTTCGCTTCTCCGCGACCCTGACTCCAAATTCGACCCGACCCGAGCTCCACCCTGGAACGTTGATCCGCACCGCTCAACCATGGCACCACCGGCCTTCGAACCGTTAACCCTCACGCCCGTCTCCTTCAGCCTGACCGCTGGAACCGACATTCCCGCACCGCTCGAGACCCCACCCGAATCCCCACGGCCCCCGACCCCCGGCCGCGGCCCCCTCTCCTCCCATCCCACCACCCCCATCCTCAAACAATTCTCCAACTCCGACCTCAACAGCAAGCTGACCAGCGACGGTGAGGCCAACGGCCGCGCCCCCGCCATGAGCCCGCTCAGCCTCAACAGCCCGGCCGAACCCTTCACGAAACAACCGCAATCCTCCCTGACCACCAACATCAGCAGTAACCACACCGGGAAACGGCCCTCCTCCGTCCGCAAATTCCTCTCCCTCCGCTCCCTGCACCCCCGCGCCTCGCACCCCGATTCCGCCTCCGCCCACCGCCCCTCCACCCCCCAATCCGCCGCCTCACACACGCCGAGCTCGCCCGGTCTGTCGCGGAAGCGGAGCAGCGCCTGGTTCGGCGGGCCGGGGAAGAGAAAGAGCGGCATGTTCCTGACCGGGCGGCCGTCCGAGTCGCGGGAAGGCGCGGACGCAGAGGGGCTGAACGGCCACGCAGCGAGCGGGACCGACGCGGTCGAGGAGGAGCAAAAAGGACCGCCGCCACCGACGATTCCGGAGTGGGAGTCGTTATCGGAGGGGTTAGACGGGGGGGATCTCGGGGCGGAGGATATGTTTAAAGATATCAAGTAGGGAAGGGAGCGCGGTGTGCGAGGCATCCCCCCCTCACGGACCAGCAGGAGTGGTGCCGTGGATGGCCTTTTCGACAGGCAACTCCGGGCCTTGTGGCCGTTTCGTTCCTCTCGAAATCACCGAGCGTTCGCCCCGTCTAGGAAGGGCTGTGCGATCATTATTCTTCTTCTTGTTTGCAATGTCTTTTCTCCCTTCCTCAAGATCCGGTCGATGTCGTGGCTTCAGGCGGGACTGGAGTAGCGAAGGGCGCCCGGGCGTTCCAGAAAACATTCCATTGAAGCCGACCTTTGTATTTCTACCCCTTTCTCATCCGATGAAAAGGGAATCTCTTTTGTTTGAAGGGCTCCGCGGGTGGAGATGGTGCCCGGGAAAGTACCGTTCCAATTTCTTTCCCTCGAGTAGGATACCACCGTTGTTGTGTTGGAGTCCCGCCATTCCGACTCCCCCCCATTGCCCCTGTCCATCTTGACCTCCGTGTTTGATGGATGCTGCCATTTTCCTTCGCACCGAATCTTTCACCGTCGGATGCTTCTTCAGACGAGCGCTCATGCGGGTTTCTGTTTTTTTTAGACTGAGAGCTGCACTGCAACTTGCCAGCCCTCTCGCGCTATGGAGGCATATATTACTGTATCTTATGTAGAAGTCGACAGATATGTCTCGATCGCAATGTCACAGCGCGTCAACTGCGTGCTTCCAATGAAAGTGTGCGGGATGGTGTGATATGAGTACATGGGTTGATGGGTTCGGAGAGCTTCCAACTGTACGATATATTCCTGTCACTACAATGAGCGGGAATCATGGATCGACGCGACAGAAGAGTGTTAACTAGTTACCGGTATTATAGGGATGCTGTTCACTGTGCAGTGATGAGATTATATTTGGAGCTCCCAGACATGATGGCGGATATGGTTCTTGTGGTCTGCCGGACCCTTCGTCCCGACGTCACAATGGAAACTTTCGGCAACCTGCAAAGCTTCCAACAACACCTCGGATTGTTTGGCATCAATCATCCACGTTAACCTCAATTGATCCATCAGATGGACGCCGTTGAATTCTATTATTGAGCGAATTCCGAAAATTCCCTAATCTATTAGATTCCGCCCTTGCAGGCACTTGCCAGCGATGTCCCCATCATCTGCCACCCGCCTCTCCCGTCCCACCCGCAATGCCTTAACCACTCTCTCCCGCCCTACCTCCCGCTCCCCCTTCTCTCCCTCCCTCCATCACCACCGTCCCATCTCCTCCTTTGGCTACACCCAATCCCGCGCCCTCATCTTCCCCGACTACGGCGACCCCGCCTCCATCCTCTCCCTCCACACCCACTCCCTCCCCCCCACCCACGGTGACCACCTCACCCTCCGCTTCCTCGCCTCCCCCATCAACCCCGCCGACATCAACCAGCTCCAAGGCGTCTACCCCTCCAAACCCACCTTTACCCCTGACCTCGGCACCCCGCATCCCGTCGCTGTCGGCGGCAATGAGGGCGTCGCTGAGGTCCTCGCGGTCGGGAGCGGTGTGAAGGACCTCGCGAAGGGTGACTGGGTCATCATGCGCAGCCCCGGCTTCGGCACGTGGCGCACGCACGCGCAGACTACGGCGGCGGGGCTGCTGCGGCTGGGGGAAGCGACGCGCGAGGGGATCACCCCGGCGCAGGCGGGCACGGTGAGCGTGAACCCGTGCACGGCGTACCGGATGCTGAAAGACTTCGTGGAGTTGAAGGAAGGGGACTGGTGGATTCAGAACGGGGCGAATAGCGGGGTGGGGAGGGCGGCGGTACAGTTGGGGCGGGAGTGGGGATATCGGAGCATCAATGTGGTAAGGGGGCGGGAGACAGAGGCGGAGACGGAGGCGTTGAAGGCGGAGTTGCGGGAGCTGGGGGCGGATGTCGTGGTAACGGATAAGGAGGCGATGGAGCGGGGTTTCGGCGACCGTGTGAAGGAGTGGACGGACGGGGGCAGGGGGAAGGTGAGGCTGGGGCTGAACTGCGTGGGCGGGAAGCTGGTCACGTCCATGGCGAAGGTGCTCGCGCCGGACTCGCGGGTTGTGACGTACGGCGCCATGGCGAAGCAGCCCGTCGCGCCGCCGGCCGGGTTGCAGATTTTCCGGAATATTGGGTTCGATGGGTTTTGGGTCAGTCGGTGGAGCGATAAGAATCCGGTGGACAAGGAGAAGACGGTGAAGCACGTGCTGGATTTAACCCGGCAAGGGAAATTTAAGGACTCGCCCATGGAGGAGATTCGGTGGGATTGGGACACGAAACAGGATACCTTGGTGCGTGCGGTGGCGGGGACGCTCGAGGGCTATCGACAAGGAAAGGGTATATTCGTATTTGGTGATACCTAAGTATGTGCTGTCACGGCTCCGAATTCAATCCATACGCCTAAAGAACGGGTCGTGTCTATGTCCGTGTCGTTGTCCAACATCTTTATGTGCTACTTGATCTTCTGCTCGTTGAGTTCCTCGAGCAGTCGAACTTCGTCGAGCAACTGCACCGTCTCGCGTGGATTGGCAATCCATGCAGTGGTGCACGCCATGCGTGCCTTGAAGTCATTCGCGCCCGCCGACAGGAATTGGTCTCCAACGTGGAGGGTCTTCGATCCGTCGATGCCCCCGAAAAACTGCTGGCATGATCGAACCCCCCATTCCTTGTTACCGATATCAACGAAGACGTCGTTGCCTCCGTTGAAGGCACAGAACGGCACTCGTTGCCCCACAGAGGAAACTTCCTATAAGCATTCAGCAGGGTTCAAAATATAAGTTAGGAGAGTCTATCTCACCAGAATCTTGTGAACCGCCAGCACAGTCTCTTCCAACTGCTCCCGAGCGAATTTCACTCCATGGGCTGGGATGATACCCACTGCGCGCTCCTTGCGGATGATTTCCGCATCGAGTTTCATATTCGTCACGCAATCCTGAAGCGCGATCTGAGCAATATCCAAGAGGGATTTGATGTCTTCGAGACTCCAGTCCCTCATTTCGGGCAAAATCCAGGTATGCCGAGGGACAAACATCAGCCGGTCGAGATGCCCATCGTCGTACTTCAACAGGTAGTTGCTTTCTCCACCAAGCACGATCAGGTTCTGCTTGAAGACCAGGGGAAGATTGGATAGATGGATGGCATCTAATAGTCCATGAAGCCGTTCGTAGTACCGCCTGGGCTCTGTATATCCCGCAGCGGTGACGATTCCAATCTTGGTGCCTTTTGAGAGCAGGAAAAGTAGTCTCGCGACGACGTCATTGTCGGCTAGCAACGACTGGCCATCATCATACAGCGTCACGTCCCCATCGAATGTGATCAGCTCGGTATGGCCGCTTCTCGTCAAGCTTAACACCTGCGCCGTGTTGAGAATGAGGCGGACATCGTTGAACGATGGCGGCACGAAGCGACGGTACGAGATCATGCGCTTCTGATCCTGATAAAGAAACGCGTCGTACAGTAGTAACGGTGTGAAGAAGGAGCCAATAGATGGAACCAGCAGCTTCAGTTTCGATCTGTCCTGCTTGCCTGCGCCTTGGTGCTTGACTAGCGGAGAGAAATCGAGTCAATGGACGCCCTCGCGGTCAAGGGAGGGCACGGCTCACTGTGATCATTGATCAACTCTTCCACATCTCGCATGATTTCGCCATACCTCCGCCGCACTGTAGTAGCCATATGCTCCACCGTTTCTCGCGGTGTCTCAAACACTCCCGTCGGCTGGGAATGGAGCACGAATGGCACGGCGAGGAGACCCTGTGTGTTTGAGCCACGTCGTTCGCATTGGAGTATGGATGGATCGCTGGGTCATATGTACCTTGATCCATTCGATCTAGCATTCGTTAGTATACGCACTACGGGGTTTTCAAACTTATATCGAAACATACCAGCTGGTCCCGTCGGTGAGTCTTCCGTCATATTAGCCACAAGCATCATTTAGACCCTGGACGAGCCAAACCTTCAAAGCATCTGTGAAATGTCAGCATGCCAGTTTGGCCATTGGAGGGCAAGCGTTACATTCAACACGATAACGGGTGGTCATTTTTGCTAATAGTATAATGAGAATAAACGAAGGGATTAGAATCTACAATTGCGCAGCCGACTCGGGAGGTGATGGAAGGTCGTTGTTTGCAAAGGTGTGGTTGAACTCCCTGGTCACCTGGTGGATATGAGTAACATCCAGAGGTAATACCAAGTACTTATAAGTAACTGGAGTTAATTCGCATGGAACAGGACAGTGTCACTTTGCGTTCGCTCTACAATAATCCGCTAATAAGCGCGATGACGGTTGGCTTTAACTCGTCCTTATTTTACTCATTACTCCATAGGGCGGGTAAGATGTCCAGCATGCATATATTATTATCTACGGCGGCGCCTGATCAGCAATTGAGCATTAGTGGATTGTTATGACGCTTCGGATTCTATCCTGATGCGACCAATATGAGCCTAGGTGAACGCCACCGAGCTCTTTTACGACGAAGAAGAGACCATCTTCGATGCTATTCCGTATTGTCTTACTCCGTAGTTGGCATCAATTTGATCACTGGAAATCGTCTGGCTATTCAGATTCCTTGATGCCTTAAACCCTCAGGCACCCACAATATACAATGCATTACTTCAAGCCTCATTTGCAGACATAATGTTCCACAAGTGAGATACACAAGTGAGATACACAATTGCATGCCTAGACAGCCTCTTGACGCAGATTTGGAATGTATATGGATAACTAGCGGAAGCTATTTACGGCGCTGACCGTTAGCAATCGCAACCACCCCTCGATTCGGCTCCAACCCTTCCCCTATCCACCACAAGTCGACTTTCGAGACACGATGGATGCTGAACAGAAACCAAAGCCTTTATCACTGAGGCCATGGCCAACACAGGCAGAAGAAGAGCCCCTGGATGCTATCATCACCCGCATACACGAAGACCGTGGCGGCTTTCGCCTGGTCACTGAAGATGCACTGGAGCGCGAGATCGCGGAAAAGAGGTCGGGGTTGTCGGTTGATGAGGATGAAGAGGACACCGCCGCCATGACTCGGGCGGAGGCTTTAGAGAAATTGCATGCGTCGAAAAGGGAGATCTTGACATTCGCCCAGTGAGTGTCCAAACACCTCTGCATGCAATCGCGCTGACCATGGTCTCCAGGTCCGCACGCCTTGAAGTGGGCATGGCCCTCGACCTTGTCTCTCTCTTGCTCTCAAAAGAGCACCCCAAAGCCGCCGAAGCCTCTCTATCTCCGGAAGTCAAAAAGCGGGCGCCCCTCGGGTCAATTGGTTACGACATCTGGAATCTAGAACATCCGGGCGTAGCGAAGCCGACTCCACGACCGCCGCAGGAAGAGCGGCTCGTGGCGAGGGGTGCGAGGATCCAAAGCCTCATGTTCGCTGCAGACTCCCTGTTGCAAGGCGCATCGAGATTAAAGGACGAAGTCGAACGCGAAACCAAGTATTGGCAAGAGGTATTGTCGGTCAAGGAGAAGGGCTGGGCGATCCACCGCGTTACAACGGAAAACAGCCGCCGTAGTGCTCTTGGCGTGGAGATAAGTGCTCTTGATGCCGGCGCGCAATTTCGGTCTCGATTCGCGGTATTCCAGCGGAGCGACGATGGAAGGATACGTCCCGAATGTAATGTCAAAAGCCAACCGAGGACTCTCTGCGTGAGTTTGTTGCGAAAGGGAAAAGTCATCGGGACTTCAATTTCATCGGACCCATCGTCTCTCTTGGATGACAGCCTGGAAAGCAAGATACACCGGATGCGGGATGCCTTGTTCGACGAGGAATTGTTCTTCGAATTGACCCAAGAGGTCCGCAATCTCCTTCCCTTCGGTGCCACATTAAACAACGGCTGCATTTCTCTTCCGGCCTGGCCACTGTCAACCGATCACTCGAGTTCCGCGGAAAGAGATTGCGACGTTATCATCGAGCTCGTCCCTCTTGACAGCCAAATCTTAGAAGATGGGGACTTCGTAAACGGGGACCAAGCCAGGGCTATCGCCATGTTTCTGAGGCTTATGCTCATGCACGGCCATGCTACAAGGCACAGGCTACGAACGCAGATACCGGATGCGCTACAGGAGAAGAAACAGATCCCTCCACCTCCCACCGTCCTGCAACCGCTGGTTACACATCTCCATCACATGTACGCCGTGAAAGGCATCCTCGGGGCCCTAACAACGAGTAGTCTCATTTTGAGCAAAGCAGGCATCGAGACAACCCTAGTTCTAAAACAGGCCATGAGCTCGAACTTGGATCCGGTCGATCCGGTGGATGCGAATGGTGCAAACGGTGCGAAGCCGATAGCGGCTACGGAGAGAATATGCCGGGCATTAGCTGGAGTGCAAGAGACGTGCTACCGGTTTATCCTGAAGGACTTCGTGTTGGAGCCCGAAGACACCGCAGTCACTGAAGACGCCGAAGACGAAGACACCGAATACAATTATCGAAACTTTGACATCACCATTCGGACAGACATTGGCAAGTTCGACGAAAGCACCGAGTACGTGCTTTCCTCCCCACAAGACCAGAATGCATATAGCTCTGTCCACGCTCGATCCACGGTCCATCCACTTCGTTTCCAGAATCAGCGGGAATGCGTCGCCCGACTTCGGGAAGACTTGTCCCGTGACATCGCTCATCGGTACATCCCTCACCGCGACCCCGATGCTCGCATTGCTGCAAAGGAAGACTCCGCTGCCTACAAGATGGTCGGAGAGAAGGGGATGACGATTTTCGTGGACTTGGACAAAGCCGTGCTCAAAGTGAATTTCGTTGCCGGTCCAAGCAAGATCCACTCGTCTACCGTCACAGAATGGACCGCAGGCAGCGAGAAGAAGGATCTGCTCCATGTCATTGCGGAGGAATTTGCGAAATTGTCCAATTAGGATGGTATCTAGACAGAGAGGGGCTATGGAAACAATTGGTAGAACTTCATAGCGGCTTCGATAAATTCGATGTTGTCACTGCCATATCATCTACAATGCGAATTCGAGTCCCATGAGGGTCCTCGGCCTATAAATACGGACTCCAGCCAACATACATCCGTTTCAAGTTTTCAGGATCCCTCGCCATATTGATCACGGCGTCCACGTATCCCTCGACGCCCAACGGCACCGCTTCGCCCCGGAATAACCCCTGCACCTTCGTCCCGACGCTCTCCATAATCTCCTCGGGTGTCGTGGGCATCCCCTCCACCACCTTCTTCTTCACATTCGGCCGGAAATCGACCGTGGGATCGTACAAGAATGTCTCCAGCGTCGTCATCAGCGTGTCCTCGTTCGCTCGGAGCAGCCGCATCGTAATCTCGGCGGCCGTGCGGAACGGCCCCTCCACCCCATACGGGCCGAACGCGTCGATGAAATTGTGCGTGAGTCGGAACGGCACCGTTTCGGGCGTCTCGAGCCCCAGCCCTTTGTCGAACAAGCAGTTGAAATCCACGTGAAGGACCCCGCCCGATCCTTCTTCCAGAAGAATGTTCTCGGTATGGCGATCCCCGAGCCCGAGGACGTGGCCGACCATGGACATGACAGCGCAGGTACGTGTGAACCGCAACCGCGCCGTGAACCAGGAACCGGGCTCCGGGAACTGCTCGACGAACCACTCGTGCAGCATCGGGGGGAAATGTCCGAGCACCTTCTGCGTGAAGTAGTGCGTGTGCTCCGGGCCTTGGCATGCCTGTTTAAACTGGTGATTGATCCAGTCGTGGTTCACCCGCATGCCGATTTGCTTGTACTTGTCTAGCAAAAAGTCCCGGATCGGTTGTAAACCTTCCACCCATTCCAGGACTCCGCATTGTTCGTTGAGCGGGGTGACTGCATAAGTCTTGATGTAGAGACGGCGCTTGCTACCTTCCGTGTCCTTCTTAAATGTCCGATTGATCATGTCGTTGAACTCCATTAGTCTTTGGTCCTTCCGAAGGTCGTCCTTCGGCTTGCACAGGAGCCCATATGGCTTCCCGTCCGATCCACGAACGGTTATCTTTTTCGGCCGCTGCAATGAGGACAATACCAGCACCGACTCCTCGAAAGATTCGATCGTGATCGCGTTCCGGGGGAATGGCTCATGAGATCTAAGCGCCTTGGAACCGGAAGACACAGGTAGTGTTGGCATCAAAGTAGCTTCAACAGGGACTACAAGCCCGCAGGGAGCCAATTTCGAATGGTTGAAAAGAAGATCGCGGGAAAGAGTCACCGGTCGCCTGTGGTCTATCGGCGCTTCACAAACTCGAAGCAATGCCATGGTTAGTTTTTGTCCGGAGTCGATTAAATGACTCAGAGATTCACCAGCACGATGCTTCCCTGGCTTTGCTGCTTTCAGACGCTTTAAGATGTCGTTCGCTTGAGCCGCTTGAGCCGGTTTCTCCAATGGGTTGGACTTAGCAGCTGCCAAGATGCTCCAAAGTGCCTGTTGCGGATAGGACGAGATGACCCTGACAATAATATCAGAGAGCCAATTGCAAACCTGTTGATGCGGGTGACCCATTCGACTGATGATCTGTGGCAACGCGGTGTAAAACGCGTAGGCAGGGACCCTATCTAGGTTTCTTCCGAAGAACCTGTGAATTGCCTCCAAAGACCCGGGCTTACCGACCAATTCTGCTTTCCTGACTGATGACAAGTGAGCCGAGCGCGGATTCCGTTTCTCTACTTGCAGAGTGTGCGCAGTGGCCCCGAGATCAAGCCACAATGTCAGTGCCTTCGGCAATGTAAGGTAGAGGTGTCTTGATCCATATTGCATCGATCGGACGTAGTTTTCGATGACAAGCCTCCAGTGCTCCCCCCGTACAAACGACTCGCTTTGCTTGGCAGGAGGAAGCTTTCTCTGCGAGTCAAGCTGTTTGTTATAATGTTTACCAAGGTGATAATGGCCCTTTTCCCAGGATGGGAAGCTGTGAGTGACGGTGTGATATTTCTCGACCACCACATCGGAACGTGTAGAGCCGGCGCTGTCCATCCACTTGGTTAGGAGCAGGGTTGCGCTAGCACGAAGATCATGCTGGGCGCCCTTTGGCGCATCGACATCCATGATATCATCGTCCATGGTTTCTTTACCGCGCGTATGGAAAATGTCCATAGCCAAGGCGCTCTCTAAATTCTGGATCGCTTTGCGGTGGTGCCCATCAGCCCACAGCAACCGAGAATGTTCAATCTTGCTAGCTTCATTATTGAGACGAGATGCATGGAGGACCGCGTCGTAAGCAGAGTCGATCGAACCGGCTTTTCGGGCAATTTTTGCACTCTTCAGCCAAAGTCTAGCTCGTTGACTTGGGCTGAACTCCAAACTCGAGACTTGCATTGCAGCCCTGCGGATACCTAAGAGATACTGCTTCTCGGAAGTATAAGAGCCTAAAATCTCAAGCCTGGAATCAAGTCTCCGGAGTAAGGGACGTTGATCATCCAAGGATCCGGATAGGCTGCCACTTATGCTCTGCAGCTCGTAGAGACAATGCAATTTTAGCAAGATGTCATGGCAACTCTGTAGCGATACCGTGTTCGAGGATGTCAACCTCCGGGAGAGGTTTTCGCGTAACCCGGTCACAGTGTTTTGGAACCCTTGAGCATCCGACTTCCCCAAAGCTAACAACGACTTCCCGATGCCAACATTGAAATCCCAGTGACCATCCGTGGGCACGGTGCTGAGAAAGTGTTCAAGCTTCTCCCAATTCGAAGTGACCCAGGCGGCTTCCGCTGCTAGAGGTAGGATCGATTTATCATGAGAGTTGTCTCTCCCAATCATCATGCTCGCATGATTCAGGAGAGCCTCATACCGGCCTGATTCTCTTAAACATGTCAAGAGATTCAATTTGATGCCGATGTCATCAGGCTTCTCTGCCATTGCAAGTTCGTACCAGCTTTGAACGGCTGTCCACCGGCCGGCTTTCTTGTGCTCGAGAAGCTGTTGGTCAGGGCCAAGCACGTGTAACTGCGCCGAGATACCTTCAATGCCGTCAGGTTCGTCTATCGCCGCATATAGCTTCTGAAGCCGCTGATATAGTTCATTATTGTCATCGCTGGCTTCAGGAGACTCGTCGTATAACTTCCCTCCTTTCCTTTTTCGGAGATACTGTTCGGTATGGAACAAGGCTCGTGCATAGGATCCGCATTCGGTAGCCCTCGCTGATATGACTTCCGCAGGAACAGAGGAGAGAAATTTTTCAACGCTGGCGATCTGGTCGCCGCTCATTATTTGTTCGATCCGTACATCCGGATTGCGCAATGCATCTCTGCTCGATCGTTCTGTGAGCCTCTTCCTCTTCTCCTGTAACCATCTGGAGAGGTAGTCAAGGATCCGAAATATATTCTGATTGTAGTCAATATCCGTAGCATACACCTCGGGATCTACATACCTCGCTACAGAGCTTGATGGCTTCGACATGGACGGCATCCGATGCTCGGATATCCCACTTCAGTATCGTAAGGGTCTCATTCAGTATGTCATCCACCTCCTTTTGGATACCGCCCACCACAATATTGAGGACAACAAACTGCAGCAAAGAGTCGGCGATGGCAAGATCGTGTTGACGGATCACCCGCGAAAACACAGGGAAGAGGAGCTTAGCATGTGCCCCATTGCCGCGATGGAGCAAGTCGTACGTAAATGTCCGAAGCCAAGCTCCGTGCGTCATTCCTTCATGGTAGATGGGGTAAGAGTGGGGTTGAATAGGAGCAACAGGGCGCGTGATGAGGTATCTAGAAGTCAGATATGGAGTCAATGTCATCCGGATGGGTTCCGGTATCCGAAACCAACGTTGGTAACTTGCTGGTCCTTGACTGCCTCTGTAGCGGTACTTGGCAGCTTCTTGAAAGTTGCAAAATTTTAGGAGCTCTTGCATCACGTACGCAAGGTAGTTCTGAGCTCTCGCGTTGGTGGCCGATTTGAAAGCCCGGACCAAGACGGTTTCGAGCATGAAAACCACAAAGTCACTGGCCTCCCCCGCCAGACCGAAGTTGGTCAAGAGGATGACCTCCTTCTTTTCGCGAACGGCATCGATTCTGTTTGGGTCAAAGCAGCCTATCGTGCCCAAGCACTGAGCTGCCGATGACGAGATCTGAGGGTGGCCTTCTGCAAATTTCACCGACGCGTCCAGGACAGAACGGCAGAGAGCCGCGATAACTTGACTTGGCTGCTGGCTCATCACCGAGTGTTGCACCCAGTCTTGATGGGCCTCTAACGCATCTTTCAATTCCACAAGCGCCTGTTCCACAACAGCGGCATTTTCGTCGGAGCACCGTCGCGCAAAACTGTCAAAAACCTGCTTTGCATCCATCTGTGCCTTGAAAGGCCTCACCACGTTTGCGAACTTGGACAGAGCTGGTATTCCGTCGAGTGAGGGAAGAGTGCCTGCTTTCTCCGTGATGATGGCCCGATGACTCTTGAAGAGGAACTGTATCATATCCTGTACCCGCTTTTGGGTCGATGTCGAGAGAGAGGCCCACTCCCGCACAACAACCACAAGGGTTGGCTCAAGAATTAGTTCAATATCTGCCTCGCCCAAATTGCATACAAACGTTGCCCACGCACGGATCACCTGGTCCCGAAGAGGATGGATTGAAAGTGCCGACTGAAGGCAAGCCCGTATTTGAGGGACTGCCTGGGTGACAAGTACTTGTTCGATTTGGATCATCGCTTCAACCGCCTTCAAACATCGTCTCTTCTCTGAAATCGATTGGCTTTCCACGGGTGAGCCGATTACATCCGCGAAATGGGTCATAATCCCAAGGATATGGGTCTCGAAAAAGTTCTCAGTGATTTCGGCGCCTTTCGCTGTGGATGCAATCGAAACCTTACGATCCGCTGCAAGCACTGCCAGAGTACGGATCGCAGGGGCTAGTCGAGGGTCCGTTGCATTGTTATCAGCAGCAAGCTTGAACATCTCACAAGCGATCAGAATCGGTTCGAGGTTGATGAGCGTCGACAGCGATTCTTTGGAGAACTGTGGCGCGACCTCTGAAAGAATTCCAGTTGCAGTTTTGTCAGCATCGTCGGGATGTTGCATCAGCAAATGCGCCAGTATGACAGAAAGGTTCTCCTTTTGTAGGCAAATTTCGTACAGGTCTAAGGATTTGCCCTGCACTCTGGCGGATGCGATCCTTTCCAGAATATCCCGCTTGCGTAGAAGGACCAGGTAAGGAACTGTGTCCATTTGTGTTGTCCACAAGAACTGGTTCACACCAAATCCAAGAAGCTCGGCGAGCTGCTGGATCTTTTGTGGCCGGGAATGCAAGTCTCTTACAACTGTAATAGCAATGCTCCTCCAGAAGGGCTTAAAAAGCAGTTCAGGGGAGCATTCTTTGTCCGCTGCTAGGCTCAAAAGCTCCGTGAAAGCATTAGCAGATACCAGAACATGTGAATGTCCCAGATATTCTACCAGCTGTAGCAGCGCTATATTCAGCTCCTCTTCTCCGCAAACCCGAGCAACCTGTCCCCATGAAAATATGAGCGCTTCTTGATCTCGGAGTGCACCGCGCGCTGAAAGCGACTTCAAGTAATTCAGCGTGCATAGCCTGTTGTTCCTGGACAATTCGCCAGGCAGGTCTTCGCGCAGGAACGGACTTATACCCCGAGCGGCTGCCTGTTGCAGCTCTCGGATGGAACTGTGCAGGGACTTCAAATACCATTGGCCCGGCATGCCCTGCGACACGTTAAGGAAGGCCTCGTCGTTGATGTGATTCGCAATTCTCCGAATCACATTTGCGAAATAGATTCGAGGTTTTCGAGACCGAGAAAACCGTGAGTCGGCAAGCAACGCAGATATCAAGACTGACACCCGCATCCAGTCCTGGTTCTGAGCATCCACGATCCATTGCAGTGATTTGTCCCGGTAGTCTTCACGATCTGCATCGCAAAGGGGGCACTCAAAGGTGTCCATCGAATGTCTTGGGGCATTGTCAATTTGCACCGCAGTGCAGGGAAGCAACATCATCGATTGAAACGCGTTTCTGATCATGTCGTCGGTGAGGTCGTCCCAAACACCACCAAGATTTTCGCTGACAGAGTCTGCAGACTCACCAACTTCACACGGAAATACGCTAAAGAGTTTCCCAAGCAATTCCTGATAGAGTGCCCCCCGAGTCTCGCCCTTATTTACGCCATCAGTTTTGGAGTAATGCGCCGCATTTGATTTGACACGTTCCAGTTCAGTGAATTCTTCAAACTGCTTCCGAAGATCATCCTCCTCGAATATCGATGGAGCATCATGCATAACTACATCGTCGGATGAGCCATTGCCTTGGGGGGAATCTTCCCAGCCTCGGATGGCGAGCTATAGTGAATTAGAGTTATAGAGCAAATGAAGTGTCGTGTGCAGACGAACCTTAAAATCTTCTGTAAGGGATGGGGCTAAGGCTTGGGTTTGGACAAGCTTGTTTGCCCGCGTAGGTAAGTACTCGAAGTAGAGTGTCCGGATATTCTCATTGACCAGGGACCATTTCCGCAAATGGAGAAGAGAAGATGCAATTGCATGCTGTGTAGACTCGGACGAATGGGAATTGATAAATGAGAGAAAGGACAAGCATGTCATCATGAACTGAGGCGCCAGGACGTTGACCTCTGCGGAATGAATGTTGAGAATGTGTGCAGCCCGGTTGCAGCAACGACACAGGGAGCAAACCAGTTGGTCGACATCTTTCGTAGCCAGTGCCCGACTTGTAGCCTGATATAGAGGCGGGAGTAGCCGTCTCGTCGAATTAATGACGGAGTAAACAACATCAGCAATAGGAAACACTGACCCTCGCCGCTGAAGGTCGAAGCCAATGCTGAGCAAAGACTCGAAGAGGATGACGCAAGATTTGGTGGCATGAGTGACCGAATTCGCCTCATATCGACATGCTTGAGGAACCACAAGGGAACGGACAGCATCTTGCCAAACAGATGACAAGGTGCGACTTGAAGGAATAAGATGATCAGAAAATGCAGTACCTAAGCCTGTGTGATTCTTTCGAGAGTCTGTTGGTTCTAGTAGATCTGGAAGTTGTTACTAGTTGCTGCCTCGTCGTAGTCGAAATCGTAGCCTACCCTTAATGCACCCAAGGGTGAAGCGAACCAAGTTGAATCCATGCAGGCGTAGATATGCTTCTGAGGCACTGAGTAATGTATCAAACCAGGATGCAATCAACAACGGAATGCTTTCCCGAATCCGTCCACATTCTCGGCTTGTACCCACCCGCAAGAATCTTAGCATTAGCCAGACCACGAGGGGAGGGTTTGATGAGTTGTCCGCAGCCGCTGCTGGAGGATGGAGCAGAAGCGATGGCTCCCTCGAGATGGCATCCCCAATGAAGCGAAGTGTCGACTCTGCAACTTCGATCAATCCATCCCGGTCGAATGGGTCTGCTCGAAGTAGAGGATCAATCCCGGCCTCTGATACGACGAGAAGCAGCCTCGCTGCATCTGCTGGTTGCTCGGAGGTCGGCAGATTCTGAGGGTCATCCAGGAGCTTCTTCAGTTCCGCTCGCCGTGCTGTATCGCTTCTCGCTCCAGACTGTGCATAGTTGGAAACGATTTGAGCGGTGATGGTCGATGCGGGTGCTTGCGATGAAACCGGCCGTCTTGGAATATTCTCATATCGGGATCCAGCAGTTCCAACAGACATGGTCTTAAGACTACCTCACACTCATACCCGTCATCTCAGCTTATGCGATAGACGAGAAGGGGAGATTTTGAGAAATTCAGGGCTGACAGGTTCAGAATCGATGTCTTTGGTTTATTTTACGAGTCCAGTTGTTTGTTGACTGGCGGTATATCGCTGTCGTTATCGCTGTCGCGTGTCGCAGTCGCTGTCGTGGTCGTAAGGCAGCAAGGCTGTAAGGCAGTTTAGAGGGGACGCGTCGGCACGTGGCAATCACGTGTTATGCTACGGAATAATCGACACTTCAAGTCTTTAACACTAACGGAGCTGTGTAGAAGTCTTAACGCTCCATGGCAAAGTTGACACCGGATCCATTGCTTGGTATATATTGGGGAACCGTAGTTCTGATATCGCCAACATGCCAGCCTTCGGCAGCAAGACATTTCGACCGTCATCATTCAGCAATACGGCTGCGGCACGATATCGATCTTCCCTCCAACGACATCCATTCCTTCTCTTCGGCGCACCCTTCATCCTCATAATGGTGGCAGGAAGCTTTTTCCTAACCCCCGCAACCGCTTTGAGATATGCACAGCACGATCGAAAGGTCAAACAAGTTTCGGAAAAGGAGGCAATGGGCGTTCTGGGGAAAGAGCGGAAGCCCTTTGATATCAAAGAGGAGTACTATGTGAGCATGAGCTACATCAGGACCTCTGTATCTATTCTAATGCGACATAGCGCCTTGCGGCGAAAGATTTGGACAATTGGGAACAGAGGCGTGTCAAGCGACTTCCGGGTGAGCCAGATGGCGTGATCTGAGTTCTTTGCATCTCCGCTCGAAGTTCCTGGCGGCCCGCCCCGGGTTGTCAAGCCTGCGTCCATCTGGTCTTGCAGTGTGAACGCCATGATCCTACACATACGCTTTATGAACGTATACGACCTAGTTTAGCATCCTCCAATCCAAGAATGCTCGCTGTGTCTGCAGAAACAGAACAGCAACCATAAAGATTGAACCTCTCCCGCCGAACATAACGGGCGTGTGCCGGCGAGTAATAGCCGAGCTATTCGACATCCGGAAAGACCGAGTCTGCGAGTATGATACCCGAGCGACAGGTATTGACTTTTGGTGTTGGAACTGAGGATCATCATTTGTTGATGTCCAGAGGGAGGATCTCGGTTTTGAGCTCTCTAGTCTTCTTCTGCTTTGGATCGGGGGCTGCAACTATCAGCACTGCAATCTCCTGCTCCTTCCAAAGAGGGTCTCACCTTTTACGTTTTCCTGTACATAGAATCTCCTCAGGAGCATGATGGCTTCCTCTCTATATAGCCCTCCCCTTACTTCAAGAGGCGGGTCAATGCTGGGACTGTAGGGTTATGTGTTAGTCGTGCGCATAATATCTATCCGAAATGCTCTCTCCTGGTCACAACATACTCGCTATGAATCTCTAGCACGCTTCCTGTTCCCCCAAACCTGTCATTGTGGCATCCAAAGTATACCTTCTTCACGCCGTACTGACGGAGAGCCGATGCACACATAATGCACGGCTCAACCGTGACGTAAAGCACCGTCTCTTTCAATATTTGCAGGGAATACTTCCTGAGAATTTGCTCTATGGCTACAAGCTCTGCATGACGAGTCCCCTATACGCAACGGGGTTAAGCCTTCGCGTTGGAAAATTCTGCGTGGAGAGCAGATTGTCGAGGCCGGAGAGACAACGCTTACATTTAGCGACTTGTTCGTTTCATTCATTCCTCGTCCGAGAACGGCGCCGTCGTGGATGAAAACACATCCCACTGGTGTCTCGTCGTTTTCCAGCGCACTTTCTCCCTGGAGAACCATGCGAGTTAGCCATCTCGAAAGGCAGAAATATATGAACCAGGCGTACCATGAGTAGAGCCTCTTTCATAAACGCTTCGTCTTCCTCGGTGAATTTCACGGCCATGATTTCAGCATAGTCCGAGCCGAAAGGTCCGGATCTCTCGTGAAAAAGGCGGAGTGGATAATATCAATTGGGTTGTAATTAGTGGAGGAAGTCTGTACCACACAGTGTAATGGGGTTGGGTCAGCCGCAGGTCTTTCTCAAAGGCGTATGGGATTTCTGGATTTATGGACGAGTACAGAAAAAATTCCGTCCGATCTGTTTGTACATTCGCTATATTCAAAAGTGTGTATAAATATAATATGGCTTATGAAATGCAAGGCGATTTGCCTATCCCCGATCGAAATTGCAAGGCGACTCAGATGCTTCATTTCTCGTCATATCACAATCTTTTCCCTCATAACGACCGCTACATAATAACCATCTTCCAACCGAAATTCCTTACGCCAGCCGAGATCCCGGAAACCGAAGCAGTACCTAGCTGAACTCCGGAGCTCGTGACAAGTCCACGGTCAAGATTGATGGAACGCCGTCGATAGCCATGCATATGTCTCCCAAATTTATATCTCAATTACTCACGCGCGGCCGTCAAGGTCTACGAAGCGAGCCACTGACAATGGCAGCTGCCCGGCGGCTCGTCCCTCTTCCTCAGTTCGACTGACTCTCCATCCCCCTCAGGGACAAGTCCTTCCCACCTCTTCACCGCTTCCCCTGCCTGCTGTGCTATCGCCGTCACTGCCGGCGTCGGGTTGAGAAATTCGTCATACGAGGGCTCCGTCTCGTTCAGATAGATGATGATCGGTTTCCCGTTGCCGTCATGCACCGGTTTGACGCCGGCCAGGCCGCCAAGCGACGGAGAGGTGGTGAAAGCCGAGCTTTCAACGCGTCTGGCTCTCTGGCAGTAGGGCGACGGTTTTTGACCACCTCGGGGTAGACGACGTTCTTCAAAGCGCACGACTTTGGGGAAAAAGGGGTGAATCACAGAGGAGGGGGATGCGGAAGGGGATGAGGAGGAGAAGGAGGAGGAGGATGTAGGAGGGGCCGAGGACGTGCCTAAGGCAGGGTCGTCGCGGGGGCTCAGCCAGTTGGCACTTGCTGACGGGAACGCGGTAAGAGTGCTATCGAGATCCCGAGCGTGAGCGAGGAATACAGCGGAGGCGCTTGTGGGGTCCGGGTGGGTGTCTCCGGTGACAACGCTAGCGACGGGTGTAGGCGATGGAGCTTCGTCCGAAGAGAAAGGGAGCGAGGTGATGGTCGTAGAAGCACTGCTGGGCTTTGATGAAGCGGCGCTGCTGTCCGAGTTGACGTAGAAAAAGGCTTCGATAAACGTCCGATTCCACACGCAAACCCAGAGGTCTTCGCCGGGGACGACAGCCGTCCTGTGGAAGGGAGGTGATCGCCGACCCCCGCCATCGCCCACCCATAATTCGGGCTCTGCCTCGGCGTCTCGGGCGTTTAGCGACGCGGTGAGGTCCTTTTCTTTTAGCAAGACGATCTTATCGTAAGTCGCCTGGAAATGATACGCGGCGCCCCGAGACGGCTCGTTCAGGTCGGAGACGAGAAGGAGGCGTTGCGGGCCGATTTGCGGGGCTTGATGTCCATACTCCACATGCGGTACCGCGGTATCATCTGTGCCCGGAGAAATTGACACACCGGGGTAGTTGCTGCCGGCCATAGGCTGGAAGGTCATACGAATTGGAGGCCCGGTGTAGTCGCAGCTCCACGCGCTGACCTGATTCGTATCAGGTAGGCAATTTCGCTGCGATGACTCCGGGGAGACGCTCAAAGGGAAGGGATATGTCCCGGCCTGGATCATGGGGACTGATGTTGGAGTGGCTATCACCGAAATATCAAATATGGTGGGGGTTGTGACCACCGTGACGATGGATGGACTACGCGGCGGCATATTAGCAAAGTCACGGGCGGATGAAATTCGAAGCGGTACTCACGTTACACCGCTCTCCTTCTTCTTGCCAGCAATGAAGCCGCCTAAAACAGATCCAGTGATGAGTGCGGTCAAGAAAATGGCACAGGCAAACCCGCAGAGTAACCAGATTGGGACTCTCCCACCACACACTCGTGTTTCCCGTTTCTCTCGCCAGCTTTTTTCTTTCCAACACTTCTCCGCAGCGACGGATGATCCAGAAGATGTTGACGATCCTCCAAGCCGTGGCTGTAGTTCTAGATCAGGTTCCGGGCTTGTCTGTGTAGAATGGCGTTGAGATGACCGAGGACTGGCGGGGATATCGGCGTCCGGGGCGATGGACACCCGGGTGATAGGAGCCTGCATGGAAGATTCTGCTTCAGCTTCAGGAGTCGGTGGATTCCCTGGCGGGGCGACCTTTGCGTAAGCTTCATCCGCATATCTGGAGTATGGAGGGAGCTGTTCGGTATGGCCATCGGGTCCTACAATATCCTGCTCTTCACCATCTGGGCCGACTCTACGGCTAAAAGTCTGTCCGGTGCCCGGGAAACCGATCGGAATAGAGGCCGGTTGATCGAATCGAGCGGTATCGTCCGCTACAGGCAATACATTCTGCTGGTACAGGCCATACGGATGATTTGGTCCCGAGTCCGGTCCGATTGACGCCTGTGTGCGATGTATCGGACCCCTAACTACGCTTGCTGGGGGATCGATGCCACTTTCCCGCGCGAAAATGTTCGACGACCGATTCGTATACAGTGATGCAGCGCTCTCCGATCGTTGTGGTGCCGAAGGTCGTGATATGCCGCGTCCGGGTGATTGTGTACTCTCGGATCCGGGCGCGAGATACCCATCTAGTGCTTTCGCAATGCTATTTCTCGGTAATGTCTCTTCCGTGTCGATTGCTCTTCTGTGGGTGGTAGATCTTCTCCGGTGACTTGATAACCGCTCGGTTCCTGTGGGAGTGGGCGGGGCTCGAAATTGAGCCTCCTGAGGACTTAGGCTCCTTTGGGAAACGGGGTCGGTCGGTCTAACGGCATATTCATCGTCAAATACGTTCGGATTGTCTGGCCTTGTGTCCATGGGAGTGCGTTGATGGCCGTCCTGGCTACTCCGTCTCTCCATGATGCCCGCAAGCGGGCACCGCTGGCCCTGGTCGTCCAGGAGCCAACCACTCGATGCCTAGAGAGCTAAGATCGCTTTGTGGAGAGTCGAGACGGGAACAGACGAAACTGTGACAGAATTCGAGGTTGTAGTGGTTCGTTGATATGAAGCCAGAGGCCGTTGGTAATGCAGTAAGAAAGAGGGAATGGCCGATCGATCACTGGGAATCAATCATCAACGATGAATGATCAAGAGACAGCGCGCACGGTTGCGAAGGTGTGCATCCACCCATCGCTGCAGATGATTGACCATTCAATGGCCAGTTTGCCACCCAGAATGCCTGCACCCAGGGAATCGTGATCAGGGCAAAGTCAAGTGCGGGCTGTAGTAATAATACCGCTCCCTAAGTGGCCAAGTTGCTGTAATAAAGTCATCGCTAGTACGGATGTAGTTATTATTAAGATTGATGCGGGTGGGGGATAGCAGGACAACTAGAGCGAACTGTTTTGATTCCTGAATTCCTACCTATTGGCTATTGTATTCCGTACTACTCGCGCACTGCGCCCATTAGGAAAGAGCATCAGGATATAATTTTGAGCGAGACTGATCGAGCATAAGACGATAATTCGCAGCGTTGCATAATTCATCCGTGGCTGTATTATTCAACTCGAATTCTTGCTGGGTTGTGAGAGAGATGCCGCCCGCTTCGCCGTTTACGGTTAGTACGGGGTACAGTATCTCCAAATTATGGCATACATGATCGGAAGTGAATTGGGCTGCGACGCGAGACCGTTTCATTTCAATTGCTTCTCTTCACTTCAACGGTTTGAACCGGCAATTTATCCATCATTGAGATTTGAGTGTCTCGACATTCGTCGTCTCTGACTTTCGATATTGGGATACTCCATTGTCAACGCCACATGATCTGTCCGTAGTAGACATCCGCTGGCGAAGAAATCTTGATAAAGAACTTGCGAGATATTGGTTCGCATGTGAGGAATAACAACTCAATTGTGTATATGAAACCTTGTCTTATCGTGGTGTTGATGGCAAGACTGCCCTAATATAAACTCGGTAGCCACAGAACGACGCTTGTGGCTCAAAATCGAAATGGTAGTTTCAACAAAGGAACTTTGAAACATAATATTGGCATGATGCTGTCGAACAGTCGAAGCTTTAACTACCTATCATACAGTAGAGAATTGTCGCGGTATTCTTCCCAAAGGCTCTAAGGGGAACAATGACTCCCATTGGTTTCCCTGTCTTTCGTGCAGCTTAGCTACTTGGCCAAGTAGCATGTAAGTAAGTAGGTCATAGCTGAGCATTTTGTTAATGGAGAAGTGAGTACCTATCCTCGACCAGAGTTCGTACACGCAATCTTGGGAGGAGATAGGGGATGAGGAGATCTCGATTCTCGAATATCGATGGATGCTTGAGTCAGTACAGCTTCTAACCGGATCGGAGGACTGGACCGGAGTACGGAGTATGGATGTAAAGATTCCGTTCAAAACTTAGAATGGTCTGATTTCTCGACGGTCCATCAACCTCGTTGTCATTCGTCATTCGTCATTCAGAGGCGCAGCACAATGATTGATGATGAGTGAGAGAATGGACTTTGCGTCTCAGAAAGTTGAAATCGACAATGGCACTAAGAACAGAGCACAACACACGTACCAGACCGCCCATCCCGGGTCTCCAAAGCGCCAACGCTCCGACATGGTCCCTGGCGCTAGCGTCCGTTTTCGGGGTCGGAAGTGGAAAAATGCCACCACTGCAAACTGGCCTTCCCTGCTTAGCGCCTGGTGAGGTCGGGGAGTGGCCGATCCCTGGGACCGCCCACCAAGGCAGCCGGCACCTAGGCACTACGATGGTGGGGCCGGCGACAGGAACCACCTACCAGGCGTCCAGGACCGCCCGCCGCGCGGCGCACATCCCCCTCCATGGTGCTACGGTGCACCAATATGTATGCCATGCGTTCAATTGTTCCATGCGCCACCCATCCCTAGGGAGTTCCCACACACAACTGAACATCCATCCGATACGGAGCATCAATTTTTCTGTTGAGGACCGGGCCAAACAGAGAGATTGACATTTGGCTCCGACTACTTTCTTGTTATTATCCTGAGGACCTGAACTTCATCTCCTCTTCTTCCCATCCCGTCACCGACTTTTACTCTTTCATTCTTTTCCTTTCACTCCCTCCGACCCCTTGGACATTCCCATTCTCCCCAAATTCTTCTGCTTCAATTGCTCCCAATTTGCCCCAATTGATCCCCACTGCTCCTGCCAACTTCCAGAGCTTCCAGAACTTCCACTCGCGACCAACACCACCGAACACCGGACCTTGCAACTTTCACCGAAGATGGCAGCCCGACCTCAGAATATTGGCATTAAGGCCATTGAGATTTACTTCCCGAGCCAGGTATGTGTCGCTACCCCTAGAATGGTGTGGAAAGCTCGACGCAGCACCAGCAAAAATGACGAAGTTCGGAGTACTGACCATCGCCTCTTCGAATAGTGCGTCGACCAGGCCGAACTGGAGAAGTTCGATGGAGTCAGCCAGGGCAAATATACCATCGGTCTCGGACAGACCAAGATGAGCTTCTGCGACGACCGAGAAGGTATGAAATCCAATGTTCAGGCGTTTGCACCGTACTAACCGCTCGTTCGCCACAGACATCTACTCCCTCGCCCTGACCTCCCTGACCTCCCTGATGAAGAAATACAACATCGACCCAAACTCCATCGGCCGCCTGGAAGTCGGCACCGAGACCATCCTCGACAAGTCCAAGTCCGTCAAGTCGGTGCTCATGCAGGTGTTCCAACCATCCGGCAACACCAACATCGAGGGTGTCGACAACGTCAACGCCTGCTACGGTGGCACCAACGCCCTCTTCAACGCCGTCGACTGGGTCGAGTCCTCCGCCTGGGACGGCCGCGACGCCATCATCGTTACCGGCGACATCGCCCTCTACAAGCAAGGCGCCGCCCGCCCGACCGGCGGCGCCGGCTGCGTCGCTATGCTGGTGGGCCCGGACGCCCCCATCGTGTTTGAGGCGGGGCTGCGCGGCTCGTACCTGGCGCACACCTACGACTTCTACAAGCCGGACCTGACCTCCGAGTATCCCATCGTCGACGGGCACTACAGCATCAAGTGCTACCTGGAGGCCGTCGACGGCTGCTACAAGGCGTACAACGCGCGCGAGAAGGCGCTTAAGCAGGCCGCCAACGGGGTGAACGGCGTGCACGAGGCGGACACGCCCTTGGACCGCTTCGACTACATGTGCTTCCACGCGCCCACCTGCAAGTTGGTGGCCAAGTCCTACGGCCGGCTGCTCTACAACGACTACCTCGCAGACAAAAGCAACCCGGCCTTCGCCGACGTCCCCGCCGCTCTCGCCGACGTGTCCCACGACGCATCCCTCACGGATAAGACGGTCGAGAAGACCTTCATGGGGCTGACCAAGAAGAAGTTCGAGGCGCGCGTGAAGCCCACCACGAACATCCCGACCATGTGCGGAAACATGTACTGCGCGAGCGTGTACGGAGGCTTGGCCAGCTTGTTGTCGCTGGTCAGCAGCGACGAGCTGCAAGGCAAGCGCGTCGGGATCTTCTCGTTCGGCAGCGGGTTGGCGAGCTCCCTGTTCAGCCTGCGGGTCCGGGGCAGCACCGCGGAGATGGCGAAGCAGTTGAACATCCAGGAGCGGTTGGAGGCGCGGAGGACTGTCGATCCGCAGGTCTACGATGACGTAAGTTTGACCGTGAATTTTTGATTATATGGGAACGCTGAGGTTAACGATCATCGCAGATGTGCAACCTTCGCGAGAAGGCGCACTTGAAGAAGAACTATTCCCCCGCTGGAAACGCGGAGACGCTTGTCCCCGGCACGTACTACCTAACGGAGATCGACGACCTGTTCCGACGCAAGTACGCCATCAAGGAGTAGGTTTGGGATTGGGTAGGATTGATGACGACCATTGAAAACGACGGGTGGAAGATGGAAAACGACGGGTAAAGGATTCGCACGACCATTTGGGTGTCCGGTGCCCTTTTTCTCGAGCATGGGGAGAATTTTGACTCCATCTCCTTCGTCTGATCCTTCTCTTCGGAGGGACGGGAGCGGTTGGCACGGTGGTTCGGAGCATGGCTTACTAGACGATACCATTGCACTCATAGACCCGGCGGACGATGGACAGACGGTGGCTTGGAGAACCATAGGTTAATAATAATAAATGTGTCCCGATTTCGATGGATTTGTATGTTCTGACGCTTCCTGCTTTGGCGAGGGAGTACTATTCATCAGGACGGTATGGTGAGACGAGAATGTGTTTCGGATTCCGCAGTCACGGTCTATTCCGTCACCTGTCACTTATCATGAGTGTCACAAGTCACCTGTCAACACGGTAGAAACTGACAAACACGATGGAGTCCTTTCTTCTATCGAACTGTCGAACTGTCGAAGCGAAACATCAAATAGATTACGGGATACTCTCATCTACTTGCCATGATCATAGGCTATTCACAGCATCCTGACTATTCCTCGCTCCTGAGTCCCTGACAGTGGCTGATTCCCTCTCACTCAACCCCGTGGAGGCTGTGCATTCGATGTTTCTTAATCCCCTCCTGTCAAAGTGTCAATCCCCTCCTGTCTGATCCTCAGATCCTCATCCCCGCCAGTTTCTCACCTTCTGCTTATCGAACAAGCCTTACTGAATCTGTCGTAGCCCCGAGCCGGACGATTGGCTGCGATCAAACACCGGCAGGCATCCCCCTTGCAGCGTTGCACCTGGATGCAGGAACGCTTCCTCCTTGGCGACGATCATTGGCCGAACCTCCATCTCGAAACACCGTCAGGGGGACGGTTTTCCGGGCAGGTGGCCGCGCTTTATCCTGCGCTCTTCTCTCGGACGCCTAAAAGCTCAGATCCTCAGGCCCTAAGCAATTTGGCTAATCCGAATTCTTACTGTAATAGGTAGTAATTCTCTAACGAGACCGCTAGCAGTGGGGTGACGAGTCCGACGACTGACCAGGGAACAAATCCTGAGCCGGAAACTCGGAGTCCCCTTCATTTCTTCGCCCAATACCCTCCATCTCCACATCCTCACCACCATCCTTTCTCTCCAATTCATCACTCTCTTTCGCATCGGGTAGACGTCACGGTCACTTTGCTCCCTTGCTGAGCAGGAAGTCTTTGTGGAATTTGTATTGCAAGGTGCTCTTTCGCATCAGTCGCTCTCTTATCAGTTATCTGTGATCTGATCTATCTCTCGTTTTGCTGTCATCGTACACCCCCTTCCTCGTGCCATTTCGCTCACTTTGCACGCCGCCTGTGTCGCGCTGCTATACCCTCATTTCACCGTCGCGAATTCAGTACGAGTCTACTCTCCCGCAAATCAGTGTCTGGAACACTTCGCACGCGGTTGACTTTCATTTAACCCTCGAAATCCACTCATATACTTCCTCCCCCCAACCATCACGATGTACTCTCTCGCCTTCCTTTCCCTCGCTCTCCTCTCCCTTCTCCCAACCTCCCTCGCTCAAACCCATACGAATTGTGACCCTCTCACACGGACCGATTGTCCTGTGCATACAGCGCTGGGGACCAACGCGACCTTCGATTTTCAGAAGCACCAAGCGGACGATAAAGTCTGGAACACCACCAACGGGAAGGTGAATTTCACCCCCGACGGAGCCCAGTTCACCATCAAAGAGCGGCTGGAATCCCCCACCATGCAATCGACGTTTTACATCTTATTTGGTCGTGTGTCGTCTATTGTCCGGGCCGCCCCCGGCCAGGGAATTATCAGTTCGGTGGTCATCCAGGCGGAAACATTGGATGAGGTACGACCTTTCCTGAAACCAGACTCCTCGATTGGCATCGATATGGAATCGACGGCATGAATGCGGCCAAATGACTAACCTGCGTGCACAGATCGACTGGGAATGGCTCGGCTCCAACACGACCAGCGTGCAGAGCAATTACTACGGCAAGGGCGACGAATCTTATGGGGGCCGCGGCGGTATCCATGATATGGTTGACCCGACGGCCGACTATCACAACTACACCACCGTCTGGACCAAGGAAAAGCTCGAATGGTGGCTCGACGGCAACATCATCCGCACTTTGAAGTACGAGGATGCAAAAGACGGTACTCGCTTTCCCCAGGTACGTTCATAATCTCACCGTCCTCGAGACCAGAATCCTAACCATGCCGTCTGTAGACCCCCTCTACCGTCCGTATTGGCATCTGGCCGGCCGGCGACCTGCAGAACCCCGATGGCGTCCGAGAATGGGCCGGCGGCGATGTCGACTACAGCAAAGGGCCTTTCACCATGACTGTCCGGTCCGTCTACGTCGAGGACTTCACCTCCGGCGCCACGTACGCATACGGCGACACCTCCGGCAACTGGCAGTCCATCATCGTCACCCAGGGAGAGTCCGAGGCCGCCAAGGAGATCTACACGCCCCATGGCGTCTCCGGCCGCTGGAATGCCCTGCCGAAGACCACGCGCATCGCCATCATCGCCAGCAGTTTAGGCGGCCTGGCCCTCGTGCTGCTCGCCATGACGTGGTGCTGCATCCGGCAGCGCCGCGCCGGGAAGAAGGAGCGCATCATCGCTGACGCCGAGTTCGCCAAGGGCGAGAACGAGCTGATGGATTATCGGCGGCACATGCAGAACGGTGGGTTCGCGATGCAGGGGGGCGTCGGCCACGCTCCGCCGCAGCCCGTGTATCATCTACCGAATAATCGATTCTGACGAACCGGAGAATCTACGCGTGGAGCTATGTGGTGATGGACGATTTTACTAACGTTGGATATTCTTTGGGTTGGTGGGTGTGGATCTGGAGTTAAATGATCTAGACTCGATCTAGGAGACGGTCGATCGCAGCCTCTTATTTTTGAATGCGCATTCAGCGCATTTGTCTTTTCTTCCGATTTTCGTACAAGCCTCCGCCCTCCGCGAGCGTTTGTCACTTATTCTTCCTCTTCCTTGGAAAGGGGACACGACGATTCTCCGCCTGGTTCGACTTTGACAATCTCGAGCAGAAGTGAGGGATATCAAGATGCCGAGCGTCATCGGTTCGCCCGCTACTATCTCTGCACAATGTTGAGGCCGATGGAATGTAAATAGAGACGGCAATCGACAATATTTATGTCATCCACTTGAAGTTCCACATTCTCTCCATTTCGGTATATCCTTTTACTGATTATATCACCGCACTCTGTGCCACCGCCTCATCCCACGTCAACCCCTTCACTCCCCCCCTCATCCCCTCTTCTATCCACTCGTCCTCCAGCACATTCCCCTTCCCCCATCGCCACCTCCACTTCTCCGCCAGCCGCCCCACCCGCTCCTCCCGCCCCACCAGCACATCCACCACCTTCCCCCCTAGCACCGGCAGGAACTTGAACGCGTGCCCCGACCCGCCGGTCGCGAGGAACAGCGACCCCCCGTACCGCGGATGATAGGAGACCAGAAAGGAACTATCCGGCGTGTCCGCGTAAGTGCAGACGCGGCTGTGGGAGAACGGCCGGGTGGGGAGGTCGCGGAGGCTGGCGGGCAGCGGGGAGGGGATGTTGGGGGGGAACAGCTCGCGGATATAGCCGCGGAGGGCCTCGTCGGCTTCGGCGGGGAGGGTCACTGTATGCCCGTCTGTCACTGGCACCGACACCTTTCCTTCCCCTTCAGTCCCCGTTTCGTCCCACTCCTCCATGCCCCCTAGCCCCGCGTCCCGTGCCACCCAGTTCATATACCCCACCCCATGCCTCGCCACCTTCAAATGCGGATGCCTCACCCGATGCGCATTCGGATACCCCTCATCCACCCCCGTCGCATACGGCGGCGGCGGCGGCGGGATCAAGAACAACCCCCGCGACATATCGATCTGCGCAGGTATCTTCGCCAGCGCTTCCGCCTCCGCCGCCGACAGCGCATAATACCCCATCACTTGCCCCGTCGCGCGCACTCGGTTCCCCAGGCGCAGTAGCGCGTTCGTCCACGCGCCCGCCGCGAGGATGGTGAGGTCGGCCGTCAGCTGCCTCCCGTCGCGCAGGTGCGCGCCGGTGATTTGCGGAAAGGGGGCGGCCGTGGAGGACAGCCGCGCCACTGTGCCTACCACGAACGTCACACGCCCCGTCGCCTCGACCTGCCGCCGTAGATACGCCATCGACGCCTCCGCGTCCGCCCATCCTGAGCGCCGGTTCACGTAGCCCGCGGTGCCCGCGGTGCCAGGAGTGCCGGAGAGGCGGAGGATGTCCGCGCGGGTGGGCAGGATGTGCAGGCCGTCGCTGTGGCCCATGGCTTGGAGGTTGGCAAGGGAGCGGTGGAGGTAGTCGACGTTGCTGGGGACGCAGGTGAGGACGAGGCCGCATTCGTAGTAGCGGCTGGCGTCGGCGTGTGATTGGCGCCAGTGGGTTTGGGCTTCGGTGGCGAAGGCGGCGTAGTCGGGGTCGGCGTAGTCGGCGCGGATGAGGCGGGAGGTGTCGATCTAAGGTGTGGTTAGTCGAGTTGGTTAAGGGGGAATCGACGTTGGATGTCAGGGTCGCTCGTGGGATCAAGGGGCGGTCCCTTAGAAGCAAAGGAGAGAGATGGGAATTGAGAAATGGTGAGAATTCCTTACGCTTGCTCCATCGGGAGTGGGAAACTCGTGCTTGTCCACCAAGGTAATGGTTGATTTCGAGAACTCGTCCCTTTCACAGAGCGATAAAGCGGTCGATAATCCAAAAACCCCGGAACCTATGATCAAGACTGACTGCGGTGCGATAAAAGGCTCGGACATAATGGATATCGTCTAAATGGAATATTACTATCAACTATGTTTGGATATTAGGAAGAATGTATATTTCGTCCGATAATCAAGCTTGCCCATTAATATTACATTGGGAGTGGTTTAGGTTGTGCCATTGGCCGGATTGAATTGCCGTTTCGAGCGAAATCAGTCCGAGAGGTGATGCCGTGATGGCCTTGTGATCTGTGGGACAAAATAATAATTTTGGGAATTGGGATGATCTTCGTTTCAGGGATTACTAGATCGAGATCCAGTGCGATCAATCATCAATGGGATATAGGAGGGACCAGTCCACTCATCCTGTGCCGTACTACATACAGATATATCTCGATGCTCGCCGGCATCAGAGCCCCATATTATGATTCTATGACCGCCACCACCAAGAATACGCCGATTTCGTCTCTTTAGGCTTTGGAGGACTGCTTGTGGTCGCTCGCAACGACTTCGCCTCTGTGGCTTCCATCTTTTGTCTATCCTCGCGTGAGAATGGCTTCAGTTCAAACTCGTACATCGTCCCTAGTGCATGCCTCCTCTGCTCCACCACCTCCAACCCGCTCTCCCGCACAATGGCCTCAATATCCCGGTTCCACCAGCATCCATACTTCTTCGCATGATCCGTCGCGCTCCCATCCAGAGCCTTGTTCATCGTATCGTAGTGAAAGCGCCCATGATCCAACAGCAGAATCCTCCCACCCGGCCGCCCCAATCTCCCCAGACTCTTCAACATCTCGACCGGATCCTCCGTCGAGCACAGCCCCATGGTTTGGATCACCACATCGTACCCTACGGGCTGTCCCTCTGGCATCGGCACCTCCCCCGTCGTGCTCTCCTCCAGCCACCGCACCGGGACCCGCTTCTCCTCCTTCGAAAACCGATGACTATCCTCCCACTTCTTCCGCGCCACCTCCAACATCGGCCCGCTTGGATCCATAAACGTGATGCTCTTGCAATTCCGCTCCTCAAAATACCCCGCGTTCCTTCCCGTCCCCGCCGCTGACTCCAGCACGTGTCCGCTCGCCTCGCTCGTCATCCGCCGCCGCAGCGTCGAGATGCCCCAGAAGTACTCCTGCCACTTGACCTCGCTGTCGAACGTGCGCGCCTGCGCGTCGTAGCGCTGCACCGGGTCGAAGTCCTCCGGGAGGGGCTGGACGATCTCGGCGTTACGGGACAGGGTCATGTAGCTGAAGGTGGTGTAGGCGACGAGGCCGGTGCCCGACAAGCCCATAACCCATAGGGCAAACCGACGGGAGCGTTCGATACCGGAGGCATGGCGCACAGCGGGCGAGGGATTCGGTGGAGATGATTTTCGAAGGGTAGGAGGCTTGTTGGAGTGTTGGTATGCAGGCGGACGAGGAGGAGGTCGAGGTGGTCGAGCAGCCCGAGCTGGTCGAGCAGCAGCCATTGGAGGAATCTTTGGAGGAGGCATGTTGGAGTTATGGAAGGCAGAGGGGACTTCGATTGGCGCAGTGCATCACCTATTCGGCATTGCTTTTCAATGGGTATATTACTGCTGGACCGTAACAAATCGGAATACGGAATGTTTTAACATTTGACCAACTAAGGTACGTACCATCTGGGCGTGCTGGGATATCAAGATTCGAGTGTAGACCCTCCCTAGTCCCTCGTCTCCACATTGGCAATGCTGATACAGGGTCAACATCACCCTCATATTTCACGCATTGCGTCTCCTCAGAGCTACTACAGCTAAGATTTCCGTATTAACTATTAAGTATAGGTACGGAGCACGCAGACAGAGTACTATAATTACAATACCGGTAACCCGTACGGTAATTGCGTAGAAAGAGCTATTATTCCTAGCTTCCGTCTATAGACTCTAATCCTCTACAATTCCAACGGCTCTTCCCCGTCTACCTTTGAAAGTCGATGAAGCATCTGTCTAAGCTAGATCTAGTGAATCTTGTGTTGAAGTTATCCCCTCCCATGCGCCTGGTATATCCCGAATCCTCAAACTTCCTCTAATGCCGGATAATCGTCGAAGCCCAATGTTGAACGGGCTTCCGAGGATGCATCAGGCGCAGCTGTTGAACCATAGATCCAAGCGAGCTGAATGCCGGTGTATATGTATGCTGCGTGATAAAGGGCATTGGCCGCGGCCGGATCGACGCGGCTGCGAGCCCATGGAGAGCAAGCTGCCTACCATGAAAAAGCACCGCTGACAATTCTTGGAAATCTCCGTCCAAAAGTTACTCTATAGGATCCACTGGAGCGCAACTGCAGAACAGATTGGTGTCGCCGTACGCTGCGAAACCGTCAGTATACCTTCAATGCCACTCAAAGTACGTCACTCACCATCATCCAACCTCGCCACGGTGGGCCAGAACTTCTTCTCCCTCAAATATGACAGCGGATACGCCGCCCGCTCTCGCTCGTACGGACGGTCCCAAGTGCTCCTCAGCAAATCCTTCTGCGTATGCGGCGCCATCTTCAGCAAATTGTTCGTTTTCGGCTGCGCCCCTTTTTCGATCTCCGCGATTTCCTTGCGAATGGAGATCAGCGCATCGCAGAACCGATCCAGCTCCTCCTTACTTTCGCTCTCCGTCGGCTCGATCATCATCGTGTTGGCGACGGGCCAGCTCATCGTGGGCGAATGGAACCCGTAATCCTGCAGCCGTTTGGCGATGTCGATGACTTCGATGCCGGCGGATTTTTGGAAGGGGCTAAGGTCCAAGATGAACTCGTGGGCGCAGCGTCCGGCGGGATTCGTGTAAAGAATCCCATAGTGCGGCTTGAGGCGAGAGAGGATGTAGTTGGCGTTGAGAAGGGTGATCTTGGTGGCATGGGTGAGACCCCGACCTCCCATCATCTTAATATATGCCCAGCTGATGGGAAGGATGCTGGCGCTACCCCATGGAGCCCCGCTGACCGGTGGAATGGCCAGCTCGCCGCCAGTTGGGACGAGGGGATGGCCTGGAAGGAACGGAGCAAGGTGCGATTTGACACCGATAGGGCCAACACCAGGGCCGCCGCCTCCATGAGGGATGCAGAAGGTCTTGTGAAGGTTGAGATGGCAGACGTCCGCTCCAATCTCTCCGGGGGAGCAGAGACCAATTTGAGCGTTCATGTTGGCTCCGTCCATGTAGACCTGGCCGCCATGTTGATGAACGATCTCGCACACCTCCTTGACGCTCGGTTCGAAGACGCCGAACGTGCTGGGATACGTGACCATGATGGCACCCAGCTCTTCGCTGTACTTCGCACATTTGACCTTGAGGTCTTCCATGTCTAAGTTTCCAGTGCCCGTGTCGCACTTGATGGTTACGACGCGCATACCAGCCATTGCGGCACTCGCTGGATTGGTCCCGTGTGCGGAGACGGGAATCAAGCAGATGTCTCGTTTCTTGCCCGGCTGCTGATCGTGGAACTTCCTGATCACACGCAGGCCTGCAAACTCGCCCTGCGCCCCTGAATTCGGTTGCAACGATACGGCATCGAACCCGGTAATTTCGGCCAGATCATTCTCCAGCTCCTTCACCATAGTTGCGTAACCTTGTGCTTGATCGACCGGGACGAAAGGGTGGATCGATGAGAACTCGGGCCACGAGACCGGAGCCATTTCCGTGGTGGCGTTTAATTTCATCGTACATGAGCCAAGGGGAATCATGGAGTGGGTGAGAGAAAGGTCCTTCGACTGGAGATGATGGATGTATCGGAGCAGCTCGGTTTCTGAGTGGTGTGTGTTGAAAACGGGATGGGTAAGGTAGTCCGATGTTCGGTCGAAAGCGCTAATTTGTTGAGAGGATATAAGTTCTGATGCAATAGCTTCAATGTCAGTAGCTTTGGGTTCGATGCTGAACTGCCGGAAAATGTCCACGACATCTTGTAGATCCTCCTTTTCTACCGTCTCGTCGACGGTGATACCAATTCGAGTGTCATCAACCTTTCGTAAGTTGATGCCTTTGTTCTCCACTGCCCAGCTCAGGACCTCGCTGGCGCTGGCTTTAGAATTGCTGAGATCCACAACCATGGTGTCGAATGCAACTGGGCCGAATGCGTCCTGTGAAGTATTTGAGCCGACAGTGTAGCCGAGCTGAGATATGGCATTTTGGAGGGTTCTTGCGAGCAACTGGATTCGGTGAGCAATAGCCTTCAGTCCCACCGGACCGTGATAGATGGCGTAGAAAGCGCTCATATTCGCCAACAAAGCTTGAGCGGTGCAGATATTGCTCGTCGCCTTTTCTCTTCGAATATGCTGTTCGCGAGTTTGGAGCGCCAATCTCGCGGCGCTGTCGCCCAATCGATCCTTCGACAGACCGACCAGACGCGCAGGAATCTTCCTCTTATGCTTCTCACTGCAAGCAAAGAATGCGGCGTGAGGTCCGCCATAACCGAAAGGAACACCGAACCGCTGGGCGTTGCCAAAGGCGACGTCGGCTCCGAACTCGCCCGGCGGCTTCAGCACCGTCAGAGCGAGGAGGTCGGTCGCGACGCTCACGGTTCCTCCCATCTGGTGTACAATGTCAGACAAATTTTGGAAGTCGTCGGTGCCGCCAGTCGTGTTTGGGTATTGCACCAAGACACCAACAAGGTCATCTCCCAGTTCCTTGACCGCCTTGCAGCCGTCCTCGAGGGGATCACCTGTAATGATCTTGATCCCGAAGCCTTCGGCGCGTGCGTGAAGCACAGAAATGGTCTGTGGGTGGCATAGGTTCGAGACAAAGTAAGCCTTGTTCTGCCGTCTTAATCGCGATGTTGGTAAAGCGTTCAGCGACAGTGTCATCGCCTCCGCAGCAGCTGTGGGCTCATCCAAGACCGAAGCATTTGCGATGGCCAGGCCAGTCATGTCGGACACCATGGTCTGGAAGTTGAGCAGCGACTCCAACCTCCCTTGGCTGATTTCCGGCTGATACGGGGTGTAGCTAGTATACCAGCCCGGCCCTTCCAAGACATTTCGCTTGATCACCTCCGGGACGTTCGTTCCCGCATATCCACAACCGATGTAACTCCTTAGGACCTTGTTTCCCGACGCAATGGTCCGCAGGCGCGCAAGAAGCTGTGTCTCGGAGTATCCTTCCGAATCCGAAGTGGACTTTCCGTTCCCAAGTTCAATCTTCAGGTCCCTTGATGACAGGATGTCTTGGGGGAGAACCTGCTTCACGAACTCATCAAGGCTCGCTGCCGGGGGATCGAGAGCCTTGAGCATTTCATCCGCGGAGGCGCTATCTGGGCCAACATGTCGTCGGACGAAGGTGTCGACCGGTGCAAGAGGGGATTGGGCACCAGCCTTGGTCGTGAAAGGATCGTGTTCCTTGGTCTCGGCGGTCGAACTCGTGTAGAACGTCCTCGTCGCTCGAACGGGACGAATACCCGCTGGGCGTCTGCCTAAGTGACACAGTCTGCGTGAGGTCGTGGCGGTTCTGGAGGCTGTGAGAACCGCCGTCGACGTCGACGCCGTGAGGCATCGTAAGGAGGCTTGCATCTTGACTAGAAAGACCTCCTCTGGGGTCAGATAGCCTCTGGCGAGCTCCGGAACTACTCAATTGCCTGGGAACACCTTCGTTTGAGATACAGTAGCCAGCGAGGTTCGGTATTTGATGCTAGAGAGAGGAATTTAGGTAAATAAAACTTGGTTTAAGCGCATAAAGTCGGGTGTTCTCCTACGTTTACAGTTTGCCGACCTTCGGAGGGAAGTGCTTTACTCAAAGTTCCGCCGATAAGCGGAGAACGAATCAGAATATGCCGATACTCTCAATTGAGTTTGATTTCACCGCTGCGAGGAAATAGTCAAGGAATATGTTGGGTCTCTCCAGGCCCCGATGCAGGAGAATTGCATAAGAACTTGCATCATCCCGACGCATCCATATGACCGGGAACTCTCGGGCGATAGAAATTGTAACAGCGGTGTCCACCGTCCGCCCTCCACAGCCCACAGTAAAAGTTCAACGGGACATGGATCTGGACCTTGGCGACAACTAGTGAGAGTGGCGGCTCCTCAAGCCAAAGTCCGAAACTTGGATGCGACCGAATTACAATAAAACCGGCGAATCAAACCCGCTTCCGAATGATGTCAAGTTTGTCCAACTCACAACTGAGGTGTGGGACAAGGAGTGTGCAGGGAAGCTCTCGGTTTGACCGTTTGAATGTTTGATTAGTGGCTAGATCACGTGCTTGCATAGGCATAGTAGCTTAGTCATCCTCTCTCGCCGAGTCCCTGAACCCTGGTCAGCCACGTGATATCAAATTGATTCGGCGAATGAGGTTCGCGCACGTGAAAGTGGGACATAAACCTCGCCGCCTTGTAGCCTTGCACATCGAGGCTCCAGCTCCACGTGCTCTCGGCTCCTCTCCCCACTTCCCTAATCACCCCTTGCAGTCTTGCGTGCACATCGCCTGTCAATTACTAGATTCAGACTGGATAATACACTATCGATACAAGATTCCAAGTCACCAATGATAGGTATGACCTAACAGGCACGCTTCAAATGCTCGCTCTCCTCCCGGCTGTGCGTCTCAAATGTCCCTTCTCCTCCGTCCCCGTCAGCCCCGGGATCTCCCCCTGCTCCCTCAGCTCCTCCACGAACCGTCGTCCATATTCGTATCCCGCCATGTAAATCGCCTCGAAGCTGCCGAACTCCAGCGTCCCAAATCGATCAACATCCGGGCGCATGTAGTGACACCCGGGCATGTTCTTCGCTCGCTCGAGCGCGTCGACGCTTGAGACGTATGCCAGCCGGCTTTGGATCTCCGAAAGCGTGGGCGGATTTGGGGTCGAGGATAAGGGGTTCCATCGGTTCAGGAGAGCCCAGAGCCCGGACAGCGAATCCCCGAAATTCTGCGGCGTGTCGTCGTCTATGCTTCCCACGTCCACGGCGAAGATGACATCGGCACCCAGAGACTTCATGTGCGCCACGGTTAAATTGTCAACGTAGCCACCGTCAAGAAGCAGGTTGCCTTCGTCGCACAACGGAGGCAGCAACCCTGCGAGCGACATTGACGCCCTCACGTACCGCCATGCATACCCACTGGCGTGGATCTCCGGCCGGCTCTTCGAGATGTTCGTGCTGTTGCAATAGAACGGGATCCAGAAGTCTTCGATCTGCGCATTGCCAAACGTCTTGAAGATTCCCCGGTTGAATTCGTGTCCGGTGGTGTATGATGCCGTGGGATACGTCGCGTCTAGCAAGAACCGCCAAAAACTGGCCATGCGGCCCGAGAACTTCTTCGCTTTGCCGAGCGTCGGGATGATGTCCGCATCCCACGCATAGAGTCCGCCGACCAACGATCCGATCGAAGTACCGCCGATGATGTCGATGGGGATGCCGGATTCCTCCAACGCTCGGAGAATGCCAACATGGGCACAGCCTCGTGCTCCACCGCCACCTAAAACAAGCCCAATGGATTTTCCCCGCAAATGCCGCGCCAGGCGATGAAAGTCGCTCTTAGAAGGCGCTTCGGAGGTATATAGTGGCCTACGAGGAGGTTTTCGCGCTGCATACTTCTGGATTTGGTCTTGGATGACTTGCACCCGCTGTTTCAATGCGGACCCGAACCGTCTGTTCTGGGAGCTCACTGGCTCGGACGGCAATTGGTGGGACATATGCACATGGTGATGTGCGCCGTTGATCCAGGACCGGTTCTGAAGCCACTTTCGAGTCAGGCCGGGGGGGCAGTATCGCTCAGGATGCAGAAGGACAAGCTCTTTGATGGCTGTGGTTTTGGTTGTGAGCAAGAATCTTTCATACTCCCCGATATTTGGAGAACCATCCGCCAGACCAACCAGTAAGATGCAGTCCGCCTTACTCACGCAGGTCTGCGTCCAGGGTGACTGGACGCTGGTATCCGCAACGTACAACACGATGCCAAATTTCTCCTCGAGATCGGCGAGATACTGCGATAGCTTCAGTTTTCCCATGCGGTTGAAAGCGTGACGGCCAAGATGTTGCAGGATCGTTGTCTGATTCAGCGATGCGACGCCACTTGGCGTACCAATCTGGATCAGCGCGGTCGTCAGTCGACTCGCGAACTCAACCACGGGTATCCCGGACGTCACGGGCAAGATGGCGATGGTCCTAAGGTTTTCGGTTGAGGATGAATTCGTTCGAGCGACCGCAGCCCTTCGATCGGTCCCCATCTCTTCAATCAAGGACCTCATTCTCCTGGCAATGATCTTCGATATCTTCATCGAGACCCCTGTATGCTCGAAAGCCAAGCTGTTGAACAGGGTCTTGGGAAACTTGGCCAGCTCCGCGTCTCGGATGGCGTGGAGCGACGCTGGTCTGTCGTTGTCCGTGAGCACTTCTAGTTCTCCAACACTATCTCCTTGGGCGTATTCTCCGAGCACGGAAACGGCGCCCGAATCGGATTCGTGGAGAGCGCGCAATCGACCGTTCAGCACAATGTAAATTGCATCGCTTTCCTCGCCCTGATTGTAAATGACTTGGCCGGCATTGGCTTGCATCCACTCCAATGCAAAATCCACGTGCAAGATAAGCTGAGGAAGCAACGCCGTGAGCCTCTTTGCCAGAGTCAGAAGGACAATGGGGTGTTTCTCGACGATACGCTCCACTGCGCTCCGGGACAAGAATCCAACAAAGACGTCGGACTTGGCGGTCACCTCCACGAGCGAGCGGTAGTTTGACACTGATCCAATGTAACCTGCAACCCCTCCCGGCTTTATGAGGTATAAATGTTCGCGGCCTCTCGGTGCATTTTGCTTCTCGGAGTTCGTGCGATCCGGCCGCTGTCTGGACGGCTTTTTACTAGCGTTCAAAAGCGACTCCCGTGATTCTCGAGCGGTTCTAGCCGGCGTTCTTTCAGGGATGTCCACTATCACATCACCGTCTGTGACGATCGAGACTTCCAGAAACCCGTCAATGACATAATACAACCCTGGATTGCGCTCTCCTTGCTCGACGAGCACCGCGTTCTTGGGGAAAAACAGGATCTCAACGTCATTGACGAGCTCTTCAAAAATATTGCCGGGACCCTCGACGCTCAAGGCGGAGATTGAGGTGGATCGCATTGACTCGGTATCGAAGTCGAAAGCAGAGGTTTCGTAGGGATCCATCAGGCCAAATGCACTGTGGAATACTGCTTTCTGCTTCTTCGCATCAAATGACACCAACCGTGGAGACTGCTCGTGAGATGGTGCTACTTTTGACGTGGAGATATTTGTCAGCCCAATAGTCTTGCAGAAGCAGTCCAAAATCGCTTCTCGGAATACGGTGTCCTCATCGGTTGACTCCTGTCCGACAGGCGCGATGTTTCCACGTGCAAAGTAATCGGCGTCTTTGGATGCTTCTCGACGGGGTACATTGGGAGTGTGAATCGGCGTTGAAAATGACGGCCGAGGCGTTCTGCCGCTGGCGAGTAAGTCGCCAGCACTGACACCGTGTCTGTCCATTGGAGATAATTCTCTGCCGATGGGACTCATCCGGTCAAGCATAACGGACCCTGATCGACCCTGATGCAGTCTCGACCGGATGCTCGCGTCACGTTTGCCCGCGTTCGAAGCTTTTCTTCGCATTCCTGTCCGTGGGTTATGCAGAGCAATGCCTTTCGTGGCATCCTCCGGAGCGATCCGCTCCCTCTCCTCAGAAAACTTTTCCTTCAACCGATTCAACGCGCCGTCTCGCAGGTAATCCGGTAGCTCGCATGTGGTCAACCGGCTCAAGCTCTTCTCGGTCCGTAGAATTTCTTTTGCGAGCCCAAGATAAGCATATCCGGTAGCGAGAGTGACCCGATTCAGACGAGATATGATAACGGATATTACCTGAGCGGTGGATTTCGGATATATTCGGGTCAAACGCCGGAACGCAGACGCCGGTATAATGGCAATCGTGCTATCAACGGTTGCGCGAGCCAGAATATTTGGGTGCACGGACTTTGCTTGCCGATATGCTTCCGCCTGAGCTTGCCCGACGTCTTCGCTAGATTTCTCGAGCGAAAGGGGAGGGATGCTGGGCATCCTCCCTTCGCCTAGCATGCTGGATGATCGTCGGGCGCGTGAGAACCCTTTTATTGCTGTCGGGCTCTGCGGGTACACCGGGGTCGAAGGAATGGAGTCGGGGGTGGATTGCGAATGCACGACAGCTTCTCGTGATATTGGACGCTGACTGGAGCCATTCGCAGGGTCCATGCCTTCATGCTTCAGTTTGATTTCCTCGGTGAAAAGGGATAGTATGGTAAAAAGCGACGACATCGGAGCGCCACTTTTGACTTCGGTCAGTAATTGATATCCTTGCTTCTGCCCTTGTAGATCGTCTTCGCTTTCGTCGTCAGACAGCTCGGACCCAGTATCATCGTTTTTTGACTTGAGGAATATTTGGACTAGCCCCTCAACAACTAGGCAGAACCCTTGCTCCTCTTCCAGCAGCAACGTCTCTCCGGCCATGAGCTTCCTTGTGTGCATAGTCCTGGTGAGTTCATGGAAGACTGGACGCTCAAGGTAACCAAAGACTTTGATAGCACTAAGAAACTCATCCAAATAGTTGGAAAGGCCTGGTTTGGAATCTCCTTCCGAGGTAGCAGGGAACAACTCGATTTGCGGTTCATCGCGTTGCGGTTCCGGTGGTAGTCGCTCATACATATTCATGTATCGGTATCGGACCACCCAGCTGACAATGGATGCAAAGCATAGGAGTATCAGTAACAAAGTCGTAAAGTTCAGAGTAAAGGTCAGAGACGTAGAAAAGACTGTGTAGAGTGTTGCAGGGAGGGATATAGTGAGAAACGTGAGCAGAGCCAGGACTGCTCCTCCAAACAGCCCAAGAGAGGTTGTATTATGGGGTACAACAGCCATCGCTGGATTAATGGAGGATGTCGCCTCCGACACGGTATCAATGGCCGTGGAATAGGCGTCTGCAATGTCCACCGACGAAGCAGAAGTGAGCAGTGAGCTCTCCATGGTCAACAGGATGTTGAAGCTCTATCTATACTTGTCTTGGCGTGAGTGCGTCAACTTGAGGACGTGTGGGCGGGTAAGCCCGGTGCTGCGACTGGTATGTGGCATAAGAGTGTCCCAAGGTTTCAAGTTACGGTAGATACCAGGATAGCAAGACGATCGGTAGAAATGCAGAGGCGGAGGAACGTGGGACATTCAAACGTTGGAAACGCGTCCTCACTGGAGTGGAGAACCCTCCACTGCATGCAGATTGTTGGACTTGGAATGCCGGGGCTGGAAGAAAGAGGCAGGTCACATGATTCGCTCGACCCCAATAGAAAATTAAAATAGCACTGCCACACGTGCACTCCTCTTTCTGGACGCCATAGTTTGATGACCGCGCCACGAGCTAACCGCATCAGGATAGCCTTCTTCACGTCGCGATCCATCCGCCATGGCTCGTCCTTCTCAACAACGGAAGAGCCATCAGAACGCCAAAACTGATTACGCCTACCACGACAAAGGAACCCTCGGCCGCTCCATCAGGCGCGAGCAAGCGCGGAAATCTGAATAGAATAACCCTGAGAATAAGGTCGAGATTCTTACCAAGTGAGTGCAATCCCCCAACCCCAGCGATTGGATGAGTTCCTCGTCGCAATTGTGAAATGTTATGATAATCTGTTCTATGATTCAACCTTCTTAACGCTGCATATCATTCGCAAACTCATGCGCTTTGCTGACCATCGTAATTGAAACAGGATGCCTTCTACTTTCCGCGACGATTCAATCATCGTAAGTTGGACTTCATTTCCCGCTTGAACATGGAATAAACTAACTCGGGCCCAAGATCATCGCACCGGGTTCTAAGACGACATGGGCGCTCTCCGGTCTTCCAGAGTCCTATGGCCCTCCCCAACATCAATTCCGTACCTGCATGTTCAAGGACCGCGATGACAAGTGGAGCCCGGTCCGCTACCGTCTCAAGCCTGGAGGCACCGATATCAACAACGACGACGATGTGGAAGAAGACCCCACCTCTACCGAGGGCGCATGCTGGCCTATCCAAAATGGCATTATTGTGAATATGGAGTGCCTCGTGGCCTTGCTCACTCACGTCTATAACTCATTTCATCAGATGTCCATCAGCACCCCAGTTCTGCTCGTCATCGACCCCATCTGGAGCATCAAGAACCGCACTGAGCTCAGCAACTACTTCTTCGCGGCGCTCAAGATCCCAGCGCTATGGATGATGGATTCTGCTCTGGCCACGCAGCACGGCTTCTCCTCGACAGCGACGCTTGTGGTCGACATTGGCTACCAGAAGACAGACATCACCCCAGTTGTTGAACATAAAATCCAACACATGCATCGAATCCGAGGGTTTACAGAACAAAGCGGGGACGTCATCACGAAACATCTCCATAGCCTCCTGAGCCCTAAGGGGTTCACCTATGACATGTGCGAGCAGATGAAGAAGAGCGGCATTGTCCAGGTTCTCCTTCAGGGCACACCGATTCCAGGAGCCAAATCCACAGGCGATTCGGAGCCCAACGAGCAGACTGATGCCGGAGCAAATGGCGCTCCATCAACCGCACCTGCGCCTGAGATCGTCCCGCAGTCTTCTCTGTTGCAGCAGAATCTAGATGGTGATGAGGAACCATTCAAGGCTGAAGACAATGAAGGTGTGCTCGACGTGGCCAGTCTTGTCACTGGAGATAAAATGGCCGAGTTCCTTGCCGAGAAAGAGAGAGAAAAGGCTGAGAAGGCGGCCAAGGCGAAGAAGGCAGGGGAAGCTGCCAAGAAATCGAAGAACACTGGTCTGAAAGAGAAGGCATCGTTCACGTATGAGGAATGGGTTCATGGGAAAAACGAAGTCGCCGCTCCGAATCTCGGTACGGATGACTCTGCAAGTGGAGGTGCTGCAAATGGTGACAGCAACGGTGCTACCAACGGCCAAACGGAACCAGTTGTAGTCCGGCAAGCCGGCTCGATGCAGTTGATCCGACGAGAGATTGAAGTCGGTGCTGAGCGTTTCATGGCGCTTGATGACAATTTCCTCGACGAGCTTTGCTGGGCTATCTATCGTTCAGTCCAAGGCTGCGAACCGCAACACCGCGCCCGCCTCTGGGAGAATATCGGTCTCGTGGGTCAAGGCTCCAAGATTAAAGGTTAGTGCCCCACGGCGCGTCCGGTTGATCATGGGCACATCTAACAACGTCTTAGGTCTCAAGGAATCGATTCATGCTACCCTGATTCGCAAATATCTTATCTCCCCGTCTTCCGCAACCATGTTCACATCCGAGCTTCCGTCCAACTTCTCCACTCCGACCGGCACCGGAGCCAACACCCCGCAGCCTCAAGCCGGTGGACATGGCGGCAGCTCTCTCTTGCAGGCCGCCACGATTGGCCAGGCAAACCAAGTCGTTGGCCAGTCGGCACTGCCGGCTTTCAATGCCCTCGCCATCCCATCTTTTAACACCATCGCGCCGTCTAGCCAAACCCCAACGAAGTTTGGCTTTGCCAAAATCCCGGATTATTTCTCCGCCATGAAGGACTCTCCCGAGCACGCCGCCTTCCTCGGTGCCCAGGTCGCTGCGAAAGGCATCTTTCATTCGACGTTGCAACAGGGCGATCGCGTTCACATGTCGAGGCAGGAGTTCAACGAGCACGGACCCGCGTACATCGGCGAACTATATTGCTATGAATACTGAGTTCTGTGGCGGCTGGTTTGGTCGTGACCACGGGTCAGCATCGTCTTCCAGGTGTTTAGGTTGGAAATTGGCTCGAGCCACCTCTTTGGGCATCCCGAGTGATTCACGAGGCGAATTCGAGGCGAATTGGAGGTTCTTTCGGCTATAAGCCATCATATCATGGCCTCGAGGTTCGAGGGTTGATGGGCATCGCAACTCCGCAAGGTCATTAGCACCGCACGGTCATTATGCACGTCATGGCGGCTTTTAATGGGCCGGATTGTATAAATATACCCAGGGCATAAATAGCGTGAACTGACCGTTTCTTCAAATGAAAATTACGATGCAACTTGATGTTTGACGTGAGTGACGTGACGCTTTTCCGAAGTCGTGCGCCCAAGAACCTCAACCATTCCATTTCACACGTTTGTCCTTAAACAAACTAACCATGCCAATGGGCAACAACGATGGATCAACAATCCGTAGCCCATCGAACTTCTTCACGAGATCTGGGCCATATGCCGCGGTGATCCATCTCCAGTAAGGTTCCATGTTATACCATTGAGTCGTGATCCCCCTCAAGTTCTGCTCGCCGCTCAGAGCGTTCAGTGCGCCGTAGATCACTTGTTCCGGCTCGATATTCTCGGGCTCTGGGCATTTCAAGAGCTTGTCAAATAGGTCGGACAACTGCCCGGGGAAGCGATAATCGAGATCCTCACGGTACCTCGTATATTCCTCGAATGAGAGGAAGGATACCTCTCCACGGCTCTCATCATCACCTTCCTGTTGACGGCGCCTGGACTCCCATGTTTTTTGCGCCTTCTCGTATGCCTCTAATTCTTCTTCTCGTAACGTGGCAAACTCCTCTTCCAACGTTTCTCCAAGCTGGTCCTTCAATTGCACGGGTTCTACAAACGGACTGAGCAACCCAAGCCCGCCTAGCTCCACGGGAAAGTAAATAAACGCGTCCGGAATCTCATCCCTGCTGACGCCAAACCGATCCTGCAGAACGCCTTTCAAATACGCCGCTACAGAGCCATGGCTCTGAGAGAAGAGTTCCTGATGAATGCGCTGATGTGTGGCCAAAATCGACTTCACATGGGATTGTCCAAAGCAGTTCGCTGGTTTCCCGAAGTTCGACGCAAAAAAATTGATGGCGGAGATATTCCACGCTCGAATCCAGGAGAATATGGAGCCACGTGATTTGTTCTCGAGCTGCGAACGGAGCTCCGTAATTTGATTGTCCACAAGGGCTTGGTCGATCTCGAAACGGCCAGTTTCTGCAGACAGCTTGAGAAAGCCCCATCGAATATCGCCTCTGGGGAGGCGGGTGTCCCGGAGAAGCGAATCATCTGGATGCCTGCCAATCCTGACACATCCTGTCTTCTTTTTGTTCAAAGACGTCCCTGTCACTCTTGTGAACGCTTCAACGGCCTGCCACGCTTCGACGCATTTATCTTGGTTGGGGGACCAAAACCAAAAGTCATCGGAAACCCGATGGAGCTGACCACCGTCTGTCACTTGATTGATCGAAAAGTCTAGGGAGAATAAGAGAACCTCGCCGAACATGTCAGTCAACTCATGGTAGCCAGGGGCTCCTCGTCGCCGAACGCGTGGCTCCGCAGCCGGATCATCGATGAACTTCAACGGAGCTTCAAGGAACTTTTGGAAAAAGTCGAGCCATTTTTGGGACACTCCAAACCATCGAAGAACCGTGAGGATGGTGGAATGGGGGAGCAAGGGGTTCCATTGCTCGAAGATAGACCGGAAGACACTAAGTTCCCCGTGGATTTCCCTGGCGATGGCTACTTCCGTGGAGACCAAGTGCAGTAACCTCTGCTTCTTCAGCATAGGGCGTTTGGGTAAAGTTTCGTCATCGCTCTCGGCTTCGCTTTCAACCTCAATTTCTTCAGCGATAGAGGCTTCTAGATCCTGCCTGTCAGATGGCGCAATCTTCCGATGCCTTTTCGCCCTCCCTTGTGGTCTTCCGGCTCGCATAATTACTGTTTGCTTCTTGCGAGGGGGTGGAGGTTTATCATCGTCATCGTCGACATCGTCCAGCTCGGCTTCTTCATCGCCTTCTGCAGACTCTATCCGCTGATCCAGATAATTGGGAAGGCCATAACTGAAGTATCCCTCTCGATGCAATGCACGTCTTTTCCAATTCAAAGTATGAACTGTCGCTCCACGCTCGGTGACCAAGGAGTTGCTCAACTTCTTTCTAAAAGACACGGGGATGTGTGTCCTTAGGGTTTTCCAGGCTTGCTTGTTTTTGCGGAACAAAATAAAGGCCTCTTTAAAGAAAACGGCCCATTTTCTTCCAATGTACTGTAGCAGAATCGCTTGCAGCAAGTCCTCGTGGAGATGGACACTATGTGCGCCTGTAACACTTCGACGTTGCTCGACGGGCACAAATTCACCCCAATTCCACTCATTCAAGGCTGACAGGCGCAAGTTCAGAACGTCGGCGATTTCATTGAGGATGATATCATTGCCTAGAATATCTTTAAGGACTGAACGCTGGTCATCGTCGAGGAGGTCAGAGGTTGAAAGTCCTTCAATAGTCCATGTCAAAGTATCGACCGTGAACGGATTGGCAGAAGCCATGTCCCTTTCGAAAGTCTCAACCTGTAGCCTTAGGTTTTTTATAGCAACGCGAACCCCACCCTTATCTTCCTCGTTGACGCCAAATACCTTGCCAAGGTACAACTTGAGTGCGGCAACATCAATTTCCACGGGCTCGAATACGGACATCTCCCATTCCATGCGTGACTGAAGCTTCTTCGCGCCGGGGATTTCTTCGAAAACGCCCGACATCCCCACATCAGTCTCCGGCAAACTGTCTTTATTTTCTTCAGAAAGCCATTCAGTGACGAGCTCTCCATACAAAGTAGCATAGCGGTACTTCAGGGATTGGGTCTGCAGATATTGCCTCAGTTTGGCTTCCCACCGCGGGAGTACATGTGGCGCTGTTCCCGAGTCGAATCGAGCCTGCGTCAGAACCTTCTCAAGAATGATAAGATCTGTCTCGAGCTTGGGGATCTGAGTAGTGCCTCGGATCACTCTGCCTCGAAAGCCGTATGGCTGCTCATCCTGGCTCTTATCTCTGTAGGTAGTGGCATTGAAGCAGTCTTTTACACCATCTGAGAGAATCAGTAGTCTTGTCAAGGGATCTTTTTCGGCTGCGATGGCCGCCTCCAAGGCTTCATGTTTCTTTTCAAAACTAGATCGCTTCTTCGACAGCTCGTCGAGCTTTGCAGTCGTAATGGATTGCAAGGTTTCGGAGAAGACACTGCCTGAGTGTGTCATTCTTGCTAAGTCAAATCGAACTGAATTCTGGCGTCAGCAATATTGAATTTGTTTAACTTGTTGCGATACATCGCATGTTGCGGAATGATATAAGATTCCCGAGCAAGGAAAAGGAGTGGCTCTTTTATATCGGTATCCATGCTTACAGGCAGCAACGCGGTCGGTTCAGGGGTTGTCAGTTGTGACAGGGGTTCAAATCCTTCTCCATCATATTACATCTCACACCTGACATCATTGACAGTGCATGGGCTGGACATGGAAATCTTTCTTCCTTGCTGTACCAATATTACTCTTGCAGGCCATCCGGAGGGAGGACATTGATAGTCCTGAAGCAGATCACCGGAGCATCGAAAACTCTCAAGCTTTAAGTCCGTTCGCCTTGTGCTGCCCCTAAATGTGAAATACCGTCTTCCCCTCCCTTTCATTCGGTGAGACAAATATTATGACTCTCGGTTAAGGAAGGCTGGGGGAGGACGATCTCCTCCACCCGGCCTAATGTTAAGCCATACCACCTTTTGGAACCGCGGTTGACTTGAGATAGGCAAGCAAATAGATGTGTCGATGGAGGTGTTGGACAGGATGGATGTGAGAGTCCAATCCCGTCAAATGGAATACAGAACGAGACCACAGCAGGATTACTATTGTTAAGTGAGAGAGGTGAATTGAAAGCTGAAGCCACAAGACCAAAATTTCAGCCGATTTCTAATACAGTACCTCATTATTTCATTCATAACACAAGAAGCGACAAGTATATAAGACTTCCACCATCCCTTTCAACTTCAAACCTTCGAAACATTCAAATCGTCCAAGATGCATCCTTACACTCAATTCCTCAAGCCTACCCACTGGATCGGCCGGAGCATTAATCGGAGCTTGAATGTTGCGATGCTCTTCGATCAGATTAAATCGACGCTTGAGCTGGAGCCAGAGGCGTTAGAATCGCTAAGATTCATGTTATTCAGATTTAATGGTCCCGAGTAGCACCATCACCAAGAGCCTATACAGCTGCTCTCGGCATACGGATCGGACATGACTGAGTTGACAGCATGATTCCAATACTAAGAGACTGTACGGGAGGTAGCAATAGTCAAATGCAAAGGATTCGTCCATTGTCCCGAGTGAAGGTGTTCTTCCAGTGTATAAAGGAACAGTAGCAAAACAATTAAGTAGCATAGAGAGTGCAGAACTCTCCGTTTGGCTGTGCACCACTATTGGGAACTTTTGGCCGACTTGTTAGATTATGGGTTCTGGTGAGCTTCCTACAGTGTACTGAGTTGGACCTTTTATAGACCAGTCACACTATCTAGAGTCGAATCAGCCTAGACTTAATATCAAACTCAACTTCAGCGCGGAGTGGCAATACTCACAGGTCACAACGTGTTCTTCAGTTTTTGGCCTCCTTCCCGTCCGTGGTCAACAGTCGTGACTCGTATATCTTGCAAACGAGCCCACGTCAATCACAGCAGTACCAAATATGCTCTAAGGCAACGCCACATGCAGTTCTGACATCTTGAGCCCAGTAACTGAATAATGTCTAGTCGTTGTGTGATTGCTGCTTGGATCAACGAGAATCCCCTGATACCGTTCCCCACGGTATCAATCAGTCTCCAGTCCCCTTAGTACTGAGAAGTAACCAGTCCCATTTTGCGTTGCTGCCTTTTTAGACAGCCCTTCTTCTTTGGCATGACTTGATTGACCTTTTGCCTTCCTCTTCCTTTTCGTTTTCGTGCTCGCCTCATTTTTTTGGATGACATCACTAAACTTTAGTTCTAGCCATCCCAGGACTTCTTCCACCACCCCATCCTCCGCGGCAGCATCGTCGAAGAATTCCACAACTCCAGGAAGCAGACTGAGCTCACGCTCCAGCTTCCCCACCATCTCCAGAGGCTCTGCGGACACTGAACGCAGGAATCGGATGGTTTGAAGCAACATCCGTAAGGAACACCAGATGCCTTGCAATTGGGCAGAGAAGTGGATATAAGGCCACTCAGTGCGCCGCCCGTCGGAGCGATGGATCCAGTGACCCTTGAGAAATTCCTTTACGTCAAAGCTGAAAATAACGTTCGTCGAGGAGCCCGATAGCAATGGCAACAGAAGAAATAGGACGATCGCTCGCCATCGGAGAGTCGTTGGTAGTTGAGGCATGCCTGAATCAGCGGATAACCCGCTCAATAGGTCTAACTCTTCGGTAATGCGTTGTCTCAAGTCGATCGGGGAGAGATGAGGTACAGCGACCGGAACCACACGATGACCTCGACGTGTCAATTCGATAGTGTGCGGCGAAGAATGTTTACTTAGGCTTTCCGAGACCAGCGTGTATGACACCTGGCGGATGTGAATGCTCTGATCCCATGCTGTCGACCGTGATGGATCTTCAATCAATACCGGAAGATATATTGTTGGAACAACATGCTCCCTCGACGTGCCACTAAGTTGGGAGCACAGATACTCGGAGACTGTGGTATCACAGTGCTGGAGAGACTTGATCTCTGATGAGCTCACTTCCGGAAAGGGCTGGGAGTCGTACTCCTCTAGGAATCCCTGATATGCTTGATCCGTCATTTCAAGGCTCTTCGCCGCTTCGATGCAGGCGGAAACGGAAGCTTTTCGGCCTAGTTTTCGCACGCAGAAGCCAAAGGGGAGCAAAGATCGCAGTTGGAAACGCGCCGCAATTGTAGAAGGACTGAAGATTGTTGACTTGAGCATAAACCGCACTTGCGAACCGGACGATGACTGCTCGATTGCAATGGACTTGAATGACATGACTGATCCGGTTGTACCAAGATCATGTACAAGCAGGTCGCCATCACTGGAGAGGACAATCGCGTTCATATGACGCTTAGTGAGTTCAGCGCAAACCGTATCCGCTTCTCCTGATACGATGGAAACAGTGTGGCCAAATCTAGATCTCAGCAGCCCTTCGACAACAGCAGCGGTCAAAAAAGGAACCGTCGGCATTTCCGAGCTCGACTGCGCGCTCTGGCATGATCTTAACAGGAGAAACAGACTGCCGTCATCACCAAAGCTATCACCAAGCCTAGAAACTTGATCCTGAGCGCCCTCGAAGCCCGTCCCCAGCCCAGCCTTCCACGCCAACAACGTGGCCACCTTCATCTCCAGCCGCCCCATTCTCGTCTCGATCTTCCAGTCCGGCAGCGCTCCATCGAACACGATGGCTACTACACGCAGTCCAAAACGCTCTAACTGGTCGAGCCACGCGACAGCGGCACGGGCGAGGTCGCCATAGTGTGGAATGGCGGCTTGCGAGCGCGGCCGCACGATTCCCCCGCATGTGTGGTGGATGTGATATGCGAAGGAAGGACCATCCAAGATTATCGGCCGATTCGAGTTAGTATTTGAGACCGATGGTTTCGATGTTGTGGGAGTGGGAGCTCCTGGTTCGTCGGCGGAGGTTGTATTGGACGGGGGGGAGAACTCTGCGATAAAAGGAGCGCCATACGGCTGCAGGAGATGATGAAGACGTGCGATGCCCATTGGCAGCCTAATTGATTTTTAAATTTGACGCTTCAAATCAATGACGGATGGATCCAGATATTGCTTCCTGGTTGTTATGTGGTCTAAAGCATTGTACGATATTGCACGTTGGGAAGAGACTGCAATGCTAGAAATATTGGTGAAAGTGGTGAAAAGGACTTGTTGAGAAGAATGGGAGGCTCTACGCCGTCTGCCTCCGACTATATACCGATCGTTCCGCTTGTTCGATGATGAAAAAGGATGCAGCCCGCGCAGCATTTTCGATGTCGTGAACTGGTATAGATTTAAATCAGAACCTTAGCTTGATAAAGGAAACCCATTATCATGATCAAAATTCACCCATGCCTGAGAGTTACCACTTGCCAGATGCATGGTGGTTGTTGTCCCGTGTGCAAGCGTCACACGTATCACGTTCAATATGAGGAAGCATACAGAGTATTTGTAGAGACAATTGGTGAAAACAATTTGTAAAGAGAATTAAACTTATTCCTCCTCCATATAGTTAACTAGCTCAATAACTAAGTAGTTACAGAGTTGTGTGCTAATTAAGACAAAGCACCCAGTTTCCGGCCACCACAAATACATTTTATCGACGTATTGCCCTAGAGTTACACAAATAGAACAGCCACCATATATATTTCTATATATCTGGTTGAAATTCAGGACGTAAGTGCTCGAATCCAGTCTGATTTACATGCCCTGAAGCCCTCTCCGCCTTTTCCGCAGCCTTCCGCTCCGCATCTTTGGCCGCCCCTTGCGCTGCAACGATTTGCTCAACTCTAGCAAATCTTTCGTTTAAATTAGGCTGGACTCTTCCCTTTCCTCGTAGTCAAACCACCTAGATCTTGAACGGTTTTTTCAAGTCGTAAAACTTGTGCTTTTAGTGCAGCGATTTCGGTATTCTTCTCCGCCAGAGACTTGGGCAACTTCCCCTGAAATCCCCTGAAATCTCGAGTGGTCATCTCCTCATACTTTTGCCCCGCGTATACGTCTTTCGGGCCTTTTGGTGTGTTATATGTATAACTAATAGGCCCTGGGATTACATGAAGTTGCTGCACGGTATGATCTTCATTTAACTGGGTGCTATTTAATACTTTGTGTAGGTTAAAAGGATTGATTCCGGGGCCCCTGAGCCCGGTACGAAATATTTATGGCCTGTCAATGCTCCAATTCTTGATTTATAGTAAATATTTATAAAATCATGCGTCTTTGACTGGCGCAGAGTCATCTAGGGAGCTCAATTAGCTCAATTCCGTATGATATTTATTCTTCAGGGGCGAGAAACAGGATACATCCAGGGGCTGGAGCAAATGAGAGCAATGGGGAGGGAGATATAGAAGAAGTACCTGGTTGCCTTTACACAACTTCACAAACTCGACAGTTGCATGGGAGCCATGTCCGTCGCATATCAGAAGGCGCCATTCGTCTGTTTTGCCCTTAGGCTTGGTCTCCGGGAGAAAGTCCTTTTCAGTCATTTTAGGCCAATTTCGTTTAATGCCCACGCATTCTCCGATGTTGTCCAATGCCAGTCCTTTACGCTAGAAGGACCCATAGGAAACCACGTAGATTATAGGCTCTGGCCCTTGAAAATTACCGAAGGGGAAATGGCACGGCCGATTGCAGAAATAGTTTCAATTAGGGAGACCCCATTCGCGTTCTTCAGGAGATTGGCTTAGGTTTTCATCCTATTGTTCTTCTGGGACGGTGCTAATACGCGCCCGTTTGTGCCACACCCAAGGGCGAGGCCAAGTTCGTCGAAATTCCAGATATTCTCCGTCTTGATCTTATACTCCACGATCAAGCTCGGAAAACGGCGAACCAATGATCTCTTTGGTCGAGCAATTGACGCATGATGCTTCGATTGATTTTCCCATCATTGATTTTATATGGGGATTTCGCTTTAGGAATCCATCTATCCAGTTTTACCCGAAGGGGTAGGGTCGCCATTCTCTCAGGCTATTGCTTCGGCCATTTGGCGTACTCTGGCGTGGGAGGGAGCATTCGCGGCGCGATTTTCCCGAGGTTATCCAATCAGCTAATACTGTTCCTGTATAGGAGACAATTTTTTGGAGCTTCTGTGCCCCGGTTTGATGCGATTCGTGGCGGTCCTGGAAGCGTTTCTGGAGGATAGAGTACATGTGTATTTCTCCGCGCATTTCCGAATCAAATCGATTTCCCTAGATTTATATGCTTAAATAGTGAGTAGAAGGGCTTCTTCATTCAATTGAGGCACATTGGCAACAAATTTCACGGAAAATTGGTACAATTGCGCTTATTCCATTGGTATATCCAACTCCAGATTGAAGGCGTTGAAGTGGCTCAAAAGTGGGGTGGCTCAAATCTGGGGGTGCTGTCTTATGGGAAGAACGAAGAAGAAAGAACTAGAAAAGGACTGAAAGGACTACCATAGATTATATCGAATAATAAGGAAAGAGGGCATATTGAAAGGTTTCAGACTGCCAGATACGCAATGACTCTATTAATCTAAACTTACCGAAAGAAGAGAGGAGAGAAAGTCTGCTTGTACGCAGATGCGCAAGATATAATCCAGTTTCCAGAATTCAACACGCGTGACCATTTCCTGTGATAATCCATCTAGCCACACCGGTAGCGGCAGCTGCTAGACATCCCCCCAGGGGAGCAGACCACAGGCGTGGAACTATGCAGAATGTAGAAGCAAGGACTGGAAAAGGACTATAGAAAAGGACTACAGATCTGATAATAAGGCTAAAGGCTGAATATGATCCCTATTCATTATGATAGCCAATCCAATGTTGGCTCGGCAGTCCCCTATGTGGGAAGTCTACCAGAATACTCATACACCGACCCAAGATGCTACAGATTTGAACTCCCCATGCTCCCCCGAACCTCTAGAAGATTTCGTATATCGAAGCGTACCACATCCAAAAACTCCGGCGACAAGGCCGGAAGATCTCATCGTTCATATCGGGGCAACCCTTCCGAGCCTTCTATCTGCTCCAATGTCGGAGCCGACGGCTGTCCGCTGGTCTCCACCCTCTCTTCATCGCCGGGTGGTCGCGCACTATTTTCATCCTCCTCCGGCGCGGTCGGCGGTGCAGACGTTTCCATCTCCATTTGCCGCCGTTGCAACTCGTACTTGTCGTCCGTATGCGGCTCGGAGGCGCCCGGTCGCATGTGGGACTCGTAACTAGGCACGGCGTCGGTGGGTAGCGCAGACAGTCCTGCTGCTTGTGGAGGAAAGGCAAAGGGGTGGGGTATTTGTGCGGGATTATGGTGGAGAGCTTCCAGGCTGGGTGCGCTGGGAGCATGGCGGGTCGCATGGGACGAAGACTCTGGGTCCGTTTCGTCGGCGGGAGGTGCGGATGGGAGGAGGCGTGCTTCGGCGAGGCGAATGCGGTCCTTTTCGCTTAGGTTTTGCTCGTCCGGCAGATTCGGGATGGAGTATAACGGCGATGGTGTCGGCGGAAGTGGTGATGACTCTGAAGGGTGAGGGAAGGGTGACAGACGTGAATATGGCGTTGGAGTGCCCGGATTTGGGCTGCCATGTAGCTGCGACGGGGGAGGGAAATGGCCGTTGTTGGGGTGGATTGTGCCTTGACTGTCATCATGGCCCTCCGATGCATAGTCGAAGCCGAAGTCGTATGAATGGGTACCAGCTTCGGTGGGACGAGCTGCCTCTTCTCCCGGCCGGCTGCTCTGCGGGTGACCGGCCACCTCGGTGGCGGTAGCTTCGGTGCTTTGAACCGAATCGGTTTTGCTCTTCCCATAGAACCGCTCGGTATCTACGGTACCGATTACAACTTCGAAGTTGCACGAGACGACGTTTTTGTTACGCCGAATCTGAGAGGTGTCGATGAAGTGTCCCGGCCAGGCTGCAAGGGTGCTGCTGTGAACGCCCTCCCCCGTTTGCATGCCGGACCCAGCCGTGACGGAGTAAGGCAAGCTCATCATGCCTGCATTGGGAAGCACTCGCTCTAGGCCGGTGAGTTTTCCGTGCAGATCAAGCACCACTTCCACAAAATATTTAAAACTGATCATCGAGCCTGGAACGTTGGAGATCGACGGGAAAGCCCCCTCCGGAACGCGAACCGTAACCTTGATATCATGGTGGAGGGTATCTGGGCTGATGATCAGCGGCGCGAAAGACTGGGAGACGTCTTTCCGGAACAAATGACTGGACCCTGCCGAGGACAATGACAGGCCACCGAGGCCGGTCCGAGACTTCGGATAGTACTCGTCCGTTTTTGAGCCTCTTTTGGCTTCCTGTACCAGTGGAAGATTCGGGTTCATGTCGACCCGCGCCTGTCGATACAGGGTGACGATGATGCCGTTCAGACTTTTCACGACCTTGGTATGCTTGATACTGAGATTCAGGGTTATGTTATCGCCTCGAAGATATCCAGACTTTTGGAGTTCGATGGTTGCTGTGATCGGCTTTTTCTCGAGGTTACGAGAGCGGTGTCGGACGTGTTTGACGGCTTTCGACCCTGCTTTGCTCCCATCGATTTTGTCGGAACCATCGCCAGATCCATTGCCAGAGCTCGTGGCACAGCTTCCTTCACAAGTGCCAAAGCTGGTGGCACTGGGCGAGGGGCTCTGTGGAACTTCGCTTTCGCGGATGCTAGTTACTTCCGACGTTGTACTGTGGACCGCGTCGCCAAGTAAGGATTCGGGAGGTATGTTGTCTTCACTTCCCCCTCGCTTCTTGGAGTCGGCCACGTTCTTGTTTTTGGGTACGGACCGGGCCTTCCCCTTTCGGGGTATCGGTTCCAATGAGATGACTCGTGGTTTGGGCTGATATAAGGGGGCGACATCCATGGTCTCGTTGAAATTGATTCGGTGATCGCATGTTTGTATTGGGGATATTGTCGTGGGTCTCGTTAGAATTGACGTAATCATGTATGAAATCGTTCCTCGCTCAAACTACGCAAGCATCATTAGCAGGGCGATTATGGACGGAGGATCCAGAGATAAATACCTCGATACTACTTGGGAGCGCGCCAATGGGAAATCGCAGTTCGAAATTAAACCGATATATGCCCTCATCCAACCGCCCATCACCACAGAGTACCTTCTCTTGCTCGAACAGAGAGACGAACCCATTGCCAAAGTAGCCGCCGGATTTATTAGTCCGCCCTTGACTTAACGATTGCCCGTATGATTTGTAAATGTCCCCCGGAGAGTTCGGGTTCTTGTAGACCTGCGCGTACCCATGGAGGCAAACGACGATATGGGTGATCCGAATCGGTCGGATGACTTTGAGCACCACGGATCCCGTCACGGCATCGCCGCTCGAGTAACTCCGATGTGGATCGTCCGGTTGTACGTAGAACTCGACGAGAGGGCGGATCTTCGAGGAGAAGGGGGACTTCAACAGGGACAGGATTGACGCTTTGCTCGCGGGCGATGGCTTCGGCGACGGCGATCGTCCGGATGAAGATGCGGGCATCCCTCTGCCTTGCCCTCGCTCACATCCTGCGGTCTCCCGCCGTGATCCTGTTATCGAGGTTACACTTGATCCAGTTGTTGCGGTATCTCTCTACCGAGTGTTCCCAACCCCAAACTCCAGCGCTCTAGTTTCGGTCGAGGACGAGATATTTGCCGGCCCAATGGAATGGCTAGGGTATATTATTCACGGCGCGATGAAAGACCTAAAACCGGCTTTAGGAAAGGTCAGTAAATCGTGTTTTGCTCTGTTGTTTGGACATCGGAGGTCCAGTATGAGGGTCCGCGCCGTCGCAGACCGTGTCAAAATGGGGCTGTGCCCAATGCTCGTTGCGCAATCCATCCGATCGAGTCTACCAAGATCGAGGACGGATAGATGCCATGACGAGCCCCCATCAAGAATGAGGTCATGGACACGGGCGGGGATAGTGAAAGATAGAACGGAAAATTCGTCAGACGTACATGAAGCGTCGCTAGGTACCGCCAGAGATGCGTTACGAGGCCAAGGTCAACATGTCGAGTCTCATCCACTCGTCGAAACGGGCTTGGCGATTCGCGCCAAGGGAGGCACGCAACCGAAGCGGAACTGGAGTGACACGAAGGATGGGACAGATGGTGATTTGGGGAACTCGAGAGAATAGACGCGATCGACTTGGCGCTCGATAGGAGCGCTCGGCGTGGGATAGCTGGAAGGAGGATGCCTGGTAAGGTATGGTATGGGAGTATAAGTAGGTAAGAACGAGAGGTATTCGAAGTCAGGAAGACCGTTGAAGGTTACGTGGTAATCAAGTCCGTTTTTACCGTAGGTACGAACCGGTAAGTATCAGACCAGACGTAACAATACTCTATGGACAGGATCTGAGCCTCTGAGGTAAATGGATGAAGAACCGGACTGGGGCCAAGAATGAGGGCAGCGCGATGCGGGAATGATGCGAATTGCGAACACAGTGAGCACCACCACTTTGATTCTAACTAATAGACTACCGTAAGCAATAAGAATGCAGCTAAGAACTATTAAGGATCGACCCATCTACCACCATCACAATCCTGATAGGCGGTAGTCCATCCACATTCTACAGGGTCCCGACCATGGCCGAAAGATTGAGTGTCTAGCCCGTAAGGTTCCATGCAGATGCGCAATCTGGCGCCATTCCACGGCCCAAACCCTACCCCGACATCCAGAAGACCAGAATCACCAACTGGCATTACCAGGATCGGAATGGCGAGGGTCGGAATGTCAAGCCAGAATGGAAAATGGCACTTTTTAGCGGGATCGGATTGGTGGTCTCTCCCTCCGCCTCTCGGTGTCCCGCAGAAACAAGAACAGACATAAACGAACCATTTCATGTTGGGTGGCACCACTGCCGCTCCCGTGCTACGGTGGCAGCGATTTTTGAGAGAAGCGGTGTACATTACCTCGCTCTGGGATTGAAGCGAATGGATCAATGGAATCGCAGTGGACGTGGAGACCTGAGCGGGAATTGGGATGGTCTCATTTCTGATTTCTCAATCTCAAGTCATCAAGGCCTCAACTCACTCAACGATGCATGTGAAGGGACAAGGGACAGGGGACAAGCGGCAGATCCAGTTGGGAGGAAATGGTCCACGATCCTACGAATTGGATTCGGGGTCTAGGTCCTCCTTCAGCTGGGATGGGTTGAGATATTAATATGACGGGAATCAGGATGGTCGAGACTCGACCCATGAATTCTGCCAAGGCGAAACAGTGCCGGTTCAAGCATTGCTTGGGAAATGCTTGACTTGACTGTGCTCTTGGTCCCAGTCTCCTCGACTCCCAACACGGCTAACAGAGACTCCAAACTCCAATTCCACACTCCAACTCCAAAGAGTCCAAACGCTTCCACTCCAATGACCCAAAGTTGCCCGATTCTCCCGAATCCCTCGCTTCCAAGCGGCACTTCCCTTCTGACAGGTGACAATGTGCGGCATGACATGCAGGTGTGAGGTGATTACTGGCAGTATCTCGTCCGACGCCTGGGTTGAGACAATCCCACAGCGGTTCAGTTGGTGCCGCATCTAGAGGAAGAAATTGTCAAATTGATGATCCTGAAGCATACCCCCAGGACATCGAGAACTCAACCGTTCTGCTTTCGCCCCCTATTAACTTTCTTAAAGCCATAGAGTCCCCCTTTATATTCCTTAATTTAAGGAGACGATCCGTTTTTCCGTTTTAGCAGGCTGGAAGTGCACGTCGAAGGCGAAAGGAAATCAATTTCTTCGAAGCCGGATGCCATTAGCCATAATCATTACAATGCAGATCCGTTTCAGACCACTGATGACAGACGGACGGGGGAACGCGCCATAGGCCCCTAGAATGGCTTAAACCGCTTAATCAATCATGGTCTCCCGACTCCACATCCTCCATGTTTTCATCCCTCCGCTGCTCCGACGCATCACCTCGCAATTGCCTGTCCACTTCGCCTTGTAGCTCATCGCTGACCACCACCCCATCCCTCGACCGCCGCGGATGCCCGAACAAGCAGTTCCACAAATCCCCCTGCTCGACCACCTCGCCCCCACCCTTGCCGCCCTGTAGCAGCTTGCTCAGCGGCGTCTGCTGCAACTCCAGACTGTTCGCCGCGTCGAGCGCCGACTCGAGCACCGACGGCGTGCTGGTGCCGGATCGCGACCGCGAGGCATCCGCGTCCGCCTTGGCTTGGCTGCGGCCCATGTGCTCCAGGCGTCGCGCCACGGAAATGTCGTAGATTGCTTCTTCCACCGTGTCGCTGATCAAGTACATGTACACTGTGGTGGCCCGCTGCTGGCCGATGCGGTGCACGCGGGCGATGGCTTGCAGCTCGATGGCCGCGTTGATGAGTGGCTCGCAGAAGAACACGTAGGTCGCGTTCACGAGGTTCAGGCCTGAGCTGTCGCTTTTGGCATCTAAGAGGAAACATTCGATGGAGGGGTCGGTCCGGAACTTTCGAATGCCATCATGGTCGCGGATATGCGAACAGCCGATCTTGTTGAGCTTCAGAGCCCCTTTGAGGACGGACAAGAAGTCGGTATATTGTGAGAAAACGATCGACTTAGCACCTGGATCGGTTTCACGGATGTGGAGGAGATGCCTCGATATCGCGTCGATCTTCGTCCCGTACGACCGCGCCGCCGGCAATTCGATGGACTTGATTTCATTCATCGTGTTTGCGCTCATGTCCGTGTAGATGGAGGTGGAATTGGACACAATCGAGGGCGACGCGGGTGACGCGGTCTTGCTTGGCGAGGACACCGCACTGCCCTCTTCCTGGGCACGGATTTCTTGAGGCCGATAAGTGATGTCATGAAAGTCGACCGCCGAATGCAGCCTACGTTTACAGATAGGGCAAGTCCTGTGACTTTTCCACCATTCACGGATACAGACCTTACAATATTGATGGCCGCAGACCGTGAGGACGCCCGTCTCGAAAGGACACTGGCAGATGACGCAGATCTTGGCGCCCGCCTGATCGCTCGACTCCGTCCGGAGATGAAGCAAGAACCGCTGTTTTGTTTTGAGCACACCCAGTCGCGCACCGGACCGATTATTTCTCTCCACGGCCATATCCAAAGTCGCCTGGTCGAGCGTCTCGTCTAGCTCCTCCTTGTACGGAGCGACGGTGTCGGAGATTTGCTGGAGCTGTCGGTAGAAATCGAGACGTAGGTTCATGGAGTGACGGAACAGCTCCAAGTCCTTTTCTGCGTCCGTCATGGCTTTGAGCTGCGCGGAAAGAATCTCTTGCACTCGCTTCTGCTGAGCTTCGATGATGCTGATCTCCGCCGCGGCTCGGTGGGATCCCCCGTCCCCCCTCCACTGTATGGAGGTGATGATCGATCGGATCTGCGAGATCACACCACGGACCGATTCGGTCGCGGCCACCTTCAATTCTCCACGAGCCTCCATGAGCTCCAAGAGGAGCTCGGGAGAATGGCCTTCCTCATTCTTGGCTCTCCGGATGGCATCTTTGTTCTCATGCTCGACCAGTTCGTTCTTGAGCCCGGTGAGTGTCGTCGTGCGATCCGCGACCATGGCTCGAAGCGCGGTCAAATAGCTGTACAGCTCATCTTGGGCTTTCGTGGAGTCTTCGTACTCGTCACCCGTGATCTCCTTGCTGTCGTCCTCATCCACCAAAGGCATGAGCAGAATGCTGATCACCTTTTTTCTCCATTCTTGCATGAGCTTCGCTTGGCCATCGAGGACATCCTTCAAGGAATCCATCTTTTCCAAGACTTTGCGATTCTCAATCCCACCGGCGTCTTGCAAAATCGGTATATCGGGCACGGTGACCTCTCGCAGAGCAACGACCTTACTCATGGCACGTTGAGCATTCTTCTCCGTGTCATGGAGCATCTCGCGGCGTATCCCCTTGGCTCGATCGTAATACTCCGTCTCTAACTTTTCCAGTTCATGGAACTCTTTCGAATCCGGCTTGGTCACGTCTTCGTTCGATTTGATCTGAAAGTATGACGTTGCGACGAAGAACGCACAGACATGCTGCACTTCCAGAGCCATTCTCAACGCGTTCTTTGCTGCAGAGGCTTTGAACTGAGCTTCGGACGCATCCCGGGCATCTTCATCTTGCGAGTCTTGCTCATCCAGGCCCTCAGGAATGGCCGCGTTCGCCAGTTGTTCTTCATAGTCCGTCCGACATTCATCGACGTAATCATTCGCTTGTTGCAATGCCTGAAGGTATATGTCCCTGCCCCTTGAGCTTCGGTCAACGTCGTCTTTGGCAAAGGCAACAACGTGACCCTGTAGGATTTGAGAGGAGATGTTTTCCCGCTCTTCCACCCGCATATTCCCCCGGTTCTGCTCGATCATGGCTTCCAGTACCTCGGTGACGGTCCGCATCGGCGCGTTGCTGCTACGCCCGAGAGCCCTCCGGTTCCTTCCGCCAACTTCCGGGTGCAAACATGTTTGACGAAGACGCCGCAGCCACAGTCTCATAGCTTCAATGACGAAAGACGAATTTGGATCGTACCAGCGCCGTGCAGGAGCACCGTCCGCTGTTACGCCACAGGCTCTACACATCTCCTCCATGAGCTGAGAGTAGTGCTGGTCCTCGATGGCCGTGAAAGGCATGGTGATCACCACTCGTCGCTGGGGAGGAAGACGAAGTTCATGGCGGATCTTCTGTTTCGTATGTCGCAGCGCGATCGTGCTGAATATTTGACGGAATGTCTCCTTATCGATGCGTGCCCACATCTCCTTGGAGCTGCAAAATGGCTCGTATCGAAGGAAGAGCAACAGACCAAGCAGATCCTGGACGTCTTTCCGAAAGGGCGTGCCGGTGACTGCCCATGCATTGCATCGTGGGATCAAACGAGCAACTTCCGCTGCCTGACTAACACCGCTCTCGATCATCTGTGCTTCATCGAGACACACACGCCACCAGGACATCTCCACTAGTGGACTTTTTCGAGGCTCGTGTTTCTTACGGTGTCGAAGTGAGCGTTCTGGAGCCGCCTTCGCGTAATGGATTTCTCGGGCCAGGACGTTGTATGTAGTTAACACAACATCGAATTGCCGCAGATGTGCCACTGTCGCTTCGTTTTGCTCCCGCGGGGGTCTGCTTCTTGGAGGTAGACCTTTGTAATGAAAAACGGCAAGATTCGGTGAGTGGTTTGCCAACTCGCTCTTCCACTGCTCCAAAATCGAGGGGGGGGTGATGATTAAAGTTCCGCCGGTTGGCGTAACAATGGATGCAGTACATTCATCGAACACCGTGTCGGATTCGGCTGGTCGTTGATTCAAGTTCATTAAGGCGATGAGCTCCACCGTTTTCCCAAGACCCATCTCTTCGGATAAGATGCCTCCACGGAAATCGAGTGAGGAATTCGAAATGGCGCCCGGGTTACGAACTACTCTGCCTTGGACTCGACTGTAATATATTTCATTTCCCTCCGAAACCGTTTTGGACTGATACGACGGGTATTTCGATACCACTCCAAGACTATCTCGAATGTGTGTTGTCTCGTCTTGTATATCCGCATCAGGGCTCCTGGTAGATGGGTATATTACGCCTTCTCTCGCAAGTAACCACTTGACCGCTCGTTCCTGAAAAGGATACAAGGTGATGTTGAGCCTTAAGTTTCGGATTTCCTCCGGTATCTTCTCTGATGTTGCTGGAGCGTGAACACATTCGTAGTAGTCGCGTGGAGCCCAGTGGGGTGACACTTCGGTTAGTCTCGGGAATAGCCTTTCAAATAAGGGTAGGTAGGTCTTCGACTTTGCAGTCGGTAGATGTAGGACGCTCGGCCCATCCTTGCAGTATATTTCAATATCTATCGAATAAACCTCCGAGGCATCGTCGGGTGTAGAGAGGTGCACCCTTGTGGTCATGAATGGGGTATCGCGGGGTCTTTTGCTCCTGGTGGCCGCTTCTTGGCCATGAGGGATGGCTCGCGCAATGTCAATAATCCGCATGGCATGAGCGTAGTTCTCATGCGTGGAGGTTTCAAGGAGGAGTTCGAGAGATACATCTCCAACAGGATTCGACAAGAACAAGATATCGGAGCCAGCCCATTTGGCTTTGTTGAGGAATTTCGGCGCAGCGGAGGACAGAGCTACCTGCTCTCGGCGAGGTCGAGCAGAGGGACTTGTAAGATTTTCGGGTACGGAGGATGTTCCGTGCTGCGAATGACCAGAGGTTAGTATGATGGAACCAGCTAAGTCGTTTCCCCGAGTCTGCTTACGAGGACGAGCGACGCTCTCTCAGCCAGGATGTATCCGTCGAGTCCATCCTGCGATGGTGGGGGAAGCGCATCAGCTGCGCGAGTCGACAACTTCCTCTTTTTCGTAGCCGGGGCGGCGTCGTCGTCGAAGCCATTGGTCGAGGGATGGCGACATGCCGACAAAAAATAAGAAACGGCGCCCTTTCCTGTCGTAGCACCGTCGCTGTGGATGGAGTGACCGAGGGCGTTGATAAGGCGGGTGGTGCTGGAAGTGGCGGTCATGGCGCACAGCGTGTGAGATGAAGAGGGAAAAGAAATCTAGAATTTAGGCCATAAGCCATACACGGATGATCCAAGTGAGAAATGAAGGACGTAAAGGCCGCCAGGTGCCTTAGGACGGCGAGGTTGATGTGAGAGTGAGATTCAGACGGAGTTAGGAAGTACAATGATGGACTTTTGATGGGCGTTCTGGCGCAAACCCGGGGGTAACAGCGGCGAAACTCCGACCTAATATGTGGAGTTTCAGGGTCAGGCAACCAGGCAGGAATCAAGCAGGAATTAGGCAGGAACTAGGCAGAACTGTCTGGTCTGGCCTAGTCCAGTCTCCGGCCCCACTGAGTAGTGAGTACTGGCAATCTGCAGTGATGACTTGAAGCTGAGGTGGTAATCACGACGGGAGCGTACCATGTAGCGAGTTATTTAAGTGGTGATAAGTATTCCGTAGGGTAAATCGATTCCTTCTCAGCTTTCTGATTGGTTCCTGAACCTCAAGCACGTGACCCATGACACCGGCACCGCCACGTGCACCGCCACGACAGCAGCAATACACCCTGCCACATGCACCACCAGGCAGGGCACTACCGGCATGGTGCTAGCTCTGCGAGTGATGATTTGGGGCAGATAAGCCGCCTTTATGTATCACAGGCCTATTTTACAGACAGTACAGTAATAGTACCGTGGAATCTCAGTTAAACCGGGTGATTATACTTTTTATTTGGGAGGCTTGATTGGGCGGATTGAAGGGCAAGACTAGGGTTGAAAGCGAGATAGCTAACTGAACATGAATCGACTTCTTGCGATCCAAAAAGGTGGAATCATCTCGTGTGAGTGAGATTCCACACTACTTCTGGGGCGGAAGAAATTGACTGCCCTTCGCCTTCGACGTGCACCTCCAGCCTACTAAAAACAAAGAAGGCGAAAGCAGGTTGGCATCAGATACGAATGCACACAATCCACATATCAATAGCTGCACGGGATATTGGCGGAATATCTATTCCTGCTATGAGATGATTTGGATACAATAGAGACATGCATCTGTCTGAACTTTGAATTCCAAAATTAAATAAAATGCCCTTAACTTTTCATTTGTAGCGCACACAAACTCGTCAAGTTCCTGCCTAGCGTTTCAAATCCCAAGTGGGCTTCGACTCGACCTTTTCAATCTCTTCCTATTCACAGGCCTCTATCATTCTGCAATCGTGCCGTACTATGTATAATAGTAAAACCATACAGAATACCAATTCCTGCCACCGTGATCTTCACTCTGGAGACGCACCCTTGAATCAAGTCGTCTTGGACTTGTTCTTAGATTGCTTCAACGCTTCCTTCAGTGCGAACTGCGTCGAGATCCCCTCAACACGATGCGTAGAGTTAATGTTCTTGACCAAGGTGATCTGATAGCAAGTTGCGGAACCTTGACGAGAGATGATGGTCGAGTACGCAAGGAAGTATTGCCAAATCTAGGCGATGAGTTAGCGTTGACGACATTCATGGAGCAGCAAGGGTCCATACCTTGAACCATCGAATTCCGTATTTGGCAACGACCTTGTCCTTGTTGGCCATCCAGTTCCTGTACCACCTCCACAAGGTGGCGCTGTAGTGGACACCGACCGTATCGATCGACTTGATCTCGAAGCCTGCACCCTCCAGCTTATCGACGACGAAGCCAAGCGGAGTCGACGCGTCCGCGCCGGGGAAGATGTACTTGTTCATGAACAAGCCCCAGATCAGGTCCTCGTATTGCCAGCTTTTCCGGAGGCCGGCGATTTGCAGGAAGAACACGCCGTCGTCGTCGAGCATGCTGTTCACTTGGCTGAAGAACGACCCGAGCTTTCGCACACCCACGTGCTCCGCCATCTCAAGACAGGTGATCTTCTTGAAGCCGCCAGTGGGAACGGGAATGTCGCGGTAGTCCATGCAGAGGATGTTGCTCTGGCTGTCTTCGATGCCTGCCTTTCGGAGACCCGAATTCCCCCATGCGGTTTGATTGCGGCCCAAAGTAACACCAGTGACATTTGCACCATAGTAGACTGATGCGTACTTCGCGAGGGTGCCCCATCCGCACCCGATGTCCAGCATGCGCTCACCCTCCTTGAGGTCAATTTTTTCGCAGACGATGCCCAATTTGTTGTCCTGGAGCTGCTCGAGGGTCTCTTCCTTGGTGATGTCGGAAATGATTCCAGAGGTATAGATCATACGCGGGCCGAGGAACCAGCCGTAAAAGTCGTCGCCACGGTCGTAATGGTCACGGACTTGCTCTTCGTCTGCGTGGCGTTAGCGACGCCGAACGCTTGGGAGTCATGGTTCATACCTTGAGAGCGAGAGTGCAGGATCACTTCGGGGATCATGCCAGTCAAGAAATACCAGTACAAGCCGAGAGTGAACCGGAAGCTGGACCAATCATGGCGGTACTCTAGAGCTTCCAAGGCGTCACCCTTGAAGTCCACCAAGCCATCGAAATACATCTCATGGAAGGTGTGCATTGGGATCTTGTTCCGTCCGCAGTACTTCTCTTTGTCCTCATCTCGATGGAAGTCGAGATAAGTTTCAATTGGTTTTCCCGGGAGCCGTGCCTTCTCATTTAGGCGCGGGGAGTAGCTGGAAGCGACGCTCCAAAATGCTATCAAGATCGGGAAGAACGTCAAAATGGAGAAGAAGATGGTGGTATAAAACCCGCCTCCGAGTTTCCGAGCCAAGTACCATGGGACGACGAGGAGAAGAGAGAAAAGGAGGAGATTGGAGAACGAGCGGGCTCCCGCGCCATCGGCAGGCAAAGGGGCGTTCTTGATGGCTGGGTACTGCGAAGTCGTCAGCGGATCAATTTGTCAATAGCAATGGAATTGACGCTGATAGCATGCAATTGAGGGTTTTAAGGACACGAATTTCTTATACCGAAGTAGTGCGAACTCCATAATTGGGAGTGGCCGGATCATGGCTGGGAGCTGGAGGAGTCTCGACGAACTCGAAGGAGTCCTCGGACACGGCCTTGCTGTGTTCAGACATTGTCGGCTGATCAACCTCCGGAGCAATGGTGCTACAGAAGGGGGGGACGACCAGGAACGGAGGGCCTTGAGAGAGGTTTTATCGTGGAGATAAGTTGGGAGGGGAGAGGAACCAGGTATTTCACAGTTCACAGCGAGGGAAGTGAAACGAAGCTCCACGTGTAGATCAGGCAGCAAGATTATTTCATGGAACCAGGAGCTTACATGTGGAAAGGAGGGAGCTCGGCCAATGATAGGCCGGCATAGGTGTCGTATCACTCCTATTGTTCCCCTGCACACTTGCAGTGGCATGCACATCAGATTACACTACCCATGCCCCACTGACAGGATCCAGCTATTAATCAATTAATAGGAGCAGTTCATCTTTATCACAACCTCAGCCGTCAGAAGCACACCAGTGGCCGATACTATGTAATGTGATTATACCTCCGTATATCGGACGTTAATGCCATGCATCTCCCAACTCCTATTGAGCGTGAGGTTCGAGTATTGACAACGAAATCACGGAATACCCACATTGGAGATTGGAACCTGACTCGGGTTAAGAGCTGGACGGTTTTGCGTATCAGAGAGCGGACCATATGGCGAACCTATACACAATTTCAAGGTAGGTGGTGTGAAAGCGATAGAATCGTATTTTGGGGTTTAATTCCGTTCAAAGCAGCTCTGAACTTCAAATTAATCTATTGGCAAATCTGCCTTCAAATCCTAACCTCGTACACTTGGTTCATAGGAATGTAGAACAAGAACCCTTGCTCTAAGCTGCCAAACTCAAGACATGACTTGAGAAACCATCTCGACCGTTGTTCGGACGTGTGCCACCATGTTCAAGCCCGTTTGAACTCCCTTCACTCGACCGAAGAGTGGAATGCTAATGAATCTATGAAACCCGAAAGTGGTGAGGGTTGGCCACAGCGCTGAGCTTTGGTATGAGTTGAGAGCTGGATCCTCCCGGATCAATTACTTCGCTGCAAAAAACAATCTAAGCATGCGAAAGCCGAACTCCGAAACAAACAATGCAGAGGAAACAACAGGAGCTAAAATCCTGGGGGACGGGACAGCGGGTATTCTGCTCCTAAGCACCGCCGCCCATCTCGATATTTTTGCCCTTGACGGACTTCCACTCAACGAACGCAGCACCGACTATGCTGAAAACAGCCATAGCGACGCTCACGTACCAGGTTTGCGTCAGAGCGGAAGAGTAAGCCTCCAGAACCGGGGCCAGAAGCGCCTCGTTGAAATTTCGGACGGCAGACTGCAGGTCCGTCGCTCCGACACTGACGACCAGCTTCGGATCGATGCCGGGAACGCTTGCTAGGTTCTTGAACAGCTGGTTGGTGAACACGTTCTGACCCACGGAGACGAAGAGGGCGCCGCCGAGCATTTGCGCGAACATCATCAGCGCGGTCGCGATGGGGATGTCGGGCCCGGGAAGGCTGGCTTGCACGGCAATCAAAGTCTGCTGCATCCCAAAGCCGACGCCGAAACCGAATAGCACTTGATAGCCGATCCAGGCGGGATGGGCGGTATGAGGGGTAAACGTGGTCAGCATTCCCGCGCCAACCGCCATGAGGATGGACGACAAGAACATGAAGGGGGTGTAGTAACCGACGACGGTGACAAGGATGCCGGCTATGATGGAGAAGAGTACGAGGGAAAGAACCATCGGGATATTCATAATGCCCGATTTGACAGCGGAGACTCCCTTGATGGCTTGGAAGTAGATCGGGACCTATAACTGCGTCAGTATGTCGTCGGACCCTTTCGAGAGAACCAAATGCTCACATAAAAGATCAGGATGAAGAACGACGCGCCGAGACAGCCGCCAAACAAGGCCGAGCCCCACACATTCCGGTTCTTGAAAACGCGGGGTGGAATCGTGGCCCGTTCCTGCTTCCAGAACTGAATGCCGACAAAAGCAGCTATCAGGAGTGCGAACAGGATGAAAAGAACGATGATGCGGGCGTTGCCCCAATTATACTCGCTCCCTCCCCACTGCAGCGCCAACAGAAGACAAATGATTCCCGGCAAGAAAACCGCTGTGCCTTCGAGGTCGAGATTCCTCACCTTGCCGCGGAAAGTGGGTTCAACTTTGGCGCGGGGCGGCGACTTGAAGAAGACGAAGATAAACATGGCGGTGACAGCGCCGAACGGCAGATTGATATAGAAACACCATCTCCAAGTCAAATTGTCCGTGAAGGCTCCACCCATCCTATCGCCGGTTAGTTACCAATACGCGCTCAATTGCCCCGCGACAGATCAGTTGTACGTACAATGGTCCTGCAACGCTGGCAATGCCAAACACGCCGCCGATAAAGCCGGTGTAGGTCGGGCGCTGGCGCAGGGGCACCGAAGCCGCAACAATCAAGATCGAACCGGAGAAGATGCCCGCGCCGCCCAAGCCCGCGATGGCTCGCCCGATGATGAGTGCGGTGGAATTCGGAGCAACGCCGCAAATCAAGCTGCCTAGTTCAAAGATGAAGAGGGCGGTCATGTAGGTCCATTTTATGCTGTAAAACGTGTAGAGCTTCCCGAAGATGAGCTGGAAGGAGCACGAGGCGAGGAGATACGATGATCCGTACCAGCCGATATCATCTAAGGAGCTGAAATCGGTCGTGATCTTGGGGATTGCGGTTGCAATGATTGTATTATCTGTACCACGCGGTCAGTAACAGGATATCAGACGTTCGCATTGGGCGACGGCATTACCTAGGGCCATGCAGAATACAGCTAAGCAGAGCGCAATTGTGATCAGGCCGAGCTTCCAACTGGTCGGATACTCCACCTCGTCATCCGAAGGCAGGGCGTTCTCGGCGACGTCGCCCTTCACCTCCACCTCCGCGGTGTCCTTCGATGGTACCACGGCGGTTGGTGGGGCAGAGGTGTCGGGGCCAGATTCGGATTTGGAGTCTGTTGCGACGTTGACATCCTTGTCGATGACAGAAGGAGTTTGGCTGGGGGGCACGATGGTGGTTGCTGTTGAGCCCGCCATAGTATGAGAGCTCGGAGGGCGAAGGGCCTCTTTTCCTTCTGGTTGACCCATGTGATGGATGTGTGAAGATCGTGAAAGACGAAAACAAATTCGCAAGGTCGTGGGGTTTCGAAGCTTGAACTGGAATGGAATTTGGAAAATGCTTGACAGTAATGAAATAAAGGGATTAGGCAACAATAATAAAAGATGCGGCGGACAAAATCACGGACGCTGCCCAAGAAAGAATCTCAAAGAAAGATCCAGAGGAAGCACGGAGAAGAAGAAATAGGTAAACCGGAATTAATGATAACTCTTCTATGTCCGGTTGTTTGACGGATTGGCTCTAAATTCCAAGGACGCCAGCGTGGACGCGGAATTGTGAATCACAGATCGCCCTCTCTTGGTTGATATTGTCAAGGCCTCGTATTCAACAGGGGGGAACCTCACCCAGAGTCGCCCCAATTCACTAATTAGCCCTAGCATGCCGCAAGGAGAGTACCAAAACGTAGACACTAACTAAAAAGTTCTTACTATGGCTTTCATGTGGTCCGTTCATACGACCTTAATTCACCATTTCACCCATGACACAGTGCAGAAGGTCTCCTCTCCCCGATCCCCGTCTCCCGACTCGGTACATGGTGTTCTGGCCATCTGGCCGATAAGCGATAACTCGTTCGTTCGGGTATGACTGGCTCGTTAAGATTTTGAAGCTTTCTGCTGGTTGGCCAGACTCTGAATTACAGCCCCTGGTGAATGGCGACTGGTGTTGACTTCCCGAATCATTTTGATACCTGGGGCGGCTTGGGGCAGACGATGTCGTCAAAAGTGATCAAACTGATCCATTCCACAACCTCAGGGGTAGCCCTAATAGACCTGTATTCTCAACATCGCCTTGATGATTCCCATTCTGTTTGTGCAGTTCGGGGAGACGCAGCTTCAACGCTTCCGTCCTTGGTCTTGGTATACAGTCAACGATTGATGACGACAACCTGGCTGGCCATTTCACCTTTCAAGACATCCGACGCTCGCTCAAAGTTCAAACAGCAGGAAGGCTACGAATCAGAATCAGGCCGTCGATTGGATGAGCGCGTCGCTTGTGACGGGGAAAAAGAAATAAAGATTATTGCTTGCCCAGGTTCGTTTGTCGCCTTGTCGGTGACACGGCGAGACCGTCAGTCCGTTAGTCGGGAGATTCTAGGACCGCTGTTCGTATTGTCCCGCTGTCCGCGTCAAAGCGTCTGCGATCCGATCCTGGATTCCTGGTGGGGGTCGGGTTCTGATGCGTGAGCTATGACTGTGTAATTGAAACTGTAAAGAGCTGATGCAAATAGAAATGCAATCATCCGTTCTGCCTTTGAGTGGAGGGCTTGAAGTGACGTATCTCCAAATGCAACATACCGGACGAGACGGATTCCGCAAACTCCGTCAGTGTTTCCTCTCTCTTTCTCGCAGGATCGGCCAGAATCCAGAGTAATCTCAGTGATGCATCTAGATTCTAGCATCGTGCATTCGTCTTGACCGTTGGCAGTTCAGCTGTCAGCCCTTCAGGTCAAAAAGCATTGACAAAGGGAGATTAATATTGGATGCCTCGGGGTCGTCACTCGTCAATTATTATTTAATTATGGGCATCTAGTGAGCGGGTCGGTCCATGACTCCAGTTTACTATAATTCTATTCCTAGCATAACCACCGGCCAAGCTGGACAGATTACAGATTTGATACAGAAAGACGAGACCATATCACCAGTCCATAATCCATATGCGGTCCAGGTGCGCCACCTCCAAAAACTCCATGTAGGACGTCACCCAACACATATGAATGACTCAACGGTCTGGTTGGGCCGGGGATCGGAGCGATAGGGTGCCGCATCACCAACCAGCCGCCGGTGCCCGAGATCTCCGCCTCCCGAACTCTCCCGAATGCTTTTCGTCTTCAACAACATTCCATTTCATACCCATTCACCGCCCATCAAACATCAAACTCTGTCTAGAATACTCAGCAGTGTATCAGCAACTCAGCATCAAATCCGCAATCCGAGCCTTGCAACATGATCCCACGGTCATGTAAATGCACATAGTGCTACAGAATCGCCTGCAAATCCAATCCACAAGCAACCTACCAGTCTACCACTTACTGTCCCAGACTCCTGGTGCAGCTGTAGCAGCGTGATAGTCATAGTGATGGCTGCAGTGGCAGTTAAGACTTATGAGATATGTTAACCAGACAGCTCCAGCCAGGCAACTTGACTGTGGACACCGGACATCAGGACACAGCAGCAGACCAGGCTCCATGTCACGTCCCGCTTTATTGTTTCACCACCAGCCGTCCCATTCCAAGTCGCTTGTTATGGGACAATGAGTCGTCCAGTCGTTTGATCGTGCCTTGTTTTGGAGGTTTTCGCGTCGCTATACTCGCCAACCAGAACTCAGCACTCGACAAAATCATCCTGATTTGAGGCTTGAATTCTGTATCGGTAGGCTCTAATTAATGCAATCATGTTGACCTAAGAATTAAGATGGCTTCCTACTTCCGGCTTCCAGGCACGTCATTCAGCCTTCAGGTATCCTTGCTCAAATGCCCAATGCCTGTTGTGCCAACTGCCAACGTCCAACTGCCAACTCCCAATGCTTGTGTTGATGAAACCACTCCACTCGTCTTCGTTTAATATTACGATGTGCTAACTCTTTCGTGCTTCTCTTCAACCCAATTCCTGGGTTTCGACTTTGAAGTGTTGAATTCTTATTACCTCTCCTAATCTATGGCTCGTATCTCTCGTCTGGGGTGTTGTGTGGGGAAGTTGCCTCGCGTTTGTGCAAAGTAAACACTCCGAAGGAAGCATTCCCTCACAGCTTGCCCTTTGCTTCCTCAATGCAGGTTGCTTCATGGAGCCATTGACTTGGCTTCATAGTTGAGCAAGCTTTCATTTCACCGGGACGCCCCATTCGCTGTACAAGTCCTTCGTTTCGATATCTGAGTTGCGTCAGTCAGAGCTGTTTACACCAGCGCTCAGCTCCCAAGCGCAGAAGATCAGCCTCTTCTGGAACCTTGCAGGACATCCATTCCAAAAACATGGGGAACGAACAGTCAACACAGACTGCTCGGGTGCCGAATCGTCTCTCCAAGCCAAGGACAAATACCAATGGGTCTTCGACCAGCTTGCGACTTTCTCCATCGACACGGGACCTATCGACACACTCTCCTTCTAAATCCTCCTTGAGACTGGAAGCTATCAATGAGGAGCACATTGGGCTCTCCACCTATGGAGAATCAAGAAGTCGACAAACGACGCGCCAGCAACTGAGAACCGAATTATTCGATCCGAGAGACCATCGAGAACCCCGTCCGGGGGCCGAAGACACCCTTGGCGACCTTGTCGGCACTGCTCGAGACCGGCTGTCGGTATCGAGGTCAACTTCGCTCTTGGTGCAGAATCGAACCGCTCGAGGATCGACGACGAGACTCGGCGCGTCCACAGCGGCCTCTCAAACTTCCTTGGTTTCTGAACCGTTCAACATGGACCTTGAAACTGCTGTGGACGTAGTTCAAGACTCTCGGAAGAGTGCGGCCCCGCAAGGTGTACAAGTTCTTGGTACGTACGACCATAGGCATCGTGTGATTGGAGACATAACCTAACACTAAGTTCTAGAGGACCAGCTACCCCCGATTGGGTCGCACGATGATATTTCTCCGACTCGTCCACAGGACAGGATGGATCCAGTAACAGCAAAGCTGATAAGGAGACGCTCGTTCGCTATTCCGGGAAAGGCTACCCGAATGCAATCGTTGGATGGGCCAGGGAGTGTCAAAATGAAACTGCGACTAGGCAAAAGGCACACATTTCAGTTTGACCACGCCCCTTTCGGGCATAGGGACAGAGAAAGGATGACAGCGCCTTGGCTCGAGCCACACCGAGTCCAAACGCCCAGTGAAATGGAGTATTCCCACCTGGGGGCGCTTAAACGGGGTTCCCTATTCGTCACGAACGGTGCTGCATCCCCCGATCCGAGTGTAAAATCGAGGGTCTTGACTCCCGAGAAACTTCCTTCTCTGGGACCGAGCGATGAGGATTATTTCACCGCATCTGAAGGGCATACAACCGGAGACGAGTTTGATGGACAGGTAATGCTCCAACAGCGGCGTCGAAATCAACACCGGCGCCGTGCAAGCAGTCCGTTAAAGCAGGATATATCTATCAACAGTGGCCTTACGCAGAGGTTAGAGCGGTCCTCCACCTCTCCTAGTGCTCGGTTCCAGTCCTCTGTTGGAGGAACTTCTTTCGTAGACGGCTACAGATCGGAGATCTCGTCAGATTCCTTTAGTGGCTCGCCGAAATATGAGAGGGTGGCCACTCCTCAGCAAGAGAACTCCCTTGCCGATGATCCCGAAACGTGTAACGAGCCTAACGGCGAGGTCATGTTGGGCTATGATAACTCCGCACATCATCATAGTAGGGACGATGAGCCGTCATCCGCACCGAGTACTTCACTTATAACCGAAGAAGGAAGCAACCGCGAACTCAATAGAGGAGATAGTGGGAAAAGTACCGAAACTAACGCCGACTCAGGATATGCTTCAGGGGGTAGTATCCTAGGTGTCGCCGACTCGAAATCCAGAAACAAGGACTACTTCGAGTATCAGAAGTCGATTTCGAACCGGCTCAATGACCAGCATTCATGGAGACCTGATCGCGAGGAAAGCCTAGCACAGGCTGATGCCATTCACCAAATGACGGAGCACCCGGGGATTCCTGCCGATTATGCTGTGCAACCAAACCACAGTGCGTCTCCAGAGGATGACATAATCGAATCGATTGAGCATGGTTATGAGCCGCTCAGACTCCATAGGCCATCAGTGCTCCGCTCTGCGTCCTGGAAGAAAGCCTTCCGGAAAAGCTACAGGATTTCCGCCGAGCCGGCTCCAACGGTTGCAGTCGAAGCAAAAAGAGAACAAGGTAACCAGCCATCCGTGCCGAAGCAGAAGATATTGCAAAAGGCTAGGTCCCAGGTCCTGGAGCCGACCAATCTCCATCTAGGACATGACTATTCTCGCGATGCTATCCCATCCGTACCGAAGGAGGTCAGGGCCAGCTTTGCGAGGCGTCTAAGTGCATCGCCAGGGATGGGATTTTTATGCCGCACGTACGATTCGACCGCACATACCGATGTGCACGAGATTCGACGGAGTGCGTCACCGTTTAATATGCCGATCCGTTTTCCCTCGCCTTCGCCCTCCGTGGAATCGGGTTACGATATGCGGGAGGACATCCCGGAGCCGCCAGATCGCCCTCCTCATCGCTATCTAGGTCGGATGCTGAGCGTGAAAGCGGAGAAGCTCATGAGAAGGAAGTCATATGGTGCAGTGGAGCGCCGTCGGTCGAACCGACTCTCATCCATGGAAACCGAATATGCGGATGTCGCGGACTTCGGTACGGTTGCGCACTCCCTTGGCGCATCTCCATATGATGTCGCGTCCTTGCCGCCCGCTGCCCGAAACCATCCTCGCCCGTTAGCTTCGCATCCAACGCACCCACACCAACTCGGTTCGGCCATGGCTCGGCCTCGCTCGATGGTCGAAATGAATGCGAGGGTCGCGTCCGAGTTTGCAAGGTTGCGAAGCCGGGAACGGGCCGCTCCGATCGGTCGGAATGCAAACCGTCCTCGGAGCTTTCACGACGCTGGTGCACACTCGAGTGTTGGCAGCTCTTATTACGCCCAGGATCCAACCCCGCCTGTGCCACCCCTTCCCGGTCCATACAGCTGTGGTAATGACATGTATCCGAAGACAAATCTCGCGGTTCCAAAGGGAAATACACATGTGGCATCGCAATATCGACCCAGCGGCCGCCCGTCGCCATCACGACTGTGGTCCCCGAACCCCTGGGTGGTACCTCACGACGCCCACCTCCCTACTTCCGTTGCAGGGCACTCAAAACGACCACATCCGCCTGCGGAAGCGCACATTCTACCGTCATGGGACCAGCATTCGGAGCACCGGCAACAGTACCGGAAGCATCTTCCATCGACACGGCACCCTACCCGCAGCCCCTTGCCAAGTCCATCTCTTTCTTCCGAAGGCGCGGCGTTCGAACCGTATCCTTCGCGACGTCGGTCACACCACGAAGATTCCCGGCATGTCATTCCGCCCACCCTCTCAGGCGGCACACACAAGGCAACGCTCAGTCCGTACGATGAGCGTAGCGATCGTCGGAACCCCGATGCACGCTCGCGTGCTCGTTCCCGCGCTCGATCGCCGAAGCCAGGTTCCATGGAGCGGGCACCGTCACTGTCGCCCCACGGATTCGGGATGGCCGATCGGTATTCCGGCGGGCTGGACTACGGGTACGAACCGGGTTATGGGGTGGGCGGGAGTGCGGGAACCAGGGGGTCTCCGGGGGTGAGTGAAGCGTCGCGGAAGAGTCGGGGGTACATGCAGGATTACGGTGTAGATTTGAGCGACGTGCCGGTTGCGATCTACTACGGCGGGCGATGAGGACTGACGAGGCTGAAGGCTCTACTTGACGATGGGAATACTGGAGCGCTGCTTAGAAGCGGGACACGAAGCATGACGGCATGCACCTTGTACAATACCTTGTAAATATGACGAACTAAATGAGTAAATTGTGTCTGATGCATCTATTATTTCTTGGCCTCGGTGCAACCTTCCCCGCCTGCGACTGGTCTTGCATGTGAATGAAATGCTTGTTAATCGAAAGAATCCAAATAACGCAAAGAATCCTCGCCGAGTCTTATGGTTGTTTGTCAGTGGCCGTAATATGTTGGTCGTGTTTGTGTTGCTTTTGTGCTTGTGTTGCTTGCGTTGCTTGCGTTGCCGGATGACGACGTGTTCATGTAAACTAAAGGACGTGCTTGGGTTACCTCCGTACCAGTTACCACTACCATACCACCAAACATAAACCACGATAGAATCCAAACGTGCCGTAAACCTGCTGGGTACTTATTAGCTGAAACTATGTTCGGAACAACATTAGAAATTTAAGCCAGTTAAGATTAATCCGGATATGGCATCCGTAATTTGACGCCATTCCCCCACGAAGCCGCGGGTGGATCACCCATTGGTCGGCTGTTTTCGCTCAACTCAGTCCCCAGCATGTAAATCCGCTAATTCCTCCGAATTCCTCCACAATCCCCTCTAAGAAAATCTCGCCTGCAAACAGTCCGTCAGCCATCTCTTCCTCCGCCATCCTACACATCCGCCCCTCGTCTTCATTGTTCCCCTCGCTCCCCACGTTCTGCACCAGTCAATGTCTCTCCGGGACCTTTGACGATCCGGTCCTTACTGAATATTTTCATCCCGTTCTACCGTTACCTTCGATTGCAAATTGAGCTCGGCGTCCCGCCTCCCGCCTCCCGCGCCCTATGTTTAACTCCCGTACCACCTCCTAATTCTCCGAGCAGAACCCGGCGTATACCCCCCCATCGACTGGACTGTGTCCTGCATCGTAGACCATCCAACCTGTGGTTCAGGTATAGAGCGATAGACGGGGATTGCACACGGCCACGATGACCATCGCCTGCACTTCGGCGGTGGTGGTGGAGTCGTACGAAGAGCCGGCTTTCGGGACGAGCAGTGCGCTGGATGCACCGCGACCTAGGGCAAGGAGGAGGAGACATTCATCCTACCACCCGATGCCTTTCGGGATCGAACCGGATAACGTTCAGGTTCTAGTACGTCACGGGTTTCCCGTTCTTAGAGGCGGAGTTCTGGTGGCGGGCACAATGGCTAACCCTCTCAGATCGATCGCTTCCTCGCCGAACTCAGCCGGCGTCTCGACTTATTGGAATGCTACGGGCAATTGCAGCTGGATTCCTCCATTGAACGCGCATATTCGACCCTAGTCACGGTCCGCGATGCATGCACGGCGACAATGGACGACTCCCGTCGGCAAGCTCGCATCCTGGTGGAGACCCTGGAGTCCACCTACCATGAACGATATAATGAAGCGCTCGCCACCAAGGAGACTCTCGAGGCCAAAGCGCAGGAAGGGGTCCACCTGCTAGAAGGACTACTTGCTGAGTTCGAATCGCGAGCATATGCGGTCCGGAACGCCGGATTTTCCATGGTCAACCAGGACCGCGTCGGGGAAGCATGGCGGCACGTCGATTCCACGATGCAGTCGGCTCGGGAGACCGTCGACGAGGGCATTGCCAAAGCGTGGCGTGCGAAGGAGCACCTGCAGGGGAGCATCGAGGCGGCCGTCGAACGAGCCCTCACTCTGGCCCGCAGCCACGGTCACATCACTTACAGCGACTTGCCAGAACCATGGCGAGTCAACCCGCACATTCATGGGGGCTACCGCTTCCACAGCAAGGTGCTGGAATGCGTACGGTCCACCCTCTCCTTCCACAACGAGCTGGTGAATATCTGGTCCCACTTCATTGGGTTCTTCCTCGTGGCGACCGTGGCACTCTATTTCTATCCCCTATCCAAGGCATTCCCGCACTCGACCTGGAGCGACGTCGCCGTCGCCTCCATGTTCTTCCTCGCCGCCACCAAGTGCCTGATCTGCAGCACCATCTACCACACCTTTAACTGCATCAGCTCCCACAAGCTGCTCGCCCGCTTCGCCTGCGTCGACTACACCGGCATCTCCCTCCTCGTCGCCGCCTCCATCCTGACCAGCGAGTACACCGCCTTCTACTGCGAGCCCGTCGCCCGCTGGTCGTACATGCTCTCCACCGCCGTCCTCGGCCTCGCCGGAACCATCCTCCCCTGGCACCCGACCTTTAACCGCAACGAGCTGGCTTGGGTGCGCGTCCTCTTCTACTCCTCCCTGGCCTGCACAGGGTTTTTTCCCGCCATCCACATCGCCCTCACCCGCGGCGCCAGGTGGGCGCTGTATTTCTACGGGCCGTTGTCCACCAGCCTGGCCGCGTACCTGGCGGGAGCGATCTTGTACGCGGCGAAGATCCCGGAGCGATTCTGGCCGGGCACGTTCGATTACCTTGGCGCCAGTCATAATATTTGGCATATCGCTGTGGTGTGCGGCATCATGGCTCACTACGCGGCCATGGTGGGGTTTTTCGAAAAGGCATTTCAACGGGTGCAAGATGGGACCTGCTCAAGTTTCTGAACGGAACAGGTTAATGTGGATATATGTGCAGTCATATCTTGTTATGTTTAATACTTTACGAATCACGGATACCGCATGGAGCATATGATTGATGATTTTTAAGCATGAGCAATACCGCTCCATCGGCATAGAAGAACGATGGGTTCTCTCCCCCAATGTACAGATGGAACAACGGCTCCGTTGGGATCCTTTTTGGATGATTCATGGATTCCATTGCCCTATCCTTTTATGCAGTGAACACCATGCAACCGTGACCTGGGGTGGTAAAATTCCTCCCCATGTTTCAGAAATCGAACGAACAACGATCCACCCATTTACTCGTCGTCCTCTTCCTCAGCCTCCAGCGTGCTCATGGCGATCCGGTCCAGATCCCGCTGCCCGCTCTGGGTGATTCTCCGGCCACCCTTCTCCTCATCGTGCTCGAGGACACCGATCTTCTCCAGCGCCTGCATGGCCTTGCGGTCGACCGATCCGGAAGCGTCGACGTGGTGCGAGGGGCGCGCGCCGCGGTTCTTGGTACCGCCGTGAAGCTTTCGTAGACGGCCGACGCCGACGGTCTTTCGGAGGTAGACGTGGCGGGCGATGGCAGCGGAGCGGATGTAGAACCAGTCGATATTCTGGGGAGGGAGCTCCTTGGACTGTTCCTAGGATTTAGCATTTTCCCCTCACCCGCAGGATGGGTCTGGGGATACGTACATTTGACGTTTTGACGGTATCAGTCCAGGCTGTAGATCAAAGATGCAGTCAGCAAACCATTCTGCTTTCTTTCACACCACGCTGTGCCTGCGTCTCGAAAGATCCCCCAGTTACGGGATTCAGGCTGGACTTTGTGGTAGAAGGCATTCGTCTCAGTACGGACCTGGAATGGGAAGACGACCCTGTCGCTTCAAGAAAGCGGCTGGAAGACGTTAGAACATTGGACGATATCGGATCGATGATTTCGGCGACAGTACCATAAGCCTCGATGAACTTGGCGGCCTGGAAAGAAGATTTGTTAGCCGACGGGATCGAACTGCGATGAGGATGGGAATGTGACATACATCGACATCACGAACGTTGACTCCTCCCATGGCTGCGATTGTCCAACTTCGAAAGGATCGATGTGGTGCGAATTGAGGAAGATGGATGGATAGATGGATGACAGGAGCAGCGTGTGTGCGTTGTGGTGGAGGGAATGGAGGTCGAAGATGTGCGCTGGCCGGAGTGGGGAGCCTTCACCAAAATTCTGATATCGCTTAGAACCGTGAACGGGCTGTTTGGAACAAGGTTTCTCCGGCTGGGCTGCCAGAGATCCATCACGTGGAACAATGTCATGTGATATTTGATTCGATGAGCGCTTGTCCCTATTAGAGCCCAAGGAATTCTGGACCCACTTGGAGCCTCATCCACATCCCTGTACTCGATGTTTATTGGAGCGTTTGGTCCAGACCCTTGATTTTTATTCTGAAAGCGGTAGCCAATCGATCTTCTCCCTGTCCAAGACACTCCAAGTCCATCGACATAACTCTCCGTTTCATCTTTCTATTCTTCCATCCTTTAGACGCCGCACCGCCAGACATCGGGAAACATGGTCTATATTTGAAAACACCGTCGGTAGTCCTCGCGTGCTGTGGGACAGGCTACAATCCAGTAGTAGGTATGCACTGTGAAGCGTTTCAAACGTCGTACGCCTTTGTTCGACTCATCGCCTTCACGATGGGATTCTTTCTTTAACCGCAAGCGCCGTTCATTCTTCGTTCTCATCTTTCTTTCATGCCTTTCTTCCGTCGCTGTCCATCCTGCAATTCAGATCCTGAGTCTGTCCCTTGAGTCTCTACATCATTTCATTCTCGTCAGCACGTTTCGTCCTGCGGTGTGCATCCCTCTGCTTCCGCCCTCATCATCATGGGTGCCATCACGCTTCACAAACTATCTATCGTCTGTCTGGTGTCTTCCGCCGTGCCATCAGCCTACGCCCTTGCTACTGCATTGAATGCGGCGAAACATGTCGGTCTGCTGGCTGAGCGCGCCGGTGATGATTGCGGAGGGAACGCAACCCTTTACCATTGCGGAAACCGTCTCCCTACGGGGTTCTGCTGTTCGGAAAACGCGTCATGCTTGATTCTAAACAACACGATCACCGAATCTGTATTATGCTGCCCTAAAGGCTCAAGCTGCGAATTTGTTGAAACGATTACCTGCGATCCAACGGAACAGGATGCTACGATATTCCCTGAGAGTCCTCTGCACATGGCAAATCTGACAAACGCTCTCCCATCCTGCGGAAATAAATGCTGTCCATTAGGGTACGAATGCACACTAGGCGCATGTGCCATGAAAGAAGAAACAAAGTCAGCTCCATCAAGTTCGGTGACAGCACCGAGTCCGACTTCCTCCTCTGCAGTCTCCGAATCCTCGTCATCCACCACCACACTAGTTCCAGTTGCCTCATCCGGATCTTCATTCAATCCCTCCTCCTTTGCAGCCGGCCTAATTCCAGGCCTTGTTTTGGGTGCCGCACTCTGTTTCGGTATCATATGGTACATCCGTCGTCGAAAGAGGCGCGAATCCGTAGATTCCATCTTCGGTCCGGTCCGTCGAGAGATATCCGACCCGATTCACCAACCGTCGATGTCCACGCGGACCGATTTCCTCCAAGCGCAGCAACGGGAGTCGAACCGCAGTTCGGAGACGAAATCAAGCGACGGCGCCTACTCACCCAACACACGCCCGGGCGAAACCACTCCGACCCCTCGGCCGCGGTACCAGGCAAATACAAGCGATCCCTTTATCCAGTCTCGTACCTCGTTCCCACGAGTTCGTGCTTTATTCGCCCCGAAAACCCCTACTGTCAACAGACCAGTCGATCCGGAGGTCGAAAAACCGTCAAGACCAGGGCTGGATCGTAGGAAGAGCAGCGAGACAATCGGTATCCTCATGACCCCTCCGTCGATACTGCCTTCGACAAGGTACGATCCCGCAGCACAACCCGGGACAAGCTCAGAGGGATCCGGCGGCCTGCGTCCTGACTATAAACCCAGGCGGAACATAGAACGAGAGATCGAAGATGGACAGCGGATGACTACGTTTACGACGATCATGCACGATGCAGGGTATGCTCAGAAATAATTCGTTCCTTATAGGTGCATATCTGGTGGGTTTTAATGGTGTAATTCTTTGTCTTTCATCGGACATGTCAATAGCATTGGGCACGCTTGACCATATATTGCCTCGGTTCCAAATACATTAGTTGAAAGCACTCTGTGGAAGCACTCCGTCGTGCAGATGTCGTACGGTACCTTCGGACTCGGATGACATGAAGCGGTTTTGGAAGGTGCCCACTGCCCAGCCTCTACCCTCTGGCCTGTGTGTGTTTGATTTTAAACGGGAGACCCAGCCCTATATCCCTTTGATCCCTCTTGGCCTCCCAGGTTGCTAGATATTAAACATCCCACAATAAATCTCCGACTCCGCCGAGAGAGCTTATTGGGACGTCAATGCTCAATGCCTCGGCCGCCGTGTCCCAGATCAATTGGAAAATGTATCGTTCAGGGCTGAACCGTGTTTGGCACGATTTGGTGGCGACAAAACGAAGGCATCTAGAGGCGCGTACATTTCCATGGTTAGTGAGCCTTCTTGGGAACGGTGATACATCATGGAAATTGGGCAGTTGAACACGTAGCGCACTGGGACATATGTCGGAGTGCCTTGTTTAACTGAGTTGATTGAAGATTTGAAGTTCCACCTCGTCTGTCTAAATGCTTCGAAGGGGATAATGGTCGGGACAGTACACTGTAGGTCGTATTATTTGCATGCACGATATGTAGTTAGCGGTCTGCAGGGTAGAACCGCCGCGCTAAGCTTCCAAAGTTCTTCATCTCCGGAGCGGGACGTCTAGCATGGTGAAATTAGTGCAATCTAGAATTGGAATCGAGGAATTCCCCGATACCTGGACTCTGCTACTCTAAAGACGGCTCCAGTTTCCGCTAGCCGGCTAGAGTCCGCTTAGCTCGAGCCTCGAGGTCGAGCATATGGGACGAGCATATCGGGACTGCTAGGCGCTATGCCATCAAATGACGGCAAATTTAGCAGCATTGAGCTTCCTGAATCCTGATGCCCTGCAGTGTAGGTAATACGACGTTCGCCTTACATCTGCAGTAAATTGAAGTTGTACTTAAGCCACTGTACTTGGCCAACGTGAAGATCCGCACTGCATGACTCTCATCCGTAAATCGTCTCTACATAGTATATACGAGGCGGGCCACATCGTATCCTCACGGGTCGGTCCCGAACCTCCCAACCTTATTTCGTAGTGACTGTAATATTGATTCAATTTCAATTTGAACATGAAGGGGTCCTCAAGTCCCAAGTGGCATCTTAAAGAGTGGACGTCCTCCTTCAGACACGAGAAAATTGTGGGGAGGTTATGAAATATTTAAATGGGCAAAGGTACTACGTACCCATGTAGAGCCTGGGGATCGGTCCAAGTCCGAAACAATTACCTGTATAGGGGAGAGACTAGAGAACTCCCTCCACTGTACAGAGGGCGGCACAAGGTTTCTATTCCCGAACTACGCATCGACAATTCGACATTGTAGGAATTTGGCACGATGGCGGAAGAGGCGTCCTGGAGGTGATTACCCCTCAATATCCATCCCCTTTGACAGCAGCATGAAAGTGGGCATATTCGCGGCAGGACGGCCAAACTAGGTAGAGGACCTGCCAACTCCACGGTTCACCGGACAGAAACTCATCGGGAGTGAAGGCAAGCCACGAGATCATGGCCCACGCCTCGGCCACAGATGCCGAAGGTGGCGGGGGAAGCATACATATAAGTATTAAGTATACCTAAGTGCGGTGTTACACTGCCGCTGTAAGGTGCAGTGAAAGGAAAGCCAAGCGCCGACGGCATGTAGCACCAAGCATTGACACCAGTGCGTCCTCATATGTCAAATTGTCAATACGTCTCCATAACGCCTTGTACGCCAGACACCATGACCAAAGCCGCAAAAAGAGATGAAGATGTAGGTAGCCTGATGAACATTGAACTGGAAATGAAGGAGAGGCATATGCTGAGTCTCTTCATGAGTGACACTCTGGGCCGTTGCCGTGCGTTGAAGCGTTGAAGCGTTGAAGTTTGAAAGAGAACAGGAGAGATATGACCAAACCATGTGATGACAAGGTGCGACAGGAGAGGTCACTGTGATGGAAGACCATGATGGGTGGTTGCGTGTGGATTTAGAGTTTGAGACAAAGCCGTGCAGGACAAAGGAGGGGGAATCAGGGGATAGACTTGACCATATCGACAGCCCGTGATCAAGGGTTCCTGCAGAAGCGTAAAGCTCCCGAGTTCTGGCTGAGATTTTTGAACTTCTGCGATGTCCCAGAGGCCAAAAGAGGCCAGACTCCATGTTTCATCCTTCAGGTTCTGCCCGTTCTATAGACAGTAGAGAGTGTTAGTAACTCGACAAAGGTCCAAACTCCAAAGGCTGTCCAGCTTTATTCTGCAAGCGCCGGGCTGAAGCCGGGGTTGACTTCAGTTGTCAGTTGTCACACCGATCCACAAAATGATGGGCATTTGGCAGTTTGGAAACGGGTGTACACAAGTTGAAAATGCGGTTATTCACATATTAATAGCACCAGGCTTGCAGAAGGAGACGTCGGGGTTACTTTCTATGAAGTGGAATTGCATAGAAGTTTTGAGGACATTTAACCATCCACAACAGCACAACTCATCTGGTGTGGGAATTGACGCCGGAGTCACTACTACATAATACTACAGGGGGGGCGGCATCGGATGCTGGGGGCTTTGTCTCCATCCAACTCTCCATCCCAAGTTCCAACTCTCCATCCATCGTTGACACTGACGCACCACATCCTCCTCCCTCCTCCCTCCTCACTCCTCACAGGCTCACACATCCATCTTCTAAGCCGTGGCACTTTACTAATGCACTCGAGCCAATAACAATGCTCCATTGGCACAAAATCCCGCCTGATCTCCGTCCTTAGTCCTGTTGTCTTTCGATCCCCTTGCGTTTGCTGCTGCACCAACCTTCTCACCAGCCGCTGACCCCCTTCATCTTCTAATCGTGGCATCGCACCCTATACATCCCCCTTCCAGTGTCTGGACACTTCTCTCTTGGTCATCTTGTTGTGTTGGCCTTGCCCCAGACCTCTTGCCTCACGCCCTTCTGTTCGGTGTCGAAGTATTACCCTATTCCAGGGGCCCTTCATCAGACCCTACCCTAGTCCAGACATCTGTACCTAGTAATTTCGCAAGCATCGACCCAGCCAATTCAATCCACGGCTTTGCTCCGCTAAACGCCCGGCTCCTCAGCACCCAGGGGAGCCTCCCTTCATCACGATTGTCCCTCACACCTCCGAGTTCTCAAACATCTTCGGATGCTCTCCCTGTCGCGCACTGGTTCCAAGCCCTCTTCGACCCATCGTGCTTCGAGCCTCCAGCCTTAGCTAACCTTACGTTGCTGCGTCTGGCCTGGGGCCGGCTTAGGTATGGTTGCTGATGTCTCCACTGCCACAGTCCGCATCCCCAAGCCAACCATCAATTGGAGACTCGGCCAGATATCAGCTGAGGGAAACTGGCTCGTCGCCATCCTCTCGATCGGATCGAAACAGGAGGCAACATAAACCGATCCCGTCGCCATTGCAGCAGGCATCCTACAGCTCTCCTGCATTTTCCACCACCTCTCCTACCTCTCACGATCAGCCCCGCTCTCCGCGCGAGATTCTCGACCATTTAATAGCTACGGAAAAGGACGAGGTTGTGCCATCAGCACCATCAGGGCAAGAAACACCTCGCGGCAATCGTGGCAGTCCGAATCGGACATCGGTCGCTCCATCCGTTCCATTGTCTCCTCCTACCTCCCCGACCTCCACCGGCAAAATCACACACACGATGGCTTCGACAACAACGGCAGCTCAGGGACGACCCGGATCTCGCCCTGTCCCTCCTCGCAATCCCTCCATCGACTCGGCCGTCTCATCCATATCCTCCAGTACATCCCAATCCTACCATTCTACCCCAATAAGGTCGGCGCAAGACACGAGAGCTCCGCCAGACATGACAAGTCTCATTCTTGCAGCGGGCTCACCCGAGGCCGCGCTCCTGTCCCTCTGGAAAGAGAGACAGTCGGCTTCAAACCATAATGCTCAGCTGTGGAGATTGGTGGAAAAGCAGCGAACCATGATATTGGGCCTGAATAAAGACCTAGAACGAGCTCTGAAGGACAAGGAACGGTATCGTAAGAAGCTCAAGGATCATATGGCGCAAGCACCGCCTCTCCCGAACACGGCGCAACGGTCAAATATGGCGCATCGGGATCACAGCTCGTCTCCGGCGAATAGTGATGCTGCCGACGATTTGGGACATATGCGCCAAACCCTTCATGAACGATCTACAAAGAGTGCGTTGGCTACGGCAATGTCAAAGGCAAACCGAGCAGGGTCTGAGTCTCCGCGCGGAGGTCCGCAAGTTCAATCGACCCACTCGCCCATCCAAACTTCGGGATCGATGTCTGCCACCGACTCGGCGATTGGCAGCCATGAACCGTCACCAACGGATGCATCCATACATCAACACGCGAGACCAATACCAGGGCCTAACAATGGAGCCGTAACTGGTGTACATGAAGGCCCTCGTAACCCGCCCAAAGCAACCGGTGGCCGCCGGGAAGACGAGTCACTCTCTCCAAAAACTTCATCGGTAGGAACCAGCAGCACCCTGCATGTCCAAGACCCCAGCAACCCACCCGCCCTCTCACTGACCCAAGCTACTCCCATCGTTGAGGGCGGGCGCTTCTCAAACCCGATCCATGAGCGGACAGGCTCGGCGACGGTTCGAAAAGCACCTCCCAAGCCTCTCGACCTTTCCAACAAGTCCGTCCACCCAAGCTCGCATCTACACGCTGCCGGCCCCACGGATGGTTCCGAATCCGAATACGATGACCAGCTAGAAGTGGATGAGATACCACGGTTCGAGCGCGGGCGACGCAAAACCCGGGAAGAAGACGACCACCTAAGGGAGGCACATTTGAAGCAAGAACAAGATAGTCGCAGCATGTCCAAAAAGAAAGTGAAAAGCAAGAGCAAGAGTAAGAGTCAGCCGACCTCCGAACAGACGTCGCCTGTGGACACCGAGAAGACCACAGTTGTGGAAGCTGGGTCCATGTCTGGGTTTGTAGGGCTACCAGCGTCGCCCCGTGCCATGCAACAGTCCGGATCAATTGCAGCCGTCTTGAGTCCTGGCGCATTGTCCGATCGGCCGGCTATTCAACGCAGCGTAATATCTCCTCCCTTAATGAGCCCCGGGCTTCCTGTCAGTCCACGGCCGGGCGATCGTCCAATGAATTCCCCTGCCCCTCGAATGCTCCACAGCAACACTCTTACTTCACCTCCCATGTCCCCGCGAGGAGCCAACGGTATCCCATTGTCTCCACGCGCTCCTCGACAGCCGATCCCTCTCCCTCTAGCTTCCCCGCTTTCCGTCACATCCCCACACCTTGCTCGAGCGGAAGGGTACCAGGTCCACCAACAGCCACAGCCGGAGCAACATGGAGTTGCGCAGGCTTCCCTTGCCGAGAGACTACAGGTTTCACAACCGCAGTTAGCTCCGACCGAATCGGAGAACCAGTTGGGCCGTGAGTCCGCACTGAGTGGCAGCCAACCCCCGAGTCCGGATAACATCTATCGTGGACTAGTCTCCGATAACTACCCGGGTCTTCTTCTACAGCCGAATGCACTCCCCTCCATTATGATACGAGTCTCGTCATCCCGACTGCGCCCGAGTCGCCACAGTATGCTCCTAGCAAGACCCCTCGAGGAAGATCCGGTGTTTATCCTGGGAATCCACGCGCGATCCGACGGCCGTCAATTGTGGAGGACGGAAAAAACCATTGCCTCGATACCGGTGTTCCATATGACGCTCAAGGACCGTCTCCAGGCAAGCGGAATTGGTTCCAGTGGATTGGACGTCAAGGTCCCGGACCGTAGTCTCTTCGCCGGCCATGCGCCGGCCAAGATCGATGCCCGACGTGCCGCAGTGGACAAATATTTCGAGAGCGTCCTCGATACGGAAATGGACGAGATAGCGGCGCTGATGGTGTGCGGGTTCCTTTCGACGGATGCGATTGGTGCCGACGCGGAGGAAGCGTCGCCTGGCGGATTCCAACCTTCCGACGCGGGGGCAAGTGCAAGCAGCGCGAGTGCCAGCACCCTCACTCAAACATCCTCATTGAGTAAGGGTAGTGGCTCGCGCGGACGTACAGGGAAGGAGGGATACCTGACCAAACGCGGGAAGAACTTCGGCGGATGGAAGGCGCGATACTTCGTTCTGGAAGGGCCGGAGCTGAAGTACTATGAGATGGCGGGTGGGGCGCATCTAGGCACCATCAAACTGATGCACGCCCAAATAGGAAAGCAGAGCCCACAGGCGTCGTCGTCGAGCGCATCAGGAAACAGCCACCAGGACGACTTGGATAACCAGTACCGCCATGCCTTCCTGATCCTCGAACCCAAGCGGAAGGACCCATCCAACCCGGTCCGTCACGTGCTGTGCGCTGAGAGTGACGCCGAGCGGGATGCCTGGGTCGAAGCGCTGGTTTCCTATGTCGACCCCGACGATTCGGAGAACCCGAAGAGTCCGAAGGATCGAGACCCGAACTCGGCCCGCAGCGCAGAGTTCCCGCTCCCCGGTAAGCAGTACCGTCCGGGTGAGGCCAAATCACGGGGCAAGGACGGCGTGAATCCGGGGGAGGCCACGACGGTCCAGGCAGTAAGCTACGATGCGACTGTCCCTGCCGAAGCCCCTATTCGAGGCGGGACCCCCAACTTCGGTTATCGGGACCCGAACGGCCATCACGTCCCAGGGAGCCCGACAATGGGCGGCTCGTTTTCTCATGCGCAGCCCATGCACCCGCTCATTTCCGGCCCGACGAATGGCTCCGTCATCCACAACGTCGGCATGTGGGGGAACAAAGCGGCTTCCTCCCTGAGCGTCAAGGACAAGAAACGCAGCATCTTCGGTTTCCGAGGCCGCTCTTCTTCAGACCTCGTAGCACAGGAACAAAGGCCACAACCGGCGCCTCATGTGGTCTTCGGCATCCCCCTTGCTGAAGCCGCGGAATGCTCGCAACCGCTCGGAGTTGATGAATACCTTCCAGCCGTGGTATATCGCTCAATCGAATACCTGCGAGCGAAGGGTGCTGCAGACGAGGAGGGGCTATTCCGGCTCAGCGGGTCGAATATCGTCATCAAGGGTCTGCGGGAGCGATACAATACTGAAGGTGATGTTCGGCTGTTGGAGGGTGAGCCGTACGATGTTCATGCTGTCGCAAGCTTGCTCAAGCTGTATCTACGGGAACTTCCAGTGAGCATCTTGACACGGGAGTTGCATCTTGATTTCCTCAAAGCGCTCGGTGAGTTTTGTTGCCGCTTGTCCCCTTGCGTAAACCCACACTAACGCATCGGCTCAGAAATCGAAAACCGAGACCAGAAGATTGCGATCTTCAACCTGCTGGTGCACAGGCTTCCCAAAGCCAATTATTTCCTTTTGGCTGCGCTTCTTGGATTCCTCTTAGAAATCGTCTCGAATTCGGAGGTGAACAAGATGAATGTTAGGAACGGTAAGTCGCCGACTCGGCCCGGATCTTTGCTGCTTTTCGGCTGTGCTAATTGAACCCGACAGTTGGCATTGTATTTGCCCCGACGCTGAACATTCCCGCGACCATTATTTCCCTTTTCTTGACCGCCTATGCTGCTATCTTTGGAGCAGCACGAACTTCGGAACACGAGGAGTTCACCCTTCCTGCTCCGACGGACACCCGCGAATTATCGGTTCCATCGAACCAGGTCGACAGCCTCGGGATTCGCTCCCCACGACATCAGATGTTCTCCGATCTCCCCACCCCGAGCTATCGGCAGACGTTCCTGGGTGGGAACGGAAACGGGCCGGCGCATGGTGGGCCTGCTCCAGCGGGGTATGCTCCAGGAAACCCCGGTCTATCGCGCATGGGACCACCACAGGCGGATACGGGCTTCATCCCATTGCATCCGTCTTACGATGCTCCGCCGCCGGCAGTGAACTACTCCACCAATGAGGATGGGAACCAAGCCGCGGGCTATAATCCATCGCAGATTATGGGCGGGCGGGATGCGAAGCAGCGGCGTCGCGAAAGCAGCATGCTCATGATGAACACAAACGTGGCGAACCAACGGCATCCATCGATGCAGCGGTTACGCGAGGACGCGGGACTGGTGCGGGAAGAGAGTGCGTTTGATTGATTTCGAGGCGTCGTTGAAGCGATGGCGCAATGCCACATTGTGATGAGCGACGAGATCGATGGTGAAGGCGTTGGCGATGTAAATGTGTCACACCGCGTTTGGGCAACATGAGTGGAGGGAGTCTGTCTTGTTTGAGTTTTCTTGTTTGGATACCTTTGTTTTTCGCATGATTCCCCTGGGTTATGGAGCCGGGATCCCTGTTTCTTATTGTTAGTTTCGGATCTTTCTTCCGATCGGCGAGCAAGTTGGAAATGACGGGCAGCAAGGGATTCTGCGATTGTATGCTATACAGCTCCTGCTTTCGGCGGCAATGGTATTGGATCAATAGCGGCTTCTATTCTCGTTAGCGTCGCTTGGACACGTTGCAGACCTGCAGTCAGATCGTCCCGTATTTGCCTGCAGAAACTAAGTCTTTGAATTTCTTTTAGCGTGTTATGTATGCGTCCTGCGTGGGAAACAAAGGCACGTCGGTCCAGCAAATGGGAAGGCGAGCTACGAAGGTACTGACATGACAGATCATCTTATATTCGTGGCATCGAGAAACCACCAGTATAATCATTGCTTATCGTGTTGGGTCCGGGTTATACGCGTACAGGTACGGATACTATTTTGGACTTGGTACGGTGGTCCCGAGTCATTCGGAATCGCCTGTGCAACCATGGCATTCCTCAGTTCTCTGCTCCCATATTCGAATCCCTAAAACGATGAGGGTACTATGAAGTGTAAACTAGAGATTTACTGGAATTGGTCTACCGTCGTTCGGACTTGCTCGTTCCACTACGTTTGGCCGCCTGTATCATTGTCGTGTACCTGTCCATCTTCTCCATCCGCAGGTGTCGCAAGCACGAGAATCCGGATGATACAAGGCCCTGCCGCGGAAAGCGGCTGTGTAACACGGATGGTACTGAACGGTCCGAAGGGGGCCCAGCTACGGATTCAGCGATTTGTTGTCCACCAAGGAACCAGTGCGTTAACCGCGAACCTTTTCCTTAACAAATGGCGTCTACACTCTACAGGTTTCAATGATTTGATATTTCCCAGGGCATAGGATCAGAATTCCCGCATGGCGTTCCCAATCGGTGCGGTAGGAATTATCCATCCATGTCAAATGGCGACTCATGTCCACCGATGCTGAATGCTGATTGCTTACAATACTGACTGCTGCCGGGGACGGATGCCAGCCAGGATCCAGGCCTGGATGTCGTGCAGGTTTTGCATGGTATAATCCCCCGGAACACCTTCCCCGGAGGCTGTTTGCATATCAATGGATCATTGGGAAGCCCACATTGGCACCTTGACCGCGGCCGCAAGCCATTGGCGATCGAGACCCTCCTACCCAAAATCGGATCTTCCTGCACCGACATCTGACCTGAACAACCATTTGTTTTCACCGAATGGGAGATGTCGATGATAGTGTGGCTTCTGGTTGCATGAAGGCTATTGCACCGAGAGCCCATGAGCGGATTCTTTCGGGTCATGCATAACCGAGTACAGCATGATCGATAGTAGCGGACACGTCTGGTCGTCCCCACAGGCGCGGGATACGATACTGATTGGCGATATGTTGTAGAAGACAATGCACTAGCGTCGACACGTCGATCTTAGTGCACAAGATGATAATAATATGCATATTGCATAGAGCTGTTCGTAGGTCACGCCATTGTGACCTGCTCATTGAGTGGTAAACCATGAATAAGAAGATAAGTATGATTAGGCACATTCTGACTCGAAACTCTAACGAATCTATTCCGTTGTCCCAGAATGATATTCCCGTTCCCAGTCCTACTCCCGCTCATTCATGCTAGCAGTCCCTTGGCATTGCTGCCATTCGCTGTATCTAACGCCATGAGAGTGCTTCTCATCCCTTCATGCCATCCCATTTTCCATGTGACCCCTCCTGGGGCCGATGCGATCATTGCGATACTAGGAAATACATTAAACGAATCAACATCTCTTCGTCTGCGGAAACAACACGTCAAACTATTACGACCAGAGGAGTCTGTACATCCGGATGGTAAAGAAAAATAAGGTGAGATAGATAATCGCTGCAAAGGCAAATCTGAGCCGACCGATAAGCCACGGAAAGCTAGGGCCGAGAGAATGCTGGGTATCGTCCAACATAATGTACGATCCGGGATTCAAAAACCCATCGAGTACAAGCGCAATGGCAGCGGCAAGACTAGCATAACCGAGGTCGTCATTCGAAAAGCTGCTTTCGTCAACAGGTATGCCGCTTGTTAGAGGTGGCGGACTTCGTTTCTGGTCAGACGTCGAGACCTTGCGATAGACGCGGGCAGGAGTTCCATAGGCAATATGCCCCGCTGGGACGCTCTATCGCATGTCAGCGCCTAGTCTTATGAGTATGTTGCCCTAGGCCACATGTCAACCGGCCACCGCCAACTCACCTTTGTGACGACACTGCCAGCGCCAATAATGCAACCATCTCCAATGCTCACTCCTCCTCTACAAAATGATAGGTTAGCTTATAAATCGTCTTAGAATCTCCGAGTACGGCTGAACTTACAAAATGGTGGCCCTTCCGCCAATCCAGCAGCGATCTCCAATGGTGACCTGTTTCCCATAGCTTGGACTATTGACCTCCTCTCGATCCTCTGCATGAGACACGGCGTAAATGTGTACTTCGGGGCCGAACAGACACTTCTCACCAATCCGTATTGGTTGGACAGGAGTGTCGAGGATCATGCAGCCACGGTTGATGAATGTAGTACGCCCAATGTGCAAGTTGGTGCCATAGTCGCACCAGAACGAGGCTTTGACATAAGGAGCAGCGCCTCCGGCGGGAAACTTGGCAGGCGAGTCCGAAGACACGGCGTTCCCGTTCGCATTTGACTGTTTCAGCGAAGGTGATACTACTATTCTGCATGTATCGTTAGCAAGCGAACAGGTTCAAGGACCGGCGGCATTGTCTCCGTACTGGTTCCATCGTTCCGCCCTGTCGTCCATGGATGCGGTCTCTGGTAAGGCATTGAACGCCGCGCAAGCAATGGCACAGCGCTGGCGCATATTGCGATATTCATCTTCGAATGCAGGAAATGAGGTCCCGAGGGAGCGTTCCTCCATGGCGGCTCCAAGGATCGAAGACCAACAGAAGCACTGCAAGATTGACAACGACTGAAGAGACTGGGGAGTTTGGACTGCGGTGTCGGTAAGATCCAGGGGTCTCACTCGGTCCAGTGGCAGATGTGTTCAATCAGCATGGGGAAATGCCGGGATCGAAGTATGAGGGTTGTAGATATATATATATGGTGCCTTGAGGCGGCGTGATGATGACACAGCTTTTGACAAACGCGTTATTGGTGAAAAGGATATCTAGCGTGAATATTACAACATGTGTATGACACGTTACAGGACGGAGAAGAACACAAATATCAGACTCGAATGCAATCGCTTATGAGGCCAGGTTGACTGATATCGGTGAAGATGGACCAACTATCACCTTTGACCAGGAAATCGAAGTAAGGCAGGAAACTTCAGCATGATAGGACGCAGAAAAAGGAAATGGCGATAGAGAGGCTTCGAAAAGGATCGCTGAGGGGTACATAATATATAGTTCCGACTCTCTCGCCATAGAAACACCTTGAGATCTTGCGATGAGGGCGAATGACTGGCATAATCAACGCGGCGCGTCCGCCATACCGAAGTGTCGGGTTCAGACTGGGAACAGGACACCACCGTGGACAAGGTTTAACTCAACCTTGTATACTTTTGTGTACAGTGTATTGTAGATTTTGTGGGTAGGTACTGTAGGATTCAAGATTTTGCAACTTTTAAGGACAAGTGTGGACTACGGGCGGGAGGACCCTCATCCGCGAGAACTTTAACGGAACGCCGCGACCGTTAGTTGAGCCATGCGTTCACGCCAGCTAGTGAACGAGTGAACGAGGATCCCGGACTCTTGTTGGCTAGCAGCGTGGTCCGGCTGGTCCCCTGAGGCCTGGATGAATGCTGTTGCGGCGACTGGTGTGCGCTGGTGGTGACTGGTGCACCTTGTCCTGCATCTCTTTTCTTCCGCTAGTGCATAGGCAAAGCGGCTCAAAGGCCAGCAATCCGTCTTCGGGCGAGCTTTACTGTTTGACACCAATAGGGATGCGTTGGCCGTCCGAACAGCGTGTCAATCAATTCTTTGTCAAAACATCAGCGTCCGTGATTGGGAGATCAATGCGCTCCACTAGGCGAAATCGGAAACGACCACAACGTGATGTGCCTCGGAACGAAGAAGGAAAGATACGTGACGGAGGAACAACCCACGCATGCGACACTACGGACTCGTTTTGCTCAACAACACCGCTAGCAGCTAGTAAAGAGCTCCGGTGACGCTGTCCGATATGTGGCTAGTTGCGATGCGGTTCATGCGACTCTTTCATATTAACGAATAGAGAGAGGAGATTTTCTTGCTGATCTGTGTTGACGCAATTGCTGGTCATGAAGGGTCTCCATGTCGTTCAAATATCCCACCCATGCTGAGACCGTTTCTAGGCGCATTGACTCGGAAAGCGTCCCTTAGCCATTAAGAATAAGGCTGCTGTAAGTTTCTCGGAGTGTATCGTACACATGGCAATACGAATGACTACGTGAAAAGGTGGTCCATCAAGTTGTGGTCCTAAATCGTCACAGAGGTAGTGCGTTCATTCAGGATACCTGGTCCACCTGTTCCATGAGGTCTTCCACTCGAAACCGTACATCGCCGCTGGTGAACTGCTCCAATAACTGCTTGCGCTTCGGTGTTTCGCCTTGCAGCCCGTAGAATTTCTGCATACACATCAAAAGCCACTTCCCTTCATCGACACTCACCCCTCGATCATCCAGTACAGTCCCGACGACCAACACCACTCCATTCGATTCCGCTAGTTCTGTGTGTACAGTGACCGTGGTGTGCGGTTGGCTGTACTCTCCTCGAAGTTTGTATTCGGCTAGATGTGTAAATAAGATGTTTGTCGAGTCTGCATGAGGAAACGTCCATTGTAGGAAATGCATATCCGCCGCTGTGCGAGATTGCGACGGATCTTGCGCATCCTTGTCTGCTGAATCCGACGATCGAGGGAGTGGGAGAATGAACTGTGGATGTCTTTTCGCCTTTTCCAACATTTGTTCCCATGTATCGGTTGCAATAACAGCCGTCAGTGAGCGCTCGTTCGAAGCATGGCGAAGCCTCCAGATCTGCGATATTTGCTCTGCAGGAAGCTCTCTTGTCTTCTCCACGTCGAGATAGGATGAGAGTTCTTTCACCCCGGGGGGCAACTTTGCCTGTGCTCGCCCATCGCCTTTGCTGACACTAGTCTTCGGGATGCTTGATGGTGAAAACAGGCTGTCAGGGGACACCGTGGAAGGTTTCGTTGACGCGGCCAAACCTGCAGGAGACCGTTTCCGAACGTCATCTATCTTTTCCCGATACGCCTCCTTCAATTCCGCAATATCGTTGAGTCCTTCCCTGATACGAGAAGCATTAGGCATTAGTCAATGGGAAATAGGTGAGAACCCACTCACTGCTTCGCCTTCTGATGAAGCTTCTCCTGATACCTCGAGAGGATGCTCTCTTGGCTATTTTGGGTCGCTAAGAAGCGGACATCGAGTACACGAGCCCATCTCCGTTGGGGATTCGATAGCCTCAGCAGAGGCCTATTGACAAAATGGCGCAGGGATGGTATTAATGTTGCCATTGTTTGATTACATGCAAGACAAGTCGGCGGTTAATGAGAGAAAGAATACTTGGACACAAGGTCACGTGAATATATAATTCCGAGTTTCCGATCTTTACTGATCCACGTGACCACGCGTAATCAACGCGACAGGTCATGAAAAAAATCAGTGGGGGGATGGGATTGGGACGTGGAAGATTGCAATATTAATGGGATCTCCCCTAATATGGCCATCTACAAAGGTAACTTAACCTAAAGTACCAGTATCTGAGTCCATCCGGGAAGGCAGAAATGGCTGATGATCAATGAATTCCGAACCGAACAGGACGATCTTGTTGTATAAATAGGGGAAACCCTTCACAAGTTGGGTCGTATTTAGATCTGCCAACCTCGACATGCGAGTAGATTGAGTAGTAGTGAGTGTAGATATAACTAGAATGAATAACTGCTTAATAGAGGATTCTATGTTCCGAACTTCCGATGATACATAGAGTATGAATTCTATGATGCCCGCTGTTTGACTAGCCTTTCCACTGTCCCCTTGACAGTATCAAAAGGGATGCCAAGCAAAGCGTTATCAGCGTCTTCTTCACTGACAACGACACTCCTACCAGCGCCGTCTTCGAAGAGTTCGACAGCGAGAACATCTAGGAATCCAAACCTATCTCCTTTACTGAGCTTCTCAAACCCCCGAGCTACCAGCCCCTCTGTTTCGACACGGTCAACTGTCCAAGAGGTGCCTGTAGCTACCTCTAGTTCCGCAAGAACTTCGTTCTGGGAGGATTGCACGGAACGGATCCTCAGCATGCGATTCTTCGTCTTCTCCGGCAGCTGGAGCACTTTTGCTACGGCCAGCGCGATCGTACCAAGATTGGTAGCAGTCACCTGCTCGTTGCCGGAGCCAAAGATGGTTGCCCGAGAGTTCGATAGATCCATGCCGAAGGAATTAAAGGGACCATCAATTGCCTAAGACTCGAAAATCAGCATCGATCAGCATAATCCACAGATTCAATACATCAACATACCCAATCGAAGAATGGCCCAGTTGCGATTCCCGTCCATTCTAACTTTTGTTCCTGGGCAGCGGCTTGCAACCTCTCCAAAACCAGCTGTTTCGGCGCAAGAACGGCGTCAAACTCTTTCAGGCGGCGTCCCTGCGGTCTGGTTCTGTCGCTTCCAAATTCGCCCGGAATGAATCTTTTGACACCAGCAGCGATGGCGATCTCGATCAGACCTATCTGAATATCAAAGCCTTCAAAACCAAGAGTCACAACGATCGCGTCGTGACCATTCACGATATTACGCAGCTCGTCCGATGAATAGTCCGTTCGGTAGGCGGTTACCGTGGTAGGGAAGGTCGCAGAGGATGACTTTCTAGTGGTGACAGACACTTGGAATCCTTCGTCAACGAGGGCTGTCACAACCGGAGATCCAAGATTTCCCGAGCCCTAGATACATTAATACCGATGCCCATACTGATGAAGGGGTGGGATAACGTACGCCAACAACAAGGACTTTCTTGATGGACATTGTGATTTGAGAATAGCTGTGCACTGAAATGATTATCGACTCAATGTAGGATCTGATGGATGGTACCAAACACTCCCCAAGGAGGGTTTATATACAAATCTAGCATCTTCAGCCAATTCCCTTGTTCTTGAGAAATGCGTGTCATCTTTTGCAATTCCAGTCTCCTCCTAACGCTGTTTCTCCGCAGCGCAGAAATGTCTTTCGGAGACGGACAAACTATCGCTCAAGCAATTGAGGAAATGATTCCCGTATTGATTTCAAAGCAGCCATAATTAAGGCCGTTACCATATGATGTTCCTGGCTTCGCTTACAGGGAGGTTGCAGTCACGTCCTACTCTTGAGTTGTCTGAGATGTTAATGTTAGTGACCAAAATAAGTCACAAAGTAGTCGTGCATATTTGACGGTGGAAATAGATCAACTGGAGTCGGCGGAAATGGATGACCTGGAGTCGGTGGAATGGATGAATTGGAGTCGGTGGATCGGGATCCTTTATCCCCGATTTTGGCAAGAGATGCGAGTGCGGAGTATGGATAGTCAAGTAGCAATATAGCATGAGAGGCGGGAGGTCGGTATTTGGCCCTGGCAGTACCGGCAATCCGGACGAACTGGTCTGTCAAAGGCTCAATCCTCGAGGCGCAAGTTGTCAATGGTGCGAATGAAAGTAAAACCAGCTTCCAAAATTCGAGTGAGAGGAATTGTGCATTGGTAGTAAGGAAGTGTGACCTGAGGACTCAGAAATCAGATTGGAAAGGGGAATTCGGTCACACGCTAATGAGCATGAGGTCTACCTCTATGCTCGGCTTGTTGCCGACCTGCCGACCATGCTGCCCTGACTTGCTCGGATCATCGCCGAGGTTGGGGTCTGTAGACTGTACAGCATCAGGCCTCTGGTTCCAAAAAAATCCCATCGACCAAACACCTCACGATATGCCATCGACCGGACCGGCTATTCTTGATTCCCTTTTTAGCCCTTGAGACGACGAGGAATACTGCGGACATGGCCCAAGGCAAGCCCAGCTACAGATACCCGTTCTCGGCCGCCCCGGATATCATACGGGCAAACCAGAAAGATGCGTACTTTCAAGGTGTCCTCTTTGAACAGGTTTCCGACATCGTGCGGAAGCTCTACGGCGCGCGCACTACGCACAATTACACCTCCGAATCGCGGGCTTTTGCAGATCTCCTCTATCTCGGCCTGACGACCGTGGTCGGTAACAGGACTTTGGGGGAGGAGTACAGCGACATCGTGCAAATCGAGGGCGACTCACGCGTGCTGCCATCGATCGAGCGGCGGCTCGGATACGTTCTATCCACGGTCCTGTTACCATACTCGCTGAACCGAATATTGCCTGCGCTCCGCCGTCGCCTGCGATCCGGATTGGAAAAGAGCATCCGCAAGTCTGCACAGGGCCAAAGTCCAAAGCCCTCTGCATTGACACACCTCAAGTCATATCTTCTTTCGAATCTCGACACCATCACATCGCCTTCGCCGGTGTATGCTATTAGCCTAGCCGTCTTTTACTTCACCGGCGCCTACTACCAACTCGGAAAGCGGGTCTTCGGGCTACGATATATATTCACCCGCCACATCGACACGAATACTCAACGCGTGGGATACGAGGTTCTCGGCGTCCTTCTCGTCCTTCAACTCTCAGTCCAAACGTGGCTACATGTTCAAAACACCGTGACAGAGAGCGCTCCCGAATTTTCCAACGTGGGACGGCAGCCTGGTGATCATGGTGTTGAAGTGAGCTTAGATCCTACGGCATACTCGAGCAACAATGCCCTTTTATTCGAGGCCGATGGCGCACCTGCCACCACCAATACGTATCAGCAAAGCTTGCAACGAATCACACAAACCCCTGTGCTCCAGGACGCACGCTTCGATCTTGAGGACACCGACACCATGCAATGGATCAAGGGCAAACAACAGCGGAAGTGTACCCTGTGCCTCGAATCGATGCGCGATCCGAGCGTGACGACGTGTGGGCATATGTTTTGTTGGACATGCATTGGCGATTGGTGTCGAGAAAAGCCCGAGTGTCCGCTTTGCCGACAAACCTGCCTTGCCCAACATGTACTACCGCTCCGCGGGTGAGATTTGGGACACTTCACAAGCATGTCCTGTTGACGTTATACGGAAGGGTCACAGGTTTACGGTGCTTTGGCGTCATTTAAATGCAATAACGAGACATGGCTCCCTTATGATTGTATTCGAACGCTTCCTTGTATAACCCTATCATCAACCAGAGAGGTCGCCTCAGCTCACTACTTGGTTTCCCTGGATGACTCCTTCTCCGTCTCCGTCACATCCTCGATCCGTCCTCGCGTGTCTGCCTGTGCGACACGGCCGGTCCTTGGATATTCGATCCGTTCTTCGACTGGTGTCTGGCCGGGTTGTTGCTGGGCACGATAAATGGTCGTCCCAGCCGGGTCGGAATATGACGACTGCTTAAAACTGCTCGTCTGGCCGTTGATAGTTTGTGAGCTCGAGGAGAAGCTCGCCGACTGAAAGAAGGAACGCTGCTGGTTGCCGCTCGACATTGTCCCGGATGTTTTGTATGATATGTTGATGTGTTATAGCCGTCAAGAATGGCCGTTGGATAAATAGTTACGGAGCGACAGGTCTCTTCGATATCACTGTGATGGGGCAGTGGAATAGATATTACTATCTACTCCATAGAGTGCTTTAATATCGACAGGAACAGTGGCAGGCGAACTGACATCATTGTCACGTGATATTTCGTCAATATTTCCTTCGTTTTACCTGGGTAGAAAACTAGAAATCGTGCATGATGTTGTCCCTTTCGTCCTGTCCATCCATGATCCAGCCCATTGAATCGGGAGAATCATATTAATTCCCCAAAACTAAAAGAGTAAAAGAGTAATGTAGAAGGGGTTTTTATGCCTTGAGAAAGGAGAACGCTGGACGCTTTGTGGTATGCCTCAGGACCATCAATCTGTGCCCTCCAGAGTCCAGTTGCTCTACTTGCCTTGGCTTCGGAAATTCATAACAGCGTGGACCATCATGATCATTCGGCCTTGTTGAATCTGTTTTGCTTTGTCCTCGACGTCCTGGAACGGACGCATTCGCTGCGAGAACAAAGGCAGTACCTGTAACTGCTATCACGATGTCATATTCCACCGACTTCAAGATGCAGCTTCTTGTACTCGAGACACTAAACGGTATATGGAGTTCAAGTTACTCGGGATATTGGACCAAGATACATGTACTATCACTTTATCAGGATGTTCATGTTCCAGGTTCTGCCTTTGAATTGCTTTGTTAGAGTGGGTCCACGCACTCATTTCGACCGGTCACGTTTTCACCCCTTGCGTGAACCGTTGCTCCGAAGATCTGTCCATCAAGTTCAAAGAACAGTTGCTCAACTTTTAGATTAATGTCTGAAATCCAGTCACTCAAGCACCAGCTACCGAAAGGCTATGTTATTCTCCCCAAGGGGGATAGGTACTTGAGCCTTCATTGTCGTAAACAGTCATTAGAGCTGGGAAAGGACATCTACATTATCACCGTAAGTGTATTTCAGGTCATTTATTGGGTACGGGAAGTTAACTGGCATAGGATAGAAAAGGAGTTCGACAGGGCCTAGGAGTTCCGCATCATGTCCTTAAGGAGGTGGAAGCCCTTGCAAAAGCCACCGCGCAGTCACGTCTCGACGCTGTCATCCAAAAAGATCGAAGGCTGATTACAACAGCACGATTGATGGTCGAGAAATTGTATCCCAAAATGCCGGCAGACGAGGTGCAAACCTGTCTTAATCACGCATTCCACAAAGGATCCGGTCGGGTTGGTCGGAGCACCACCCTTCGAGGCGATTCAAGCGAAAAGCTCAAATTCAAAGTCTGTCTCGCCGTGGCTGCTTATATCCGACATGAGCATACTCTGTATGATTCTCTACTTTGCCATGGTATTCTACGGGAGGAAGCTCGACAACAGGTTGAAGGCGACATGAATGAAGTGCTACTTCGATGGAGAAGTGAATCGAAGGAGCCGACGGTGGAGCGAAAAGTAAAGTCCGCGGCGAAGACAATACAAAAGCCCAAAGCACTCACGACGAGACCTCGTATCCGACCGAAATCGAAGCCCAATTTACGGAGAAACCGCAAGTTGTGAATCAGGAACTGCCGTCTAACCGATGGTTCATGATAGTTTTTCGCTTATGCAGCCATTTCATGTTCCAAGTCAAGTCCCTGTTACCCATCTCTCGCTCATATCGAATTGTTTCCTTGTGCTGATCAATGCCGCCGTAATCTCGCAACTTACGTTGCCGAAAATGCCCTCTTTTGGTTTCCTCATATTGGCACTCATAACCCAGTTGTTCTCGCCAGGGCGGTATCGATATGTGAAATGCTTCCCTTTTCCTTCCGATACACACGGGTGTCGGCATGTGCCTGGGAGAAAGCCATTTTGAAGAGCAAAGGGGTTAGATCCAGGAGTTGCTGTCAGGAAAGAATTCAAACTGCTTCTTGCATCTGGATCAGACGTCTGGTATATGCACCGTCAACAGCAGTTTGTGACGCCATCACAAATTGTTCCACCGGTACATCCATGTCTCCCCAGTTGGACCGAAAATCGCCATACTTCTGTTGGCGTGGTTGCGGGGTCCCCAATCCCCATCAAACGACTTCCGGGTCCAATGTGGGGAAATGACACTATTTGATTAGCCCCTCTCTAGTGCCTACGAGTGCTAGTCTAGCAATGGACAAGAACCCTCTATGATAGATCTGCCAAACTGCCAAATGTACATTCTCGACATGCTGCAAGAGCCTAGAATAGCGTTCATTGGGTTGAGCTTGACCAAATGCCTTTCCCTCGGGTACCATTCGGTATTGTCGGTTCAATGGCGGTCAAATTTAATGCTTGGCCTAGAAAGCTTATCACATTAGGCCATATTTTCCGGTACTCGGTTTTCCCAAGATACGGGTCAGCGGAACCTTCAATCCTTTATACTGAGGGTACGGTGCCAATACGGGCTTGATATGTTGGTTATTAGCAGCTAAATCTTGAGGAAGACATTGAATACATCAGCTGAAGCACCATTTTGGTTCACAATGAACAAATACAACCTTTGGGCCATCATTTTTTGTTGCTGGGGCGCAACGACATATGGGTTTGATTCAGGATTGACTACATCGATTATTGGGTACCCAGAATTCATCGAGTACTTCAAGTTCGATTCTGTTACGCTTGGTGCCCTGGGGAGCACTTACTATGCCGGGAACTTCTTTGGTTCCTTGTGCAATATCTGGCTGCCCGATAAATTCGGCAGGCTGAGAACCATCCAATTTGCATGTATTCTTTCTTTTTTGGGCGCTGGTCTGCAGACCGGAGCTCCAAACCTAGGGGTACTGCTCGCGGGTCGAGCGATTGGTGGAATCGCTTGTGGCATCATTGTTGCTGTCTGTCCTCTATTTGCCAGCGAACTGTCGCCACCTCATGTCCGCGGTCGTGTCGGTGGGCTCTATAAGTATCGCAGCTCGGATCCGACAATGTACAGTTACTAATGCCTTTGCCAGCGTCAACATCAATGTCTCATACATGGTGACCGAATGGATGGGCCTCGGGTTCTCCTACGTCAATGGCGACTTGAAATGGCGCCTGTTTATCGGGTTGCAGATTTTCTGCGCTGCAATTATGCTGCTCGGCTCTTTCTGGATGCCGTTCTCGCCCCGGTGGCTGGTATCTAAGGGGCGATATGACGAAGCACTTCGTGTTTTAGAACGTTTACATAGGGACGGAGGATATGACAGGGGCGATGGCGGTGCAGATGAAATTCCCTTTTATCAACGAGAGTTCAACCAAATCAAGGCGCAGATCGCCTATGAGCAAGAGAATCCGCAGTTGGGCCTTATCGGGATTATCAAGCGGCCATCTTATCGCCGTCGCCTCTTCATTATCCTTTTCTTCTTCGTTTTCCAACAGCTCACGGCGATTATTCCACTTCAAAACTACCAGGTATGTTGGGACTTCTCTTGAGAAACGATTTATTCGGAATTGGACACTAATATCTTCCAAGGTTCTCCTGTACCAGAGCCTGGGGCTGGACGGGAAGCTTCCTTTAGTCTTGGTCGGTGTCTGGGGTACTGTCGGTGTCATATTCTCAGCTGTCGGTGCCAGCTACTTTGACCGGATCGGCAGGAGGAAGAGTTTCTTCATAAGCATGACCTTGGTAACGATTGGGTCCATCTTGCTAACCGCTTTCTGGGCGACGTATGAGAAGACGGGGAACACAGTCAAAACTTTCGGATCGTTGGCACTCTGGGCAATGTTCGTGTACCTCACTGGATATGCGTTGTGCCTGAATGCATTTGGATACGCATATACTCCAGAAATTCTACCTCTTCCCATACGTGCAACGGGAGTGGCAACTGGTTTTGCTACGATGAACGGAATCATCATTATGCTCGTACAAGTCACCCCGCTTGCACTAGAGTCAATCACGTGGAAGTATTTCCTCATATTCGTCTTCATGGACGTCATCTTTATCCTGGGAGTCTTCTTTCAGTAGGTTTCGTTCCCAAGATGATGTTGCCATGGATTGACATGTCTCGCAGCTTCCCGGAGACGGCAAACAAGCCACTCGAAGAGATAGCCGCCTTGTTTGGTGACGAGGTGAGAAAGCGCACGGATTTCTTCTCTACAATTTACTGATGCCATTGTGTAGGTTGTGGTTACTCTCGAAGAGGCTACTGGTAAAGAAGCGTGAGAACCTTCGAACGACGAGGCTTCACCCGTGGGGGTTGAGAATACAGTCCGCGCCATTCGTGAACGTAGCAAGTGTACTGTATGCAAAGATTTCGACTGCAGCTTAAGGAGGCTATGCGTCAATAAGTTGCTGTAAAACAGATCAGCAGTATTATATAACGTCCGGGTATAAAAATGAATAGTCCATTCATCTTCGACGCCCTGGGGTATGCTTCAGGACCAACAATATTCACTTTGATCTTCTCGACTGTCACGAGTGCCGAAGAGACTGAATTTGTAAATTTGCGTATGGCCCTGGACCGGATAGATTATCTTGCCGACCTCCTGAGCTGTTTGCTCAGGCCTTGCAGTCGTTCGAAGGAGTATCCGAACGCAGTCTCAAACCGTAAATAGATTTCCACTCCCACCGCTCCGAAAAGTCAGTTTCTTGGCTCCTCCAGAAGTTTATTTGAAAACTCTTCGATGACGCTATCAACCAAGTACTGCTTCTGTAGTTCGGTTCTCCATGGAACCTCCTCAACGCCGTAATATGCACCCGCAAGACCTCCGTAAATAGCACCGGCCGTATCCGAATCACCACCTATATGGGTCAGTATTCAGTAATGTGGTTGCTTCGAGTCTGCACTTGCCAAGATTCACCACCTCGAGGGCTCCCGAAACCCAGCTATCGTGTTTGAACATTGCCCAGAGGGCGACCTCTAGGGTGTCGAGAACATATCCAGTACTCTTGATCGTGTCCGCCGACTTTGTCTTCCAATCTTGTATCGATTTGTACTGACCGAGTCTCTCACGAAGGTGTTTGTTCTTGATATCTTGCTCCATTAAATCTTGGAGAAGACCATCCTTCGTTGCCCCTGACAATGTAAGTTGGAGAAGCAAAGCCGCCTGTAAAGGATCACGTTACCCTTCATAGCTGCAACAACCAAGGAGGTATATATAGCGCAGCATTCAGCACATATTGGCGAGGGGTGTGTCAAATTGCTCTGGGCCCCGGCTACAGTCAAAGCCAGGTCCTTGTCTTGCCAGAGCGCGAGGCCAACCGGGACGACTCTCATCAAGCTACCATTGCCGCTGAACTGCTCGTACTTGAGCACTTGGTCAACGAGTTCCTGACCAGACTTCATGTCTGAGGGACCGGGCTCAATGTTGTCCTGAGATAGTCCTCGTAAGACCGACCTCCATATCGCGAGACTCGTTCTCGTGGATTGCCCTTCATCCCAGGCACGGCTCGACGATGACATGTAGCCATCACTATGCCAAGCCACCATCTTTGCCACACAGTCGGCCGCTGAGAAAGTCATGTTACACTCCGAGAGCGATTTGGCAAGACAAAGGGTCAAGGACCCGTCATCCGACCAAGAACTAGACACGGATTAACGGATGGACCACGTATATAGGTTCGATGCCTCTGCGAACCCTTTTGGCTTCTGGAATGGCTTGACGAATTGCAACTCTTGGATCGGCTTGAACGTTCCTCTTCTCATGAATTGCACTGGTCCTCCGAGCGCGTCCCCGACAAGAACACCGTACAGTGCCCCTTTAGCACGAGTGTGAATCTGGGATTCCATTTCCAATACGTCGAAGGGAACAAGGGAGGGTTATTGTCGCATGCAAATAACAGAATTCAAAAGTATGTATCCGTTCAGAAAGTTGAGCGATACGTTGAAGTTGGTTCAATTGCTGCGGCTGCCTCGTATTCGACACAGCAGATTGGTCTAATACGAGGGGAAGGGTGAAGGGTTAGAAAGCTTCAGTAGGCAATATGTAGTCAGTTGCGTCAACTATTTTAGCTCAGGTATCAAGGGCGTAAACGACGGATCAAGTATCACTGCGGAGATATTATTGAACAGGCACTTTATGACACTACTTACTGAGCCGCACACCTGCTTGGGATGCAATTGTCTAGCGAATGCATCATGCATTGCCAAACCTTTTGAAGACGAATTAATCAGATACGATTGTTACACTTGAGACATTCCCACCAGGCAGAACCCATACTCCGCACTCGGCAACGAACGCTGTAAACCAGTCAATGAATTTGCGTCCCATAGCCGCGGATCGTCTCCGCAAACGCCCAACTTTGACCCTCGAGCTTCTCATCCTCCTTTAGCTGCACGCCATCTTTGCGTATGACAGCAATGGAGTACTTGTCTAAGCTCCTTGCGTCCCTATAGAACAGCACTTTCATCGCCTCCTTGACGGCGTTCACCGCGTCGTCCATGGAGAGCGTCTCGGCCGCGGCTTCGTCTGGGGCAACCCTTCGTAAGATCGGGACCGCGAGATGCGCACCAAACCCTGTTGCGAGCGATGGGGCAGAGAAAGTGGTTCCTAGGAGATCTACGCTTGCCAGGAAGGGTTTGTCCGCATCATCCAGACCGGCGACCAAGATATGGTTCCAGAGCGGGTTGAAGTCGGTTCGTCGCTTGTACATGACCTTAGAGAGGTAGGTGTGTAGGTTCTTCGCGTCCAAGGACGCCGTGTCGGTCTCGTCTCCCGAGGACCCTGGGTCGGCATAGTTCTCGCGTAATGACAGGGAGGTAAGCAAACGGTCGAGATGCTGCATGTCGGAAACATCGCCGCCGAAGCCAAGCACCGCGCGTGTGTTGAATTGTCTGAGACGCTTGACATCCGTGAACCGAGCAAGGGATCCATATGAAGCTGCGCAAGCGTTAGACCCCATCCTTCTACTCAGAACGATCCATTGTACCTAGATTATCGGCGGCAACCACCACTCCGTCCTTAAACTTCATAGCCACCACGGATGTGCCGGTTACTATTGGCGACTGCGTGTGTTGCTTCGGGCCGTCTTGAGGGAGAAATGAGGCATTGTATGCGCCGTAGACATCGTCTCGTGGCTAATATCAGTTAGTCGCGTAGACTGCATCGGGCAATAGAGCTGACCTACCCGACCCCATGCTTGCGGAAGGTGGTTCATATTGTGGAGAAGGGAGATTGGATTGGGAGACGGTTTGGGACTTGGACGGATTGAGAGGTATATCTTGTAGAAGTTGAAGATGGGAGTTGAAGGTGTTGAATGTTGAAGGAAGCAACCAAGAGCTTTGTTAGGTATGGGATTAGGCTACATGGTGATGAAGCTCCCAGCCATGAATGAGCCCTGAACGTTAGACACGGATCATGTGATTTGTGACTAATGGTGTTGATGCCTCAGGCTATAAGGCATATATTTGATTTCCTCCATTGCTGTGCAATTTCTACAGCCTGAGCAACGCCGCTGTTGTGAATTAACCCAATTACGAGAAGTCGAGAACCTCTTGCTTCACTACAATAGGAAAACCCTGTTATTAATAATTATTAGTGCCATAGCACTTGCTCAAATGCCGCTTGCGTCCGTCATCTATAGCCAAAGTCCAGGTTCAGATCTTGGGGAATCAGCATGGCTTCTCACCGTCAGAGCAAGCCGAGACGCATACATTTGGTCCTTGACTGGGATGGAACTCTAACTATGCGGGATACGATGAGCTTCCTCTCAAAATTGCCAGTTGTATCGAGCACCTCGACAGCATCTGGACACGCGAATGATCCAGCAGGACCGCAAGGATGGGACGACCTTGTAGCCGCCTACTTAGACGACTTTCGACAACACCAAGAGGCGTACACACCAGCGCCGGACCAAAGACTCTCTGCAACTGAAGAGTCAAAGTGGCTCGCGAGCCTGAAAGGAGTGGAGGGCCGGAGTGCCGCCAGAGCCTTGCGGGCGGATTTCTTTAAAGGTACCACCGAGACGGATCTCCACAACCTGGCCAAGGACCTTATTGAGAGCGGCGAACTCCAGTTAAGAGATGGCTGGGACTCAGTGCTCCTGGAAGGCTCGAAATCAATGAATCAGCCCTCAGCGTTTGACCAGGTCAAGATTTCCATACTCAGCATCAATTGGAGCGCTGCGTTTATCCGGCATTGTCTTCTTGAAGCAGCGCGGTCGTACCAGAACGTAAACAACGACGCATTGACCCGAGCCATCGATCATATCGAGATCAGCGCTAATGAGTTTGTTTGCGGTTCTCATCCAAGTACTGGCTCAGGGAAGCATATCATGACCAGTGACGATAAGCATTCCCAGTTTCGAACCATGACAGGCGCACAGTCGGCGTCAGATCGGGAGTCCGCGTTCGATAACTATAACATTTATGTTGGAGACAGTTCAACCGACTTTGACTGCATTCTTGATGCAGATGTCGGGGTCTGCGTTCAGGACATCCCCTTAACGTCCACCCAGGCGGGTCTTACTGCAATATTCGCGCGACTCGGCATTCAGATATTCCCTTTATCAGACTGCCCGAGGCTGTTACCGACCCCGCGGCAGCTTGGTGTTTGGCGCATTGGTAGTCTATCAGAGATTTGTACCTTCCTCGACGTTACTGCTGCCTAGTAAGATTATAAGGCAACCCCTTCTAGAGGACAATAGGCGGGTATGTCCACGGTATGCCTGATTCAGTCAGGTATGAGGACGAAACGCCAGAGAGTCGAGGCTGTCAATATTACATAGACAATCATAGGTGCCCGAGCACCGGCATGGGCTGACTCAGGAGGCATTGCATCGCCACATTGGCTTGTTATGTAGACAGGGCAGCTTTCTAAGGTATTGCCTATTCTGTATATCAATGGTTGGCATTTTTCGGTAAAATCACGTCTACCATGCACCAGTATCGCATCGATCGACCATAAGAAGCTCTCGGTCCTCTGCTAGTATCCTCTCATTAAGCTGGAAGCTTGAAGATGTTATTGAGGGAACAAAAAGCTGCTCCCAGGAGCGGGAAGGGGGAGTGGTAGTTCAATCTCGCCTGATCGAAACCTTGTTATATTGGATTAACATACATTAATCGAGACGTCGTCTCCTACACCGGGTAATTAAATCCATACCGGTACAAATCCGCCCACTGAAGGGCTTTGACAGCTTCTACGCGTTGAGTACGAGAAGTGGTGGAAGCCGATGACAAGACAAGCTGTGGCGAAATTGTCCGAGAAATATTTAAGATCAGATAGAGAGAGCCAATAATGCATAACGGTCATCGTTGCAGACTGACATGATTTAAAAAGGACTAATAAGCTGGTGCCAGCCAGATGTATGAGAAATTGAGAATCCGTGGAACCCGGGATGCTTGTACGTCAGGGCCCCAATATTATATGGGAAAGTGATACGTAAATGTTATCCTTCCTTGATACTGTGATGTATTCACCAGCGGGCTTCAATGATAACCGACTTCGCAATCCGCCGTCTATCCCATCCTCATTGTCGGATCTGATACGCCCCGAGTGGGCGGCATCGGTGGAGCCCCGGAAGGAATTCTGGCATGGAACAGGTCCACTAGCCGTTTGCCCACGCTTGTCTCCAGTTCCGTGCCATCTCTCGCGATTTTGACTTCGCGATTGGAGTTCCACGGATTGCGCAGCCCGCGGGCTCGGTAGAAGGGCACTCGAGTGGTGGTTTTCCATTCCACCCGAAACGGCCTGCCCCATTCCTGGAGCGTTGACGACGACGACGAGGCGATCGGGCTGGACGCCGGTGGGTCGCTGCGGCTCTCGGTCGGGAGATCATCATCCGCCGTGAAATCTGCATCTTCATCCTCCCTTTGCCAAAATATCGTTCCACGTGCGCTGTCGTCCACGACCCGACCCCTAGGTGCCGTTTCCGTTGATGTTGTGATATATGAGAGAGGCGCATCTGACTCGGGAACTTCCTCTTCATTTCTCGATAGCTTGGAAAGAAGTTCCTCCGAATCGGCGCCGACAGAGGATGCCATTCGGGCATATCCAAAGTACTCGCCGGACTTGTTGGAGCTGAATATTAGCCAAACATTCGGTGCCGTCTGCTCTATCGTTAGTGATCATGCTCGCCAAACAAGGTGAAGGTGCAAATAGAAGACTCCGTGCACTATCGGATTTGCAGCACTACCAGAGCGGACCAGGATCGCCAAGGAAGGGTATCGGGTATGAATAAGGTTTAAAAAAAAAGAAACTTATTCGTCCGGTGATCATGGATCAACCCCAAAGAAACAGGGATCATGCAAACAAATCTGACCGCAGTTGTTTTGAACCTGTTAAACGCAACATGGTGTTGAAGTATCATTCTTCTTACCTCGAAAGCTTTGTTGAATGTCTTCTCATTGTGAACCTGGGTCGACCAAATTCCCGTCACCACGCTCGATTCGAGATCCTGAAGGGTCAAGCTCTTGACGATGAAGTATCTATCAGCGCCACTCTCAATCGACTTTCTAGATGTATTTCCCGGCGACGGCGACTCAGCCTCTTCCGACTGCGGTGCTTCGTTAACCTCGTCCACGCCTTCGTCGGCCTGCTCTTCTCCCTGGTCTGGCGCTGTCTCGTTCGCTGCATCTGTTTCTGGTTGTGACGAAGATGGCCCGGGAGATACAGATGACGCAGGTGTAGAAGGGGTAATGGGCGAAGCCACGGAACTCTTTCTCAAGCGACAAACAAGCCGTATGGTGTGGAAGCGTGAATCATGGAACCTACGCATTGCAGCGACGCACGATGCTTCGGTTCGATAATTGACGAAGGCACAATTGCTCTTTGAGATGAGAAACACGCTCTCAATGTCCCCAGTCGCTTCTCTCGAGAAATGATCTTTAAGGTCGGCGATCGACGCATTAGGAGGCAGATTTCCCACCCACAGAGCGTGGCCCGATTGTTTCGGTTTCCTAGGGGGTCCGCGAGGCATCGAACCTAGAATGCGCGGTGAGGCTTTGCGCAGTTAGTCACTACACGGTCTCGTTGGGGTCTTGTGGCTAGGACGTACAAGAATAGTTCATCGCATCCAGATTTCCACCAGGCCTGGGAGAGAGCGCACTGTCTTGTCCTGGGAACCCCCCACGACGGCTGTTGCCCTGGTTGCTTGAACGTTGATTGTACGGTGGATATCCTTGCGGCGGCATCTGGGGATAGGGACCGGCCGAAGTGGGTGAACCGTACGGATAATAGTAGTAACCGGAAGGAGGGTGTTGGAATTGAGCCGTCCTCTGTTGTGGATGAGTAGGACGGGGCGGCCCTTGTGGGAAAGCTCCATATCCTCTTGTTGGTCCGGCTTGCTGAACAGCATATGGCTGCGGATACTGTGCAGTCGGATAGCCACTAGGTACCCCTCCGTGTCCCTGGTATGGGCCTTGGCCCGACCCTGAGAATTGGGCGATCTGCTGAAACTGATAGACGACAGGAGGAGGCGGTCCGCCCATCGGACTCGAAGCGGAGATACCACGTTGAACAGGTTGAATACCATGGGTTCCGGGCATCGCGACGTATTCAGGAAGCGATCCTGACATTGTACCCATATTCAGAGCCGTCCCTTGCGGGTCATGGCTATGAGCTGGCTCCTGGGGATCGCTAGATTGAGCAGTCGGCTGGCTCATCTCAGTGCCGTGTCCCTGCCGGGACGGCCCACTGAACTGCGTATGGAATGCTAGGGGAGGATTGCCGTATCTCGGGTCAAGATGAGTGGAGTCCACTTGACCTTGGTCCTCCTGGGCTGTATGAACACCATGCAGTGGATCTGCCCCGCTAACATGGTGCGGAGTGTCCCCCATTTGTTCTTCAAGGACGACCGGAAGTGCGGCTCACTGCTGAACCCACAAGATGTCAGTAAAGAGGCCATTAAACGCCCATCACACATAAGGTGATGCATGACTCTGAAGGTGTACTTACTCAAGATAGGAAACTGATGAAGTCCGAATTGGGCCTCTTCAATGGCACTTGACGAATATCGAACTGATATCGCTTCGCCAAAAAGACAGATATATGCCGAAGAAAAGGATTCTTTGCCAATGCGCCTTAGACGTGTGTCTAGTGCATATAGAATGAGAGCACAAGAAACGAATCTTAGAGCGCACGTCAGCCAAGGCCCAACTACCATCTTTCATTTTGGAAGAGAACTAGTCCCAAACGACGCTTCGGCTTGCAACGACCGGAAATCATCTAAAGGGACATCCCATGATGCTGCATTTCACGGGAGAAACCCCAAAGCGTGTATCTGGCCAATGCAAGGGACTGATTGAAGTGATAATGCGGGAGTTGGGTTTGATCTAGGATGGTGCTAGTCGCGTATTGGATGAAGTGACACTCTAAGGGAAAGCAGAATGGAAAGTGACCACAAACCAGTGAGTAAAATCAGAATCAGATGCTGTGTTCCAATTTCCAAACGCCTCCAGGTCCTCTGGATTTCTAGTCCGAGGCCCTGATTGGGCGGAGTGAAGTTCGCCTGGAATGAACTCACTGCACTCTTGAAGAATAGAGCCCACTTCGCTAAATGAAAGGATGCGGAAACCGGATCAAAGAACAATATACCACCAAAGCACCGGATAGGTATGGCAAAATCGGTGAATTTTGAAGTCCAGTTCATTCAGATCCAAGGGAAGGCGATTGATCTCGGTCCCTAAGTGAGGCTTGGATGTGGCGGGTGAAGGGACCAGACCTGACCTGGGCAGTGAGCACGGCAGGCTTTGGGGTAGGTCGGGTGCTGGCACTGCTCGACGGAGCAGTGTAAAACAAGACGGGCGGATCGTCTTCTCCCAAGAGCACGAAGAGAAAAAAGAAAGAGAATCGAAAGGGCCGTTGGCAAGAGAAATGCGTATTCGGACCATGAGAACTAGAAAAGGAATGAAAGAAGTTGAAGCAAGTGTGGCAAAAGACCGACTCGAAGATCGAAAAACCCAAGGAGACTTATGACAGAGTGACATACAGACCAGAGAGCTCCAGTCTCTAGGTCTAAAGGTGTGGCTCCCGAAGCGATCCGTCGGGATATTTTTGGGCATGGGGCGTTGGGAAATCGAGCAGCGATGTAGTTGCACATCAGCTTGGGGGAGTGAGACTAGGTTGTGGTAGGTCGTAGGGGTTCTGCCCCCGGGCGGCGGACAAGCAGTGGAATTTTCTAACCTTCTACGGATCACCTATTCGGGGGTTTGGGTTGCAACGTGTGACTTGCAGTTGGAGGGAATGCGAAGCCACTATTGTTGTAAGCGACAGGTTCTCGCAACAATGCCAGGACAGGGAATGGGACCATAGACGAGGGACCTAGAACTCGTCCATCTGCTCACTTGCTCTGCTTGCGAAGGACAGGGGATGAAGGACTGAATGGAACAGAAGGCAGCTAACTACCAGATACCAGTGGCAGACTCGCAGTAGTGCGATATGATCGGTGGAATACCAGTGGCCTCGGCGTGAGCTCCGAACGGTACACGTCGTTAGAGGTGTGTAAACTGTAAACCAGACTTACGGAATGAGAAAAAGAGGCAGGGAGCAACGGATGGAATTCCAGGTAAGGAACTGGGACGGAAGTAAGGAGATGGGAAAACCTGGCTAACCATAAACCATTGAACCGGACAATCATTCGAACCTGTTAGTACGGCATAGGGCTTCACGCTTCACCCAGCACCAGCTAACTTCCCACAATTGACAATACACCACCAGCCAAGAGACAACCAAACCGCTATTAAACTGCTAAATATCAAACAACCGAAGGCAACTAACCGTGCAAGCCGGCAGTCCACATGGCCGGGCCATAGCGCCCGCCGCGTGGAGGACTGCACGTCGCCGGACTGGACACAGGCACAGAACAGCCTTACCGGTATCCATAGAGAAGCGGTGGGACGGTGGGAGGCAAATCCATCTTTTTGTGCAGGCCATCGTAGTGGGAAAGTGCAACTGGGGCATTGGGAAAGCATGAATGGCATGGCGGACAGAGCCGCGGCAAATAAGGCGGGAGCGACAGGATAGGCAAGAGCTGCAAGTTTGAAACAAGTGGCTTTAGTTGATCGTCTGGGCCCAGCCTCCACTTCCGTGATGACTCCGGCCGGGACTGGGGAGCGACTATGAGACTGTGGCTAGACTCAGAATTGAAAATTCAGATCAGACCAGGAGGTCCTCACAGCCGAGCGCACATTCTGATTGATGGTCCTTAGGAGAATTGGAGATTCGAAAGATGAAGCGAGTGAGACTCGATTACCCAAATGGCCTCCTGCAAGTGGCTAGAAAAGTAGAAAAGCCACGCAACGGTGAACAGGCAGAGACCGGATTATTGTCAGCTTTCCTGGATCCGAATCCTGAGGATCCCGAATGGGGGCCCAACCGTCCAACTTCCAAGATACAGGCGCTCCACGGGGGGGGAGTAGCACGCGGCGGCAGGGTCCCAGCTCCCGAGATGGGCAATCTGGGAGAAACCTCAGATTCGCATCTCGACACATGCGAAATTGGGGAACTGAAAGATGCGTTTCTTCGACCGTTCGAGACCAGGTTTCCGTGCTGCCGTACCACAGGACAGGGTTACCAACTTACCCGTTACCGCTTTTTTACCTGGACTCCGCTAGCCATCCTGCTTACCTCTGCCCTGTGGACCGTGGGCTGTGGAAATGATCAATTATTGCTTGTCACTGGCTTAACAGTGGAAATCGCCTCACGCCAGTCGATGGCTGATCCTCATCTTCTGTATGATCGATAACGAATAAAAGTGAGAATGTCGGTCCCATTCATGTTGACCATGTTAATATCCCTTTCTCCGGAGTCGCCGCCGCATCCTTGTTAATATTGGTATTAACGTGAGCATTCTTGCCAGCCTCGCAGCTTCGGCGACTTATCTTTTGGTCCTCTAGTAACTAGACTTGGGAGCTTCGGGAACTTGAAGTTTGAACATTTTTTCAATGATTATAATTTTTGGGTATTCCTTTAGCGCGCAACAGCCAAGGGAGCTACCTATTGCTATGGGTTGTTCAACCTGGAGCTTAAGCCGGTCGGACCTATCATTTGTGGCGACTACTATGCCGAAGTAGAGTGGAACACGAACCGTTTTGACCTTTATGGAGACTCGGCTCGAGAATGGTAACGGAGATACGGAATAAGTTCCAGAGCTTTCGGCCTTTCGATGGGATCAGAAATGCATCCCTATTACTCCGTACCCTTGGACAGACAGGTGAATGGATAGTATTACAAGCAACGCCTCGCTTCATGTTGTGCGACACCCCTCCCTCGGTCCTTCCCCTCTCACTACAACAAGCCCTGATGGACGGGACTGTTGCGCGTGCGCGAATAGGATCATCCATAAAATGCATGTCGTAACTTGGTAACCTGTAAGCGAGCCGATGCTCTGCGGTTCATGCTTGAGCTGATTGGAGCCGACGACACAATTCGCTAAGAGAAAGGTTGCCCATCGTTCCTGTTGGGCATTATTAGCATTGATACTTGAACCGATCAAACGTGGCTCCTCAGCCGAGTAGATTTATGGTACTCTATCGCATCGGACTTCTCGAAGGATCCCGGAGACTTAGAGTCTGCGCGATAGCAGATTTGAAAGTCGCCACAGCTGGACGATCGCGTGGATGCAGATCAAGAGGTATCTCCCGTGTCTGTGAAGTATGATCCCACTAACATCCCGGTTGCTACCCCAGATGTGGAACGACTAGCGAAGGACTAAGTATTGTTTCGTTGTGGCGCGGCTATTCGGACTGTCCACATCACGCTGCTGTGCATCCACTGCCACCTTTTGCTCTTACAATAGGAAGATCGCCACGACCATCACTTCCCAACACAGATTGAACTTCACAAAATGACGAGGCCTTTTAGGTGATTACAAGCTTGCAGTTGCACGAGACAAGTTTCGATCCAACTTTCGACTTCTGCTGTTAGGCGGTGCCCTCGCCCGGTTTAAGTGTGGAGGGACAATGGCGTCAGTGGCGTTGTAATCCCAAAGAGGCACATTGCGTATTTACCATACCCCATTTACATAGTATACGCCTTGAATCGGACCTGAGTGTACAGATCGAATAAAAGGAATAAAGGGAGTCCTGGTGAATAGCCTGGCGGTGAACAAGCTGATCATAACTGAATTTTCAGCCCTATAATTTCCAAATATGAATGTGGTTTGTGTAGGGCAGCTTTGGGCTTCCCGAATAAGCCCCACGTGACACGGTCTGAATGCGCAAGGTCTGCGATTACCAAGTTCCATTAATCTAAACTGAAGAGAGAGGGAGAAGAAATCTCCCGGCACCTTTGTGCGCGAGATAGCGACTCTCCTCTCCAATGCCCTAATGCTGTGTTACCATGTTTGTTTGCTTCTCTGATATAATCCACCAGCCACGTCTTCAGCCACAACCAAGGGAACAGGCCGCAGGCCTGGGACCATAACACCACGTTCGGAATTACTGGGTAACGCTAACATCACGAGACGAGACCGGATATTCCAGCGCCTGAACCGTAGACTGGTAAAATTGTGTGACGGTAGGGAAAACATCTAATTCTATCTGATATTCCATCCCAATTCGATCTCAGTTAGGCTTAGGCGGTCCAGCTTCCACCAATCACGTTCGGCGGACACAATGGCTTATCAGATTAGCGAATTAGGGTATTAGGGTTAATGGCTCGAAGTCACGTGATATTGGACTTTGAAGCTCCTTTCACACCCTGCTGTGCTCCATTCACACCCGTACCCCGCTCCATTTACACCCTACCTGGTCACATGACATACCAATCCCTTAGAATATCTGATGCAGATGGGCAAATATAAGGTATTTGAGACTCCCCTATATAGGGAGGTACATCTACATGGTGCTAGGAGTAGTATCATGTAGTGGGGGCTACTTGACGAAGCTGAGATCTGCCTAGAAGAGGCAGAAAGATGAAAAGCTTGGAAACGGCATAAGCAGGGCGAAGATGAAATAGGGAATTACGATCGACATTAGCAGAGCAAGATTCAGCGTGTTTCTTTCATAGGCTCTATGGCCTTAAGAGATGCATCAACTCATCAACAACGATAACGAGGACAAGAACGAGGACGAGGACGTATTTGAGACATCAATTCCAGTTTCCAGAATATGCAATCGAGCTCGGTAGATGAGGAGATACGCAAAGCTCTTAAGCCGCTTCAGAACGGTCTTGAGAATGTCTTTTACAATACAATATCTGGAGCATTCTCTCGACTCCGCGAGCGCGACCTCTCCGATAACTCTCAGCATAATCAGAACGAGATCCCGCCGCAGGATACCCTACATTCGCGTTCTAGCCTAGAAGAGTGGCTAGAAAGACCTTTTTCTCCGCCTGGCTTATGCTCCGAGGCCACTACAGCGCTCCGAGAACAGGTTCTGGAAGGCCGACAGAAGCAAGTCCCGCTTAAGGAGCTTCAATCTCTAAAGTCC